ACAAGAAGAACAAGAAGAACAAGAAGAACAAGAAGAACAAGAAGAACAAGAAGAAGAAGAAGTCACCGGCTGCCTGAATTCCCCAGAAAGGCGGCAAGAAGCACAGGGTAGATGAGGCTTCAGAGGATGGTTTTGATTACATAGAGTGACTGGATGAGTAATGGTTAGAGACGATAAAGATTCATGATGCACATCTGATAATAATCACTTGACTTTATGTCGTTCACCACCAAACTCACTTATCACACGGGCAGGGGAAGCAATTATGCGGATGTAAATGTACAGCCCCCTCTCACAGCCGATGGCTAGCGTGGATTTATTTTTGCTCATGTCATGGGTGGTTGAAGCTATCGTCCGGATGTCTTTGTAGAATTTTTAATTTCACATTCTTGTCCGGACGATAGCTTCAGCTACCCACATATGTTATTTTTCTGAGAAAGCGCTGAGGCATAGCTGCGCCAGGGCCCCTGTAGAGGTTTAATCCACAAATAGAATTTCATTTGAAGCCTTCTCGAAAAGCTATGACCATGTCCCGTTCGCGTACCCGAAATACCCAACAGATGGCATGTCCAAGTATGGCACACCTTGAGCATCAGCTGTATTCGAGTAGACCTCATTCCCCCACCATGTAGGAAATACAGCTCCTGGATACGTGACACAGAAGAAAATAATGATTCCAGACAGTGCTGTGCCTGTGTCGAGAGCGGCTGCGAGGACGTAGTTGTACTTTGTCCACCAAGAGAAAAACTTCCCCTTGATCCAGTGGTTGAAAATATAGTTGACAAGGGCCCAACTGGAGTAATTAATGCCGGTCGCTGGGGGCACGTTATATGAACCAACGAAGATCTAGAGGCTCTATTAGTCTGTGTGATGATCGGGGAGGTTGTGGTGTTGGTGGTGGTTGAGGAAAAGGAGGGTTGGAGAACTTTGCGCGAGAGGGCACCCCACTTACCAATGGCCAATTAACCTTCTTGAAAAAGTCTTTCTTAGTGTATTTCCAAGCTCCCCACGTAATCACTGGCATGAGCGCGCCGATCCAAAAGAAATGCAGTAGGCCAGAATAGATCTTGCCCACACTGTACAAGCGTGCCGGCCCAATCAACCCCCAAATAACGGATGCAGAGAAGACCGTGCGGCCATTCGGGCAAGTGAACCCGCTTGACTGATCCTCGCTGCAAATGTCTTGGATATTGCCCAGCATCCAAGTGGTGACGCCGACTTGGGTCAACGCACCGAGCACGGTTGCGCTGCCCTGTGCCGCAAAAACCAAACGCGGCGAGACCTTCATATAATGGCCGAGCTTCATGTCTTGAGCGAAGAAGAGGCCTTGCTGAACGACGTCCTGGGAAAGTGTCTTGAAAAGCATGTTGGCCAAGGGCTTGCCCTGAAACATGTAACCGCCGATGAACTCGCTGAGGACATTGAGCTGCTGAGCGTCGACGTTGGTAATTCCCTGAATGATTCCGCATGGAATCATGTAGATTGCAGGAATTAAAAGTCCCAACGCAATTCCGTACACTGGCAAAAGCGTTTCATACACCTCGACCATGACGATGGACAGGGCAAGGGTGATGACGGTAACAACGGCGTACCACCACCACGGTGTCTTCTTGTATGCCTCCATTAGCCTGCCATGGATATCAAGCTTCTGGCCGACACGGAGAGTCCTCCAAATATCTTTCCCATGCCAGAGACCAACATGCACAAGAACAGAGGTAAGAGACGCGAAACTCAAACCATAAACAAAAGCGAACGATGCTCCAAGATATGGTGGTGAGTAATCGGCGTACCTCGTGGCGTTGAAAGATCCATCGTCATTGAGCAAGGTGGTGACGTTGTAGGTTCCGCCCGTCCGGTCATAGACGTCGGCAGTCATGAGCGGAAGATAGCCAGTCCACCAGGTGTTAGTGTAGTAAATCGCTGGAACAATGATCCAGAAAGCTCCAACGAATCCAAAGAAGACGTTCAGAGCCGCCCAAGAAGGCGACAGCAAGGGGTTGGTGTTGTAGGCAATCTGCGTCCAGTCGAAGGTGATTGGGCTCAAGCCAAGGCCCGTCTGCATGCCAAACAGATGGTTGACGATGCGATTCTTGGGGGCGATCCAGCAGACCCAAGTGAAGTAGGAGAGCGCGACGAACATGAGACCCGGAAACCACCACCAAATGAAGGCGCCGACCATCACGTACATGAAGAAGCGTAAACGTGTGATTCTCCAGCCATTGGCAACGGCATTGGCGCGCGAGTGGAGAGTACTCAGCAAAGCGCAGATGGATAAGGAACCGGGCCAAATGATATTCGCGGGAGCGACCAGCCAGGGGGAGGAGAGACCAGCAACACCAAAGCCGAGAAGCTGACAGCAAAGGACCATCAGGATGTTGAGGCCAGCACGCATAGGGAAGCCGTAGAATTTACTGTAAGCTTGGATGATGCTGGTGGCATCCGCACTGCCAAAACCGATTGAAACGTTGGCCATGATGGTAATGACGGTGTGCTCCTTTATGTTGAAATGACGATCCGGGTTGATACACCACTTTCCCAGGGGGCCGAGATTGATGGTCCAAAGTGGCAGAACATGAGCCAGGAAAACACCGCACGGGTAGGCTAAGAGCTCAGCAACGAGGGCCACGATATGCACCGACGGATATCGGAGTGAAAAGAAATTGTTGATTCCAGAGCCGATCATGGTGAAAGCATAACCGATAACCCACATTCGGAGTGTGTTTACTGGAATACTAGGGTCGTCGACCTCCGGAACGACGGCGCGAACTGTGGTCGATCAGTCTTCATTCAACATGAGTGGTTTTTTCTTATCCCCCGCAAATAACCGTCACAAAAAGTAGAATTGCCCATGGGCAGTCAGAGCAAACATCCGGGTACAATTGGAGGTTTAAAAATTACACGACGTCCAGACGTTGACTTCAACTACCCAAGCGAGTCCTACGTGTTTTGCGAAACATGACTGTGAAAGGTGGAATACTTGAATTAAGTGAGGAATTGTCAAAGCATACCTTCCGGGTAAGGTGAGTGATCGGCATCCAGATCAATCTCCTTGTTGCCCTCATCCAAAGCCTCGGCAAGGTCAACCTCCAACTCCTGAAGATGGCCGGTCTCGACATCTTGACCGTCAACAACAGGCTGGTTCTTCTCGTCCACCACCTTGGGCCGCCCACTGTCGCTGATGGACTCGGACATGGTGGTCAGTGATCTTGCTCGGCGCAAGAAATTGAAGCCGAAGTCTTCAGGCCAACAGCAGAAGGTAACGGAATACCTTGAAAGCCCGCAAGGAAGCCCTATACAACTTGAAGAACAGGATGGGAGGTGGCAGGCTCGTATCATATACTCGCACGTCGCAGAACCGCGCCGCTGAAGGGCTCATCGAGAACCATCTCCCCGGCCATGGTTGCGATAGAGATAAGAAATGAGCGCTGCTACTGCAACGGGACGCGCACGCTTGAGCGGACGGTTGCATTCGCTGCGTATGCCTGAGTGATAAGGTTCCGAGCACGACTTGCCCGATAGGGCACTCGGCCCCGAGGCTTGCGGCGCCCCAATTGGTGACCAGTTGATCGGCCCTTGCACTGGGCAAGCCGACGGCGCGGGGCGAGAGATACGGCCGCACTTCTGCTTCTTTTTCATTGCTTACAGGCTACTCTGCAGAAATCTAGAAACACCATGTATTGCAGGCCCACAAAGAAGGAAAATTCTCAAAATGAACCGCGGCCCTTGAATGAATGAAGGAAACATTGGCCTTATCACGTTGCCGAGCTCCTTTCTGGTCCGTGTGCGGCGGGTTAGCATCTGGGGTCGCACGACCGGGGTCCTCCGCGCTTCACCGACAAGACCATCGAAGCATTGTGGCGTATCTACCGGCATTCTTGACTCGGCTTGGACATTTTCCGTGATCTCCCTGAGCTTGGCAGCGATTGCTGATTCCAATAGTCGCCAGTTCTCGTAACAGTTTCTACCAATGTATTTTTCCTACGCTGCTTTCAGCTTGCGCAGGACAGGCCGTGCGATGAGTCAAGGACACAAGGTGGTGATGCATTTATCGCATGGAAACCATGAAACCGTAGGTGCGTTCTAAAGACTACACCTGACGTGAAAATTGAAGTCTACGTCTGGATGCTCTGTCGCGGGAAGTGGTATCCATCCTTTTCAATCGCCCATCTTCTCCACGAGCCTACGTAACCTTTCACTCTTCCTTTCCCTGTCACTCTTTCCATCCGCCGTCTCCTTCTCGCTCGGTGCTGCTGCTCCCTTCGACTTCTTCTTTTCTTCTTTCAGCTCTGCAAGCTGCTTCAGGGTCGCCTTCTGCAAGCGCTGGAGAGACTCTAATTGCTCACGCAGTTCCTTATTTTCGCGCTCCAATGCCTCATTCGCATTCGAGCCCGCGTCTTCCTCCGTGTCCAGAGCCATGAAATCTGCCTCGCCATCGGCAGGAGCTGGAGGCGCCACCGCAGCAGTCGATTGGCCGGAGCCAGCGAAGGCACTAAGCTCTGCAAGGCTGTGCTCCAGCAACTCCGATGGAAAGCTAGTATGTGTCAGAGCTTCCTCGAATGCGCTCTTCTTGCTGCCTTTTCTGGATTTGGAAGCGGAGACTGTCGGCCGCGAGATTGAGTCGACGAGCTGAGCATTGAAAGCATACGCAGCTGGCACAGGGCTTGAGACTTCCCCGTCGCTGACATGCGCCTTCAAATCGAGGCGCGGCTTAACTACTGCATGGATCTTGTACTTGGGCTCATTGGTTGAGGTTGGAAAACCAGTCGGGGGGAGGAAGGAGATATTAGTAACAGGGCCGGGCAGCGTGTTGAGTATAGTCTTGAGGTGTGTTGAGCCAACAGGCGACCATGATGCAATTTTTCCGGTGGAGTGGCCAGTCAGGATAGTTGTTCCATCCCAGCTTAGTGCTATGCTCTGAGCCGCACCGAGGTCTTGGTTTGTGGGGCGCCACCGGGTTGAAGGTGCCGGTGTGATGGGTGTGTAGGATGTATCGGGATCACGGAGGGAGTCGGTTGCGCTATTTTGTGCGTCGGCGTCTCCAGAAGTGTAAAAGTCGATGTACTGCATGCTGCCATCCTCATACGTTGCGAAGAATCCGCGATCCGCGGCATCAAGAGTAAGGGCGAGGGGAGTATCGCCAAGAAGGTACGTTGCGAGGAGGTTGTTTTGCTGGTAATCCCAAACGATGGCCGTATTATCTTTTGACGCCGAAATGGCTATATTTGCACTAGAGGTGCTGTGGCCAATGGCCAATGCCGTGACGCCTCCACGGTGGTTGGAGAGGGTATGAAGCGGAGTTGGATTTGCTGGTGCGGTGAACGAAAGTAGGGACGGTAATGACCAGACATGGATGTTCGAGTCGGAAGAGCCACTGAGGAGGAATTGCGAAGTCGGGTCAACGGCGAGCACATTGACGGGCTGGAGGTGGGATTGCGGGCCTGTTAATGAACGACCGGTGCACGTCTAATAAAAGTCAGTAGCTATTCAAGCACCAAATTCTCTTCCAATTCAGCATACCTCCCACAATATTATCCTTCCGCCATCCGTCCCCAGCACCAACAAGGTCTCGTCGAGCGCAAGCGTGAGGCTTGTGATCCTCTCAGGGAATGGAACTGTAGCCTCCTGGTTTCCCTTCTCCCTGCTGTAGACATTGACGACTGCCTTGTCTATCTGCGCGGCGAAAACGTGCGATCGGCTGACAGCAACGCAGTTCGGGGCACAAGCACTTTTCTTGAAAGCGTGGCGCTGCGCGAGAAGCGGCTGGTGCTCGTGGAGAAAAATGCCGGCATCCTTGGTGGCGGAAGAAGTGTCCGGTTTCCTGTTCGTGGTGCCAATCGAGGCTAGGAAGTGCTCCGTCAACATTTCGTCGAGTTTCTTGCTCCAGGCAGACCTGGGCGGGTATCGTTGACGCGGCACGAATCGCAAGCTTGGGAAATTTCGGCGGAGACGAATTTCTGCCGCCCATCACCGCCTACAGCCCTACCGCTTATCGCTGCTCCGCTCTCCCGTCTCGGACACCGTCGGCGGCGTGTCGGAAGAATGCCTTGACAGCAGCCCACCTCTTTTCCCTCTCTCTCTCTCTTTTTCTGTTTCTTTCTGCTATGCGACATGATACCCTGATCAGACCACTGTTATCCATCAATTCATTTTCAAGCGCACCACGCCTCACGCAGCCCACCCGCCGATTCTTCCGTTCCACCACCGTCACCATGGCCGCCCCGAACCCCACCAAGCCGATCAAGATCCTGATGCTGCACGGCTACACGCAGACGGGCCCCCTCTTCCGCAGCAAGACACGCGCACTCGAGAAGAACCTCGCCAAAGCCTTCCCCGCCGGCGTGACCCTCACCTACCCCACCGCTCCCATCCGCCTGTCGCGCGCCCAGATCCCCTCCTGGGACACCGACGGCGTCAAGAAGGAAGACACGGCCGAGGACGAGGAGGAGCCCGAGGCCTACGGCTGGTGGACGCGCAAGGACAAGGTCGAGAGCGACAAGGTGCCCATCGAGGGCAAGGGCTTCGTCTACGAGGGCATGGAAATTGGACTGGCCAAGGTAGCGCAGGTCCTCAAGGAGGAAGGCCCGTTCGACGGCGTCATCGGTTTCTCGCAGGGCGCCGCCGCCGCCGGCATGGTGGCGAGCTTGCTGGAGCCCGGCAGGAAAGAGGCCTTCGACAAGGCCGCCGAGAAGGGCGGTATTCCGTTTCCACAGAGCTACGAAGGCGACGTGCACCCGCCGCTGAAGTTCGCCGTGTCGTACTCCGGCTTCGCTCCTGCGCAGAACCCTCTCTATGATGCCTTCTACAACCCCAAGATCAAGACCCCGATGCTGCATTTCCTGGGCAGCGTTGACACCGTCGTGGAGGAGGCTAGAAGCTTGAGGCTGGCCCACGCTTGCGAGCAGTATGACGGAAGGGTTGTATACCACCCTGGTGGCCACTTTTTGCCCAGTAGCCAGAAGCAATTCGTCAGTGTTCTGGTTGGTTTCATAAGACAGATTATCGCCGAGTCGGAAAATGCTGGAAAGAAAGAGGAGAGCGTAGAGGATATGGATGTGCCTTTTTGAATAAGACGATAGAAGTCGACGAGATTAGAGCAGGGGCATAGAGGTGGCAACGACAGATCAGACTTCATGATGCTCGCATTGACGGAATCTAGAAGTATATTACAGCTCCGCACCTCTTTGCGGAGCATGGCCCAGACATAGACGGCTCGTTTTATCTAGACGTAATGTAGCCACCGGAACTCCGATGTCATTCATCAAAGCATGCACCCAGAGACCTTTCGGTCCTCAATCGCTCAATGCACCTTGCTGGTCTTTCCCTTCTCCACCTTCGTCGGTTGGATCCTGGCCATCATCTCCTCCTTCGTGATCAAGTGATCAATGCGCTCGAGCAGACCCAGAAGACTCTTCATGTTGCCGCTCCACTCGTTGAGAACATCATCGGCGTCGCGAGGCTTGGCGAAGTTGACAATCTTGGCCGGCCGGTCGATCTTGGCGTAGATGGTCTTCGCAGTGACCAGCTCCGCAATGTACTTCTCCGTCTCGTCCTCGGTGAGATCGAGTAGCTGCGTGAGGCGGGGAATCTGGATGCGCGTGTAGTACTTGGCCACAACCCGGACGTTGTGCTCAATGACACGCTTCCGCAGATCCTGCCAACGCTGGTGTGCCTTGGGGTCCTCGTGACTAGCCTGCGCGTCAAAGATATCCGTGGCGCACAGCTGCTTGCCAAATTGCTCAGAGATGACAGGCCACCTCATAAGCTCCGGAATGGTGAAGAGCTTAAGCAGCTGGGCTTCAACGGGTATTTGTGCATTGCGGGAGTCGCGGTGGATGCGGTGGAGGAGATCGGACTGCTCGTTATCGTGGGGTGCGAGGATGACGAAGTAGATGACGCGTTGAAGAACCTGGATATGCTATTAGTACGGGTGGTGAGAAGGCAATGGTGTCGACATACCGCCTTGAGTTTCGTCGAATCCTCCTCAACGGCCTCGGTGTCCAGGACTTGCCTGTAGTGCTTGCACACATCCAGGTACTTGTCGTCGTGCTTGGCCAGCAGAATCTGCTGCTCATAGTAGCGCAGCTTGAGGTCGGTGACATCATCCTCAGGCTCAATCGGAGGGTCGTCGACACTCCTGTTCTTCTCAGCCTCCTCACGTTCCTTCCTTTCCTTCTCCAGCTGCTCCGGCGTCTTCTTAGGCTTCCTCGCGAAGTATCTTGTGCTGATCTTCCGGCTTAGAATACCGGCAGAGGTCCAGTCACCCTTCTCTATGCACAGCGCCACCTGCTCAAGAATGAATTCGGTCTTCTCGCGACGGGTCATGGAGCCAAAGGTCTCGACTTGCAGCTCGCACAGGATATCGCAAGCAGACTTGACGTCGCCCTGCTGCTTCTTGATGTTGGACAGAATGCGGGTGATGCGCGCGCGTTCAACTTCAACAAAGATCTGTGATGTGTCAGCGACGAATCGCAGAGGGAGCAGCATGATACCCTACCTTGCCCTCAGTGACGGTCCTCAGAGTCTCGATGATGGACATCTTGGTCTCCATGTTCGGCGTCTCGTCCAAGAAGCCCATGACGACCTGGACCATCTTGGTGATAGCCTGCTTGAGCTGGCCATGCTTCTTGGAGAGCAGGAGCACCTGCTCGTTCAACTGCCCCCATTCTCCTTTCCCCTTGCATAATGTGACGATGGTGACAATGAGGCGGGATGTGGAGGCGAGATCAGAGGCCTGGCAGCTGTTAGCAGGCAGGCGCGTTTGGAGGCGCGGGCTCGGCGAGACGTACTTGACGGGTCTGCTTCTCGAGCGCGAGGAGCTTCTCAACAGCGGCTTGAAGGTTGCTCTAGTAGCGTCATCAGTATACTCAGTGCATGAAGGTAGCGAAGCAAAATTACCTGGGCAAGGGACTCCGCTTCCGGGATCGCCTTGTCGACTTCCTTGGTGAAGTCCTTCTCGGCCTTGAGGACCTCACCCGACATGGTGATAGATATGTAGTTGGAGACTTTCGGGAACGTATGGGCAGAGCGGCGAGGTCCGGCGGAGTGCGAGCTTGGGGGTGGCGGAAGAGATGGCGATGGCGAGGTGTTGAGGGCGGGTGCGAAGCTGAGGTTGGTTGCTGTCGGAGCTACGTTGTGATGCTCGCCGACCGAGCTCCCGCCTCGTCAGAGGGCCGTCACGTGCTGTTTCCCCCGCCCTCACCAATCATCTGTTCTCTGACACGCCATCGCCTTCTCACTCCGTAATTTGTCAAAACCACTGCACGCCGAGCTCCTGGCACTCGCTGGTCTCAAAACTTCCCGTGCTCGCCACACGACGGCTCACAGCCATATTTCACGATCATTTGTCCATCTCCCGTCATCACTCGTTTGGAGCTATCCCGCCTGTCATGAATATCCTTTTTTGCTACTTTCCTACTACTAGAATACCATCATTCCTCGAGATCCTGAAAGAGGGAACGAGTAAGAAGAAGGGCAATAGCATATGCAGAACGCCAAACACCAAAACCACAAAAAAGTAGAAATTTGGACTTGCTCGACCTTGACACGAGCTAGAGGGGCGACAACGCGTCCTCCCACGCAGAGAGTCGAAAGCCGAAGCGCCATAGTACAAAATTGGCAAACAAGGAAAGGAAAGGAAAAGATGTCATCTCTCACAAAAGGAATAAAAGGAAATAAGAAAACGCAGGACCTCAAGAGCTCACAAGAATCTAAAGCCAGAACATCGTCTTGCCCAAAACATGGGCTTCCGGCCAGGCATCACACTTCTCGATCCTCCGTATCACCTCCTCATCTGGCAATGCTGCGCGGCCGGCCGGTGCACAAGCTCGGAGGTAAGCGCGCACTCTCTCGCAAATCTTCCCCGAATAGTGAACTGGCGCTACATAGGATGTGGCTGCCGGAATAGCATTCGTGCGACAGAGTCTGTCCGTCTGCGGAGAAAATTAGTCCCACAGCAATCCAGAATCGGGCAAAGTTAGACTCACAATGCGCTCAACCTCCTCCTGGGACCATCCATTTTCGTGCTTCAGCACATAGTAATGAGTGTTGGAGATGAAGCCACACTGCTTGGCACTGTCGCAGGAATTCGAGTGTGACTGGAGATGGAAGTCGAACTCCCGCCCCTTCGCAGTCGGTACCTGAATGTCCATGGCGTCGACGACTATCCCCTCTTTCAGATTTTTGGCCGTCAATCGTGCGATCCTATCACCGTCGGGGAAGAATCTGGGCTTTGCACGCTTTGAGAGAGCGATGAAGGTGATGTTTGGCGCCGCGTTTGACACGACCAGCTGCGGCTTTTGTGTGCAAAGCTCGTTGAAGGCATCCGCTATCTTGCGGATTTCATCATTTCTGATGAGGTGAAAGTGGTCCTTTGAAATACCTTCCCGCAAATAGAGGATCGACTCTGGCAGCCGATTACCATGGGCTTGTGCGTATTCGGATAGCATCTCCTTCAACATGTCGCTGAGATTCACAATTGTCTGGCCAGTCAGCGTCAACAACTCTCAAAACAATACCGGATTTGACTTACCTTCTGCCCAGACTTTTGTAGGCGGAAGCGGCCCTGATACTGGACGAAGTCGTCTCCCAGGCTTGTCGTGACTGCTGCGATTGAAGGCAGATCGTCCGATGGATCACTCTGGCCAGAAGTCAAAGACGCTCCAACCACCATTGTCTCTTTCAGAAGCTTCTTGAGGTCTTCACGGTCGGCTGGGTTGATTTCCTGAGTACTCGGAACCCGACCGGCGCACCTGTGGACAGCCTTCGTGACAAGAGCTCTGGCATACCCCACCGCTTGTCTGATCTCCGGCACGTTAGTCCCCTTCTCACTCCTTTCCCAATGCTTCATGTTTTCCTGGAATTTCTGAACGTCAAAGAAAACCGTTGGAACGTTGTTCTTGTCACACCAACATCTAATCCTGGCTTGGGTATCTGCCTGCCCCTCCTTGGCCGCATCAAGACCGACGAGGAGCAACATGTCACTCTTTGGAGAGAATCGCTTGAGGGGTGATTCTGCATTGTCGACTGCTCCAAGGAACGATTGGAAAGTGTCGTAGTCATATGCTGCTTTTGGCTCGTCGCAGAGGCCCCCCTCCGTTTGAAAAGCTACGAGCAGCTTTTTGCAGGCTCCCTCAAAAACCTCTTGCTCTTTCCTAGTATGCCGCTCCAATCCAGACTTCAGAGTCAAGAAGCGGACCATTTGAGGAGAATCTGCAAACTTTGGAGCCTTGATTCGCTTGTCCTTGACGTGCCTATGCTTCTCCTGGGGTCCTTCAGGTGGAGAGTCCACAAAGTAGGCTGTGATATTCTCTGCTTCTGATTTGAATGTAATCCCAAAGGCATCCTGCAATGGTTAGCATCAACTCGCAACTTTAGAATGAGAACTTACCTTCAGCAATGTGGGATTGAGAAGTTTCACAACCTTACTGTGCTTGTCGCTGAGGTTGGCATCAAAATTGCGAACCGACTCTTCACATTTCATGTGAATGGGCTTGAATCCGTCTTTCATCTGGAGGGGCGGGAACTTGAAGACTGGCTGCTCTTTAACCCAAAGCAGCTCCATTGGGATCCAAATCTTCTTTGCACTGTCCCAAACGTTCACCACGGGGAGATTTGGAAATCTGAGCTTGTAGCCGTAGTCTGTAGCAAAATGTCAGCGCAATCCGGATAAACTATCACTGTACTTACACTGCTCGAAGTAGCAGCTCACGGAGATTTCTTCAGTGGCCATTCCAGCTTCGTCAAGCTTGAATTTCTGTTCCGTGGCACTCTGACCAAGGGAAACTATTTGGCGTCGACGGGCGTTTGACGGGAGGTCCCTCGGGCTCTGCGGAGCTCTGATAATCCTGGGTGCTCCATCGTCCCGAGACGGCTTGTATGCCTGGGTAACTTCTAGCCTTTTGATGAATGAGCGAAGGGCTTTGGCCTTGTTAGCGGCGTCTTCTTGGAAGTTGTCGATGTAATCGGCGTAGAAAACCCCAAGGTTGCAGGCTTCCACAAACAGCGTTGGACGAGGGCTGACGGTCAGCATCAGCTTGCGATCGGAAGGAGAACCGCACTTCTTCTCCGTAAGATCGATGGAAAAAGTCATGCCGTCATGCAGTTTGACGTATTGGCTCGTCTCGACTTCGGCGTCAATGCTCATCGCCTCCTTGGAAAGCCATAGGTTCTTGTTGACGCAGAACCATCCCTCACTCTGGCTCAAAACCGATCGTAACAAGATGTTCAGGGTGTGGAAACAGTCTTGGGCAGAGCATGCGCTGGTACCGCTGCACTCGCAATTCTGTAAGCTCTTTGCGAGATTATCGAACTTGACGTCCGGTTGGCGAAGTACTCGAATTCGAAAGTTGGTTCCTTCCTCTGACGACTTCGGTTGGTGCGTGATGTCAAAAAACATCTCAGACGGCGCCGCTTGCAAACCTGAATGCAGAGGATTCTTGGAGTAGATTGCATCAATTCCTTCAACGATTGGTTTGGTGCCACCAGAATCGGTGAGATGACGCTCAAGAACTTTCTGCAACAATTGGCGCTTGAGAGCTCTGTTTTTGACTTGCTTTTGGGAACTTGTTGAAAAGTAGGAAACTGAATGCTTGCAAATCCGCCCAGAGGGTTCATCTACTTCGAAGTGTTTGCCGACCGTTGAGTTGATGGTTGTAGCGGGGCGTTCGTGAATAGTGACCATGCCCATTTGTTCGGTGACAACAACAGACAAGTCGTCGACACGCACACCGCTGGCCGTTCGGGAATGGGTACGAATTGTCTTTGCAGCGGATGATGACCTTTGGGGAGGAGAGTAAGAGCTGGAGCGTTGAGATCCGCTTGGATACGAATCTTCGCTGAGGTTTGGGGAGCGAGCTCCGTCAGAGTTGCCGGCAAAAGCCCCCGTTTCGTACGGTAAAGAAAGGTGATTCGTAGCATCACCTCCAGAATCAGGCTGAGTGGATTTGGTGGTCTTCTTGTGGCTCATGTTGGAAATTCTGAGGTGAGTAATGTGAATCAGTCACTTCTGTAGGTAGGATCAGAAAGTTCAAATCCCTTTTGTCAAAGAGTTGCTGAAGCTATGGTGCTCCGTGAATGAGCGGATGTAGGCATTTAAATATGTTACCACTAGAGAGATTTTCCTGCCAGGAAACCAGTGTAGCAAACCATTTAACAACTTACAGACCAAATAAAATCATGGCTGTTACTCAGATTTTCCTTTCTTGCCATGTAGTGTTGCTTTAGCTTGGCCCATGGGCTTAAGGTGCATACGACGTTGCTTCAATGGAATCACATTTCGGACAGAACATGATCAGAAATTGCAGTCACAAGCCCATTGTGCTTGGACAGAATGCGCTATCAGCCGACTCGCCTGTAGTTGCGCGCAATTGATGTAGCCGGTGGCTCCTGACGTTTTCCTCCTTGTGGATGTTTCCTATCCCAATCCCTGTAAATATTTCTATGCTTAGAGAACTTGCGATAGGTGTAAACAGTATTATTGTTTTGAGGGTTTATTTGGCGTAGTTTGAGCGGCAGGCAGTGATACAACAACACTTCATCCTGTGACGATGAGGAATGCGCTCTTTTCGAATGTTGCAGATACAGGCATTCAGACAAGTAGATTTAAATCAAACAAACGTGTCATAGCCATGGTATATGATTTGCGTTCCCAAACTGTACCCGCCAAGAGTGGGCGAATAATGACGTGCTCCCATCCACAACCCCACTCCCCGACGATCCCTCCCAAACGCCTATCTATCAATCAACCATCATCCATCTTCAACACAAACACACACATCCGCACGCACACCATCATACCCACAATCCAAAGACCGCCATCATGCGTGCCCCAATCGACCTTCAGCTCGGCTGGCCGAGCACGACGCTGCACCCGACGGCGCCGCTCCTCGCCGGCGCCGCCCCCGTCCTCACGCCGCCGGACAGCGCCACGGCCCTCAACTACGGGCCGGGCCACGGCTACGGGCCGCTCCGCGCGAGCATCGCGTCCTGGCTGACGCGCAGCTACACGCCGCGCAACGGCGACGGCAGCGCCTACGCCATCCCGGCCTCGCGCATCATGGTCGGCAACGGCGCGTCCGCCACGCTGCTGACCGCCGTGCTGAGGCTGGCCGACCCGAGCTACACGCGCGCCATCTGGATGGTCGAGCCGACGTACTTCCTCGCGTGCCCCATCTTCGCCGACGCCGGGTTCGGAGGTGATGAGGAGGATGGGGCTAGCAGGATGCGTGGCGTGCCTGAGGATGAGGAGGGCATTGATGTGCGGTTTCTGCGGGAGAGCATCGAGCGGGTGGAGGCTGAGGTGAAGTACGGGATTGGTTACTGGGGTGGGCTGGGGCTTAAATCGGAGGAGCCGCGGAAGAAAGGGTTGGGACCGTGTAAGATTTACAAGCACGTGCTCTACATGGTGCCCACTTGGTCAAATCCGAGCGCGAAGACGATGAGTTTAAGGAGGAGGGAGGAGGTGGTCAGATTGGCGAGAGAATTGGACGTGCTGGTTGTGACGGACGATGTGTACGATGTGTTGAGGTGGCCGGTGGAGGAGAGTGTGTCTGTGAAGGAGCTTGGCCCCCTTCCGCCGAGGATCGTGGATGTGGATAGGGTGTTGGACGGAGGACCGAAGGATCAATGGGGCAACGCACTGAGCAATGGAAGCTTTTCCAAGATCATCGCGCCGGGAATTCGCGCAAGTTGGGTGGAAAGCACACCTGCAGTGGTGGATCGAGTGATGATCATGTGAGTTCTGCTGCTTTCCAGGAAACCTGTTCGTTCAAAATAGAGCTGATCACATCCCGCAGAGGCTCTACCAGGTCTGGTGGTAACCCGGCTCACTTCAGCTCCATGTTTGTCCATCAGCTGCTTTCGACTGGCGCCCTTCAGAACCATATCGATACGGTCCTTGTTCCCACTTATCGGCGTCGCTACCATGTTCTCATGTCCGCCATTGAGGAATATCTGGTGCCGCTGGGTGTTGTTATCGATGTCGGAAAGAAATACGAAATAACCCTTGCTTCGTCAGGTCATTGTTCTGAAGAATCAGGCCCCCATTATCCCGAATCCGCTGGTGGCTTCTTCACGTATGTGATGCTTCCATCAGACCTACCGCCAGCCGGGAAGCTTGCTGCCATTGCGCGCGACAAGCATAAATGCAAGTTCGCCTTCGGTGATATGTTCAAGATTGAGGGTGACCCTGGAAGTGCGGAAAGGGCAAGGCAGAAAGGCGGCTTTGAGATGGGCATAAGGCTGTGCTGGGCATGGCTGGAGGAAGAACAGCTGGTTGAAGGCGTGAAAAGAATGGCCGAGACAATCAAAGATGTACGGAGTGAGCAGTCAGGGCGAAGGAGATAAACTATGGATGTATTACGATTAAGGCCGCTCTATTAGACTATATATGTGCCAAAATTCCATGCCGAAGATGTACTTATTTCCATTCCCTGTCCACCACAACTCTCGAATAAGACAGGGTTTCTAGGCTGTTGATCACGCCAACAACCGTTCCAGGCTCCGCCTTACACCCATCCATACCCTCCACAGGCCTTTCTCTTCCCCTCTGTCTCTCATGACGGTATCTACACATCTTACCTTCTCGAAAGGCCTTTGCTCCCTGATCTGAATCTCGCTGAACCACTCTCCGTGCAAACCATACGGAACACGTTGTGGGAGTTTGATCTTCGCGACAACATCCCGCATGCTCCTCGCATCTAGAACCCAGAGTTCGCTCACGGTATCTGTGCCGGCCTCACCGTCTTCGTTCAGCTGGTTCTCATCGAATGCGTAGAAGAGCAGGAAACCGTCATCTTCGTCAAGAGCTCTTCGCCTCGGCACAAACCGTGCTTCCTGCGCAAACCAGCCGTCAGGCATCTTGAAGCACCGCACCGGATCACTCGGATCATCAAGCTTAGCATGTTGTGCTAGTACTTGGGATACAGTCCGTCCGTCTACACAACCAGTGATTGGAGCTGGTGGGTGCTGCTGGCCACGTGCAATGAGTGTCTGCACATCTAATTTGACCAGAACATCAACTTTGGCGGCTTTGCCAAGCGCGGCACCAAAAGAAGAAGAACTAGTGCTACAGCCATAGATGTAACGAGCGAAGCGCATCGCATAACCTGGGTTGACTGTAGGGAACTCGAAGGGGACGGCGGAAAGTGCATGCTGCACGGCTATCCGCTGTGGTGAGGACCGAGAAGGAAGAATAAAGGAATAATAGTACAGACGGCATTGCTCTTCTTCATCCAACAAAGAGGAGATTGCTTCATTGTCGATAGCGTCTGCTTCTGGCCTGGGTTCGATATGAGTAAGTGGTTGGATAAGCGGCTCAGTCTCCTGGGGAGGAGACTCGAGAGCTGGCGCAGCATCAAATCCACTAGACTCTGGAAATGAAACACCGCCAACCGCGCTATCTGTATCGTCGAAGTCATATTTATCAAAGAAAGACAGCGGTTTGTTGCGTTCTTCCGCCAGCCTCTTCTTAACCTTGGGAATGGGAACGTTACCCGCGCTGTAGACAAGTGTGGCTGATGTAAGCCTGCAGGCAAGAAGATTGACTGAGTGGATATCTCCAGACTTGTCCTCGAAGTCCCAAGCATTGGCAGTGTGAAAGATGCAGCACGCCGAGGTCTCGAACCAGTGGACGTTAGATGGATCCCGTCGCGGGAACACACCGAACCGTGAGGGTGCCGTGGGGTCATATGAGACAATAGGCTTGTTCTTGACAAGATTCAGAGGATCCAGAGTCAAAGGAAGATCCATGATGACTGTGTGCTTCCGCGAAACTCCAAAGTCGTGCATCATTTTGCCACCAGAAACTCCAGAGACAGGCATATTGATTAATCTCGAGGCAGCTGGCGCGTTCCGGGTGGTATCTTTTGTAGCCGGAAGAACCGAGTAATGTATGTATGGAGGAGCAAAGGTACAGTGGTACAGGATCATCTCGTTGGTTACAGGGTCGACTTTCGGATGGCCGGTAGTCCATTCTTTCATGAAACTCAGCAGACCTTTCCCCCCGAAGCCGATCTCGTCAGTCTTCCTCTCGGGCTCTCCCTCGGCCGAGCTACCATTGAACCAACCAATGGTGTTCAAGTCAGGCAGCGAGACTCTGATAGGAGGGCCGCTCTCACACGTTGCTAATGCGCGGCCGTCGTGGTAATAGATGGCCGTGTTTGCCACGCTGATTTTCTTGACAGCTTGGCGAGAACCTGGCAAGTGCGAGAGGATGACTAGGAAGACGGTTCTCATGATCCGCAAAATGATTATCAGGAGAGAAGACAGCGGGTTAACCAGTGTCGCAATGCTCGGCAGAATCGGGAATCGCAATGCAGGATTTGACAGCGAGGAGAGCAGCAAGTCGGTCAAGACAAACTGGGCGACAAATTGAGGTTGAACCCGGCCATCTTCAGCACGCTCGAACAATACGCCGGCAAGCATGCCATCTCCATCGAACCAATGGGCATCACGGCCAAGTTCCTCGTTGGAGATGGGGTTGCCTCCATTGCGGACATACTGGCCGCCAACGAGTTCCTCGGGGATGGAGCCAGCGTAGGTGCACGGTGTCAATTGTCGTGTCTGTTTGATGGGTGCATAGTTTCCTGAAAGATATCTTTTCCGGGTCAGCTGTCAGCCCCCTCTTGGGGAAGTTGCAACGTACGGATGTTTCTTTGAGCTGCCAGCAGGCTGTGACATGTTTGCAGACATTTGCAAAAGTACAGCAGCCAAACCAGAAGGGCGCGCACAAGGTTTCAGCGGCTCACGGCGGGTGCGGCCAGCATTGAGGTGGTGCTACCGCGACGTGATGACAAAGAGCGGGCACACAGAGCAGCATGACGACGACAAGCGGGAATGGGCGGCGGGCAGCGGATAGCAGGCGCGTGGCACATGGGCATGTGAATGCTCGATGTGGACGGTGCGGTTTGGCATGCAGCTCAACGGCGGCCAAGCGGGGCAATGCGTCGCGGCTAGAGATTCGCGGCGGCGGTGATGATGTCAGAATGAGAAGCGGGAGCAGGCTGCATTCCGCCCACCGCCCGCAGCTCCGGGCGCCCCTGCCACCCCTGCCCCATCACTCTCGAACCTCGCGCCGCTTTAGCCCTTCTTGACCTGTCCTTCCGGCCGTGAATAGCGCGTTTCCGTCCGAGGCCGCTCCGGAAAAGAGAGCCGCGTGCCCGCCAAACCTCAACACCATGACGATCGCCGACTCTGCGCCCTGCCCGCCCGCAAGCAATTGACTTCCGCACCAGAGTTCGCCCCCGCCTTCGGTCCCGTACTCTGTCGCCTTCGGCCTTTCCTTGCCTCAATCTCGACTCGTCATCCTCCGGGTAATGGCCTGGTAGTACCTCGACCTCCATAGCGAGCAATGGGTTACGACTATGCCATTGTGTGAGTCTGAAGCCTGCCGTCATTCCAATTGACTTCTAACCTGCGTTCAGACATCTCAAATACACCATCCCGCCCGCGGTAGCCCTGACCTTTCTTTACCACCCGCTGCTCACCCGGCTCGATGTGTATAAAATCCTCTTCCTCGTAACTGTTAGTATGCGCCTCGCGCCATTGGCCTTTCGTCTCTGACCCACTCAGATCGCCGTTGTCTCTACCATTCCCTGGGACTCCTATCTCATACGAACCCGAGTATGGACATACCCCGCCACCGCCATCGTCGGCCCTAAGCTACTCGACATCCCCGCCGAAGAAGTTTTCTTTTTTGTCATTCAGACGTACAATACCTCTTTGCTGTATCTTCTACTCAGCAAGCCCGTCTTTTTCCCCGTATACATGCGAGCCGAAACAGAGCATTTCAAGGCGCCAAACGGAAAGAGGCCATCCTGGAAGCGGTATCAATGGGCTGGTCAAGCTGTGTTAGCCCTGGGAATTGGTCTGAGCGCGCGCTTGGTAAAGACCGGAGGTCGCGGTACATATATGGGATTGATTATACTCTGGGCATTTCCCTTCCTGCTGCTTTTGTGGTATGCTTTCACTTCTCTTCCAGAGACATTTCAGAACTGACTGGAGATAGGAGCCTTGCATATCAATTCATCATTGGAATTCCCCGGTCCAGTTCTCTTTGGCCTATTGCGGTGCCCACGTTCTACCTCTGGATTGTTGATACCCTGGCTCTGAGGCGTGGAACATGGGTCATTGAGACTGGTACCAAACTGGGCTTCCACCTGTGGCCTGGTCTGGAGGTCGAGTGGGTGCTTGCCAACAGCCTCGAGAGATACAAACTGACTTGAATTTCAGGGAAGCTTTTTTCTTTCTCGCTACAAATACCCTAATTGTCTTCGGTTTGATAGCATTCGATAATGCGCTGGCTATTCTGCACACATGTCGGCAGACTTTCCCTACCGTTCCAGCATGGCCTTCACCGGCTCTTCTAGTTCGCGCTCTGCTCAAGCCTGCATCTACCTACGACGAAGCGTATCTTCATGCTCTTCGAGAAGCTGTCGATCGACTCAGGCGCAAAAGTCGGAGTTTTTACCTTGCAAGTGGCACATTCCAAGGCCGCCTTCGGATTGATCTGATTCTCCTGTAAGCTCCTATCTTCAGAATTCAAGTACCCAGTTGCTTATATCGGTGCACAGATACTCTTTCTGCCGCGTAGCTGACGACCTTATCGACAACGCTGCAGATTCCAAGGAATCTCGGGAATGGATCCGCAAGTTACGCATGTACCTTGACCTTTCATACAAGAATATGGAGGAGAAAGCCCTACTCCAGGATTACATCGAAATCAAGTTCCCTAGTGCGGCTCAATCTGCCCTCAAGTTTCTTCCCACTTCGTACCTCTCCAGAAAGCCGCTGTACGACATGCTGGATGGATTCGAAATGGACCTTGGGTTTGCCTCAACTGACGGTGAGTCATCAAAATATCCCATTCAGACGGTCGCAGACTTGGATCTTTATGGGGAACGTGTTGCTGGCACGGTTGCACATTCGCTACTGGAACTGGTCTTCCATCATTTACCGTCAGATGCATCCACGGAGAAAAGGCAGCGACTGATTGAGGCCGGGTCGAGGATGGGCGTGGCCTTGCAATATGTAAATATCTCGCGCGACATTGCGGTCGATGCGCAGATTCAACGCGTGTACATTCCTTTGGACTGGATTGCGGAGAAGGAACTCACGCCTCCGGCCATCATCAAGAATCCTCAAGGCACGCGAGTAGAGGAGCTCCGGCTTCAACTACTCAACCGCGCTTTCTACATTTATGCGGATGCTAAGGATGCGATCGAAGAGCTTCCTGATGAAGCCAGGGGTCCAATGCGCGTGGCAGTCGAGAGCTACATGGAGATTGGGCGGGTCATCAGAGAAGAGGGTTTCAGGGTACGAGAAGGCAGGGCTACTGTCCCAAAGCGGAGGAGGATAATGGTGGCATGGAAGGCGCTCAGAAATGGCAGGACTTGACGGAAGTGGGTAATGTGTAGTGCGTGTGTTTATTTGCATCGGACCGGAGATACCCACGTTGTTAGACATAAGTATCATGCAACCATCTGACCACATTCTTTCAGAGATTTGAGAGGCTCCGGCCGCTTAACAATCACGGTGCCTAGATCCCTGCAGCGATCCTGGAGCTGGGTGGGGATGGCGCCGGTCTGTGCTTCGGGCGCGCTAGAGCGGCCAGCCAGCTCTGAGACGTCATGTCGTCGACTATAATGCTACCAGCCCCAATCGCTGTTCGTTCAAGTTTCCAGCATCAGAGAACTGTCAGCAATGGTCGAGAAGGCTCGTCAGAGGACGGCAGTCATCATCGGTTCGTAAATGCAGGCTGCCGCGCTCTCAATGGCCTTTTCGCCGGGTAGCTAACTGACTCAGGCGCCGGCGTGGGCGGCGTTGCAACCGCGGCACGTCTTGCAAAGGCCGGTTACGCTGTCACGGTTGTTGAGAAGAACGACTTCACTGGCGGACGGTGCTCGTTGATCCACCATGATGGCTATGTCCGGTTTTATGCCCCTCTCTAGAAAAGAATGCACTGACACGCGCTCCAGCGATTTGACCAAGGACCCTCGTTGCTCCTCTTGCCGAATCTCTTCGCCGAGGCATTTCATGACCTGGGCACTTCGCTTGAAACCGAGGGTGTGCATCTGACCAAATGCGATCCAAACTACAGCCTCTGGTTTGGCGACGGCCATAACTTTGAACTGTCGACCGACCTGGCCCGCATGAAGAAGCAGATTGAGAAATGGGAGGGAAAAGATGGCTTTGAGCGCTATTTGGCTTTCCTGGCCGAAGCCCACCGCCATTACGAGCTCAGTGTGACCCACGTCTTGAAGCGTAATTTCACAACGCTGCTAAGCATGGCGCGGCCAAGTTTCCTGAAGCACCTGATTGAGCTCCATCCGTTTGAAAGCATTTACAGCAGAGCAGCGAAGTACTTTTGGACCGAGAGGTTAAGACGAGTCTTCACTTTTGCCAGCATGTACATGGGCATGAGTCCTTTTGATGCTCCCGGAACCTACAGTCTGCTGCAATATACAGAACTGGCCGAAGGCATCTGGTATCCTCAGGGAGGTTTTCATAAGGTGAGCTTCATATGGGATAATGACTGATCGACCAAACTGCTAATAATAGGTAGGTCATTGCAGCGCTTGTCGAAGTCGGACAACGATTGGGCGTAGAATATCGCCTATCCACGCCCGTATCCAGCATCGCCCTCTCGCCTGACCAACGCAGAGCAACTGGCGTCGTGCTCGCCTCAGGCGAGACAATTCCCGCAGATGTCGTGGTCAACAATTCCGACCTCGTATACGCCTACAACAATCTCCTCCCACAGACCTCATACGCGCGCTCACTCTCCAAGCGACCCGCCTCGTGTAGCAGTATATCTTTCTACTGGTCACTCTCGCGCACCGTTCCCGAGCTCAAAGCTCACAATATCTTCCTCGCAGACGAGTACCGCTCAAGTTTTGACAACATCTTCAAGCATCAGCAGATCCCCGACGAGCCCTCCTTCTACGTCAATGTACCATCGCGTATCGATCCATCCGCCGCCCCGCCGGACAAAGACGCCATCATCGTCCTCGTCCCAGTCGGCCATCTCGTTCCTCCCTCGCCCTCAACTACCTCCAACTCGGCCACCCCAACCCAAGACTGGCAAAAAATGCTCGCCCTGGCCCGCACCACCGTCCTGCGCACCATCCGCGCCCGCACAGGCGCCGATATTGCCCCACTGATCGTGCACGAGCGCGTCAACACGCCAGCCGACTGGGAGGCCCGCTTCAACCTCGACCGCGGCGCAATCCTCGGCCTCAGCCATTCCTTCTTCAACGTCCTGTCCTTCCGCCCCAAGACCCGCCATCCCTCAGTCAGGGGCCTCTACTTCGTCGGCGCCAGCACCCACCCGGGCACCGGCGTCCCCATCTGCTTGGCCGGTAGCAAGATCACTGCTGAGCAGGTCATTGGGGATGACCGCGGAATGGTGCCGTGGGAAAGCAGTGGCGGCACTGTGTCTGCATCAGGGGGGAAGAAAGGGGTCGAAAAGGAGGGCATCGACCGCGTGGAAGGGGGCGGAAGCGGCGGTTTCCTGTGGTTGCTGCTTCAGATCGCGGTGCTGCTTTTGGCTGTGCTGGGCGCGTTCACGCTTGCCACGGGCGCCGCCGTTGTTGGTGGCGAAGAGGGACTGAGCAGCGAGTCTGGCGCGTGGTTGAGGCTTGGGCGGGATTGGTGAGCTTGGAGACTTTTTGACTTCGTTTTCTTAGTTGATGCGGCGATCGGCTAGTTGTCAGCCATCAGCATGTACCTACGGCTGGCTTACTCCTTGCCGCGGAATATGCATCAATATCTGTAGGTAACAGTCCGTTTAGCTTATTAGATTTAATGTTGTCTACTTGAATAATTCTACCTTGGAACAGGCGCAGCTGTAACCAGTCTCATCTTAATAACGTGAGAACTCTTTCTTCCTAAGCAGCAAATGTTGAGAAGCGGAATGTTGTGCAGACTACTCACGCCGGCCCCGGAACCCTCGGAATATCTTTCTCCAATCCGCTGCTGCCCAGACGGCTTTTCCAATCACCTGTTTCTTTTTTCTTTCCTCGCATTCCCGGCGTAGGCAACTACGCGTCCCCACTCAACATCCGTGTCTATCCTTTCACATTATCTGCAGCACGAGGCTTACGAAGCGAGGCTGCAGGAAAGCCCCATACCTGACGGACTATATTAGCAAGCACGTAATTGAGGTAGCGCGGACGGGAAGTCTAAGCGGGCGGGAGCGACAGGCAGTGGCGCCCAAAATCTCACCCAACTCAATCATAGCAGCACCAGAATATGCAAAGCGCCGTAGCTCGAGGCCAATGGCGGGAGTTTGAGTCACAATAACAGAAAATCGCCGGAATCTCGGGCTGAAATCGCGATGGCCGTTACAATTCTCCAACGGTGCTAGCCATGAAAAAGAAACGACTCAACCTTCACTCGGTCACAGAAGTCTCCAGAACTTCGGGATTTCTTTTCCCCTCGGCGGTGTCTTGCGATGGGAAAGAGCGCGTCTGCTGACATGTGCCGAAGAGGGTTAAGATCGATGACATGGGTTGATCGGGCTGGAAATCAAAATGCAGGGGTATTTGTTTGGTAAGACTTGGTCCGTTGCTCGGCTGTCTTTTGGTTCCGCACTTTTTGCTCTATGTGGAAGGGAACAGCACATGGACATGGGCGATTGGTATGCTGTCGTGCACGTTGTCCGCTCTGCCTTCCCCTCTTCTTGGCATGCAGGGAAGGGAGTGGAGTGGCCCGCCCATCGCCAAGTAGAAGCTTTCCGTTTTTTTGCCAAGTAATTGCGGGTCAATCTAGAGCCGTGAGAGTTATGATCATGGGGATCTCGTGATTAGCTCAGGGCGGCATTTGCTGATTTGTATAATGGCGGTGGTCTCAGAACGTGGTGGTTGAGGAGAACTAAGACACTGCGGTGGTAGGGATTGTCAAATGTCAGACCAAAGTGAAGCGGGGATTAAAGCGGAGGTATTATTTCCTAGCATTGCGGAGAAATACACTCATTTGACCGCTTTTGATATGTTGGTCGTCTTGCTGGTTCTGTTTCTTTTTGGTAACCTGCTAGGTTATACTGCTGCTCTGTCGAATAGACACCGTCGCCTAAGCTGAACACAATCGGGCAGTGATCTGTTCGGCCGACTAGACTCCAGAGTTTCTGGAGAAAGCCAAGAAGCTATTTTCCAGGGAATGCTCGGGCATTGTTCGGACGTGTCGAGTTGATAGAGGAACGGGAGAAAAGTGTGATGCAGAATGTGATATTGGCGATCGGGAGCAAGAAGTGCATCAGATTAATCTCGTGACAGAGATTCTGTGGTGTGATGTTCACCGAGGTGGTTAGCAAGAGTATGCTCAGAGGTGTTGGTTCGGGCGTCTCGGAAGACAGCGATCGGGGTCGAGCCGAGTTCGGCGGCATGCAGCAGTGGGTTCCCGCGGAGGACGGCACGAAGCCGGGGCAATAAGCGCGCGCCATCACCGCGGCCTCCTTCTGGCTCAGGTCTTGGTCTAGCCCGATGGACTGCGGCTGTTCTCCGCTCGCTCACTGCTGGAAACTCCTGCCGACTGCCGAATCAACGACAGCAGCGCGGCCCCGGACCTCATGCCGTCAAAAGAAATGCGGCAACGGCCCTCGGCCTCTTGATAATCGCGATATGATATCACGAGTTCAGCCATGCGATGTATGCCCAGACGCGCAGCACCGCAGCAGACGGAAAATCGCTTAAGCCGGCGGCACCGCAAATTGAGGGTACGAACAGAGGCTGCGGGCACTCGCAGCGGGACGGGTAGGACTGGGGGTCGATGTTTGCAGCGGAGGGGTTGATGGACATCATGCGACGCCGCGACAAGCACTGACTCGCGCTAGGCCGCCGATCCACAAAGCTTAGGTAGGAGCTCCCCCTGTCTAGCGCCAAATGCTCCAGAGCACCGACCACTTTGCATCATAGACGGCTCGTCACCACCATCTACATGTCTGCTCCCAATCGGCCCTCAGTATGCCGCCGACAGCCCATTCACATCTGATGCGGGTCTCGGCCCCTGCCGGATTGGAGCGCTATCACTAATTGTGTTCTGTGTTGTTGCCGCCCACCCCGGCCCAGACGCGGGAACAACGACACTGATTGATTATTGCATGAGCTGCCCGTTAAAGCGGCCATGAGACGTCATACGCGCAGTCTTCGAGCTTTGTTTTGCTCATTTTATAATCCGCTCTGTAGCTCCCCGGCCATCTTTTCCGACACTCCTCCCATCCCCAGAGATCCTCATCTTGCTCTGAGCGCGTCGACACCAGCATGAACTACTTGAACCACTTTGAGCGTCGCAATGACGCTCTGCGCACCAACCCCAACCTTGTCAATGGCAAGAGCGCTGACATTGCTATTACCACCCGCGGCTCCGACTGGTATTGGACCGTCACTGCTATCATGGCTCTGACCACCTTCATCTTCACTGGCCTGGCCCTCACTAAGCCTCGCCAGCACCGCATTTTCCACTATATCACCGCAGCCGTCACTCTGACCGCTGCTGTTGCCTACTTCTCCATGGCCTCGAATCTCGGTTGGACTCCCATTGACGTTCAGTTCCGCCGCGGCGACCACAGAGTCCGCGGCGTCAATCGCGAAATCTTCTATGTCCGCTACATTGACTGGTTTATTACCACTCCTCTTTTGCTCATGGACCTTCTCCTCACTGCTGGAATGCCCTGGCCCACGCTTCTCTGGGTTATTTTTGTCGATTGGGTCATGATTGTCACTGGTCTCGTTGGCGCGCTCGTCAGGAGTTCTTACAAGTGGGGCTATTTTGCGTTTGGTATGTGGTCTCAGTAAAGGAAAAACTGCAATGGCACACGCTAACTCTTCCTCAGGCTGCGCCTCCCTTGTTTACATTGTTTATCAGCTCGCCTGGGAAGCCCGCATCCATGCTAATCGCCTCGGTACCGACGTTGGCCGCGTCTTCCTCATGTGTGGCTCGCTCACCACCCTCCTCTGGATCTGCTACCCCATTGCTTGGGGTGTCTGCGAGGGAGGCAACATCATCGCTCCCGACTCTGAGGCTGTCTTCTATGGAATTCTCGATATTCTCGCCAAGCCTGTCTTTGGCGCTTTGCTGATCTTCGGTCACCGCAACATCGACCCTGCACGCCTTGGTCTCCGCATTCGTGACTACGACGAGGATCCTGCTGTCACTGGTGGCATGGTCGGTCATGAGAAGAAGAGCACCACCAACGGCCAAACCAATGCTGCCACCAATGGCGCCACCAATGGCGCCAACCCCTCCAACGCCGCCAACGCCGAGTCTACCCCGGCTACTACTGTCTAAAGAAGGAAGCGGTTTGAGCAACTTGTTTGCTCTCGACTGCTGGGCACCAACTTTCACGCCTTTGGCATCCATCTATGATACCAAGCGCAGCTTGCTGCAGCTCGCGTCTGCAATCGCCTTTCTTTCTGAATTCCAAGGCGTATTTACCTGCAATATGCCCGTTTCTGCCAAGACAGTTGGATTTTAATGTGAACACGATGTACGGCATGCTACGGAATCGGGAAGTAGAGGAGAATAATTTCAATAAAGTAATGGATTGACTCTCGTTAATGTACACCGGCTCCATGTACATGGTGAGTGTGTTGCAGCCCACCTCGCTGCTCTTTAGAATGGGGCTATGTAAGACTCCCCAAACACGGAGCCATTCTCAATGCTGACCCTTCTTGCTCTCCAATGTTTTACAACACGGATGTCGGTAAGCCGTTCATCCAGTTGACTGTTCGTGAAGTTTTCTCCGCTTGCCTGTTTCAATAATCCACCGTTGCCCCAGACCCCAAAATTCAAAAGACCAATGTGCTTCTCCACTTAATTTCGCGATGTGTTCCCACCACCTTAACCAAGGTGGACGCCACTGACCCCCTGGGCAAGACGGTCAACAGGGCAGTCATCCTCCACGCCATCCATTCCATCGTCGTCATCCTCTTCCACGTCGTACTCGCAGCCGGAGTACGAGTTATCCTCATCTCCAAGCTCACTGCCATCCTCGTCCGTCTCAAGCTCCCTCAGGCTTGAGCACAGCCAGTCAATCCTCGTCATCAACAGCTCCATCCTTGTCTGGCAAGCAGGGATTCCGTTCTCCTGTTCTTCTCCGGTGGTCATCCAGGCCGCCTTCACGCATGCGGTGCTCTCGTCGACGGAATCCTCGGCCCATCCGCAGAGCCTGTGCACCTTTTGGATCTTGCGCACGTCCTTTTCATCGATTTCTCCCTTCTCGAGGCTCTGGATGATGAGCTCTCCCTTGCTCTCGATGCTCTGCTGCACCGCGCGGTAGTAGCGACGCAGCGCGTCGAGCGACATGTAAATCGCTTCCGACAGGTAAACTTCGCCGAAAGCAGTAGCCGTGATGACACCGTCATTCTCATCGTGAAACGCAACGGCAGAGCGCGCGAGCTTCTTGCGGGAATATGAGAGGAGGATGCGCTGCAGTGCCATGGTCTCGGCGCAGGCGTGAATGTCGCTGGCGAAGGCCGCCTCCAGGGTGACTGAGTAGGGAAGTGGGGTGGCATTGAGCAGGGCGAAGCTGACGTCGACAGCGAAAGCGCCCATTTGTCCCGAGATGATCGCGTCCTTGGTATCATCGTGCTTCTTGTTCTGGGGGACCGGGCTACCGTCGGCTGCCGTCTTCTCACTCAGCTCAGTGGTGATGCGAATGGCGATTTCCTCAGCTGCGCGCGTCAGGTCTGACTCGACCTTAATGAAGGGCGACTTGGTGAAGTTCATGGCGTCCTCGTGACGCTTGTGGTCATGCTGGTAGTACTGCTTAGGAGCCGAGGGCATGTACTGGACGTTGAGAAGGCGAGAGCCCGTTGTGTTGGCCTCAGCTTCGCTCATCGTGTGGTCATCCATGATATTCTCATCCGAGAAGTATTCGTCGATCGACAAAGGCGCAAGGACCTGCAGCGGCTGCGAAATTGAGAGTGACTCGATAGCCAAGGCGACGTCGAACTGGTCGCCTGTGAGGAGGTTCATGGCGCGCGCCTTCTCGTTGGTAGAGGCTACGGTATTGCAAGCAGAGCCGTCATGGAAAGCGGCCATCGTGTTTTCACGGTCAAGTCCGAGTTGTCCGTAATCGGAATCCATGGTGCAAGGTCTCAATGTCGTCGACAAAGCTGTGTTGTTGCGAAGGTGCGATTGCAAGGTCGGATACGGTGGAAGAAGAAGAAGAAGAAGAAGAGCTGTAAGGAGAGGAAGAGGAAAGCTGTTGAGAGAGAGAAAAGGAAGCTGTTGGGAGAGGAAGAAAAGCAGAGGCTGGAGGAGGTGAAGTGAGCTTTCACACCTGGTCTTGGCACCGTGCTTTCTGCCTGGCTGGCCGCCATGGAGTTCGACGAGCGGAAGTGAGATCCAATAACCACAAACAGATAACCAATCACAGCAGGGCTATTGCTAACAAGGACTTCTGCCTCCATGGCCGTGGTAGCATATTACACTCTCAATCTTGCAAAGCAGAAAGACAATTGATGCTACCTCGTAAAACCACTTGTGTTGAAATACCTCATAAATGTGCTCCACCAAGACTTTCCTGATTGAGCACCATCGCAGTAAGTTTCCTTGGCTTATAGAAGGCCGGGCCGCCTTTGTCTGAAAACAGGCGGTCAGCTGCTGTGTCTGTGCTACGATGCTTATAACGCCCCTCAAATCAACAAAACCCTCACAAAGCAAGTAGGGAATCGTTTCGTTGATAGTTTGCGAGCATGTTTTCTCACACGCGACCATATAGAGACGCCTTCCGAAAGGCCTCCGCTGGCTGTGAGCAATATCTATCAGAAACCGTTAAAAGTAAGGGTTTCTACAGGATTCAATGCCGCCCATACAGGCAGCTTGCCACCATGCTACTTGCTAAGAGCTCATTTGACGGACAGTGATTCAGTCCAGTTTCCAAACGAACGAGAATCATTGACAGCGCACGATATGGGGCGTAACTACAACAACTGGCTGATAGAACGCAGACTTGAATCAGTGTTTTCCTTAGACGATGATTGAACAACTCGCCAAGTACGATCAACCCATGATTGTCGTAGATATAAGTTGCGAACAGGAAGTGTCTAGATATCCACGAGAAAAGCGTTCCGATCCTAAAAGGGATCATCATCTAGAAAGTTATCTTTCTTTTGTAAATCGCTGTACTAGTTCTGCGGAGTTTTCGCACGAGATTATTGAACCCGACTTTAAAACAGCAGCAACAATTCGTCATGAATATTAATCCCTAAGCAAAATTTTACGCGGTTCATCTCTCATGGTGCTTCGTAAATGTTCTGCGGCTTGCCCAGTAGTCCTCAGTCCACGCCTTGCAGTTTTGTCAAACGCTCCACAATACCGTCCACGCGGTGATCCCCCGCCATTATTGCCCTCTCAATCGCCCTTGCTCGCCCGGTCCCATCCGAATTCCTCGCCACTACCTTCTCAACGATTCCTCTCTTCGACAGCAGAACCCGCGCTGTACTTGAATCTTCCCAACTGATCTCAATCTCCTTTGCGCTCACATCCAACGCTCTGATACAGACGATTCCCGCTTTCCCCCGCTTTCTCTTCATAGACACACTCTCAACGTCTTCCGGCAATCCCGCGTCTTTCCTCAACTTGGTGACCATATCTAAGCGCAAGTGGTGAGAAACTAGTTCCTGCCGAAGCTCCCGTACGAGACGATGGAGGTCCTGGAGCTGGTCCTGCTGTGGGAGATATTTCATTGCAAAACTTCGTAACGGAATGCACGGCGGAATGGTGTGCTTGTGAATACGAAGGGTTTCGCTTTCTGAAGATGGCCGGTTCAAGAGCAGGAAGTAAGGAACAGCGAATCGTCCCTTCACAGAGACCTCGATGCGCACGCCAAGAATCCGGCCGTTGTCAACCGCGTAAGGGTCAGGGTCTTTGACGCGGAACGCAGTGACGCCGGCGCAGGTGCGGTGCAGGTTCTCCAAATTATGCCTCTGCTGCTTTTCGACAATGGCCAAGGCATTTGCTGCGGAAGGGTGAGATCTGGTGTTGGCGCGCTGGATGCGCGCGAGGGTGTTCTGAGAAGAAAGAAGCGTGGAGGAGAGGACGGAACGACGGTGCTCGAGAGACTCGACTGCGGTGTGTTAGATTATGCGACACTGGGACTGCAGCGGAGAAGCGCACTCTGCTGGCGCATGCGCGCGATGTCGCTATCGAGCGGGGAATCCGGCGCAGGCGATGCTGCCATGTTGCTGGTAGAGTGAGTCGGCGGCGACGTCGTATAGCAGCTGCGACAGCGAGTCCTTGTGGATGAAATGATGGATGTTGACAGCCCAGGCGACGATGGCGAACAGAAAGGCAGTCCAGGCGATGACGGCGATGAACAGCGACGCGAGCGAGGGCGTGCGGTGCGCCGGGCTCGGGGCGAAGACGCGCAGGCCGTCGCGAAACCCCGTGCTCATCTTGGCGCGCTGCGACCGGCGGGATGCTCGTGAAACGCGACGTCTGCGGACGCCTGGATTACGCTGCGACAAGCTTCACGGGGTGCGCGGGGAGCCCGCTGCGTTCTTTTTATCTTCAGCTTTTTTGCCAGTCTCCTGACGACCTGCGCTGAACAGACGGTGAACAGCGCACTTTTTTTCACCGCCACCCTTGCGCCCAGCCAGATCTTGCTGAGATCCGCACCTGCGCGCGGCGCGGCGGAGTTCCCCCCCGTACTGGCCACGTTCCGCTTCTGGATACATCATCGCCGACCCGACACTAGAGTTTCCACCACCTAGCCCAACCAATTACCGCTACATGGATGCCTACCACACCAGGCGACTCTCGTCCTCCTCCATCCGTTCCCTTGGTTCCTTCCATCTCTGACACGGCAAACGTCCCGCCCACCTACCGACAGCACGTAAAGCACCGCCGCGGAGCATCGCAGCAAAGCCTCGAGCTCCAAGACCTTCCTTCGAATTCTTCTTCAGCCGCCGCCTCATACGTCCCGCGCATCCGTTCCCACCACGCCCTTGAAACCAATACTCTCCTTGCATCCGACGAATCCGACCTTGATTCGCCCACCGAAGCGCTCATGTCAAAGAGGAAGGGCAGGTCGCCGAATCCTCGAGCTGCTGCCGCGCGCGGCGACTCCATAGACTCGAACCGCAGTAACGGCCACGCCACTGGCGCTATGGATAGCATGCTTGGGCAGCGCCGGAAGCATCTGGGCCCAGACAGCCCTTCCACCGCTTCGCAGGCGTCGCACTTGATGAGCCGGGACAGCTTCACCTTGGACGATGATCCCATGCAGGCAATGACCCACGATGAGGACGGTTCGTCGAAGGGATTCAGCGAACTCCCCAAAAAGGACCAAAGAAACTTTCTCCTCTTGGTTCTGCTCTACTTCCTTCAGGGTGTGCCAATGGGTCTCGCCGGTGGCTCTGTGCCCTTTTTGCTGAAAGCCCACCTTTCATACAGTCAGATTGGTGTCTTCTCGCTCGCTTCATACCCTTACTCGCTCAAACTTCTCTGGAGCCCCATCGTGGACGCGATCTGGACCCCCAAAGTCGGCAGGAGGAAGAGCTGGATCCTGCCGATTCAGACATTGTCCGGCTTTGGGATGCTCTGGCTTGGCGCTCGCGCCGAGCAAATGATGACTGATGCCGGCGCAGATGGAGGCGCGGGAATCTGGGGATTCACCTGGTGGTGGTTCTTCCTGGTCTTCATGTGCGCCACCCAAGATATCGCTGTCGACGGTATGCATACACCAATCCACTCTGTTGATCAGAACGTCACTAATAAACCTCAGGCTGGGCTCTCACACTCCTTTCTCCCGAAAACCTTGCGTACGCCTCGACTGCCCAAACTGTTGGCCTGACTGCCGGTCAGTTCTTGTCTTACACGGTTTTCCTTGCCTTCAACTCGCCCGATTTTGCAAACAAGTGGTTCCGCGCAACACCCAAGCCTGAGGGTGTCATGACCCTTGGAGGCTACTTGACTTTCTGGGGCTGGGCGTATCTGGCCGTAACCTTGGCCCTTGCGTTGATGAAGCGCGAGGAGAGGACCAAGAACAACGACGGAATAGCCGAGGTCTACAAGGTCATGGGCGGTATTCTGAAGCTCAAGAACATCCAGACCTTCATTATTATTCACTTGATTGCCAAGATTGGCTTCCAGGCAAATGACGCCGTCACCAACCTCAAGCTCCTGGACAAGGGTTTTAGCCAAGAGGACATGGCCCTTACCGTCTTGATCGACTTTCCTTTCGAACTCTCCCTAGGCTATTACGCAGGAAAATGGTCCCAGGAGTACCCGCCGATGCAACTCTGGTGCTGGGCCTTTGTCGGCCGTCTGGCGGCAGCGGCGTTTGCGCAGTTTGTCGTCATGATTTTCCCCGAAGGCGGCGTGACAACATGGTACTTGCTTACTGTGATTGTTGAGCATGTGTTCTCGACCTTCATGAGTACAGTAATGTTTGTCGCGATATCGGCTTTCCACGCCAAGATTGCGGATCCGGTCATCGGTGGCACCTACATGACCCTTCTTGCCACGTGAGTGAACCCTGCTTACCCTATCCGTCTACTCCACGATTGCGTGTGCTGATCAAACAATCCTGCAGTGTTTCAAATCTAGGCGGCACATTCCCGCGCTTTTTCATCCTCAAGTTCGTCGACTTCTTCACAGTCGCAACGTGTGTTCCGCCGGAGCATCCACCCGCAGAACTCAAGGGCGACCTTGTCACCTCGGCGTTCTCTTGCGCGCTGGAAGCCGACAAGCACCGTTGCGTGGACGGCGGTGGCGCATGCAACATAGAGCACGATGGTTACTACATCGTCAACGTGCTCTGTATCATCGTTGGCCTCGTGACGTTCTGGGGTTTCATCAAGCCAGCGGCACTCAAGCTGCAGGCTCTGCCACTCAGGGCATGGAGGCTGGCGGGTGCTAGCTAGCTAGGGGAGAAGTCTTGTTGATATCTTTAGATAGAATACTTCCAGAATGGAATTCTTTTCGCGAAAGCGCCAGCTCGGGAAATACTGCCTGCTTTCAGAAACAATTGGCATGATCAGGAGAGCCGCTGTCAACGTCAGTCGATGCCCTCTTGCTGACTTTCCCAACTCGGCAAGAGTTAACGCCTTTGGGCCGTCTATAAAGCTTAACCAGCAGCCGCGGCCAGGGCTCCAGAGACGGCTGGATCATCAAATGCCAATAGTCAAAGCACGTAGGCTGTAAGGTGATACATGCGGCAGCTACAATCGGGTGAATAAGGGCGTCTCTGTCGTGATGGCGCAATGCGGTTCCCCAGGGCCGCTCCAGGAAGGCGCCGATCATCTCCGCGCACGTAAGGACGAGGCGGTAGCACGCGTCGCAGCTGGCAGTGTCACTGGCCATAGCTCCTGACCAAGCGGGCCCACAAGGAGTGCGGGAGTCAAGGTGCCTCGAGCAACGCCGGAAGAGCCTTTCCGCAACTGCACTTGGCGGGCGAGGGACACAGGGCGGCGGTGTTGCGGCGTAAGACGGAAGGGCGAGCAGTCAGCGTGCAGCCGACATCGCGGGGAGCGGCGGCGATGACGCGCGTGGAGCAGGCGGTCTGGTGTAGCAGACGAGCGGCCAGCGGTTAGAAGGTGCCAGAACACAGCCGTCAGTCGGCGAGATACGTGCGCGAAAGGGTGGGCAAACCCGACGTCAAGCGGGCCGATACCACTCGAACAGTAAAGCCGACCCACAATTACATATCGGCTTCGATTACGGCGGCTGCGGCTTGCTGAAGTAATGCAGAGGTTCTGGAATTGCATGGCCGGTATATATCGAGTTTGCTTGTTGCCACGCCTAGATGAGATAGCCGCACGCATTCTGTTGTCATCTGCCGGTCTCGGACTTTTTTTGCCTTAAGGTTGGTGGCCAGCATCCCCCAGGCACGTTTTCCGTTCGGCACGCCGCGACGGGACCATCTGCTGATACAAAGCCCGCGCCCTTTGCTCCGCACTTTCTCTTTTGCTTCCAACTCACTGCCTTGCTCCCCACCACCCCCAGCTAACACGTCTTCTGCCAATTCCGCAGCCTCCGTTCTTGATACCCTCATCTTCCCATCCAAAACCATCACCATGTCTTCCGGCAGCGCCCGCGTTCAGCACCCCGCTCCCGACTTCAAGGTCACCGCCGTCGTTGACGGTGCCTTCGAGGGTAAGTCCGCGTCCAGTCCACCAGCAAGCGTGCTCCCAATTGTCTGACCCGCCTGCATCGCATAGAGATCAGCCTCTCCGACTACACCTCCAAGGGCCAATGGCTCGTCCTTGCCTTCATTCCCATGGCCTGGACCTTCGTCTGCCCCACTGAGATCATCGCCTTCAGCGATGCCGTCCAGCAGTTCAACCAGCGTGGCGTCTCGGTCGCTTTCGCCTCGACCGACTCCGAGTACAGCCTGCTCGCGTGGAGCACCGTTGCCCGCAAGGACGGCGGTCTCGGCGGCATCAACATCCCTCTGATCAGCGACAAGAACCACAAGCTCAGCAAGGACTACGGTGTCCTGATCGAGGACGCTGGCGTTGCCCTCCGTGGCCTCTTCATCATCGACCCCAAGGGCGTTGTCCGCCAGGTACGTAGACCGATTGGCTTGGTGTAGCCGCAATGCAGGCGCATGTTCCACTTGCACGCAGGGCATGGAGCTGACGATTCACCCTTGCAGATCACCATCAACGACCTTCCCGTCGGCCGCAGCGTTGACGAGGCCATCCGTCTCATCGACGCCTTCCAGTTCACCGAGAAGTACGGCGAGGTCTGCCCTGCCAACTGGAACCCCGGCCAGGACACCATCAAGGCCGACCCCGTTGGCCAGAAGGCCTACCTCGACAAGAAGTACGGCGGTGATGCCATGACCCAGTAAACGTCTTTCCTTCTACGAGTAACCAAAAAGGCATGCAAAACAAAAGGCGTGCATGACGGATGACATGGCGCATGGGTGGATATCGGTAGCTGCAGCCAAGCAGTTGGTTCAGCGTTTTGGCTCTCATAGATCGTACCAGTGCGTCTGCGGTTTTGGGGCGGCCCGAGCTACTCATAGCGGTTTCTTTACAGCGGATACCTCTGCGTAGACATAGACCACAATACCACTTCTTGTTTTTCCACGTGCTTGGTTGATGATTGCCGTGAGGGGCGACCCGGCAAGTTTTCGTGGTTGACGCAAAGGGCCCGCAAGAATAAACTTTGGTAACCGAGAGGACCTTTGTTCCCGATACAAATCGACCTGACGGGACACGGCGCTAGTTCCACGCGGTTCTGACGTTTGTCCAAAAACGTTCATCAGAAACATGCTAGGAAGGAAGAGGGTCGGCTGACAGAACGGGCGGGCTCGCTACGACGGTCTGTGTTCGCCTTTGGCGGGCCAAGTCTATCACAACCTCAACCCGCCGCCCCCCTCCGACCCACTTAAAAATCAGACTTCGCACAATGAAATGGAACCGAGAATCCAGTCACTTCTTCTCGACGACAATTTTACCATAGACAACCAGCTGCCATTTCCTCTGGGCGCTTTCACCCAACAACATCAGGCCCAGCATCCTCACGGCCATCACAGCCTTCAGCATGGCTCAAGGCCCGCCCCCGTAGAGCCCAGCGCTCCCCGCCCAGCGAATTTCTCACTCCACGACATTTACAATCCAAACGCAAAGGACTCGCATCGCCATGCCGCCTTCGCAGGCCGGCGGCTGTCCGCCAGGCCCCGCCCGCCACCCTCGCCCCCATCGACCTCCTTAGTGCACGAGCAGCACGCCCAGCACCATCACGCCGCCGCCTCCTCGTCGGCGTCAGCTGCACGCCCGCCCAAGTCTGTGCCGCTAGCCGAGGTGCTAAATGGCAGCGAGCAGACATCGTCGGGCTTCAGCGGGTCGGTCAACGAGCTGTTGCTCGACAACAGCAGCAGCGCTTCGGGCAGCAAAAAGCGGCGCAAGGTCGACGGCGTAGGCGTTGTCGTCAGCGATCAGAATGTCTTCACGCTACCCAAGCCAACACTACCTATCAAGAAAGGTACGCGCCGCCCGCGCATCCCGCCACTGCTGCAGGGCTTGCACCAGCCCCCTCCCAACGCAGGCCTGTTCCCGCCGATTACGGGCGAGAGAGTTACGAGGGAGGGTTGCCCACCGCCCCCGCCACCGCCTTCAGCGACGACGGAAAACACGACAGTGCAGCAGCAGAACCAGAAATCGGCGTCAACTCCGGCGCCTCAGGTGGAGCCGAGGCCGGTGGAGAAGACGGCACCCCCTGAGCCTAAAGGGTTGAGCCCCGGTCGAGATTCAGGGAAGGAGCCGGAGAAAAGCTTGGCCTCTGGGCCTGCCGCTGCACTCAGCGCCACAATCTCGACCAAATCCCAGAAGCCGGAGACGGGCAAGAGGCGGAAAAAGTGGACGGAGGAGGAAACTACTACTTTATTGAAGGGAGTCGCAAGGTTCGGCATCGGGAATTGGAAGAAGATCATGGATTGCCCTGACTTCTCGTTCGATGGGAGAACGGCCGTGGACCTGAAAGATCGGTTCAGGACGTGCTGCCCGGATGAGTATCGGAAGATGAAGACACCCAAGACTGCTGGCGCGGAGCAAACTGCTACAGCTGGTGCGACTGAAGCGTCCACTGCAGACACTGCATCCAGCAAGCAAGTCTCTAGTCTGGTCACATCCAACATCTTACTGCCCGGTCCGTCTAATAGCACTACGAAAAAGAAACGCGGTCCGAAAGTCCATCGGAAGGATTCGCGAGACCTGGCTTCTATCGGCATAGAAGCACCGTTTACGAAGTCGACCCGAAGGGAGCGCCGAGAATTCACAGACCAGGAAGATGCGGCGCTATTGCGTGGCTTTGAGAAACATGGGCCTCACTGGCATATCATTCGCAACGACCCAGATCTTGAACTAACCCATAGGCACCCTACAGATCTGCGTGATCGCCTCCGGAACAGATGGCCGGAGAAGTATGCCGAAGCAGGCTATAAGATCAAATTGAAGGAGAAGAATAACAAGCAGGAGAACCAAGATGATGGCGGCACCGACCCCTCCACTACCGAATCTTCCAAAGACAAGGAGCCCACCAAGAAGGCATCTCTACAACAAGATGACAATGCTGCGCTCACTGCGAGTATGCCGTCGCACGTAAACCCAAACGCCATGACCCGGCCAAAGGCGCCTGATCTGAAAGCGCTTCTCTCGAACTATCCGTTCCCGGATCCATTTACGGGAGACGATGACTTCACCTCAGATCTTCCTTTCGAGGGCGAATGCAGCCCGGTGATTTTGAGCAGGGACATCTTCTCGTATGCCCAGGGTCAACCCAGCGCTTTCGATTTGTCTGCCAACACCCATGTCGATCACAGCCACATAAACCCCCTGGATACACTCAAGATTCCAAGAATGTCCAGCTCAGCTCAGCAGTCGCATCCAAATGCGAGCCTGCCCCCTCTCTGGCTTTCTGCTCCTCTTACTGCCGGCCTTTCCTCGAGTGCTGGGCCCAGTATGCTGCCAGTATCATCATCAGCATCGGCGTCGAGAAGCATTGCCACAGCTCCCAGCACAAGCACAGCTGGAGGTAATAACAGTGGAACAGTCAATCTTCCTGGCCCGGCTGATCTACTAATGGGACTGGACCTTGACAGCAAGAATGACGGCCATACTTCGAACTTCCTCTGGGACGATGGTCCTCGACCACTGTTTGAATGATACTTTTGGCGACGAGGAGGAGTGGACGCGAGAGGTGTTTCCTCTCACGGCTAGGTGTGTGTGAAAAAGGCGTTCTGGTTTGCATGTTGTTACCTGAACGCAGTCTACATCCGCCTTACAAGTCGCGCTCCCAGCTTTCTTTTTTCTTCTCTTCTCCCTGCGCTGTTGCAGTGACACCGTTTTTTGTCCTACTTCGTCTATTGCGTGATACCCTCAGCGTACAAAGCGTTTGTTTACATGACACCCTCCTCAGTATCCGTGTCTCCCTAACGCAGTGGGAGATTCGTTTGTCACTGGAGGAAGAGCAAAACCCATCGTGCCAACCTTTCTTCGTATTTGACCAAATGCTGGAGTTTCCTTCAAAGCTATCTCCCTTGGAGGAAACTGGCTGGCGCGGTGGGACATATATACCGGTGAAAAGTTCGTCTTTCGAGCCGAACAAGTTGCAATCAATATATTCTCAGGAATGCTTCTATCGCAGTCACCTTCCTATCCTGATGACCACGTCATGTTGCAAACTTACTACTCTCTCCCACGCATGCCCAGAGTTGATGGGCCACTACGCGAGAAGACTATATGCGCCTGTTGCAAGTATAGTAGGTCTATGGCTTAGCGAAGCTGATTCGTGGCTGGAAGTTCTTCCACTCGTATTTTGGCTACCGAGTTAATGCCCCCGTCCTCTTTGCGTGACGCGCCCCACCGCCTTAGCTCGCCTAGCGTCTCACAATCGCAGCGTGCGTTAAGACGAGGGCTCGGCTAGGCATAAGATGCAATAGTCTGCGCACGCTTTAGGCATTTGTGGATTCCTGCGAGGGAGTAGCTGTTTCGCCGTGATGATTGCGATGTTGGAAGTTCCGGGCTGATATTCTAGTTGCAGAGACGTGCAGATGTTCTTTCAGAAGCTGGTGGTTAAAACACAGGAAGTTTCTATTCATGTGATAACGCTCTTATTAAGCATCCTGCTGCCCAAACCTGGGTTGCCTGCAGCATCCGGGTGTGCTAGGAATTTCTGACTTTGAAATGAGCGCAACATATCAACAAGTCGGTCTCATCGACCGCTTGCTGACGTGGATGCTTGCTCAGCTCCACGGGTGCCGGGTGACTGGCACTTACACAGGGTCCAGAGGTCCAGAGCCGCAGGGCATCAACCTCGGAACCGCGTGCTATCTGCCTCAGCCATTGAACCCAATATGATACTGCAGAAAACTTACGAAGCTGAATTCCGCCCTCGCATGTGCTGCAATCCGTGGCCCATTCCACAGCAGCAAGGGCAGAGCACCTCCTCACCTCGCGCCGCAACAAGCACCGCTAGCCCGGGCATCCCCCGACGGGCATGCACCATCCGCGAGGGACGTCATTCGCCGGCGACGACGCGTCTGCGCTGCTGCGCGCGACCTCCCTTTCCTCGAACCAAATGTCTCCCACAACACCCTCATCCCTCGACAACGACGATGACGACGACCACCGCGGCGGCCGGGCCCAGCGCGTCTCCCTTTCCACACCGCGCGCCGCCACGATAGCCAATGGCGAAGACGTGTCTCCGACCTCCTCCGCTCCGCAGCAACCGCCCGCAACCGCCGCAAACTCTCCGCCTACCGCTGCAACGACCGCGCACCACTCTCCTTCCACCTCGACGACGACGGCCAGCCACAAGTCCCACCACCACAAATCCTCCTCCCGATCGCACCGCTCGCAGCACGGCAGCCACAGCCACCATCACCACAATTACCCGTCCACTGCGGGCAAGCCCGACCCTTCGCGCCTCGCGCCCGAAGACGCTATTTTCCCGCCTCCGCCGCGGATATCCCCACAGGCTGCGGCGTCGCGCCGGGCGCTGGTGCGCTCGTTCGAGGGAGAGGCGGAGGCGGAGCAGCACCAGCAGCGGCAGCAGCAGCAGCACCAGCAGCTGGTCGTGCCAGGCGAGAGCGGCGCGAATAGCAGCACTGCCAGCGGGAGTGGTGGTACCGGTGGCGGTGGCGGTGGTGGAGGCGGGAGCAGTGGCGGTAATGCTGGCGGGAGTGGAGGAGGAAGCGAGTCGTCCTCGGCGGCTGGTCGGATCATGGAGCAGCGGCGGAAGCGCGAGAGAGAAAGGGGGAGAAGCGGGAGCAGGCGGAGGAAAGGCGCATGGAAAAAGCTGCTGTGGGTGAAGCAGTCGTGTGAGTGTCTCCTATGGTTGTGCGCTGCGGAGGGTCGATGGCTCTCATGCATTCATGCAGTTCTGCACCTCTGATGTCTGCTTTCGGGGGGATGTAGCCGAATGCTAATATGCTACGAAATACAGATCCGGATAACTACACAGACGAGGAAACTTTCCTTGATCATCTCCAGCGGAACCCGCGTCTCCAGCCATACGAGTTCTGGCCATTGGTCGGAGATTCAACAGTCATTGTACAACACGTAATGTCTGTGGCCGTATGGATATCATGCTTCTCTGGCATCGTGCAGGAGCGTGTTACTCCCTTTATAGTGGTCTGCGCTGGCAGTGCGCTGACGGTCCTCGGCTGGCTTCTTTGGGACTACTGGGTCTCGCAGGAAGAAGACGTGGAGATGACAGCCAAGGTGGCAGCACATGCGATAGCGGCGGCTGAAGCTGCGAAAAACGAGGGGATGCCCGCGGAAGAGGCAACAAGCAGCGCGAGTTCTGCCAGCTCTGCCGTTGCAGCAGGACAGGGGAGCTCGGGCCTGGGTCTGCTGGCTCCCACCGCGAATGCTCCTGGCGCTAGGACAGCTCATTCCAGAGGCGGAAGTTTGGCATCAGTTGTTTCCAATGGCTCAGCAGTGTCGGCCATCTCGACGGGCCATCCTACCGGCGACCCGACGTTTGCAACAGCGTACCAGCCGCCGCACGGAGAGCCAATGTCACCACGAAATCAGAGGCGCTGGGCTACAATCAAGTCCGCCGTGCTGATTTACTGTGTGCTGCTTGGATTGAGTCCAATCCTCAAGTCCCTGACGAAGTCAACAACAAGCGACTCCATCTGGGCTATGACTAGCTTTTTGACGATCATCAACATCTCTTTCTTCGACTATGGTGGCGGAGTAGGTGCAAAGTAAGTTGATTCATTTCCGTCCGATTTCCTCTAGAACGTCTATACCGAAACCCATAATCATCTATGTCTATAACGGTCGTCTACATCTGTTCTGCGGGTATAAACAAAAAGTGCAACAAAGATACAACCGAAAGGCTAACAAAAAAATCCTCGCAGATTTCCAGCATCTCTATCCACCAATGCCGCAATCATGGCGGCAACGGTGCTGGCGTCGCGGCTCGAATCAACGACCGACGTCTTCTCCTTCATGCTCTTCTCAATTGAAGTGTTCGGGCTCTTCCCAGTCTTTCGAAGACATCTGCGGCACGTATCATGGCGCGGACACCTCTTCCTCGCAATCTTCCTGGTCATGAGCGCGGGAGCGGGTTTCAGCATGGCCATTACAGGCGGGGGCCTGAGGGCAGCCATAACCGGCGCAGTCCTGGGCAGCATTCTGACAGGGCTCGTCATGGGCATCTGTAGCTGGTGGCTCATCGGCTTGCAGAAATACAAGAACGAGATCCACGGGCCGTGGGATCCAGCGCGGCCAATTATACGTAGAAGTTGGGATTGAGGCTGCGGGTCGACGAGGCGAACCACAGGGGGTCCTTCCGGCGGGAGTATTCCTCGAAGGTACAAGCGCCACTGGCGGGCCAGGGGTCCGAGGCGCTGTGGCGGACGGCGAGATCAAGCTTTTTCTCGCCATGGTGGTTGCCACCGGATCCCCGCATCTTCTTAGATAGATGAGCCAACGACACAACTTCCAGCGCAATGTTACCCTCGCCATCGCGCTCCCAGCGCACGACCTTGCCCTGGTCCCCTTCTTCCACCGTCTTGCCATCCTTGACCGCCGAACCCCTCACCGTGCCCCACATGCGCTCCACAACGCCTTCAGTAGTCACCTCGTCCGTGCCCACATAGTAAGCCGGATCCCACGGCTCGCGGCGCTCCATGGCCGTGCCTGCGGCGTAGCAGCCCTTGAGCACGACGCGCTCCAGCCCATCAACGTTGTGTAGCAGGCGACGGAGTATGTCCCAAAGGTGGCGGCGGCTGAGGCGGGCACGGGGCCAGGCGCTGAAGTCGAGGCGGAGGACCTTGAGGCCGGGGGCGTCGACGCGTAGGGAGCCGAGCTGGGCGGTGGAGGTAGGGCGCCAGGACAGGTACTGCGGCCACTCGCGGTTGATGTGGGCGCGGGGGTCCTCGGGGGCGGGGAGGGGCGAGGGGGAGATGTCACGGACGTCGACCTCGACGTCGTGCACGCGGGCACGGAGCCAGGGCGGCAGCGAGAGCAGGAAGGTCTGGCAGTGGGTGACGGAGGTGAAGCGGAAGGTGTTGCGGGCGTACAGCAGCGAGACGGGGGCCTCGGCGTGGATCAGCGCACAGGTACGCAGCAGGGCGGTCCCCAGGGCGGGGATATTGTGGTGCGGGGTCTGCGGCAGCGGGGTGTAGGCCGCGAGCATTGGGTCCGTCTTCTCCTTGGTGGGCGACGACTTTGGCGGTGCGGCGGCGAGCGAGTTGGCGTCGGTGATGGGTAGGTCGGTGGTCAGCGCGAAGGTGTAGATCCGGTTGCGGATCTCGCCCGGCAGGGAGAGGAAGGAGGTCGGCATGGTCGTGATCTGTTTGTCTGTTTATGGGTGTGTTGGATGGCAGTCTTCAAGACCGCGGAAGACGCGTTGGGGTGTCGAATGAAAGTTGATTCTTGGCAAGGAAAGAACGTAAGGAAACAACGGAGACAGGAAAGGGCGGGCGTTTTATCAATTCAGGACGTAGACATGGATACAGGCCTCCGCACGTATGGCGTCTGGTGGGGCCAGCCGAGACGGGTTGGGTGGTGTGAAATGGGGTGCAATGATGCTCGGACAGCGGAGCGCGTCTTTTTTAATCAGTCCAGGGAGCGCGGAACATCTGACTACTGGTGAGCTTCAGGGTCCTGCAGGGCCGCCTCGAATCCCTCCCATTCCGAGCAGCAGAGCTCCACATGCAACAGCTCTCGCATGCCCGATGCAGCAATGGGTGCGTCAAAAAGGCCGCTCGGCCCGCACTAGCACAGCGAATGGGCGGCCCTCTCGTGCGAAAATCGCCCACCAAGCCGCCGATGCCATTTCCCGCCGCGACGCCGGGGGCGAAGGGTTCTGCTTAGGCGTTCGCTGGGGGCAGCCGGGTCCGAAAAAATGTCGTTCGACCACCCGCATCCCGTTTGGCGTGGTCGGGAAGGCGGTGAATTTGGCCAAAGCTCGCCTGCGCTCGTTGGGACGCGCAGGCGCGCCATTCTCACGCTGAGGCCCGGTTTTCTGCCATCGCAGACCCGTGTCGCTGCCCGCCACGGGGCAAAGGCCGCCGCGCGCTGCAGCAATGCGCCATTTGTCGCTCTCGCGCTGCGCGCGAGTGGAGAGCTACTGATGGTCGCTGGTCGGATGACGGCCCAAGTTTCAGCGGTCCAGGGGTGTTGTGGGGGAGCGGTGCACCATAAGGTTAAGACGCCCGCCCACGCATCTCTGTCCTCTGCTGATCGCATCGTCATCTTGCTGCTCCCCCGCGCTACCTGCCTCCGCCGGACCCTCCCGCCGTCTGTCCGTACTGTCGCGCACTTGCCGCTTTCGCGCCGGTTCAAGCACCATGTGCCGCGCGAGGCCATTGGGGGCCGAAGACGCGGCTCTGAGCGCGTGTGACTGCGGCTGGCGCCAGCCATCGCATTTCTCACGCGCCCAAACTAGATCTCTGTAGCACCGCGCTCGCCCGCGACTCACCCGGCAGGACAGTATTCGTGCTGACGTGCATCGTACCCTTCCAAGACAGCCAGCCTTGTCGCGGCGCCACAGTTCCGCGGCCTATCATGTCGCTGCACCCCGGCGACCACCGCTCCTCGCGCTCGCGCAGCAAGTCACCAGGGCGCGCGCGCGAGAGGTCCAGGTCGCGCAGCCGCGTCGACGAGGGCCCAGCGTTCGCGACTGACCCCAGGCTGACCAACAGCTATGCCGACGCCCAGTCGACCCCGCAGTACGAAATCAGGCAGCCGGGCCTCTCGTCCTACGCGACGCCTTCCTACTATCTCACCAGCCCAGCAGAACACCAGCGCCAGCGACCGCACCCAGAGATGGAGGGCTATACAATGGGGGGTTATACCGACCTCCCCCCGCACGAGCGCCCTGGCTATATCTCTCCAACTGCAGCCGGAGCGCAGCAACAGCAGTGGAATTACACGGCGACTCCGATAAACAATGCTCCTCCGCAGCAACCGCTAAGAACTCCAGGAGGCTATCAGCAGCAGCCCTCTGGCTATCAGTACGCGCAGCCGGGAGGATTAAAGTACACAGCACAGCCGATCACTTCTCAGTCTGCCCAGCAATACCCTCCTACATCTTCGGCTGCCCCGAGATACACGTCCTCTTCTGTCACTTCACCCACGCAAAATGTCACCGCCATGCCCCTACCGCAGCAGTTCTTCCCTCCTCCGCCCCCAGGCCCTCCGCCGTCGAAGAAGGCCGAAAAATATGATCCGAATCTAGCCTACGGGGCTGATAACGCGCGCATCGTCGAGGTGAAGCCTGGGGGAGCCAAGTATGGCGCGCCTCCCTCACCGGGATTGGCACCGCGTATGGACAAGCTCACCGTTGGCGGAAACAGGCCCACTTTGCAACCCATCATGCCCGGTGCATTTCCTGGAAGTGAAGGCGGCATGGGGAGTGGCCGCCCCCCGCCCAGCCCGCTGTTGGAGGCTTATCACGGAACTTACCAGTCTCTCAGCCCCATGCCAAGCCCCATGATGCGCCCGTTGAACGATGATTTGGATGATATACCACCCCTGGATCCACGTGAAGAGAAGAAATCCAAGAAACACAGGCACAGAAGCTCGTCGAACGTGTCCCACGGCCATGGTTCAACTCTATCCGTGAGCTTGTCCAAGAAGGGCAGGGAAAGGTCCCGGTCTCGTACTCGCGACGACAGGTATGAGAAGGAAAGGGAGAAGGAGAAAGGCGGCAAACGCGTCAAAATTTACGACGCCGAAGAGGATGCCAATGCTATCTTGAAGGCGCTTTCAAGAGAGCCGGATCCTGACCCGCTGATCGATATTCTCCCAGCACTCTCTCACGACCAGCTAATGGAGCTTCGCAACGAATACAAGCGCATCTGCAAGGTGCAAGGCCGTGGGGTGAATTTGGCCAAGCACATCAAAATGAAGCTGCCCGGTACCAACTTTGGTAAAATTTGTCACATCACCGCGCTTGGTCGATGGGAGAGCGAGTCGTACTGGGCGAACTACTGGTATCAAGGTAACAGTTCCAAGCGTGAGCTTTTGATCGAGTCGCTCATGGGCCGCCCCAACTCTGAGATTCATGAGATCATTGATTCCTTCAAAGACAAGCGCTATGGTGATGACCTGATGCGCTGCATGGAGACGGAACTGAAGAAGGACAAGTTCCGCATGGCCATTCTCACTGCTCTAGATGCCCACCGCCAAGAAGAGGGAGACGTGTGGCCGTTGGAGTACAGAAATAGGGATGTGGACGCCATGTACGATGCGGTCAGAGCCAGAGAAGGAGGAGAGTCAGATATCTTGAGGATTGTGTGCACGAGGAGCGATGCGCATCTGCGGGATTGCTTGGAGACATACAAGAGGAAGTACCAGAGCAACTTCGCCAAAGATGTCCTGAGAAAGAGCAACAACCTGGTGGTAAGTACACTTCTACCCGGTGACTGAACTATGCTACGTTTCCTTGCCATCTGGGCGGAATTTGGTTTAGGACTGACCAAACCACAGGGCGAAGTTTGCGCACACATCCTCAACGGAGTCATCAACAAGCCGGCTCGCGATGCCATGCTTCTGTATCACGCTCTCACCGACCTGATGGACACTGGCAATGACCGCGATGCGTCCCGACATGACCGCCAGCATCGCTATGAGCTGCTCATATCTCGCCTGGTTCGTCTGCACTGGGACAAACTGCATCTGCGCAAGGTCAAGCTGGATTACCGTGAGAAGTACGGGCGCCATATCGAGGACGACATCGAGGACGCAACCAAAGGCGACTTCCGGGAGTTCTGCCTTGCGCTGTGTGATATGGGTTTGGGAACAGGAAGATAATGGAGGACAAAAAGTTTTCATTTTCCAACGTCAACGTGCATGACTTAGTTGGGCGGTCGGACTGGTTGGCATGGCAGGTGGCTATCAATACCCCTCTTTCGGTAACTCTGAGATTTTCTTTTGAATGACGATACCTCTTAGTTTGCACAATTTATGTCCATCATTGGCAAGCACAGATTCCTACTCCTCTGGGGAAATGCCATACGTAATGGAAAGCTTTGCAAGTCAGACACTCGCTTTAGTGAAACCACGGCTAGTCAGACCAGCTCATATGAAGATCGTTAATCCGTACACCGAGGCGATAATATTCGGAAGTACGACGGTGGTGGTTGGCCTAACCGCCGGTTATCGGAGCTGTTCCCGAGATCTCCTATCAGTCCCCCTCACTCGTCATCACAACCACCACGAGCAAGTTCGCCATCCAGACAGCGCGGTCGTTGAGGACAAGAAGGATTCCGGCCAAGCAGCGATTTAATAATGCTTCAACCTGCCCAGCTTTATTTGCCGACGCACCTCAGCGGCCTTTACACACCGCCGGGCAAATGCGGGATAATTTTCCAGAAACGGGATTAGGGTGGAGGATATCCTCACGTAATGGTAGACATGATAGGCGAAGCAGAGGTATCCAACTCATGTACTACAATCCGAAGTCGCTTGCGGTGCTCTGCACGCTTCCTTTAGAATCTGCAACCTATTTCTCGACGTCTGCCGACTGCTGAAGTCTTCTCTTTCATCCTTCTGCATTCCGGGTCATCTATCGATAATTAGAGGTATAGTCCAAGGGAAAAAGTGTTGGGAAGAAATGGCCACACCTCAGATCATCAACATCGCACTGCTGGATGCCGACATCCCTGTTCCCTCTGTCCTCAGCGTTCGGGGCCTCTACAGCAACATTTTTCGAGAGCTGCTCGAAGCAGCCTTGATCCGCCTGGCCAAAGCCAACCTGATCAATAGCAGCCCGCCTCCAAAGGTCCATTTCTCCGCGTACGACATCGTGCGGGGGGAATATCCCTCAGACCCCTCCTCCCTCTCTGGCATCGTCATAAGCGGCGCCGCTGGCTCCGCCTACGACACGGATCCGTAAGTTTCAATAATTTCTCTCAGAGCCAATAAAACGACACATTTAACGAGCAAACACTAATGAAAACCCCAGCTGGATCTCCACCCTCCACTCTTGGCTCCGTCACGTCCACGCCAATCACCCACACGTGAAACTCTTCGGTTCCTGCTTCGGCCACCAGGTGATCTGCTCCGCATTGGTTCCCCCGCCTTCTTCTCCTGCGGCCGGCCCCGCTGTCGTCACCAAGAACCCGGCGGGCTGGGAGCTCGGGATCCACGCCATCACGCTGTCGCCCGCCTTTCTGCGCGCCTTCCCCGTCGACGTGCTCGCGCTGCCGTCGGCTCCGGCCTTCGCAGATCGCCGTGACGCAAAGCTGAAGCTGCAGCTCGTCCACAGCGACCACGTCAACCTGCCAACGGGCCTTCCCGCTGACGATAACGACGACGCCGTGTTCGCCTCCATCGGCTGGACCCCGCGGTGCGCCGTGCAGGGCGTGTACGACGGCGACCGCGTGCTGACGCTGCAGGGCCACTTCGAGTTCGACCGCTTCGTGAACACGGAGACGGTTAAGGTTTTCGGGGCCAAGTGGGAGGAAGGGGCGCTGAGGGAGGCGATCAGGATGATCGAGGAGGGCGAAGGGGGCAAGGACGATGCGGCGTGGGCGGCGGAGATGGTGATGGCATTTTTTATGGGGCTGGGGAGAGAGAGGGTCGTTCTGGGTGCGGGTGGGGCGATGGTGGAGGGCGGTCTGTTGACGCCGCCGGAGGAGGTGGAGATGTGAGTGTGGTGTCTTTTCGCTGTCTTTGCTTGCTTTTGTTTTCGTCGTGGAGTTGTGATGCATCAATGCGTGGCGTCTGGAAGCGTTCGGTTTTCGGTGTTCGTGAACGTTTATTTGGTACATGCGCAGCAATCGATTTTATCTCGGTCATATACGAAGCAAATGAAAAGAACGGTTCATTGCATTTGTGTTTGTATCTGGTGATAGCACCAAGTGTTTGATATCCCCGGTTTCCACCCCACTGGTGTTGGTTTTTTCCCCCAATAGTTGAAAGCCTTCCGAGAGCCACCATGGGTGAGAGAAGATAACCATTATCTCGTCCAAGAGCATCCTGAGTGAAGCAAATTTTTCGAGCTTGTGTCGACAAGTTGAGAGTATAGAAGCCATCATAACTTTGAAGAGTTGTGACCTTTTCGGGTGGAGCAATTGATTCGGTCGGTACTGCCCAATGGCTATGCGCAAAGTATTTGACCTCTTTTATTTTTCCTTTGGTCGGCGCAGTGGTAGGCTTCGGCTGGCGCGGTGGATAGAAAGACATAGAAATGTATGGAGTGAAAGAATGGATGTATGAGGAAGCAGCGCAGGCGGTGATTGCGAGGTGAGGCTGCTGTGAGATCTGCGGCCACATAGCGCTGGGCTGAGCCGGGTCAAAGATAAGTTTCACTACTGCGCCTCATATCCATTCAAAATTCTTGATCATTATTCCTACTACTTCACCGCGAGACTACTGTAGGGATATCCATGAGCTCGTTGCACAAGCCAGGATATACTACAAACCTCGTTTGAAAGCCAGCTATTACCAATATCATACCCCCCACCGGTCGTTTGAATGTACAAAGTAGAAGCCGAGATGATTTCCTTCTTGTAGCCGTCTCGAAACCAATGATGCCATGATCCAGAGTCACTGTGAAGGAAATTACAACCAACAAGGCCGTGAAGCTCTCCAAAGTAACTCACTCGGCGCCAGATGCTTTCCAAAAGCCATCTACCTCCTCTGGCGCGTACTCATCTTTCCGCCTGACACAAACGGATCATCCGTGATCATCGCCTCGGTGAAGTTGTCCATCTCCGATTGATCGCTTGGGAACTGCTGGCCGCTGACTGCAGGTGGGACGAAGTTGCGTTCGGCGGCGAGGCGAGCTGGCTGAGGTGGACGCAGCAAGCCACGGTGCGTAGCGTAGCCGTTATCGTCTCCATCACGTCCGCCGCCTCCGGTGAGCTCCAGGCGCCTGCGGTCGCGGCTGGATCGCATCATTCCGCCTCCGCTGCTGTTGCTGTATGGGTTGCTAGCGCCCGTATTGGATGTCGTGGCCGTCGTGGGCGGACCCATGGTGTTGGTGTCGGAGGCGAGGATGACATCAGTGTCGTTGTCCGTGTCGCTCAGCTGCATGCGGTAGCTGCGGTAGCGAGCATAGCTCTCGTTGACGTGCGGCTTCATGTCGTGCAGCTGCGGCGAGTTCTTCTTGCTGCCGCCGTTGCTCTCGGGCTCGGGGCTTTTGCCATAGTTGAAGGCAGGCTCGGGGCTGAGCTCGTAGGGGTTTCCGCGACGCTCGCGCTGGTTGCTGCGCGCCAGAGCCTCCATCAGGGAGCGTTCGTTATCGAGGCGCTCGCGTTCGCGGCGTTCCTTCTGGCGGCGTTCCTTGTCACGGTGCTCGTTCTCGCGGCGCTCCTGGTCGAGGCGGTGTTGGGCGAAAGCGTCGTTGAACGTGTTGTCGCGGGTGAGCGGCGCGACTGTTTCCCAATCTTCATCGTCCTCTGCATCTGTGAAAGTGTGTGCAGGAATATCTGGAAGGCTCTTGTCTAGGTGCACGCGAGGCTGCTGAGGAACGCGCTGCGTGCCAGCCTTAGGGAAGACAGTGGCGTCCGAGTCGGGCGACGCAGGCGCAGGAGGGAAAACGCCTGGCCAGTACAGCTCTGGAAGGCTGGGTGTAGGTGTATGAGAGCGCCCACCGCACGACTCGAGCTCAACATCTTGATTGACGCGGGCCATTTTCAAACGGCGGTTGCGCGAGAGAAGCCAGATGATCAATATGAGGAAGAAGCCCAAGACCACGATGAAAACTATGAGGCAGACTGCCCAGCGAGGCATTGAGAGGTTGTCATCGACATTGTCGCGCTTCGGCTCGTTGTGGAGCCTGTTGAAGGCTTCGGGGTTTGTGCCCGGCTGGACAGAACTGTACGTGTCGGGGTCATAGAAGCCAGGGAGGTCAGGGTTTGGGGTTGACGGACTTAGCGGAGGCATGGCGAAACGATCGTCAAGAGTTGGTAGCGCCGATGCGAGTCGAAGAAGTTGTGGCAGCTTGGACGCGCAGGTGATGGCGGAGGCGTCCGGTCATGGGCTCGCCAGTCTGCGCGAAGTACCTACCACCCGCCCGACCCAGCCATCACCATGGATTTCAGCGGCGCCACACTGCTTGCTAACCAGCTGAATCTCACAAGCGACTGAAACAGCGCACCTGCATCTAAGAAACGCATTCCAGGGTATATGAACGGTAAATCCAGACAGATTGAGCACATGCCACCCCGGAGACTTCCTGCATACTATGGCGGTTGATGAAAAACAAACGATCCGTTCAGGCATGAAGCTATCCTGCTCACTGAAGCCCCTAGGCGCTACTTGTCGACCTGCGTTTCCTCAGGTCAGCCATCGAGATTGGCGGCGGCTCTTTCCTCTCTTTCCCGTTCGATGACTTCAACTTCTTCAGCTCACGCTCGAGTACCATCGACAGCCTTTCTAAGATCCACTCCGCCTCCGACTTGGACCCCATCAGCGGACTTCGGGTACCCAGCCAGCTCCACGCATACACCTGCTCCCCACCAAACCTGATTGTTCCTGCACCGGCGCCGATACCTGCTTCATGGTTCCTACTCCTTTTGGGATCTGTAGATGGCCTTCGATGCCCGCTCGCGTTCGTCTCGTCTTGACCAAGAAGTTTCAAATAGTACGCCCATTCTTGGTACGAATACTGCTTGGGTGGCGACGCGTTGAGGTCTTTCATGAGTTTCTGTAACTCCTTGGCGAGAACGAAGTGGTAGAAATGGATGTCGCGAGCAAGTGTGTCGTGTCTTTCCCCCGCCTCTTCTGCTTCTGCAAGCTCTTCCTCCTCTACATGCTCCATTAACCGATCGAAAGCTACCGATTCTATCTTTTCCCGCATGTTCGTCCGGTCCTTTTCTGCCTGTTTGTTGCTGTCGTGAGGTAGGAACCCGGGAGGTTTCCCAAACTCAGGCAGGCTGCTGTCCCTCTTGAACAGCGGGTTATCTCGTAGCCTGGTTAGATTGGATTTCACAGTCGCTCGGAAGCCGCTCTCGTGAGGCAGCACCGTCAAGCTTCCGAGCCATATGGTCAGTTCGCTGAATCCTTTTACCACAGTGTCCCCCATGTTAGAGATTAGGATAGTCAGGGTTGGGACAGCGATAATTGACCAAACCACAAAGAATGGCTTTCCGGAATTGCTCCTGGGGATGTAGTCGCCGTATCCGATCGTAAGGAGTGAAGTGTATGAAAAGTAAAGCGCTTGGAAATACGTCCAGCCCTGGTGTGTTCCTTCCGATGCCCTGAATACCACGGCGCCGACGAACCATAGAACGCACGTGGCAGCAACAGAAAGTCCAAGTGCTGTGTACCTTCGGTTCCGTTCCGCAGACTTTTGGATATGGCGCATGACATGAAACTCTTGTTCGCGCCTTTCAAGCTCAGAAAGTCCCTCGGAAGAGAAATGTATTTTCTGAAACATGCCGATTCTGATGGTGCGCTTGGTTGGGTCCATTTTTCTTAAGACTTGCTCCCGTTTGATTTCCGTCATTCGTGACTCTAGCTTGGCCTTTCCCCTTTCAAGGACGAGAGATCGAATGGAGCCGACAACAAGACCCACCATGAGGATACCACCAATAGCGAATGGGAATAAGAGAGATCTGCCAAGATGCGTCTTGGGCGGGAAGTCTGAGCCAAGTCCCACGGTGAGCAGAGTATAGTCTGCCCAATACACGCCATCCAAGAACTTCCAGTTTTCAATGTAGCTGAATACCAGACCACCCAGTAACAAGTACACAGCGAAGCTGATGGTCTGGAGCATCAATGTACGCTGGCTGATGGTAAGGCGGAACTCAGTCTTGTAGTGTCCTTTCCATGCGCCGTAGACCGTCAACACCATGAGCATCGAAATGATAGCATACAAGGATGCAGCGATTATGGCATAGTAGAAGGCCTGAGAGAGGGCATGTGCTTCGGCTGGCTGTATGCGAAAGTATGAAGAGGAAGCCACGGCGATGAGAGCTATGAGCAAAATGGCCGCTAGAGCAAATCCTCCAATGGTAATAGGCTGTGCAATGTTGAATTTGAGACGACGGGCCATGTTAAGAAGAAGGCTGAAATTGGCTACAAGTGCGCAGGCTAGCGAGACAGCGTTCACGGCGATCAGCCTACATGGGCGGTCAGTCATCGACAGCAACAGCACAAGCCGGCAGATCTCTTTTCTCACCATGACGGATCCTGCACCGGCTCTCCGACTGTCTCATCCAGGCCGGGTGGGATATAGACCCTCCATTTCTCAACCAAGGCACAAATAGAGAAGGCGTTGGCAAGAGGGCCGAAGGTACCAGCGAGGAGCGGGCACGCTGTCGATGCGAACCACCATCGGCTATGAAAGCTGTCAGTAAGGGGCATTCGCAGGTGCAACGAGCGCCAACCTTGGGTCAAGAAAGTCTTGCTCTTCCTGCTCCTCTTGCTTCTCCACGCTATTGTAGGGGTTTTGCTCCAGGTCTTGCGCAGCATTGCTTATGGGCTCGTCAACGCCGGGGTCGTTCATGGCGGCGGTCGAGAGCGGGTTTCGAGAAGGAAGGAAAGCGGGAGCATGGCAGCGAGACAAGAACCGGCACTGTCTAGGTCGAGATGTGGACGGCCGAGGCTTTGTCCGCGTGAACGTTGGCGCTGGCGTTTGTTTCTGGGCAGATCCTTGGTAAAGGAACGGCAGCTGAGCGATGACGTAGATCGCTACCACCCACACCCCACACCCAAGAAACTTGGCCTTGTCTTCGCAAAACCTTTTCTGAACGTCACCAATAATGTGTCGTCTGTATCAGTGTTCCAATTCCGGAAATGGCGTTCTTCTGCTGAGACGTCACAGCGATAGACTACGTCGACTGTTCTACTCTTAAACACCACTGCCCTCGACAAAAACATTCGGATTTTACAAAAGCGAGTCCAGATTCAGCGCACGGCCTCCTAAATAATGAGCTCAGCTCCATCTATTCGAAATCACTTGAGGTACCGTGGCAACGATTGACATATGCTGAGCCAAAGTGATCGACTCGGCGCATTTTTTATTTTCTTCACTGAATTCACTTGCAATATCATTGATCGTCTGTGCATGGAGAAATTCTAACTCTACCAAATTGAATCTGTGCTCAGCAGCCAGGCCTAGCGCGCTCGGCGTGTGCGCCACTCGGTGACGGGGGCATCCATCTCGCGTAGGCCTCGACACTTCCTGACCTCTTATATGCCGGTTCACATTCCGTGAAAAGTAGTATCTCTTTGGTTATGGGAAGAGAAAGGGGGTTCCTCTTTAGACTCAAACCTCCCAGCTCCATCATCTTGGGCTACTATTGATTCTTGAACTTGCAGGTCTATTTCCCATGAGACGCCTGCTTAGAATCCACTCGGCATCATGCGTCACTCACTTCGCTGCTATGAGGACGCAGAATTGGTCCCTACGGAGTGTGCAGCCAGAAAGTGCGCACAAAAACTCTCTGATGAAGATGGTCTTGCGACTGCAGCTGAACTATTGGCAGGCACTTGAGGGCAGCTGTCATCTGATATCAATGACTGGATGCAATGCAGCACATGCGCGTCCATTTGCACATTCAGCGGCTGCGGCTCGGTCGCTGCGGGCTCAGTCGCGCCTACCGTGTTGGGTAGCTGCGCCTGGTTGCCTGGCGTGCCTTCCCAAAGTGCCGCCCCAAAGCACACATAAAACCCCATTTCGTCTGCATCCGCGCAGACTCTTCCTCTCCACCTTTCTTCCATCGTCAGCACAGCTTGAGCTCGTACCCGCCGGCTCTGCTGTCTTCCGGATCCTCCTCAACGTCCACCGCCTTGCTCTCGTAGCAAGCAGCTCTGCCTTCCTCTCGCACGAAGTAAACAACCTCAAGCAATCTCACTGCGTAAGTCTCTTCACTGCTGCACTGCCCATCTCTTCTTCGCTACTCTCTGGTTTGCCTTGCCGCTGACGACTCTCGCTATTGCAGCCACCATGTCTGAGCCCGAAAACAACTTTGACACTACCGAGATGGCCGCTGCGCTGAGTGACGCAGGCAGCGATGCTGCTAAGCCTGTCGTCGTTGAACCTCCTCCGACCGTCCCCATTGAGGGTGCTGCCGACCGCGCTCGTGAGCACGGTTTCGTCGCCCCCGTTGCTTACGACTATGACAATTACAAAGTCACCACCAAGGAGGAGCGTGAGACCGCCGCGGCTGAGGGCCGCTACCTTGAGCCCGGATGGGCTGCCACTGCTGCCCGCTACGAGTGGGATGATGAGTACGGTGAGGTCGGTCCTGAGGATCCCAAGCTTGAGGAGGATCTCTTCCGCCACGAGAACGTCATGCGCAAGGGCAATGCCTTCTCTGTCCTAGAGTACAAGATTCATCAGGAGGGTCCCGTTCAGATCGCTCCTGTTCGCAAGGTTTGTTTGCTTCCCTTGGCCATTCAAGAATGCTACTCACATCTATCTTATAGTTCGAGGATGCTGGCCTTCATCCTGTCATGCTGGACAACGTCACTCGCCTTTGTCAGTATGACATGACTACGCCTATTCAGGCCTACACCATCCCAGCTGTCCTTCAGGGACATGACGTCGTTGGAGTTGCTCAGACTGGTAAGTTGGTCCGTCCCCTTCTTCAAGTCCATAACTTACACCTGGTGCAGGTTCTGGAAAAACCGCTGCCTACTTGATCCCCATCTTGTCACGCTTGATGGGAAAGGCTAAGAAGCTGGCGGCCCCGCGCCCCAGCCTCAAGACCTACGATCCACTCACCGACCGAGTCCGTGCTGAGCCCCTAGTTCTGATCGTGTGCCCTGCTCGTGAGCTTGCTGCTCAGATCTTCGACGAGGCTCGTCGCCTCTGCTACCGCTCTCAGTTGCGCCCCTGTGTCATCTACGGCGGTGGCCCTCCTGCGCACCAGCGTATGGAGCTCGAGAAGGGCTGTGATGTCCTCATCGCCACTCCTGGTCGCCTCTGTGACTTCATGGACAAGCCTTCCCTCCTCTCCTTGAACCGTGTCAAGTACACTGTCATCGACGAAGCCGATGAGATGCTTGACGATGACTGGGAGGAAGAGCTCAAGAAGATTCTGAGTGGAGGCGGTAAGTCTATCTAAAGCTCCTTTGTGAACCTCACACTAATCATCTCAAAGATAACAATGAGGATGCCGACCACGTCTACCTCATGTTCTCGGCGACCTTCCCCAAGGAGGCCCGCGCCCTCGCTCGTCAGCACCTGGCTGAGGACTACATCCGCGTTCGTGTAGGCCGCGCCGGTTCCACGCACAACAACATTCACCAGAGGATCGTCTGGGTTGAGGACTCGGCAAAGGACAAGGCGCTTTATGACCTCCTCTTCTCCATGCCACCTGGTCGCACTATCGTCTTCGTCAATTCGAAGAGGAAGGCCGACTTGGTTGACGACTTCTTGTTCAACCGTGATCTTCCCTCGACCTCTATTCATTCCGACAGAACTCAGCGTGAGCGTGAGGATGCTCTGTGAGTACTCATTGACCCTGGCTGATCGGGACTGCTGCTAATAGTAACAACAGGCGCTCCTTCAAGGTGGGCACTGCGCCTATCCTCGTTGCGACGGGCGTTATGGCTCGTGGTCTTGATGTGAAGAACGTCATGCACGTCATCAACTATGACCTTCCTTCTACTCAGTACGGAGGCATCCGTGAGTACGTTCACCGCATCGGCCGTACCGCTCGCATTGGCAACGAGGGCCTGGCCACCTCGTTCTACAATGACAGGAACGATGACCTCGCCGACGACCTTGTCAAGATTCTCCTGGAACGTGAGCAGGAGGTCCCCGACTTCCTCCAAGATCGCGCTCCTGCCGCCGGCGAGCCCCTCGACTTCGATGATGATACGGACCACGAGGAGGAGGAAGCCGCCGCGGCTGCTTTCAACCCATCCAACGGTGACGCTGCTGATGGCAATGCCTCTGACGGTGGCAACGAGGGCTTCAAGCCCGAGGAGAACAATGGCCATGCCGATGATACTGCCAACGGCTGGTAAAGGTCTGCATGGGTGGTGCGCAGGACATTGAGCGCCGCAAAGGACGGTCAGCTCCAGCTGCTCTCTGGCCTAGATGGAGGAAATCTTGGGCCGTTGGTGGTAACTCGAGCCTCTTCTATACCATCAATGGCCATATTCTGGATTGCTGGGTGGACATCTGGGCTGGAGATTGCTTACTTGAACTCTCGGTTTTCACTCTCAGCGGCACTCAAAGAGCGGTGAAAAGAAATTAGATAACTGAATGTCTTCTGGCTGCTGGTGTATTTCACGAGTAGTAGATTACGGAACGAGTCAGCTGAGTAGCAAAGTAGCGAATTTGAATCACTTATTCGCTCAAAATTTCCTGATTCGTCGTTAACGTGCTAGGACTTAGTCCTTAAGTGAGCTCTTGGCTCTTGCGGATTGATCTATCCTTTTGTACGGTTCTTGCACCCCATCCCTGCTTACATACATCCCACTGCACACTCAGCTTCGAATAGCATGAGTGCTATTAAGAATAGTCCCGTGATAATCCATATTATATCATTTCCATGCTTGGAATCGGCCACCGTCTTTCATGCCAAATTCCTCGTCTCGCGTTAATATTTCGTGAGTAATCATCCGTCCATCTCGTCCATCAAATCGTATGCACAGAGGTCTTCGTTCCCATCACCAACGTGTACCTTCGTTTCGAACATGTCTAAAAAGAAATACAAAGAGAAGAAGAGAGAAATCGAAAAGCTTTGAGCAAAGGGTATATGTCGCGCGCGCGCAATCAATCTTTCTCGGGCGAAACGAAGACAAAGTGCTCAAGACAGAAGCAAAAAATGAAGATAACAAGAAAGAAAAGAAGAGAATCGCAATAAAAATCAATCAAAATGCATCATTCTACTCTCTCCTCTTTGCACGCGGTCAATGCCGAGATGCTCCCTGCCATCGCGACCCCAGTGCACGCCGAAGCCGTACATGATGCTGCCTGGGTCGAGCAAGCTGCGGCGCTTCTCCATGGCCATGGCGCGCAGGTCGTCGGCGCCGACCGTCTGGCCTCCGACCTGTACCGACTCGTCGGGGATGTACTGGCCCCTCTGGTAGTTGTGGCGCGAGGACGCAGAGCCTCGGCCGGGGCCGGGCATGGCGAAGCTGGAGGCGATCTCGTTCTGCTCCTTCTGCTGCTTCTCGGCGGCGGCGCGCAGGTTGGCCTTGGAGCCGCCGGCGCCGGGCATGACGAGCGAGCGGAGCGAGCGGGCGAAGCCCGGTTCGAGGAAGACGGGGCCGATGAGACGGGCGACCAGCTCGGCCTTGGTGGCGGGCCGACTGAATGCCCGATCAGTGAGCATGCGCGACTGGTAGAGCCAGGAGACGGTCTCCGCAAGGGTGCGCGAGTCGTGCGGCAGAGCCATGTCGCTGCGGCCGGTAGCAAGTGTGCAGATGGCGACGACGTAGATGGCGAGGAAGACGCAGAGAGCGTAGTAGGCAGCCGGGTGAGCGGCGACACGGAGCTCGCCATCGGCAGGGTAGTACTGCGTGAAGAAGAGACCCGAGGCGAGAACAGGGAGGGTGAATGCGTTCATGGAGGAGACGAACGAGAAGAGCGCCACGCGCCAATGGTGGTTGGCGATTGCGGTGAGCGTGGCGGAGACAGGTAGACGCGCTGGGTAATCGAGCAGGATAGAGGCTTCGGCAGACGCACCGCCTGGGGTGCTCAAGGCCTCGTACGGAGCGAGGCGGCGGAGCGCCAAGTCGATAGTCTGGAAGAAGAGGTAAAGGAACATCGTGAGCAGGATAGGAAGGAACGAGTAGAGGAAGTTTGAGCCCGAGAAGCCAGCAGGATCGGCTGCCACAGAGACGCGCGGGGCGAATCCCTTGATCACTGCATCGTTGACGAAGCTGACGATGAGGAAGGCCAGGTAAAGGACCACGGCGGCGATGACCCAAGCAACCACATACGAGTCGGTGAGGAACCATGGGAGGTAGCGCCGCCGCACTGATTCAGCGCGGATGTCCAAGCGGAGGTCTCCTGGCCTAGCAGCTTCCAAGTCTGTGCCCTCGGGCGCGTAGTCCTGCTTTTCCCTAATTCGTCCTTGCACCACCGTATATCTGCGGGGGTCTCCACCAGGCTCGCCGAGGCCATAAAAGATATCGTTCGGCCGCCTGGAGGTATTCCAGTAGCCCAAGCGATCAGTTCGACTAGCAAGCCTCTCCCTGAATTCGGATGATGTCTCCAGGATCTCCGTGTCGTTGTAGTCGCTGATGACATTGGAGCGTTCGAGAAGTGTGGCGTAATCGGCAATAGAGCGGGGATCCCACTTCAGACCGGTAGGCTTTCGAAGTTGCACGGCAATGCAGATGATACCGGCAATGAGCAAGAAGTAGAGGGCAATTACACTCCAGATGACGCCCTGAACGGCCAACCATCGCCAGGTTCCATTGCGCAAGTCGCCGTAGAAGCGGACGTTGTAAGCGGACCCAAGCAGGGGGATAGTGAAAAGGAATATCCACGATATGATGAAGAAGGCGCCAATAAGAGGCTGGCCTGCGCGGAAATGCTGAAGAGTGGGATAAAGGAATTGGGTGGGATACAGATCGAGAAAGACAGCTTCAGACCGAGATTTGGAGGAATCTGCGGCCAGAGCCATAAAGGGAGAGATCCTTTGTAGTGCAGCGGCAATTTGATGCAGCCACACCACTATGATCATGCCGAAAATAGTTGGCACGTACTGGAAAAGGAAATAGCTGCCATCGCCCAGACTGCCATAGTCGAGGAGGCCATAATATGTGTCAGACCACACAGCGCTGACAATCATGCCGGTAATCATTAGGATGCAGAGGAAGGTGAAGATGCCGAGCCAGAGTGGGCGCAGAATCGAAGGTAGGAATGTAAGCGGCGGGAATTGAACGGACTTCGTTTGCGGGTGGTACGGAACGAAAATGTCCCGTTGTTGCACTGCAGACGCTTAGCATGTAGGCAGCCGGGAGGTGGTGCATCTGACTCACCATTGAGAGGTTCCATTGGAGGGGGTCGAGAAGGGTTTCTCTCGGGGGTGTCATCATAAGCTTCGTAGTTCGGAGCCTGCGGTACGTAGCCCACAGTCTCGGGGGACACTAATCGCTGGGTAGGGTAATCCTCTGCGCTCGCGCGGGCACCGGCAGGATACTTCCTGGATCCCCGGACCTCTTCATCGCGGGTGAGCTGGTCAATGGCGAAGCGAATGTAGGGCGTGTCGTCGACGCCGGGAGTGGTGGACACCGACTCGGAGTCCCTGCCGCTCTTGCGACGCGGGTCCTGGACGGTGCCGCGTGACGAAGCCATTGAGCGCTGCGGCAGCGACGAGTCGTCGAAGTTCACGGCGCGGGGCACAGAGGTGTTTGCCTGGCGAGCTTCTTGCAGGGCGGACAGGCGGTGGGGGTTGGCTAATTGCTCATGGCTCTGGAGCGGGGTGCGGTATAGCTCGGGCGGGGTGTTGTGGCGGATGATTGTGGTTTGCGAGCGGTCATCGCCAGAGTTGGTGGAAATTTCGGAGACGGTGTAATAGTCCTCGGAGGCGGAGATGCTTTGCTGCGAGGCGCTGTGCTGAATTTGAGGCCTGCTAACTGCATGTGCTGTCAGACAAGATCATGCATGGCGGGGCGGCCGGGATGGCGGCCGGGCCGGGAAGTTCGTCATACCGTTGGTGCTCTTCAACGCGAGCAGCGGTTCATTCGAACTCATGTCGCGCGTGACGGAAGAGCGGCGAGGAATGTGGGGAGTTGACGCGGTGGCATTTCGGGGGCAGGCGTGGGCGCAGCCTCCGGCATGCTTGGATATATGGTCATGATGGTGATGCGGAGGCTGGGATGGTGGCTGGACGGTGGCAGACAGGCTGGCGCTGCGACAGGCGGCTGCCCCGGCCCGACACTGGCCCTGCACCTTCCCGGAGCCTCGCCCTGGCTGTGCCCTGTTTTCCACGCGGCCGCGCTCCACGTAGCGGCCGCCGCCTCAATGCGACGTGTCGAGGTGGTGCGGCCGACATCATCGCACGCGCTGAACGCGCCGTCATGTGTGGCCCGTGTGTCGATCCGCCCCAGGACACAGCCCTTCTTCCAACGTCCATCACTGCCCCCATTTGCCGCCCTGGGCCCTGACTCGGCGCTGTCAGCTCTGCGAATCCTCCAGGCACCACGTTGGTCATCCCTGCGCTCATTGGCCATGCCTCCGCTAGCTGTCTTCGTCGTTCCAGCGCGCCGGTAGCCAGCTGACTGACGCCCAGCCGGAGCGTGAAACACGAGCAGATTTTGCCCCGGCCCCAGCCTGCGCATTAACTGCCGTGCGGCTCTGCAATTGGACCCCTCTGCATCATGCAGTTCCCGCTGTCAATCGCCCGCGCAGCTGTGACGAATTTCCCCCAATCACCGCTGCCGCCCGGCACACCATGACACGTTTATCCATGCTGACACACATGCACGATGTGTTCGACTTGCAGTATCTATATCATGCTTCCTAAAAGGCCGCCTCGAGAGTTTCGCCTGAGGTGTTACTAAAACGCATTGTACAACTGTGCAGTGCCTCGAAGGACCATGCAAGGCACGCTCCAATCGTAGGTGGATCCGTTTTGCTGGCTTCACATGTCCTTGCATGATCTCCGTCACGCTCTCCGAGTGGGTACCGGTAGGGGCCCATTCTTGTGGTATGCCTTTTGGGCACCTCTAGAATCTTCTCCCAACCGCAAGAGGCACACACGTCTTGCTGCAGGCCAATGCTCCATCACCATTAGCAAGCTGGAATTCATTATATTAGGCCGTCGTTTTCATCCTCTAATCTATTTACCACCATACTTCCTCAGAAGCCGCTCCATAATGGACACCGCGCCAGATCTGTATCCACCACCAAACAGGGCATGGTGATTCAGATGGTGATACAGTTCATACAGCGCAACCCTATCCTCATATTCCTCTACCGGCTCCGTCTTGGGGCAAATCTCATGATATTCTTTTAGGAAGCTACCACCAAAGCCTCCGAACATCTTCATGATGCCGAGTTCGTACTCGCTGTGCGCATAGCACGCGCTGGGGTCGTAAACGACGTCCTCGGGCTCGGCATCAAGGTTGCCAATGCTGCCGCGCGACGCGTTACCGCTCCACAGGTCGCCGTGCACCACGACAGGCGTGACGCCCTTGCCGCCGTTGAGGTGCGCATCACCGATCAATCGCGGCACGACCTCGTCGGCGGTGCGGGTGACGAGCGAGCGCAGCTCCTTGTCGCTGCCGTTGTTGCGCTCCGACTGCCGCAGGATGAAGCGCAGCCGGTTTTCGGCGTAGAATTCGGCCCAGCTCGACTTGAACCCGTTCTCCTGCGGCGTGTCGCCGCAGCACGTCGTTACCGGGAAGCCGAACTGCGGCTGCGAGTGGCCGGCCGGCGTGGGCGCTGGCGTGGTGTGCAACTTGGCTAGCTTGGCGGCGAGCGAGGGCGCGGTGCTGGAGCCGCCCCGCGACAGGCGCGAGGTCAGGTGCAGGTAGTCGGTGACGAGAAAGTGTGTCGAGGGTGATGAGGCGAAGGTTCCATGGCCGAAAGACTGCGGGCAGAGCGTCGGCACCGCATTGTGCAGGGCGTTGAGGGAGGCGTGCTCGCCTGCGGGGTAGAGTCAGAGGAGCCGTTGGCTGCGAGTGGGATGCGTACCTTCAAACATGATGGCTGCATCTTCGCCCTTGCCCGTCTTCATAAAAAAGTGCTTGTCGCCGCCATTTGGCATCTTCGCCGTGATCTTAGATGTTGAGGCTGACGACATGCCTCCGCCGCCAGCGGACGAGACGCTGGCGATGGACGAGTCTATGCCAATGGCTTGAGCAACGGCATCATCGAGCTTCATGGTGGATACGTGCGCACGTAGGTTCGCGAGACCTCTGCAGAACATGCGGGTGTCGAGCGTTCCGTCATCTTCTGTGGTTGGTGAGCTCCCCACATGACGTTACATAGCTGTGCAGGGGTCCGAGGAGCTTGGATCTCAACTCCATGCCGCCAAGCCACATAGGGCTATGACGATGATACCTCTCTGCTACTGCTTTTGTCATATTTTCGAGAGAATTTTTGCGGCCTTCGACCGGTTTTACAATTCGCTTTGGCTACAACAGAATGGGAATTATGGACTTCGCAATGACTTGTTTGCAGTATGCTGACATCGACCATCTATATTGTCGCTCAGTGCTTTGTGGAGAAGAAAAAAATTAATACAGAAAGATCGGAAAAAAATTCCGCGGCAGTCTTCTGTATTTGAATCACGTGTAGGCATGTGAAGTCTGATTGTTCTTGTCAGATGTGTCCTTTCAACGGCCGAAAACAATTTTCGCGCCCGTCCTCTTCTGCAGCATCTTTACTATTTGGTGGCTCCAACCCAATCGTCATGTCATGGTCTTGGGCCAACCATCCCTGAGGAAATTTCGCCTCAAAATTTTCAAGGACATAATGCAGGTTTGTAGTAAATATCCACGTACCAGAGTCCTTAAGACTTCCTTGCAGAATGCAGAGGCCAGGTGTATGGCCCGGCACATGCAGGAGCGTGAGACCCTGCGTAATCTCAACAAAGCCTTCATAGAAAGGTGTCCAATTCAAGTCGAATTTCGGATGCTGCGGAAAATAGGTGCCAAGGTTCGATTTGTTGGCAACAATATCTTTGAGTTTTTGCTTGTGAACATAGATCGGCACGTCCGTGCCGCGGAAGTAATCAAGACCCCGTGCATGGCCCATTATCACTGCCTTGATATCGGACATTTTGTGACCTGTCTTCTCAACGTATTTCTTGAGCTCTTGATCCGGTTGGTAGTTAACTTGGGCGAAGATGTCATTCAATAGAGCCCCCGAGAGGGATATCAAAGATCACTTACTTCTGAAGCTTGAATTAACTGGGTCCAATCTCACAACGTAGAGGACCACATATCTAGTAACCATACACAAACCCAATCTCCATTTTCTTTCGTTGAATCGTATTCATACGCCCAAAAGACGGATTCTTACGCTTGGATTTTCGTTCGTGGTACTTTCCGGGAGCTCGAGACCAGGGTCTTCCAAATGCCATGAGCACCTTCGAGGCTACGACGGCAGTGGATCCGAGAGGCTCGGCAGTCTTATCGCTGACCACAACTGGAAGTGCAACGTCACGACTCTCTAGTGGGCTACCAGAGAGTATAAGCTTCAGCCCGTTGGCCGGTATTTCTGCTCGCCAGATGTGAGGATGCTATTGGCGCCAGGCGGTGTTGTCCAGAACATCAATCACAAGCTTTCTCATCTTCATCCATGCCCGCTGGCTTTTCCTTGGCAAATGCGGGGAGGATGCTACACAGATCCACCTCCTGCTGCTGGCGATGGCGGCAGGGCCAGCGGGCGGCTTGAAGCTTGGATGTGCTAAGATAGGATCCACAATTGCGTTTTCCGTATGGGGCAGAGCGCCGTCGCAGCGGGGCGCGATGTGTTCGCATGCGTAACGTGCCTCAGCTGTACGTCATGCTTCCGGCGCGATGAGGGCTGCAGTTGAGGCGGGTGCGGGAAGAAGCGCACAAGGGCGGCGATCAGGTGGCAGTGCTTTGCGTGCTTGCAGTAAGGTTGAAACGTGTTCTTGGCACGGTTCTCGCTTCGATCGCGGCTTCCCCTGGACCGCCGATAGCTACTCATGGCGTCAACCAGTTAATCTGTCCCGGACGGCGCCCGCGGCACCCCAGTACCACCATGTGCGGCTGAGCAGCGCACATCCAGCCGGCAGACTACTGCAAGGGCGCAGCCAGTCGTCCTTCAGAGGCTTCCCGCTCATCCCATCTCCACCTGCGCCGCGATAATTCTCCCCGCCAAGTCCGCTGCCCATCATGGCGCGGCGCTCGTCTACGCTGCTCCTCGCCTTCCTGCTTCTCGCTGGCCTCTACTTCTTTGCCGGATCGCCCGGCAGAACGCTGCTCCACCGCAGGGCCTTCAAGAGCTGCGTCCTCGACCCCGAACTGGCCCGCCGTGCCGAAAACGCCAAGGTTCCCACCATCACCAAAAAGCAGAGTGCGTTTCAAGCCTGTCATGTCGTGCAACGGCTGATTTATTGATCTCGCAGCACTACGACATCTTTTCGGCCTCCCAAGTCTCCTTGACAACTCCAACCACTGCTACAACGCAACCACACGCCTAGCGCCCTATGGATTCGACCCGACCAATGTGTATAATGACGAAAACTCATTCTGGCTCGGTCGCGATTGGAGCAAGGAACAGCATGAGTGTGCCGCGAGGAACGGCCTCTTGCCCGGCCGCGCGACCGAGCCGCGCAAGCGCTTCCATCTTCCCGACCACGAGTCGCAGCGTTATCTTACCGTCCAGTCGCCGGATAAAGACCAAAGGAAGCGGACCGCGCGGACCGCCGTCGTCATGAGGACTTCGGAGAACTTCAATTGGGCTGGAGACGTTACCGCGTACATCAGGTCATTGATCATCGAGTTGTCCCTTGAGTCTGGTGGGGTGTACGAACTCTTCATTCTGATCCAAGTGAAGGACTTGAAGCAGCACATCTTCATGGACCCCAAGGCGTATGACCGTGTTCTTCAGAAGCATGTGCCCGAGGAGTTCAGAGGGATGGCCTACTTATGGAATGAGAATCTCCTGAAGGCATGGTACCCCGAAGTGCCTGACCACAGGTCTGTAGTCGTTGAGCTCTTGTGATAGACCATCACTGACCTAGTCGCAGCTACATTCATCAAGCATATCAGGCCTTGCAGTTATTTGCCAATAACATTGCTCCCGATTTTGACTTCTTCTGGCAATTCGAAATGGACTGGCGCGCAACTACACCTCACCTCAAGGCCTTCGAACGCATGGCTTCATGGGCGAAAAAGCAGCCGAGGCATTATCTTACCAACATGAACTCCGCATGGTACCTCCCCAGCCTCCAGGGCTCGTGGCGCGACCTCTGGATGCTGATGAACGAGACGCTATGGAACAACAAGCACGCCGAGGAATTCCATGAGCACGGCGAGAAATGGGGCGTTGGTGAAGAAGCGGATCTCATCACCCTTGCTCCAATCGTTGATGTCCGTACCACAAACTTCTGGCTGTTTAGAGGCATGGTCCACAACGATCCGCTTCAGATCAAGAAGAAAAAACTGCCGCATTTTGCCGCGCCGGTTGCCATGACGCGCACTTCAAAGCATTTGCTCACCACTGTCCATACACTGCAACAACAATACGGATTCTGGATGGCTTCAGAGGCTACCATGGAGACTATGGCCTACCACCACGGTTACAAGGCGGTGCATGTGCAGCATCCCGTCTTCTTCAACGGAACCGAGGATGACCAGATGATTGATTGGCTATTCAATTCCGGAGGCCCGGAAAACCTTGGAGGCGGCCCAGACAGCCAGTACAATTGGGAAGGCGCCGCACACAAAGTTCTGGAGAAGCTAACCTGGTGGTGGCCCCGTGAAGGATACGATCACTACCCGCAGCACGTGTGGTCAGACTTTCTCAAGAAGGGGACTTGCTTGCCTCCTGGGATGTTCCACCCGTTCAAGTGGGAGAAATTCAAATCCCCCAAATGAACAGAATCCTGAAGAATGCGCGGAACCGCATCACACCAATGAGACAAATTGTTTCGAATTTGCTTCCTGTCCGTCCCGGCCACATGGACCGGTAGCGGCAGTTGCCAAGCATCTCGGCCAAAGCATACACAGCCCTCGTGTTCGGCAAAAGCAGGTTATCTTGCGAGTTTGGATTGCCAAGATCTAGATGCTTTTTCTGAAAGCGAAATGACTTTTAGAGTTTGGCCAGGCCTGGCGCAACATGAGCTTGGAAATAGCGGAACTTGTTGCGAAGGTCTTATTGCTACATTGAAATAGCTATTCAACAGGATTTGAGAGTAGCTTCGAATTGGATAGAAGCTTGATTAGATACCCAGTTAGATCTTAATACATCACTAACATTCCTTTCGCGTGCAGTGTGTCGTCACACAGTAACGGCCGGGTCACTCAGAGTTTGACCGCATTCATAGTACAAGGCTTTCTTCTCGGAAAATCAAAGTCCGTGTGTGTTGACAAAAGACGACATTCACAGTGCAAAGCCAGAAGGGTCATGTCATATACGGCTGTCGTGTGCCATAATCATTTGGTCATTTTATTATGTGATCGAACAGCCCCCATCTTTAACCCGCTGCAGGGGTGATGAAATAGGAAACAGTTCTCTGGAATTTATGTACAACTGAAAAAATCACAACCAGCTCACATGCCGCGGAGATGCTCCTGAATCCAGCGCTATTGATGCGGCCAGGTATGGTGGAGTCCGCCCTACAAAAGGAAAGGCATTTAGGAGACGGTGATGCTGGAGGAACCGGAGCTGTGGTAGCCCTCGGTGGCGACAATCTGGTAGTTGTGGGTGCCGAGCTTGAGGCCGAGCTTGGCCCAGGCGTCAAAGTGGTTCTTGGTGGTGACGGTGCCGCTGCTGCGGTGGTTACGGCGGATGGACCAGTACTGAGTGAAGGTGGCGGTGCCCTGGATCGAAGGAGCGTTGGTGCGGGTCGAGGTGTAGATGTCGTAGACGCTGCCGTCCGAGGTGACGGTGCCCTTCTTGGTGCCCTCGGAGCCCGGGTTGTAGTCGCCGTACGACTCGACGATGTAGTACTCGATCAGAGGGCTGGTGGTCCAGCCGTAGACGGAGAGGTAGCCGTTGCCGTTGGGGTTGAAGCTACCCGAGAACTTGATGTTCCTGAGGAGCGGGTAAATCAGCTTGCTGTACATCAATTAGATAGTAATGGCGAACTTACCTGGCACTGCCAGTGCTCCAACCCTTGCCGCCGACAAAGTTTCCATTGCCGCCGGACCACTGGACGCTGTACTTGCCAGCAGCGCCGTTGGTGTAGGTGACGGCACCGCCACCGTCGGTCCAGAAAGAGTAGTAGTAGCCGTTGTTGGTGCCGGTCTGGCTGGAAGTGAGAGACTGCCTGGCAATCAACTCGCCGGCCTCAGCGGCGGGAGCAGAGAAGACGCCGGCGACGGCGGAAAGGCCAAGGAAGAGAGAGCGGAAGGACACCATGATGTCAACGAGAGTAATTGTTTTGCGTGCTGGACTGGTGTTTCCCCGGCGGCGGGAGGAACCGTCTTTATAGCCAATTGCCGGTGTTGCGCAAAGATAGGAGGGGCGGCATTGTGACGCTCAGGCAGCCCGAGGTGTTTCAAACAAGCCAGCGTTTCCAAACCACGGGGGGCTTCCAGACCTGACCATAACGGGGTTCTCTATAGAATCTGCCCGCGGCTAAACGAAGCTTGGCGGTCTCCCGAACAGCTCTAGCCACTAGGAGAAGTGGAGAAGGCTGTTTGCAAAGCCGGATGTGGTCGCGATTAATTAACCTCAGGCCTCGTTCCGTAACGTGCATCGTCTTAACCGAGCTGGCCCGTCCGCCTTTGTGGATGCCTTTTTGTTTCGGGCATTCGGCTGTCGCCAGGCTCACACCGCATGAAGCCGACTCTCCTGGCTGTCATGCCGTATCTGGTGTGAGCTGGGAGCATCCAACACCCGCCGTGGGTGCGGTCACCTGTCTGCTCCTTACAGCCATGCACCTGGAGCAAATTTATCGACTGTTTTCGCGCGTCCTTAACCGAGCATAGCTTCGCGCTGGATCATACAATCAACATGATGCTAGGAATTGCTAGCCGTGCACCGCGTATACCGTAAACCGTATACCGACGTGGTACATGAAGGAGGGGACGAGAAGTAAAGCTTAGGCTAAGCTTTCCAAGCCGTCAGCCATCCTGCAATCCTGGCCATTTAGCCGCTTGATTGGCGATTCGCTCCTCGAACATGGCTAGAGGATCTCCAGGGCACTGCTGGCTTACATTGGAGTACATACCCCGCAAACCATCCTACACTCTGTGATCGCACTAGTTCCAGACCCAGGGAGGGAGAAAAGGTTATACCTTGTGGAACACTCAGCCGCATGGCGGCTAAATTATCCTCTGTGCTGTACAATACGAAGGCCTCTTACTTGACCAGGCGTAGAACAGTCGAAAAGAGAGTAGACCAGCAGCGAGTAGGCGGGCTGGCAAGGCCAGGGTGGCTATGTCAACGGAGTGAGATTCGAATCACGGCATGCCCACAGTGTGAGTCTGTTGCCGTCTTCAAAGTGCGGGTCAAACAATTGTGGCGTGTACACGGCATTTTGACACACAATAGCAGGCCCTCTATTCCCGGCATTGACCCCAAGAAAAGAGCAAACAGTAACGTACTTTGGCTGGTCGTATGCCTGCAGCTTCCTCCAAATGGACCCACAGTCGACAACCCATTTAGCTTCGAGCACGCCATCTGGCGAGAGATGCTCATGCGTACGCGAGTTTAAGCGGTGACCGGTGCTGCAGAAGGGAGCCGACACCTCGTTCGGCAGCATCGTGTCAGAGGGGCGAAATGTGCGCAATGCGCCATCTGAACTATCGACGGCGATATCGCTGTTGTGAGCATGAGGCGTCCGACTGAGCCGACCGCCGGCGGCGGCTGCCGGAAAAGGGATGGAAGTGAATGAGAAGTTGAAGGGAGAAGGGAGCGGGCTAGAACGTTTCATGTTCTGTAGCCGGCCAGTGACGTAAGCGACGCGCCTGACTTGAAGGGGCATCGATCCAGACTTTATTCGGAGGTTGCCGGCCACTTCTGCAAGACGGACCTCGAGCAATGTGATATTAGCAAAAGCCCGATTTGGAAATATTCTATTCTATTGTAGCCGCGCTCTCAAAATGTGACCTAAATTCCTTGTTTCTTTCATGCCTTACCCTGGTGGTCTTGGTGCGCAAGTTGACGTGCCGCTAAAGCTCTTATGCTCATAATACAATATCCTAGCTGCAAGTCGACCAGTCCAACAAATCTGAAGGAAGTCACTGTCCTCTGTTATGGCATTCAAGTACTCTCAATGTGTGGGAACACTTCCAGCTCACTCCTAGCGCTCTGAAAAAGACAATGTACTTGTACATCCAAACATCGCGGAGCTGAATGCATCTTTGGGACTTGCTGCTTTTCTGACCATGGGTGTTGACTAGCTAACGATTCTAATGAGCGATTGGGTCGATTTCATGATATTTGACTCTCTTCCGTTTGTGAGTTTCTACCCCGTTTCTCGTCTGCTAGCAGCGCATGTATGCATTCTACTATTCCATGGATCATCCTGCACACATTTTCGGATCCAGAGTGATAAGACGCGGAAGCGGGTGCCCATGGCATGTATTGTGTTACCATTGCGGGCAAAGACACACTGATCGTGCTGGCCGGTGAAAGTGAAAGTGAGTAAAAGTGAAAGTGAATGACCATTGTGGATTTCCTAATGCGGTTAGTCCCATCCGAGTTTCCATTGTCGCCCGGCTAGCTGACTGCCTTGGAGCACCGCCTATTTCTTCGCCCGCACCTTGGACCTTTCGCTCTTCATCCGCACCTCTTCCTCTCCTCTGCTCTTGCAACCCAGACATTCTCAAGCTTCTCTAAGATTCCTCCCGCTCGCCGAAGCTTTGCGACATCGCTTTCGAACATGTCTGCCAGCATCTCTCCCGGCAACAGCCACAAGTACGATACGACCGCTCCGACCATTGGACTGCCCCGCAAGCTCCACATGGCCAAAGAGGTCCCCAAGATCCGCGCTCGCCGCGAGGAGCAGCGTGTCGCTCGCACGCATACTGCCGGCATCGAGAAGCTCCCCCCCGAGCTCATGCTCATGGTTCTGAAGGACCTTGACTACGACGACATCATCAACCTCCGTAGCACATCGCACTCGATGCAGGCGATGACCTGGCCCCACGCCTCCAAGAACTACTTTACCACCATCCGCGTCCCCCTAAGCCACGAGGGTCACGACCGCATCGCCATGTTCGTTGCCGAGAGAGCCGACTTTAGGGACAGCTTTACCAAGCTCGTTCTTGAGGCCGGTGTCCACATCCCCTCCGATGCCGACCACCCGCCTCTGACCAAGAAGGAACGCCGCAAGCTTGCGAAGTATGCAAAGAAGGCGGAGAAGGCCATCCAAGTCAGGAAGAAGCAGCTTGCGCTGGCTGCTGAGAGGCAGGCGCAGCGTCACGAGGCTGCTGGTACGATGCCGGACGCCGACTACACCCCTCCTCCTGTTGTCCTCGACCCGGATTACATCAAGCCGCGCAAGTGGAACCGCGGCCAGAGTCTGCCGACGGCCTCCCAGAAGAACGCCGACACCCACAAGGGCAGGCTGTACGGAGCCCGTGTCATCCGCAAGTGCCTGGAGCTGCTTCCCTCCATCACCGACATCACCATCTACCACAACGTCGAGGGCATCAAGCAGCGCGAGCGCCCCATGTGGGTCAACGACCACTGCACCGCGTCCGCTGAGGCTGAGGCCCTGCTCGTCGCCCTGGCCGACCACCCGATGCCCAAACTCAAGCGCCTGCACCTGGCCAGCAGCCACTTCGACCGCAACTGGAACGAGGGCCTCATCATGCTGGCCAACCTCGACAACATCCCGAACAGCAAGCTCGCCGCGCTGGCTCCAACCCTCGCCAACCTCGAGGCCTTTGGCCTCTCCATCAACACCAACACCCTCGACGACGTCAGCGACGCCGCGTACGGCACCGTCTCCCAGCTCTTGCGCATGATGCCCAACCTCACGTCGCTCGATGTGGCCGTGTCCAAGCGCAGCAGGAAGGTTTATCCCACCGAGATCTTCCGCAACATCGTCCAGAACGTCCCGTGCCTCCACAAGCTCGAAAACCTCACCATCCACGAGTGGCCGCTCGAGCAGCCGGCCTTCAAGGCCTTCATCGCCAAGCACCGCAAGACGCTGGAGACCCTGAGCCTCGACCGCAACCGCCTCTACCACTCGTTCACGCCTGGCGCAGAGAACAAGTCAAATGCGGGTAACTGGCCCGTGCTTGTTGAAGAGATGAAGGACAACACCATGTTGTGTGTCCAGGAGAAGATGACGCTGGAGCACAACGATCCCTCGCTCATGAGGAAGCTGTTCCTACGCAAGATGACGGAAGAGGAGAAGAAGAAGAAGGGAGAGGCCACGGAAGACACTGACACGATGGACGTCTGAGCGGACCATCTGGTGCATTTTGAGGGATCGTGCTTTTGGGGCCAAATGGAGGGAATCATAGACCAAAAAATGGGCGTTTTGGGAAATCTGTAAACTGGGGCATACAAAGTTGAAAAGCACGACTTCAACGGTTGATAGTGAAAATCCAATAGACTATTTTCTCCCTGTTCGTATTCGTCATCGTCTTGAAAGGTTATTAACCCGCTTATTCCATGCTGAGTGCTGTACTCAGGATTTGCTAAATTTTCAGTCTGTAGAAATTGGTCCAAAATGAATCCATAAGACTGGGCAGTTTTGGATTTGACGTGTCGCTCAGGGAGACGACTGCATGGGTATAGATCCGGTTCGAAGGGCAAAACACGGATGAATTGTACAAATCAGCAGCAGTCTTCGGTCTTATTCTACCGCAAGGGAATCAAAAGTCTGTACAAGGGTAACAGTGTTCTCACGTCTCAGCCAAACCTCTATTTCCCGGTCTACCCCTGGGGTGTAATGCTGATCTAATAGCCATCCTTGCCGTACTTGTTCCACTTCTCGTGAAGCTCCTGTAGATGGCTGTCAGCCCTGCCGTTCTCGTTCCGTTTGTCCGGGGGCAGTTGTCAACGGCGTCCAGCACTGTCCTTACCTTAGGGAGGTTGACGTTGGGGATGATGACGGTGTTCAGAGCCGAGGGAGCGTCGCGAGGAGCCTGGCTGGAGTCACCGCCAGGGTAGTACTGGTACTTGCCGTCGCTGCCAGTGTTCCAGGGCTCGGTGCCAGGGACCTTGGGGACGGACTTCTCCGAGGTAGAAGTGGTGGGAGAGCGAGCTATGAAGGCAGTCGTGCATCAGAAGTGGTTGTTCGAGGGATTCATGACGCCATTGGCAGTTGCGCCGCAGAGCCGAGGGGCTGTAGCTTACAGAAGTACCAGCCGGCAAGACCGAAGGCACCGGCCATGACGGTCCAGAGAACCTGTGGGGCGGCATCGAATCAGCATCAGGGCACGCGCATGGGCGCAATTGGAGCAGGCAGGCGCACGTAGAGCTCGGGATCCTTCTTGCCGGCCTGCTTGAGGGCGTCCTTGCTGGCCTGCTTCTCAGCAACTGCCTCGGCGCGGAGCGGGGCAACGGCCTGGAAGCGGAGGGGGCGCGTAGCGCGGAAAGCAGCGCGGCCGATGATGGCGGACATGGTCGATGGGTGAAGCTTGCGGAGTGTGGAGGGAGATGCGGATGAAGTCAGACCACTGCGCAGCTACATTATTGCGGGCGTCTTGATAGGTCTGGTCACGTGTCGCGGAGCGGAACAAGGCGACGGCCGCGGCGGGCTGATGTCAGGGCGCGCCCGAGTCGCATATGGCAGCGGGCGGCGGCGCTAGCGCGCTGGATGCGGCAGGCCGGCAGGAAAAGGCCAGGCGATCTGCAGGGCGGCGCTCCTGATTGGTCCAAGGCCACTCCTGATGGCACATAGGCCAACGATTCTCAGGCCAACTCCTTCTTTCCTCTTGCGCGCCGTGTCTCTGCCAGACGGCCTCACGACGACGCCTGCCATGCCGCTCTGACGCTTCCCCAGCACCCACGCTCTCTCTCCGCACGAGCCCTCGCCTCGAGATCCGCCTCGCTAGCCCTGTCGGCGCCGAGCCCTCCGACTTCCGAGCCCTCCGCGCGCCTCTTGGCCGGGTCATGCATTCGTGCCCACGCTCTCTACCTCTCCCAACGTGCTGCACCATCACCCCCCGCCGCCACCCCGAAGGCACGCTTGACGCGCCGCAATGACCACTCCCACCAGCCCTCCGCGCTCCTCGACCCCCAGCAGCTCCTTCCCGTCTCCTCTCGATGTGCCCACTGGCACCCATGGCGCCCCCAGCGTCATCTCCTCGCGCATGACCGACATAGCCTCTGAGGATGGCGACCCGCAAGAACTCCCACAGGATCCACAAATGCGACGCGCCTCCCGCGTCTCTGGCATCACTGGCCCACCTGGCGAGTCTGGACTACCGCCGTCGCGGCCTTCGTCTGTGTCGACAACAGGCAATCGTCGGACATGGTCGCGAGCCCCGCCCTCGCGCGGCAATGCTGGACAAAATGCAGGCCCAGGCAGCACCAACGGCGGCGCCAACCGTCCACCTACATCCACGTCGCAAAGCAAGTCGCACGTCGCCGGAATCCAGCAATCGGCCTTCTTCCGGCCCATGAGCGCGCAAAGGCTCCAAGGACAACGAGGCCAGCGGCCAGGATCCATCATGGGACGCAACTCGATTTCGCACGATGGACAGAGTGAACTAGGTTTCAGCTCCTACCGCAACAGTATCACTTCGGTGCCCAGCCAAGCCCACAGCAACACTCAGGATCAAGAAGGACGACCTCCCCCATCTCCTGCCACCGAGTTTAGCGAACGCGAGTACATGCCCGACCGCACGACGGCAAACACCACGCCCACTGTTCCTGATACGGTTCGTAGCCACGGCGAAAGCATAACTCCTCTGCAGCAGCCGCCAAGGACCGAGGCGCCTTCGCATCTGGATTTGTCTCGCGTAAATAAGTCCGGTGCTCTGGTCCCTCCCGAAAAGAAATCACCGCGGTCTTTTCGGTCTAGCTTCATGCTCCCCAGCCGCAGCCACAACTCCGGCTCCGTTCGCCCACAAGGCCAAGGCCATGAGAAGTTGTCTTCAACTGCGTCATCGCCAAGACTACACCCCCAGGACGCTGCCACGGACATCACCAAGACCGAAATTCGGAGGGAGATGAGCATGGGGAAGAACTATGAGTATTTCACCGGAAATACCGTTTTCTGCTGGGGCGGTAGACTGCAAAATACCAGGGATCGGCCTATCAGCATTGGAACTGCTTTACTCGTTGCTGTTCCTGCAATTCTTTTTCTCATTTTCTCGTAAGGCTAAACCGGTTTTGAAATGACCCGAGCGTCGACGCTGACCAAAGCTTCCAGGGCACCATGGTTATGGCTTCACGTTTCACCAGCGATACCCATTCTGTTTGCGTACCTCTTTTTAGTTTGCGTTTCTTCCTTTTTCCATGCCTCCCTTTCCGACCCTGGTGTAAGTTTCATATTTCTTTTCATCCCTGGCACGACTAACCGGAGGTCAGATTCTCCCTCGTAATCTCCATCCGTTTCCGCCGCCAGATCCTTCGGAAGATCCGCTAGCCGTTGGGCCACCCACTACCGAATGGGTGATGGTCACTTCAGCCAGCTCTCAGACAGCCGCCATGGAGGTCCCAACAAAGTATTGCAAGTCATGCAATATCTGGCGCCCGCCCCGCGCACACCACTGCCGTGTCTGCGACAACTGCATTGAGACGCAAGATCACCATTGCGTGTGGCTGAACAACTGCGTCGGCCGCCGCAATTATCGGTACTTCTTCGTCTTCGTCAGCTCGTCGACTCTTCTGGGTGCCTTCCTATTTGCTGCTAGCTTGGGCCACCTCCTTGCCTGGATGGACGAAAAGCCAGGCCGGAGCTTTAGCGAAGCAATCTCTCACTGGCGCGTTCCTTTCGCCATGATGATCTACGGCATCCTCGTTACCTGGTATCCTGCCTCGCTTTGGGGCTATCACATTTTCCTGATTGCCCGTGGTGAGACGACACGCGAATATCTCAACTCTCACAAGTTCCTGAAGAAGGATCGCCACCGACCCTTTACGCAAACTTCTCTTTGGCAGAACTTTTCGGCAGTGTTGTTCCGTCCTCGTCCTCCGACGTACCTCACCTTCAAGCGCAAGTACGAGGAGGGTGACCAGCGATTCGGTGAGCGTCGCGGAAAGCGCACTACCCCGCTCAGCAAAGAGCAGCAAGGTGGTGTTGAGATGCAAGATGTTAGCGGCCGCGCGACGGCTACAGCCGAAGGTCCACCTGGCACCAGCGGTGCTGCAGTCCCAAGCTTCCAGGGCCCAAGCAGCAGGGCTCGAACGCCGCCCACGAACAATAATAGCACACCCAGAAGCCCCGCGGGCAGTGCTAGTCACGCTTGATTTGATATTATGTCGATGGAGTTGTGGTTTTGTCGAGCAAGCATTTCTCGAGGAACGAAACGTGCATAGCGTGCAGCAAGCGCCTTGTCCGCGCGCTCAAAGACTTTTGGATAGGGGAAGGGATGCTCGGATATCATCCGTTTCTTTCCGGACATTATCCTGATAATCCATTGATGGACGATGCCACCTATTCTCCAGTTCTAATCTCGATCTCTCCCTGAAATCCCCGGCTTTTGTCTTTAGTTTCTCCAAAGCCCTCGGTTCAATTGACCGAATCCTAATCACACACTAGTTTATCACCATCCTACCCTTTCACCCCTGCATAAACGCTGTCATACGTCATTACGCCCATCAGTACTTATAACGGCTCCCCTTTTCTGAACTGTACAAAAAAAGTTTCCCGTCTGCATACCGTCCCCGGTAGCTCCTGTAAATAGACGTTTTCTACTTCTCTGCTGCTCCTTCTGCCCATTTTTGCAAATGATCGATGAACGTTGTGTACTACACCTGTTTATTTTTGTTGCTCTTTACGCGCAAGTGCTCGTGGAAAGTGGTGGAGGGGTATTATTGGGTGCGGCTGAAGTAATTATGAGCATTGTGCAGTCAGGTTCGGCGAACGCATAGAATAGCGTGTCCAGTATGCTGGTATAACGGCGGTTGTTTCTGTTGTTCTGTTTTCAGACAGTTGATATCCCGCGTTTGGCATAGCATAGTCTAGTACAGTATTCAACAAACGGCGTGGCCAGCGATTGATTTGGTCTGTTCCACTTATCCTCATTGGTACGCGAAGCAAGGTTGAAACCCCAATGGAAATTTCCACGTAGACCTGTTCTGCATGCCAGTTGGCGACCAGTTGTGGTAGGTTTCCAAGGCGTAGTAGGTGGTGAGACTCAGGTAGGACGAAACGCTCTCTAAACAAATCGCGTTCCCCATGCGTCACAACATGCGACTGAAGGAAGAAAGTAGCGCAAGATGAATCGCCAAGATCTGTCGTGTCTTGCTCCGCGAATGAATCTCGCAGAACCACAAATTTGGTCGACGAATCCCGCGATCACAACGAAGGCGATTCATCCTATGCCGGACAACTCATCGGAGGCTGTGACGCATAGACACGACATCAAAGCCACAGCAAGGTGAGAGTGACGTGTTCAAACATTGCAGATGACACCTCACAGGTCATTCACAGAAACTTTGTTGAATTTCCAGACTCTCCCGCTACAAAAGTGTCCGGTCAACCATCGGAAACTCATTGTTAATCAGATTAAATGGAGATTCAGTGGGAGAATCTTTCAATGATATGACAAGTCTTGAGCTCCGTACTCTGCAGTTTACGGCTGAGCTAGGCCATACTAATGCTGACCACAGAGGTAAGGAGGCCGTAAATGGAAATGTTAAAGCTGCTATGAGAGCGTGTAAGTTGTTACTACTATCGAGATTGCAAAGAGATTTCGATTAGTGAGCGAGATAGACAAAATTCGAAAGAACCGTTGGTGTTGGTGACCATACGTCTTGATCTGACCAATGACATGATCAAGAGCCGGGGTCCGGCTCGGCATGCTTATCGGACCCTTGAATCACGACGGAGGCAGGTTGAGAAGGATACCATAGAACTAAGCTATAGCTTCCAAAGTCCTCAATCGTAAACTTTCTGTTCAACGCGAAACTATCACTTGCAAACACTTTGTTGTCGCCTAGTCCAGGTCGCGTTCGGGGCCCACAATCATCACTCCTTACCTCTCAACACGGCCCGCAGCTAATACCTCCGCCACGCCCACTTACCTCGACAGCAAACGCCGCCCTTCGTCCGACGCCCATCACTCCCCCCCAGGAAATGACCTCCCGCGCGCCGCCCATCGAGTCCCGGCGATGCCCTCCGCTGCCCATCGAGGTGTGGGTGCGCATCATCTCGTGCATCTCCAACAGCAACGTCATCCCGCACGTCTGGCTGTCGTGCCGGCGCGTCTCGCGTGCGGTGCGCGCCGCCACCGAAGAGGCGTTCTTGCACCGCCATCTCAAGCCGCGCACGCACATCCGCTTCCGCGACCTGGGCATGGTGCGCGACAGCGGCGGCTGGAAACACTACCTGGGCCTGACGCTCGAGTTCGACCGTCTGTCGGAGGACCGGACGCGCGCGATATTCAGTAATAAGAATGCTATAGAGGATGATGATGGTGATGGGGAGGAAGAGGAGGAGATTGAGAGGGCGCTCACGGCGCGGTGGCGCAGCGCGATGATGCTGTATCAGGGCAATGGAGACGGGTGCAGGAACGATTTGCCGCCGTACACGATTGCGGTGCGGCAGATTGTGAACGACACCGAGTTGCCTGGATTGGAGATAGACTACGGGAAGAGAGAGATGTCGTTTGATTGGCGGGCTATGTTTGATAGGTTGTTCGGAGAAGAGGCGTATGCTATGAAGCTGAATTCTCAGCTGAGGGTAAGTCTGGCCCGCCGGGACTTCCAGAAAGGGAGAGCTGATGCTTGGTCCAGGGCGATGCGGAGCAGTCTAAAGCTACCGAGGTACAGAAATCGATCAAAGCCGGCGCGACCGAACTCTTCCATGGCATCTCACAGATGATGCGGATAGTCGCAGAGCGAGAGAGACTAGCGTACCGCGACGCCCGCCGTCTCCGCATTCGTCGATGGTACAAGAAGCATGAAAACTACGAGCTCTCGCAAGATTATTTTGATCACGACTACCAGGAGAGACAAAAGCTAAAGGACCTGAGGGTGGCGCGGAAATACGACATTTACGATGCTGACAGTGAGGATGAAGGGTTTCAAGATGAGAACGAGGGAGAGGCATATGACCAGGGAATGGGCTTTTCCCGCTTCGACATTGGCGATCCCCACGATGAGGATGCTTTTGCGGATTGGGAGGAAGAGCAAGACGAGGAGCACGAGTTTGGCAATATGGACAATGCCTTCGAAGAATGGCTGCGCACTTCATTGCCTCCGACCAACATGAACGAACAGCTTCCGGATATCTCGGACTCGGAAGGTAGCTACGAGGACTCTACAGACGCCGAAGAGGCGCAGCACTAGACGAAGGTTTGTTTTGAATACATAGCAGAGCATGCCCGGTGGCATGAGAGGTGGGTCGGGAGCGATGTCGGGCCTGCAACATGTCCAAGCAGGGCGATCGCCGAACCATTACCGATTGCCGCATCCTCACCGAATTACCATGGGTTTTGTCGGTCCCAACAGATGCTAAAAAGGACTAGCTGATGCCTGTTCTCGGCTGATATGGGGCCCCGTAATCCTCACCCACAGTCGTGCTGTAGGCTCATGGAGTAGTAGAACCTGTGTTGCTTGCGAGCATCTTTAACTGCCTGACTTTGTTAAAGCTATAGTACATCCTTTTAGCCGACTGCGACCCCCCCTCTTTGTGAACTTCCGCAGGACACTCGGGGGATTGGTGGGTTTTCGCGCGATAGGATTTCGGATGGGAAAATGTTGGCCATGTCACGATCGGATCGGATCCCTTCTGGGTCTTACCCCACCTGCTGGATGCTGATATAAAATTCGCCACACATGGGCTTCTGCAGCTGTGTAAAAGCTTGTTGTTGCATCCTTACCGGCGTTTTGTACTGCTTTCCCATTTCACTTTGTCAGCGTTTTGCATTGCCTCGTCTCCCGCCCATCTACGGCCAAATCGTTGGATTTACCCCAGGTTCAGGTCGCAGCCATTCCAATGGAGGAGAAAGCAGGGGGCATTGGCAGCCATGCCCCAAGATCATTCGGACGCACCGAATCATCGACCACTCTGTTAAGCTACGAAGACGTTGCCCCGTGGCAACAAGATAACGAGTATATCTTGACATCTTATCGGCCACTGTCCCACTCGTACATTCGCTCCATACTCAGCATCCCTTCGCTGCACAACCAAACTGTCAACATCTGGACACACCTGCTTGGTCTTTTCTTCTTCGCCTGTCTCGCACACCACCTCTGGTCTACGCTTTCACCGCTTTACGCAACCGCAACGCACGAAGATGTTGTTGTATTCGCGTGCTTCTTCGCGGGATGCTTCTGTTGCTTAACTTGTTCGTCGGCCTACCACACTTTCATGAACCACTCGGAGCGCATCTACGAGCGGTGGCTTCTACTCGACTTCCTCGGCATCCTGTGCTTGATCGCTGGCAGCTGGGTGCCGGGCGTCTACTACGGGTTTTACTGCCAGCGGGCGGATGCCAAGTTCTATCTGACTCTGGTGAGCATTTCCCCGGATTCAGCGCGCCTGAGTGCTGATGATCGCATCTCTAGATTTTGGTCCTAGCCGCGGCGTCCGCCGTCGTCTGCCTGGTGCCCATGTGCCGCACGCCGGCGTGGAAGCCGTTCCGCACGTCCATGTTCCTGTCGCTGGGCGTGGCCGGCTTCTTCCCCATGGCACACGCCGCCCGGGCGTACGGCGTCGGACTGGCACACGCGCGTATGGGCTGGGGCTTCTTCATGCTCGAATTCGTCTTCTACGGCGCCGGCGTCGCCGTATACGCGACGAAGGTGCCCGAGAAGTGGGGTCCGGGTAAGTTTGATGTTTGGGGCTCGAGTCATCAGATCTTCCATGTGTTTGTGCTGCTGGGGGCCGGGTCGCATTTGTGGGGTGTGGTGAAGGCGTTTGCGTGGAATCATGGGGTTGGGATGGGATTGTGCCATTAAGATAGCTTTGTATCACAGCTAGAAGGAATAAGTGCGTGCTTGAGGGGGCAGGCATGACTAGACACGTGAAAAATAGATAGACAGGGAGCGTTTTAATAGGGGGTAGTGACGAGATGAAGTGAACACATATGAACATGCTGCATGGCACCTTTCGCGAGATACAGAACAATGGGGTATTCTGCGACGAAGCCTGTCTCTGACTGTAGCATTCCTGCTGTCTACACGAGAGGAAGGAAACACCGAAATGATTGACAACCAAAGGATAATCTTAGCCGCTCAAGATGCCTTCGGCAACAGCCCAGTCACCGGCCTTTTTCTGAACGTCCTCACTCTTCGCCTTGACGTCGGCGCTGAATTCGCTCGTGTCACCACCAGTCATCATGGTCAGCTTGCCGGTGGTGTCGTTGAAGAGGATGTTGGCAAACATGCTGCGCTGCATGACATCGGACTTGGCCTCGCGGTTGTTGGCGGAAGCTTCGAGCATGCGCAGAGTGTTGGTGACGAAGTCCCACATGAAGTAGATCTTGCCCTTGCGAGCCGCGTGCTGCCCTGCAAATTCGGGCTGGGCCTCGATGGCGCTGATGAGGGATTTGATGGAGGTCTTGAGGTCCTCGGTGGTAACCATGATTAATTGGGCGGTTGTTGATGGATGGGAGAAGTGTGAAAAATCGAAGGCGGGGTGTGATGCAGTTGCGTTCCAATCTCGGGGGGTTGGGTCGAGGAGTCGTCTGAAGACCGATCCGCGAGGAGTATTTAGACCAAATGGCAGCCTGCTAGAAGCAATTGGATACTGATCGAAGAGAATGTCCAATCTCCAGTTACACAAGACGCGCACGCATCATTTCTCGACGCGCGGGGCCCGCGCTCTCACGTGACATTTTACATGACTCGCACCTGCCGCCTTCCGACGGCATGCCGTAGTTTTGCCCGCACGACATCACCAGCCTAATCGCTGACATCTCCAGAGCTTTGGTCCTGTCTTGTCCTTCTTTCTCTCCGCGCCAAAGCGCAGCTCCCTCTGACAATGGCCTCATCCTGCGCTGCCAGGCCCAGTGCCTGGTCTGCCGCCCTTCGCACAGCTTCCCGCTCCGACACTGCCGCATCCGCCTCGGTCAGACGATCTTTCGCTGCGCCGCGCTCCCTCAATGCTTCATCGACACGGCCATATTCTAGCAGAAATGCTCGCTCAAGCTCGACAGCAGTCTGCGCAAGATCCACAGCCAATTTCCAATCTGCGTCGAAGCTCCAGGCCCGTCCTTTCTCGAGCACCCCGCGGAATTGCTATAAGACTGTCGAGGAAGCAAAGTCGCGGTATAAGCTTGGGGTCAGTCTGCTGCCAATGCTTGCAGGAACGCATTGGAACTGACATCTCAAGTAGCCCTTCTCTATGACTTCGGCCGTCCTCTTCTTCACTGCTGGCGCTGGTCTAATTGTCTATTTCCGCTACGAGAAGGAGCGTGTACAGCGCCAGCGCATTGCCGAGCAAACAAAAGGTGTTGGCCGTCCCAAGGTTGGCGGAGAGTTTTCCCTCGTCGATCAGAACGGCAACACGTTCACCAACGAAGATATGAAAGGGAAATATGCTCTGGTGCGTTTATTTGCTCTGTCGTGAATCCATCGGAGCAAGTTTGACGGAATATGCTTGCAGGTCTACTTTGGCTTCACACACTGCCCTGATATCTGCCCCGAGGAGCTGGACAAGATGGCGGAAATGATCGACGAGGTCAAGAAGGTTGCCGGCAACACTCTACGCCCTGTCTTCATTACTTGCGACCCCGCGCGCGACACGCCTGCTGTCATGAAGGCGTACCTTAAAGAATTCCATCCCGACATCATTGGCTTGACGGGCACGTGGGATGACATCAAGGGCATCTGCAAGAAATACAGAGTCTACTTCTCGACGCCACCGGACGTCAAGCCTGGCCAGGATTACCTCGTGGATCACAGCATTTATTTTTACCTGATGGGTGAGTGTCCTCGCGAATCAATTGCAAAGGAGCAATCCGCTGACGACATGCAGACCCTGAAGGCGACTTTGTGGAGGCGTTGGGCAGGAACGAGCCTGCGCCACGGGCTGCTAAGATTATCATCAATCACATCGGCGACTGGCGCGGCAAGTTGGATCGTGATTGAAGATCCGAATTTCACATGGTGACTGGACTCTCTGCTCATATGTTTGGCTGCAGTTCTGTAGATGCTGGCTGATGTACTACCACTGTAAGAAATAGACGACGCAAGCTTATCGAAGGAATGCATCACTTCTGGTGCCACAAAGCGGATCCATAGGGCTGAAATACCATGATGCAGCGTGGGAGGCATGCAAGCTGCACTCGGATAAGAAGAGAAAAGCGAGATGTGTATCTTGGAGGATGACCCTTGCATCCCGAAGCTTCTGGCCCAGAGCCGGGCTATCGGTTTCTGTTACGCCAGGGTGGTCGTTACTTGGCAATGCTTCGCGGGGGCGAAGAACGCGGTGGGATGAAGTCGCTTCTAGCTTTTTCCAACGCGGGGGCGGAGCACGGATGCTTTGCTGCACGCCCTCGTTCTCAAATGTTCCTAATGCGGTAACAGTAGATGGCTCTGTGGGGTCTCGTGCCGGGACATCGGCAGATCTCGCATCGCTATCGCTCCACGACATGCAGCAGTCCGTTACTATCATTGCAAGGATCGCAATCCGTCGGGGATACGTATTGAAAATGCCAGTGCAAGAAAGGGTGCGTATCAGTTGCGCGTTGCAAAAGACTCTTCTAGCTCACGGAGATGCTCGGCTACGAGTAGCCAGACGCCGGTAGGAAAAAAAAAGCTTTTGCGTTACCGAGTCAAGTGACTCTTTTTTTGGCCGGCGTCCCTGCGCTCTCGAACGACTGAGTTACGAGGCGGCACACTCCGAGGTCGACTTGGTCGCTTCCACCGTCTCAAATCAGCCACCACGATGGTGTCTGGACCGCTAATAAGCGGGCGCTATATCGCGAAGCAACGGTGCCCAGGCGAAGGGAAAAAGAGTACGGCGAGTACGGCGACCTGCCTGATCGAGTCACGTTGGAGCCGATAAGTCGCAGCAAGGCCGCCAAATGATTGGCTGGGCCCCGGCTCAGTTACGGCGCAGATGGCAGAAAACGGACTACCTCTGCGCTATCACACACACGTATTCAATTCCACTGACACAGCGATAAGTAGCCTTCGCGGCTCAGGCCACAAGCCGTACGCCGCCTCGCTTGCGCCGAAGCTTGTGCGCCCGTCGCATTGGCGCTTGGTGTTGCTGTGGCGGCACCCTGCTGTCGGACAGGACGGCAATGAAAGGCCTGCAACCACAAATGAGCGCCCAGCGATTTATCGTCGGGCGAATTTGCCCCTCAAGGCCTGCCACCGCTCAGTCGAGGTGGTGACACGCATGGACTGCCGATCCCCAGCACCGGCTTTCCTTCTACGCCGCCGGGTCGCACACCTCGTCTAAACCGCTCGGGCCGCCGCCCATGGTCTTACTCGTATTGGCAGTTGACTGCGTTCTACCGCCCTTCGATTGCAGCTAGGCGATCCTTACAGTCTGGAGACTGCCGCTGCGGACATGCCTCATTCGCTTCTGCCCCGGCCGTGCGACTATATAGTGTCGCGTGTCCTTCTACCCTGCGACCAGTCGTTGCTCTGTCTGTGCCTCTCTTCCTGCTTTGTCGACTGCCAATTGGTCTCTGCCGGCAATCATGAACGCTGCTGAGAGCGTCGACCGCTCTGCCGAGGAGGGCATGGCTCACGTCCAGTCTGCGTAAGTTTACCCGTTCTTCTGGGAAGACATTAGCTAGGAACAACTGCAGTGGAACAATAATGCTGACCTGCTTGTAGCTCGTTCGACGAAAAGAAATCTTATCAACCCCCGGACGATGTGGTTGCTCCCGACTACAAAGCTGGGTCCATCGAGGTCGACGAGAAAGAGGTCGAGGTCGACCATCTGCCAGACCCATTCGTCCCTTTCGATAATCTACCGGAAGAGCGCGACCGCGTGCTGACCATTCGCGCCGTGATAATGGGTTGCATTTGCGGTGCCTTGGTCAACGCATCCAATGTCTACCTTGGTCTGAAGACTGGCTGGACCTTCACCGCCAATTTGTTTGGTGCCATTCTCGGTTTTGCCGTCATCAAGTTTTTCTCTGTGACGTTTGCTGAGAACTTCCCTATCCTGGGCGGCGGCTTTGGTCCCAAGGAGAACAACATCATCCAGACAGCTGCCACAGCCTCCGGAGGCCTGTCGAACGTCTTCGTTTCAGCCTACCCGGCCTTGTATCAGTTGAACCTCATGAGCGAGAAGCCGAGCAGCGACTTCTGGAAGATTGTATCCCTCACCGCCGTCGGCGGCTACTTTGGCTTCTTTTTCGCGACCCCTCTACGCAAGTTCTTCATCGTCCACGTCGCTCGCGAGCTGTCTCTCGTCTTCCCGACCGCGACTGCGACGGCCATGACGATTCGTTCGATGCATGAGGCCGTATCCGGTGAGCTTATCGCCAAGATGAAGACCAAGGCCCTGGCCTGGTCCTTCACCGCTGCTTTCCTCCTGCGTGTCGTGTCGCAGTATGCCGTTGGCATCCTGTGGGACTGGCATATCTTCACGTGGTTTTTCATTTGGGGAGGCTACAACAACCTAGCCATCAATGTCGAGAACTGGGGCTGGCTGATTGAATTCACGCCCGCCTTCATTGGCTCTGGCATGCTTGTCGGTCTCAATGTCGCCTTTTCCTTCTACGGCGGCAGTATCCTCGCCTGGGGAATCATCGGCCCCGCCCTTGTCCACAACGGCGCCGCCTTTGGCGTGGCCGCGTCAGACGACCCCAAATGGGACGGTTACGTGTCGTTCGCCTCTCTTAGTCTGTCCGCCTCCAACAAGGACACGCCCAGCCCTCGCTACTGGATGCTCTGGCCCGGCGTCTTGTGCATGATCGCCGTCTCCTTCACCGAGCTTGCCCTTCAGTGGCGTGTCTTTGTCTATGGCTTCCGTGCCATCTACCGCGGATGCTGCGGGGCCATATACGCCATGGGACGTGCTGCCGGAAAGGAACTCGGTTATTTCCACGAGCGCTCGGAGCAGGAGTTGAAGGATATCGTTGAGGACCCTGCTCTGCCGAGTGAACGCGTCAAGACCTGGATGTGGCTCCCTGGCCTGGTTGTTACCATTATCGCGACCTGTGTTGGTAAGAATAGATTCGCCCCGGCCCCTTGTTATGCATACACAAACTAACTCTTGAGAAAGTTATGGGAGTCGAGTTCGATATGCCCGTTGGAATGTCTGTTCTCAGCGTCTTCCTGGCGTTCTTCTTCAGTTTCCTCGCCATTCAGTGCACCGGCGTGACTGGTAAGCACACCAAAAACGGAGGCTTTGATATATTCGCTGACTCACATGTTCCAGACATCACCCCTCTCACTGCCGCCTCCAAGGCTTCTCAGATCGTCCTCGGCGGCGCAACCAAGGGCGAGGGCTGGGGCGTCGCACACGCGCAAAAGCTGAACCTGCTGGGTGGTGCTCTCGCCAACATGGGCGCCAACCAGTCGACCGACCTGACGGCCGACTTCCGCGTGGGTTTCCTTCTCCGGACGCCGCCAATCCAGCAGTGGATTGCCCAGGGTCTGGGTACCATCGTCGCCGTCTTCCTCGCTCCCGGAATGTTCGTTCTGTTCGCGACTGCGTATCCTTGCATCTTGGATACCGAAGCCGAGCACTGCGCCTTCTCCGGCCCTTCAGTGTCCGCTTGGCGTGCTGTTGCCATCGCCGTCACTGATCCGGCTTTCCCGATCCCGACGAGCTCTGGAATCTTCGCCATCTGCTTCTCCATCTTCGGAGTTGCTATGGTCCTCGTGAGGCATTTCGTCTGGGTTGGAAAGCTCGAGTGGGTCCGCGCGTACCACCCCAACATTATGTGCGTGTCTCTGGCATTCGTCCTGCCTCAAAGTAAGTTACCCTCCAAGCGAATGAAAACACTGTCCCCAAGCTGCACTTTGAACACCCGGGCTGACGAGTTTTTCAGCTGTCTACGGTCTCGCCATGATCATGGGAGCCCTCCCCGCATACATCTGGGCCAAGCGGAACCCCAAGAGCTTCGACATCTATGGCTACGCGATTGCAGCTGGCCTCATCGCTGGCGAGGGTATTGGTGGTGTCGTGAACGCCATTTTCCAGATCGCTGGCATCTCCGGCGATTTCTACGGAAGCAACATTGCTTGCCCTGGTGATTTGTGTTAGGTGGCATATAGAAGAATAAGGCGACGTAGGTGGGTGTTGTGTAATGAGCGCAGCGTGAGGAGTGTTGTCGTAGGTGTTTGATACCATGGATTGGCGGTTGTGTTTAACGATACCTTCGCTGATAGATTATGACGAGTAACGATTTCTATAATCAATTCAATTGACTTAGTATACGCTTTCTATCAGTGTCACACATCCCAACGAGTAGTAGTGGTTGTAGTAGGTGGCGAATACACCATAGTATTTTCTCCCTACTCGCTGCTGTCCAACATCAGCTGTGGAAAAGAGGCTTTTGTTGTGATTTATTGTTTTTTACCTTCGGCTCTGCCACTGTCGTACCATCGAAACCGTCCTACTGTCAGCCCTTTACGGCCGGCTACTCAATAGATCGATACATGGTCCACTTTCGATTAGCATTCCAAATCTAGCGGCCATCCTCATCCATCTTCATTCCCGCTGCTACGTCCGGAACCCAGTATATCTGTCTTTTGCAGCCTCAAGCCTGTCTCTCACCTGCGTGCGGCGCCGTCGTGTCCACTGAGAGTAAAATATAAGCTAAAACAAACGCTAGGTCGAGACTGTAAAGTGTTGAAACCATAATGGATTGATCCTTTAAGGGGTACGCGACTAGCAGAGACTATGTACAACCAGCAGTAAGACTAAGCCTAAACAGGCCTTCTATATTGGGTAATTACTATGTGCAGCTCTTCGTACTTGAACATTAATGTCTCTTCACTTTACTATTAGCAGGTCCTTGCAGTCAACAAAGATATCAAGTAGGGTATATTGTTCGATAAGGTGAGATTCCTTTGCCGGCCGCTGAGCATATGACGAGGTGGCCACTTTTTGTCTCCTGAGAACTATACTTTGACTACTTTTGTAACGACACTATTGAGACAAAATCAGCTTCCGTATTGAGTAAGGCGCACTTTGTTGTTGTGTCTTTGGGACTACAATAATGCCGTGCAAGAATGACTACAGCTAGTGGCAATTGAAGACATTAGTCCCAGGGAAAAGGTTTGAGACAAACTTACCCAAAGTCCCGCTTCGAGTGCCGCTCACTGAATTCTCAATACTACGCTCACTGCCGTCGTGCCACGAAATCCGGCGCACTTGAGCAAAGCATTGCCTCGATCAGGCAACGGGGATGCCGGGCTTCTAGCGTGGCGAAAGCTTAGCTCCCGCCACGACCTAGACTCGTCGATAGGATCCAAGACATCGCGCCTTCCCCGCATCGTGCATCTATACCAACGTCTACGTAATATTGATGTCCCGTCGGTAGCTAATAGAGCAGGGAGAACGAATTGCCGTTTTGGGTTTCGCGTAGGTGACGGCGACGTCTGCCACAAGCACGGCTGTTTGCGGCAGATCTGTCGTCAATCTGCCACGAACCAGATAACGGGAGGTCCGCTCATCCGACGTTGGCCAGTGGCGCTCGCGCGCCGCCGGAACCCCTCCAGTTCGGCGTGTGGTGTTGAAGCGGCTGATTGGTCGCGATAGTGGCTCGTTCAGCTCTCCACATGTAAAATTGGCCTACCCACAAAGATCTGACATTCTTTCTAGAACGAGTCGGGTAGGTTTCTCGAAGGATTAGCCTGGGGAGAAAAGGTCAAGGATTGCGCTGTGATTCGCTGGGGGGCGTCTCCACATCGAGGGCGATGATGCAGGGCGACCCCTTTTAGCTGCATGGTGCAAACGCTAGGCGTGAAGCAGAATGTTACCCATCAATCTCCAAGACGGCCGGTGCACACAGCCTCACCGTAGCGGATGACGACGTTGCCATTGGTTCTCAAAGGCCATTGGTGTCATTTCTCCTGGACTTTGGGAATGGGTCAGCTGCAACGACGCCACGGATGGAGCTGGCCCAAAGCGGCGACCATGGACATCTCAGGGAGGTGTGATTAAGGTTGCCTGCCAGTTACGGAAGGAAGGCGAGCTCGGCCCCATTTTCTTTTTTGCTGCAACCAGGATGCTGTTGAGGCAACAGAAGCAAGAGTCATGAACCGTGTCGAAACGGGTGTGTCAGCACTAGCGGAGACCGTGTGGCTGGGGCATCGTCGCCAACGCGATGCAGGGCAGCGGGAATCTGATCGGAAGAAGGGGACGAATTATGGCACATGATAAGGAACGCGGAGCGCAGCGGCATCAATGTGAGACGACACGTCGGCGGCACACGGTGGGCGATCGGGTTGACGTCATACCGGGGATTGGCAGCATTTTTTTCCTCAGCAGAGTTGAATCGTGAAGAGCGACGATCGTGGTGTCGCAGGGGGCCGGCGATGCACCACGTGGTTGCTCAGACCTGAGGGATGCCCATCGTTATTCAGACCCTGGCCGGCTATCTGGCGACGCGTCTGCGATTGGCCTCGGGTGCGCGTTGCGTCAAATAGATTGAAACGAGCTGAGGAGCGACTGGGGAAGCACGAGCCGCGGCCGGAGATTAAGTGGTGCGTCGCCGGGTGCGCAGCAATGCGGAGGCCGCCATGCAGCGGTGAAGACGAGCAGACATTTGGAGGCCCGCGGTTGGTCTCTGGCCGCGTCCCACCGCATCAGCCAGGATCAGCCAAACAATCACCGAGTGGCTGCTGAAACACTGGGGGATTTGGAATGGCAGACGTCCGGAAGCGGCAAGCCGTATTGGATTCGAATCGCGCCCCGGCCCAGCGGCGACGTGCGGCTGGTAGCGAGGGGCGGCGCGACGACGGTTGCGAGCAGGCGGAGCAGCGCCTGGCCGAGCGCGCAGGGCGTGGCCAACGGCCGAATTTGCAAAGAACAGGCCCTGCAGGGCTGCGGGCGGGCGGTCCTCAGCCTGGTCGAGCGCGCGAGCGTGGGCCGTTTTTTGGCGCCTGACTCGCCGCGCGCCAGGCGCCGAGCATGAATGATCATTACGTGCAGCCTACCTAAGCAGCTCCAACTCTCAACACCACCACCCGACCCCAGAATCTCTCCCTTTCCCGCCCCTCCCCATGCGCTGCAGCGTCGCGCGACTCCGTCCTCAACCATGGACACCCTAGCCGAAGCCGACTTCGACAAGCTGCCCTTCTTCTTCACCACTCTTTACGAGAAGGAGGCGCTAAAGCTCAAGGAAGGCCAGTCTGAAGACTGGCTCGACGACGACCTGCGCGCGAATGCTCTCGCCCAGGGCCTCTGCGACATCGACCTGCAGCTTCCCGTGCGTCCGCCATCCGCCCGACTGCCGCCAACTCCAATTGACCCACACCCCCAGCAGAATGCGCCAGACGTCCTGGGCCCCACCGCGTCCCCGTTGCGCCGCTCGTCCGTGTCGGGCAACACGCAGGCCTCATGCTCGACCGATATCACCACTCCGGACTCGCCAGCCTCCGCCGACGACCATGACCGCAGTTTCGCCGCCTCGCCGCCCCAGCGACACTCGATGTCGGCGGCCCCGCACCCCGTCAACTATTCGCGCCACTCGACCTCGAGTCTGGCCTCGTACAGGAGCCCGAAGCCCAGGTTCTTCCGTCGCATGTCCTCGTTTGGCAAGAAGTATTTCAGGTACGTCACCTGAGACGTCCCTGCTCTTCGACCGCTAATTAATCTCCGCCAGCGCCGACGACCAAGGCCTGCGCAGTCCGCCCAAGCATTCTTACTCGTCCATACACCGTCTCGGTGACGTGACGGGCCGCATCACTTACAAGCATCCCCGGGTGAAAGAGGACTCTGTTACCGACTTCGATGCCGAGTCGGCCTTACTGCCGGAGCATTCCAGGGCTTCCAGCCCAGACTCGGTTATCTCTCACCACCCGCACGTTTCCGCCACTATGACGGCATCCCAACGCGCCGCCTTGAACCTGGCTCTGGAGCATGCCCAGTTCCGCGACATGTGGCAAGAGTACAGCAAGACGTGGGAGCGCATAATTACTTTCGAGGTAAAACAGAAGCAACTGTTTCACTTCTGGGAGAGGTTCTCTCGGAGGTCGCTCTATGCCCAGTTTACTCTTCTTAAGGATCGCCTCGCAGCCAAGGTACGCCCCAACGCGGTGCATTCTTGCGTCCAGTTTGACTGACACGTGCATAGCACTTGCAAGAGACTGAGCGTCTCGACGAGAAGCAACTCAAGGCCGAATACGCCCTGGAGCAAGCTCACCGTGAAGAGAGAGCGCGGTCTGCGGCAGCTTTGAAACACATGAAGGCCTACTGTAGCGGATCATCTGTTCCTGGTTCGACTAAGAGACGGATAGTTACTGAAGATGACAAACGCCGCCTGAGAGAGCAGGAGAAACTGCACGACGAACTAGACAGCAAACACGAAGCCGCGATGAAAATGACCCGAGCCCGGCAAGAGAAGGATGTAAAGGAGCTCAAACACGAACACGAGCAAGAATTCAAGGAGCTCGATAAGAAGTATAAGGAGGCACGCGCCTTGTCACGCAAAACCACCCAGGAGATTTCCCATCAACTGGACGACGTAATCCGAGCGCGCAGGCTTCGAGTGGTCCAACGCTGGTATATCAACCTGAAGCTGTGGGATAGGGGGACCACCGACCAAGACGACGTGCCTGCCTACACCGATCTTCCTATCATCCCGTGGCCGGATAAGACAGTCGTCGAGACAATGACTTCCCGAACCTACAGTGTCCTGGATACTTGGCATACTTTCAACGACCTTCCGCCTGCTGTTTCTCTTCACGTACCAGTCGTTCCCGAGTGTGATTGATCAGCTTGATACCCATTACAACATTTTTCATAAGCATAGCGGCGGAGTTTTCATCATCTTTGGATACTGGGTTTTGAGCTTTCTTTCATGCGAAATACCCCCTTTTCTTTCTGCATCCAAACTCATGCGCGCGAAACTTACAATACCCACGGGCATTTTCTTCCCACGATAGAGGTGGGAACCACCAAAACTTTCATCTTTTTTTGTGTATTCTTTCGGCTTCTTCACGGCCTTTGTGTTCCGCTAAAAAAGACCCCTTTTCATCTTTCGGATTTGACGCGTCATGACGCCAGAAGCCCCTTGGATGGAATGATTTGGGATAGATGAATGGTTCCTTTGGGGCATACATTTAAATGGATACAGAAGACGATAATGAGCATACCCGGGACAAAACTCGAACACCGAGAGCCCCCGATGGTTAGTAGTTAATTTAAAGATTGTACAGGAGTCCGAGGGACTACGACATGCTACTATCCATGAGACACTCCGAGACGGGTTCGAGGTATCGGAATCAGAAATGGCACGGTCCAACAGGGGGGCTCGCTCGCTTACAAGCACCGTTTATTGGAATGGAAGTGATCAGAGACGTTGACGCGCATGTCTCACGCATGGTCCAGCAGGATGGACGTCAGACTCGATGAGTGGAACTGGAACGGGCCGGGAGGATCATCGGGACGGCACGCTTTTCTAGAAAATCAGACGAACCTTCGAAAGTACGTATCATGGATGTCTCCGAGACTCGAGTCAGATGTGGGCCAACACAAGGCCCACAAGATTTCCAACCAAAACGAAAGGCAGACTTGATGGGATGGATTAGGTCTTGTAATTTCTGACAGAGAGGTTAAATGCATTTATAACCCGGATTCAAGCGACATTTCAAACAGTTTTGCTAATTCTCTATCCACACAGCTCTTTAAGGCACGGTTGCGAAATCAACTTCAACGAATAGAAAAGGTACTCTCTATGTGAGTATGGCCTCTGCAATTCGTGTTACGTAATACATTGTTCTTTGGTTCTTTTTCGCACTTGTGAATTTACTAAAGTACTAAACACGAGACACTTCAGAGATAGCATCATGCCTGCTGCTCATGGAATTTGACCACCATAGTCATCCCATCAAAGGGCTTTGAAGTAACCTGTCGCGTCTGCACCAAAGTTAGCACGATGCTTCCCCTAGATTTCTGCTAAATGGAATCATAGAACAAGAGACTTACGTTGAACATGGGGCTCACAACCTCATATCGCCCCTTCACATCGTCCAGCACCGGGTTTCCCTCCTTGTCCTTGAGCACCTCACCGGCGCCTACCTTTATAAAGTCGTATCGTCGCGCCGCCACCGCCAGGATCACCCGGGCCTCCAGGTTCGCCAGCTCCTGTCCGATGCAGTTCCGTGGGCCGCGCTCGAAGGGCCTCCACGCACTCGGCGGCACCTTTTTCGTTGTCGAAGATGCGCCGCCGTTAGTGCTGCTGCTCTTCTCCGGAATCTCGTCGACGCGCGACGTGTCGACGTCGCCCAGCCAGCGCTCGGGCACCCATTCGTCGGCGTCGGGCCCAAAGACGGCCGGGTCGCGCTGGACGATGAAGTGGCAGTTGTACAGGACGAAGCCGTCGAGGCAGACGCTCTTGGTCCCGCCGCTGCCGTCGCCGCTGGGCACGTTGACCATGAAGCCCGCGCCGTCAGGGACGCGGCGGGCGGAGCCGGCGGGCGGGTAGAGGCGTAGCGTCTCCTTGATGACGGCCGAGGTGTAGGCGAGCTTCTTGATGGCGTCGTCGCCGCCGGGGGAGGCCAGCGCGTCGGCGATGTCTGCGGACGTCGCGCTCGCGCCGAAGACGGCGTCGAGTTCGGCGCGCAGCGAGGCGAGGGCGCGCGGCGTGCGCGAGAGCTCGTAGAAGGCCCACTGCAGGAGGATGCTGGTCGTGTCGTGCCCGGCGAAGAGGAACGTCTTGAGCGTGTCGGCGGTGGTCTGGAGGGCGAGCGGCGAGAGCGGCGAGGTCGAGGATTCGGCTTGCAGGCTCAGCGCGAGGACGGAGCGGGGGCGGCTGTTCTTGGGAACTTGGCTGTTGCCGTTGATTAGGGGCTCTTGGCCCCCGGTTTTGGCGATGACTTCGGCGTGCTTGGAGCTGATGATGGCTTTCAGCTCTTCGTCGATGGCACGGGTGAGCTTCTTGCGCCGCCGTGTTAGAAATGGGTTGTTCGGCAGGCCGACGAGGCCGGTTTGGTCCGTGTAGGAGTGGATGAGCTCGCGGTAGTAGCGCACAAGGGCGCTTTGCTTGGATACGTCTAGTTGAGCGTTGAGGTCAACGTCCATAACGACGGCACCTAGGAGAGAACTTCATATCAGTCTTCAGGGCGATCTTTATTGAGAAGATAGACGAGAAGAAGGAAATTCAGAGCTAGGCCTACCAATGATGTCAAAGGTGAGATCAATGCAGACACCATCCATTGGGGATGATTTTCCTGACTTGGCAAGCTCATCAAGGCGGATTACGAAGAGCTTCGTCTTTTCAACGATACGTGGAAGGAGGGTCGCGAGATGTGTGGGCGCAAAGCCTTGGTTGTAGGTTCGGCGCAAGGCTTTCCATATCTCATCCTGTTTGTTGTGTCAGAAAACTATTTCACGGAATCATTTGCAACATAGAGCTTTCTGATTGGGTTTCGATATTCCACATTGAACTGTAAAAGCGAAAGCTCCGTTTCTTGGAGACAGGAGCAAAAAGCCCTTGATACTTACCTCAGCGATAAGTAAGGAACGTTCACCGATAAGTGGTAGTAGATCTCCTGGAATGGAACAGTTTAGGAAGAGCTACCATGGTTGGATGGAGTCAACTAACCCATTGTAGGCGACTTCGGAACGCTATAAGGGAAAGTTTTGGAAGACTTGGTGATTTGTTCGCAAACGTCGTGGGAGGTAATTAGAGCTATCTCGTAGACAAACGGGCGGAAGTCTGTGATCACAATGGGCGGGTGACCCATGGACTTGACCAAATCATAGAATATGTAATCTTTGGAGGTAAGTTTTGGATACGTGTGAGCCATAATGAGCACCCACCACTGTGAAGCCTTGAGTCTCCCCGCTTCCTATAGAGATCAGCGATCACTTTGCCAGTACCGAATAGCAGATTCCGTGGGGCATAGACCACGCCGTCTCTCGTTCGATATCGCCATTTTACTGCAAGAGAGTATAGAAGCCACAAGAACAGGGGAAAAGCGGCGAAAACAAACGTGGTACTGAAAATCATAGTGATGGCAATGAGGAAACAGCGGTTGAAGTTGAAAGAAGGCACGGCTAGTGCATAAAGTATGACACCGGCACTAAGAAAGCTAGTACTTGGCCCGACCAATTATCTCCACTCTCATAGGTCCCATGGAGTTCGCCTAGCTGAGGATTGCGCCGCCTGCGCCGCCTTCGCTTCCATGGTCGCACCCCCTCAATGCGCCGCCATGCATGATGTGTCTGGGCTTGTCACAGGGCGCTACGGGCCGATGCATGAGGGCGAGATTGAACCACACGGTACAATGCGATTGGCTTGTGCGTTGGGCTGGCTAGTCATCGAACTGCACGAAGGAGCTAGTGCTCACGAAATCGAATCATGTTCACTCTGGCCCTGCCGTGCTTCCGTACTGGAAATAGTGAACGACTGCTTTTTCTGACAACATTGCTTTTCCTTGGGGTGAGCCATCTCCAGGATACCCGAGGATGTAGACATCGGATGTTTGTGGAGTTGCTTTGTAATGAACGAAGACCTTAATCGATGGCGCAGGGTCACTACTGGACTCTTGCGGATGAAGTCGAGTTGCCTAGCTGAGTGAATTGACAGAGACCAAGCAACCAATGGCGGATGGCGGCAACAACTTCCTTGGCCTATCGATAACCCAAAAAATGAGCATCTCCGCCAGCCAACAACTTCCACCGCAGGCTAAAGGAGCAGACTCTGACGAAGCAAGCCACAATGCTACGCGAAGATACGGGCGACATGTCTCCTACCACGGGCTTCCGCTCCCTCTCGATGCGCGCCTCCCACTCGCCACCGCCGCCACAAAACAACGTCCTCGACGACATCTTCGGCGAGCCGATGACTGCCCTGCCGGCGGCGCAACCGCCCGCGATTACCACATCCAGCCAGCTCGACGACGTCTTCGGCTGCTCGCCACCACGCGACCCAATTGCAGGGCCCGTCTCGCATGAAGGGGAGGAGGATGCGGCGACGGCGGCGGCGGGCACGAGGCACGAGACCACCACAACCGTTAATAGGGATGTCTCGGACATTCCACGCTTGCGCAGCGTGCATGTCACCGCGGGCTACCGTGATGGCATTGCTGAAAGCAAGGCTGGACACGTGCAAGACGGCTTCGACGAGGGGTTTCCACTGGGCGCCGTGTTGGGCATGAAGGCGGGCTGGGTGTTGGGTGTGCTCGAGGGCGTGGCTGTGGCGTACAGAGCCGCGGCGCTGGGGAAAGCGAAGATGGCTGGAAAAATCGAGGATGCCGCCGAGACTTTCGAGGCCGCTAGAAGGCAGTTGGTGGAGGCGAGGAAAGAGCTGGACATGGTGTCGCTATTCGGCCAAGGATACTTCGACGAAGAGGGCATTTGGAAGTATCACGTCGACGGTCAAGAGGGCGAGGTCACCTTCGAGGAAGTGGCTGCACAGCACCCATTGATCTCGAAGTGGCTGTCAGCTGTTGATGCGCTGGTTGAAAAGGCAAGAATTGATCTCGGTATCCTGGACCGGCGCGTTAGGGAAGATTCCGACGATGAGGGAACGACAGTCGGCTGAAGTTGCCGCAGCGTCTGAGATGGACAACCATCACGAGAGCTGCGCATGCCTACCAGACGCAATTGCACCATCGTTGGTTGGCCGCAGAGTGAACGCGGCTCTAACATCTGGCACGCTGCTACGGGAGAGTAGACTCTCACCAAAGACCCGACAGCCGCACCGACCATACGGTGAAAGATCCAAAAATGGCGTCAGTGTCACGTAGACCATTCGCAATCTCCTTAAGATACGGCTTATTCTTCAGACCAGAAGATAAAGTTAGGCGAAGGGTCACCGGAAGACCCGGATAATCCCAGCGGTGACAGTTCGGGATTACTGGGATGAAAGCAAGAGCCATGTAAGGATCAAGACTCCAGTGCATCACAGGATAATAGAAGGGAGATGGATGCTATCCTACAAGAAAGATTGCGAAATCCGTGGCTCGGTATATGGAGCTACAACAGAAAATTAATTCATATCCTTCGTGTTGTTCAGTCCATTCTTATACTCTACGTTCCTCATTTTATCGCTTAAAACATTAATGACACCTTCCTAGCTTCCCAACATATCTTGGACCCCATCACTGATGGAGATAAGCGTGCTGAGAGCCATCCCACCGCTGTTTGCTCTCAGCCGCCAGTAACAGACCTGTATTGCCCCTCGGTCGGAGTTCTGACCCATGTGTGGCGTCTTTTCTGGAGGATAACCCGGCGTAACAAGGGATTCATATTGTAATCTTAGACACCGTTTGGCAGCTGTGCAGCCGGCCTTCCGATCCCATCCTCACTGGCGATGACCCAATCTGTGATCTCACCCTTCCAGTCTGAGATGCGGCCATCCTTGATAGTGACAACAATTACCCTAGCCTCTTCGCCCTCTACCCAGTAACCTCTGCCGCCATCGCCGCTTCCAGAGACGTTCGGACTTGTGCTGAATGCATTGCCTGCATCGTCCATTTCTGAGCCAAAAGTGTTGTTCTCCAAATGTTTCGCTTTGAGCCACTTCTCCTCGTCGGAGTTGTGGGGCACAAAGGAAGCGTTTCCGTTGATCGTCACCGAAATGCGCGACAGGGAAGCAGAGTTCATGCCCAGAAGCAGTGTGGCCAGTGAGCTACGAGAGGCGGCAGGCGGCGGGCTTCCCTCGCGGCCAGAGGAAAGGGTCGGAGGACGGGTCGTCACCCAGTCGTGGACAAGCAGGGAGACGCGCGGGTTTTGGCACAGGTTGGTTGTCTTCTGGGTGCCGGGTGGGGTGGTCATGATGATCTGCGGGGTAGGCGAGTAGGGCGAGGAGGGCAGATAGGTGTAGTTCATGAGAGAAATGTGCGGCATGGCGTCGGACGAGCTTGTCGCAAGGTGCAGCTACAGGCGAATTCTTAGTATCTTCTCTGCGACCAGTCGGGGCACAGCAGCTAACATAGCGGGCATTCTCCAAGCATTGGATGACTTCCTGCGGCAGCGTGGAGGACACGCGCGGCGTGCTTTCGGCGGTGATCTCGGGCATGGTTGGCGCAGGCTTCACGGCGCTGGAGAGCGGCTCGCAGGCGTGTGAGTCTGAGATTGGGTATGGGGTGAAGGACAAGATCCCCGCGGCGGGTAATGACGGCGCGTACATCGGATTGGCGCACCCGCTTCCGCCGCCGCCCCAGCCACACGCGACGTCACGGGGCTGTGCTCCACTCAGCCCTGGATACGCGCATTCGATCGGCAACCCGTCGTAATACCTAATTACCCTTTGCGAGCCCAGGGTCGTGTCTATCGCAACACCTCCCTTCGACCACCGACCGACCGACCGACATTCAACACCTGTCGCAATCAGTCATGGACTCCAAGGAACACCTGCCCTCACCCGCGGACCGGCCGCACACGCCCCTCCAGGAGGGCCCGTCGACGCCTAACGACGTGGAGCCTGCGCCGGCTGTCCAACCCTCGCTGGCCGACCAGGCCATTCAAAGGGAGGTTGACGAGGTTATCTACTCTGATGTGTGTCTTGCCGCCGCGTAGCCTCCCGGCGCATCGCTGAACTCAGGGTCTAGATCGGAGTCAACACGCTGCTCACCCGACTCAAGCAGAGCATTGCTTCTGCGAGGGTACGTATCGGCCGCGCTCACCCGCGCTGCCCGTACCGCTTACTGATGCTGCGCAGGACTTCTCCAACTTCCTGGGCAAGCGCTCCAAGCTCGAGGAGGAGCAGGCCCAAGGTGTCAAGAAGCTATGCCGCTCCACGCACGAGGCGCTCCGCCGGAACGAATCGCGTCAGGGAACCTATGGCACCCAGTTCGAGGAGGCAACCAAGGTTCACGAGCGCATGGCCGACAACGGAATGCAATTTGCCCTCTCGCTCCATCAGATGCACGAGGACCTGAATGAGCTCACGAACACCATCGAGAGGCAACGGAAGCATTGGAAGCAGACCGCTCTGGCGAGCGAGAAGAAAGTGACCGATGCGATCCAGCAGATGGAAAAGGCCAGGGCCAAGTATGAGTCGTTGGCAGAAGACTACGACAAAGTCAAGACTGGCGATAAGTCCGCAGGCAGGATGTTTGGAATCAAGGGTCCCAAGAGCGCCGCCCAACACGAGGAAGATATTCATCGTAAGCTCCAGGCCGCGGACGCGGATTACAAGAGCAAGGTCGAGAATGCGCAACTGCTGCGCACGGAGCTTGTTGAGAAGCTGCGGCCGCAAGGTGTCAGGGCCATGATGGAGCTCATCAAGGAATGTGACTCGGGCCTGACACTGCAGATGCAGAAGTTTGGTAAGATCGTGTCCAGCGCGTTCTATTAATATGCACCTAACATGGATCCCATCACAGCATCCTTCAACGAAAAGCTTCTGCTTGGCAACGGCATTCTCGTTGCGCCGTTGAACAACCCCGGCGAGCCGGAGCACCCTAGTCTACGGGATATTATTTACAAGATTGACAACGACAAAGACCTTACGTCCTACATCACCGAGCACTCAGTAAAGGTTCCACGACCTCCGGAGATCAAGTACCAGCAGCACTCTGTAAGTATCTATGACATAGCTGTCTGCTGGACTTCCGCTGACTCTGAAGACCCTGGCTCCGGCACATCAACCGACTCCCCCATCCGTGCCCGTGTCAGACCCTTTCCGCCCTTCGCAGCCGTCGCCGGTTAACACTCAGCCGCCACCTCCGCCGCAACAGGAGCAGCCACCGTTTCTTTCATACAACCCACCGAGGGATCCGTCTCCGATCCTGTCGCCGGTACAGGATGGCTTGCGGCAGAACCCATACTCGGCCCCGACGGAATCGCATCCACCATACCCGACGAGCGACTTTCCACCGCAGTCTTCCGGTTTTAGCAATGGTGGTCCTCCCGGAGGTGGACCTTACGGTGCGCCGCCACCAAGTGGCCCACCTACGCACTTCTCCAACGCCCCGCCTATCAAGCCGGTATTTGGGATCACGCTGGATGAATTGTTCCACCGCGATGGAACGCCAGTCCCACTTGTCGTTTCTCAATGTATCCAGGCCGTCGAATTGTTCGGACTGGAGACAGAGGGCATCTACCGCGTGCCTGGCACCAATTCGCATATCATGTCGATGAAGCAGCTGTTTGACCACGGTAAGAAGCAAAGCAGAATGATTGTGGGCTGTTCCTGACAAGATATTAGACTCTACAGCGGTCGATTTCCGTAATCCCGAAACATTCTATCACGATGTCAACAGTGTTGCTGGTCTCCTGAAGCAGTTCTTCCGTGATCTTCCGGACCCGCTTCTTACTGCAGCACACTACGAGGAGTTCATCGAGGCGGCAAAGATCGAAGACGATACAGTCAGGAGGGACAGCCTTCACGCAATCATCAATGCACTGCCTGACCCCAACTATGCTACGCTGAGGGCACTGGTGTTGCACCTGAACCGCGTGCAAGACAGGAGCGCCAGCAACAGAATGAGCACAACTAATCTGGCCATCTGCTTTGCGTAAGTGACCCATACTTGCTCTGGATTTTCGGAAACTTACATATGTGTAGACCTACTGTTATGGGGCAGCACAGGGGTGCCATGGCCGATGCTGGGCTGCAAGCCAAGGTGTTGGATACTATTCTTGTCAACACCTACCAGATCTTCGACGAGGACTAGTGGTTTTCTTTCCAGGCGACACAAGCTGTGCTGTGTCTGTAGGGTTGTGGATGAGGCGCTTGATACCAATTCATTTCATCATTGCGGGTCTGATACAGTGAGCCATTTTCGGGATTTAAGAAGTTGATTAATGCACATTTCTTGCTGTTGGTCTATAGGTTCCTGTACAATTGACATGGACGTGCATTTGTGAATTTGTGCAGCCGGAGTCGGCGTTCGGGGTTTGTCGGGCCGAACCGAGCCGGGGACGGCGATTTGCGTGCAGCGCGATCGACGCGTTATCGTCATCGATACCAGGAACTGGCGCTGGCGCATCAGCAGCGCCTGGCCAGGCACCAGGCATACGAAAATCTTCCTCATCTGCTGACATTCCTCTCACACAACTCTACCTCTACCTCCTTCCACAGCGCAAGGCTCGCCACTATGTACAATGGCTTGCCTCGCATCTGCAGAGCTCCGTGTCATGCACTACAGCTGACCTGCCCCGCCGCCGCCCGCACCGCGCAGACGCAATCATCCATCGCCCTTCGCCGCTCCCTCCAAACCGCCCAGAAATCCGCAAAGAAGCAGAAACGACCCACTCAGGCGACCGCTACGGCAACCTCTACCCCGCCTCCGCACGCATCCTCCCCATCGTCCTCGTTTCCGCGCACGCAAAAATGGGCCCGCCGGCTGGCATGGACCGGCGCGGTGCTAGGCGGCATCTACATCGCCGACACGCAATGGAACAACGCGGCCGTGACGCGATCAATGCGGACGTTCAAGACGGGCCTGGTGATCGGAGTGGACTACAAGATCAACTTCCGGGCGGACCCGCCGTTCGCCGAGTCGCTGGCCGAGGTGCACAACCGCAACGCGGAGCGCGTCTTCAACCTGCTGCGCGAGAACGGCGGGCTGTACCTGAAGATCGGCCAGGCGATCGCGATGCAGAGCGCGATCCTGCCGCCCGAGTTCCAGAAGATGTTCGCGCGCATGTTCGACGATGCGCCGCAGAATGGGTGGGAGGATGTGGAGAGGGTGGTGCGTGAGGACTTTGGGGGAAAGGGCCCGGAGGAGGTGTTTGGGGTGAGTTTTACGGGAGAGGAGGGGAAGGGGGTCATGGAGAGAACGGCGAGGGCTAGCGCGAGCGTGGCGCAGGTGCATTGGGCGAGGTTGCCTGATGGGAGAGAGGTCGCGGTCAAAATCCAGAAGAGGGAGATTGCGGCGCAGGTGGGATGGGACCTTTGGGCTTTCAAGTATGCTTCATATTGTTTGACTGAATCTTTAGATTGTTGTTATGCTGACGGATCGTGTAGGGTCATGGCGAGAGTGTATACCTGGTGGTTTGACCTGCCGTTATATTCGCTGGTGCCGTACATTTCGGAGCGGTTGATGCTGGAGACAGATTTCGAAAACGAGGCGGATAATTCGGAAAAGATGAAGCAGCTGGTCGAGAACGAGCCACGGCTACGCGGACGCGTGTACATCCCGAAGGTATACCGTGAGCTCAGCAGTAAGCGCGTCATGACCGCCGAGTGGATAGAGGGAACCAGGCTGTGGGATAAGGAAGGCGTCACAAACCATTGGAGAGGGGGGTGGCGTGAGGGAAGCCCAGGATGCAATGGCTCACCACTTGATCCTCCCTCGAAAGAAGCTGTCTCGTCGATATCACACAATGACCCCAACCAGGAGCAACTCAAACCTCAGAGAGATTCATGGCGCGGAACGGACGGGAAGGGAGGTCTTGGTCTCTCACTCAGGGATGTCATGACCACCATGGTTGATTTGTTCAGCGCGCAAATGTTCCTCTGGGGGATCGTTCATTGTGATCCTCATCCTGGTAACATCTTCGTGCGGCGCCTGCCCAACGGGAAGCCGGAGATCGTACTTATCGACCACGGCCTGTACATTCAGATGAATCCCGACTTCCGGCACCAGTACGCGCTTTTATGGAAGTCTCTTATGACATTTGACAATGCCACCATCGCTGAGATCGTCAAGGGCTGGGGCATCGGCTCGCCGGACCTCTTCGCCAGTGCAACGCTGATGCGACCGTACACGGGCGGCGACAACTCGACGTCGGCTGAGATCCGGAAGGGTGTGAAGGGGAAGACGGAGGGAGAGCGGGCGTACGAAATGCAAATGAAGATGCGAGCGGGCGTCAAACAGATTCTAACCGACGAGACCAAGTGGCCGCGCGAGCTCATATTCATTGGGCGCAACTTGCGAATCGTCCAGGGTAACAACCAGTTTCTCGGCAGCCCCGTCAATCGCATCAAAATCACCGGTCTGTGGGCTAGCCGCGCACTGGCAGAGAGCAGAGACTTACCCGTCAGTGAGCGACTGAGGAACTGGGTCAAGCATCTAAAGTTCCGGTTCGTGCTACTGGGCAGCGATGCCGTTTGGTGGTACGCGTGGGTCAAGCAGAAGTTGGGATTGGGAGGTGGCATGGAAGAGGAGATCGAGGCGCAGATGAAAGTCATGGCCAAGGATATGGGCATTGAGCTCAACCATGGCGTTTTTGAGGGCTGATGTTTGTGTTCGAGTAAGAGTTGCGTGTATTGCTATGCCTGTTGATGGGTTTAAAAAGTGCTCCGCTCTTGATTTTGTTGACGGGGTATGCGTGTATTATATGGTTTGGGCATGTCCACTTCTTCTTGTCAGAAATTAAGCCGGGGTAGAGGATAGAACAGATCTCGAACAAGAGGCGAAGGCTACGATACATGACTACTTCACCTTGATGCAACGATCCTATGAATCACAAAGAACTGCCTTACGGTGTTGGGCATCACAGTCACCAGTGAAGAGATGTTGGCAACCTCACTGTCAGCTTTGGGATTAGGTGATGTAACTTGAAAATATGCCATGCTTACAAGATAAATATGTGAGATGCGGAATACGATTGGTTATGTTCGATCGTTCTGTGTCACTGAACCTAATCGTCTGCCAAGGAGGACTCGGAAGCAATATTCCAGGAGACTAGTGACAAAGCAAGTTATAAGATGGAAGAAGGCCCATAGATTGACCTCGCGATAAATGATGGGGTGTTGGGGAAAGAAAATTACCTGAACGTGCGCTTGCATCAAAGCGTTCTCTCTCTAATTGCAAGATGGTTGCGGTCGCGAAATATCCCGATACATAGTGAACGGTACCCGCCACCCGGGGCGAATGCTCAAAGTCGACCAGATGCGCAGTCAGAAGGTTGTTGTTGCCTAGATGATGCATCATGCCTAATCCATCAACCGCAATCCTTATGGCTGGCCTAGATTTCCCTTGGCTGGATTCTGGGCCATGTAAGCCAGTGGCCGTTCCATGGGTGGAACGCGCTCCGGGAATCGGAGGACGATAAGTCGCAAACCAAACCACTGCTGCCATCAAAACCGAAATGCGGGACCCAGGATGTAGCATGCGTCGAGGAATAGGAGTTCTAGTCCCACGGGCAGTGCAAGGTAAGTAAGTATGAGGCGTGTGGGTTGTCACCAACTGTTGAGGGGTATCATGAGACTAGCTGCCGCATCAGAAAGAGGCTTCGGGAATCGAATTCTTGAGGGTTGCAAATACAATCGGACTATTATTCCAGAGTTTTGTGAAGTGCTAAGTTGATACTTCCAAGCCTGCTTCGTGGTGTTTCAAGGCCATTTTGTGACTGAAGTGGGGTGTAGGGTGGCGTGCAGGCTTCTCGTACGTAGAAAAGTCAAGGCCATCGCCATCGGCCAAAGTTGGTGACGACAACGGAGATTGAACATAGCTCAGAACGAAAGAAGGCAAATTTGGAGGGCTGTCGTGGGTGGTCCTTGTTATTGGGCATTTCGGCGTCACCGCCACGTGAGTGAGGATCGTCTGGGAGAGAGAGTCGGACCATCACAACAACAATGTCAACCACCAAGGTTGCTGTACAAGGTAAATACGAGTGTCACCGGCATCTCCTCTCCCATGATCCAGAAAGTCCATCCACATGGGAGTGTCAGAAAAGACTTCCACTGGCCAATCGAAGGCCCATCGGCGGAGGCAGTGAAGTCTCTGCAGCTGTTCTACAGAACCTCGGCCCCGAGATTTAGAGGCTTCATGAGGCCATGCAGAGGCTTCCTGCACCCGGAAGAGGCATATGAATGCTCCCAAAACAAGAAGTGTAGGGAAGGGGTGGCTTGAAGCGGGCCGATTGACAGCGATCACTGCTACTCGGGTGCTGAACAACAAAGGACGCGGCAGGTGTGATCACGCAAGCTTGGCAGTCATGACTTGAGGCTGCGTGGGAGGAGCTGGCTGGCCAGGCGCGTGCGCAGAGACCTGGCTGCTGACGGGGCAGTCGGCCGTGCCTGGAGGCATGTCACAGGACGTGGCGATTCCCCGAAGCATCGGAAGAGACGGACAGCGCCTTGGCCGGGCTTGCGGGAGCTCACTTCGCAGATACTTGGGCATCTTCAATCAGGGAGAGCTGGTGTTTTCCCAGCCTCCTGTGCTGTGATGGGGCAAGCTTGAACACACCGCCCGGCGCCGAGGTGAGCGGATTGGGAGGTGGTCATGCTCAGGGAGCGTCCCCAGATGAAGGGGAGGCCGGCGGAACAGCGGCTCGAGGCCAATGGGTCAGTGAAGGGGAGGGATATCACGGTCTGCGGCGGCGGAGGACGACCGGGCAGGCGTGTTTGCTAGGCGGCAGAAGCGGGCGAGTCATATGTGCGGGATTATGCGAGCTGCGGGAGAGGGCAGGCGAGGGGTCGTTGATATTGTTGCGCAAGGTGGCCGGCCACCGACTCTTCTATTTACCTAGTGCCTTCCCAATCCATCCCACGCGAGCCGTGAGACGACGCCCACCGCATCCGCCCTTCCATCACCCCGACCTCGACTCGCCCAGTCTGGTGTTACGGCGGAGCGGTCACTGCGAGCCATCACGTAGCTGACGCTCGTTCGTTGGTCGCTTCGGCTGCACATCCCAGCGGCCTGGTCTTCTCCCTCGCACGCGCACGCGTTCGTTCCTCTCCACCACCGTTCCGCGCGAGCTGCTCCTCCGCTCCCGCTCCCGCCACCCACCAGGACCTCAGCGCCATGCTGTCGTCGGCCCAGCCCAAGCCGCAGGGCCGCCCAGCCTCGCCGCATTCGGACTCGTCGACGCTGTCCAACATTACCGTCGCCGACCCTATACAGCCCGCCGCCAGCTCAGTCGCCGCGTCCTCAACGCCGCCGACCAGCCAGTCCGACGACCAGAGCGTGCACGAGGACGCGCACAAGCAGTCGGACCTGCACGCCGACCTGCACCGCAGTCGTCGCCACAGCTCGCGCGCGCGCGCCGCCGTTGCAACGTACAATGACAAAGAAAACGCCGGCACGCGCATTCATACGCCGGCAAAGTACCGCAAGGACAAGGACACACCGCTCCAGTCACCACAGCAGTCGGACAGTCACCAGCCCGAACACGACGCGTCGACCGAACCCCCCAGCCCGTCCAAGCCCCCCAACGAGCCAATGCAGCGCCGTCACAGTGCCCGCTCCCGCACCACCGTTGTAACATACAATGACAAGGAGAATGCCGGAACAAGGATCCACACGCCCACCAAGTACATCGATGGCACCTACATCCGCAAGACCCTCCACGACCCCATCCCCATGCCGGGGAGGCCGCAGCTGCCGTCGCCGACCGAAAGCGTGAAGAAACGCTCCGTGAAGCCACGCGCGAGCGGTCTGCGCACCGAGCTTCGCGCCGACAGCGACGATGACAGCCTGGCAGACGCGACTTCGGCCTCACCCCGGAAATCGGCGCGATCGGGTCAGAACGCCGGCAAGACGGGCCAGCGTGCCGCGTCGCAGCTGGGAAAACGCGGTCGCGACGCCTTCCAGACCAAGTCCAAGGCCGCTTTGCGCAAGTCAGACAGCCCATTGAAGAAGAGACAAAGGAGGGCGGCATCCGAACCCACCCCCGAGCCCGCCTCTCAGATACCCCGGCCAGACGTGAGATATGGCGATTGCGGCGGCAAGACCTGGCTCATTGCGGGCAAGTACTACAAAACTGGCCAGGACGATTTGGCTGGAGAACTCTCTACGGTTCCCGGCCACAAGCCCAAGAACAAGGATGGCAGTGCCGGCGTGAACAGGAGTCTCCCGCTCCCAATGTTCTTAATGGCGGAAAAGCTGGACCTTTACCCCAAGAAGAAGGTCCCTGAGCACAAGCGCCCATTCGAACCGTTCCAGCTGCCTTATGATGTCTTTTGTCCTCTGCCCAAGGAGGCCAAGGTAAAGGATTGGAGGGAAATGAAGAGAAGTAAGTACTGCCGTCACACACCCATGGCTTCGTGCATCTAACAAAGAAACAGACGAATACAAGGGTGAAGATGCTCAGGAAATCAAGGCAAGGGCGAAAGATCAATGCAAGAAGCAAAGGCAGATGGAGGCATCAACTTGCAACTGCATTGGCCGCTGCGACAGGGATAGTTGCTTCAATGCCTCGCTCTTCTTCGAGTGCGACGACAGGAGCTGCAACCTTGGTCCTGATTGTGGCAATCGGCAATTCACCAACCTGCAGAAGCGCTACAAGGATGAGCTTCGCCAGGGAAAGTATTTCAAGAGTTTCAACGTCGGTGTCGAGGTCGTGGAAACGGAGAACCGCGGCCATGGTGTCCGGGCCATGCGGCCTTTCCAGAGCGACCAGATTGTCGTTGAGTACATTGGCGAGATCATCACTCAGCAAGAAAGTGATAGAAGGATGAACGAAATTTACAAAGACCATAAGGTGAGTTCTCTTGGCGGTCTCGGGAGCCCATGTTTCACACCGGCTTTGTTTGGTCCCTTACGTGCTGCACCCTTAAACGCGAGTCCCGTGTTTCCCGGGGGATTGGCTGACATTTTGACGCAGTGCTTCTACTTGATGAACTTTTACGACAAGCTTATTATCGACGGATACCGCGGAAATGTAGCCCGCTTCGTCAATCACTCATGCGACCCGAACTGTAGGATGGAGAAATGGACTGTCAATGGCGAACAAAGAATGGCGTTGTTTGCGAACAGACCGATCATGACTGGGGAAGAATTGACCTGGCACTACAACTTCGAGTAAGTGGCCGTGAACGAGTTGATGAGAGAGTGTCACCAACCTTGCTTTTTTAGGTCATACGGTAAAGAACAGCCGTGCTATTGCGGGAGCTGGAACTGCGCAGGAGTCATCGGACGGCGTAGGAACAAGCCCCTTAAGGAGCCCACTACTGGTAACAAACGTAAGTCTCCGGATGACGTAGAGGAGAGGCCCAAGAAGAAGCCAAAGGTCACAAAGCTGGTTGAGGCCGCCTCGAAGGCGGCTTCAAAGACCGGCAAAAGCTTATTGTCAAAGACGAAAGAGGGCCTGAAAGGACTTGTGCATACAGTCGCCGCTGCGACATCTACGCCAGCTGTGGAAGGCAAGAAGAGCAGAGATGAGCGGGCTGCCAGGAGATCTCTGGCAGCTGCAAAAGAGTCGTCAAATGAGAGCACGCCAGAGCCGTCCAGCAGTTCACGGCCCACCCGGGCCACGAGACAGCAGCAGAGCGCCAGCCCCAAGAAGAGTGCACCTCAGACTGCCGTCGGGAGGCTACAAGCTGAAAAATCTTCTCGGCGCCTCGGTTCAAGGTCCTCGTTGTCAAAGGCCGTCGCAACTCCCGAGGATCGACCGCGGTCGGCTCCGCCACGTACTTCCACACGCAGCAACCGCGCAATTTCCGTTAACGATGACGAAGAGGATTCGGAGCTTCAGAGCACCCCCAAATCTCGGAGGGGCACTCCGACTTTGGTTAAGAGGATCCCCAAGGCGAGGTCTCCTCTTTCGGTATCTTCGAAGAGCACGGCTACACGCAAGGCAGCAAGCTCCATCAGGAAATCCACTGGCGCGCAGATGGTCCAGAACGCCAAGGAAGCCAGCGAGTCGCAGAGCTCGAATTCGGAAACTGACTCGGCGTCGACTCCTCCCACGGAACTTAGTATGGCAACTTCCTCCAACACCGCTCCCATGGCTAACGATACAATGGCTTCCTCAGACGCCGCTGGTCCAGTTTCCACAGCCAAGGGTGCGGCATTGAGGCAGGCGAGGTTGTCCTTCTTGCCTAATGGGCTGAGCTTTGAGAAAGGCGAGGCGGAGGCTGAGAAACCAGCGAAGAAGGTTGTGAAGAAGAGGTCCAGCAGGTCTGTCCTGGATGCTTGATTTGCCATAGAAAGGACGTGGGTATAGGAGTTAACGTGGGAGGTGTTCTTAATGACCCCGAAGTGCAACGAAACGGATGAGGATGGGGTCAATGATTAGCTCAGGTTGAGTAGGATCTGAGGACTGCGTGGAGACGATGCATCACTATGTGTTCTGGGTCATTTGGGAATCGGGGTTCGAGCTGTTTCTGTTACCATTTTCCCGCCTGCTTTCTTCAACAACTGCATGGGTATACGTAGCTGCCGGACGGGTGAAGGCCAAAGGAACGGGGGACATATGACAAATCTCCGAGGAGGTGACCAGGAGCCTTTTCATTGCTTGGTCGCAGGGCAATGGTGGGCATGGACGGCTCCCTGAGCATATCTTCTTTTTCCTTCCTTTACTACTACTACATGTTTTTGGGTCCTGCATCTGCACATCTGGAAATCGGTGGGGTAATGCGTTTCACCCTTTTCCTCTTTTTTTTTTTTTACCTCTTTCCTTTCGCATGGAAGGTGGTGGTGACGGGACGTGGTGCAAAATCCTGGGTTTCTTTTTTCTCTTTGATTCATTACAAGGTGCATCACTTCTTATTGGTGGGTGACAGGCGTTTCTACTTGTGTCAATAGTAATGGGAGTACATGTTTTCCTGGAAACTTGATGTGTTTTTTTTTTCCTTTGGCTTTTTCTTCCTTTCACTGGTGTGCTGTTAGGAAGATGGAGCGTGCTACTGTTCAAAAAAGGGGGGGAATAGCTCGCTATCAGCCATCATTTACTGGAAGCATAATGGTGAAAAGTCGGATAGTAATTCAAACCTACGCTAGGGATGGCGGCGGACAACGCGACGTGGTGTGAGCTGCCCAGTTGATGTCCTGTTGGCGGGTGGGGTGCTGCGGTACGGAACGAGCGAAACCGGAGAGAGATTCTTTCAAGAACAAGATGTCATTCGATCAAGGTGGAGAAACGGGTGACTTTACAGCAGGATTACGCAAACATGTTGTCGGCTCGGAGGCTGACTCCGGCTCCGACAACTGACTTTATATAAACGCACACCACCCTTGCTAGGTTACTGGCATCGAGCCTTGCTCATTAACATTGGTCAGAAACTGTCACATTCAGCTCTAATCGATCAATCTTTTGTACGAATCATGTACGCGAATTTGCTTGATCCGTGGAATGCAGTTTTTCTGCCTCTCAAAATTGGAACAAGCTGACTCGACATTTTCAATGCCGGATGGAATGTCACGACGGCAGCACTTTGGTACAATATCCTTCGGGACCCAGCATGTGTGGCTGTGCACACGGAAATGACGCGACCGAAACATCCGACCGCGAGCCAAAATCCTCAACGAAACTCCCGTGATATCCTGCAGTTCATCAAGGACGCAAACCTCATCCAATGTGGCCGGAAGTTTGGGCAAATCAAAGAACCAGGAACAACAACGTCTAAGGCTCATACCTAGGCTGATCCGGGAACGCAGCATTCAACGTATGCAGATCTGCAATCATGTTTCTGTCCAAGAGTCAACCGGGCCAGTTACGAAGGCGGCGCGTTGATACACCTACCCAAAACCCTGCGAATCTTGGCACCGTGTCGCCGAAGGGACAGAAGAGGAAATGACGGGCTATACGGGAGGTGTCAGTGTCGCCCAGTAGGTGGATGCATGTCTAGGAAAAGTCTCCCGAGGATGAAAATGCCAGTCCACCGTCTGCCCACAACGTCTAGGATCGAGGTGTCGCTGCGAATCCGACAAAGGATAGCTTTCGATGAGTCTTCCAGGAATCACTGTACTTGGCCGATTGCGCCAAAGGCAAGTTTCTGGTCCCCTGGACATTATGATGCGACGACATTGACTCAGCCCGCCAGAAACATGTGCAAAGAGGAAAAAGCGGGACGCTTACATCTATCGGAATGCTTTCGTATTCAGCCTGGAGCACATTGAAGTCCATATTATAGTTTTCGTACGACCACGGAGCGGCCGAGGTCCAGCTAGCGCCGGGTGGCGGGGCGCCGCCGGGCAAGACACAAAGCGGCGGCTCTGCACCATTAGGACCGACTTGGAGCGTGGGCGACACATCACACTCGGTGGTTTGGCGGCGTGAGCTCGATTCGGGGTCGACCAAGGCGCCATGTCGGTGGGTTCGAAGGTCCTGGGCGACTTGTGTCGTGTTCTGGAAGCCATCGGCAGCGAGCTGGCGTGCAGTGGCACAGGCCCGCTGGGGATCTGGGTCAACAGCAATTCCGGTAATGATGTCTTTAAGGTCTTCGACCTGCCTGGACAGGGTTTCAATGCGGCTCTTCAGGGCAGATGTGCGCCGCTGGTCTCCATCGGCATCGTAGGCGCAGTCGGTTCGATTCCTCGCCAGGCATGGCGTGCAGGTGGGGCGCTCCCCATCACACTGCGAAGGTAAGAATGGCCGGCAGGGGTGGGGCTTGGGCGTTTACCTTGTGCTTCCTGCGCTGACAGGGTTGGCAAGCGACAGCGACGACCGTCTTGCGCTTGGGTTGGCCGGAAAGGCGGCGGCGGCGGCCTGGGCTGGAGTCGGTCGCGGGAGTGTTTACAGGTGTCTGCATGCCGTGCTGCTGCTTTGGCTGAAGAGAAGGAAGCATTACGGAGAGTGTTGTGCCTGGGGCAGCGGCTCGGGGTGCCTGACCAGCCGCTGTGGCGGCGCCAGATGGCGAGATGGCTGGAGCGAGCCAGGGACGTGTGCCGGAGAAGCAGTCCGCGGTCGCGTGTCAATCTCAAAACACAACGCGGGAGAGGCGGCGAGCAGGTTGGTGTTGAGTAGGGAGCACTGACGTGTGGGAGCAGCAGAAGGCTAATAGGTCTAGAGCGGATGAGGAAATTGCCACTGGGCGCAGTTTACTCCGTAGCGCCAACCCACGCGCTTTTCGCGTCGCGAACACGCCAATCGCCCCACGCTGCGTCATCGCCAAAGCTGTCCCTGAGCCTCTCTTGTGTAGAACAAAACTCCCTCTCGTGCGCGTTCTGAGTGCATTCCACTCTACACTGGCGAATTCGGCTACTCTTCCAGCCAGAGTAATTACTTTTCATTCTACACCGCGGACCCCGGCCGCTCGCTCGACCCTCCCATTCCGTCAGCCCGTCGGTGGAATACGCCTCCTCTTAGGACATGGTATGTCGGGGCTGTGGTACTCCAAGTTAAGCCAAGCGGATTCCTCCACCTCAGGAACGACAAAACGTGACCATGGACGAGAATAGCCTACATCGAGTTCCGCGAGCCCTGGCCTCTACCCGCTGCGTCTCTTGTCTCACGTATTCGTCAATCGGACGGAACCCGCAATCCGCGTGCCCGAGGGCCAGCTCTTTCAGTTCGAAAACGGTATCATTCAGGCTAGCCATCTCGGCGCGAAGGAGCTTGTTGTGCGCCAAAAGCTGGCGATGCTCATTATCCAGCCTGCTTGTCCAGTCCCTTTTCCTCTGTCGGCACCTGTTCGCCGCCAGACGGTTCTTTTCCAGGTTCACCTCCCGCCTGCATCTTGCTTCCGGTCTGGGTCGCTTGGTTGGCTTCCTGGGGCTTTTGTTTTGGCTATTGCGTCCGGTTGTCCCGGATATAGTCTGTTGGCTTTGGTAGTATTGGCTCGCCATATCGTCAAACCCACACGCCGAGCCCCCCGAAGGATGCCTGTTCAGACGTGCCAAATCGCTGCCCTCATCGGAGAGAACATCATGATTCAAGGAGCCTTGCAGCGCGTAATCGCCAAGTGACGTTACTAGGCCATCGCCGAAAGGCGCCTGATGAAAATTGGAGAGCTTCGAAAAGAATGCAACATCGGACAAGTTGTCGAACCGATTGGACATTAACATGGGATCCGCAGCATGACCTAAGGTGTGATGAGAATCAAAGCGTGGCCCAAAAGCCAGAGGCTGGTTGATTCCGGACGTCATCGATCGTAAGAACGAGGTAGCGTTAAAGGGCCACTGCCAAGGAATATTGGGAACACTGGCGTAGCAAGCTTTCTGTACTGTTCTCACAGGGGTGTAAGTATATTTTGAAGAGGCTGATTATTTTCTTGGGCCGTGAGGAGCTGGAATGCTTTTTTAAAGGAAAGGGCAGGGTCTAAGAAAAGGACAGTGACGCCAGCGTATGTAGCCCCCAGCGGTTCGATTGCAAACAGGAATGATGCAAAGCGGAATCGGGTCCGGGTGAGACAGGGACCATTACATCCGCCAAGCAATGGAGGCAATCGGGGGTCAATCACTACCAGCACCCAGAGCAGAGAGCAACAAGAACTCTAGCGCTCTAGGCCGCGACAAGAGACGGGCTTAGCCTCCTCACGGCGAGAAGCGTTGTCTGAGTGGACACCTACTCGTAGAGAAGGTGGGGTTGCGCCGCAAAGATTGGCTCGCGCGACGGAAAACACTCCGACTCCCTGGTGGTCGCTTTCAGCAAATCTCAAGACAAGAATATCTCTTGGGGCTAGCGTGGATTTGTTTTTCGTTCATACCATGGGTAGTTGAAGCTATCATCCTGATGTGAATGTGGGATTAATAATTATATTTCACGTCCGGACGATGGTTTCAACTACCCATAAATGTCCTTTTTCATTTTTTTTTTAAAAAAAAACGAGGAATGCTTACGCTCTGTTCTAGGGCCCTCCTATCCTTCGCGCTAGCCATCGGCTACAGTACCCTCTGTCAGAATACGGGCGTCCGCAGAAACAATAGGGCAAGCACCAGTGGGGACCGGAGCGGGAGCAGAATAATTCTCTGATTCCCTCATTTCGCGCAATACTACTTTATCTCTGATACGTCCATGCTGGAATCTTGCTATGCATAATACTACATTGACTAAAAGTGAATGGAAAACGTAATGTTACAGTGCTCATGTAAATGGAAAAATACGTGTTCTTCAGTATAGAATAATGAGGCTCACATCACAACGTGCCACTTCTTGCTCTCCTACAAGAGAAGTGAATCGATCATGGAATCACGGAAAACGCATTGGCGATTTGTTGTAAAGACCCCCTATGTCGAAGATTTAAAAGGAGTAGATGCCGATAAAGAAGGAGAAACAGAAGGTAAAGAAGTAGAAGATAAAGAAGAGTATACTGTAGGCAAAGTAGGAAAAGGTAGCCTTGAGGCCGATATTGATGGACATTGCAGCACTTGGCTGGGAGACACAAGGGCAAATGTCGATCTACTGAGAGGTGCTTGCACACCAAGATGCTGAATCGCGTAATGCTGCTCGAAGTCGGCCCCCATTGGAAGTAATAAAGAGGGGCGGTAAGAGGCACACGCTCAAATGACCATTCGTTAGGACGAAAAGCACCTAGGATTCCGGTTGTAACTACCGAGAAGTGAGGGTTGTATAACCAGATGAAGTCGGAGGTCCGCGATACTTGTGAATTGGAGCTCCGTGTAGGGGCAGCGAATGTCTGGACAGGGCATTGGTGTGGTGAACTAGGCTCAAGGAGATGCACCAATTTGATGGTTGCGCATGTTATCTTTGCCGTCTGCAGACGATCCGCACTCAACGCATTTGTAGAACGTTGAATGCTTATGGAAGGCAATAATGCGATCTTGCAGCATCTCAAGGGTAGCGAAAGATCTCGGCCATGTCTCAAAATAACAGCAGAACATGCCGTCGGGTTGAGTATCGGGATTAAAACCAGAGCGAATTTCGGAATCTGGGAGTCCCGTCCGTATTGCGGAGCAAGAAGGGGGGACTTTCCTGGGCGGAACACCGAGACATGATCCTTCGAGCTGATAAGGTAGGGATTATACTTTTTGTATAGCCATCCCAGTTCCAGTCCTTCTTAGCGTTGATGACATTGATTGACGACAGCCAGGTAATGAAGGTCGAATGGGTAACCGGCAAGGAAGAGGGATCTTCAGACTTGCGGTCGTTGAGCGTATCATCCACAAGTTTCTGGTATTCTTCAGAATCTTCGTCCAGCTCCTCCTCATCATCTGATTTATCTTCATCCTCTTGGCTACTGTCATCAGAGCTGCTGTCATCATCATCATAGTGGGTGAGATCGATGGGAAAGTTGCCTTTACTACTACCAGATTGGGCGAGGAGATGATGATTAATGGGAGTAGTGCTGGTATCCCCGGCCTGGGTAAGGCGACGAGAATAGAGGGCAGTCCGTTCCAGAAAGGGGTTCGTTGCATGCCATATGTTCGCAGGGGGCTGAGGCAGCTCGCTCAAACATGGAGGTATCATGTCCTGATTTTCGTAGGGAGTCTGGGTTGGGATAGTTTTTCCAAGCCGTCATGCACGGTAGTCCTCGACGAAAATAGTCTGTATGGTGGCCATAGCATATCACCAGTGTGCGAGGTATGGCAGAATCGTCACACGGGATAGATCGTTATGTGTGGCACATCAGCTAACAAGAAACTGTATGCTGATGTTGTGGCATTCAGGGAGGGTCATTTAAGTCCCACGTCTCTCTCGGAACTCAGTCGTGACCACGTTTCTTCCTTTCACGGCCTCCATGTCGTGGTAAAAGTCGGCGAGACGGCCCTTGTAAAGCCGCATGACATCATTGAAGCGCGTTGAGAATTTCTCCCTATCCTCAACTGAAGTAAACTGAAGCTTAACCCAACGCAGATCCTTGATTGCGAAAGGATCTGGCGGTATCGGTGGCTGTGAGGCACCAAGGGTTGCGATGTTCCAGGACTTGAGACCATCGGCGGAGGTGACATGGCGGGCTGGTAGAGGTCCTTTAAGGTGTTCAATCACAATCGCTTTGCAACGAGATCTGGGACGGCGGCAGTCGCAGGCCTGGATGTTGATGAAAGTATCTTCGTCCATGTCGACAGACAGAAAGGAAAGGGAGCCGCCTTTCTTGGACTCCAGAAACAAAATCAGCTTGGGCATCTCTGGCTTTTCCATGCGGATGGCGATGGTCCCCGAGCCTGTGTCCATCCGTGAAATTCTAGTTCCTGTGAAGATGGTGCTCGAGACGCTCCCTTCTATAATGGAAGAGGGAGCCATTGACAACGTTGAGTCTCGCCTCCATTTCTCGACAAAGCTTTCAGTTGGTGGAGATGCCGAACTCTTCGACAGGAGTCTCCCCCGAGGCTCATCTGGTCCGATGGGGTTGGTGGGACTGACTGTACTGCTTTGGCTGCTTTGCTCCTCTGGTTGATGTTGAGTAGGACGTTTTCTCTGCCAGATTTGCACCTTCCCTTTGTCCTTGCTCATCGAGCCCCCAAACGAGAACCTTCCCGCATTGTGACGTTCGACTTCCAAATCACCAAGGTATAAAACCGTTTTGTAACCAGTTATGATTTCCTGAAACTTAAGAAGGTCGCCAAGCGTGGTGAAAGATGGTGATATGCCATTTGCGGATTCCCTGTCGCTCTTGAATTTGACGTTAAGGGCAGTGCTTGCGGAGCTCGGACATGCGTAAATGGGAACGAAGTGTGCCTTGTCCAGATAGGCGTCGAAGCGATGGACGTCGTTGAACTCTCTGTTCCCTGTCGTTGTGGTTGCAGTGTTTTGGATTTGGATGGTGCTGTCGACGTTCTGGAGTACTCGTAGCTTGTGGGTACTTGAGCCCCTTTCCGAGGATAGCGTGACGTTCAACAGCTCCGTGAGAAAGACACTGTCATCTCCTGTCATGTCCTGCTCACTTTCTTCGTCTTCAGCTTTCCAGAGTTGGAAGTCGTCATCAGGCAAGCGGAGAATAGTTTCCATGTCTGGCTCAGGAGCGAACGACTGCTTCCAGTGATCACACTTTTTTGAGAGCCGGTAGTCCATTCGGCTCACGTAGCGCTGCCAGAGAGAACCTTCGGGCAGTTTCCTGTACTCGACGCTTCTTTTTATCCTTCTCATGATCCAAAGGCACTTCATCAGATTGAGATATGTGTCAGTCTCCGAGGTTGAGTTGCCATCCTGGAAGCAGCGTATGAAGGCATCCATGCCGAGCTGCAAGGGAAATGTGTCGGGATCTTGACATTCCGGATGGTGTTGGACCATGGCGTCCTCCAACCGGGCAGCCAAATTTTCTGGGACTTGTAACGAGAGTAGTTTGCGCTCTTCGTCGGTGCTGGAGCTGGTGAGAATGCCCTTGATCTCCTTCAACTCGATCATGACCTCGTCGTGAAGATCAAGGATAAGAGCACGGATATCGGCCAGCATCTTCATCTCGAGCGGCTTAAGGATCATGAGGATCTTTATGTTGTGGAAGGCTAGGCGGTCGCGCAGCCTTGCTACCTCAGGCTCGATTTCTATGTTCCAGACAACATTGAGCACGAAATTTTTCCTACCGCCACCGTGCCGGAATTTGGACCTGCTCTCGAGTCAGCAGATCCTTATTAGGCAACCTCCTATAAAAGAAGATCAGAGGCTTGAGGATTCCCTACCTATCAGAGAGCAATTTCTCGCACTCGTAGAGAGTGGACCGGTAGTCTCCAATTATGAGGTGAAAATCGGTCATTGGGAGCAACTCCTCTTCATCGAAGGGCCGCAGGCGGCCGCGTTGGAGCTGGTTGTAGGCATTTTCGATGACGGCTCTGATTGTCTCCAGGTTTTTCCCAAGATTTCGTAGTGCGAGACCAAATTCGACGTACTGCTTATCTAATGGGAACAGTTAATACCAGAAGGGCCCCCGGGAAGGGGGAGGAGGAAGATTCGTACGCGCATTCTTCACCTGGTTGAAGCCCATGTCCCAGAGCCGCCAGACCAGTTGGATTGTCTGCGCAAGTGCGCTAGCTGCTTGCAAAGTTTCGAACATGGTGAGCACAGCTGAGTGCACATCAGAGGTTGATCGCTGGTGATAACCGCCAGTCCGCAGCCAGCCGGAATGCGAAGGCACCCGCGTCGCTCATCAGCCGCACATAGCACTGCCCGCGCTGATAAGCCGCTTGGCTGCCCTTCGCCGGTGGCCCTGTTTGGCAAGGCTGGTATTGTATTGTACAGCATCCTCCTGCAGCCGATGGCTAGCGTGCATCTGTTTTCTTTGTCCAACGCCGCAAAACAGTGGACGCTAGCGCGCTTGACCTATCACATCGTCTGTATAGGCATAGTCATCCCCTGTTCTGGCGCCTCGGCTCCAAACGAGGTACGCCATTCCTCGAGGCCGCCCCCACCCTTCGACGCCTCCTCGGCTTTTTGAGCCCATCCAAGACGGTGCTCCGCCGTGTGGCTGCACAACAGCAGTCCCGTGTGACCGGATTAAGCGCCCCCAGCTTGTCTCAGCGCTGCGAGTGAGCAGATCCTTACGACTCATGCAGCAGCTATGTTGCCTGCCGCCCTGGCTAGGCAGACTTGCTGCTCAGCCTCGTCGGAATGCGAAATCAATTAAGATATTGCAGCAGCCTCGTGCTATTGAGATTGGCATCCCACGCTGCCCGACTTTAATCCCTCATCATGGCCGTAGACGAAGAAACCCATGCCGAGGCCCAATCCGTTGGAGGAAGCATTGAACTGGACCTTGAGGATCGCCTGTACCTCGAGGCTCAGAGGGACCCTGAGCGCATCGCGAACAAAATTTCCAGAGGCCCACAGCGCCTGGGCTTCTGGTCAATAATATGCATTATCATCAACAGGATGATGGGTACTCTCCTCCATTGCGATAGTGACGTCCACCTCTGACCTTATCTCTAGGAAGCGGTATATTCAAGACACCTACAACTTTACTAAAAGGCACACAAAGCGTTGGCGTGTCTCTCCTGTTCTGGCTTTGCGGTGCTCTCGCAACCCTTGCCGGCGCCATGGTATTCATTGAATTCGGCCTAACCACACCACGATACCTCATCGACGGCCGCAAGGAGGCTGTACCACGGAACGGAGGGGAGCTAGTATATCTCCAGTATCTTTTGTCAGTTCCGTCCTAGATTTCTTTTCTCATGGTCTACGCCCCGCAATGTTTCGCAAGGGTGATCAGACTAACCATGCCACAGCAAAAAGCCCAAGTACTTCATTACATGCATCTATGGCCTTCTATTCATCATCATTGGCAACATGGCTGGCAACTCTATAGCGTTTGGAGACTACGTACTCAGAGCAGCTGGCCACGAGAGCCCAAACAGGGCTTCAGTCCGAGGAATCGCTCTTGGCGTCATTACTTTTACTTGCCTCTTTCACGGTACCTGGAGAAAAGGCGGAATCTGGCTGAACAACATCTTCGCTGTCCTCAAAGTTGCTACTCTCTGTTTCATCATCGTTGTTGGCTTCTGTGCTCTTGGGGGAGTCTTCGGCGACAAAGCGAACAAAGCAGCCACGAATTACGCCCTGGATAACTCATTCAGCAACACATCTCACTCATCATATGGCTATGCAGAAGGGTTCCTCTCAGTCATTTTTGCATACACCGGATTCTCCCAGTCGAATTATGTAAGTATACTACAGTCCACACCGGGAACCTATACTGATGTACCTCAGGTCCTGAGTGAAATCGACCAGCCACGCAAAAAATTCCGGAAGGGCGTTCTGACTGCAGTGGGTACAATGTGCGTTCTCTACATGCTAGTCAATGTAGCTTATGTGAGTATTACACCATGGTTTCGTAAATTGCGTAGTCTCATACATGCAGTTTATTGTTGTCGATAAGAACGATCCCCGGCTCGACGGGTCCGATGTGTCTGCTCTATTTTTCCAGAACACATTTAATGGTGGCGTAGCCTCAAGAGTGCTCAATGCTTTCATGGCTATCTCCGGTCTCGGTAACATTATCGTCATGACATTCACTGCAGCCCGCGTCAAACAAGAGATTGCCAAGGTAATCCCCATTTCGCATCAACACAGAAAGCTTTGCTCATAATAATCTCAGGAGGGCGTTTTGCCTTGGCCGAAATTCTTTGGCCAAAGCTCCAACATATTTGGCCGCATTTCGAACCGCCTGCTTGGCCGACCCGTCAAAGACTCTGAATCCATTGAGGCAACACCCGTGGGTGCGCTGACGTTACATTGGGCGTTCTCTGTCCTCCTTATCCTCGCCACTTGGGGCCAATCTACGGAGAACGCATACAACGTCCTTACACTTCTATACTCTTATTGCATTGGCTCGCTTCTCAACACAGTGCTCGGTTTGGGCATGCTTTACCTCCGCCTGGTCACCTGTCATCGCAAGAGCCACCACAACAATGGCAAAAACGAAGATTCAATGCACAGCCGCACTACTAAATCCGCAGGCTGGCGGGCTAAATCACCCTTTAACCATTATATTTCGACAACGTGCGCCTTCGTCTTTTTCATTGCGAACCTTTACCCGCTTATCGGCAACTGGATCCCACCCTCCGATATCACTGAGACATCGTCGGTCAAGGACCTCGTTCCCGATTACCCCTGGTATCTTGTCCCGACTGTCGGCTGGGCGCTTGTTGGGTGCGGTGTGTTGTACTGGTTTGCCTTCGTTTTTGTCGTGCCGCAGATCGGGTACCGCAAAGGCAAGGAGTTCGTTGTGGAGAGAGAGCCGTTCTTTCACGTCGAGCATGGCTACCATGTGCAATGGCATGAGATTGTGAGTTTTAACTGGGTGGTTAAGGGTGGGAGAGGTGGCAGCGCAAGCGATGATGGATATGATCTGGATGAACGCTAAGGCTGCTTAGCTTGGGTTGACCAATGATCAGAAACAATGTTCTTATGCAGGCAGACTTGTCAATGTTAATGTTCGTGGTATGATTGATGCTGTCAGTTATGCGTGTTGAATTTGCAGTAATAGTATTCGCTAAAGTTCCCTCTACGACCTACAGCATTTTTTCACTCAATCAGGGGAGAAATCTAGCAGAGTTGGAGATTTGCCCGGAGAGAGTAGTTAGTCACTTTTAAATTTTGGCTATGTCATCAAGGACATTTATCCTTCTTTCACCAACCGAGACAACATAACAGGGAGGCATGGATAATCAATATTCCCTTAGCCATTTACAGCTTACAGAAAACTCCAATTCAGTACAATGTAAGAAAACTTGTGCAAATGTTCTCCGACCGTAAAAGTCCTACTGAAATCACTACTTCCATACAAGCACTGTCAATCCCTCGTTGTCTAAAAAGTATTTCATACTGTGGCTTGTTGCTGCAAAGTCGCCATCAACGCCGGTGGCATATCGCCTGTCCCGTCGTCGGGTACTGCTGGCGCGGTGATGCCTCCCTGCCACGATCCGCCCTCCTTTGACCATTCCACATGACCGCTCGAAGTCGTCCGTAGGATGGTCGCCGAGAAATTTGTCAGCTTGGGGCAGCTCTCCTCCAATTTGCGCATGTCATCCGCCGACGGGAAGGTGTGGTTCAGAGCATGACGACGAGGATTCATGACCTGGAAGTAACACCCATCATTGTCAGTCACTAAACCTTAGGCTTATCATTAATGAGAAAATGCACTTACGGCCATGGAAAATTCCAGCGTCGGGTTCCCCACAATCTCCACGCGCTCGATTTCGGGGCAATGTCTGAGCGCCTCCATCAAGCGGTTCTTGCACATTTCGGTCGGCTCGATCTCCAGCGTCACGCTGAGCACCAGCAGGCCGGTGTGCTTCTGAAGCACCGTCTCTAGATCGTCGACGGTGAAGGTGTATAGGGTCGTGTTTAGTGCACGGAGCGCCGTCGGGGCAGTCTTTTCATTCGTCAGTTCGTAGACGAGGTGATTCGCGTGGCTCTTGTGGAAAGCCATGACGCCTTCAGGCTTCTGCTGCACATCACCCTCCTCGGTCACGTTGGTCGGGTCCTCCGGGTCGTCGGTATTGTCGGGCGCAGCGACGTTGAAGCTGCACATGACGAGGCTGGGGTTGACGAACGCTGGCAGCTCCTCTGCGGGTATGCGGTGCAGGAAATCTTCATCCTCGTGGCGGAAGGTGTAGTTGAATTGCAGGAACATGAGGCGCTGGTCCGGGTCCCGTGCCGTCAGCTTCTCGCCCACGGTCTGGAAGAAGCCCGGCCGCGCGAAGACGTCGAGCAGCTGGATGGCGCGCAGTTCGCGCAGCTTGTCGAAGAAGGCGACGGCATCGTCCTGCGCCGCCGTCGTGATGCCGCACAGCAACTGGCTATATGCATCGAAGCTGCGCACGTGCGGGAGTGCATCGGCCAGTGCCGACAGGAAGCCTGCCGGGAAGCCCAGCGAGAAGAGCTCGAGAGTCAGGCTCTGGATGCCTTGCGGCAGCGCCGGGATGGGCGCGAACTTCTCCAGCTCCTTGGGGTACTCGTCGATCTTGATGTCCGACGTCAGCGTCAGCGCCTTCAGCACTTGCGCCTCGGGCGGGAAGTCTGGGATGGCGAAGGACTGAAGCGGTATCTGCGCGCCCTGCGCCAGCGCGGGGTCCACAGGCTCTTGCGGGCCTGATTGGGGGTCGAGCTCAGCCATCTTGCTGGTAGAATGTGTAACAATTGCTTGCGCGGTGGATGAAATTGATCGAGGGAAGACGGGAAATGGCAGCGGAGGATCGAGGAGGGGTTGCCATTGTATTTAAAGAAGGTCGTCGAGCCCTCAAGAACCGGTGGCAGCATGTGCGGGGGAAGCATCATGACGTCCGGGGTTTGGCGGAAGCTGATGCGGAGAGGCTCGTCTGGAGGGGCCATGACCCTGCAAGTGGGATGCGGGGAAAGCTGTTGCAGGGAGCTGTCATGACTCGGCCGTTGAGCGCCGCTTGCGTACCTGGCCAGTAGTACTTCAAGAGATGCGTCGGAAAAGAGCAAACGCTTCGGAACCGTATTCCGGACCGGCAAGGATGCGCTCAATGTCCGTGCGGATGTGTATATCTTCCCTGTTTGGTAACATTGCACATGGATAGCAACGTGGGCGGGGGATATCTTTACATTTCAGAGCTCTACGTAGAGACTTCTGTGCCAACTTTTTGCTGACCTGCAAGCCATCAACCGGAAATGCGCCAGAACAATGCAGGCCCAGCCAAAAAACGCCAAACTCCTTACCAGTTGGGGATGACCTGATCACTCAAAGTAGCTCGTCTTTCCCGAGCAACTTGGACATGGGATCATCTGCGGATTGCTTTTTCCGCCTATACTCCTCCATCTCTTCTTCTGTAACTCCATCCGTCATCTCTGCCAGGCGCCTCTTCTTAGTCTTGGCGTCCTCCTTGGCCTTCTCATCCCTATCCACAGCGTTCGGTACGTGCTCCTCGAGCGTTTCCTCCTGCTTCCATGCGACCTCCTTGGGGACTTCGTCCACGTCTGCACCGGTCCTGCGAAGCTCTGCCTCCTCAAAAGCCTTCTTGCCCGCCTCGCCAGTACAGTAACTGTTCTTGACTGTAGAGTGACAACATGCGTATCCCCATTGGAAGTTCGACCACCAACTGCCCCAGACAGAGGTATGGTTGTTGATCATGACATCCTCTGGATACTTGGATTTGGCCTTTGTCTTTGGTAGCCCCTTGATGCGCCCCTTCTCGTCGTACTCGACGAATTTCTCGTTCTCGGTGACGGCAGCGCTCTTCATGGGAGCATCTTGCAAATGCTCCGAGCCGCCGTACTTCGCCAGCAATTCCTTCTTCTTTGCTGTGCGCTTGGCCTCGGCTTCTTCCTGTTCCTTCTTCCTGAAATACTCGCCAGACGTAGGATTGGCCTGTAGGTGGAGTTGATTCCGGTCGCCTCGCTGTTGTGACTCCCAGGCAACCCGCTGTGCTCTCTCAAACTCTGCTGCATCACCCGAAGCTCTCATAAAGCCTTCCTCCGCTACCAGTGCCGCAGACTTGTCCGCCGTCGCACCACTGTCAACCATAGACCTGGTTTTAGGGTCGTACTTCGCCGAGTCCAGATCGAGGTTGAGCAGATACTTGGCCGTATCTTCACGAATGCGCAGGTTCCGGGTGGATGTTGGCTGTTTCCGGCCCATGTCCGCTTCGGCCTCGTACTTGGCACCTTCCTCCTCTGCATCTTCCTCGTCGTCTCCCTCCTTCTTGTCATCGCCCTTCATCTTCCGCCTCATTTCCTCCAGCTCATTGTATTCCTCAATCACGGCGTTGTACTCGGACGGATCGTAGCCGTTCCAGCGGTCACGCTTGGCGTCCCAGCCCAGCTTAACATCTTGCACGACCTCATCAGCTTCGATGTTCTTGCCGGTCCACCTTGCGCCGGCCTTGCGCGGGCGGCTCAAGCAGTCCTTGGCCTTGTGGGTCATGGCGCCACAGTTTTCGCAGGCTCCTTTGCGGAACTTGGTCGCGGCGGGGCCGGCCTTCTTGCCACGATCGTACCATTTCGACTGACTGGTGTCGAGAGCAGACTTGTGGAGACGCTGATGCTCGAGGTAATCGTTGGCGTTGGTGGCGGAGGAATCCTCGGTGTCATCGGTGATATAGAAGGGCTTCTTGGCGATGAAGCTAGGGATGTACTCGTTGCGCTCCTTGTTGGCGGCCTCGGCCGGCTTGCGGGGTTGTCCGGGTGGCATAATGGGCGAACAGCGGGTGGCGGAGCGGTGGTGAAGGTGCGGCGGGCGGAGGTCGAAAGTCGTGAACGGGTGCAATGCGACGGCGAGAGGCCGCGGTTTCTTGCTGCCTGACTCGCGCAGGCGCGTCAAAGGCACGTCAACCCGCTCCCAGCCTTCGCTCCTTCCAGCCAACACAAACATACGACGCGTTTTTACCACTGTCCTGCGCGTTTCCTGGACCGCCTAACTGCGAACTCCATGCGCATCATGCTCCAGCCTCTCTGCGGCCTTTTCTCCACTTCAACATTTATTTGGCGCCGGCCTTGATGGACGTCTTCCGCTTCCGCCTGAATTGTGTCGACCACTATCAGGCTACTCCTACAGAATTTGACCCGAAGCTGCACCGCGAATTGGGCCTGCCGTCCGAGCAACATAATGGATACCAAGTACCCGTCATTCGCGCTTTTGGCGCCACCGAGACTGGCCAAAAAGTGTGCGCTCATATCCATGGCGCATTGCCATACCTCTACCTAGAGTATGATGGGAGCTTGGAACAGGATGCAGGTAAGAACATTTCGCTTCGCAAATCGGCCGCACACTTACACATGCAGTCGACGCCTACATTCAAAGGCTGCGCATCTCTATCGACCACGCGCTTGCCATCAGCTACCGCCGAAATGCGTACAATAGCAGACTCCATTTCGTCGGCCATATAAGTCTGGTTAAGGGTGTCCCTTTCTTTGGATACCACGTTGGCTACAAATACTTCCTGAAGGTGTATATCCTCAATCCCCTGAACATGACCCGACTGGCCGACTTGTTGCAGCAAGGTACTATCCTTGCAAAGGTCATGCAGCCCTACGAGAGCCACCTGCAATACCTACTGCAGTGGATGTGCGACTACAACCTGTACGGGTGCGCGTATATGGACTGCGCCAAAGTGAAATTCCGCGACCCGGTGCCAGATTCTCTGGAAATGAGAAACCCGGCACACAAATGGCATGATCAATCAATATTGCCCGGCTGGATATCGGACGCGAACGAGCTACCGCGCCAGAGCCACTGCCCAATCGAAGTGGATGTCTGCGTGCAGGATATCCTGAATCGAAAAGAGATTCATTCCAGGCCTATCCACCACGACTTCAAGGAACGATTCAACCATCTCGCGCCCGACGAGAAGTATGTGCATTCCATGGCCGGTTTGTGGAGGGATGAGACGATTAGGCGGAAACGTAGGATGGGTCTCACGGACCCTGGCAGCAGCCCATTTCCCCCCGAAGTTCTAGTATCAATGTCGGCAGATCCACGAGACACCAGAGACGGCGGTTGGATTCATGAAGAGGAATACCGAGAGATTATGTCGAAGCTTGTAGACGAAGAGAGAGGGGTTGAAAGTTGTAGTGATATTGGTTTTGATCATTTTATCAAGCCACACCCTCGAGACTCGGAGATTAAGACTGTCCTCGAGAGTGTCGAAGATCTCTTCCCAGCACAATTGGAAATTTTCCATGCAACCCAAAAACCCGCTTTCCACTACCGAGCCGATGGTGCACCCCCGCCGCTTGTGAACGAAGAGAGCGCTACCCAATTGAACGACGGTGACAGCGCGTACGACTCAGATGAAGAACACGCCAAGGAGGCCGCCCTATCTCAAGCGGCAGCACAGCTAAACGACACAGGTACCGTGGATGAAGGACTATATGATGGGCAGGACGCAGATCAGGACGAAGCTCGTCCTAGTAAAACTCGCTACGGGGAGCATGTTCAAGGTCCAGGCGACTTTGTAGAGCCAGTGTTAGGCGATGAAGAGCAGGGCCCATTCAATTCGCAGGATGAATACGGAAGTTTCCACGACGATTCCTTTGAAAGCTCTCCTGATCAACCTGACCAAAATCCTGGCGAGGTGTCAATAGCAGCGAGTCCTGCAAAACGCAGGAAGCTACATGGCTCTGCGGAAGGCTCCCGCCGAAAAAATAGTGAGGCACAACCGGATAGCTCTCCGATGAACCCATTACGAAGTAGACTGGTATTTCCATCAAGACGCGTTGCTTTCGATGACAATGTCCGCGACACAGCAAGATCAAGAGACAGTCCTCCGAAAAACGCCAGTCAGAATATGCCCGCGAGTCAATCATCCCAGGGTAGCATCAAGGCTCAAGGATCGCACGGACCAAACACGCTCTCGTTCCCTGTCGTCAAGAATCCCCATGCTCCCGAGACAGCTCTACGCTTGAGCCAAAGCGAGGGGTGGTCCAACTCTCAGAAGACGTCTCGTACTCCTTCGAAACCCTCCTGGCAGACCATGGCAAAACATCCACTATACACACCATTGAGCAACGAAAAATCCAATGCCACTGGTGCAACAAGCCATCCAATGATTTCATCACAAGGAATACAAATGGCCGAACAACTTCGAGCTGGATCCTTTGTCTTCTATGGTCCTGCGGTCCTCTGTTTTGCTCAGCCTCCTCCCACGGCGGAGGCAATATCGACTACGATGCTCGAATATGGCTTACCACCCGTTATCTATCGAGATGCCTACTACAGCGACGAACGTGACGTGCCAGATCGGCCTCGTGAATACGCCGGGCGCGAGTTCAGGCTTGAAAGCAACACTGTTCCGTTTCTGCCACCTTTTGACCCGACGGGCAGTTCACCTGCAAACTTTGGGGAGAAGCCTGGGATCGTCGTAGATAAAGCTAAAGAGAAGGCCAAGCATCGGCAACGAAGCATGAAATGTTCTCTCTTGAACTGGGAGTTCGCTACTGGGCCCCCAACTTATGCTGAGGTTGAACGATGGCTAGACGAAGAGAAGAACGCAAAGGTTACCCCCGACACTGATGTGGACCCAGTTGCAGAGGAACAAAAAAGAATGCGGACCAAAGCACAAGTTTCACAAATTGAAGGACCAACTCAAAAGAATAGACACGGCTTCAAGTACTTGCAAAAACACAAATCGACGAGTGTAAAGCACGAGACGCAGTACATGAGTATCATGAGCCTCGAAGTACACGCCAATTCCCGTGGAACCTTACTTCCAGATCCCGCGGAAGACGAAATTGCATGCATTTTCTGGTGCATTCAAACTGATGATGAGGGGTTGCATCTTGGTGTTTTGGCATTATCAAGCGAGGATGGAGTCGCAAAAAAAATGGCCAAACACCTTGACTTGCAGGTCCAGTACGAGGCCGATGAGCTTGACCTCCTCACTACAATGGTCGACATCGTGCGACAATTCGACCCGGACATCTTAACAGGCTACGAGGTACACAACAGCTCTTGGGGTTATCTTATCGAGCGTGCCAGATTGAAGTACGAGTACAATCTCTGCGACGAGTTCTCACGCATGGAATCCCAATCTCATGGTCGCTTCGGAAAGGAGGCTGATCGATGGGGCTTCACTCATACGTCCACGATACGAGTCACCGGCAGGCACATGCTCAACATCTGGCGCGCAATGCGAGGGGAATTGGACCTGCTTCAGTATACTATGGAGAACGTCGCCTTCCACCTTCTCCACAAAAGGATCCCGTATTTCAAACACGAGGACATAACCAAGTGGTACCAAAGCGGCAAACCTCGCGATTTGGCCAAGGTACTTGACTATTTCTTGTCGAGAGTGCAGTTGAATCTCGACATTTTGGAAGCCAATGAAATCATACCACGGACAAGCGAACAGGCACGTCTACTCGGGGTTGATTTCTTTTCTGTCATATCCAGAGGGTCGCAATTCAAAGTCGAGTCTCTCATGTTCCGGATCGCGAAGCCGGAGAATTTCCTTTTGCCGTCTCCATCGCGCAGGCAAGTTGGCCAGCAAAACGCACTCGAGTGTCTACCTTTGGTCATGGAACCTCAAAGTGCATTCTACAACAGCCCTGTGCTGGTCTTGGATTTTCAGTCCCTCTACCCATCGGTGATGATCGCGTACAACTACTGCTACTCGACCTTGCTCGGCCGGATTGTCAGCTGGCGCGGTCAGAACAAGATGGGATTCACGGACTTTAAACGCGAGCGGCGTCTGCTCGAGCTGGTCAAGGATTATGTCAATGTTGCGCCCAACGGCATGATGTACGTGCGGCCGGAGATGCGCAAGTCGCTGTTGGCGAAGATGCTGGGCGAGATACTCGAAACACGCGTTATGGTCAAAAGCGGGATGAAGGTGGACAAAGACGACAAGACGCTTCAGCAGCTACTGAACAACCGACAGCTGGCGCTCAAACTCATTGCCAACGTCACGTATGGCTACACATCGGCTTCGTACAGCGGGCGCATGCCGTGCTCCGAGATTGCCGACAGCATCGTCCAGACGGGCCGCGAGACGCTCGAAAAAGCCATTGCCTTCATCCACAGCGTCGCTGAGTGGGGTGCTGAAGTCGTGTATGGTGACACCGACTCCATCTTCGTGCATCTGCCCGGCCGCACGCGCGCCGAGGCTTTCGATATTGGCGAGAAGATCGCAGCCGCCGTCACCGAGCGTAACCCGCGTCCCGTCAAGCTCAAGTTCGAAAAGGTCTACCACCCTTGCGTGCTTCTGGCAAAGAAGCGCTACGTCGGCTTCAAGTATGAGTCGCGACAGCAAGAGGAGCCTGAGTTCGATGCCAAGGGCATCGAGACGGTGCGCCGCGATGGGACGCCAGCGGAGCAGAAGATCGAGGAGAAGGCACTGAAATTGCTCTTCCGCACGCAAGACCTCAGTCAAGTGAAGCGCTACTTTCAGGCACAGTGTCGAAAGATCATGGAGGGGCGGATTAGCATCCAGGACTTCCTTTTCGCGCGGGAGGTCAAGCTGGGCACTTATGCTGACAAGGGGCTGGGTCCTCCAGGTGCTCTGATAGCCACCAAGCGCATGCTAGCCGACCACCGCGCAGAGCCGCAGTATGGCGAGCGCGTGCCGTACGTCGTCGTCACCGGCGCGCCCGGCGCCCGCCTCATCGACCGCTGCGTCGACCCCGAGCGCCTGCTCGCCGACGACCAGCTCGAGCTCGACGCCGAGTACTACATTTCGAAGAACCTGATACCCCCGCTCGAGCGCATCTTCAACCTCGTCGGCGCCAACGTCCGCGCCTGGTACGACGAGATGCCCAAGGTGCAGCGTGTGCGGAGCGTCGCCGGTGATGCCGTGGCCGTCGGTGCTGGTGGTGGGCTCGGCGGCGTCAAGAAGAGGCTGGAAAACTACATGCGCTCCAGCTCCTGCCTCATCTGCCGCGCGAAGCTGGACCACCAGTCGTCATCGCGAGAGCAGCAACAGCAACAACAGCAGCAGCAAAAGCTACCTCTCTGCGATACCTGCCTCTCACGCCCTGACGCCGCGTTGCTGGAGCTCCGCACCCGGCAGCAGCGCGCTGAGCGTCGCGCGCGTGACGTCAACGACGTGTGCCGGAGCTGCGAGGGCGCCTCTTTCGGCGACGAGGTGCGCTGTGATAGCAGCGATTGTCCAGTCTTCTACTCAAGGGTGAAGATTAGAGCCGAGGTGAAAACTGCGAGGGGTGGCCTGGAGAGGGTGCTAAGGGAGTTGGAGAAGGAGCAGGAGGAAGAGGATCATGGCGAGGGACTGGATTGGTAAGGTGCTGGAACTGAGGCAACGGAGAACGATATAGATAGCCTCTAATACAGTAAGGATCGAACAGAAAATCCGGAGAGAAGACAAATCTACTACTACAATGACGATCCAAATCCTTCTTGAAAAAGCAGAGCCCCTTGGACAAGAGGGGTTACTGGGCGCGGAAGCCCATCGCCGTTGAATGGTGGAAAATATAGGCTTCGGAGCAGCGCTTGATTCCTCTCGCTTCACCATTACTTCTTTCTATTTTGATGCCTGGTTAGGATACGAGCATGGACGGACAGTGTTAAGCGGGGCTCCGTTATCTCTGATCATCAGGGCGGGCCTTGGAAGGGGTCCTCGTATTCGGTCAATCCTGTCTTACAGGAGAGACATAGGAAACGGCTGCACAGTCGAGAGGAAGATACTGCAGCCAGGTTTGTGAGGGAGATGGGCGTCATGCTATCTGGCTTAGCTAGCTCTGCGATTGCTGTGTTTGTGGTCGATGACGTTGGGTATTCAAACGGCGCGCAGAGACCCACTTCCCCGCTCTCACCCTCTTTGACCGCTCATTTTTTGCGAATTCGTAAGCTGCGAGAAGGATCCAGATAGCGCCCCAAACGGAAGGCAGCGGAGGAAGGGGGAAAGAAGCGGGGGATGACTGTTGAGATATGGGCCTTGGGTAGCCGCCGCTAACGGTCCGCCTTCCGTTCAGGCCGGGGAGACACGGTCCGCCTACTCTTCATAAGCTCCGCCATCTTACCTCAACAATGAGATGAATTCGTTCCCCAGAGAAAACCGCCATCAAAATGACGTCGATACTCGAGCACGCATCGCGTATCGCGATTGTGCCCGTATACGTCGCGGGCGCTGCGTCCGTAGCTCTTGCCGTCTACGTGAGTACCACACTAAGCGATGACGCTCATTGGCTAACACGACCAGCTTCTTCTGCTTGCCGTCTACCGTCTCACACTACACCCTCTGGCCCGCTATCCCGGTCCTTTTCTCGCCAAAATCACTCCCTGGAGGGACGTCTACCACGCCTGGCGCGGAGACAAGCACCTCGATTTTTACGAGCTGCACCAACGCTACGGTCCGCAAACCGTCCAACACGTGAAAAAGAACTTCATGCTAACCATACCTTCACAGGCCCTTTCGTCCGCTATGGCCCGAACACCCTCTCTATCAATGATCCGGCTGCGCTGAAAGCCATCTACGGCCACCGCGCCAATGTGCGCAAATCCGACTTCTATCTGGCATTCCCTGCCGCTCCGGGCGTCTTCAGTACCCACACGGCCCTCGACCGCCACGCTCACGCCCGGAAGCGCCGCGTCATGTCGCACGCCTTTTCCGACGCCGCCCTTAAGGGCGTCGAGGACTACGTGCTCGGCTACGTGCGATCTTTTGTCGGCAAGCTTGCTGGTGGTGGTCAGGGCGATGCTGGTGTTTGGTCTCCTGCCCGCGACGTGTCTGAGTGGAGCACTTATTTGGGATTCGACGTTATGGGAGATCTGTCGTTTGGCAAGTCATTCAACATGCTCGAGGGTGACGTGCCTGAGAACAGGGAGGCTGCCTTCTTGCTGACGCAGGCGGCAAAGAGGCACAATATCGTAAGTGATGAACCCCCCCTTTTCCGCCAGAAATGGCATACCACGAGTATCGTTTTGGAATGAAAGTAAAGCTGATTGAAATGAAGACTGGACCGATGCCTTGGCTCCACCAGTCCGGCCTGGACAGGATTCTATTCCGCAAGATCAACCAGGACCGCGACAAGTACCTCGCCTTCAGCCGCAAGCAGGTGGGACAGCGCACACAGAGCGATGTGTGGAAGTCTGACCGCAAGGATTTCTTCTATTACCTGCTCAACTCCAAGGACCCCGAGACTGGCCAGGGCTTTGGCAAGGCTGAGCTCTGGGGCGAGAGCAACACCCTGATCATTGCTGGTGAGTTTCGTTCTCCCTCCTCACAGGGTCGAAGACACTTGAGAATTAACGAAATGCACAGGCTCCGATACCACCTCCACGACCCTCACCGGAGCCATTTTCTACCTCCTCCACAACCCCTCCTCGCTGGAACGCCTCACTACTGAAATCCGCAGCACATTTGCCTCCGCCGAAGACATCCGCTCCGGCCCCGCCCTCAACGGATGCAGCTTCCTCCGCGCCTGCATCGACGAAGCCATGCGCCTGTCGCCGCCCGTCGGCGCTGTGCTGCCGCGTGTCGTTCTCGAAGGCGGCCTCAATGTGCTCGGCCACCACATTCCGGCAGGCACCGGAGTCGGCTGCCCTATCTACGCCCTGCACCACCACGCCGAGTACGTGCCCGACGCGTTCGAATACCGCCCGGAAAGGTGGCTTGCGACGGAGAGCGCGGGCGGCGAGGAGGCAGTGAAGAGGCTGCACGACGTCTTCAATCCCTTTAGCATTGGTCCCCGCGGCTGCATTGGCAAGCCCATGGCGTATATGGAGCTGAGCCTGGCATTGGCGCGGTTGGTTTGGGCCTTTGATATGAGGCTGGCGCCTGGTGAGCTTGGCAGGATCGGAGAGGGCCGCAAGGGCTTGGGCAGGGGCAGAGAAAGGGAGACCGAGTTACAGTTGGAGGATATCTTTGTGAGCAACAAGGTGGGTCCCATGGCACAGTTTCGTCCGAGGCAATATTGAAGGCGGTAATGTTTCTTTTTCTTTTTATGAATTATGAGCGTTCTGTACGGTTGTTGCTGAAGAAAAGGGCGGATTTCGTGCTTTTTCAGGGGCGTTCAGAGATTTCCTTGATCCCACCATTCAAAAGATGCCCCTAGCACGTCGTCAAGAAGGGTGGTTTGGAGGGACTGCTCAAAATGCCGGAGCTCGGGAACAAGTGGTGTATTCGAGTCTCTATTCGAACTCGGTGTAAATTGGACTTGGCTGGTTTCAGCCTGCATCTCCAAAGCGCCGGATGTTGCTCTGCTGAGTGAAGGCTGGCTTGGAGGGGCTTGTGGCTGATACAATGGGATATCCGTGAGCTTAGCGGGGCGTCTGGCATGTTGCGGTAGTAATGATCCGCTGAAGAGCGATGGCTCGGAGGTAGAACATGAAGCGCTCACAGCACTGTAACTAAGAAGAGTCCATAAAATTGCGGTTCTCTCGCGAGAGTAGTCAGTGTCAGTTTGGAGTTGGGCAGTAGTGGTCCTCTCGAGGCTTTGCAACAGTTGCGCCTGTTTTGCTGTTAGCACAGCTTAAAGCGATGACGAGCTTTTGAATGACTTACCATATTCGCAGCTATGGGCCAGATTCTTCCAACTTGCCGGACAAAGGCCAGGCATTTGAGGAACTTGTCACGCGCATCCCTCCTGGCCTGCGTCTCCCCGCATAGTCGGTAATGATCGAAGATTGTTGCTGCCACCGTGATAGCGTATGCGATAAAAGGATCTGTAATAGTATAGTCGAATTCCCTTGCGACCGTGCTGAAGCGGAACGCCCAGTAGGAGTGCAGCTTTGCCTGGTCTGATGTACTTTGCCGGAAGGTTCTGGGGGTGCTGTCTTTTATGGGATCCAACCGTACGGATAAGAGGAAAGGGTGGTTCAACACGCAGAGTATGGCGTGGTACATGAATTGAATAGAGAACCAGGGAGCCCAGTATGCCGGGTTGTTTTTGAATCTGCCGGCGGTCTGCTCGGAAAAGCGATGTTCATCTGGGAACTGGGACTCGTACTCCATCAGGGCGGAGACTATGGAACCGTACTCGGAGTCTCCTGTCCACAGGCTCTTACCAGCTTCGGTACTGGACTGCGCGGCGAAATGCTGCACTCTGCCCCAGATTTCGTATAGCTTGATGCTGTTTGCTAATATAATCTCCGTGTCCTGGGTTGGCGTCTGCGGCGTATTGTCATGTGAAGCGTAAATGGCCCCGGGAAAGCGGCAGGTAAAAATAGAAAGCGGCGGTTCAAGGCCGAATGTACGACTAAGAACATATAATGACCAAGCACACCGTCGGCGTTCTTCGAGCTCGGCCGGGTCGACGGTCCAATTTGGCTCTTCAACGAGTCTGGACTCTTGGGCAAGGCTGAGGGTAAGATTCAAGTGAAGCCACGAGCGCTCTTTCTGGCCGGCTGCGAGAGTCAGTGAATTGAAGCAAAATGGTGGTGGAGAAATTACCAGTGAACTCCCAAAAAGAAAGTAAACACAAGGCCTGGATGGTTGCCAGATTTACACCACCGGTGCTTAACCTCCTAGTGACCAAGTCATTGGCTCTTGCGGCATAATTGTCAGACACGTCAGCACCAACGGCGTCTTCGCGGCCGTGAAAGATGCGAAATGCAATGGCCAGAAGTGCAGTAACAAGTTCATCATCACGGGACTCGAAGGTGCGGAAGAATTCGGAGGCAAAGCCGGGGCCAAATAGTGGTAGAGGTTGGTAGTTACAGCGCTCCTCATACCGGATTAACAAATCATTTAGCACTTCTGCTGGTGGGTAAGAACTTGGTGTAGGTCAGCGGAAGCGAGTCTGTGTATGCAAAGGACGGATACCTTGAACTCTGCGGTGATGGCTGCTGCACAGACCATGTTCGTTCGGGAATCGGTGCAACAGCTATAGCAGGCTGAGGGGAGGGTCGATAGCTTCGTGTACCAGTCAGCCTCGGCCACGGTACGAGCAGTCAGGTCTTACGAACAAGTTTGCATTCAGCATCAGGTCCATTTTGCTCTCAAGGCTTCGGAGACGCTCGCTCTGGACACTAATTAGAGTACGCCAAGGCGGGTTTGATTTAATGACACTCACAACGCTCTGGTCGGAATCCTGAATTTTGATGCCGTGACTGGTGCCCTCGTTGTAGGAACAGACTTGACCAAGGCGTACACAGAGTGAACACGCAGGCTGTTCTCCGGGACATCGTGTCTTTTTGCGCCTAAAAGGGTTCAGAATTCGATCAAATGATGGCGCCGGAGCGCGTTCCACAGCAGCATACCTGCAGCCTTCGCAAGCTTGACGCGTGCGCTTCGGTGGGCGTGACGAGTCGTCGGCCATGGTCGTTCAACGTAAGCGCCTTACGACGCGCAAATAATCCCGAAGTCTTTTTCCAGGTGGCCGCGAAAGCGTGCATCGTTCTCTAAGCGGTCAATGGGAAATGCAGCGGATTGTGATGGAGACGAAGTAATCTGGGGAAGAGAGGAATGTGCGCCAATCGGACTCGGCCCATGGTCGGCAACACGCGGCAACTCGCGGTCCCTTTCCGAACACTGGACGCACCCGACGATCAGTAGAAGATAGCCGATGCCTCTACGCAAGCCTTTCGCACTTGGGAGCTCTGACCTTCACAGCAGGGCATCAAAGTCAGTAAGAAATCTCGAAGCAGACTCCTGTCTGTTAGTATGAGGTGGCGCTACGTGAAACCAGGGTCTCCAGGTTCGCATCACCATTGGGAATTCCTGTCTTGGTTGACAGAAGACGAGTTAACTGAATAGCTTCGATTTGAACTACAAAATGGGCATGAGCATACGCTTCGCGTAACACCCATGAAACAATATGATGGTGCACAAGTACGGGCTGTATTCTCGGTATCATCCGCATTCGGCGAAGATAGACAGCAGCCACTCTGGAAAAGCAAATGGCCATCGTCCGGAAAGACTGTTTTCAAGTCAACGGTGGTCTGATTAATAATGCGCACTCACAATACCCTGCCTCTGACTGGATCGACATTTACCGTTTATCCACTATTATTAGCGATATTGTGTGGCGTATGTTGCAGTACCCTGGTACGACGGTATGGCAGCGTAAAACTATCACTCCCTTGCCTCGACTAACGTGTGATTGGGCCTACACCTGCCGTATATATTTCAGCTTCAGATTCCGGCCCATTATCCAAAACATCTCTATAGGTACGTCTCTTTTGCTCATGCCGCGTGTTCTTCGCACCAACATGGACGCGGCTTCTCCCGACTGCATAAGCATTGTGCTGACATACGTGATAAGGTGCGCGGCATCACGGATGATTGGACGAGAAAGGGCGTCGGAGGGCCGATCAGCTGCACAGCCGGTGCCACAAGGCTGAAGTCTCGACCAAATTGGAACCTTCCGCCATTTGTCTCGGCGATAGAGAGCTTGGGGGCCGCTCCTTTCAGCCTCCAGTGGGGTCTGAAAGTTTACGTCGTCCGGCCCCCGCCCTCAGCCTATATACACCCTCATCGCATATCCACTCGCCTCTTAATAGGATGCAAATGCTTCAACTTTTACATCTGTTGTCTGCCCTCGCGACGTGCGGGAGCGCATTCCCACCAGAATGTCTTCGCACACTGTCACCTTTCTCGCGCTAACCGTCCTTTTCATACACAACTGCCAAGCCATATCTGCGGACGAGGCTGTGAACCAGACATGTTGGCCAAAATACTCGGTTGCGCAATTATTTGAAGATGTCTCAAACGACCCGATACTCGATCGTAACGACGTTGAAAGGACTCGTAATGCCACCAGACAGCAGCTGCAAACAGAGAAGATCTCAAAAGTCCAGAATCCGAACAACGCGACCGAGTGGCTCAGCCACATGACTGTTCCAGCTCCAATCTTCGCCGTGAACAACACCAAGGCCAGCGCCTTCCGCGTTGAAGAACAGGGTTGGAGGATCTTAGGTGCTGACCTCCAATGGTGGTGGAGATATTACACTGAGGATGACTGGACATTACAAAAGGAGACTGAACTCAACAACTACACCTCTGAAGACGCCCTCGACTACATTGCTTGGGATCTTAATATATACAGCGAGGTTGCATTTCCGTGCAACTCAACACTCAGCACCACTTTGAAAGGGGACGATACTAACTTGAGCCTCTATGGGTCCGAGTTCATCCGCGACTTCAGAGAAAAGATATCTAGCATCCAACTAGTCTACGGAAACCTGACTAGTGGCGTCGAAACGAAATATTTAAGGGATGCGCTCGAGGATGCAAGCAGGGAAGCAAATTCAACAGCAGATGCCGCCAACTGGATGGTGACTGCCTCGTATATGGGCGTCGGCTGGGATGTGAAATGTTGGGGTAACATCAACGCGGCCCTGGATCTAGCGACAGAATGGGACAAGGCAGCATCATCTGCTGCTACGACTTTGATGGCTCTGATCCCAGTCTTGCTTACGTTCGGAAACTTGTAGGTTCACCGTGAGGGTTCCATGATCCACACTGACTGATATGCCCTAGGATCCTTCCTCGGGACTCCGAAGCATTCTGCTCGAGTTTGCTTGTTGGATTGATGTCTGCGGCCTTCAGCCTGGGGCTCCCGGGAAAAAGTGTAAGCCTCTGCATATGAGAATGGAATGGATGCCGACTCACAGACATGGCAGATATCCGCCATCATACGAAGGTTGCACCGCATCGATGTCGGCTCATTCGAGCACTACCGTCAAGATATTATCAGCAAGCTTGGGAGGCGAGAAAAGGTAGACGGTCGCGCACGACCAAAGGCTCTCTATAAAGTCACCTTCTTGACTTTGCAGAGCTGGTTAACTGCTCCCCCAGAGGAAGAATCCATCTCGCCAGACAAATATGCCAGAGGGCTGAGTAACACCGCCCTTGATGCGGAACAAGTGACTTACTCAAACACCTTCTGGCACATCCGTAAAGAAGTCGACAAATGGAAGGACAGGCCACACTACTGGCATATATTTGGCCTGATGGTATTCATTGTTCAGTAAGCGCTCAATAGTTCGCTGTCTTTTGTTCCGCTAACCATCCGGGCTTAGAATAGCAATCTTCATTGTCGGAATTGGACCCCTCTTTCTCAACATAGGCACTCCTCTTTTCATGTTCAGCTGCGAGCAATAGTTAGTCGCATTTCCCTGGCATGGCACGCTTCAAACAGATCAACTAACGGAATATCCAAGTCTTTCGTCCCTGTGGATGCTCATAACAGCTGCTACAAATGCCGTGTTCAGATTCGTCATGTGGGAATTCAGCTCGCACGAGCGCGTACGAGGTAAGACTGAAGGCCGCTTTCTGGATTAATTATCTGACGTTATGCAGTATATGCGCTCTCAGAAAAGGCCAAGGATTCTCTGGATAAATTCATAAAGACAACGCCCGAATCGAATGGAGAAGCGGAGGGAACGCCGAAGAGTACGGAAACCGACCTTCCGCCACGATACCATCCTCTGGTCGCCCGCGGCCTTCGCGCTTACTACCGCACAATGTCGTCTTCGGCCTCAAACGTCAAGAAACAATATCGTCGGATAAGCAGGCAAAGCAGCCAAGAGTTGGTTGAGCACTCCAGCCTTTACCGGCACAACGAAGACATAGACACCTTTCTCCAGTCGATTCGGGACCAATGTCTTTTCTTCTGGTACCATTGGGTGCGGTTCCCATTCACCCAGCCTTTGAAGTTCATCCGGGTTGGGTTCTGCCGTGGTGAAAGCTCTACGGAAAGCGCTCGCCGCTGGCGGCCCGTCACCGTCCTCATGCATCTCTCCAGTAGCGGCCGGAATCCTTTTGCGAAACTTTTGACCGGACTTGTGGAAGGAGCAATCCTGCTCCTCCTCACAATCTTCTTCTCGTCACAGTGGGGCGGCAACATTTTCGTTGTCGCTTACACGATTGCACTGCTTCTCGTCGTCGTCACTGCAGGTCGCCTTTTCAGCCTTTTCTACATCTGGCAGAGTGCCAAAACTCTTGGCCTACACGTCATTGAATGCCAGAGCAACACTCAGATTAGCGGTGCGCTACGAATCCTCTGCAGCATGACTGGCGTCCTCGTCGTAGTGAATGGAGCATACTACTACGAGGGCCACCGCTTGGACGAGAGAGAGAAGTGGAATGATTGGCGTGCGAAATACGATCGCGGAGACTACGACGAGGATCAGAACCCCTCAAGCCCCAGAAGCCGGAGGGGGTCGGCCACTGAAGTCAGTTTCGCGCAGCAGGGGTCAGGCAGCAGGCTGAAACAAGCCTTGAGTGTCCGCAAAAAGCCAGTGAGGCCCAGCCCCCATGTCACGCGGCATCAATCAGAAGGGAGCCAGTCGGCGATCTTATTGGAGGACATTGGATACCATTCTCGGATGCCGAGTGATCCCAGTCTTGATTTCACGATGCCACGCACTCCTCAGGCTACTGCCACCCCTTAATATTGAAAGCATGTAAATATTCTCATCATTCTGTTCTTTCGGTTACGAGCTACCTGGAAACGACATAATGTTTAGTTCATTCTGAGAGTACGAAAGCATGGATTGAGCAACATAGTCATCAAATGTTTGTGGAGACGCCTCTTGAAGTTGAAAGTTTTAGATCCCCAGTCCGTGGAAGACAGTGTCTTCGCAATCCTGCAAGAACTTCAACACATCCTCCTTCTCGTGCCACGCATCATTATACGCCGCACTCAAACTCAACTGACCCCTCCACGTCCCCAGGAACAGCCCCAGCCCGGTCCCCAGTTCCTCGCCCGTAACCCAGGGATCACTTAGCTCGAACGGGCCATGCGTCGGCGATATGATCTTATCGATGACGCCCATGCTCGAAATCGACACGGACGGCGACTCGTTCGGCGGCGGCACGGGGAGCGTCGCGCCGTCCTCTGGATACGGCAGGGTCCCCAGCGACCAGTACAGCGGGGACATGCCCAGGAGGTCCGGGTCGTCGCGCACGGAGAGGTAGAAGTCGCGCATCTCCCGCACGACGCGGTCGAACTCCTCTCTGCGCCGCATCGACGATGCCTGCGCCGCGTCACTGTCGGCGGCGACCTCAACATCCTCCATTTTCACGCCATCCGCAGGCGTCGCGGCGATATGACCTGCAGTGGAAGCCGCCGCCGCCCCCGGCACGTCTAGATCAATCGCGAGGCCCCTTCCCGAGGTGCAGTGGTACACGGACGCGGCATGGCGCGCAGTGTTGAAGGGAGGCTGGCAGCGCTTGCGCAAGTCAACCAGGCAGTAGTTGACGTAGCGTACGCGACGTGCGGCCGGGTTGATGCGCTCCTGCAGGTCGCGCACGCACATGGCGATGGCGGCGTGGTAGGCGTGCGTGACGGTCACGCCGCGCGCGCGGCAGGCGGCGAGGAGGCTCAGGGACGAGCGGTCGTCGCGGAGTGTGCGGGCGACGCGCTGGTGCTTGCCTGGCAGATGTGTGCCGCGCTTGAAGGGGACGGTGAGGAGCTCGACGGCATCGCCTGATTGTTTGAGTGCGTTGTTCTGGGCGGTGTCGCGGGCGAGGCGGGCGATTTGCTCGGGGGTCGGGGACGGAGGGATGTTCGCGGCTTGGTGCAGGGGTGGGCTGAGGTTCTGCCACTCGGTGCCAAAGGACGGAGGCGGGTAGGGGGAGGGGCCATCGGCGTAGGCGCGAGCAGCGTGGGCGAGGAGGTTGTTGAGGAGGTGGAGAGTGCCGATGCCGTCGATGATGTCGTGATGGGCGCGGAGGATGAGGTCGCGGCGCAGCACGCGTCCTTTGTCTTCGGAAGAGGGAGGAGTGAGGAGGAAAAGCGTTGGCTGGTGAGGGACGGGCGGGTCGGAGTTGCACCACTCATGTCCGGTTCGGCCGTCGGAGATGATGCAGAAGGTTCGTTCGAGCCAGTGCCTCTGCTGGCTTTCGAGCGCACTTGCGGGGAACGTCACGTAGACCTTCTTGCATTTCTTTTGGACACGGTCATACTCTACCCATGAGGCAATGGTTGGGTGGTCGTAGCGGAGTGCGAGCCATGCGCTGCGGAGGGCCTCGATAAGTCTCTCCTCGATGATTGGACGGGTAGTGTCTTCGGGGATATCGATTGAGAGCGAGATGAAGCCCGTCATGGCGAAGAAGGTGCGGCCACTGCCTTCGTAGTTCTTTGCCAAAGATGCGTAGAACTGTTCGGCTTCGTCGATGTCACGCTCCCACCGCCCGGGGCTCGTCTCCTTCCATTCGAAATCAGGCTGAATATTGGCACCCATGGCTTCAAGAACGAGGAATTGCTGTGCCTCCGAGGCGTACCAATGGGCAAGCGAACACTTATATCAGTTTGCCGAGTGATGGTCGGTATCAGGCGACACTGAGAGAACCGAAGATCCGCCTACGCAGCGGAAAGATCAGAAGGAAGAGGAGCAACTTATTCGCGCGGGCAACAAGAAAGGCAAAATGAGTCCGCAGCACTAGTGATTGTGCGGGATAGCCTTGTGCCACGATTAATGGCTACAGATAGGAAAGGAACTGAGGCGGGTGCTCCGTGACGCTTGCAAGTTGAAAGTACTTCCCGATCGAGACAATAGACCGGCCAATGACAGCTTCTCTCGAAGAGCACAGGCGGGATGTCGGACCGGTATCCCCACCATGCAACACGAGCCTTTCCGAAGTTTAGCCGGAGCTCTACCGTACGCTGTTCACCGTCTATCGCCAGAGCCCTCACCTGCAACATCATCCAAACACCTTGAGAAGAATCCTGCAAGCATCATGGAAGCTCGTACATCGCTACATGACGATGCTGTTGAGCTCACAGATGGTGCACAAACATCCCCGCACCCGCCAGATGCAGATTGGGAACCGACCACGCTCAAGACGAATTACATCAAAGTCGTCAGCGCTGCTTTCTCGTTTTTCGTCGCAGGGGTGAATGATGGGAGCCTTGGTGCCCTGATCCCCTACCTTATCAGGTCCTACGATATCAACACAGCCATGATCTCCATCGTGTAAGCTCTCGTGCATCGGTACTCGCCCGCTGTGCTGACCATGTTAAGCTACGGCGTCACTTTCTTTGGATGGTTCATTGCCGCAGTCACAAACAGCCACCTCTGCCAATATCTCGATTTGGGAGCCATGCTGGTCCTCGGAGCTTTCTTGCAGGTCCTTGCTCACGCCTTACGCTGCTGGACCCCACCTTTTGCCCTGTTTGCCGTCACATTTGGTATAGTCAGCCTCGGACAGGCATATCAGGACACACACGCGAACACCTTTGTGGCCTCGGTCAAAACCGCACACCGATTCTTGGGTCTCATTCATGCAATGTATTCCGGCGGCTGCCTCGTTGGCCCGTTCGTCTCCACGGCCATCGCCTCCGCCGACACGCCCTCACGCTGGAACTTGTTCTATACCTTCCCGCTGGCGCTCGGTGTCTTAAATCTGCTTCTCTGCATATTCGCTTTTCGGGATAGCCTGGCTATCAAAACAAAGCACGCCACCAGTCCCGACATCCAAGGCGGTTCAAGGAACGACGGTGCAATGGCTGAAATAAAAGAAACGCTCAAGACTCCTAGCGTCTGGCTGTTGAGTCTTTTCTATTTCTTTTATCTCGGCGTCATTATCACTGCAAGCGGTGAGTAGAAGCCCGTTCAGTCAAAAAAAAAAAAGACTAGCTAACATGTTGCCAGGCTGGGTAGTGGAGTATCTTGTCGAGGTCCGTGGCGGCGATTTGGCTGACATGGGCTATGTCCCCGCTGGCTTCAATGGTGGGTCCTTCCTAGGAAGGCTCCTGCTTGCCGAACCGACGCATAGATGGGGCGAGCGACGAATGCTATTCATCTATAGTGTTATTGGTGTGGCGCTTCAGCTTCTATTCTGGCTGTATGTCTCCATCACTCCACTTCGAGTCATATCTAACAATCTAAATCAGTGTTCCGAACATTATCGCCGCATCCGTCGCCATCAGCTTGATGGGATTCGTCCTAGGGCCCTTCTTTGCCGCTGTAAGTTATTCTTCACCAACATCGAAGATCCACCGCTGCACCGCATGCAGTCTGCTGACTCGCACTGCTTTCGATTTAGGGAATCTCGGTAGGGTCGAAATTATTCTCTGATAAAGTGCGTTCGTCTGCCCTCGCCCTCGTCTTTGTCCTCGGTCAAATTGGAGGCTCCATCTTCCCCGCAGTCACAGGCATCGTCGCTGCGCATGCAGGCGTGAAAGTTCTACAGCCGGTGCTTGTTGCGTTGATGGCTGCCACAGGCGTCAGCTGGCTCTTCGTGCCAAAAACAGGCGGTCTGCACCACAGAGAATAAGTCCTCGAAGCGAAAAAAAAAAAGGCAACACGGATCCGTTGTTTGGGGCAGATACTCCAATCTCAATCCGTTAGGCACCATTGTCAACCATCCCAAGCACCGCCGCCACATCAGCTGGCAATTCGTACGGCTTCTCTTCCGGAATCAACCCCCGCCTTCTCAGCTCCTCGTCCCCCACACCAGGCTCCTGGTCCAAGACCTCCTTCAGCCTCACCGCCTTTGCCGTCACATCCTCGATATCGACAATCCACTCGTTTGCCCACTCCACGACCAGATCTCCGGAAATTCCTACCTGTATGCTCCTCCAACCAAGCCTCTCCAGGCGCGGCGATCGCTCCGGATCCCACTGCACTTTCACGTCACCGGCGACCTCCTCTACTCTCTCTACTTTCTCTCCTCCCCCGCCATGCGTCAACACCGCCCTCCTGAGTAGTTCGATGAACCCTTCGTGCGTGACGCGTAACGCAAGCACACGTCTCTGCCCTGCGTCTTTAAACGAGTAGCCGCTGCGGTACATCATCCAGCACCAGCTAGGTTTGATCCACGTCATGCGTCTCGGTTTGAAAGCCGACGATGTGGCAAGATGCTGCGTTGCGACGGCAGCATCGGCGATAACAGACGAGTACGCTTGGTAGACGGTAATGGTTTTGTCATCGTACACGGCGCGTATCTGGCGTGATGGTGGGGTGCAATCCATTGTGAGAGAGAGAGAGAGAGAGAGAGAGAGTGTGTGTGTGTGTGTGTGTGTGTGTGTGTGAAATTGGTCGGACTTTGCTGTGTGGAAATCTTTTTTCCCTCTCTTCGGTCAGTTCCTAGTGTTAGGGTCGAGATTTGGGCCAGTTGTGGTTCTTATTGGACTTTTGACCAGACTATATCCCGATACCGTCGCACTAAGTCAGTCACCGGCGGTGACCCGGTGAGGACAGAGTGGCGCAGTTCCTGGATGCAAACTACTGTTAGCCCGCAGGCACCAGGACAATTCTTAGGGTGCATCTATCTAATCTATTCCCAGCATGCTGCCCACCAAGCATTCTGCAAGTGCTGTAGCCCTGCCCGGGTTCGCCCCTTGATCGGCGAAGTTGACCCCGAATCCCCGCACGCCGAACTTGCCCGGCGATTCATGTGTGCCTTGTGGCCTCGGCTCTTTTGACTCATAGCTGCATGCATAAAGAAATTCGTCCTCTTTGTTGTGAGGGCGAAAGGATGCTCGTAATATCTTTCGTTACAGGAAGAAGGAACAGAATCATGCCCCAATAGGCCCCTCACCATTTAAGTGTTGGTGAAGGACGTGATTAGATAGCGCAGTTGGATCTCAGTACGCACATGCTCGCCGTAAGATAGTGCCAGCGCTTTGGCCGTTCTAATGTTAATTTAAGAACTTTCTTTCAAGTAGTGCAGTGGAGCTTCGGAGATGGGGGATGCCAGTCACGCTTGCTCTGTGGGTGTAATAGGTTGCACTGTTTCTCGAAAAGAAGGCGGTAGGCGTGACAAGGCGGGCGCAGCGGATGACCTGAGCACATGGAGGAAACGAGCAGGATTACGCTCAAGTGAGTAGAAATAAAGAGCAGTTTCGGATCTGTGGAGCTCAGGTGCTGGGTGGCTCGATCGGATGGCGGCGGAAAGATGAGCGGGTCCCAGGGTCCAGTGGCGACAAGTAAGCGAGGATGCGATGTGGGGTACTCTGCAGCTTGTTTAGACTCAACACCAACCTCAGAATCTTGACAAAGGTTCCAGTCTGCCGCACGGTCGAGTGTCCCACATCAAGTCATGGCGCCTGGTAGTTTTCGCCCCACAGCAATCCAGATTCCTCCAGTTACACCATACCTATGTTCGCTGAGCGCGCCCCTTGTCCAAGAGCGAGGAAGAAAAGCGGGGAGCACCGCAGAGGGGAAATCAGTGTCTCGAAAAGGTCGTGCCGAAAGAATGGCGGGGTGAACAGAAGGCTGGCCGGTCTGCCCCACAGGAGGCGTCAGCTTGAAGTGATGTGCAGGCCTCAGCTGGGAACCCGCAGGATGGCGGGATTCGCTCAAGGGAAGACTCCGGATATTTTTTGAAAACGGGCAGTGGAGTCCACTCGGCTTCGTTCCATTCGGGGCTTGTAACATGGAATGGCCTGGGCGAGAGCTGCTTCTGTCAGCGGAGCTCTGGCATCAGATAAGGAAAGGTTCGAAAGGGCACCGTACAGTCTGACCACCGGGCCGCACTGGGCCCACACGTGGCGACGGCCGCCTCTTAAGTCCCCAGCTTCCTGTTTCTGGCCAGTTGTTTTCGCTCTTGGACGAATGGGTTCAGCGACTCCAGGGATGGCACGAGGACACACTGCCATGGCGTGAAGGCCAGATGACAGCGCGCCTGGTAGCGTCCATCCACTGCTTCGGCCATCAGCACCAAGAATCTGCGAACGAGTCCTAAGGTCCATCGTGGGTTTCGCAGTTACTGGATTCGGCAAGCATCATGGCACCGGCTCGCACAGTCCACCGAGACGCGAACACCGCCTGTACGCGAACCCCTAAAACCTCAGCCCATGGCCGCCACTACACCGCTAAGCTGGGCTTATCTCCAGTGTCAGGGGCGCCGGTCAGGAAAAGTAAGCTCGTCGGTTGCGTGTTCGCAAAGCTGGCCTCGGATCCACGTTTCGGATCCTAGACACGTTGAGTGGCTGCTGATACGTCAGCAGGGATGTGGGCCACAGACCACCTCGCCGATGGCGGAGGGCAAAAATAGGACGAGAGAGGGGACAGTTGGCCACGCTTGACGGACCGATGATGGCGGCGGCACGAAGTCCACAGATTCAGATCAACGCGGGCGGTGCAAATTTGGATCGAAAATTAGGGGTTTCACAGGGACTGGGTGGCGGAGGCTACTCCTAGCGCGGCCGCTTATCACATTTCTCGCATCGCGGCCGGCAGGAACGACTGGGCTTGCACGCGAAAATGACACGTAACGCAGGAGACGGAAAACTCTGACATTGGCAGCGTCATGCGAGCGCGCCGTTGCTGTATGCCACGCCAGCGCCGTTGCGGCTGCGGGAAAGACGACGTGGGCGACACTGAGGCTCGAATCAGACCCTGATCTACCCGACCTGCCTTGACCGCCTGCGTGTTGAGCCCAAAGTGCCGCCTGCTATTGGCTGCCGAGCCGGAGCCCGTTTTTTTTCTCGAACACCAGACGGTCCGAAAGCAAAAAGAGCCGACGCAATTCGCACCCGTGCTCGGCCAGTCCCCAGCTTTGCGCGGAGCACCGCACACTACCCCACCGGCGACCTCAACGCGTTCGAAAAGGCTGCAGCAGACTCGCGCGCCGCACTGCTGCGCTACAGCAGGCATCCAGAGCTCCCCAGAAGGCCCGACTTACCGCCTGCCGCCTTGGCGCCCGCCGGGCTCGAGACGACATCCGTGCCACGTGCCGTAACGCACATCGCCCTAGCCAGTCAGGAGAATGGCAAACTACGGCTGTTACGCTTGGGGCGTGCTTGGTGGATCAATTGTCCGTTGAGTTTGGGTCCCACGGAGCAGGGCCTTCACCGTCAATGGCGGCACCCCACTCTGCTTGGCCACCTCTTCCTTGACAGCAAGTCTCCCCTTTATTTTCCCACTACAAAAAGCCACTGCCCTCCGCTCTGTCTTCTGGCAACGGGAAAACTTTTTCTCTCCTGCCCACCATGTCTGTTGCGCAAACCGTCACCCTCCAGAAGGGCGAGCAGCCCACGGACAACGTACGCCCCTCCTGCTTGCCGCCAAGTTGCCTCCACTAACACCTGCCAAAGGTCATCAGCCTGAAGCCGTCGTCCAACCTCGTCGACCCGGCAAAATGCCCGAGCCTGGCTGATCTGAAGCGCGCCATTCCGGCCCACTGCTTCCAGCCCAAGGTCGCCATCTCCATGGCCTACCTTGCTCGTGACATCGCCATGGTCTCTGCCCTGGTTTACGGTGCTCTGCAAATCCACCACGTCGAGTCATTTGCTGCCCGTACCGCTCTCTGGATTCTCTACGGCGCTGCCCAGGGCTGCATCTTCACCGGCCTGTGGATTCTCGCCCACGAGTGTGGCCACGGCGCCTTCTCGAGGCACCAGCGTCTGAACGATGTCGTCGGCTGGCTCTGCCACTCGGCCCTTGGTGTTCCGTATTTCTCCTGGAAGATCTCGCATGCCCGCCACCACCGCTTCACCGGCCACATCGACAAGGACCTCGTCTTCGTTCCGCGCACCGTTGAGGAGATGGCCAATAAAATGGGCATCTCCATCAAGGCCCTTGAGGAGCTCACCGAGGACACGCCCATTGTCACCACCATCAAGCTGCTTGCCCACCAGCTCTTCGGCTGGCAGACCTACCTCCTCTTCAACGTCTCGGCTGGCCACAAGAGCCGTGTTCGCGACAACGACAAGAAAGGCTGGTTCAACGAGCGCGGCAGCCACTTCGACCCCTGGAGTGTTCTCTTCCTTCCCCAGCAGGCCCACCTCATCATCATCTCCGACATTGGTCTTGCTATCACCGGCTTCATCCTCTACAAGGCGGCTCAGGTTCTTGACTGGCAGACGGTTGCGCTCCTGTGGGTCGTTCCCTACGTCTGGGTTCACCACTGGTTGATCGCCATCACCTACCTGCACCACACCCACCCGGATGTTCCTCACTACGGCGAGGATACCTGGAACTTCACCGTTGGCAACCTCTGCACCATCGATCGCGACTTTGGCTTCATTGGAACCCACCTGTTCCACGGCATCATTGACACGCACGTCGTCCACCACCTGTTCCCCAGGATCCCCTTCTACTACGCCGACGAGGCCACAGCCGCCATTCGCCCCATGCTCGGCAACTTCTACAACGAGGACAAGAAGACCAACTTCCTGAACAGCCTGTGGACCACTTTCCGCAGCTGCCGCTGGGTCAAGGAGGAGAAGACGGCCCCCGCCCCCCAGGTTTACCACTGGGTCAAGCCTTCGTCCAAGGCTACGAACTGAAGAGAAAAAAAATTTCCATCCCGTTGGCGTTGATGTGTCAATCTGTCATGGGCTCGACTAGATTTCACAGGAAGGCAAGCGCATCTGGATAGGATTTCGGCGTTTTGTTTTTGGGTTGTTCGACCAAATACCCTCGACTCGGGGCTTTCAGCAATCCTCCGCAGCCACTGTCTCTTTCATTGAGATGCGAGTTTTAGAAGGCTAAAATTAGAGTTTAGAGAGATCAAGAAATTAGATGCATAGACACGGAACCCTCCACGTGGAGCAGGTTCTGGTGCAAAGATTCATTCTCAACCAATTTCAGCTCACCTCACGTGCTAATGTGAATCACTCTGTAATTGAAGTATTTTTTGCAAACATAAACAGCATACGATTGCAACTATGAGGAGATACAAGGAACATGCACATTTTTCGAATCGCTATACTTGATACAGCCACAGTTTCAGTCATTAAAATTGCGAAGCCCTCCAGACCTGAGCGATGCTGAACCAGGGCAATTCGCGTCTTCGTTGATACAAGCCTGCGAGACATGGGCGCTTGATTTCCCCAATCTCTTAGTTCAAAGTACAAAGCATTACCGGGTTGCGCAGTCGCAGGAAGTCTCAAATATCGTGACCTCCAGATCCCCCCGTTGGCCCTCGTTTGCTCAAGAAACGTATCCACGGCTTCACATGCAATCCAAGCGACAACATGGCCTAGGAATGACTCGCAGGACGACACGATTGATCGACGGTGCGATGCACGTGAAAGACTTAGTCAGCAGGGTTGTTGCGGAAGCTGCCGGCGACGAAACAGTCTCCCCTCCTTTCGTAACCATATGGCATCGCTTCTCGACAGCCACCCGGAGCTTACCGACAATTTTTCAAGAGATACAGTACTGTGCGACGTGCCGGACGAGTCATGTCGCTCAGTCCGCCAGAGGCCGACATTGATCAGGAACACCCGCGCCAGGTAACCTCCGCATCCTTCATCCACTCTGATCGGTCAAGTAACGGGTCAAGCAGCGAGCCTCGCGAGCTTGTATATTTTGCCACTCCCGCAAAGTGAAATGTGATGCGCTGAGGGTCTACCCTTGCACGAGATGCAAAGAATCCCATCTTCAATGTACCCTTCGCGTGTCACATCGCGGCAGAACAAGGAGGTATTTGAGCGAGATCAACTCAGGCTTGGTAGGTTGAGCTGACTAGATCGACGCTAGAATTGCGCGAACTGAGAGCCACGTGGAGTCGAGAGCCCCGCGGTCCGCACGATCCGTTCTTATCGAGCCGAGGGCTGGACCTGTACCGAATCCCCGGCGGACGGACCGCGTTAACCCCTCATCTTCTTCTGTTGATCTCATCAGATCGCTCGAGAACTTCATAGACAATCCCAACAGTCCCATTGGTGACGAAGATGGCGTGGCAATCGTTCACGCAACAAACAACAACGCCTTTACATCCATTCTCAATGCTGCCGCCGACACGGATGAGAACTCCCGCCGGAACCTCCATCTTTACGCCGGCTCTTCTACTAATTCATGCTCCGCCATGGACCGCTATAGAGAAGCCATCGGCCGCCTGGACGCACCGACGCGGAAGTTCCTTGCAGAAAAGGGCGTCTTTGACTTACCCGATGCTTACCTGGCAGACAGTCTGATACAAACTTTCTTCGACTACGCGGATCCGCAAGTGCCCCTAATTGACAAGACGGATTTTTTGGAACGCTACAAAACACGGAATGTTCCTCCGCTGCTCCTACAGAGCGTCATGTTTGTTGGAAGTCACTTCGCTCTTGACGAACATGTCGCTGCCTCACCGTGGTCGACCCGCACTGAAATGACTGCAGCCTTCTTCGAGAAGGCGAAGCTCATAGCTGACTTTGAACTAGAGAGAGATCAAATCACTTTGGTGCAGTGCTTTGTCTTATTAGCAGAACGGTGGTTTGGTTGGACCGAAGAGAGAAATACGAGGTACTGGATGAGCCGAGCTATAAATGTGGCGTATATGATGGGCCTACACCGCAAGTACGTCACCCGCCATTGTGATCCAATCCCATGCATCCCCTAACGTCTTGGGTCTCAGGATAGAAACTCTCAACTTAACCCCAGCGCAAAAGAGGCTTTGGAATCGCGTTGCTTGGGTAACCATGGTAAGCTTAAAAAGCCAGTTTGCATGTTCGCAACTAACATCTGCCAGGCCAAAGACTGTTTCGTCGCAGCAATGTTCGGAACGCCTACTATCATTGATGACAGGTGGACGGACGGTGAAGAGCTCATCTGGAATTCCAGCTATTTTGATGAGTCTCGAGATGACCAGGGAGTGGATTCCGCCCCATCACGTACCCCCGAGACGGTCAATTACAGCACCGCGCTCGTGTGGCTTGGGGCATTAGGTGAGCTGTCTTCGGTAATGAGCTCGATAATAGCTTACCCGTGAGCAGTGGGAATGACGATTAACAAGCTCCACTCTATACCCAACACTTCTGTGGAACCTCTTACTTCAGCGGTTCTGGATGAGTTGCGGGAAAGAATGGACCAGCATACAGCTGATTGCCCTGGTCTCATTGACATGGAACTGCAAGACACGACAACGACTCCCAAATCCCAGCTCATATACCAGCCACTGCTCCGCGCCGCCCACTCTTTAGTGGCATTGTTCTATCATTGGGCTCTTGCTGAGAAGCACAAGGATCCAGAAATTAAACTGGAAAGCCGGCGGACTTTACATAACGCAGCTTATGATTTTTGTGAAGTAAGCAACTCATAAACGACGAAGAAATGTAGGAGCTGACATCTATGTAGGTAATGAGCTATCTGCGCGCGCATTCGCTATTTCCTATTTGTCCTCTCTGGCTGTAGGTGCTCCGATATGGCATTCCCAACAGAAGGCTAACTCTGTGCAGGGTTGCGGGAGTCTTTCACACAATGGCAGTATTGTTGAGCGATTGCCGAGACGCGTTACTAGGCTCGGAAGAGCCGCGGAAATCGGGCTCTTTTGGTCGCCTTCGGCAGCTGAACGAAGACCTGAGCATCCTTGAAAAGACTTGGAAACCCGCGGGTTGGTTCCGCGAGCTCATCAGAATCTCGCTATCCAAACTGCAAGAGAGGGTACGCAAGAGAAAGGAGGGCCAGACTCGAACGCCGGAGCCAGAGCGGCAACCTCAGCAAGGCGGCATGCCATCGGCACCTGACGGTCCCATATTCTGCGAGTCTCCAGGTGTCTTATTCGAAAGTGCCAGGGAACTCTTCCCAGATCTGGAGAACGTTTTTAATTGGACCTCAGCCGATGCATTCATACTGAGTTGATTCTATTCTTTTCATCAAGACTTTGCGGCAGCGATGACTTTTAAAATCGGGACTTTGGCTTCGGATGAATCGCACTTTTGAAGCCGAGCCGATCGGTCCCCGTCTGCCGACTTCCGACTTCAGGTCGAGCCTACACCGCGGCATCTTAGGTTAATCTGCATGGTGTGGCCAATAGGAATATAGCAAATCTTACCATTCTGGGAAATAGCCTTTTGCTCCTTCTCCTGGACCGAGCTCCTCCTGTACACAGTAGGCAGTCAGCAGAAGGCATTCAACGATCCACCATAGCATATCGGCAGTTTTCCTAGAGATTCTCGAGATGATTCGTGTATGAAGTCCGGCCGCTTTCTTCTATTTGCATAAATCTTCTTCACGGCGTTCTGGTGTGTACTCGGATAGCCGCAAGCCGATCCGATAGCCGATAGCCGATAGCCATAGCTACTCGGTATGCCGCAACCCAGCATTACCCCTTCCGACCATCCCGCTCGGGGGTCGGATTGGCTGAAGCAACGAGTTCTAGCATGGCTATTAACGTTTTCTTGCCAAGGAAAGGTAATTTCCGGATCGAATACGTCTACATCGCCTCCCTCTTCATCCTATTCGACAGCGCAGTCTATGCATGGGCTGCCCACATGCACCGCCCGCACTACGTAGAAGGCGGCTGTGCCCCGCCGAGCAAACAGTGCGCATTTGTTTCAGGTCTCCGCTCTAATGCAGATGTCGGCGCCGACAATTAAACACATTTGGATATATATATTTCTTGAACCGGCACTCCACATCCAAAGACTCATCTCTGTTCATCCGCAGCCTACGACCACGAGCGTCTTCTTTCACTGTCACCATCATGTCTTCAAAACCCTTCAAGGTCATCATTGCCGGAGGCAGCATAGCGGGCCTCACGCTAGCCAACATGCTAGAAAAACTTGGCATTGACTTTGTCGTTCTCGAAGCATACAAGGAAATTGCACCTCAGGTTGGCGCCAGCATTGGCTTGTTGCCAAATGGCCTCCGCGTTCTCGACCAGCTTGGCCTGTACCCTGCTATCCGTGGGCTGATACAGGAGCCGAACCAAAAATCTACCATCCGTGGACCAGACGGACAAGTGCTAACCCAGACCAACAAAGGAGGGGACCTATTTAGGAACCGGTGGGTGCTTTCATCGAATACTCATATCCTGGTGCTGACTTTTTTCCAGTCACGGATATGACATCATCTTCGTAGATCGCCAGATGGTCCTTCAAGCTCTGTACAATCACTTGGAAAGCAAGAACAAGGTCTTGACGAGTAAAAAAGTTGCTTCGGTCACTCTGCAAGAAAAGGGCGTGAAGGTCACTACTGCAGATGGCGCCGAGTTCACTGGCGATATCCTGATCGGCGCAGATGGAGTCCATAGCACCGTTAGGAACGAGATGTGGCGAATCGCGGACCAGCTTGAACCCGGATACATCCCGGCATCAGAGCGCACAGGTGAGTTCGGTTTCCAAGGCCTCAAATGTCTGCGTTGACACCCCCTCAGCATTGACGTCGCATACGACATACAAATGCATCTTCGGCATCTCCATTATGAAGGACTACGCGCCTTCCACGACCAGCTCGACTTGGTACAAACATTCCTCCCTTCTGGTCATTGCAGGGCCCAGGTACGTGTTGCTTCCACTTTTATAACAACCTTTAGCTGACCAGGTCAGTAACCGAGTGTACTGGTTCATGTTCCAGAATATCGACAAGAAATACGAGGGTGAAGAACTTCCTCGTTATTCCAAACAGGATGAGGAAACTCTTGCCAAGGAGCATTGGAATGACCAGGTCACCGAAAACATCACCTTTGGAGACATGTATGCTGCGAGGATCTCGTCGGTCCTAACCGCACTTCCCGAGTACGTCTTCAAAAAGTGGCACTTCAGACGGATCATGACAATCGGTGATGCTGCACACAAGGTAAGTTTCACAGCAACTACCGCCTACTACAATTGAAGCTAAATCCTCTAGTTTGAACCGATCAGTGGTCAAGGAGGCAACAGCGCCATTGAGACGGCGGCCGCCCTGGTCAACAATCTCACAAGCATGATGAAGAGCCGCCCAGAAGGCCTAGCCGATGCCGACTTTGACAAAGTTTTCTCGGAGACTCAGACAACGCGCACGCCACGCGTATGGGAGCTCGTGAATGCATCTCATCAGCAACAAATGGTCGAAGCCATGGAGACACGCCTGTTGGAATTCATGGCTAAATACTACATACCACATGCGACCATCGACACCAGACTGGCCAGTTGGTGCAAGAGTATCGAGGGTGGCCGCCGGCTCGATATGCTCGACATGCCGAAACGACCCCACTACGTTCCATATCCGGAGGAGCTCGCCAGCACACCATTTGACGGCTCGGCTATCATTAAATTGACCGTCGCTGCAATTTTTGGACTGCTTTTCCGTCTGGCTCAATTAACTTTGACGATAGACCCGGCAAGCTTCTCTCCTACCTTTGTTGGTCATGACTGGAAGCAGACATACACTGGAATTCCAGCGATTGACTCTACGCTTTCCATTTTGGTTTGGGCCTTCTCCAAGGGAGTTGCTGGTGACGACCCCAACCAGAAGGTCCAATGTCTGTATTTCATGATCATGCTCCTCCCGATTGCCCTGATCTGGACGGTTGAAGCTTACCGGAATGGAAACCATCGGTCTCTGGTATCCATGTATGTTGTTTTTTTCACTTCAATCTTTCCCTTCCCTAAACTTAAGCTGACACATGGTACTAGGCCGGTACTCTTCGGCATCTATCAGCTCTTCGGTATTGGCAAGGTGAGTTCGCCCACACAACGCAAAGCGCCACTCAAACTAACCCCAACCTAGATCGCACCCCTCTACTACCTGGTCAGCATCTACACTTCGGGCAACATCCTCTACACCCGCACGACCGGCCGCGCCATCCACTCCTCGGTCGCCAAGGCACTCCTGCCCGCCCTCGCAATCGGCTACGTCCTGCCCACCATCCTCATGTTCCTCCCGCACGAGTCCGCCGTCACGCACCAGAACTACGTCGCCCTCTGGCAGCCCTTCCCCATCTACATCGCCGGCCTCACCTTCGCCATCTCCGCAATCATCCGCAAGGCCCAGGGCGCCAACAGCCAGCCGATCGAACGCGAGATGTTCGCCCTCGCCGACGTCGCCCCGCTGCGCGCCGCTTACGGCGCCGTCTTCTGGACCACGGCGATCGCGCACATCGCCACCCTCGTGTACCTTTTCTCCAATACGGCAACTATGTCCATCAGCGAGGTTTTCTTCAAGTTGAGCGGCACTGTTGACGAGTCGGTTTTCTTGTTCTTCAAGCACGACTTCTTGATCTGCTTCGCCGCCGTGTTTGTTTGGTGCCTGTACAGCGCGTACGAGCTGCGTCGCACCGGCTACGTCAAGACGGAGCAGGCGGTCCGGGCGGCATTGGCCACGCTGGCTGCTCAGGTTGTGGTGGGACCCGGTGCGGCTTATGTGGGCTTTTGGTCGTGGAGGGAGGGGGCCATTCTCTCGCATGTGAAGATGTGAAGTAGAAGGAGCCTTTCTACACTTGGAAGAAATGGAGCTGAGATTGAAGGTAAACTGGTGGAGTATGAGGAGTTTTGGAGGGAGTAAGAGGCTAGGAACTAAGAGGGTGCTGGGTTGTGTTTTGCTTGGTGATCTTCTTTGAGGAGTTTGTATTTCGGAGCCTTTTTTTTTCCTTGTCAATGGCGAGGCATACATCGGTTATTGATTCAGTCTTTGCAGTAAAATTTAAATAACTTCGGAAAACCAACATGATGACTACTCTCTGATATCTCCGAGTAATTTTTAAGGCCCAAGCAATGGCACTTTAGGCGCCGACTGAGACATTCGCAGATGCAGCGGGCACAACATTACTGGCAGTCTTTTCCTTTTCCATAGCCTCCACCTTGGCCTTGAGCGCTGCAAAGTTGCGCTGCATCGCATTTCGGTTGAACTCCTCGCCAGTCACCATTGGGTACTTTTTCTTCGGGCCCTGTATCTTGCAATCCCAACAACTGCACTTTCCGTCAGTAGTTTGCCTCAATATCAACACAAACATACTTACGGTTGGTTGAAAAAGGCCATGCTATACCGTGGACCCCAATAGTCTTTTTCCTTATCGTCTGGCGCTTTCACGCGATGGAAGGTTGATTTGAATCTACCAAACAGGGATTACTTTCATTTGAAATTCGGGAACTGGAGTGGAACCATACCTATCATCGGACCAGCTCATCAAGAGATCACCAATGTTGCACACGATATCGCCGGGGGCGAACTCGACCTTAGTCCACTCGTCACCGATGCCGAACTCGGTCACGGACTCTCTTCCGGGACAGATCTCAAGGCCACTTTGTCCCGGCCTTTGATACAACAGAGTAAGCAGATCCCAATCGGCGTGCGGACCTAATGACTTTCCGTCATTGAATGGCTGCAAAATCGTTGTTTAAAAGACAAACCTGCACGATAGTATCCTTCCTTCACCGGCTCATCCCTGTTTTGCTCCGGATAGTAAATCAACCTCAAGACCGACTGCGCTTCCGGGCGCGTCACATCATGGGCCTTCACAAAATAATCATCCGGGAACCCCAGGCCGCGGGCAAAGCACACCATGACCTTCTCCGAGACCTCCTGGGTGCGTAACATGAAGCGGCGTGCATCGTCTCTGAAACCGGGCAGGATGTCGTCAGCGATCCAGGCGTCCGGGTCCTGCATATTGCGGCCGAACTGCAGCTGGTAGCTCTCCTTGAGGTCGGCGGTGCCGGTGCTCGGCCGCACCTGCGCGTTCTTCTCCCACCCGACGTTCTTGGGCGACCACGGCACCGTGGATTTCTGCGAGTCCGGAAGAGCGAAGAAGGACTCGGAGCGGTGGAACATGGATTCAATCTCGGCAACGGTTATGCCCGTGTCGGTTAGGGAAAAGAAGCCATCGGTCTCGGCAGCGTGGACAAGCTGCGCGGTGATTTCGTCGATGCGTGTGTCGAAGTCACGCAAGGAGATGCGCGGGATGGTGCGGTTCGTGTATCTGGTTTTACCCATTGTGGAAAGTATAGTGGAGATAAGGGAATGGAGAGTGAGGCGCCAGCAGGATATGCTACAGCACGCGAACTAATATATAGAGTCCTGAAATATGCTCTAGTGATGATAGATAGGGAGGGGTTCCATTCACACGGTAGAGGTGGGGAAGGTGCATTCGGCCGTGATGCGCGGGCGCCCCGGCCGACTGGCCCGTCATTGATAAGGCGCTCCCGGCCGAGGCTGCCCGCTCCTCGCCGACTTCCACATCTCACCCCGCCCACTGCTGGAATGGACATGCCTTGCTTGATCTTAGCTCTTAGCTCATGTTCTGTAAGGACTTTCGCTTGACATGACCCTTGCATGTTACTCGCAAGTTATTGCCCGCAGATCCACGCGGGCTACCGATTACCTTGCAGTAGTATCTGTAGCACTACAAAAGACGGCCCAAATCCTACTTATCATTTCCCCCACAGCACCTCACTCCCATCATGCCATCTACAGTTGTACAGCCCAACTTCCACATCCCCACGGTCGACATCGGTCCATACCTGGCCGACCCATCGTCCACAGAGGCCAAAGATGTTATTGAGGCCGTACGCCGTGCATGCACTACCTCTGGCTTTTTCCAGCTGATCGGCCATGGAATTGATGCGACCATTCGAGAAGCCATGTTCGCCGGCTCAAAGGCGCTGTTCGATCTACCCTTCGAAGAAAAGAAGGCGTTGAGGCGAGGCAAGAACCGTGGCTATGAAGTCATAGGCTCGCAGGCATTGCAGGACGGGACCCTGCCTGACCTCAAAGAGGTATACGACATAGTATTCACCGCGTTGAGCGACACTTCTGACACGGAACAGGGCTATTACATTGGCACTGACGACGTCCCCTTCGAGGAGGGCAAGTCATACCGCCCCTTTACGGACCCGAACATCTGGCCAGCAGAAGAGCAGCTCTCCGCCGCTGTCTTCAGGGACCCTGTGAATCGATACTACTCCGAGGTCGAAGCGCTGAGCCGCACTGTCATGGACATCATCGCCGCCGCGCTGGGCCACGGGCCCGAAGTCTTCGCCGAGATGAAGAAGGAGCCCATTGCGGCATCCATCCGCCTGCTGCACTATCCACCACAGCGAACCGAGACGAGCAATGAAAAACAGCTAGGTGCCGGCGCTCACACCGACTTTGGCTGGACGACGCTGCTTCTGACCGACGGCCATCCCGGCCTCGAGGTCTTGAACCAGACCACTGGCGAGTGGGTCGCGGTACCGCCCGACAGGGACGCGTACGTAGTAAACGTGGGTGATATGCTTCAGCAGATCACGGGTGGGCACTTCAAGAGCAACGTCCATCGCGTGCGTAACTTGGGTGATGAGGACCGGTACAGTGTGCCGTATTTCTTCGATGGCTGCCTCGACGCGAGGCTTGCTCGGTTAGACGGCAAAGATCAAACCAAGGTGCTTACGGTTGAGGAGCACATGCTCGAACGGTTTGCAACGACTTACGGCAGGGGTCAAGTGAAAAACTAAAAAGAGGCTCGATGCCAGGGGTTCTTGAAGGTAGCTTTCTAGAGTCATCGCGAAACTTTAGACAGCCTTGACCAACTATTGCTCGCGTTTCTGAATCTTAACCTTAAACAATAGCTCAATATCTCTTAGCGATCATGCAGCTTTTCTCTTGTCTGTCGATGAGCTGAACCAGCTCGGGCTGATCACCGCGCCGACATCGCGACATATTCAGCCCAAATGCATTACATGAGTAGCATTTGGATTGAAGTAGATAAAATTTGTAACAAAAATGTCAAATATTGGAAGTGGACCATGGAAGCCCTCCAGAGACAGACTCTTTTCTCTCTTTATTCGGAAAGATACTTCTCTACTGACGTCTCCATGCTGAGAATTTATTTTTTCCACTCCGTACTGCGCTATGGCAAAGTCAGCCGTATCTCGCTAAATCTAACCCAGCAGGATTCTAACCTTCAGGTAGCCGCACACTCTAGGATACCCACAATTCACCGCAGCAGCCGCCAACACCTACTTACTCATCGATAATTCCCCACCCCTCCACCCTCCACCATGATTCTCCCGGGAGCAACCCTCCTACCCCGCCAAATCCTCACCCACACTGTCTCACAAACCCTTCAAACCCAACCGTGCGGCGTCGACCTGACTCTCGCCCGCGTTCTCACGTGGGCGGGCGCCGCCGGCGCCGCCGGCGCCATCGATTTCTCCAACACGCGTCGCTGCACCGCGCCAACCACAGTACTTTTTCCAAAGTCCCACAACTTTGCCGAGGTGCAGCAGAAGCAAAAGCAATCCGACGACGAAGAACACGCCAAGACAGACAGCATCCACCTCTCGCAAGGCTCCTACCTGCTCGAGTTCAACGAGAAAGTCGCCATGCCGCTGGATTGCATGGGTCAGCTTTTCCCACGCAGCAGTCTCTGGCGATCGGGTGCGGTGCTGCATGCAGGCGTGGTGGATGCCGGCTACGAAGGGGCGCTGGGCGGGTTACTGCAAGTGCTGAATCCAGCCGGGTTGCGGCTGTGGGAGAATGCGCGGGTGGCGCAGATGGTGGTGAGTAGCATGGAGGGGACGGTCGAAAAGGGGTATGAGGGAGTGTACCAGGGGAGTGAAAGGGTGGGATAGGTGAGACTTTGAAGACTTTTGTTCCCGCAGGAAGGAGACGGCAGCCATTGAGGCTATTTGGAGTTTAAACGCTTCTGTATTTCTAAGGCTTTCTTCACCAAGCTCTGTTCAGATCCCCCCTCCATCCATGTTCATTCAACGACTCTTCCACTATTTGCCAGGGAACCGCTGTCCTTGAGATCTTAGATCAAGTGAGGATCCGAATGTGATAGACAATGTTTCCTCTTTACAAGTATAAGCTTTTGCGCGGTGAACGCCAGTTGGGATGACAGAGCGGTCCCTGGTAATTGCTTATAGGATACTCAGAATATCAGCTCTGATTCCACAGAAGAACACACAGTCCACTGCGTCGAATCTTCCTGCTTTTGTGCCGTAGCTATTACCCTGCCCAAACTGTTCGCTCAAATATGGAGTGTACCCACTTGAATACCTGATTTTCCGGTTTTATGCAGAGAATGGTGTTGACGGCTATGAAGTTCTTCATATTGTGGCCGACATTCTCGTCTCCTTGTACCTGCCATTCTCCAAAGGAAAGCATGGCAAGCAGGAATGGAGTACTTCCGGGAATCCGAGCAAATCAGAGGTTGGAATGCCTTCGTGGATTGAGCGCACCCGTCATGCTCGTGCCAGAAGGCGTTTCGACCAGAGCCGTCCAATCGTGCACCGGTGAGCGCACAAAGGTATATAGCGGATGGGTATGCGCAGCCCTCGTGATTCAACGAAGAGTGACAATCACCTCTAACATGCTTGTCTTGCGCATCCTTGTCTCCGGGAGCTCCTCTTCATCATCTGGCCTCTTGCGCTTTGCATTCGGCTTCTCAACAATGTCATCTATAGCATCGACGGTGCCAGTCCGCAGAGTGACACGGCAGTCCTCCTGCTGTTGGAAGAACAAGGCCAGATTCGTAGCCTTTTCGATGGCTTTGCCCGTCGCCTTGATTGTCACCGCCTCCGGAGTAGTGTCCTTGTTGGCCGAAGCTTGAGCGGCTGCAAGGATAGGGTCTCCGCGCTGGTGCTTCTTCTGGGAAAGGGCGCTCTGCGTTGCGCGCTTGTCGGCTTCTTTGAGCAGGCTTCGGACGCGCTTGACGGCAGAGATGAAGGGTGTTTTCGAGCTAACGTAGACGATCTTGGGCGTGTCGCTGCTCTTGTAGGGCGAGGGTACGGGCGGGTGCATCAGCGGGCGCTTTTGGACGTCGGCGTCTAGCCTCGATTAGCTTCATCGTCAGAGCTGAGGGAGCTTGGTGCGCACGATCTGGAAGACGCGGCAATTTTGCGGGAGCAGAGGCTCCGGTGGGGTTGAGCTTCTTATCAGCCATTGTGGTAGTGCATGCGGAGCTTGGGAGGAAGCTCAGTGGACGGCGACGCGGGTGGACGCGACAGAGGGAAATTTTCGCACGGGCCACTGGTGCGAAGTGACGACACTGCACTCGCCCAGCCCAGCCAACACCGTCCGATTTTCACCAAACATGCGTCTAGGCCACCTCCATCTCTCCCGGCCGCAGAGAATATGGCCGTACCAGCGCGTCGCCGTCCTACAAGACCAAGCCGTGGCCAAGTATCTCGCCGCAAAAGCGCGGCCTGAACTTTCTCCGCCAAACCCTACCGTCATCACTACCGAATTTAATCCCGTCTACACCTGCGGCCGCAGAGAAATCGGCACTGTCGATCCCAAGCAGCAGGACTACCTCCGCGCGAATGGCGAGGCCGAATTCGTCGAAGCCCTGCGCGGAGGCCAGACGACTTTCCACGGCCCTGGTCAGCTGGTCGCCTACCCTATCATCGACCTGAAAAGGCATCGCATTACCCCGCGCGACTATGTCTGCCTACTGGAGAAGACCGTAATCCAGACTTGTGCTGCATATGGCATCAAGGCCATGACCACCGAGCACACGGGCGTGTGGACCACTCCAGACAGGAAGATATGCGCTCTTGGCCTGCACATGAGACGGAACATCACCAGCCACGGCATTGGCCTGAACGTCAATACCGATCTCAAGTGGTTCGACAGGATCGTTGCCTGCGGCCTTGAGGGCAAAAAGACTACCAGCTTCGAGAACGAGGGCGTCGTGGGAAAAACCGTCGAAGAGGTTGCCAACTTATTCGTCAAAAACTTCGCTGAAAGACTTAAGGCTGCCGGGGTGGACGAGATGAGTAGTGAAGAGGACTACATACGATACTTAGATGCAGAATAGAAGGCCAGTATGCTTCAATTCGTTCAGCCATTCTGCAAACCGGTCCCCATGAGAATTCCATGCTAAACTATCAGACTTTGCGAAGAAAGCTGGGCATGCTAGTCCATTTATATTGTATCTGACATTTTTAGCAATCGGTTAAGGTATGGTATGCATACGACGCCCAGCTGAATCGACAGCCATCATTTGTCCGGTTTATTCCAAGAAATTGAAACAAACAGCAGCTAGCTCGATGCAGCTAGAATTCTCGACATATTCCGGTTTCTTGACAACTTCATTGACGGCTTTTGATCAAGCACTCGCTTCCACTGCGCCTTTGTTCTGGCTGGGTGCTCCAACTGTCTCTCGGCCGATGAGCATTCTCATTCTTATACCGATTCCGAGACGTGTAGCACTATGTACGAACATGTGAATTACTGCGGGGGTGGAGAGATCTGCACCCCAACTAACGTTTGTAGCAAAAGCTCCACAACTGCCCCACACTTCCTAGACATTTGTTCTACATGTATATGATCACTCCTCTTTTTAGGCGAATTGGGTAATTAAAACTACGTACCACGCACGGAACGAAACCAGTGCCGGCTCCGGATTCCATCGAGGCGGTTGTCAACGGTATCTAGTGGTTCATGCCGGAATAGGCTGCAGGTTGCACGACGCTATGTTGCGCCGTTTTATCTATTCATCTGGGCCCCTGATGCGTGAAGTGGGGAATCCTGCAGGTAGAAAGCATATAAAAAGGTTAAGAGCTGCCCTGGCATACTACATCGAGCAATAATCTCAAAGCTTAGCTTCTTTAACTTTCACACTACGCCGCCATGCATCCCACCGATGTATCCGAATCCCAGACCGATGTGTACGCCACGTTTCTTCCTCTCTCTTGTCCGCTTGGTACTAACTCGTTTCTAGACTGATCATTGGCGCTGGTCCGGCAGGCCTGACGGCCGCCTACTGGATGGCGCAATACGGCGTCAACGCCCGCATCATCGATAAGCGCGGCACCAAGATCTTCAATGGCCAAGCCGATGGTCTGCGAGCGCGTACTCGGGAGCTGTTCGATAGCATGGGCATCGAAGACCGAGTTGAGCGGGAGAGCAAAACCTCCTGGGAATTTCGTGTCTGGGTAGGTTCCTTGTGCTCCGGAGCAGTGCTTTACCAAGAACCTCCGCTGACGTGCCATGATAGAACCCCGATGGGAAAGGGGGTCTTGAACGGACTGGCGGCCTTGGATTTACCAAGGAGGCGTACGCCAAGTCCCGATTTTTCATTTGCGGCTTGAACCAGGGGCGCATCGAGCGCTTCTTACTAGATGCCATCAAGGAAGCCAAGCCAGACCTCGAGGTCGAACGCGGCGTCATTGCTGAGACGCTTGAATGCGATGAAAAGCTTGCGGCAGACCCAGAGGCCTACCCCATCACTGTGAAGCTGAGGACGCTAAGCGAGGAAGAAGCCAATCCATCGCCAGCCTACGGGTCTTCTGGTGTGCGCGACGGGTTGTTCCGCAGCAATTTGTCTCCAGATGACTGGGAAGACTTGATCAACAAGTCGAAAGCCAAGGAAGGGAAGACTGAGGTAGTCAAGGCGAAGTACGTCATTGGCTGCGATGGAGCGCACAGTTGGACAAGGAAGCAGCTCGGTATCAAAATGGAGGGGGCCGCTACTGATTTCATCTGGTACGATCAACTCATCGATATTGATCTTCTCTTGCTCTTTCTTGTTGACCTATCCCAGGGGTGTCATGGACGTCGTGCCCATTTCGAACTTCCGTAAGGAGCATCTTTTCGATCCCGAGGTGTAAATATTACTGACACCTGCATAGCGGACATGCGTCAATCTTGCGCCATCAAAGGCGACACCGGGACGATCTTGCTCGTCGCAAGAGAGAGGGGCCTCGTGCGCCTCTACATCCCTCTCACCTCAATTGACGACCCAACAAAGCGGGTCGACCGATCAAATATCAATCTTGATATGCTGAAAGCCACGGCCCAGAAGATTTTCCACCCTTATACTTTCGACTTCAAGATCTGCGACTGTACGCTCCCTTATCAATTCCGGGCCCGCAACAATGCTAAAATTTCTCCTTCATTCAGGGTGGTCTGCCTACCAGGTCGGTCAACGCGTTGCGTCCGCTCTGTCCGATCCGACGGACCGTATCTTCATCGCTGGCGACGCCTGCCACACGCACTCGCCCAAGGTCGGTGCCGGCATGAACATCAGCATTCAAGGTCAGCACTCGCCCTCTCATATACCTTTCCTACCTCAATAAGGATGAGTGCTAAACAACGCCTCTTCAATCCCCGAACAGACGGCTACAACATTGGCTGGAAAGTCGCCTCCGTCGCCGCGGGCCTCTCGCCCCCGACTCTCCTCCCCACCTACGCTCTCGAGCGCCACCCCATCGCCGAGAAGCTCGCCGAGTTCGACCGGAACTGGTCCAGCCTCTTCCTCCCCAAGGGAGTGGCAGCCGCCGCGAACGACAAGGCCGAAGACGGAACCATAGCAGACTTCAACACCACCAACGCCCGCTACGAAGACTTCGGCCAAGGGTTCGTGCTCGACTACCCCACCAGCGTCGTCGTCCACCGCTGGAACAAGTCTGCCCCCTTGCTGCTACCCGGCGAGCGCTTCTGGCCCGCCAAGCTGACCAGCCAGTCGGACGGCGAGCGCCAGTGGTCCACGGGCATCATGCGCAGCGACGGGCGGTGGCGCGTCGTCGTGCTGGCGGCAGACGTGGCGGTGCCGGAGCAGATGGCGCGGGTGCAGGCACTGTGCGGAAAGCTCGATGGAGAGGAGGGGGTTATTCGGAGGTTCACGCCAGCAGAGGGCAAGAAGGACGCGGTCATTGATGTCATGGCTGTGCACTCGGCGGATAGGTCTGCGGTGGACATCTTTGACTTCCCGGAGATCCTCAGGCCGGAGGATGAGATGAGGGGGTTGGATTACCACAAGATCTGGGTGGACGAGGCTTTCGAGTTTGATCAGGACTGCGATGGTAAGGCGTATGAAAAATGGGGCGTTGATCGGTCGAGAGGATCAGTGCTCGTGATGAGGCCGGATCAGTGCATTGGGTGGTATGGAGATCTTGAAGATGTTGCTGAGATGGAGAAGTATTTCGAGGGCGTCCTCAAAGTCCGTGTGTAGATTGGGAACGGATCAGAGGGGTTAGGATGTAGCGTCTATCAGAGACGTTAGTCCTTGGTTGACGTAGGAGTAGCTCTCCACTCTCAGATCTATATTTCTTGTACAAATATTATTGTTTCACTTCCCTCTATGCGGTCGTCTATCATTTGAGCATTTCGTACGGTAACCTTATAGTGCCACGTTTTCTTTCCACAGCCAGATTTTCGAGACTCAATCTCGCCACTGCTGCATCATTAGCTATGCTGTGGCTTGAATACAGCAACTTCTAGTGTCTGATGAGCATACTTCAACCGAATCTTGGCCCTGGACAATAAAGACCAGCCTACACTCTGCTCAATGAAGTCAAGTACCGAATCCGGATTTATCCTGATCGGTTTAAGCGAGCTGCTGCTCGAATCCAAATTGTGTACGCCAATTTAAAACAAAAAGAAAGGCAAACATTTTCTCGGGTCTACCATATCATATATCCAGAAGAATAAGATGTCTGAAAATCGCCGACCGTGTACCAATATCTCGTATTTATCGGCTGTCGCCGACGAAGGTGGCTTGGTGTCCACCGCCACCATATCAGGACACCGGCTTGGCCGTCCGCAGCAACTGGTTCATGCCACAAGGCTCGTAGGAATAAAGCGAGTCGAGAAGGGCCCGCCCAATAGCGTGTATGTATCTCCGGCGCTAGCAAGTGCCGGGTGGGCCGAGCCGGGGCTATCTTTGGAGCCTCAAAAACGGCCACACCTAACAATTTGACCTTGTGAGGATGATGAGAGAATTAAAAAAGACGGAAGTTGCTCATGAATAGATTCCAGTGACTATACTTCCACTCAAACCTGACCTATACACCACTTGTGATTGCATGTCCAAATCTTTCCCACGTTTCTATGCTGGCCGCCATTTCTTGGCGACCTTCCAAGAGAGGAAGCACCCACCGGCAAGGATTGGAATGCCTGCGGCGACCGTTCAGCTCTGGCCCCAAGTGTACAATTATAAAATTCCAGAGATGCCTAGCGATATGGGCTTACGTTGACCACATCATTGTCTCACCCACTCTTATCCTGCATATAGGTTTTTTTTTTTCCCCCTCGAGTGATCTAAATTGCAGGATTTTGACAACATGGCCCTAAAGTATTGGCTGCGTGTTGCAGCTACATCTGCTTTATACTTTAGCATCGCTTTAGCAGCTGGTAAGTCCCCTGTTCAGCAACCTTTGAATTGCTACACGAAGTTAATAGCGACCCCCCATAGATGAGGGATGCGATGTCGACATCACCATCAACGACGAGAAGGATTGGGAAGCTAAGGGCTCCTGCACGGTCTACGGTGGCGACATCACAGTCGGGCCTGACATGATTGCCTCCTTCGACCTAGGCGACAAGCTCACCACCATCGAAAACACCTTCAGCGTGATCAACGCGACGCAGATGATAGCCCTGAGCGCTTCCAGACTAGAGCGTGTCCAGACCTTCGAGGCCTCAGGGCTGACCATCCTTTCTGAACTGAATTTTCCGAAATTGACTAGCGTCGACAATTTGAAGCTCTTGGGCTTGCCTGCGCTCTCCACTTTGTCTTTGACCTACACCATCGAGAACTTCGTCGATCTCGAAATTCAACGCACCTTCCTCTCCTCGACCGACGGCATCTCTCCAAGCGGTGAAGTCAACAGTATTTTGCTCGCCAACAACCGTTACCTATACGATGTTACGATGCCGGTGAAGCGCGTGTCAGGCGCCCTGACCGTCAGAGATAACGGCGACAAGCTGGCGCTCCGGCTCAAGAACCTGGAGCACGCCGACCAAATCATCCTCCACAACCTCTCCGCCGTCAACCTCCCCTCTCTCGGCTCCGTCTCGGGTTTCCTGACGGTATCCGACAACAACATAAAGGATCTCCTGCTCCCCAACTTCACTTCGAGCGACGGCTTCGTCTCCATCCGCGAAAATGGAGATCTCCGCTCGCTCGACCTCTCCGCGCTCGAGTCCGTTAACTCCGACCTCATCATCGCCGAAAACCCGAAACTGCCCAACATCACGCTGCCCAACCTCAAGACCGTCAACGGCGCCCTCTACCTGGATGGTAACTTCTCTTTCATCGATTTGCCTGCAATCGAGAGCATTGAGGAAGGACTCTGGGTCATTTCGCCCGACACTCCGTGTGACACTTTTGCGGAAATCGCGTGGATGCAGCCGGCAAACGGTGTCGTCAAGGGCGGCGTGACGCTTGAGTGCGACGATTCGGCGTCCGAGAAGAGTAACAGCAGCACATCATCGGGCACGACCGTGGGTAGTACGAGCACATTCAACCTTGACCCTACGCCTTCGAGCCTCGCTGACTCAACGTCGCCCGCTACTGCTTCTGCTTCGGCTACCGCTTCGGCTACTGGGAGCGCTACTGTTGCGTCTGCCAGCGCATCCGGCTCAGCGGCGCCAACCACTGTCAGCGGTTCTGCCGGATCGAGGCTGCTTGTGGGCTCGGGTGCCATCCTTGGAGGATTGATGGCTCTGGCGCTGGCGTTGTAGAAGTCCGCAGAACTGAACGATATGATCTAGTAATAATGAGCTGTGACGGCTGTAATAGAATATGTATGGCAAGGAGCAACGTAGTTATGTATAATTCACCTCGTATGACTGGCTTCACGCTCTTTCCAGTTCCTCTCTATTAAAATTGAAAGGAATTATCCGTTTCCTACACCAGACCCACGCTCAAATGCCTTTGCGCTTCCATCACCACCGATGTAATATAGCACCTCCTTCTCCTCCATTCTCAGCTCCTCGCCCCCAACATCCACATCCCCCTCCTGTTCCTCGTCCTCATCACTGTTATCTCCGCGCGTGATCCTCAACACCCCGCTCACATCCGCCGCAAACCCCGTATCCAGCAGTCGCAGACTCAACACCCAATCCGCCACATGTGTCAATCCGACCACGAATGCCGCCTGTGCAGCCTCCAACGGTGTGCTGTTGGCGTGCTGCCCGCCGATGTTACCGTCCTGCTGTGCCGTCACCGCGTCCACCGCCGCAGCCACGAGCGGCGTATCAGCCGACACCGACACCACAGCGGCGTGCACATCGCCACGCAGCGCGAGCAACGTCGACGCGAAGTCTGCAGGGGTCATACTACGGGCAGCTGTTCCATCGGCAGCCGCCGCGAGGAGGAGGTCGGGGGCGTCGAGAATGAGGAGGACGCGTCTGGCGGGCGAGGAGGCCGTGAGGTGCGCGCGGGCTTTCTGTACGACGGCTTCGAGGTGCGAGAGCGTTGGGCTGGTGAGGCGGAAGGTTGGCGCTGGTGTTACGGAGCTTGCGGGCCTGCTGGGCGCGGTGGAGGAATGCTGTTGTGGTGATGCTTGAGGAGGGGTGCGGGGCGTGATTGTGCGGCTGGTGCGGACGGGGATGGGCGAGCTCAAGGCCGGAGCGGCGGGGGCTGCGTCTGCAGCGTCGGTGCTGTCAGCAGGGAGGAAGAGATTGGACAGGCCGTCAACGAAGGCAAAGCGGTTCTGCTGGGCCAGACGGGCGAGATCGAGGCCCTGAGAGGGACAAGGTCAGCGTGCGTCCATAGTGCATAGATGAACATGCTAACCCCGGCTCTGCGACTCTCGGTCTTCCAGAACTCCCAATCGCGCAGGAAGCTGACGAGAATCACGGCCGCATCTTCATCTTGGCCTCTCAGCCGGCTGTTGTTTTCATCTGAACTCGCGGCGGGCTTGCGCGCATCATGTCCGGCAAAGGCACCACATAGGTATCGGATGACCAGCCAGTTGGTACTGGCGCCGAGAACGCTTGTGAGAAGATGTAACGAGCTGGCCGGAGGCAAGCGCACGTAGGGCTGTAGTAAAGGCGGAATGCGTGACGAAGAAGGCGGCATGGTAGAAGCTCAGGATGCCGGCCGAAATTTTTGGGCGCGGGGCACTTGCCCTGGGAAGCGCGGGCGTGTCGTCATCGCCCACGGCGCGTCCACCACCGAAGACGCGTCAACAACTTCGCGTCATGAAGCTAACATTCATTGTCTCTCGTCACTAAAGCCACGCCGACTACACTGCAATCCAAACTGTGCCTCCTCTCTTCCTATTCCAAGAATGGCCTCTCAGCTTGCGGCGTAATCCTGATCATATGCCTTCTGGTCTTGGCTTCTTCCACCTTGAAGTCTCTCAACGCGGAACTTAGCCTGCTGTTAGCCCATGGGTGATTGAAGGTCTCGTAGTGGTTGACTTACTGCTGCGTCACGCGGTTATCGTAAACCACAACTGTTCCAGGCTTCCAACGCACGCGGATGTGCCAGTCCTGTCCACGTTCGATGTGGTCGAAAAGAAAGCTAAGAAGGGCATCTGTGAAGACTGATCAGTAAATACTGGTCGAATGTTCATGACGTAGGGTCGCTGCAATACCGCTTTCCTCACGCTTCCACCCGACGATTCTCTTGGTGTACAACCTATTGACATACAGAGCGTATTTCTTGGTCACCTACGAACATTCCGTTAGTCCACGTCCACCAAAGCTCTAGGTTCACAACCTACAGGGTGAAGACGAATGACAGGATGCTCCGTCTCGATCGGCTCTCGGATATAGCGGTCTCGATGGTCGTGAACTGATGCTTGATCGAAGCCGGAATGGACTGCACGTAGCCCATGGAGTCTCTCACGGAATGACTCGGATAAATGGTCATAAGCTGCCGTGGTCGAGAGATATAGCGTGTCGCCTCCAGAAGGTGGCGTGCTGAGCACCAAGAAAGTAGTCGTTCCCATTCCATTGCTTGCACCAGGTCAGTCGTTTCCTAACTCGAAGACCACGGGACTTACATCTCGTAGCTCATGTCGCTGTGCCATTTGACACTTGTGATGTTGTCTTTGATCTCATTGTCAACGGCGCCGGCACTTAATCACCGTCAGCACATGGACTCAGAGAACGCAGTGCGATGCATACGTAAAGTCACGGTAGACCGGTAGTATCTCCGGGTAGTCTTTGATCTGTCCACCCATTTGGTGAACATGCAATGGGCCAAAGTGCTTCCCATACGCCCTCCAGCGCTCGGGTCCGGCTTCCGAAAAGTCCTGGTCTTTAAAAACGACGACTCCTCGCTCTGCTGCAAGTAATGCTAGCTCATCCAATTGGGTTGACGACAAGTTGCTCAGCTGAATGCCTTGGATCTCTGTCCCGATAGCTGGTGTAATTTCCTCGACCACGGCATTCGGCGCACCGAGAAGGGTCCGTTTCTTCGGATCAGCCCGTAGACCAACATCTTCGTGCGCGAACTCTTGCAGTGGAGGCTGCAGGCCGGGCGTGTGATGCGACAGGTAGTCCTTGTATTTGTACTGTAGCGGAGTTCAGTTAAGGCTCGTTGCTCTTGCCCAGGCTTTCGGCTGACCTCTTCTTTATCATAGTCTATGGACGTCTCCGCACGTAACTGCACCTTCTGCTGACTCCCAGAGGATACCGTTGTCGAGGTCTCGGTCGCCATTGCACAGGCGCTGGTAGTAGTCTTCAAGGTAGGGCGAAGCGGTCAGGCCAGCGAAGAAGGAGTCAAAAAATGAAGCGACAATATGCTTCACGCCAGAGAGAACTGTGCCCATTTTTTGTAGGTTGTATCTGAGGTGCTGGCATGGATTGTTGCCGATGCACTCCCGCTCCATTTTAGCAATGGTCCGCCGCATTGCGACATCATCCCGTCCCCATACGCCATTTGCGGACAGTCCATTCAACGCGGAAATCGTCCCCACCGGACCCCGACCTGCCAAGATATGACCCCGCCGATATGTCTTACTGCTTATTCGATGTCTTGGTTGGAACTTGTCTATTCCAGCTGTTCTTTATCAGTTCGCATCATTTGACCCGCCTATTGCTGCAACACACATCCCCCACTGCTGACCTACGCACTCACATGTCGTCTATTTGCCATATCGGATATCATGGCGTGCTACCGACCCGCGACGGTACAACCTGTTTTTGAACTTCGCCGGGCAGCTTGTCCGAAGCGTGACGTGCCCGCGTGGCATACATAGGATGAAAGACTCACCAATACAGCATCTGACTGGACCACAACCTTCCGCGATCATCCGCCACGATGGCAGTCACGTCGCCAAAAGCTGAGGATACCATCATCACTGTGGCGCCGCAGCAGCAATCCTCCAGCGATGCTGGTGAGGACCACTTATCGATCACTGATGCTCCAAAGAGCCACACATCAAACCTCGCCCGCAAAATTTGGGGCGACGACGCACGGGAGCGAAAGTACCTTCGCAAAGTTGATGGGATCTTTTTGTGAGTTACAGTTCCGCTTGCATCGCCCAAAGGGTCTAGTCTGATTGGTCTGCAGTTCCTACGTTCTGCTGGGCTATTTCATCAAATATCTAGACCAGGAGAATTACAGTAAGCATTACCACGTTCCAGCGACGCAAGATAGAAAAATGGAAAAAATCATACTATCTGTGACGCTTATTGGCAGCATTTCCGACTCAACGCGTCAATATTGACTTTCACAGGCAATGCATTTGTCAGCGGGATGAAAGAGGACGTAAGTCGATCAGTGACATGTGATTCGCTTTGAATCCTAGCTAATTGGACACCCCCGGCAACAGCTTGAGCTCTACGGTAATGAGAGAAATCTCCTAAACACGTTCTTCAATATCGGCATCATCATCGGCACCGTACCAAGCCAAATGATTCAGCTGAAGTATGTCCGGCCGTCGATCTGGATCCCTTCCTGCGAGCTAGCCTGGTCCATCCTTGTAATGCTCATGGCTAGTGCAAAGAACATCGAGACCATCTATGCTCTCCGCTTCTTCGTTGGTCTCCTGGAGTCGTGCGCCTTCCCCGGTTATGCCGCTATCCTGGGCAGCTGGTACGGTCCGTCCCAACTGGCGAAGCGCATGGCGCTGTTTGAGCAGAGCAGTGGCATCGCCGGAATGTTCAGTGGCTACCTACAGGCTGGTCTGTACACGGGCCTAAACGGTACCGCTGGGCTGGCTGGCTGGAGATGGCTTTTCATCTTCGATGGAATCATCTCCATTCCCATTGCTATCTGGGGTTTCTTTGCGATTCCGGATCTCCCGAATAATACACGCGCATTCTACCTGAACGCTGATGTGAGTGGATACATACTCGATACGTGAACTAAGTGATTGACAATTCCCACCACCAGGATCGTGCCTACGGCATCCAGCGTATGGAGAAGATCGGCCGCAAACCTCCTAAAACGCTTACATGGAAAGCCATCAAAGAGGTCTATACGGGATGGCAAATCTGGGCGTTTATCATACCATACCTGTAAGTTTTCTCTTTCTAATTTGACATAAAATATAGTCCACCTCCGCTGAATTTCCACCAGAATGGTAGCCGAAGCGTACATGGGACGCAACTTCTTCAACCTCTACTTGAAAGACCGAGGATACTCCGTCGTGCAGACTAATATTCTTCCCACTGCAGGCAACGCTGTCAGCATTGTTGCGGCTTTCATCTTTGGCTGGCTATCGGATGCGTCTGTATCGCGCTTGCTTGTGGTTAACATCGTGCAGGCGATCGTGCTCGTATCCAACATTATAATGGTCGTGTGGCACGTACCAGAGACAGCTCTCATGGCGGCATTTTACCTCGCCTACGTAGGTAGTGCAGCGCAGCCCGTTGTCATTGTAAGTGGACGCATCTTTTAGTGAGTAAGAAACGAGCGGTTACTAATCAAAACGTAAACAGTCTTGGGGTCATGAGATCACGCAGCATAACGCCAATCTGCGTCAGTTGCTTGTTGCAACAGGTAACATCTTCACGTACGCATTCGGTGCTTGGGTTCCCGGTACGTGTCATCCTTGTCATTCTTACCCCGGATAATCTGCATAATAGACTAACCATGCCGTGCAAATAGTTGTACTATTCCCGACGCAAGACGCTCCGCACTACAAATACGGCTATCAGTTCTTAATTGCGTTCGGCTTGCTGGCTGTTGGGGGAATGTACCTGTTGGACTATCTGCACAAATGGGACAGGTTTGGCAACACCCGGGTCAATTCTAGTACCATGCTAATATCGAAGCAGGAGGCGCCATCCCGAAAGATATCGTAAAGCCGAAGACGAACCTGACCAGTCAGATGAGCAAGTTCAGGGAAGCTCGACGTAACCTTTAGACCGAATGATGGTGATGAGGAATTGGTAGCTACACTCGCCGATATCGACCGGTCGTCGCTGGTCATGCTGATACGATTTCATCACAATGATGAATAACATCAAGTCTCCGACAGCGCTGCGTTAAAGAAAAGGTATCAGTCTGAACTTAAGCTAGTCTTAAAAGCTATGAAAAATAATTCACGCTATTGAATTCATCGTACACAAACAGCCCCAGCATATGATGCATCCTGTCATTTAGCTCAGCATTTACTAGTACACACTACAGAAACCTATCTCCCTTCACCAACCGTTCTCAAAACCGAAGACTCGCCACCACTCTGGGAAATTCTTGGAAGAAGAAATTGAAAAAAAGTCAAAACACGAAATTAAGGCAACGGACCGCCTTCGCCACCAGCGTGAGGTTCTGAGAACAAAAACACGCCTAGTGAGGAGCAATGGTCCGCGTTGGTATAACCTTTACCTTCAAACCGCTGTCAAAAAGTCTCTCGAAGACGCTTTATGCCATGGAACATGCACAACAACAAACAGCAACTGTGGGAGCGAGCCTGCTGTAGGCACTGCAACCGTGGTATTTTTCTCCGCACAAACGCCTTGACCATGACGAAGATGGGAGCGATCAGAAGTACGAAAAGAGCAAGAAAGAGTAAAGGAGCTGGTGATGGCTGCGCAAGGGAGACCGGCAATAACAGAAAATGCGTCTCTAATTAGGGAATACGGTGATTCCACGCTATGAAGAGCACGCCTCACCAGTCCTCTTTTTTTGGGAGAGCGAGAATAAAACCCGAGCTGTTGTAAACGAGGAAAAGGTATCTGCGCGAACGGGAATAGAAAGCTAGAAAGAAAATAAAAAAAAAAACTGACGTGGCTGAAATGAACAGCTGGGGGTACTAGGGGCACTAAAATCTTGAAGTACGGGGAATAAGCAATCGTAAAGTAAAAGCAGAAAACAAACAGCGGCAATAATCAGCGAAACTCCTCGTGTGTTGCACGAGTCTGGCATGACAATACATAGCCCCGAATCCGCCAAAGAGCGCACTCCAGCGGCAAATTTGAAGCGTAAAAGAGGTGGCTTGCCTCATCGATCCATCATCGCAGCATCCTGCCTGCGACTATTCATCCATAACCATGGCTTAAGGAGCATGCCCTGTCGATCTCTTGTGCTGTCAGATCTCCATCGTCATGCACGTAGCGGAACACATTCAATGTTTCCGCCTTTTCATTAGATCATTGCTGCTCCACCCGGGCCAGGGCCGGTCGGGGAGCCCGGCGAAATGCCATTCATCGTCGCGAGGGTTGGCGTCCTGGAATCAGCATCCTCGCTGAGATTGCGCTCATGGCCACCCTGCTTCGCGGGAGACAGCTGCTTTGCAGGCTGCGAAGACGACGGAGCGGAGGCATACTGCAGCGCGGGATGGTCGTCGTCATCATCGTCATCATCATCCAAGTCCAGGCGCTTCCGCCACGAGCCAAGGCTCTCGCTCAGATCTGCATGTTCCGTCGTCGGCGTACGGTCGATGTACGAATGTTGACTGAGGCGGTAGGCCTTGTTCGTACTCTCCCAATGCGAACGCAAAGTCTCGAGTTCGGACGCCAGGCTGTCCAGGGCCATCGAGTTGCGAGTCGCCGCAGCAGCAGCGGCAAGATGCGTGTTCGGAGGGGTTACAGTGCGCTCGGTAACGTCAGTAGCTTGGCTGTAGATGCTCTCGCCTGCAATGCTGTCGTGCGATCGGTGATGACTATGACCTTGAGGCTGACCGCCATTACCTTGTGGCTGGAGCATCATGTGGGACTGGCGACGATAGCTGTCCACGCTGTTTTCGAATTGGTCGAGGAACATCTGAACACGTTGTTCAGCGTCTTTAGCGCGCTCTTCCAAAGCGGCCTTTTCGTGTTGAAGGTTCTCCATCTCCACCCGCTGTTGAGCAGCAGAGTGCTCAAGCTGCTGAGCTTGTTGTGCGGCAGATTCCTGCTCCGCGCGAGCGGCCTCCAAGTCGGTCTGAAGCTGTGCAATTTGACCCTCAAGCTGAGAAACGGAATCCTTAAGCGTGACCTGCATGTTGGAGATTTGCGATCGCAGGGCATCGCGCTCGGCCTCCCAACCCGCGTCCCGGTTGGGGCTAAGGCCTCTTTGTTTCGCTTGGTTAAGTTCCTTCTCAAGCTCCGCGTTGGTGGTCTTGTACCGCTCCAGTTCAGACTTCATCTTGGTGAGCATTTTCTCCGTTCCGCGGAGGTACTTGACTGCCGCTTGGTGGTCATTGTGCAGCGCGGTGATTTTCTCCTCCCATTCCTTGCTGATCTCAGCTTCACGACTTTCGAAGCTTGACCGCATCTCGTCGTGCGCTTTGAGACTAGCATCGAGCTGTTGCTCAAGCTCACGCACGCGATTGAGCTCTGGGGTACTGAAGCGCGAGCTGGGGCTCTCGAGCACCCTAGACCGCCGATGTTCCGCGGCACTTGTGCTAATGCCACGCTCGTCCAGCAGATTCTTGAGCGTTTTCAGTTGGACCTCGTGAGCGTTACCTTCGAGGACCTGTCTCTCGTACTGCTGTTGGAGCTCGGATTTCTCCGACTGGAGCTGTTGCATCTCGCGCATAGCATTCTGAAGCTGCTTCCGAATCGACAGTCCTTCCCTGCTTGCTTGCTCCTGGAAGGTTTCCAGACCAGCGATCCGCTCTTCAGCGCGACGTAGTTTCTCTGAAGCAAGATCAGCAGCCTCTTGGTTCTTCCGGACCATGGCGCTTGCTGCATCAAGCTGTTGCTGCAATATTTGTACCCTTTGGTCAGAGACATCTTCGTTGGTATCTTTATCGGTAGCACGGGCCAAGCCATTGAGCACAGCTTCCCGATGCATTGCAGCTTCCTCGGCATGTTTGGCGGCAATTTCCTCGGAATCCTTGAGACGTCTAGCGGTGCTTTCGAGTTCGCGTTTGCTGTCTTCATGCTCTGCGCGGATTTTGGCTAATAGTTGTTCGAGCTCTGCGCGCTGGGCCCGTTCATCCTCAAGTTTTGACTCGAGTAGAGCTGCCTTGTCGGTAGAGGCACCGACGGCAGCGCGAAGTGATTCCAGGACACCGGAATGGCTCTTGACATCTTCAAGAGCCCTGGACAGCTTGCCGGAAAGCTCAGCTTTGTCTACCGCGAGCATTTGCGCAGAGGCCTTAGCTTCTGCAGAGGAGGCCGATTCCTCACGTGCAGTCTTCTCGGCCTCATGAAGTTCGGCTCTCAATGACTCTAACTCCATCATAGTCCGCTGGCGGTAAGAATCAAGCTCACTAGCGCGCTTCTGTGCAGCCTCGGCAGTTTCTTCGGCAAGGGTGCGTGCCCGCTTCTCGGCCTCCATCTCAACCAAAAGGCCATCTACCCGCGAAGACAGCTCGGTTTGAGCAGCGAGAGAAGCTGCTAGACGCCTATTCATGTCGTTCATGCGATCCATATCAGGAGTCATATTACGGTTTCCATCGGGCTGTGGAGTTCCAGCTTGGCTCCCACCGTGCGCAGCAAGTTTGGTCTTTGCATACACTGCTTCACCGATAGCGGCATCCCTTTGCCTTTCAATCTGAGCAATCTTGTTGGCAGCCTCGACCGCTTGTGCATCGATCGAACTCTGCACTTTGGCCAACTCGGCTCTCATCTTGATCAGGGCTTCCACCAGCGGTTTGTCGTCGTCGCCAAAGGCCTCGGCAGCCCTCTCGTCCAAAACGGGGCTGTTCGATGCGTTGGCTTGATAGCCGGCCTTACGTGCCAAGGCCAGTTCGGATGCAAGCCAGGCATTCCGACTTCGTGCGGCTTCTAGTTCTCTGACAACTTCTTCGCTTGGTTGCTTCACTGATGGTGAAACGACCACTGCGCTATCGATCGGTTTTTCCACCTCACGGCTGGCCGATCGCCTGTGCTTGTGGCCTTCTGCCGGTCCGCGGGGAGATTCTTGCGCAATATTATCCAGGGACTGTTGATGACGGGTACGGGATTCGGAGCGCGGAGGTGGCCCGCTCTTGACAGAATCGACCGAGTCTTTGTGAAGATGGGGCGGCTTGGCTGAAACAGGACTTCTCACACCACGAGGGCTCTGCTCCCGGCCTTGGTCCCGCATGGCGCGCTGTGCAACACTCTGTGGCTCATTTTCCCGGACAGGGCTGTCTCTGGCCACAGGAGACATAGTGTCGCGATCGAAGGCAGCGGCTCTTGCGGTATCGACCGTAGGTCCAAAGCCGGACGCCTTAGTAGGGGTTTTACTGCCCGGCCTAGCACCATTTGCCCTGGGCTGTGGGGCTTGCTGTTGCGGAGGAGGCCCTGATGATCCTGTAGGCCCTCCGGCTGTTCGTGGAAGAGGAAGTCGCGATCCACCGGGAGTATTTTGCGGACTACCAGCAACAGGAGGCCCTTCGGCTGGCCTGGCGGGAGGAGCTCCCATTGGGCCTGCCATTATACTTTCACGTCCTGTCCGACTCTGCGGTATTCCTGACGCTCCTCCACTCATCTTGCGCACAGGTTGTCTCTCGGCAGAAGCCGCGGGAGACTGTTCACTTGACGGATACCTGATTTTGGAAGTGTCCAGAACATAGGCGAGGCTCAATTCATTCCGGTCGGGGGCGGAGGAGCTCGGCTCGCCGGCAAGTACCACGATGTGTTTTCCATAGGCAGTCATGCTGTGTCCAGAGCGCGGGGATGGCGATGGGCCCATGTTCTGAAACATGTACCATCGGCGGGAGGTTATTTTGAAAGCGGCCAAATCACCCAAGTCAGTTCCCTCTCTTGTCCGGCCTCCAAAGACGTACATCGTGTCGTTAACGATGGCGGCAGCGTGTCCTTCTCGCGCAAGCGGTATGTACCCAATGCAGTCGAGCTCCTGCCAAGCATTGGTCTTATGGTCGTAGCACCAAACATCACTGAACCAATTGACGCCATCTGTTCCACCAAACCTAGCGAGTGTTGTTCAGTCCTCCACGCAGAAAAGGTGCTTTCGATACGACTTACAGATATAGCTTGTCGTTCCATGAGACAACAGAGTGGTTCGTTCTGGCAGGAGGAACCTGACCAGGCGGTGGACCACCGTCTGCGCTGTTCGGGATGAGAACTTCCCATCGATTGTTCGGAGCTTGCAGCGCATTCAAATCAAATGCGACCAAATCATTGAAGAAGAAGCCCTCGACCTGGCCACCGAAGATGTATATCCTCGACCCCAAAATGTTCAGGGTATGACCATAGCGACCTGATGGCCTCGGTCCTGCCGGCAGGGCGCGCGACCATTGCTTTGTTGCTATTTTGCGTCAGCCTGTCAGCTCGCGACTTCAACGCGGGGCAGACATACAGGTGTTTAGAAGATAAAGAGTGTCGTCGAGGAGATCGCCTTCGTCCATTTTCGTGTCACCGCCGAACACAATGAATGCATTCCCAACCAGTAGACTGGCATGTCCAACTCTAGGGCCGGGGCCTTCTGAAGTCGTAGCGACTGGGTGACACGCCATGTTCCCCGAACCTGCTTCCGCCATCCACAGATCGCCCTTCACGGTGGTGCCATTGACCAGGCCTCCCATAAGATATATGCAACCATCCTTGGATGCGGTAGAATTGACAGCGGCTCCATAGCGCGGAAACGGGCTTGCGGCGGTTGTGAAGTTCAGACGACGTTGAGACCACGGGTAGGGGGATTCGGACATGCCGCGCGGCGGGGGGACTTGCGAGGCACGCCCGTTCTGGCGGAGGCGTCAGCATCAGCACGACTTGCGGTACGCCGGCCCCGCCGCGATTGGGCAGCGGCGACAACACTCGACGCAGAAGGAAAGGGCTCAAAATAAAATTACCTGCAGCTGGGAGTTGGATCGCTCCCGCATCTTCGTGGGTTCTGGACTCGCGGTGTTGTCGGTGCCTGGCAGGGAGCTCACGGAGTTATTTACGGAGGCAGTGGGCGTAGGTGTTTGGGCCTGCGGCGAATTCCTGGCCTGCTCGACCTCGCGCGGCGGAGGGCCGGATCGCGAGCCATTGGCGGTGGGTATGGACGAGGCTGGCGGGCCATCGGACGAGGTGATGTTGCGCGTCGCGGCAGGGAGCGCCGTCGCGGGCTGCTGCTGCTTCTTGGACTTGAAAAGGAACGCCATGGGCGGCAGCGTGGCCTGGAGGCCGGTCGCAAGGTGGTAGGGCCAGCTATGGACCGGCTATCTGGACATCCAGACGCTGGGCGGGCGGAGCGAAAGGAGGACGTTTCGAGTGGTGTTGACAAGCGCCGCTGGGGATGGACCAGATGTCTTGAAGCGGACGGCGGCCGGGCCCATGAATCGACGTCTGTGCGCAGGTTTCCGCAGCGCAAGCTCCGCGCGCTGTTGATGGCAGGGTTCGAGAAATTGGTTGTCGGGGGTGGGTGGGAAATCTTGAGACAGAAGACACGGGAAGAAGGGGTCGCCGCTGGGCTGCAAGAGGCCTCGCGTTCGCTGGTGCTGGGTCGCCGTGCGATGCAACAACGAGTACACGGACCGCGCCAGCAAGTCGTCGCGAGCAGAAAAACAGGGCTTAAGGCTTCTCGTTATACCCGCCTGGTCCCTGAGGCGGCCATGGTGATCTCCACAGAGTCATGCTCCTCTTCCAAAATTACTGCTGGACGACGTCTCTGCCGCCGCCCAGCTTCCCCTGAGGATCTGCGCCTAGCACACCCTGCAATTGGCCGCCGCGATCAGAGCGCGCATGGCCGCGAGCCCTGCGGAGGCGGGCGCGCGGGTCATGCTGGCACGCAAAAATCAGCGCTACAGCCGCCGGGTGAGGCGTAACGACCGAAGGGGCAGGAATGCGTGTGGCCCGCGGTGTTAGGCCTCTGCATTCCACCACCGTCACGCAATCCTCGACAGGCGCGCCCCCGGGATCCCTGCGGCGCCGCGTCCGGCCGAGGTGCCTTATCGCTTATCGCACTTCTGAGGCGCATGCAAGAGGCGCGGCAAGCACAAACGCATGTCCCTGCTCTTCGCACCAAACCCGTGGGGAGATCTAGACTCGCGCCGCCCGACGTAGAGAGTAGCAAGCACGAATAACTGCTTTGGTATTGCTATCCGGCGCTCATTCCATGCCCGCTCTCGGTGAGCTGGATAGCTGACCGGCGTGCGCTCTCCCATTGGCTGGCGCACACCGGGCGGTAAGACTGCGGCCGGTGAACTTCAATCGTTGCCCGACAGGATAGCAGCCTCGAGCTCGCAGGACGCGCCGCTTACTCCCCGGTGAGCTTTCTTCAGAGCAACACCCTCCGCTCTTAACCCCCGCACGCGCCCCGTCTCCGCCGCGCTTTTTGCAGATGGGCTCTGCATTGCTATGAGGGTTCTCACGTCAACGCCTGGGGCGAATCATCCTCAATCCGCCGACCTCCCGCCTTCACACGTCAACGACCCGCACCCCGACCGCCGAGACGACGCACCAAGCCCGCGCTCATCATCTGCCACCAGAGCGCGCGAGCGCCGTAGCGGAACCATGGCCGAACCTCGCGTGAATGGCGCAAACGGATCTGCGCCCGCACGACCGCTGATGCTGCGCGCAAAGAGCGACTTTGGGCCGCGACACAACGAGCACCAAGACCGAGACGAGGACGAACACGAGAATGGAGATGCGGAGTGGACAATCCGCCACGGCTGGGAGTCTCAGCTCACCTCGGAGGAATACCAGAACCTGTTGAGCTCGACCTTTTTCATGTACTTCACCGACAAGAAGCATGAAACGAATGGAAATCCGAAGGACGACAGCGAGACCTACCCGCTCCAGGAATGGCGCATGAAGGACAGGCTGAAGACAGTCTCGGCTGTGCTGGCCCTTTGCCTGAACATTGGCGTGGACCCTCCGGACGTCATAAAGACCAATCCGTGCGCGAAATTGGAGTGCTGGATTGACCCTACCATTTCAACCGGTACCTCCGGTCACACGCCTATGAACAACATCGGCAAGGCGCTGCAGACCCAGTATGAGCAACTCAGCATGCGCACCCGCTACAAGCTCTGCCTTGACCCGACTGTCGACGAGACGCGCAGGTACTGCTCCACATTGCGTAAGAACGCCCGCAATGAGCGTGTTCTATTCCACTACAACGGCCATGGCGTGCCGAGGCCGACCTCGTCGGGAGAGATATGGGTCTTCAACAGGAATTACACTCAGTACATTCCCATCTCACTATACGATCTACAGTCGTGGCTAGGCGCACCGAGTCTTTTCGTGTATGACTGCTCTGATGCAGGTCTCATCATTCAGAATTTCAACAAATTTGCCGAGAAGCATGAACAAGAGAACGCCGAAGTGCTGAGAAGGGAACCCAATGCTGAGATCATGGATTTCAGCGACTGCATACATCTGGCAGCCTGCAGAGAAAAGGAAACTCTGCCCACCAATCCTGACCTTCCAGCTGACGTATTCACGTCGTGCCTGACAACACCCATTGAGATGGCTGTCCGGTTTTTCATTCTCCAAAATCCCCTGCCAACCGGGATAACGCTCCAGGATGCGGCAAACATTCCAGGACGTGTTTCTGAAAGGCGTACTCCGATTGGTGAGCTGAATTGGATATTCACTGCTATCACAGACACTATTGCATGGAACTCGTTGTCCAAGCCACTATTCAAGAAGCTCTTCCGCCAGGATCTGATGGTCGCGGCTCTCTTTCGCAATTTCCTGTTAGCCCAACGTATAATGCGAGTCTATCACTGCCATCCTCAGTGCTACCCCGAGATCCCCGAGACTCATGATCACCCGCTGTGGAAGAGCTGGGACTTGGCTGTTGAGATGATCCTCGCTCAGTTGCCGAATTTGATCGCTGCAGAGCGAGGAGAGAAGCAATACGAATATCAGCACTCCAACTTCTTTGCGGAACAGCTCACCGCTTTCGAGGTATATCTCGACCAAGGAGGCGCCATGGAGCAGAGAGTACCCGAGCAACTTCCTATTGTCCTGCAGGTCCTCCTCAGTCAAGTCCATCGTCTCCGTGCTTTGATCTTGCTCAGCAAGTTCCTGGATCTTGGACCATGGGCCGTGAACCTAGCCTTGAGCATCGGTATCTTCCCTTACGTTCTAAAACTTCTACAGTCACAAGCCATGGAACTGAAGCCCGTCATGGTTTTCATCTGGGCGCGCATCTTGGCGGTTGACCAGTCATGTCAGACCGATCTGCTCAAGGATAACGGATACACCTACTTTATCAGCATCCTCAACCCTAACTCAGGCATCCCAATCGGTAATCAAAGCGAGCATCGTGCTATGTGTGCGTTCATTGTTGCCATGTTCTGCAAGGATTTCCACCAAGGCCAGGTCGTTTCGCTAAGTCCAGATGTCTTTGAAAGCTGTCTGGGCCACCTTGGAGATCTTCACAATCCCCTTCTCCGTCAATGGTCATGCCTGTGTCTGAGCATGCTGTGGGTTGACTACCCCGAGGCCAAGTGGACTGGTATCCAAGTTCAGGCCCATCAACGCTTGCTTTTCCTGCGGACAGATCCGGTCGCTGAGGTGAGGGCTTCAATGCTACATGCCCTTACTACTTTCTTGGGCATTCCCGATGTCACCCCCCAGGTCGCGCAAATCGAGGAGTCAATCGCCGGGAACCTACTATTCATGGCACATGATGGTAACAGCATGGTCCGGAAAGAGCTCCTGGTCTTCTTCTCCACCTTTGTTGCACGATATGACAACAAGTTCGTCGTTGCTGCTTTCAAGCAACTACAGGAAGAGCGAAATGCGCTTCGAAAAGCACACGAGGGTGCTGAAGAGGTCAATGGCGACGCACAAGTCTTGGGAACTCGGTCCAGCCCGCAAGATGGAACAGAGTCGCCCAGCAGCCTGCCGCAGAATACCGTTTTTTCGGCTATGTGGAAGGATATCCTTATCCTTTCAGTGGATCCTAACCCGGAGGTGGCAGACAATGCTTGCATAATAGTCGACTACGTGCTCAACGCAGTCCTTGAGTCACCTCTCGCTTCGTACGCGCAGGCTCTAATGGATGAAATCGCCCAGATCAGTGCTGAAGCCAAGAAGAAGGCTCCTCGCAGCTCATACGCAGACCAGTCTCATTCCGTGCCGCAACCATCCCAGTCAGCTGAACCGTCTACTCCATCAAAGCAAGACGGCTTCTTGTCTGCCGGCATGCGCAGGACTGCAAGTGTCGCCGCATCTCTCAAGAACTTGGCATTCGGCTCTCACTCAAGCTCCGACGGCAGTCCGGTGAACAGCATGAAGAGCCCAACTAGGTCTAATACGGTTGGGTCGCGCGGGCGGATTCCGAGCGAGTGGAACCGTCCGCCTGACGAAAAGGACTCGATCCGTACAGCAGCATCATCCAACGCCCCGGACAAAGTCCCGGCAACGCGGACTTACAGGCGGCGTAACCTTCACCAGAAGCCAAGCATACCTTTGAAGAGCAAGTTCTTCGAATGGTCAGCGGAATACTTCCGCGAGCCCCAAATGAAGCCTACCGAGGCCGACGAACCCGGCAGCATGGACTACAACATGCGGCTGTGGCGTCGTAATCGGAATGACAAGATAATCGCTGAGACGCAGCCGCTGAAGGATGTTGCGGGAAGCAACCGGTGGGATCGGCCGAAGGGATTCTTCAACAATGGCAGCCAGCCTATGAAAATGTGCTTCCATCAGTTTGAGGAACACCTTATCGTCACTGACGATAGCGACACTGTTTGGTAAGTCAAGTATCCACTTTGTTAGTCCTCCAAAGAACCACCTGCCTGATTTCATGTAGCGTCTGGGACTGGGAACGCCAGACTCGCCTCAACCGATTTTCGAACGGCAACCCGGTCGGATCGAAGATGACGGAAGTCAAGTTCATCAACGAGGATGACCAGGCGTTGTTGATGACCGGTTCGTCTGACGGCGTCATCAAGCTTTACCGTGACTATGAGAACCCGAACAAGGTAGAGCTTGTATCAGCTTTCCGGGCCCTGACCGATCTAGTTCCCAGCAACAGATATGCTGGGCTCGTCTTCGACTGGCAGCAAGGTCGTGGCCACATTTTGGTGGCGGGTGATGTTCGCGTGATCCGCGTGTGGAACGCTGGGAGCGAGACATGCACGCAGGTAAGCTTGGTCGCGTTTGGTGCGGAATTTGCTCGGTGCTGACTGGAATGTCCAGGATATTAACGCCCGATCGGGCTCATGCATCACCTCGCTTACATCGGACCAAGTCGAAGGACAGGTGTTTGCAGCGGGCTTCGGCGACGGCGCAGTGCGCATCTACGACCAGCGCATGGAAAAGAAACGTGAAATGGTAAAGGTCTGGAAGGAGCACAAGCAGTGGATCACAAACATCCACCTCCAACGCGGCGGCCAACGCGAGCTTGTTAGCGCCTGTCGCGACGGCGAAGTCAAACTGTGGGATATCCGCATGGATCGCAGTGTAAAGACGGTTCAAGCGACGAGAGACACGCTCAGAAGCTTGAGCGTGCACGAGCATGCGCCAGTCTTTGCAGTGTAAGTGCATTGGTCTCGACTTGTGCCGAGTAGTGCTGACAGTCACAGTGGTACCGAGCGTCATGTAGTCAAGCTCATGAACCTGAACAGCGGCAAGCACCTGTCAAACTTTGAGCCATACTCAGGTTTCTTGCAAAACAAGCGGTATACCCCCATCTCGACGACAGCCTTCCATCCACACAGGATGATGATTGCAGGCTCCGCTCTGCACGACTCACACATCAACATTTACGAGTGCAGCGGGCTGGGCAACTATCTCGACGGCGACCGCGAGTGAGATGTTGCACGTTAGTGTGCTTGCACTTTCTGCTCCCCTTGGAGATTGGGAGCCGTTGGCTCTCGTAGGGACTTCGATTCTCGTACCTCGTAGCTTAGGGTACTCTGCGGCGATTTGTTTATTTCTTTTCCTAGGAACGGCTCATTCGTCACGGTCTGCATATTGCATTCGGTGGTCCTTCACATAGCGATGGCGTCTACGGATTAATACTAATGATGGGATGGTGGTGGGATGGATGCGAGCGGGTTAATTTGCCCGCCGCTTGCTCTACTTTCTGGACCGGCATTTTGGGCTAGCGAAGGCCAATTAGTCAATCGAGTTCCGAGTGGTTTGCAATGAATACCGCCGGTGTCTGCAAAGTGACCTTGAGGCGGTGTTCTGAGTCACCAGTCCGGTGAGCTCACGGTAGGTATGTAGAATTCCAGCCACAATGCGGTCCGGACAGCCTAAAAATATAGTTCATGGCAGAGCGGGCATTGGGAGTTCCTTGACGTGACATTGAGTGACGAGTGTGTACTTGGACATGGGTCCTACGGAAATAGAAGGATCCACAGGGCGGCGGCGGAAGCTTGGCTTGGGCGCGGGAGCACCCCACCACACGTCACCCCGCCTGGCCGGCGAGCGGAATTTTCGACTCATATCAACAACCACCTCCGTCACCCCACGCCCAACACGGTCACCGCACCCCGAGGACCGTGCTATATATTCCGCTCCACACTCCAGCCGTCGATCCCCGTTTTCGAGTCCACAGACATCTACAATGGCTGAGAACGCACCCCCTGCTGAGGGCGCTGCTGCGCCGTCCAAGAACGCCCTCAAGAAGGCTCAGAAGGAAGCCGAGAAGGTTCGCAAGTTCGACAGTCATGACCGCCTGACGTGCAATTGACACCATTTCTCTACAGGCTGCGAAGAAGGCGGCGGCGAAGGAACGCGAAATGGCCGAGCGCCTCAAGCAGCAGGGCGCCGACGCCGCCAACGACGTGTCCAAGGACGACTACGGCGAGCTGCCCATGATCGGCTCCGTCCCCTACACCCCCTCGGGCCAGCAGCGCGTCAAGTTCACCGAGCTCAAGGAGCAGGACGAGCCGGTCGCGTTCCGATGCACTGTCATCAACGCTCGTTCGCAGTCGGCGAAGCTGGCCTTCCTGAACCTGCGCCAGGGTGATGAGACGATTCAGGCCGTCGTGGCAGCGAGCGAGAAGCTGTCGCGGCAGATGGTCAAGTTCGCTGGCAGCGTCAACGCTCAGTCCATCGTCCTGGTCCACGGCCTGGTGCGCGGCGTCAAAGAGCCCATCAAGAGCGCGACGCTCAAGAACCTCGAGGTCCACATCCAGAAGCTATACATCATCTCCAAGGCCGAGCCTCAGCTGCCGCTGCAGGTCGAGGACGCTGAGCGCCCGCTCCCTGAGGAGGGCACCACCGCTGAGGAGGAGGCAGCCAAGGAAGGCGAGCGTCCGCGTGTCGCGCTGGCTACCCGTCTCGACAACCGCGTGCTGGACCTGCGTGCGTCGCACAACCGTGCCATTTTCCGCATCAAGAGCGGCATCTGCGCGCTGTACGCCGAGTACATGCAGTCCAAGGGCTTCACGCAGATCCAGACGCCAAAGCTGCTGGGCGCTGCGTCCGAAGGTGGCAGCAACGTCTTCGAGTGCACCTACTTCGACCGCAAGGCCTACCTGGCCCAGTCGCCCCAGCTGTACAAGCAGATGCTCATTGCCGGCGGCTTCGAGCGCGTCTTCGAGGTCGGCCCCGTGTTCCGCGCCGAGAACAGCAACACCGCTCGCCACTTGACCGAGTTCACCGGTCTCGATATGGAGATGGCCTTCGAGGAGGACTACCACGAGGTGGTTGACTTGATCGTCGAGATGCTTCTGTTCATCTTCAAGGGTCTGCGCGAGCGCTACAGCAAGGAGACCGACATCGTCCGCGAGTGGGCCAGCGGTGGCAAGAACACCATTGAGGACTTCAAGCTGCCCGAGGACGGCAAGGTCCCCATTATCCCCTTCAAGGAGGGTGTCAAGATGCTCCGCGAAGCCGGAGAGGAGCTTGGCGACTACGAGGATCTGAGGTACGCTTGTCACCCTCCCTTTCACTTATATTTCGCTAGAAAACATTGATGCTGACCACCTTTCTCCCAACAGCACCCCTCAAGAGAAGCTCCTTGGCAAGCTCGTCCTCGAGAAGTACGGCTCCGACTTCTACGTCCTCGACCAGTTCCCGCTCGCGGTGCGGCCGTTCTACACGATGCCCTCGCCGCACGACCCGCAGCTCTCCAACTCGTACGACATGTTCATGCGCGGCCAGGAGATCATGTCCGGCGCCCAGCGTGTCCACGACCCCACCCTTCTTACCCAGCGCTGCAAGTCCATGGACCCCCCTGTCAACCCCGACGGCCCCGGTCTCAAGGACTACGTCGACGGCTTCCGCTACGGCTGTCCTCCCCACGCCGGTGGTGGCTTCGGTCTCGAGCGTATCGTCAGCTTCTGGGCTGGCGTCGGCAATGTCCGCCTTGCCAGCCTCTTCCCCCGTGACCCCCAGAGGATCCTGCCCTAAGCGAAGTAAGCGGAAAAAGATATATCAGAGCAGCAGAGGAAGAGGTAGGAGGAGCATCGTCAAAAAGATAAATATCAGTTATTTTCCGGGTTAAGTGGAGACATATGGAGATGTTACAGATCCAAAGAGCAACGAATAGAAGAGATTCGTCTGACTGAACCTGCTCCCAAGAATCGAGTAAGCGAGTGACTCATATTGTGAAATCAAAATAGCACTCTTCCCAAGGCTTGCATTCCAACTTTTTTTGAATAAACAGCACGCATTTGCGTGCCTGTACTACCTAAATATATCCGTACATCGCCCCGCCATTGATCAGCATTGACACCCAAACTCCCATTATCAGTTACAGCCGAACCCCATGTTGTTGACCAGCAATCCAACCCATCCCCTCAAGCTACCCCAGACTCAGCTACTTCGTTTCCATCGGAGCCGGCTCGCCCACAACAAGGAAACGAGAACACTTCCCGATCCTGATATTCCCTGTTCAAAACCACCGTCTCGCCTTCAGCTTGCCCCACCACCTCCGCCGCTCACCCTCTTCTCTCGGGCCTTCCCACCAAAGCACCTTCCCCTCTCCCGTTCCGATGCTCCAATCGCCTCTCATCCCCTCGCCGCCGGCCGCACTGCTGGCGCCAGCACCACCGCTACTACTCCCAACACCAGCACCGCCGCCACCCCTCCCCAATCCCACGCCCACATCAATATCAAAAACAGTGCCCCACCCAGCGCTGTGGCCCAAGCAAAAGCTCGCCCTGACCACGACGCCCTCGCCTGCGCCGGCACCGGCGGCTCCGATGGCGCCCGGGCGCGCCTTCGCCTGCGGCGACAGGTACGGGCCGATCTGGCGGGCGACTTGGCCGGCGAGGGCGCGGGGCGCGTACATGGTGTGCAGGCGGCGCGGCCACGAGAGCTGGCGGGACGAGGCGAGGACGGGCTCGGGCCCGGTGACGGGGTCGGCCGTGACGGCGACGAGGTGGTGCGTCGTGTTGTGCTGGGCGATGGCGGCCGGGGGTTGGTGGTTGTCGTTTTCGTGGTTGTTGTTAGTAGTGATAGTAGTAGTAGCGTCGAGAGCAGGGGGTTGTTGCTGTTGTGCTTGGGCGACTTCTTCCGGTGGATCCGGAAGTGGGTGCGGATTGGTCGGGTTGGCGGCGATGTGGTTCTGAAGGTGGTGGTAGAATTGTAGCTCAGGGTCTGCGGCACCTGGAGGGGTGGTTGGCGGCCGGGGTGAGGGCGGCGTTGGCGGCCGCATTTCCACGTCGCTGTCCTCGATATTGAATTCGGATTCTGATGAGGAGCCGTCATCGGGGACAATAACAACCATGGCCGTTGTGTCCGGGTCGCGGGTGTTGAGCCAGAATTGTATAATTTCTTCATCGCGGTGGCGATCCTCGAAGTTTGTATCCAGCCACATACTCATGGTAAGATTTCTCAGATTGTGGAAGTGACGCAGAGGTGATAAAAGTGGATGCGAGAGCTCAGTAGGGGCGAAAAGAATCGGTGCCCCTACGTATCCGCAGAACTTGAGTTCAGTAACCGTATCGGCGTGGAACGACGCGACAGTGTGCAGCATCAGAGATCCGCGGAGCCAGTCGTATTGTGGTACGAATTCGAAATCTTGACCGGGCGGGGTAGGTGCTTTTGCTGCCGTATCTTTCAAAGCATTTAGGTCCTCGTCATCCAAGTCCCAGTCGTCGTCATCGGGGACCGTTTGAAACAAGTCGCTGCTTCCCCAGCAGTTTCCGATAGGACTCGAATTCGCAATCATGACGATCTTGTTAAGAGGGCATTGCCACAGCGCCCGAACAGTCTCATGCTTCTCCTCACGGGGTATTCCGCCTTCCATCTTCAGGTGTTCAACTTTGGTCATTCGAGAAGCAAATCTGGTGATGAAGTGCCACCGCCGTCCCTTGGCTGCCAATGGGTATCGGAAGTCTCCCGAGTGGTCCCTTTCTGCATCAGGGTGGAAGGTCGTATCCACCCGTAGTTCCTTTAATGTGCGGGCAAGGTTGGATATGACACGGTCTTGTTGGATTGCTGCCTCGCCATCGGAGCGTTGGTGGCTAAAGAAGTTTTCCATTGGCCAAGACAGACATGAAATGTTCGGGTGGGCGTCCATGAATTCCAAGAAATCGATAACTGGCGTCGGGGAGCCAGGTGTATCTAATCTATCAAGTAAATATGTTCCTCTCGGTAAACTGTAACAAAGCATTAGAAATGGCTTCAAATGGGGGCTCAGGAAACTTACGTAGTCCACGGAGTCATGACATTGCGCAGCTGGAACGCACGGAGGTAAGGAAAGCGCAAATGGCTCAGGCGGAAAAACATGTCCCTGATGAGCCATTCTTCGCGGTTTCGGTACGCGTCATCGGAGAGGAGCATATCGAGATTTAACGAGGTTAATGTAGCAGCGGAGTCTTTCAACAGAGTCTTTAAGAAGTCTGCGGGGACGGCAGGCCGAGGTTTTTCAAATTGTTGATCCTCCGGCACATGGGTGGACTCCAGAAACTCTTTGGCCTCGGGTAAAGCGTCATAGATGATCTTGTCCAGCCGAGCTGCTTCGGATAGTGAAGCAGGAGACACGGTGCCATCAGGGACCACTTTGTCTATTGTGGTCATGTATTCTCCTCCAATACCATTTTGCAGCATCCTCCGATGGAGTTGAGCCCTACTCAAAGCCATGCCCTGGGTTATGACATTCCTCTGTGTGAGGTCGTTGAGATAGCTCAGACGCCTGAGTCTCAAACTCGTTATGCCTGAGAGGTCAGGCCAAAATGACGAGCCAATTGGACCGGGCTCTGGCATGGACAGCGAGCAGTACTCGAGCCATAAGCGCTTCAAAGGCACACTCCTTGGACGATGTGGATGCAGGAAGCCCCAGATGAGACCATATGCAAGGAAGTAATGACCGTATATGATCCTCAGGGTATGTACGTTTGTCATGTTCCGAATGGCCAGCATGAGGAGCTTGTGGGTGCGGCTATCGTTGGAGAGGGTAAGCGAGCGAAAGCAGAAGAGCGGGAGCTCGTGATAGATGCTGGGCGTTGGAAGGTGGCAGCGGTGGAGGACGGTCTGGACATGACAGGCAATGGACGGGTTGCTGCTGCGTATCAGCCTGTGATCCTTGGGCGCATATGCTTTCAGCCTCACGTTGCCAACACCAGCAGCTTCTTAATTATAGGCGTATCGTCATGCTCGTCGGCCAACTCGTCGATGACTCTTTGGGCTTTAAACTGTGGCCTCGACGCGCGCGGATGCAGGGTCCAGCAATCCTTGAGCTCGACATCCTTCCAGAGTAGTGGAATAGCCAAGCGGTAGCCCCAGCGGCAAGTTTGGGCGAGTTCGAACAAGTCGCCCAGTTCGAGGTAGTGGAGAACGTCTAGCACCAGCTCGTCCGGTAGCGACAGTAGAGGCTGGAACGCCGTTAGGCTTCTTCGTTTCGCTGCAAGGTGACCCGGCGGGCTTACCGACGAACCAGACTCGGGCAGCTGCATGGTGGCGACGGCGAGCAGCAGCGCGCAGCAGAGTGTTGCGGCAACCAGGTGAGATACGAGGCGCGGAGGGGAGATCGGCCAGCTCGTCAGCCAGGCGCGGCCCAAGCTCCATTCCCGCGACGCGCCACGCTACGTCACCGCCGGGGCGCGTCTCTTCGACAAATTATTTAAAGATTCATCTGGACCTACTTTCACATCCACGGAACAGTCAATGCGCTTGCCTCAATCTAGTTATAAGGTTCAGCCTTATAGTTTAGTCGACCCGAAGTTCTACAACAGCTCCGCTGCCGCACTCTAATGAATATCAATAAACTGCAAACCAACATGCATCCCCTCCCCCACGCTCATATTGAAGGCGTAAAATATGAACATTACGAATATAAATACTCCAAGCATCAGTCATCCGCAACATATATCTACACTGAGAAAGAAGGTAAAAGCAGCCACACTCACGGCGCCAAAATCCATCTGTAGATGCACAGGTTGCCATTACTCGGACAGACTTCCTTCCGATCCAGCTGCTTCGCGATCGGCCCCGTTGGCCCGCTGGCGTACTTTGCAATAGCGCCGCCGAACAGCAGCTGCTGTCTGTCGTCATCTTCCGGATACTCCTCATCACCCCATTTACCGAGGTAGTTGAGCCACGACGTCGGAGTGGAGTCGTCGTCGCCGAGGACGGTGAAGGTTGGGGTGCCGGTGGCGTTGGTGTAGTTGTAGAAGTAGGCAGAGAGCAGCGGGTCCCAGAGCAAACCACCATCGTCGGGTCCTTCGGTGTGGTCGAGCAGGAGACCGGTGGGCAGGTTGAAGTTGGGGATGGTGTGGTCGTGCGTGCCGGGGATGGCATAGTTGGCGTGCGTACCATTGGCAACGTAGTTGATGGGCTGTAGAAAAGAATAAATCATGTTAGTCCATCACGAGCCCACTGACAATTTTTTCTCTTTTTTTTGGTGGTAATACTTACGCGGTCCCCGGATTTATGCAGGATATCGTAGGCGAAGTTCTGGCCGTTGCTGTGCTGCGAATACCACACCCATTTCGGCTCGCCGTCTTCGAAGCGCACCATGTTGTGCTCCCAGTCCCCAACGTGATTTCCTACCTGTAGATCCAGCACCACGCCACCCCAGTTGTACGCATAGAAATACATGTAGAAGGCATCAACCGTCCCGTTTCCCTTGTCATTGACAATGACAGCTGCAGTAATGGCGTTGTCCGTCTTTCCATTGCAGTCGGGTTGCACACCACCCAGCCAAGGCGGACTTTGCGTGATATCATCCTTTGAAGTAAGGTAGACCTCCTTGCCGAATGAGTTGAGAGAATCCAGGTTGTTCAGATTGAGCGGAGACTCAGCGTCAGCAATGACGTTAAAATCAACCTCTGGCTGAGTATTATCAATTTGCGCTTGCAGGTCAGAAGGGAAGTAAACGTCTTCGTGGTGGATGTAGCTTAGCGGGGCTGTACGAGAAAAATCAGTCGTCTTGTTCAATCACTAGGGAGGTACAAGAAGATAAGATGAAGACAGAATAGCTGTGAAACAGTTCAAAGGAAGAGAGTGGCTTTTCCAGAATCATTCAAACAGTGCTTGTTCAAAAAAAAAAAAAAAAACTCCACCTCGGGCTCGTCTACTATTCCAACTGGGAAGAAAAAAAAGGAAAAGCACCAACCATAATCCAGTACGAACTGTGGTACACCTTCCACTGCACGCTTTCCAAGAGAACTTCGAGCGTAGGCTTTCTCAGAGCATTGGGCGCGAGCCAGCTGCGCCGCAAGCAGCACTGCGCCACCGGCACTCTTCGCAAATCGCATGATGATCGGCAGGAGGGCAACCGGTCAAGGACGTCGGCAATCAGCAGCGTCTGAATAGCAACGGACAACGATGGGAGCTGGAAATGCCAACGAGCCAGTATCACACGCGAACGAATGCTGGAGTCAGCGTTGTGTGCGCGAAGATAAGACCGTATGTGAAGATAGATAAACGAGAGATTTCAGAAATTAGAATAGACCAGCTTCAGCATATCGGAGCGGCGCCGGGCCATCAAGAAGTATATATGCGATAATCTCCAGGACCCATGCCCATGATCATGAGCGGCAGGCGGGCAGCCCTGACAGACGGCCGATCATTCAGCGTTTTCAGGGTTGGAATAGCGTAAGAAGCGGGAAAGACCAGGGTACCTACAGCTGCCCCACCACGGGATTCGGAAAGGCCGCTCGTGCATGCAGGTCGTAAAGGGGAGTGTGGCAAACGAGTGCCGGGACGGGACGCGAATGGCAGGGCATGCATGGGCAGTGAGAGGATTATCTTGGGCGCGTGGGCCGTCGTGGTAGGTCATGGATTTCTCGGTTCCCCGTGCTTATTTGCTTCCTTGCTCTTGGACCTCGCATATGCACCCTGCCGGGGCCGTCAACCGGTTCATAAAGCTTAACGAATGAGGAGCTGAATACGCTTCCAATAATAGGGAAAGCCAAAAAATGAAAATGAGAAATTCAGCGAATCAGAGGGGCAAGTACAACCATCCACATCCTCGTTAACATCAACCTTCAGTCCAGCCGACAATGAAATGAATTACCGGCGGGCTGCCCGTATGATCGCACGCCGCCAAAGCTTAAGGACGTGCGTGCCTGGTGCCACCCGTACCTCGTGCGGGGTGAGGCCGAGAAGACGCTCAGATGTGCCGACCAATCCTCGCCCGCTCCTCAGCCACACGAAACAGGATCGACCGCACGAAGGGGCCTCATGCGAGCACAGGTCGGAAGAGGCGCAAACCAGCAAAAGCAAATCGCCATGTCGGAACCGGCTCCATCTGCCAGCCCCGTCAAATAAAAATGATCTCGTGCTGGGCGGAGAACTGCTTACGGCGTCGCCGATACATACCTGCCCTACGCGGAAGGGACGCATTTTCCGGCCGCCGTGCTCCACCCGTCAGACGGATTGTGTGCCGATCGCTCCTCTCAGCAGGTGCAGTATTCGGATGTGCATTGGCACGACGTCGAAATTAGGGGCGCGCGCTTTCTCCGGCCAAGAGAACGTGCCTCGGGCCGGCGAGCGCATTGGCCTTGTTTGTTAACCAAGTCCACGCGCAGCATCGGAACGCGTTCGAGGGTCGAAGAAAAGTACGAATCCCGGTTGCGCTGTCAACGTGGCGCTGACACAAAGCGTGCGCGCGTGCGCAGGCGTGAAATGCGCTGCTGATGCCGGACGACGCTCCCGAGACATGCATGCATTAATGTTTGCTCGCATCATGGGAACCGCAGGCCTAGAGATACCCACAAATATCTTTGCCCTTCTCCTTCCTCGTGAGCCGCAGTCGCACTGTACTCGCATCAGCATCCTACTAGCTTATGGATCCTTGTATTACTATTAAGATGCTACTCATAGCCCTACCCGTGTGACGGCGAATAGCGGGACCAATCTCCAAAGCCAACGACAGAAGCACCCAAAGCAGCATCCAAAACACCATTCGTCTCTGTTCATCTCTTTCGAAGTATGCCGTCATATTACATACTCTCCTGTGCAAAACTGCAACTCTGCTCCCCGAATCCTCCTCTGCTAATCCCACCTACTGTCAAGAATGAATTGGGTATTACGCCGTCAAAGAGACTGCTGATTAAAACCTTGCTTGCGATGCTAGCTCCAACGATACGGTGGGAAGAATTTGTAGAACTGAATGAATCGAAGCGGTCTTCCTGGGCGTGAACTAAGGCACTCTCGAAGCGCTGTATGTACTCACGCGCGACGCCTAAGAAAATACCCATCTTCGGACTCGGTCCGTTGCTTAGATAACGTACTGCAGGGGCCGTTAGTCCACATGACCATCAACCACTCGAGAGCCTAACTTACCGGGATGAAGAGATACGGCACCTGGCGCTCGTACTCCTTCCACGCCTCGCCATACCGCTCCCTGCAGCGCTGGATGTCTCTGGCTGCGCGGTGCACGATCATCAGGCTGAAGAAAACCGGGTAGAACCATGGGAACGGGCTGCCGAAACCGCAGATAAAGCCCCAGTTCAGCGCAAAGTAGAGGTCACAGGCGTAATGAATCTTGCGCGCAAGACCATACCAGCCGTCCGCCAAAAGATCCTTGCCCGTGTTGGTGTGGATGACCTTGGGGTTGTGCACCTCGCGCCAGGGCAGAACAGGAAACGTCTTGCGGTCGTAGTCCGAGCCACGCTCCTTACGGCGGAAGTGGTTCTTCTGGCTGTTCGCCGTATCCCAGACCCAGTAGACAAACAGGTACGCGGGGAAGAGCGCCAAGAGGAGCCACTTGGAGTGCTCGTATTCAGACGGGTGGTGGTTGGCGAGGTAGAGCGTGCAGTGGCAGTAGCTGAGCGGCACACCAGCAAGGTTCCAGAAGGTAAGCATGAAGCCAAGCTTCTCGAAGTACATGTCCCTAAAAAAAGAAAGAAAAAGGTTATGTTAACGATGCTGTACGAAGCTATGCGCGCGACGAATCCACATACCAAGTCGTGACGATCATCTCCTCACCCTTGGAGCAGGCGTTTGCGTAGAGCCAGTGTGCCATGAGGAGGAAGCAAACTTCGCCGGAGACGTAGCCATAGTTCTCATACTGCCTTGCTGCCGTGCCGAGAGTGAGGAAGAACAGGATGAACCAAGGCATTCTGACCTCGAAGAACATCTTCCAATCCAGCCATCCAAACAGGCGCGGGTTCAGCTCAGCCCCCATGAAGAAATCATAGACCGGGTATCCCGTCATACGAACAGTGGCACCACGAATGTGAGCGCTGATGTAGAAGTAGAAGCTCATAAGGAAGCCCGAAATGATCGCGACGGACATGAGGGACCCGAACTCATCGATCAAGGTGTACAGCTTGAAGTGGCCAGTGTAGTGCAGAACCAGGCCCAGGACGATGCTCGTGTACCAGCTCCAGACCGCAGAGCAGTAGTACTCTAGCTGCTTGCCACCGAGGTGTGGCAGCGCCTGGCCCTTGGAGTACACGCCGGGCATGTACAGATAGAAGACGATCTGGATGGCCATGAAGGTCCAGTAAATGGTCCAGGCGCGTGCGTGCGGGAATGCGTTATCGTAGCACAGCTGGACCAGGTGCTGGAAAAACTCTCCCAGGCTCTCGCCCTCGGCTGGTGTCGGAGGACGGCCATCGTAGAATGTCGCACCCAACCACATGTAGTACATCAACATGGGAAAGCCGATCATCATGGCACCGGTACCCCAGGAACCACCGAACTCGAAGTGTGGAGAGGCCTCCGAGATGGTCGGGTCGATGACCTCCTTCTTGGGCTTCTCGTCCGCAACATGGCCGTTGGTCGCGTGGCCATTCACGTAGCCGTTCGCGTGGCCGTTCGCATGGCCGTTGGCAAAGCCGTTAGCGTATACGTTCCCGTTCGAAAGGGGCTCTTCGGTCTTGATGGGGACAGCAACGGGGACAGGCGTTCCGTTCTCGGAAGAATCGCCGTCAGCGCTCTGGAGAGCAGCTTTGCGCGTGGTGCGGCGGCGTCCAGGAGTCTCGACGAATCCCGGGTTGGAGGGCTTCCTGTTGCTGGAGGTCAGGGTCTCAGGCCATTGCGGTGTTGGAGACGCGGAAGACGGCGTGGCGCAGGCCAATTGGCGCAATGCCTCGGGTATGCGGTGCCGTCTTGTCGCTTGTAGGGCGGTATAAATACCTGGGCGTGGCTCCAGTCTGCGAACGCGTCACTCGCTGAGACATGGTTAAGGAGGCGGTCTGAACGGCGGCAGCGGCGACGATGAGGTGAACGGCGAGCGGGCGGGGGAGCGCAAATTCCCTGGGCAGCGCGGGCAAATGTGCGAGACTGACGGCCTCCGTGCTCTGCGCGACTCAGGGCTTTCGCGGAGGTGTGTTGTTGCAAATCGTGCCTCCCTCGGCCTTTGTTGACAGAGTGACACCGCCAAATTTGAGAAGCGGCGCCGCCGTGCTCAAGCTAACGCCCAATTACATCACTGCAATACAACACTCACTCCGACATCACCATCCTATTGCGTTCATCGATCGCGCTGCCAGGAATTACTAGATGTGCTGTGTGGAGGAAATTTTGTTTACACTAAAATCCCAAGACGCTGCTGACCTTCCTTCGCGAAGCGCTCCATGCAAGGTACCCGGGTGCCTGGTTCGCCCTGGCCAATCACGCCCCTGACAATAGTCCTCCACTTTCACGCTCCTCTCCGCGCATTGGTGCTCATCAACGTTATCTTCTTTTTCTTCTTCTTTCCTCCTCCTCCCCCTCCTCCACCGCCCGCACCAGCGCTTGAGCTCTCTCCGTTCCCAAGAGACAAAGCCTGTGCCTGCGCGATCATCTCATCCTCCCTGAGCAGATCTTTCTCCCACCCTTGGAGCCAACCGTCATCCGCATCATGCTCGTGTGTAGGCGCATGCACCGCCGGACTTGATCCCGGAATAGCCGTTGTGCCCCAAACTGTTCGGGGCGCACTTGGACTTGTCGACGGAGAAGCAAGCGACGCAAAGGCAGAACCTTGGCGTTGGGCATATGGAGGCGACGATGAAGTGTCGTCAACCTCGACGGCCTCGACAGATCCCGAGACATCTCCAGGTACCAAGGGCTGGAAATCGTCGGCCGTGAAGCGCGTATTGGAGATGCTGTTTCTCTTGCGTCGAGCTTGCGCGTAAGCCTTTTGGTCCTCCTCTTTTTCTGCCCGCACACGCGCCTTCTCCTCCTTCATCTCCTTGTCATGATTTCGTTTCCGTCTTCGTTCAATCTCAGGTTTGAACTTCTCTAGAACCTCTGGGGCGACTGTGTCCGTCCAGTCGCATTCTAGAAAGCCAACTTCGCAACCGTATGGCAAATGCGCCAGGTATTTGGTGCGCTTCCGCAAGTCGTCATCTACAACGTGACCGGTCGACACTCGTTCTACTCTTGGCAGGATCGTTGAAGGAAAAGACGCAAAATTGCCGAATGCCACTTTGAGAATGCGAATGTCCAAGGGCGAGAGATAGTAGTGAAGCAAGGCTTGGTAAAAGTAATATTCCGATGGTGTCTGATTATCGGGTTGACGGTTCCGGAACTCGGCCAGGGATTTGGAGAGGTTGCTCGTACCCGCCGACTGCTGTTCGCTGGGTTTGTCCAGAGAAGCTTGCTCAGTAACATCGCCGCTAGGTTGCACTGTCGTTTCCCCCGGTCCACGGTCTTCCTCATTGGCTGGTGTTTGCTCGGGATTCGAAGCTGTAGAAGCAGCAAGAAATGTGTCGGCGTTCGGTTCCTCCGCTGCTGCACCAGGCTTCTTTGACTTATTCTCTGGCGGCTTTGTGGCAGACGTAGGAGGATTTCCAATACCTTTCATTTTCTCTTTTGTCTCCTTGATCATTCTGATAGCCTTCCGGGTCCACTCCATATTGTCTTCACCAAACATAACCTCGTCCTCTCTGGCCTGACGTTCAATCTCTCGAATGTCATCTTCCAACTGCTCGGTCATGTAATCCTCACTACCCTTCATGATCCGGGCGTAGTCCATGACCTCAGCAGCTATGTACCAAGGGATCTCTTCACCTTTCGGCAGAGCATCTGCGCCATCTCTGGGTAGGGCAAGCATGCTGCCAGAGGATCGCATAACCAATCGCAGCACGACGTCGGCACCCTCCCGAGGAGGCTCGCCTTCTTGTCCAACGTAAAATCGCGTAGGTCTAGTATCGGACATGTAGATGTTGTCTTCGCAAATCGGACATTTTTTCGACTTCGCCTTCTTCTCCGGGAGCTTGGTTTCAGCCTCAGCATGCATGAACCGAATCAGGCATGGCAGGCAAAAGATGTGGCCACATCTCGCCATCCGGGGGGCGACAGGTGTCTCCAAACAAATTGGGCAGGAAGCAGACTGCGATTGAGCAGACGCCAGAACCTGTAGGACATTGTTCCAGTCCAGGTGGACATCCGCATCAATGGCTTGCTTTTCATAGTCACCACGAGGGTCGACAATGAAGCGGTAATTCGCGTGGACATATCTGAGGCACGTTAGAAAGCGCTCCGATAAGACGTAACCATGCTTCCACTAACCTCGCCTTGTCCACCGCATGGTAGCCCGAGCCCGGACCCCATGCTGGATTTCTCCTATAAGAACGACCGTGACCGTGAAAATGGTTCTGGGGGCGCGGAGGCAGACTGAAGTTCATCAGATGGGTGATGGAAGTCTGGCCCTTGCGGCTACCGGTGGAACGCATGGCGACCTGTGCCGCGGCTATATCAGCGTCGCATTCACCAAAAGAAACGTGGGAGGAAGCTTACAGCTTCCGCAATGGCATCCTCATTCCCCAACCCAGGGCGTTTAGCGGACTTGTGCTTCCTCTTCGAGGCCTGGTTGTGGCGAGGCGAGGGGTAGGCTCGCGACGCTGCTCCCGCGCCGAAACTGCCAGAACCGCCGGCGCGACGCTGACCGTAGCTGTCGCCAGCAGACGACGAGCCGGATTGTGCTTGAGGTGATAGTTGAGCCGCGGTGGTGGTTGACTTGGAGGCGGCTATCGCACCCGGCGGATTCGCGGACATGACGCTGCAGCTATGACGATGCGGCAAAAGACCCCGCCAACGCCTATTCGGTGCCAACAGCTAGCCAGAGACGTAAGAGTCGAGAGGAATGCCCAGAGGCGAGTTGCAGTGAAATGTGTAGGGTGAGATTGCTGGTCCCCCGAAGGCGGACTTGCAGAAGGGAGTCCTCCGGGGCGAGACGGTCTTCGGCGGGTTGAGTCGACGGGAGCGACGGACTGGGTGGTGCATCCAGCACGTGACTGAGACGGTGGCCAAACCAGTGCAGCTGGGGCTGGACTGTCAAAGAAGGCTTGCACTGTGACGGATCAAGTATAGAAGCTTCTGGCGCGGCCGGAATCCTGCATGCGCGCGGGTGGGTAGAAGACGTTGAAGCGGGGGGGCGGGCTGTTGCCTCAGAATTACTGCTAGTCAGCCCATCTACATCGATAGCTGTGCCGTCATGCCCTGCAGACGCACAAACGCGAGCAACGCGTGATCCGCACTACACGAAACGTGCTCTCGGGAACTCCAGGCTGAAAGGTCCTGCCCGCACGCCCGTTGCCGAATCACTGAAACCCTCCTCCGCCCCTCCGTTCCGCTCCGCGCTTGGCGAGCAGCCCTTGAGCCGCAAGCTCCTAAACCTTGAAAGAGGCCGCAAACGCCGGACCGGCGCGCGCGAGAACGTCAAGCTCTCGACAGGCTGGTGAAAGGCCGCCTGCATCACGACCATCCCGTGGGCAGGAAAAGCCCACTGCCCGCCGCGCCCCCGCCCCAGTCGGCGGCGATCTCTAACGCCTTGCGCCAAATTGTTGTCGACGAGCCGATCATCCTCCGCGACCCCGACCACGACGCACTATCACCACCTCACACCAAGCCGCAACTGCAGCGCCACCACCTTCCGGCGCTCATCCATCGCCCTTTCTGCCGGCTCGCGTTGGCAGTCCCACCGTCGTCCTCCCGCGCCTCACAAGTCGGTCGCTAGGTCCTTGACCGGCCAGCGCTGACTGTGAGGCACCCGTCTCCGCCGCACCCATGATGCCAGGACCTCACATGCCGCCTGCCATTCGGCGGCAGGGCGACCATTACTATCTGCCGCCGCAGGCCCATTCCCCGGTGCCGATGAACATGTACAGCGGCTACCACCATCCCGCGCAATTCCCTGGCGCCCACCCCTACTACCCGCAGCAGTTCTATCCGCCGCAATATCACCACCCACAGTATCAGCATGCGCTGCCGCCTCGCCACTTCCCTCAGCACCCGCCGCCTCCTCAGCAACACTCTCCCGTGGTTGTCTCGTCGCACCCTCACATCCAGTCTGTCGCCCCTGTTCACCGCCAACCCGTCCGCACGCCGCCGGTTGCCCATACTCATACGCCTCCAGCCCCGCTGGTCGCGCATTCATCGACGCCACAGCCTGCGCCGTCAACTCCTTCGGTTCATTCGCAGACGCTGGTGTCGCCATCGACACCAACCATCGCGCAGAGCACAGCAACCCCGCCTCTCATTCCTGCGACATCTCACCCGGCTCTCTTGTCACAGCATGCGCCACCATCTCCTGGAGTGAAGATGCCCTTTTATCCTTCCGTAAGTTTGTCTCGAAACGGACTAGCCATTGCAGGTGGGCTGAGCAGGATACAGCTACCGTGGTACTCGAACCCTGATGAGCCTTTCCCACCCAAAGCGCACCGGCAGAGGCGCCGGAGGCGCGAACAACCACCTTCGCGCGCGCCAAACGTGGAGCTTCCCGCGAGAGATCCAGCAGAGGCGGAAGAATATCTGCAGATAGTTGAGTCTGCTGAGCCTACTGTTACTGCTGCATCCGAGCAGGAGACCCCCGCCACGTCGCAAGCTCAGTCAGAGGCCGATTCCACTCACCCTACCACACCCTCATCAGCCATGCCGCCGGCAACACCCCAGACACAGGCTGCGACTGGACACACTCGCAAGGCTACCATCCCTGCGGTTCCGCTCGTTCCAATCAAGCCAGCCATGCCTACCTCTCATCGCAAGGGCAGCGCCGCTACTTCAACTGCCGAGAGGCCCAGCACGGTTGGCGACGCGCCGCAAGAGGGTGGCGAGAGTGCGGAGCAGGCAACCGTGGCATCACCTGAGTCAGAACGCACCGCGACTGCGACATCACCTACGCTGAAAGCGGCTCCGAAGTCATGGGCTGATCTCGTGAGGACCAAGAAGGCAGCTGCCGCTGCTGCACCTGCTTCAGGCTCCAATGGTGTTTCAGCCGTCAACGGTTTTGCGGCGGCCAAGAGCGACTCGATGGCCGACGTGCTCCGGACTTACAACGTAAACGCCGACAACAAAATTGGTTTCCTTGCACCTCGCGGTCTTGTAAATACTGGTAACATGTGCTATATGAACTCTGTAAGTCGACGCCCCTATGGATTCCGTCCAGCAAGATCACCACGTTCCTAACGAGCTGCAAGATTCTTCAAACCCTTGTTTTCTGTATACCATTTTATGACTTTTTGGATCAGGTGGGCAAGCGTGCGGCGTATAGTTTCAAAAGCGAGACACCTTTGCTTGACGCAATGTAAGTTTCTGCGCGACGCTATGTCACATTACATCTGACGTATTACGCAGGATAATGTTCATGCGCGAATTCACCATAATCGACTCTGCAGTCTCCCAGGAACAGCTCAGACTACGACTTAAGGATACCGAACTTGAAAAATACGGTGAAAGTTTTATCCCCGAGTTCGTCTACGAAGTGATCAAGCGTCTGCCAAGGTTTTCTCACATGCGGGTGAGTTGCGTCCTGAGCCAATGTTTCTCAAATGCTGACTTTCGTAGCGCGGTCATCAACAAGATGCTGAGGAGTTCCTGGGTTTCCTTTTGGCTGGCCTTCACGATGAATGTGTGCACGTTATGAAGACCGCGCCTGCAAGCACGACCACGACTAATGACGCCGCTTCTACTTCTAATACCGACTCGACTCAGGTTGATGGATGGCTCGAAGTCGGACCCAAGCAAAAATCGTCCGTGACCAGGTCCTCGGGAATCATCGAGTCTGATACGCCCATCACTAAGATCTTCGGTGGAAAGCTGCGCTCGGAACTTCGCGTTCCAGGTCTCAAGACCTCGGTTACGCTCGAACCCTATCAGCCTCTGCAGCTCGATATCGGCGCTCCTAATGTGAATAACATTGTGGATGCGCTAAAGGGCTTAACAAGGCCCGAAACTCTCCAGGGTGACTTCAACTCTCCTCGTGGACCTAACGCATCTGCCACAAAGCAGGTGTTCATTGAAACGCTTCCGCCGGTCTTAATCCTCCATCTCAAGCGCTTCCAGTACGACAACACTGGCGGTACTCAGAAGATTTGGAAGAAGGTCGGCTACCCTCTGGATCTAGAAATTCCGAAGGAGGTATTCCCACAGCACATGCGCCCTGGCTTGAATGTCAAGGGCGGCGAACCCAAGTACCGCTTGACTGGTGTTGTCTACCACCACGGAAAGACAGCCAGCGGCGGTCATTACACGGTCGACGTGCGCCGGCAAGATGGTCGGGAATGGATTCGGATGGACGACACCATTCTTCGACGCATTCGCAGCGAAGATGTAGCTGAGGGCGGTAGCGAGGAAGATCCCCGCATACTTGCCAAGGCTCTTGAACAGCACAAGAAGGATAATGGAAGTGCCAGCAAGAGTATCTACGAACAGGCTGGCTTCGACGAAGAAGACGACTCACATGCGGAAGGTGGATGGAGTCAGGTTAACGGTTCGGGTTCCACTGCTGGATCAAAGAAGTGGTCTGGCGTGGTTAACGGCACGGCTACCCCAGCCTCGTCAACGGGCAAGAGGACACCGATGGCAGACAAGGGAGCCAAGGATAACAAGGTGGCCTACATTCTCTTCTACGAACGGGTCAGGCCGTAGGCCCCACGACTTCCTCTTATAACACTCTTTTTTTCGGGATCAGTATCCGGCACTTCACAAAAAAAAAGTTCATGGTTTCGGCAGCGTTTGAAGGCATACACTCGGTGGGCGTCGTTGGAGCATGGTGGGGGCTGGGCTTGGCTGATACCTCATGATGCTGGCTTGGTCCAGGGAGTACAGGGCTCCGAGGCGCGAACAGGACGGGAGGTTCGGGCTTTCGAATTGCTGTAGATAGCTTATCCGGGCGGGTCTGAGTTGACTTGCGGAGTGAGCACGTTCGGGGTTTGGGGTAGAAGGTGTAGGGGATGAATGCATGTTGCTAGAAGAAAAGACTATGCAAGAGTGGCAGCTTCTCGCTGCGTCAGGGGTTCGTCAGATCTGGAGCGGAATGGCGCAAGCGATTGCTTGTGGATGAGACGGGCGGAGCGAAGCCAAAACGTGAGATGTTCCTCCAACAGACGTGGTGTCGATCATTTGTGGCTACGGTTGAGGCTGCGTTGGCAAGGGGGCGGGTGTCGTTCAACTCGAACGCCGCGGCACGACTCGGGGAATATGGGGGATGCGCTCGGGTGCGGGATGCGGGGGCGGAGCAGGGCGTACAGCGCCAATGGCTAAAGCGTGGTTTGTAAGGCTCCGATCGTTAAAGCGTCGTTCGACACATTTCTGCAGCCGGCAGCGATGGTGACGGACAGCACCGGATGAGTGTGCGGGTGGATGCATGCGCAGGGGCGGTGATTGGCGGGAGCTGGGGGTGGAGCTGGGTTGGTGTGCGGGGAAGTCGTTTTAACGGCCTCAGACTGCCAACCCTGGCCACGCAAGTAACTCTCCGTTCGCTGAAGCTGGGAAGGTACAAGACGCAGACACCCATTGACACCCATCCCCTTGGCACCAGTACGCCCCTCTCCTCACCTGCATCGCTTCACACTGCTGCACTCTCCGCTGCCGACGACGCGGTCCTGAGCTTGCCTGCAGCTCCACCGCCCAACGTCATCGAGGCAGGCCAACCACCCACCACCCCCTCCCCTTCCATTGCTCTGGCACGCACCCATTCCTGCACACGACACACCCTCAACACCCTTCACGATGCTTTCTCGTCTCGCGCCCGCCGTCCGCTCGCGCCCGGCGGCCGCAGCCCTGCCCGTCTCCCGCTCCCTTGCCGCTCTCACCACGCGCCTCTCGTCCACGCGAGCCCCCGCGCTGGCCGACGTCCCACCCGATGGCGCTGCCAGCTTCGACGCGAAGCAGGCCCAGTTCCGCCAGCAGCTGAGGGAGCAGGCGGCCAAGAAGCGGGAGCGCGAAGAGAGTAGGTCCCCTAACGGCGGTCATGTGTCTGCGTCTGTACCCAACGAGCAATCTGGTTCTCCCTCGTCTTCTTCCTCTTCTGTTGGTAAAGCTACTGGCTCACTTGCATCCAACCTCACAGGAGAAGCAAAGGCCCGCGAGGAGTCGCAGGAGGGCGCCAAGTCCGAGGGCAAGCTGTCGAGGCTCATCTATGGCACCACCGAGGGCCGCAACCTCGATCGCGACATGGAGCGCAGCTTTTCGCAGGTCCTGGCTCGCGGCAAATACGTCCATTCGATTGTCTTCCACGAGGTCAAGCCCGACAAGGTGGATGAATACGTCAAGCTCGTGGGCGAGTGGTACCCGAAGATGGCATCCTTGCCGGAGAACAAGGTGCACTTGGTCGGCAGCTGGAGGACTGAGGTCGGAGATTGCGACACTTTCGGTCAGTTTGAGACTCACTCACCTCTGCAGGCTGGACGAGGCTGACTTGCGGACTTCCAACAGTCCACATCTGGGAGTACCAGCGGTACCAGGGCTACCACGCCTCGCTGCACAACATCCAGTCGCACCCCGGATTCCCCGAGTTTGATTCCAAGCTGAAGAAGCTTATCCATTCGAAGCGCACGTCTCTGATGCAAGAGTTCTCGTTTTGGCCGACGACGCCGCCCCGCTCACTCGGCGGTGTGTTCGAACTTCGCTCATACACGCTGCACCCTGGCAACCTGTTGGAGTGGGAGACGCACTGGAGGCGCGGCCTCAAGGCGAGGCGCGAGGTCATGGAGGGCGTCGGTGCCTGGTTCGTCCAAATTGGAGACCTGAACACGGTGCACCACCTTTGGCAGTTTGCCAACCTGGAGGAGCGCAAGAGGCGCCGTGAAGAGAGCTGGAGCGTCGAGGGTTGGGGCGAGACGGTCCACAAGACGGTGCCGCTCATCCAAACGATGAAGAGCCGCATCCTGATTCCGATGAAGTGGAGCCCTGTCTCGTAAAATACATGGACAGCGGAGGAGCAATAGCTGCAGGTCTTTTCAGGCAAGGCGATACGAGTATGAAGAGCATTTGCTGCAAGGCTTTACAAGTTCTCATCGACGAACGATGTATGACAACAAGCATGCGAGGGTTCTGTTAGGCGGATAGCAAATATAAAGGTCGAACACCCAAATGACACAGAATCAATCGCCCTTAAACGTGGGCTGATGTCGCGACGCACGGATCAGCCGTTTGTAGATCAGACTGACGGCGGGGTGTTATGCTTTGGAAATGCAGAGCGACATCATAAGCTTGCTTTTTCCTGCTACGAAATCCCGACAGTGTGACAGCCTGTATTCCTTCCTCCGTGGCACATGACTGGTGCTCAGCAGCATGTGAAGCGCCAGTTCTTTACCGCTCAAGCGGAGGGGCACATGGCACACGGTCCAGCCCCAATTGGCGGGGCGCCGGTGACGCCAACGCGTCGGAAATGCCAGGAATCGCGATCCAAAACAACTTTTTCGTCCCACGCCCGTCGTTTGTAAATACTCTCCCTCCGCTACCACGACCGACACGACCGCAACGACTGCCACGATCACGACTTGCACGCCGACGATTTCACCGGTGCGACACTGCTCTAGACGACTTCCCCGCGCCAGGCCGCACGCGGTACGACGTAGTCCCGACGAGACAAGACAACAGCGATAAAGAGCTTGGACAAGGACACACACCCAGCGACACTCGCACATCCCACACGGCAAGATGGTGTACATACGGCAGGACAAGCTGCCGAAGCTCAACGAGTACAAGTACTCGGGAGTGGACCATTCGCTGGTCTCGCGGTACATCCTGAAGCCTTTCTACACCCACGTGGTCATCAAGTGTTTTCCCATGTGGATGGCGCCTAACCTGATCACTTTGACTGGCTTCGGGTTCGTGGTCATGAACTTCTTGACCATGCTGTGGTACTCTCCAACGCTGGACCAGGACTGCCCGCCATGGGTGTACTACAGCTGGGCCGTCGGTCTGTTCCTCTACCAGACCTTTGACGCCGTCGACGGTTCCCAGGCCCGCCGCACTCGCCAGAGCGGGCCGCTCGGTGAGCTCTTCGATCACGGCGTCGACGCTGTCAACACTTCTCTCGAGGTCCTGATTTTCTCCGCTGCCATGAACCTCGGCCAGGGCTGGAAGACGGTCATGACGCTCTTCGCCAGCCTGCTCACCTTCTACGTGCAGACATGGGAGGAGTACCACACGCACACCCTCACTCTCGGCCTCGTCTCCGGGCCCGTCGAGGGCATCCTCACCCTGTGCGTCATCTACACCCTGACCGGCTACCTTGGTGGCGGCAGCTTCTGGGGCCGCAGCCTGCTCGCATCCGTCGGCGTGGCCAAGCCCGCCTGGCTGCCGGAGATTCTCTACAACATGGCGTGGACGGAGTGGTACATGGTGTACGGCGGCATCATCCTCGTCTTCAACTTGGTCACGGCCTCGCAGAACGTCATCGCCGCCCGCCGCGCGCGCGGCCAGCGCTCGCGCATCGCCCTGCTGGGCCTGATCCCCTTCTTCACCGCCTGGGCTCTTATCCCCACGTACCTGTACCTGCAGCCCGTCATCCTGAACGCCCATCTCGTGCCCTTCATCTTCTACGTCGGCCTCATCAACGCCTTCTCCGTCGGCCGCATGATCACCGCCCACCTGTGCAAGTCGGCCTTCCCCCGCACCAACATCCTCACCCTGCCATTGGTCTTCGCCGTCATTGACAGCATCGGCCCGGTGCTTCGCGAGCGTCTGGCGCACGCGCACATCGATGGCATCGACCTCAGCGGCCTGCGCAACATCGGCTGGCCGAGCGCGCTGGGTGACGGCGTTTACCAGGTTGCGTTCGTGTTCCTGTGCTTGGGCTTGGCGGTGGGTGTGTACGGCAGCTTCGTCGTTGACGTCATTTGGACCATCTGCGATTACTTGGACATCTGGTGCTTGACGATCAAGCACCCGTACACGGAGGAGACGGAGGGTAAGAAGAAGAACTAGACGGACTTGCTTGGCTTGAGTTGTGTTCAGATGGTTCTCAAGAGGAAAGAAAGGAGAGAAGAAAGTAGTAGAGGGAGCAGTTGTGGCGGTTATGGAGAGAGACGACGAAAGGTGGTTCAAGTGCTGGGGAATATCAATGTGAGTTGGGCAAGAGCGAGAGAGCTTCAATTTATCAAACGGCATGGCGAGGAAAGGAAAGGTATCATTCTAGATGGGGGCATGTGGGTGGATAGAAAGGATGCGGGCGGCCATTTTCAACACTCGTTATTGCTCGGCGAACACGGTTGGGGCGCCGGTGTTCTTGGTGCGGTTGCTGGTTTCTCTCTTTGACCTTATGTCTCATGAATCGTGTACGATGAGTGAAGGGCAGCGAGGTAATGGCAGCGGTGGAACAAAATGTTCTGCCGAGGGAATGGCAATTTGGATGTTTTTATATATGTATGAGAAAAAAAAAATAAGGTATGATCTCAAATGGCTCGCTTGAGCAATAAGTATTGTGGTGTTGAAGTGGATGGCATCATAAGTATTCTGCTTTTCTGATTTGCCTTGCTAATTTGAAGCTTGCATGCATGTCTCAACGCAATAAGAGAGAACATGTACATTTCTCAGTAATCGTTAGCATCATCATGATTTCGAAATACTACTCTTCTGCATTGAAAGTACAAGAGGTATTCACAATATAAATCCCACGGACTCAAAAGACATAAATATCAACAGACCGCAAAGTAGTCCCATTTCGTAATTCCCATTTACTATTCAGTTGTAGTTGAAAACATTCAGTTTATTTTAACTAGTGATGGAGCGGGCAACTAGTAGCTATCCTATTTATAAAAGCATCAAGGGACTGAAGAAGACGCCGACCTAGATCACTTGATTATGTACTCTGCATTAGCCCATTATGGCTGGTCTCATCCGATCAAACTGCATGCCGCTTCTCGTCATACAGATGTCTTTGTAAAACCTCCACACGTGTCATTCGGAAAGCTGCTGCCTGATTGAAACAGACCCATGATTGGTCTCATCATGGTTTTCATTACGCAGGAATCGCGTGTCACTGGTCGATCTGAGGCTGGGTGAGCGGCGTGGCATTATAAAACTTCATTAACAAAGTGTACGGTGTGTCTAATGAAATTGAGCTGATATATGAAAGAACACTCTGAAATCTCTGAACTCGTGACTTCATTACGCCCGGATGTACATGTCTCCCTACTAGAAAGCGAGAGCAAATTGAACTGGCTCATTTTCCTTTCTTTCCCACCCTTGTTACTTGACAGTATGAATAACTGATTTCGATCCAAACCCCTATTTAATTAGAATCTCCATATCCGACGTAAAATGCCAACACTCACCACTAACTGAAAATGCTGCATGGCCGCTCTATAGAGGGGCTTAGATTTCCAGGTGAACCCTAAACTGACCAACACACAAGCAGAACCGCCACCAAGTATCATCATGGATATCTCCATCACTACCTATGCGGCTGATTTTACCCGCAATGTATCGTCGTGGGGGCGAATTTCATGAATATTATCGAGGTCGAAGATTTTATACATTGAAATCAACTTTGGGTTAGCATCGGCAGCTGACATCGTGAGATTCCAGCGTAGCATAGCTGGATGTAGATGCGAAGTCTGTCAGCTGCTCCAGTAAGGCGAGTCTCATCATCCGTGCAACAGTGACGAGCAGAGACTGGCCCAATTGTTAAGCTTTGGTACACAATGCAACGAGTGCAAGAGAACATCACTCGTGATAAATTTCAGACAAGATTTTCCCGGCGTACTTGACTTGCTCAGCAATTTTGACATGTTAACTTTTACTTTCCATTACTGCACATAAGTCCGAACATACAGCCAGCATCTGTACAAACCATAACCGTGTCGTCGTTACTGTTCCGCAAACGCCCAGATTCCAAAGACCGTAATTGACCCCCAATAGTTAGACAAATAGCGCTGAAAAAGAGCCAATCTCAACCCATGATAGTCTGCCACCCCTTTTCCCACATGACGTCCAACCAGAAGACGTCCTTGTCACCGGCGTCCAGCCTCCTCCAAACTTCCTCCACCAACAGCATCATCCGCATCAGCGGCTTACTCGGCAACCGCTTCGCGAACTCCCTCAACCTCTCCCTCACAAACTCCCTCGCATGCCTCACCTTCTCGTTGTTGGCGTGCAAATCGAAGTAGTCCAAGCTCGACACGAACCGCAGCTCGCCAGCAGCGGCGACGAGCAAGATGGGCTGAGTGCTGCAGGTGCCCGAGCTGTGGGGCAGCTCCTCGAGCAAATCCAGCACGTGCAGGGCGAGGCTGTTGAGCCAGATGCGCAGGTCCGTGTCCTCGCGCGCGGTGCCGGGCGTCGACGGCGTCAGGCTGCAGATGCCCGTCTTCTCCCAGCCGCCCGACGTCGAGTCGGCGCCCAGGCGGCGCTTGAGGATGCGCGGGTACACGCGGTAGATCTCCAGCAGCGCCGCGCACCGGTACGCCTCGCCCAGCTGCACGAAGTCGCGCCGCGCCGTCGCCGCGTCGCCCGGGTCGATCAGGTCCGCCGCCGCGGGCAGGTCCGACGACAGCAGCTGCTCCTCGAGCAGCGTCGCCCAGGCGTGCTTGTCGCGCTGGTCTTGCTGGGCTGAGGGCGTGGTTGGGGGCGGGCGGGTCGAGTAGCCCATGGGGTCGGAGAGACTGGCGTGGCAGGTCGACTGTTGGTGGGAAAGGCGCTCGTGGCGGACCAGCCGGCCAACTTCGGCGAAGAGCATTTGCACGTTGGGCGCGATGCCCGTCCAGGGATGCGGGAGAAGCTTGTTCCCGTTGACGAAGGCCTGGCTGCGGTTGCCGCTCATGAACGAAGAGGCGATGCCCAGGGGACCAAGTCCTCCACTACCGGACTGCCATGGCTTGCTGTGACGTCCTGCCGCGTCATTTATGGCCGATTCTTGCGAAACGAAGCCGATCAGCATCTCCCAGTAGATCAGAGCTTCTTCAAAGAACTGGTTCTGCCGTCGGATGACCTTGTTCTCGGGAGGAACGGGGGCGATCAGACGTGGATAAATCAGAGTTCGTGCAGCCGCCAGATGCGTCAAGCCAAGGTCGTTTTCATCGTGCCAGCATGCTGTAAGGCCGAGAAGTAAGATGGCGAGCAACGCGCGCTCACTGCTCTGGCAGCCGGCTGTCACCATAGCCATCTCGTCCTGCAAGTGCTGATATGCCTTACGTTGAAGCTCCAATCCCGTCACGACCATTTGCGGGTAGAAGTTGGCGAGCTGGGCGGCAGCCATGGACTGGATGGCATAATTTACGGAGGGACTGGAGTCCCAAATCCGACCTACGGCTGTGCGGAACGGGTTCAGTGCAGAGTCGAAGGAGGAATAGAGGGCACAAACACTCTTGAAGTAGTGTTCAACAAGAGCCATGCCGGGTTCGAAGAAAGCAGGACCGCGAGACGGGGCCGAGTTCATGCCATAGAAGTTGCGAAGCAGCTCGCGTGAGAGCCAGCTATAGTCCTGGGTATCATTTTGGGTGACCAAATCATGTGACTCTACGTTCTCTTCGGCTTCTTCCTCTTCCAGTAGATCAACAGGGACTTCGAAAGGAGGCACTTCCAAGTTAGAGAAATCCAGATCCGGGATCTCAAACTCGCCGAAGTCGGGGAATGAAGTGTTGTCCTCGGGTAAGATATCTAAAGCTGGTGTTTCCGGGACGGGTGGTGGTGCGGCGTCATCATCCACGCTTGGTTCTTCGGCTGTTTCGATGCTTTGTACCACATCCTCCTCGGGCTCGTCTTGAACCGGTTGCACACACTCTGCGACCCGTGCAATGTGCTCCTCGAGAGCTGCGACACGCCTCCGGGCGTCGGTCCCCTCTTCCGACGACAATCTTGCATCTTGCCCCGCATTTCGGGTTTGGCATCCGAGCGTCTGCCCAGCTCTCTCTGTCCTCCTAAGTCGTTTCCTTGGGCGCTCAGTCTCCTCTTCTGGGCTGGATGATTCGATAGAATTAGTGGTTCTGTTGGCGCTCCATAGTCGCTTATCTTCCTTCAGCTGGTTTGGTCCGAGTATAAGCGTGCGCGAAGCATCTGGCATGTATGCCTCATACTTGGTGCTCCACTTGATGAACTTCTTGTAGCCAGGGCAAACGATGCCGCGGTTGACGCAGTTGCGGCAGTCCGGCTTGGTCTCATCGCATTTGAGCTGCGTGATGTTAGTATGCGGCGGATGATAAAGATAGGAAGGAGCGAGAGGCACGGATTAAGCACTGTATTGGATGCTGGGCGTTGCGGGAAAACATCGACATGTTGGGCAAGGAGGGGAACAGTGGGCTAGGAGCTGGGATCTCATTACCCTCTTTACTTTGCAGCGCTGGCATCCGTCGCGCGACTTGGGCTTCTTTCGCGGCGGCAATGTCACCGTTGGGGCTTCCGTCTGCGTGGGCATGATTGTCGCACTGCGCTTTTGATTGAGCTGCTTGTGGCTTCGAGGAGAGGTTGAAGTGCTTGTTTTTTTTCTCGCGCCCGTGGCAATTCTCGTTCCAAATTGACAATAGAATATCTGGATGTAAACTGGTTATCGTGAGTTGCTCATAGATAAGCGTCGGACCGAATTGCGGCGTCCACTGGGCCTGTGATTGCAATCGTGAGAATCCGAGTGGCGGGGCTGGCGCTTGCGTCCGGGATTGCGGAAGGTTGTAGTCACCGCTTGGTATAATGCAATCGGCTCGCGACGTCAGCAGCCAGTCAACAAGGTGCTGATCGTAAGCCGGCTAAGCTTCCGATGTGCGATTTACGCGGGTCTCTGTTAAATCTGGGGGCTCTCCAACCCTGCATGAAGGACGACGCGCGGGTGGGTAACCGATAATCGCCCTGGCTCCCGACACCGGACGCGGGGTGAACCGGAATGCTTTCCGCCATAGGCCAATCAGGGCCTCCTCGTGATATCTCTGCCTCCACAACCATGACTGTTCAGCCGCAGCTTCCAGTCGTGGTAGTTTCACAGGCCGCGTCATATCACTTTCTCCTGCCGTCGCACCATTGGAGACCAGCATCGAACAGCAAATTCAATTTCCGTACAGCCGCCCATGGTATCATTGCCTTACCCTTCCGAAAACGCCAGGCATAACAGAACCGTCAAAATCCAGCTCAATGTTCCACCTCGAGCATGCCCTTTAATCCTTGCTCGACCGCAGTCAACCAGCGCCCACGCTCTTCCAAATCGTCTCCCATGCCTGCCTGGCCAGCCTCCCTCCTTCTCTGTGCTTCCCTCGCGGCCTGAACCGTGTTGCGCTTCTTTTCCTCCAACGGCTTCAGTTCTGCCTCCAGTCTCTCCAGTTCTCTGGTCTTGCGCGGTACGGTTGATTCAAGACTGGACAACTGCTTGTCAAGCGCTGCAAGCTCGGCCTCCTTGGCGGCTAGAACAGACATTGTCTCCGGGAGCGGTAGCGATAGCGATGGGTTTGTCGGATGCGGCGCCTGAGTCCCCTGCAGCTCTGCGATGGTAGACTCCAGATTGGCTATATCTGTGGGAAGCGCCTCGAGCTGGGCGGTGCGGAGCTGGATTGACTCGTAGCCTATGCTCCTTGGTCAGATCTTCGCCGGTCGTTGAGTGCAATTCGCATGCTAGGAACACCTACGCTTGCTTAAGTCGCGCCCCCGGCGCTCCAACTCGGCCAGTATCTCCGCTACCTCGACTTTTTGTGCCTTAAGAGATGCCTTGACTTCGACGAGTTCTCTCTCGAGCTCAACGTTTTCGCTCGGCTCGACGAATTGCGGCGGGTCTACAGTTATCGCTGTGAGGTATTTCTCCTTGGTGACTTGCTCGACGTAGCTAAAGCGCAATTTCGAAAACAGCTCCTACATGGGACGTCAGCTGCAGTTACGAGCGCATTCTTTGAGGAGATTGATTTATACCTTGTAGTGGACTAGATCAGCTTGCAGACTGGCTGGCGTCGCGTCGTCTGCGGACATCTCAGAGGCAGCGGAATTACGCTTGTCGCCATTTTTAGCTGGCTGTGGGCGGACATCGTTGCTGAGTTCGATAATTTTGATGTCCTGGGATTTCTGAAGCGACTTCAGGCGCTCAATGGCCTCGGCGTGGTCGGCGGACATGTTGCTCTGCGGCGCGGAAAGGTTTGTTGCATGTAAACAATGCAACAGCGACCGCGGGGAATCAATGGCGGCGGCATGCTCGGTTACTCTTCGGGGCTGATAAGATTATGGTCCGCCTCCTCACGTCACTGGCTCGACTCCCTGTGCGCTCGTTGGTACCTTTTCCCCACCCTGCGTGCTTTCAGGTGACGCGCCGCGATATCGTGAGAGTTTCTCCTAGCAATGCCTACGGACGAGCTCTCCGACAACTATGTGGCGGAGTTGTTGAAGAAAGATGCGAAGGCGAGCTCCGCACGCTACGCCTCCGTAGGGCTTCAGGCCTACCTGCCCAAGAGGTGAGCAACGCGAAACATTTTCCCTGCAAACAGCGAACTGACTCCCTTGCAGACCTACTGGCCAGGCACCGAAGCCAAATACGCGGTTCCTCCGAAACATTCTACGCGATACAGACAACCACAATGCAGCCCTCCTTGCAAAAGAGGCAGAAGAATCACGAGCAAGACTCAAGGCCCTTCGTGAAGGTGGCCAAGGGAGCAACGAGCGACCACACAAGTCGCGTGAGGTAGACCGAGGCAACGGCGATGTCATGTCCCGGTCTTCCAAGCGGAGGCGTACAGAAGATAGCGACGACGAGTCGGACAGAGGACACCGCCGACGAGACGAAGAGCGCAGCTCCCGCCGGCCACATCGCTCGAGGCGCGAACAATCAACAGATCGAGATGATGACAGGGATAAGAGGAAGCGCAGTCGTCGCTCATACGATAGTGAAGAAGATCGGGAATACCGCAGATCACGACATTCGCACAGGAGTCGTAGACATCGCGATCGGAGCGCGACGGATGACGACATTAAGGATGACCGCAGGTCTGAGCGGCGACATCGGCACAGGCGCAGGAGTCGATCAGGCAGTAGGGACAGACGGCACAGGTCTCGGCGGGAGACACGATCCGGGAGCGCATCCGAAGAGGAGGAACGCCGTCACAAGCACCGGAGGCGCGGATCGCCATCGAGATCGAAGGAGAGGTCGAGGGATAGCTCTACGGACAGGAAGCATCAGACAAGCAAACCCAAGCTCAAGGAAAGGCCGTCGCGCAGTGCAAAGTTAGCAGCTTCGGACTCCGATCCGCTGGAGGCGATTGTCGGCCCAATGCCTCCGCCTCCTGAACCAAAAGTTCGTGTGCGCGGTCGCGGAGCCATGAGAGCGTCTACTGCGATGGATGCCCATTTTGCGGCCGACTACGATCCCTCGCAGGACGTGCAGCCGGGTTCGGAGGAGGATGACTGGGACATGGCGCTTGAAGCTCTGCGTGATCGGCAGCGATGGAAACAGCAGGGCGCGGAAAGACTGAAGGCGGCTGGCTTCACGGATGAGGAAGTAAAGAAATGGGAGAAGGGAGGAGAGAAGACTGAGGAGGATGTTCGCTGGCGGAAGAAGGGCGAAGGCCGTGAGTGGGACAGAGGGAAAGTTGTCGACGATGATGGCCACATTGATATCCGCGCTGAGTGGGGACGATTGAAGGGCACGTAGCGCATGCCATGGGCCAGAGGATTACGACAGTAGTAACAAGGAAGTATTGGAATGTAAAAGCAGTTTCGGCTAAGTAAATATTAAAGGCAACGAGTGAGAAATCCAGTGGCGCAATAAGTCGTGTCTTGAGACGAGGGGATCAGAGAACGAGATTCATTTCCTTTCTTCTGCCGATGAACTTTTCTCAGACTGAGGCCACAATTGGAGGGGTTCCCTCGGTGCTTGTAAGCCGAGCGTGTTGGTGTGGTGCTGAGGAAGGAGCGTGGGCGCTAGCGATAAGATAGGGTCACGTGCAGCACACACTCGCTAAGCGGAAATTCGAACAACGGCCAAACCGCCTGCGCGACCCGACGGGACGACACCACCGACGACACCACCTCGAAGCTACGACAATCGACGCCAACGGTGAGCCCGACCTGCTCCGACCTGCTGCCAGTTTTTATCATACTGACATTGCTCTTCTGCAGTCCTTAATTCAAGATGAGTACGTTCCCGACAGCGACAGCGACCGCGCGACTTTCCCTCGACGACGACAGAGACTGACGACCACTACAGCGAAGGGTACCTCCAGCTTCGGCAAGCGCCACAACAAGACGCACACCCTCTGCAGGCGTTGCGGTCAGTACAACCACCCGGAAACGGCTCGGCGAAGGACGCAAGAGCGGGCGAGAGCCAAGGACGAAATACTAATGCGCCAGCCCTACAGGTCGCCGTTCCCTCCACGTTCAGAAGCACACCTGCGCCTCCTGCGGCTACCCCGCTGCTAAGACCCGCAGCTGTACGTTCACCCCGCGATGAAGATCCGAGATCCCTTGGACGACGTCCCCCGTTTTCCTTGATCGGGGTTACCCTAGCAAACGGACCACGGCTGACACAGGATTTACTGCAGACAACTGGGGCGAGAAGGCCAAGAGGAGGCACACCACCGGTTCTGGCCGCATGAGGTACCTGAAGACCGTCCCTCGCCGCGCCAGCAACAACTTCCAGCAGGGTGTCGCCAAGCGCAAGGAGAGGGCCTCGGCGTAAATGATGATCAAGTCGTAGACGGGACTATGCGGGGACGGTGGTGAAATTTCTTCCAAAAAGGCGTGGGACATGTGGGTATACCACTACACGAATCGGAGTCTTTTCCTTGCAGGGGCAAAAGAGGCAATCATGCATTCCTGGATTGAATGAAGGAAGGATTTCATGTCCATTTCCTTCCTCGTGTTCTTTGATGAGAGCAAAAAACATCGAGTACATTGCCCAATGGAACCGCTCACCCGCGCCTATACCTGGACTTCAAAAGTGTCTTTTTTTTACCCCAAGATATGTTACTTAAATCTAGGGGCCGTAGATCGACATCTGGGTCTCAATCCCAATGGATTTACCACTTCGCAAACCCTCGGTCCTCGAAACGAAGCCCAGCTACATTCAGACCACGATCTCAACCGCTAAAACCACCGGGTCGCGCCGATTACCGCCGGATTGTCTGCATTAAGCTCGTCGTCTACTTCCGACTATTTAAAGCACTTGATAACATCTGCAACTACAAAAACCGACATATGCGCAAAATATGCCTTCTAGCCTGACTTGCCCATCCTCAATGAATATTTCGCTCTTTCTTGTGATCACTTTGGGATATTCCTGTGAATGACTGGGTCGTCAAAGATTTGTTTTGTTACTGGATTCCCATACCCTGATATCGATTCCAGCAGGGGACGTTGATGGCATTTATCTGCTGCAAGCCAATGTATTCGTGTCATGCAAATGCGTCCATCCACTAAGGTCAATCAAGCAGTCAAGCAGCCGCGCTGCGGATCTGCAACGTTGAACAGAAAAAACTAAACATGTGCAGAGATGTCCGAGCATGCGGCAATAGCTGCTGCAAGCTGAATTTACCCTAGTAGGACATGCATCTGTCAGGTGCACACGCCTAGTAGTATCATTATTCACCTGCACCAACCTTAACTACCCTGCAGCCTGCTTCTGCAGCAACCAGCATCAGCAGCTGAATGCCGGGCCTATCAGGTTTGGAAGCGTTGACTTGACCTGTGATACCCATGCCGCTGCTTGCAATGTGGTATTTAATACCTCCGCCATGATTTCGGTTGGTGAGGCTGCGTCCACGCTTGTGGTATATCACATGCACCTCTTTAAATATACTACTAGCTGTGCTTGGAGAAGGGATAATTAAGAAGATTTGCGGGGCATCCAGAAACCAATTCGTGTGGGTTGCGAGAGTTCAACATCATTTTCTTTCCCGCTTGATGAGATGCTGTAACTGAAAACAATGCCAGTGATAATCCTCAGGGACTGGTATTGGGTTTTTCTCTTCTTTCTTTTCATTTTTTTTTATTTTCTCATCAAGCGGGTTTATGGAATGCATGTAAGTGGGTGACAAAAAACCCAGTTGATTATACGCATTCCGGCGAAGTGGGCGTTTAGTGGCTGCGCTTCGTCTAGATAGAGCTGGTCGGCTAATTTGAGTATATAAGAGGTAATGGATTGGGATCATGATTTGGTAGATGTGATCTTGAACAGCGGACGTAAAAATGGGCGCTGCCTATTGAAAGCACGCCTGCACGCTAAATCCATTCGTAGTGAGTGAAAATTTATGTTTGTAGCTGCTTGGAAGCTCGTGACGGCGGATCCCATTCGTATCCTGAGTACTCCCGCACTGAAGAGTTTCTACGAATCTCATGGTTCTCAAGCAATTTGCGTGTAACTATTGTGTGTTATTGTAGTGCCTAGTTGCATTAATAGTATTGTATTGTGTTAGAGCTGGGGTGAAACATGTTTTCTTGGACAATAGAATGTGAATAAGCATTGTCGTCACCTTAACTACTTGAGCATCTGTAGAGTCCACGGATTCCATTCCTCTTCCTAACACCGACAAACAAACTCTGACACACAAAAAACATAAAACTTTTCTTAGAGACCTTCAAACACTGAGTAAGTTGTTGAAACTTTTTATATTATATGGAGGGTAGTATAACCGCAGCACAGAACAACTTCAACACCGCCACAACCACCAACAACAACAGCAACCATGACGAAGGAAGCCGGCATCATCATCGGTATCTGCTTTGGCATCGTGGGCTTCGCGCTCTGTTTGTGCTGCTTTTTCGGCTGGCTCCGCCGCTCCCAGGAGACTGTTGCGGGAGAGGTGGTGCTGGCGCACCTCAACCACCTTGACCGAGAGGACCAGCAGCAGCAGCAGCGCTAGGAGAAGCAGGGCGAAGGTGGCTTACCGGCCGAACGGGGGCTTTTTTACAAGCACGATTATCTGGAAATTGAGGACGACTCTCGACCTGTCCGCCTGCTTCTGGGCCGTCCGAAATGAGAAATGCATGATGGAGGAAATCCGGGCTTGAAAGGCATACCGGCGGCAAAAATTCAAACTACTTGACCGTGCTGTTCAATATCATCTTCCACTTGTTGCAATTATTTTCGCCCATGACATGCTTCTCTGACAATGCATGCTACGCAAGGCATAGTGTCGATATAGTAAGGCCGCGTCGACCGCGGTCTTGTTGAATATTGACGTCCACATCGACGCTTCAGCTGCCCGTGAATGTGCCTATCTGTGATACCAGACACACCATTCTCTCAGTCGAAATTTCGAGGCTATCCGGTTGTGAGCTTACGTACTGAACTTACAGTCAATTTGTGTTACTCCTGCGTATATTAATACAATACCATCTTCTGAGATATTAGCTCCAAAGAACTCCATTGCTACCTGCCGATCTAAAATTCTATCATACCCTACCACACCCTACAATTTGCCTTATTCAATCCGAATTGACGGAGGTGAGAGATGATGCGCATCGTATCAAGGAAGATACCTACTCCTCAACGCCTGGCTAATCGTACTCATCTTGCTAAGCCCACCCTGATGCTGCATGTGGCTGAGCAACTGCTCCTCCAGAGCACTCTGCGTAACGCTCGCATCTGTAAATGCCCCAAGTTAGCAATCATCTACCAAGAATGTCTTTCACAAATGTGCACTTGCCGTCTAGATCGCTGAAGCTGCTTCCCATGCTAGGTGTCCCTTCACTCCCCTCCCTCTTCATGCCCGGACTCAGCCGCGCCAATTCCGCCCTATGCCGTGGGCTCAACGCGCCGGTGGCCGGCCCGCCAGAAGGCGAGTACGGGGCGGTGACGGTGCCGGCGCGGCGTTTCTGCCTGCGGCCTGCGAAGGCGCCTTGGATGGCTGGAGAACCGCTTCCGGCTCGCTGCCTGTTTCCGCCAGTGCCATCGTCGCCGTCTGTACTGCGCGCGTCGCTGGCGGAGGTAAAGGACGAGTCCATGGTCGCCGCACGGACGGGCTGTTTGCCTGCAGCTACGGCGGACATAGGCGGGCGGGAGGCGCGGGGAGAGTCCGCGGTGGCGTGACGGTTAGACACATGTTCTACGGGCCGCTGTTGGTGATGGTGCGTGTGGGAACGTCGCGGGCCGGCATGAGCACCTTGATGCTGGGGCTGTCTGGTGTTGGGAGCGGTGCGGCGGCGAGTAGGTACCGCGAAGGGAAGGAATTCGTCGTCGTCATCATCGTCATCATCACCTTCAGAGCGCTCATCGCCGGCACGGTTACCATAGTCTATGGTATCGTCATACTCGATATCCACGTCGTCTAGACGGGGAAGACCAGGCTTGGATGGGCGGGACATGAAGCGTGGCGGACGCTTGAACAATTGGCTGCGGCGAATCGGGTTGTCCTTGTCATCATCACTAGATGAAGATTCGGACTCGGACTGGGACATCTGCATGGAAGTCGGGCTCACGGTCCTGCTTTGGTTACGGCTTGCTTCAGCCGTCGGCTCAAGCGTCGGAGAAGCCCTACGTGGCGCAGGCGGAAAAGACGAGCGGAACGAGCTGCGTAGCGGCTGCCGAGGGCTCTGAGGCTGTAGCTGAAGACGACTCTGAGTGATAGTCGTAGTCGAAGGTGTACGCGAGAGTTGACCTGCACGCCAGCCGTCAGCCTTCCTCCGTGAACTGAGAAAAGAAACATAAGCTGCCTACCTCCCACTACTGGTGACCCAACCGCCGGCCTTCCCGGCACCGGACTGTCCCTCGACCTGATCGACAACGCGCTCACGGTTCTCTGCGCCGCAGAGGCGCCACCAGCGCCACCATTACTTCCCCCTCTCTTCATCGGCACGCCCCCCACATTCCCGCTCCCGCTGCCTGCAGTCCCCGCACCGGCGGCAGCAGCAGCTCCACCACCAACCTTCCTCATCTGCGCCCTCACATGCTGCAGGTGCCGTTCGTACAGCCAGGCCGCCTGCTGCAGAATGAACCCCTGCCCGACCTCGAACCGCGTCGCCAGCTCCTGCCAGTTGATCTCGCGCCGCTCGCTCCCCGGGCCACCACCGCCGCTCATCGGCCGGCTGATGATCTTCCACAGCGCCTGGTCCTTCATCGCGTCCCACTCGACCTGCGCCGGGTCCACAAAGTCGCCCCGCGCGAACGGCAGCCGCACCAGCACCGTGTAGTGCACCTTTGGCGTCGACAGTTGCGGTGTAGCACCGCCGCCGCCACCGGTGGTGCTGGTGCGTTTGGTACTGGGCGTCATGGTGGCGTTGGACAGCGTGCGGGTGCGGGCGCGTTGAGTGGTGGTGGAAGGGGGAGGAGACGAGGCTGTTGTGCTTTGAGGCGGTGGAGCTCCCGCCGCGGCAGCGGAAGAGGGCGTAGGAGGAGGTGGTGCCATGGCGAGATGGCGTGGGTATGGAGATGTCAGTGGTGCTTCGTGACTTTGTGCATGGATGGCGTCGTTAGAAGGCGAGAGTAACTGCAGGCCCGTTGCTGGTGCACAAGCAGCTAACAGGTGATGTGCAGTCAGTCCGCAGCTCCCCCGACGCGATAAGGAGCCGATAAGCTCTTCCCCGGACTTGAGACGGCTGCCTTACCGCTTTCGGCCTGAGAGCCGCCGCCGATCCCGGAGGCCACTACGGCAGCAGCTCATTAGGTAGGTTTGGATGTCATGTGTCTGTACAATGAAAGTTGAATTGATGCTTATGTCTGTGCGTCCAGTCGTCGCAGTCATGTTGAATCTTTTTAGCCACCCATATTCGCCGTACTATGCGTTTTCCTTGCATTAAATTGCCCCAGACCAGGAATCCCCCAATTACGCCATCGATGCAGAGTATTGCGTTTCGCTTTCCAAAAGAATTGCTCTCAAGCAACCACAGCTTCAGCTTCCTTCAGCATCTCCAAGTCGCCTTCCACGCTCAACTCCTCGAACCCCTTAAAGCCATCCTCGACAACCCACTTCTGGCCTCCCTTCCACAGAACTTCGCATGCCGGACCCACGACCAGCAGACCCGGCGGCCTGCTACCCTCTTCCTCGACCGCAGTGCACACGTACTCCAATGTCGTCCTGATAACACGCTGATCGGGACAACTCGCACGCTCGAGTACCGCACAAGGCGTCTCCTTCGGCCACTTCTTCGCGTCGTCCAGCACCAAGCTGTCAATAAGCGCGGACAACCTGTGCAATGCCATCAAAAATACAACGGTCCTGGTCGGCACGTACGCGGGCGGGTCAGGCGCCGCTCCCTTCCTGCCAGTGCCGGTGCAGATGAGGACTTGGTCGGCAACGCTGCGGTGGGTGGGAGGGATGGCTGCGAAGAGAGGGGCGCTGAGGGCGGAGGTGATACCGGGCAGTACAATCGGAATGTGGCCATGAGCGCGGAAGAAGTCGTACTCCTCAGCACCGCGGCCGTAGATGTAAGGATCGCCCTGCTTGAGACGCACGACAGTCTTGCCCGCCTGCAGACCCTCAAGACCCATCTGGAGCAGCTCTTCTTGTGCCTTGTCGGCGTTTCCGGGGAACTTGCGGGCGATGAAGACGGTTGTGCGGCGCGGGACGAGGGCAAGGACGGGCTCAGGAACGAGCTTGTCGGCTAGAATGAGGTCGGCGGAGAGAATTGCTTTGTGGGTTGCGCGCGTGAGGAGGTCCGGGTTTCCGGGCCCAGAGCCGGCGAGGATAATACGTCCTCTCCTACGACGCCGGTCCACCGCTCTCGGGCTGAGACCAGAGCTCTCAGAGTTTGAGTAGCTGCGCAATACTCCTTCCACATCCTCGTCTGTGATTCCTGCTAACCGGCGAAGGGGCCAGTACTCGCAGATCTGCGCCAGCCAGCGCATTCGCCGACCGCGCGCGGCCTCCGCATCCTCCGGTGTCACTAGTTTGTTGAAGTTTGCGCTCTGGCCTGCATCGTCATCTTCAGCCTCAAGATCCATGGACAGCTCTGCGGCGTGATCCTCCTCCCAAATCCTCCTCCGCATGACACCAAGCCTCTCAACTGCCTGGCCGAGATCCAAAGGCAGAGAAGCCGCGATTTCTCGACGGATCCGAGCCGACAGTTTGCAGCCCTTGCCGGACGTTGTCACACCGATTTGTAGCGGGCCATCCGTATGCGTGGAGAGGAGCGTGAAGGTACAAAGATTCGGCGCATCGGCAACGTTGATGGGGATTCTCAAGCGTCGGCACAGTGTGGAGATATGTGTACCTGTCGAGTAGCAGTCAGCATCTGGCCCATGAGACTCCAACCGTTTGCACAAGACGTACTCAGAGCGGTTTTGCCACCCAGCGTCACGAAGACAGCATCCACGACGCGATCAACCTCTTCTCTGCCCAATGTTGTCAAGTCATTGTCCTCAAAGTCGCGCTTCACCCATGCGACTTCGCCGTCATCGATGCGCTTCATGAGACCATAGTGTATGCTTGCATCTGCAGGTGCAATGAGGACTGGTTTGGCGCCGACCTCGAGAGCGCGCGTGCAGCGGGCACCCGCGAGTGGGTTGGATCCGACAATAAGGTGGACGTGATCCGTCGAGTCGACAGCCGTGAGTAATGCGGGAGCCATGAGGGGCGGCGGGGCGGCGGGAGCGCTTCAATTCAGGATGCACAATGCCACGGCTCAGGAAGAGACAACAATCCCCGAATCCAACGAAGAGCGAGTCCAAGCAATTAAAGCAGCTGGCAGACACGGAGAGTAATCGGAGGCGCAGTCATTTAACTATGGGTCACCAGGCGCGCAGCGGCCTTTGAAGAAATTCCAGCGAATGGCCGATGGCGCAATCGCAAAAAGTTCTTATCGATACGCCGGCCTTCCCGTTTTCGGCATAGCTCAGAGAAGCTGCCCGCGGAAAAGTCGAGGGCCAAGCTGCTCGAAACCAGCGTCTCCGGTGACAGCGGGGAGATAACGCGTTCTGATGCTCTACTGGAAGATAAGACGACGCGAAGCAGCATCGTCTGCGCGGTTGTTGAAGCCGCGGAGACTCTGAACGATGGGATCTCCCGACGTCTCGTGAACGGCGGCAACGTTGGCAATCCAGGACCGTTTATTGGGTGCCGATGTTGCCGATGTAGGAGCTGCTTCGGCATCCAAAATTCTGGCCGTGTTGCAATCGTCGGTGCACGCAGGGAGGTATTGATCACTGAGATTGGTTACTAATAAACTTCGAAGCATCTCGACTGCGATCGCAATCCCACTAAAGTATGTTGAAAGCCTCAAAGCTACCCAATGATGCTTTGAGGCTTTCATTGGCTTGCAATGCAGGGATCCAGCACTTATGCATGAGCATGGTATAAAACGAAGACTTCATCCTTTGTAAAATTCTATTAAAGATACATAACGAGCGTGTTCATATTGGTATCCAACGCAGCTGTACGAATATCATTAAATCTCAAAGCATGCTAATGAACGATCAACGCTCATTATCGCTAAATCATCACCCCCACATGTCTGTACATCATCACAGTCTGGGTCGACTCCGGCCTCAAAGCATTGTAGTCGTGGTATCATTCATCTTCCGTCCCTCGCCGTTATCGCAGAAAGTCGACTCAATGATCGTCGGGTATTTAGGTGTTTGAGGGCTGGTTTAAGAGTATTCGTCCTTAACGCGGCGCTGGCTTTCGGCATCAATGAAGCTACCACGTGAGCGCGTGCTACTCTTGCGGCCGAAGAAGCTGCGCTTGGTGTAGACGCTATCCTTGCGGTGAGCGCCGCTCATGCAGAATAGGACGGTTGAGATTAGGAAGCAAGCCATGGCACACCACGTGAACGCATAGGCCTTGACGCCCAGGTGGGCGGATTGGTTGTTACTCTTGAAGGCATCGCGGCCCTGCACAGTCCAAGCGCTAGTAGATCAATGGTAGGTTAGCCGAGGTAAAGGGAAAAATATTGGCATGTCGGGTGACAGGACTTACGTCATCAAAGCTGCGGTGATGGTCTGGAAGAACAGCGCGATGAAGGTGTTGAAACCAGACAGATAGCCGCCGAGTCTGCTGCAAAGTGCAAGCAGGCCGGTGAAGAGAGCAATGGCAGCGAAGAAGACGGCGATCAGGTAGAAGGCAAACATGAAGCGCGAGAGATAGTAGTAGTGGTGGGTCCTTCGGGGAAGTGTTAGCAGCTATTTGCTCTGGGTTGAACGGCGATTCCACACGTACCCGATGAATTGGTCGGGAACACCAGTCTCGGTGCCAAAGTTGCGAGGCGGATCAAAGGGCAGGGCAGGGACAACAGCGCCGCAGTTGGCGTTGTGGCCGTTGCTGTCCTTGCCGCATATGGACCAAAACGTCCATCTTGACGGGTTCCTGGTACCCGGAGACACTCCGTCCGTTGAAGCTTCCAGGAAATAAACTTGGTTCTCCGGGGTGCCGCTAACGCCTCCAGATAGGATAACTAGAAATTGGAAAACGATGCCACCAGCCAGAAGAATCAAGGCGGAGAGGCTGAGGAGCGGGCCTTTGGAGGAGAGTCAGGATCTGCCTGACAGCTGTTCACGGGCGGCAAACTTACGGGCTGCCATCTTGGCGGTGGGTGCGGGGAGGCTGGCGGGCGAGTGTGGGGCGCAAGGGTCCGCGCGTGGAGGATGCTCACTGCTGGAATGCAGGGTTAGCAACGTGCGTTGGGCGAATTGCAGAGCTGCGCATACCAGGAGCTGCAAGATGAAACAGATTGTGTTTAAACTGCCGGGCAGGTGTGGAGTACGTAGGTTTTTGAGCAGGCCGGAAGTTCGGCGTGAGGTCATGCTCTACGTCACCGCCACGCCGCTTCCGAGCGAACTCGCGCCGGCCAAGCGCAGCCCAGCGCCTCGCGCAGGTGCGCTCTCCTGAGCCCTGAACGCGCAAATGGTGGACCGTCTCCGCTGCGATCGGCCGTGGCGGTCAGCTGCGCGACTATTGATTCTCTGTCTCGCCTCGTCTTCTCGCAACCGGCTGCAGGTCTCATTCTTCGATGCGCAGCGAAAAGCACGCAGCAGCGGGCAGCAGGGCTGGTTGCAGGACAAAAGCCGGGCGCCGCGTGCCTGAACCCTGCGCTGCTGTCACGGCGATGCACATGCCTGCCGCAGATCAGTCGGTGCGATCCGACCAGCACGCGCCGATCGCACCCTAGCCAACAAGCCACATCACCTGCGTCGAGCTACACCGACCTCTCAACCACGGCTTCCCGAATCTTCCCCACGTCCTTTGAAGCTCTTTGACCCTGCGTCTGCCACTCGCTGCACCGTCCGTGCCCCCCATGGCTACCACGGTCTGGCCGCCGATCCCCACGGATGAGCTCGCCCGTGAAGAGGACGCCGCTCTGGTACTGCTGCTCCCCCGCTTTGGCGCACAGTCTCCCGTGATCTTGCTAATCGCCTGCTGCCTTAGGCTCGCGAGCTAGAGTGGCTGCTGTCGTCGCTGCGCACCACCCTCAAATCCCTCAAAGCCGGCCTCGAGGAGTGCGCCGCCTTGCTAGCTCCGACCGAGCATGGATCCACCTTGGTCGTGTCTACCGTGAGGTCTGAAAGCCTGAAGGGCTTCGTGACGCGTGTGGGTACGCGTATAGTGAAGGGCGTACGTGTTTTCCCCGCCTTGCCGCTGGCTTGCGCAAACTTCGACGGCTGAGCCCTGCAGGACATCAAGCTGCGCCTCCCTAGTCTGCCTCCTCCGCGCGGTGCGACCAGCTACCCGCTGACCATTTCGCAACAACCACAAGCATCCACCCTGGTCATTGAACAGCTGACTGCCGCGCGGACTCACATAAATTCTTGTCTCGATGTCGTCGACGTGACTACGTGGGCCGGCGACGCGAAAAACGCAAACTACATCTCGGGCCAGCTCCAGTTGCTGTATGACAATATTGAGGACGCTCGCCAGGCCTTGAAAGGGAGCTCAGAGGTGCGACCTCAATGGTGGGATCATCCAGCGGATGAGAAGGTCAGTCCACGGGAGCACACAGCCTCTCCTCTTACGCGGCTCGTGCATTTGACTGATCCTTATTGTACAGATATTTGACCCTCCGCTGCCGCCCGAAGTCTCTGTCCATTTGTACCTCCAAGATGCTGCTATAATTCTTGAGATCCGCACATTAGAGCCATGGACTGGTGACGATGGAAGCATTTTCGGCATTCGCAAAGCTATCGCAGGTGCTCTCGGCGTCTCTCATGCGCCAGCACATGATGAAGCGGAGAAAGTATTCACATACCGCAAGCAAGAGGTGAAGGTGAAGGAAAAGATTCGGGTTGAAACCCAAGACCCGAATCTGATCTCGGCAATGGCTAAGTTGAATGCTCTGGAGCACAATGTGGCACTGAGCAGGAAAGCTCTCGACATTGTCATGGGAAAAAGTGATGATGATGGGAGGTAGGTGCAACCAGAGATCGGGCTTGATGCTAAGATTTTGCTGGGCTTGGTATAGTCTCGATGCCTAATAAAAACTTTAATGCTTCACAAGGTGCTTACAGCATTCTACGCTCATGCTTGATTATCGTCCTAGTATCCTTTTTGTTACTGGCAGGCTCTCATTGAATGAGGCAAGCGTTAGTCAACTAATAATAGGTGCTGTTCGCGATCCGGTGGAGGGGCTCTGATGTCGCCATCGAGTTATGTCAAAGTTTGTGGTTCCCGCGGAAACGTACATATGGGAGTGAGACGCCAAACACAAGCCTCGAATTCTCCTTTCTTCATCTCCGCTGCAATGTTCGATTCCTACATTCTGGAACTCTTCTCAAGATGGACGTGATATCTAAGACTACGGCAGGTAGTCGGCCTCATCACTTCAGCACTTGTCAGTGTTGGCGCAGTATGGTGAAGAGCGTGGAGGCACGGCTCGTGCAACACTCATTTGTTTGTAGAGTACACCGATCGATCGTGTGTGACACAAACAGTGTGCTCAAAGTCATGGGTCGAGGTATGGCGAGTCCGTCTCCGCTCTCATGACTGACTCAACTCCATGATTGCCCCGACGTTAGATTCTTCAACATGCCACCGACTTCAACTCTACCGCATATGACGAGTTCCTTGACAATAACAACGTTGGTGCCCTTGACAACTGTCTTCAGGGCGCCGCATAGCTGCAAAAGCAAATTTCGACTCGGATATGGGATGGTATGCGCATTCGCATGTATAGACCCTTATGACGATACTACTCCTGAACCGAGTGAGAAATGCCTTCCATCAGTCGTCAATCATTCTCTTGGCCAATACAGACTTACGTCTGAGGATCTATTGGCCGTCACCACCGCTACAGAGATTTCGCCGTTAATATGTCCAGAAGATTGGTCAACGGTGGTGAGTAGTGGAAAACCCGGTGGGCTCAGCGCTCATGCTCTCTGCTGTCCTTCGTAAGCATTAGCTATCGAGTGAATGCATATCCTTACTTACGCATACAATCAGTGGTTACTATTACGTCACTGGGTATACCCCTTATGGCTGTGTTTCCGACATGCCACAGGGCATGATCCTCACATATCCCAACGGCTCTGGCACCCCCACCTCTATGAAGACGACAACGCTAGATAGACCAATGCAAGTCAGTGCAATAGCTATCGAGGGCTGGAACGCGGTTTCCACCGCTTCGCCCTCAAATTCTTCAGCCGCTAGGACCCAAAAGACATCTGAGCGTACAAATTCTCCAGAAATGAGTGTTGGAATCATCATCGGAGTTCCTATAGGGACGTTATTCGTTGCCATCATCATGGTCCTGTTGATACTACGGCAACGGAAAAAAGCCTCGGCCACAGTCGAAACGGACTGTTCAGACGAATCTCAGCCAAGGGAGCTTGCAGCGGACGAGTGCTCTCAGGAGAGGGCTACTGCATCATCAGAGCTCCAAGCAGATGCGCAAGTCATGGAGCTCCCAGGAGACACGGGCGCTCAAGAGGTCGAAGCAAGTACTTGTGTGGAGCTGGAGGGAGATTTCCCCAAGAAGTCTGCATGATCAGGTATTGCAAAGAGAATTAAACTCTATCGGGGAGAAGATTTCATTGACTGTTGCGCATGCTTTTTTTTTTTCAGATGGTCTGCTTTGTTTCTTTCCTTATTTTCTAACGCGATTTTGCTTAGTGCCTTCTTGTCGCATCCACGATATGCTGCTGTCCGTCTTTTCCTTTTCCTTTTCACAAGCAAATCACGTATTCGATCAGAACTATGAGCTTTGTGCTAATAACACGTGCCTACTTGTGGCTTCACATTTCGCGAGACTCCGGATGATGCCGGGCTGAGAGCGATATGTTGTTCAGATATTGAGGCCGCCTAATGAGGTAAGATGGCTGCCTGCTAGGCGAAGGCTGAGCTGCACACTGCCTCGCTGCACGCTGCTGACATGCTTCACTTTCGCCGTTCCCTAACTTGTCGCAGGTTCAAAATGTGCGTGACTGCAATGCGGTATCGACGTGGACTGGTTTTTGTCGCCCTCTCAACCCAACGGCAATCACGCGGCCACATGTCGACTTTAGCGCCATCTGTTGGCCCCCAAGGCTAGGCTGAAGGCTGCCTTCAGCTCGTTGATGGAAATGGTAGCCCATGGTCGCACATTCGGAACAAAGACTGCCTCGGGGTAGCCGATGCACGCGCGTACTTTCTGGCTGTCTATTTTGATTTTGTGCTATTGGGGCGGTCAGCATATTCCGGTGCTTGATGAGCGCAGAGCCTCCAACATGGCCCCCACGGGTGGTGGCTCGGTCATCCAACTGTTCCTGGATCCCTGCTCCGGCCAGCCTCCCGCCCGCATGCAAGTCATGCATTCCTCAGGCGTTGGCGCATAAAAGCAGCCTCGCCGCCGCAGAGGACTGTGCCGCTCACCTTCATCTTGTAAGGAAATACTTTGTTAGGAAATATGCCGGACCGCTCCATCAGTCCCGGTGTGCGCAGCAATGCCTCCAGCCAAAGCTCGCGTAGTATGCTTCCTTATACAAATTTGCCTCTCTTCCCAGTACTAATGGATCAAAGATTACCAATCACTCGAGCCAGGTTACTGGAAAGGCTTCTTCATCCCGGGAAGAGTCAGTCTCCACAGTAATGCCCTTCCATAGCACGCATACTGATACGTCGTGCAGATATTCATGTACCAACTTCACGAGGAAGAGCTCGATGATTATGGAAAGAAGCAGAGGCTTTTGGTCCCAAAAGCATCATCCAAGGCTGTCTATCGGAGATGTGTTGTAGTGAGGGCTGGAAGAGACAGCTCGCAGTGCTTGTATGCAACTCTCTTCCGTGCTTATCCTCACAGAACTGATTAGTCTTTCAGATACATCAAGACCTACGAAGGCGAGGGCTGCACCAGAAAAGACGTGCGCTCAAAGCAAAACCGCCACGCCGTCGTCTACACCAGCGACGAACCGTCCCGTCTGCGCGATGAGACAAACCTCCGCACCCCCATTCAAGCAGACCCCATCAGTCACGACACCGCCCTTCCGCGCCTGGCCCGCCTCAACTACGACTCCCTCTTCGAGATCTCGCACTCACGCCCTATCTACCCGCTCGCCCAAGTGACGTCCCGCAGCCTGGATGTCATGCTCCGCGACTTCGAAGAACTCAACCCGCCCATCCCCCGACCCTTCACCAGGAAGCGCACATGGGACCGCATGGTCGAAGCCCTGGATGCCACGCACATCAACTCTACCACCAATAACAACACCCTGGCAACCACGATCCCTGCCCACCAACGCGCCCCCGCCGTCCGCTCTATCCGTCCCACCCGCCGCACCTCGACCTTCCCGCCCCCAATCCCCGAAGCGCCACCAACCGCCGTCTCACACCACGTCCAAATCGTCGCCCCGCGCACCGCCGAGCCCGCCAGCATCACGCCCGAGCCAACGGCAGCAAGAAACGACAACAAGCAGCAGCAGAAGCAGCAAGCCGTAACGCCCTTCCCGCAGCGCCACAGCACGCGCGCCGTCCACATCCCGCTGCAGCTCTCGTCAGCGCGCGACGCGCGCGCCACCGCCCCCGTCCGCGCCCTCTTCGACACGGCGTGCGAGCTCAACTTCATCGACCCGGAGCTGGCCCTGCAGCGGCTGGGCGCCACGGCGCTGCGCTACAATGCCAGCAACAGCAACGAACAGCAACCTCAAGTCGTCATGCCCGGCAACGGCGTCGTCGTGCCCGCCGCCGACGGCATGGTAAAGGTGCGGTGGCGCTTCGAGGGCGCCGAGAGGAGCGATGTGGATACGTTCGTCGTCTTCAGGGGCTTGCCGTGCGAGGTCGTCATCGGGAGCAGGACGGCGGTCGAGAGGAGGTGGGGTGTGGGGGGCAGGGAGGCGGGCGTTTTGGGACTGCCGTTGATGGGGTTGGGTGAGTCTTCTTCTTCGCGTTGATTCTTGTTTTTATTTTGTGCGAATTGGGGCTTGTTGCTAACTTTTCTTGCGGCAGATGAGAGGCGAAGACTGCAGGATGATAGCAGGCATAAGTCAGAGCATCGGAAGAAGAAGGAGACGCGGGAGAATGAGGAGATTGAGCGGAAGTTTGCGAGGGAGAGGGCTGCGTTGTTGGGGAGGTGAGATGTTCGAGGGTGTTGTCCTTTTACTTATTCTTTTCCTTGTCTTCTTCTCTATGTTTCAGAAGGGGTCCCTTCTACCGTTGCACAATTTTTGATACCTATGCGTTTGGTCATGAGACATGCAGTTCACAGATTCCCCTCAATAAGTACTTTTCTTTTCGGTCTACAAATCAAGCATCTTTATTTCGACTCACTTGAGTAACCCACATGTGGTTTTCCGCAGCGACCTATTCACATCCTTCCTCCTGCTAATAAGCTTCTACAGTGTACATGTGAAGGAGTGTTCGCTGACCCATTCCTACACCCTCAGTTTCTACCAAGGATTATGCTGCATGTTGTACTTGACAATCTGGACCGCAATACCTAAAGCTCAATAAAAAGAGATTTCGCTATACTTTAGATTATGACGGCATTTATTAAGCCGAAGTGGTGAAAAGCATGTAATGAATCAGATACATGATGGAGTGCATCAAGTTTGTAGGATGGTGGTGTATCTAAAAATAAAGAAGCTGACTTAGTGCTCTGCACTATGAGTTGTTGCTCGTTGCGAAGAAAGTGAGTATAAGCTGACTGGAAATCAGGAATAGGTTTCCGAGTGGCTCACCGCATCACGCCGGCAAAAACGGTGTCTCGTTCTCCCAAGCGTTACGATCTGTTGATCGGTAACATTGGGAAGCTTCTTGTGCAGCATTATTCAATAACTTATGCAATTGGAATTAAAAGGTGGATGAGCAAGCTACCATATGTATCATTTGCAAATTTGAAACCCGTGATCCGGCCAGCTCTCACACCCATGTTCTTGTAATTTGTGCATCCCGTGACTTGGATGTCTACTCACTGGCCACAATTGCGAAGGATTTAAACAGATGCTTTTTAACCACGTCTTCGAAGCAATTCACTACCTCTGCACACCTAGCTAAGCCTGCACTCAGAACCAGCACCAGGCTACCAGTGGCATCAGGCACACTCTTCTTTTTTTTTTTTTTTTTCGCGATAAGACCAACAGCGAACACCTCCTGATCAGTATTAAGTGTGGATGCTGGACCTCCTGTCAATCCTGTGCAAATGATGTCATGTACGACATGTTGGACCGCATTTAATTTCCCTGAAGCACCAAGGTAATGATACATGGAACGCACGTGCATGCAGAGACAAAGGTTTCATTGTTATTGGCACAACTGACACGCCTTGCGTAACCTAATTGCGAAGAATCGGCACCAAAATCAAGGTACCAAGCCGCCCATCAGCCCTCGAAAACAGACCACAAAGCCACCAACCTCATGTGAAGCCTTAGCTACATATATCCTATGACTGAAACAATCCCACACAAACCTTTCGATATCGAAAAGAGGAAAGGACCTCTCAGACGAGAGGTCACCTTAATTCTGTCAGAAAAACAACTAGCCTCGCGAACGGCATACAAACAACTAAAGCACTTTCCCATTCTTTCTCATCTGTTTGATCCCCTTTTCATAAAAAAAAAAAACCGAATAAACCCCAGAAGAGAACCAGAATCATTCAAGAGAGCTCGGAAAAAGTAGCGCTCTCCCTTTCAGCTCCCCTTGATGGCGCCCAGCTATTTATAACAAGGAGAAAACCGACATGTCTATGCTTTGATGCAGATTGCAAATACAAGAAAAGGAAAACAAAAAGCAAGCGATGGATGCCGTTGAGAGCACACGCTCTTTTTCCGTGTGGCTCCTTGACCGTGACCTGGTGCCCGCGGACGGTGGTGTGAGAGAAAGAAAAGAGATGCAACCAGGCCTCACAAAAGGGTTAACAGAAGACGCAAGCGTCAATAAAAGCTGTGTACGCAATAGGATGCAAGGAATGTGCAGAAGAGAAACATGGTATAGGAGTGGGGGAATAATGCGGTCTTGTGCACACTGACGAGCCACCTCAACAAAATTCCATTCAAAAGCCCAGAAAAAGAGAACGATGTGGTATATGAGGTCGTGAAGCCGTCGCCCAGTGTGATGTCAACCGAGAAAGAGAGGAAGGTATAGAAAATCAAGTCCAGTCCAGCCCATTATTGAGGGGATTACTCGCTGGAACGAACGGTGTGAAAGAGCTGGTCGACGAATGATCATGGCACCAAATAGCCAGCGGCAATGGATTGAGCCATTTATAATCCGGGTGCTCCGGGATATCTGCCTCCGGCCGCACTTCCCATTCCCACAGGTGTTGCTGCGGGAGGACCTCTGCCCGGACCACCAAAGCCACCTCGGCCTCTAGGGCCAATATTCCTGCCTCGACCAGGCGCGGCAACGCCGGGTATGCTGAAATCAGGGTTGGCCTCTAGAACAACGTCCTCCTGACGTGGGCGTGGCGGTCCACGCTGGGGCTGGTAGCCATATGAAGGACCACGACCCATGGGCATTTCACCTGGACCAGGGCGCCACATCGGGTTGATGCCGCGCTGCGAGATCGAAGTGAAATGCGAAGTGTCAGATGCAGCGCCCGGGGAACGGGGCCCCTCATAATCTTCCGGGAATTCGTTGTAAGGAACCATTTGAGGGCCGTTGTCGTCTGGAATATTGCTGTGTGCGTACTGATCGCTAGGAAGAGGTGCTACTTGGCTGGGCGAGCTACTTTCGGTGCGAGGGGTGGCAGTCCTGTTCACGCCAAATCCTGGCATGAGCGCGGCGGGAATCGCGTTGGTTTCCTGTTCCATGCTTGCTGGCGGCTCTGGGTTGGCAAAACGCGGGTCAACGTCCTCCACGTAGTTATCACCACCGGAGTTCATCCTGTTGTGGCCGGGCTGCGAAACAGAGCCCATAGGCTGCGGGCTGACCACCCGACGAGGAGGTGACTTGGTGAGTCCTGCGGGAAGATCAACTGGCTCCTTATAGCTGACGGGCGATGCTGCAATGGGAGAAAGAGCTCGAGCCCTCTGCGACGGCACACTATCGTCTGATGGCCCAGTTTGAAGGGGAGGTGGTGCTGGGGCATGGTTTACCCAGTTCTGACGGGGTGGCTCGTAGTCGTTTCTAGGATCGTTAGTGATATTGAGTATGATCCAAGGGAACACGCTTACTGCTGTGAGGGCTGAGAGTAATCGCTTGTCGGGCTCAAAGGACTGGGTTGACGCTGGGGAGCTGCGTGGGGGCTCAGACCTTGCTGAAGCCCGATCATGCCTTGAAGGTCGTTGTCACTGTCCCTGAGGCCGTAGTTGTTCATGCCATTCTGAGGAGTACCGGTCCGGTGGTCCATTTCTATTGCTTGACCAACAGGGTTGTTCGGCTCGGGCAGTACTCCCAGATTGTCATCGTACGAACCCTGGGGAGGACCACGTCCTTGCGGCATGGGGCCTCCGTAGTATCCATTGTTGTAACCGGGAGGAGGCCCACGATTAGGCCCCATCGGTCCACCTCCCATACCCATTCCCATACCCATTGGGCCCGGACCGGGAGGGCCCATGCCCCTACCAGGTCCATAACCAGGTGGAGGACCACCACGGCCACGCATGCCTGGTGGGCCACCGCGGCCTCTCGGGCCAAAGCCTCCGCGTCCACGAGGTGGGAGCCCACCTCTCCCTCTGCCGGGCGCACCGTAGAAGGGCGGGGGGCCTCCAGACCTGTCAGATCCCACAGTTCCGTCAGAATTCTGGTGTCGCAGAGGCTGGCCATTCGGTGGGATCGGGTTTCCATATTGGTCTCTTGGTGGACCGCGTCCGCGGCCCTGCCCACCTGGCGGCACAGGAGGTCTTTCTCCGTAGTATCTTCCTGGACCCTCTGTAGGGCCATCTGTAGTCGAGCTCTTAATAGAAGGCGTTTGTGTCAAAGGCACTCTATCATCCATACTCTGCTTCTGCAACTCAAAAGTAGCAAACTCAGGACCCTTGCCGTCCGGTGAGACAGGGGAGCCTGAAGGCATTGGAGGTGGAGATTCGGCGCGAGGCAAAGAAGGGTCCTCCATAACTGGTGCAGGTCCACGGTTCGCATAGTAGTTTTGTCCATTCATCTCGGCGTTCTCGGCAATCCTCTTCTTCCTAGCCTTCCTGCTCACAAGCGTGCGCCTCATTGCGCAAGTCACGACGGCACTCACGGCAATGACAACAGTCGCAGCCAGAACGATCCATCCTCCCCATGCCACATGCGGAACGAATAGCAGGATGTCCACGAGGAAGGCCAGCAAGGATACCAACAGGGTTGGGAAGATGAGGACCAGGAGGATCATTAGATAACGAGGCGAGTGCGAGGGCGCATGGAAGTGCGCGGCGAAGGCGAGAGCAAAGCACACGAGCGCCAGGAAGGCAGCAACGGGGTGCACGATTAGGATTGCGGACAGAGTATGGCGCGCACCGGAGGGAAGGTCGAAGTCGGCGTTACTATCCGAGAAGCGACCGTCATCTGCAAGGCCGGGTCAGTAATTGCTCTGCGAAAGTAGGCGAAGAAAGATGTGCTCGTACCGGTGGTGTAGCCAATTCCCATGCTACTGCAGGAGTCGCCCTCGCAATAGCCGAAAACGCCATAGGTGACGCCATCGAATTCAGCAAGCGGAATGGCCTTGATGATGGGGGTGGATATGGTGCTGAGGAGCAACAAGGCGAATGCAGCCAAGAAGAGAATGGACAGTGGCGTCGCCGGGCGGAGGAGCATGGTTGCTGCGAAGGGTCAAGGCCGCTCTGCCGGTTCGCTGGGCGCGAGGCAGAGGGCTTCGAGGTCGGACCGCGCGATGAGGACGGCAACTTGAGACTAGCTCTGAGGTCGGGTCGGTTCGAGGAAACAAGAAAAAAAAGGCGGGATGGTCGAAGGGGAAGGGCTCCGACAGCAACGTCGGTCGAGGCGCGCAGTTCGAGAAGTTGCTGTGATGCGGTCGCGCGGCGGGTGGCAGACGGTCCGGTGCACGCACGACGGAGGAGCGAAAGGTGAGACACAGACGCGACAAACGGCGGGTTTAGTTGGAGGCGCGGGCGTCGGGACGCGCGATCATCGCAGAGCTATGCGAGACGGGCGGGCGAGAATGGAGAGTCAACGAGCGTGGGCGAGTGAGCGACGGATGGTGGTAGCGAGCTGCCTCGTGGTGGCAGTGCCAAAGGTGGGAAAGTTGGCAGGCGGTCTGGCGCGGGATTGGTGCAGCCCAGCCTGCGGGAGCGGGGAGAAGCAGAAAGGAACGAAAGAGCGGATGCAGCAGCAGCAGACCTGGGAATTGCCCAGTAGTCTTGTTGCCCTAATGCACAGCACCGCCGGCGTGCCTGATGACTGATGCTGCTGGGCGGATCGCCTGTGAGGCAAATCAACCTCCGCGCGACCCACGCTCCGCGCGCACCCACCACAGCGTTGCCAAGGTCTGAGCATCCAAATCAAACTGCCGTCACTGCAGCCACGGCTTTCTCCCACAGCGCCCTCTCGCACAACCGCCCAGCGGCGCGCCGGCTCAACACGCGGCTCAAAGTCTCACACACCCTAACCGCGGCCCCATCGCGGCGCGTATGGCGTCGCGCACAGCCGGGGTACCTCGCCCGTCCCCTGCAATCTGAGAAACACCCGAGATTTGCTGCCCGCCGTAGGCATGGCGCGCATGGACCTACCGCGCTGCACTGCGCGTCTGGATCTCTGTCCGCCCGGCGACCCCTTTCTGCTGCCTCATGTGCCTGCGGTTCCAGCAGTCCATCGTCATGATTCTCGGAAATAATTAAAATTCGACCAACCGTGGTGCATCCTGCTCCCCCAACGCACTTCACTGCTGTCGGCAGTGGGACCGAGAGGCTAGGCCGCCATCGCCCGTGTCAGACGCTCCAGGTGGCTCACGCCTCGTGCTCGCTCTCGCGCTGGTCAAAAAAGCTTGACGCCTTCGATATTGGCCTCCGCGCCACAGCATTGGATAGCCAATCCTGCGGGTTCAAGGTTGTCAACCGCCATCCAGACGGCCGCTGCCGGACGCCTTCGAGCGGAAGACCTGCCTATTGCGATGCACCAGCATGACCGACTTCATAGCACCCCCGGCACCAAATATCACCTGCACCAGATTGCGTGCTGCACAGGTATCCCATCCGTGGCCTATAATCGGCTAGCCAGCAGCGAGCTTCGCCGAGACCACCACTGTGCCGTCTTGAGCACCTCTGACGCGTCCCTCGTCAACTTGAATGTTTTAAACCGCGCCAGCGAGCGCAATGCGTCTTGAGAAAACAGCTGCCCCATTGTTGCGCTGTGTCCAATTTTGCCTTTCACGCTACCGCATCTTCCACCGCCTGACCATCTTCATCTGTGCTGAATCATGACGCAGAGTTACTTATGATCTCTGGGTCGGCGATTCCCCTTTGGGCCACCCGCAGCTTACGGGACAGCTTTAAACGGCCAGTATGATGCAGATGCGCGTCTGGCAGGAGCGATCAGAGCGGCCCAGCGGACGTGTCGTCCGGCTCACGTGGTTGTTCGACTTGTGTTTCGCGTACGAACGACGATCTCAATTGGTAAAACATGCATTGGTATCAGAACTTTTCTCCATTTTGTGGACCGCTGTCTTTCTTTATTGGCGGTCCGATCCGTAGACCGGAGACTGTTTGCTACGCCATCGTGAAGAAGAATCGTATCCGAGACTCCGACCTTCAACCTACCATCCTTTTCATCCCCAGTCGTGAAACCCTCGCGCTTGGCGAATCGCTTACTGGCGAGCCAGAGCGTAGGCACGGCGGCGGTCACGCTCCTCAGCAATGGAGAGCTAGTGTATAGATTAGCAAATGCTTGTGGGTATCGTTCAGGATCTTTTAAGCGTACCTTGACACCCTTGCCCTTGGGCAGGCTGATCCAGGGCTTCTCACGACCAATGATGAAAACGTTGCTCTCACGCGTAGCGAACTCGTTGTCAACCGCGTCCTTGATGTGGACGATGTTGAAACCACCGTCGTGGCGCTCACGGTGGGTGATGACACCAACACGACCCATGTTACGACCACCAGTGACCATGGCAATGACACCAGTGTCGAACTTGATGAAGTCGGCGATCTTGCCGGTGGCAAGGTCAATCTTGACGGTGTCGTTGACCTTGATGAGCGGGTCAGGGTAGCGGATGCTGCATCACACCTTGTCAGTGTACAAATCTAACGGGACTCACCAGACATCGCCCAAACTTGGTCCAACGTCTGATGGATGCGGAGCACTCACGTTCTCGCATCGTGCGTAACCAAGAAGGGGATACCGCCCTTGCCGAGCTGGACGCGCTTGACCTTGCCAAGCTTGTACTCAGCCTCCTCCGCGGTGATGCGGTGGACAGTGAAGCGGCCCTTGGTGTCGTAGACAAGGCGGAAGTTCTCGCCAGTCTTCTCGATGGTGATGACGTCCATGAAGCCGGCGGGGTAGGTGACGTCGGTGCGGACCTTGCCGTCGACCTTGATGAGGCGCTGCATCATGATGGCCTTGGTCTCACGGCCGTTCAGGGCGTACTTCAAACGGTTACGGATGAAGACGATGAGAGGCATGCAGTCGCGGAGCTTGTGGGGACCGGGCGACGCCTTGGGAGCATAGGTACCGGACAGCTTGTCCAGGAGCCAGTGCGAGGGCGCGCTGAGGCGCTGCTGGTGCTTCTTACTGTGGGAGCAAACATGTTAGAACTTTCTGCGTCGGGGCGCTTGCGAGAATCAACTCCGCCGGTCCGCTCAGTCCTGCCTCCGCTCAAGAACGCGATATAGTTGTCGTTTCCGAGGGTGGGGCGTCGGTTTGCTGCCACTTGAAATTGCATACGCTCCAGGTGCGGGATTGGCGATGTCGCAAATTTCAAAGTCGTGGTCGCGTTCCGAATAATCGAGCAGGAGGCAGGCGCAGCGGCGAAGGCGTAGATCGGAAGCGTCGTGGGTGCTGACTTACGGTCCACGGCCCATTTTTGCGGTTTAAAAATCGCGGATGGTAAGAAGAGGAGGTTGTCGTCGGTCGTCGTCGTAGGACGGAAACTTCGAGGCACGAAAAGCGAAGTTGATTTTCGCTTGTTCGTGCGCTGACTAAGTTGGCGTGCCGACAATCCACCGGCCAGTGCCCGGAACCCCGAAACCCCATGCGGGCCTCTGGCCTGAGGCAGCACTTATCGCCGCGGATCGCCGGTTGCCTCTGGTAACGCCCGGCGAGTGGACAACGCGGCCAGAAATCCGCCGCAAGCTCACCCGTTCTCCCCGCCATCGGCTTCTCCTGCATCCCACTGTCGCCGCCCTGCGTAGACCGCATTCCGACTCATCATGGGCCTCCAGGCGACTTTAACGGCCGAGGTCGAGCGGGTCGTATCTGCACCTTACACTGTCTGTCTGAAGGTACACATCCATGCACACCTAAGCGCCCGTTCGCTCATGCATCCCCTGCATACAACCGGTGATGATTAATGCGGGATACCACAGAGATTACATGACATTCTCATCGAGTGCGACATTTCAATTGTGCAAGCATGGGCGGACGCATCCTCATGTCAGCTCGCGCCTCTAGCAAGATGCATAAGAAAAGCCTTCGATACATGGGACTACACGCTTGCGATCTTTGAACGGCTTGGTAAATCCCATACTTTTCTCCTTGTGCGATCCCCATCCTAACTTCCTTATCCAGCGCTGGCTCGCCCCTTCAGAGATGCATTCCTAGAGCAATACCCGTCTATGCTGGATGCCTTTCTTCAGAAAGCTATCGCCCCCGAGGGGCCTTCTGCCGCTACTCGGACCTGCGTCTCCATGCTAGCAGAACCGCTCCCACAGTCTATACCGCTTCCGTTCACGGCCCAAGAGTTCTTCATGAGACTGTTTGACGAAGCTGTTAAGTTCACCGATGAGCATCATGTGAGCATAATTCACAGGCTGCTGAATGGAGCTTGCCGGGATCTGCTAGGAATCCTTCCCGGGGATCGAGTCCAATACATCGAAACGAAGGCCTACGAGTTGCTGAAGAACTGCACTGCGAATCCAAATGAAGGAGCCACCGAAGACCGACACCGGTTTCAAATCTTGTGTCTAGGCTTGATGGGTATCCTACTTCCAACATGCGAGTCTCAGCTCAACGAGGCTGTTTCGATGGACATGGTCAATGATGGTGGTCCATCAGCTGCTCCGCAGCGAGTCAACCCGGTGAAGCACCTCGAAGAGATCCCTAGGATGTTCCAAACGAAAGCAGCACGTGCGACCTTGCGCTTCACAGTCACCTTAGCCATCAGCATCCTTAGCACACTCGCGGGCGACCTAGATGATGAAATGGCTCGATATCTCGGAATCATTTCCAAAATATTGTCCATTATGCCATCTGACGCCAGACAGAAGTTTCTCGATGACGATTCTAGGTTTGTCAGCAAGCTTATTGAGAAAGTTCACAAGGCTGGAAGTCACCCCGGCGTACAACTTCAAGGTCTGCTCTCCATCGCGCTTCTCCATGAGGGTCGTACTCTGCCAGGGCCAGTAGTCTCTGCATATACAAAGGCTCTTCTTGCGGCTCGGCATCTGCCTGGAAACTGCCGTGCCTTCGCTGATGCGGCAAGAGTTTCTCTTCCGCTTTTCGCTGCGCAATTGGACGAAGAATTTTTGAGGGATTTCATGTGCTGCTCCATCGACACCGCTGGAACGGCAACATCGCGTATCTGCGAGCTACAATGGCTGCGTCTGCTTGGTAAACAGCTAGGAGATGTTGCTCAGGAGACGCCAATCGTTCGACGCTACATTCTTTTGACGTTATCATCGGACCGCTTTCAAAGTCACTTGCAGAAGCTACTGTCCCTATCTACTGCTGCAATGGAGGGTCCCGGAGATGAGGAGGGGTCGTGTAGATGTCGTACTTTAGCATCTTCCACGGCGTTGGGTTTGGAAACGTGCTCTCTCCTTCTTCGAACAGCCATCATGGCGCAAACTGATGAGATTGGCATGCATACTCGAGTTGGACTTGATCTCCTACAGAAGCAGCAGGATTTGGCTTCACTTAGAACGCCGGCCTGTGAATATGCAAGACCAGATCAGGAACATACGCCCCCACTTTCCATACTACAGGAAAGATGCACACCTCACTCGCAGTCAGATAGCCGTGATTGGAGACGGCGCCTTGCAAGAGAGCTCGAGATCCAGGAAAGGCATCGGTTCGATTTTATCGAGCGAAGGATGGGCGAAGTATGTCGGGACCTGGAGGCGAGGTGCGAGCAGGTTGAAGAACCCCTTCGTTTGGAACAACAGAGGGTTCAGGAGCTGGAGGAAGAGCTGCGGATGCTGAAGGAGCAACACGCTGAGCTCGCTGCTCATGCTTCGAATCTGGAAAGCCGTGAAGTCGACCGCGAATTCTTCATTCAGGGACTTGAAGCCGAGAAGGCTCAAGCTGAACAAGATTTTCAAAACGCTATCAATGTCAACGATGACCTCACGAACAGAGCGGAAGACCTTCAGCAGAAGCTCGATGATGCAAATCAGACTGCAGAGAGGACTTTGGCTTCCGCACGTCAAGACTATGACCGTATGAAGTCGGAATTGCGTGCGCTTTTGACAAAGGAGGAGACCAGGTGTGAGGAGCAAGCGGCAACCTTGGACCAGATGAAAGCCCACATAATTGGCTTGGAAAACGACCTTGATTCTGCTCAAGCGTACATCGAACAGGAGCAGAAGGACAGCGAGGAGCTGAGGGCAAACCTTGATGATGCGCTGCAACACATTGAGGAGCAAAAAACTGCCAAGCTCCAGGCTCAGGCAGAGGTTAGCGATTTGCTCGAGAAAGAGGCAGCATACATCGATCAGCTTCGCCATGCTCAGGCAGCGCTTATCGAATCCCATGGGACTTCTGCAGAATTGAAGACAGAGCTTGACGCCCTGCAGAAGTCCTTGAGTGCCGAGATTGAATCTATGCGTAAACAAGCTGAATTGGACCTACACAGGGTGGTAGAAGAGGTAAGATTCATACAGTCACATTTCAAGCCCGGTGCTCTAACGTGTTCATAGGCATCCAACGAGCGTCAAGCCATGGATTCGCACCTTCAACTGGCGAAAGAAGAAATAGAATGCCTAATAGGCGACAAGGACGGCCTTTCCGCGGAGCTACAGGCCAAAGAAGCCCAGGTTGGAAAATTGCAACGCAAGGTTGAGAAAATGACGGAAGCGCGCGACATTGCAGAGGCAAAATTAGACGAGCTAGAGTCCTGGAGAAACAACATCCTGAGCGTCATGGGCGCCCCGACTGGAGGTACGCTCGGGAAAGCCACAAACTCGCATAGGTATCAGGCCTCCCGTCCAGGACCTGCCTTTCCCCCGAACCTTAACAGGCGCCGGACTTTTGCGGAATCTGAGGGCAACTTAGAAAATGGCATTGACGAGGATCCCGACCGTACTGAAAGCGAACGAACTCAATCACCGCCTGGGACGCAACGCAGTGTCAGCGCCAGTCCGACGCCGAAGCGCGCAAAGGTCCAGCGCCAGCAGCCTTTCAAACCACCGACGCTCAAAACAACCGCATCAACATCAGCGGATGCGAAACGCCGTTCAACGAGGTTATCTCAGAGCCGTAGGGTGTCAACAGCAGCAAGAAAGCCGTTGAGTGACGTCTCTACCGAGCGCGGCAACCAATCACCAATGAGAAAATCCGTCAGCGGAGCCAAGAATGTAAATTTTGAAGCGGTCACACCCCCATGCGACAGGAGTGCTAAGCAAGCATCACAGCTTGGCGGCTCGTTTGATGTTTCGGACTTCTTGGACGGCACGCCGTTTACGCCCTCCGGACGGTGGCAACAACACCTTGAGAATTTTGGAAGCGGTGACACAACTGTGGATGTATGACCGCAATTGATTGTGTAACTTTTGTTTTTTCTTTGGCGTTTGCTGTAAACAAATGGAACTTGGATTATAGTGAGGACCTCACAAGTCCAGGAGCTCAAGGTTCAAGAAATACCGAAGGAACTCACGGTTCACTGTCTAAGAGGAGTAAGGGACACATTCTTTTCTAGCCGATACTTCTTGGCGATAAATTCAAGGCTCGAGAAAGTTGTAAGAGATGCGAATGTGAGAAAAGGCATACGGGCGGTAAGAATGGACGGATACTGGGTACTTAGCAAACTGGAAAGCGGATACCTGCATTGCGCCCAAATGACAACGACAAGCGAAGTCTCCTTTGATATTCCTACCTCTCATTATATCAGTCCTTTTTGTCTTCTCGTCTCTAGCTTGTTCTGAGATACGTTCGTTCTTGCATTTCGTAAAGCTCTTCGTCTTTTTAGAAATTTACCTGCTCGAGTTTCAATACGAGCCAACGCACGTTGCTGCCACATCCGCAACTACGCCATGCAACACCCTGTTGCGTTGGTGAACAATCTCTCTGAAAAAACTCCAGGTATTACCCTCCTCTCCAAGTCTTCCTTCTCGTATCACTTTATCATCCTCTTCGTTGTCATCATCGAGCGAAAATGATGGACCTGTGGACACAGTTGCCGAGAGGTGAGAGTGGAGATTCTCCGGATTCAGGCGCCATTTCTACTCAGATCGTGGATGGATTCTCACCTGCTCGTGCAAGGGACACGAAATCGCCGGCCAGAGCAATTCTAACTGGTTCATCTTGGGCGAATCAAGTCCGGTCTGGTCCGTACGAGATAGGAAGGGGTGATCCACCTTTTGCTCGCTCTTGGGTTCCTTCCCCAAATGGAAATGGCAACGCACCTCGCTTAGGCCAAGTCGCGCTGCAGCACACGCCCGTCTCCCGCCCACCACGACTGACTCCAAGAACATCTTAGACACCCTTTCTGTAAAGACATGCGACTTTCAGGATGAAGCAAATGCACGACGGCAGACACACCTGAGCAAGCCCGGTCATTCCCCCAACAATCCGAGCAAACGCAGAAAGAGACGCCAGGATCTACACCAGCACCTGACTGGCAACCTCAACACGATGCAGGGACGCGGCCACTCCGGAAGTCGCGTGCCTGCACGCGGTGGGTTCAATGGTCAGAGGCACGGACGCCATGCCTCTTATCATGGACCTCAAGCCAACAACTTCAACTCCGACTTGTCGGACAGTTCCTCCAACTCAAAACCTGCCAGGAACTTCCGCCGACAAACCAGCGTGTCTGATAATCTTCACAGCCCCAACCACCCAAGGCTCCCCCCTACGCGCTCTCCGCCTGGCTTCATGCCACAGAGAGGTCGCACTCCGCCGCCACCCTACTCGTCCTTGGCCCATACTTCCCATGCTCCCCGTCCGACCAACACCCCACCACACTTCAGGCATTCACCGCATCCAATCATGGAAAACAATGAATGGAAAAGTTGGCAGAACCTGAAGGTCAAGGTCCACGACTTGCCTTTGGACATTGCTACCGTCGATCTCTACAAACTCTTCAAGCATGAGGGCACTATCAGTAGAATTGACATTGTACGAGAGGTGTACGGAAAGGTGGCCTTCATGGTTTTCAGGTAAGGCTTCCTGTGCTCTGCAACTCAAAACATCTGAACAAGCTTGCTGACCATTATCAAGCCCGCCGCCACGCAGAGCCTTCTGGAAGGACATGTGGTTCCTTCCAGCTGGACAGTCAGGCTCTGGAATTCAGCTGAGAGTTGAGGCTCGTGGACCGGACAGACAGCTTCGGAGAGCCAGTCCAGCCAATCCGCTAAAAACTTATCCTGAGATTATGGTAAGTCATATTGACCTGTTTCTTTGCCGAATGCTATTTTAGGCTCTAACAAATGAATAGACAATCTCAGCAAGCTCAATTGACTTCGGTTTCATGTACAACGAGTCGGCCATGATGATTATGCAAAATGCAAGCCCAATCCCTCCTCACAACATTTCGGTCACGCTCAATCTAAAGTGGGCCAAGCTCATTGTCCAGTTTCCACTTTCCATGTTCAACGAAGAGGAGAACTTTTTCGTTACTCAGCCATTCCGCTTTGAGATCCCTACACAGCGCCTGAGCAAAATACACGAGGCAAGGGAAGGCGACAAGCGGATTCTGATCATTCCATCGGATTGCGTCCCCCGGTATGCTCGCAAGGCGCAGGAAGTGGAACGGACCCATAACAATGGTGATTCCTCCTGGGACGAGTCAAAGGCGTGGTATCGCTCAGTCGATATCGCGCACCTCCGCGAACCATTGAAGACGGCCCCAACCGCGCTGAGGAAGAAGAATGCAACGGTCGACATTGGCCGCTGGACCACGTACAAGATCGAATTTGACGCATCTTCGACAAACCTGAAGCAATATGACGAGATGTTGAGCGCCTTGACTGACTGGAATGTGAGCATCGTTGGCGACACACCAATTGAACTTCTGGAGAAAGAGCAGCCAATTTTGTGGGACATAATCGACACCCCGCAGTCCTATTCTCCTCGCCGCAATGCGAGCCCTTGTGGTCTTCAACCAGAACCAATCCATCTCGACTTTGAAGTTCGGTATCAGTTCGAGGCCTGCCTCTCAAACAACATCCTGAACGAGCACAACATTACCCGGGATTTCATACAACGCCTCGCAAAGATGAACGGGAAGATGGCTAAAGCCTATCTTGAGGTGGCGATGGACAAGAAACAGCGTTTCTACGAGCCTATGGACATCTTCAAGCTACCGCTTGGTAAGAAGGGAATGCAAAAGGAGATCCCCGCTCATTGCGTTTGGTCTCGCGCTGCCACCGTCACTCCGTCAACCATCATCATCTCTTCCCCGTCAATGGAAATTTCCAACCGTGTTGTCCGCGACTACATCGCGCACAGCGATCGCTTCTTGCGTGTGAAGTTCACGGACGAGAAATACGAGGGAAAGTTGGGTAGCCGGAGCGGCGACAGCGACAATGAGTTGTTCACTCGTGTCTGGCGTACACTAACTAATGGCATCACAATCGGCGATCGCCATTATGAATTCCTTGCCTTCGGAAACTCTCAGTTCCGTGAACATGGTGCCTATTTCTTCTCATCCGTGGAGACGGATGAAGTTCACCTGACACCATCGTACATTCGCAAATTCATGGGCGGGTTCGAGGACATTAAAGAGGTTGCTCGATATGCCTCACGCATGGGGCAGTGCTTTTCTACGACTCGGGCAGTCACGAGCGTCAAGGCCAGCATCGGTGCAATGGAGGACGTCAAACACAATGGCTACACTTTTACGGACGGCGTCGGTAAGATTTCACCGCTTCTAGCGCAAAAAGTTGCAGAGGAGTTTGGTCACCCCAATCCGGTCGAAGACACCCCTTCTGTTTTCCAATTTCGACTTGGAGGCTGCAAGGGTATCCTTGCCGTTTCACCAGAGCTCGAAGGCCACAAAATCGTTCTGAGAAGATCCCAAGAGAAGTTTGCAGCGGATCATGATGGCCTTGAGATTATCAAGTGGTCTCAGTACGCGACAGCTACTTTGAATCGACAACTTATCATCGTCCTTGATGCACTTGAAGTCCCTGGGCACGTCTTTATGACCAAGCTTCGGAGCCAGCTCTCAGGCCTTACCGATGCAATGACATCAGAGGATGTGGCGCTTCGTTTCCTGCAAAAGTCCGTTGACCCAATCCAGACCACGCTAACATTAGCCGGAATGGTCATGGATGGCTTTATGAGTGCCAGGGAACCTTTTCTGATGTCGGTACTGCATGTATGGAGGGCTTGGAGTCTCAAAAATCTCAAAGAAAAGGCAAAGCTTTTCATCGGGGATGGAGCGTTTTTGCTCGGGTGTGTCGATGAGACTGCTTCCCTCCGTGGTCATTTCTATTCTGAACAGGGCGAGACTCACTGCACAAAGAAGGACTTGGACTTGAAAGTCTTGCCGGAGATCTTCGTCCAAATTTCGGATCCCGATCATGAGGGACGCTACAAGGTCATTGAAGGCCTGTGCATTGTTGCACGCAATCCTTCGCTTCATCCTGGAGACATTCGCGTCCTTTCCGCCGTCGACAAGCCGCAGCTACACCACTTGAAGAACGTCGTAGTATTCCCACAAACTGGTGACCGAGACATTCCGAACATGTGCTCTGGGGGCGATTTGGATGGGGATGATTACCTGGTTATCTGGGACAAAGATCTCATCCCGAATATCATCAATCACTCACCCATGGATTTTACGCCAGATAAAGAAGGGAATGAGCGGCTAACCGTGGAGGAGGTCACTATGGAAGACATCTCGAGGTTCTTTGTCGAGTATATCAAGAACGACAGCCTCGGACAAATTGCATATGCACATCTGGCTACGGCTGACTTTGAGTACGAGGGTGTCATGAGCGACAAATGTCTTGAACTGGCTCGTCTCCATTCCCGTGCTGTTGATTACCCGAAGTCTGGCCTCAGTGCGAAAATGACGAGGAATGACCGACCAAAGAAGTACCCACACTTCATGGAGAAACCACCGGAGAAGACCTACGTCTCGAAGAAGATCTTGGGAAAGCTTTATGACGCTGTTGAAACGGTGGATCCGGAGCTTTGTTTTGGTTCTCCTTTCGACAGCCGCATTCTCAATGCGTACAAGATCGAACCTGAAGTACTGGCCAAAGCAGCTGAGATCAAGGAACTGTACGATACTGCTGTACGGAAGTTGATGGCTCAGCACGATATCAAGACGGAGTTCGAGGTGTGGTCTACGTTTATCTTGAAACACAACACAGAAATCCGGGACTACAGTTTGCAAGAGGAATTCGGCCGCATCTGGGAAGCCCTGAGAGAGCGATACCAGAAACTTTGCTACGAAGAGGCCGCCGGTGGCTACAAGGAAGATATCCATGGCTCGGACGAGAAAAAGGCAAGAGCGACACTTCAGGAGCAGGGCAGGGCTTTCAAAAACCTTGGTCCGTTCATCGCTGCCATGTACACGGTGACCGCGCAGGAAATGCAGCGTGCCACCGAACTCGTCCGTCAGGCCAAGATCGATGCCGGCCGTAGTGCACCTGCCATGAAGATGACGCCAGCGAATATGCCGCTCATGAGTTTTCCCTGGATCTTCCCCCGTGAGCTTGGCCTTATCGCGGCCGGCGCCAAAGAACGACCTGAAGGTTTCAAGGCGCAGCACTCGGCTCCTCTGAAAAGCCAGGCCGGGAAACAGAAGCCCAAGCTGGGCACCTCTGCCCAAGGTGGCTGGACCAAGGAGGACGAGCTCTTCGTGGATGGAGGCGCGGTCATTAAAAAAGGTGAACTGCTCGACATATTCGGCGAAAGCAGCAGGTCTGGTCGTACCCAGCAGTCCGGGCACGCTGCTCCCGCTAAGAATGCTTTGGAGGAGCTCAAAGGGCTACAGCTGTCAGCAGATGAAAATATGGCCAAAAAAGGGGGCCTGAAGCCAAAGCCATCCCCACAAATGGTCAAGAGCGAATCGGAGAAGGGGAAAGACGAAGCCGACCCTGAGGGTCTGTACACAGACGATGGCCCATACCCGCCCGGGTCCTATGAACACCCGTATTTCTCGGCTAATGTCATCCAAACAAACCCTTCCAAGGATCATTCTCTTTCTACCACCAAGTCTGCTGAGAGCAACAAGGCACCTCGCATAATCGACTCCACTTCCATTGTAGATGAGAGCACTGAAGACAATGACGGGCGTGGTGCCGAAATCACCACCAAGTCCACCGAGAAGCTCGTTGCTCACGCGACTCCTCCATCAGTCCCCTCTTCATCCCGTCCTCCGTCGATCCCTCCACACCTACGGTCTCAACTTCCTCTACCGCCAATGGCGAACCGCTCTCGTGCTACTACGCCCGCCTCGCTCATGGGCTTATCAGTTACGCAAGAAGACGAAAATGATACTGATGGTGATGACGACGAGCTGGTTATTGGTGTTGAGGAGGAGGCGGAAGTCGATCAGAGAAAGATCTTAGGGCATGGAAGAAGAAACCCGCCTTCGGTCGGCAGGGATTCGAGTGTGCAAAGTGTGGCGGAGCTGGTGCTATTGAATCGGATGGAGAGGGAGCTGGAAGAGAGCGTGGCGGGTGATTCGAGGTCTTATGAGAGTGACAAGGAGACCAGGAAGTCTGTGGTGGATAGCGGACCGGAGAAAGAGCTTGTGGATATCGACAAGCCTAAGATGACTGTGGAGACCGGAATGGGCGACACGGAGGATGACAAGAAGATGGTTCGTGCCGAAGACGATGGTGATGTGGAGGTTGAGCAGAAAGCTTCCACTCCAAAGAAGAAGAGAAAGGGGGCTTTGGCTATGCTGAAGAAGTTCTCTTGAAGGGGATGGAGATGCAGATGATCTGGTGGGAATGGTTTGCGGACTTCAATTGGGCTTTCGGATGCTCGGTTTCTCATACTCTCGATGGAACTCGAGAACCGCGACAGGGCAGGAGATGACATCGGCATCTGGATGTGCTGTCTACGAAAATGGCGTCTTCTTTTTTCTCCCTCTTTCATTGTTCACTGCTTATTTGTAAGCACCCGGAAAGTGGCAGCATTACATGGGCTGGGGCGTCTTTGAGAAAAACATAAATGCACAAAAAAAATAGCCGGGCCATATGCCTACATAAGAGATTGTAATTGCTGTATTGCTTGCTGTATACGGGCGGAGATCTGCACAGTGCACAATAACAGCCCATACTTGCAGGATTGACCGAGAATGGAGGCTAATGTTGAACCATAGTGGTGTGATTTCATTTGGTGAACCTTGTCGATGGAAGAATGCGGAAAGAGCGGGGGAGGGGTGCGGTTCAAATTGGCTTTGGGTGGGGCAAAGCTCGCTTCAGGCGGGGACAACAACGATGCGCCACTTTCTTCAGTCCGTCCGACGACCGCTGCCACTCCATCAAGCAGAAGGACTTCGAGACGACAGCTAGCAATATGTTGATTGAGGAATACCACAAGGATGTGCCCACCCAGGCCGGTGGTGACATGCGTAAGAATTGACCCTCCCGGATGCAAAATGGATGGCCTGGCCCGTTGACAAGTTCTAGGCATCTTCTTCTTCCACCCCAAGATTGATGGGTACCCGAAGGCAAAGTTTCCTGGTGTCGTCGTGTTCAGCGAGATCTATCAGGGTAGGTATTGTTTTATTTCGACTCTGTCGACACAATTGCTTTCCTTTCCAGCCTTCCACGGCCACTTCTTCTTTGATGCCTTTCATGCTCGTCTCCATGATAGAGCGGAGCTGTTCAAAACCTTCTCCTTGATCAGTCTCTTCTTTCCCATATGCTCGTCCTCATCTCCTCCACCTGTTCTCCGAGACCGAAGATAAAGTCTGATTGACGCCTCCCTCCGCAGTGACCGGCCCGGTCTCACGCTTCGCGCGCCAGATCGCGAGCCAGGGCTACATCGCGGCGGCGGTATCGTCGTACCACGAGTTTACGGGTCCGGAGCCGCTGGCGTACGACGGGCCCGGCACGGACAAGGGCAACGAGCTCAAGATCACGAAGGAGGTTTCGGCGTACGACGAGGACGCACGGCTGGGCGTGGACGCGCTGCTGGCGCTGCCGACGTGCAACGGGCGCATCGGCGCGACGGGCATGTGCCTGGGCGGCCACCTCGCCTTCCGCTGCGCCTTTGACGAGCGCGTGCGCGCCGCCGTCTGCTTCTTCGCCACCGACATCCACAGCAGCACGCTCGGCAAGGGCAAGTCCGACGACAGCTTGAAGCGCGTCAAGGATATCAAGGGCGAGCTGGTCATGGTGAGTCGTCTCCCCCTAAGCTCCCCTCCCCCCAACCTCTCGTACTCCGACCAGGAAAGGAGAAATCGTATGCTTAGTATCACATCCGTAGATCTTCGGCAAGCGTGACACCCACGTCCCGCCGCCGGGCCGCGACCTGATCCGCAAGACGCTGCACGATGCCGGCGTGGCCTTCTCCTTCTACGAGCATGCCTGGGCCCAGCACGCCTTCATCCGCGACGAGCTGTCCAAGGGCCGCTACGACGCCGCTCTCACCGGCGTCTGCTTCCAGATGCTGCTCGAGCTCTTCAATCGCACCCTGCGCTCCGACCTCGGCCCCCGCGAGGGCAACGTCGCCGAGCCCGAGGACGTGTGCTAAGATGGAGAAAAGACCACACAAGAGGATGGGTTCAACGTGTGGAGTTTGGGCAAGGCACATCTCGATGAAAAGTCTCCCAAAAGCGTCAATCCTTTGAATTTTCAATTCCGTCAAGCATACTTTTGAGATACAAAAAACAAAAATACATGAAATGCGTATGCCATCTACGTCTATCCTCTCTCAAGTGAAAAAGGGATCCAAAATGAAAAGACACCACGCAAGAAGCGGGACAAGCTTCAAAATTGAACGTCTGATGACAATGATGATTATTTTCCTCCCAATCTAAACCGCTAAAACGCCTCCAAGATCTCTTGCGTGTGTCGTGAACCAAGAAATCGGTGTGGGTGTCCCGTCATTCAATCACACGCATGCCTTCTCTCCTTTTAGGCAGAGCCTTGATACTCTTCCAATGCACGCATGCATCAATGTCCTCATGCTGGAAACGCGGTTCGTGAATCCCTCCTATCATCCTTCGTCGCCCATTTATGCGCTGCCGTTCTGCGTAACGGCAGGCTTCTCGATGTTGCCCCTGATACCACCCTTGCCGCCAACCTCACGGGCGACGACCTGCACCGACAGGTCGGCACCGACGTTGATCTGGACCTCGACCTTGGCACCCTTCTTGACGCCCTTGAGGGCAGCCTCGGCAAGTGCAGTGCCGGCCTTCCAGACCTTGGAGCGGATCTCCTCCGGCTCCTCGTCCGAGTCGATGTCAGAGTCATCCTCGTCCTCATCGTCACCGTCCTTCTTGCCGTTCTCCTTGGGCTTGGCCTCGGGCTTCTCGACCTTGATCTCACGGATGCCCTCGCAGATCTTGATAAGAACATCGCCACCCTCACGGGGAGTGGCGATCTGAGCAGTGCGCCTGACCGGGACCGGAGTCTCGGCCTCGATGAGTGGGCGGAAGACACCGTGCTCGGTCGACTCGGAGATGCAGAGGACGCCAATAGCCTTGGAGATGTGGGGAGCAAGGGTGACCATGGCGTGCGTGCTCTGCTCAATATCCTCGGTCTCGAACTCCTGGATCAGGGAAGCCTGGATGGCGGCACCACGGGCAGCAAGCTCCGAGGGGTTGATGGAGGCGGGAGAAGTGGCAGGAGCAAGGACAGTGGTGCCCTCGGGGAAAGCGGACTGGACGCTGCGAGCAATCTTGGGCACGTGGCTCGAACCACCGGCAAGGATGATCTCGTTGACATCGAGAACATCCAGCTCCGCCTTCTCAACAGCGTGGGTGATCAACCGGGTCAGGCTGGCAATGTGCTTGTTCGCGAGCAGCTCGAAACGGGTGCGGTTGACGGTGGCAGTAAAGTCGATGCCATCGGCCAAGCTCTCAACGCTGAAGTTGGCCGACTGGCCAATGCTGAGAGCCTTCTTGACAGCCTCGGACTCGAGCTTGAGCTTGGCAAGGCTGCGGTCGTTCTCGCGAGGGTCGGTCTTGTGCTTCTTGATGAACTCCTTGGCGAAATGGTCGATGAGAACCTGGTCCAGCTGGGCGCCGGCAACCTCGTAGTCGTGGGCAGTGGCCAAGATGCTGTACATACCGCCCCTCGAAGCGATGACGGCGACGTCAGAGCGAGTGCCACCAATATCGGCAACGAGCACGATCTTGTCCGAAACCTTAGCCTCCGGGCGAGCATCGTAAGCGAGCACGGCAGAAACGGGCTCGTTGATGAACTGGAGAACCTCAATCTCAGCCTCCTTGGCGGCCTTGGTCAGAGCCTCCTTCTGGCTGTCGGTGAAGTTGGTGGGAACAGTGATGACGGCGGCGTTGACGGTCTTGCCAAGGTAGTCGGAGGCAGAGTTCTTCAACCTGCGCAGGTGCCTCGTGGTGATCTCAGAGATGGTGCGCTCGTTCTCAACATCCTCCTCAGAATCCTTGATCGAGAAAGCGATGCTGTCCTCGTGCTCCTTGGGGTGTGCGGACTGGTGGGCCGGGGTGGGATCTATCGACTTGAAGCTGCATTCGCGGTCAGCGCTGCGTGTGGAGAAGCGCAGGTTGTCAACCTACTCCTTGCCAAGGAAATCTCTGAAGTAGGCAACAGTGTTCCTGGGGTTGCGGACGAGCTGCGCCTTGGCCTGAGTACCGTGGAACTCCTCGCCAGAGACGTAGGACAGGATGGTGGGGATCTGGCGGTCTGGACAAATACTCGTTAGCACATGTGTTTGGCGGCGGGGTATGCCTAATGTTCGCTACTGACCTCCTTCCTCGTTGGCGATAACCTCAGCCTTGCCATCCTGTGCGGTTGTTAGTACCCAAACGGTTCCAAATTTGCTCTACTGCGTGTCTTACACCAGTGGTGAAAGCGATGGAGCTGTAGGAGTTGCCAAAGGAAATACCAATGGCAACCCGCTGCGGGGAGGTCTCTTCGCTCATCGTGGCGCGCGAAAGTCGGCGATTGTGTAGGGTACTGAAATCGAGGGAGTCGGAGGGGCCCGATGAGACTGTGGGAGTGCGAAGAGAGAGGCGGATACGTGCAGGCGGCGAGGTCGAGTGCAGAGACAATGGGAAATCGCGGCCGAAGTTTTTTGGAGCCGGTCCAACCCCGGCAGAATTTTGCCGCAATGCATCTTTCTGCAATCGACCTCCGCCCGCCGCTCCGCCCCGCGCAACTACGCTCTACAGCAATTGGCCGCGAACATGGCGTCTGAAGTTGTTCTTCCCGGAGAGGAGCTGCCTGCATCACTTCTAGAGCAGACCCAAAACCACAAGAGACCGCTCACGCTTGGCCCCGGCCTACGTCACATCCCGCCATCGACTATCACTACCACTGTCGCTGGTTCCCTCAGCGTGGACAGCCGGAAGAATGCCATTTGGGTTGAGCGCAATGGCGGCCGCGTATGTTTTTCTGGCCCTCTACATCCGACCCGATTTCCGCGGCTCTAATTACTAATTTTGCGCTCAGTATGTGCCTACCCAAAACGACGTCGTAGTCGCAACGGTGCACCACTCGTCGGTCGAAATGTACGCTTGCACGATCACACCTTACACACCCCAAGCCACCCTCCCGCATCTTGCCTTCGAAGGCGCCACGAAGAAAACACGCCCGCAGCTTGCGCCGGGCGCCCTCGTCTACGCCCGGGTTAGTGCCGCTAGCAAACACATGGAGCCGGAGCTGGAGTGCGTGTCAGCAACAACGGGAAAGTCGGACGGATTGGGCCCGCTCAAAGGAGGCATGGTTTTCGAGATCAGTCCAGGCATGGCAAGGAGACTGTTGATGCCTGCAGGAAAGAAAGATGCAGGCGAAGGCGGCCCTGGAAAGGTCATTGTGCTGGACGAGTTGGCCGAGAGGGTACGGTTTGAGGTTGCGGTTGGTAGAAACGGAAGGGTCTGGGTCAACAGCGAGGAAGGCGGCGTTAAGGTCGTTCTGGCAGTGGGCAAGGCGCTTACGGAAACCGATGAGAAGGGCTTGGGCATCGAGAGCCAGAGAGACTTGGTTGCGAAGCTGCTGAAGGGATTATAAAAGGAAACCCCGGAGCGGGCCACTGCATTGACATCTTGATCATCACGGTTGGAAGACGGCGTTGCATGGTATTGGTGCATTTGAAGAGGCGTAGGTGTTCAGGTCACGGCAAAAAGGAAAACTTGACTGGTAATCCTCCTTAGAGAGAGTAGGCTAAGAGGTTATGAAGAGTGTTTGTGTCCTCTCGGGAATTGTATCGCATTTCTACCTCCTAACCGGTCGAGGAACCAATATTTCGCCCGGGCGAAAGAATTCAACTGTGTGGACTATAGGACGGGTGGGAGCGGCGTCTAACAAGTCACCCGAAGAGAGTTGCTTGAAAGGGGACACTGTCATTTTCCCACCTGGTGCTTTTGTGTGTGAAGCCCCTAATACCTGTCACATATAATGCTAGAACAAAACGAGCAGCGAAAGCTTGCAGGCTGGGAAACGTAATACTTTTGACATTACTAGTGATTTTTGGCGCGCCGGTAGGCTAACGCTGTTTTCATACCGGTGATAACTCCTGTAGAAGCGTATTCTAAGATATGTAAACGCTGCCAAATGTGTAGTACATTCATGAAATCGCTTAGAGAGAGGCACAGCGAAAAGGTGTGGGAAGCTCGCTTGTATCAGGAAGGGGGAAAGGGGGAGAATATACTGTATGCTACTCTTACCACACCCTCAAATCCAACCAAGAATTAGTAGACATAGCACAAGAATTAAACAACTCATACTAGCTTAGTTGAACTTCACAGGATTATCACTCGATTGAAATCCCTATTGCGCCTTTCGGGTGACGGCAATGCAGCTTACTCATTAAGCCACCATACCGAACTGCTCACAAGGCAGTTACACAGAGAGTCCGACCCGCCTGAACCTTAGAGGATACCCGTTTTTTGGTCGTACATCCCTACCGCCCGATCCCCAACAGCAGAATGAATAAACCAACAGGGTATCATGTCCCACGTAAACTGCCAAATAACTCCATAGTTTCATGCACTTCCAAGACCACCTTGGTCACCTCCGTAGTCTCAGTAATTGAACTGGTGCGGCGCCGCCATGCTCATCCTCAACTGCCTCTCCCGCTGCTGAGCTTGTAGCGTCAATCGATCCACAGCGTAGCTCAATCTTTCCTTCTTCTGCCGCAGCTGTTTCACCTTAAGTTCCTCCGCCGGCGCCAATCCGTTAGCTGCTGAGGCCCTGGCTCCGGCTCTGCTTGCGCTTCGGGACCGCGATGCCGAGGGCTCGTTGTTGTATTGCGACAGGCGACCTTCGTTGAGCTCACATTTGGCAATCAGAGACTGCTCGCGGCGCTCGAGCTTGTCAAGGTAGTTTGATACGCGAGAGAGAAGATTGTCAACTTCGGGGCGGATTTCGGAAAGTAATGATCGTTGCGCGTTGTTCAAGTCGGGCTCGGAGATCAGTTCGAAGTGCTATGTGAAGTGTTAGTTAGCTTGATTGGCAATTTAAAAGGCTAATCGGCTGCGTAAAAACGAGGGGGTCATACACGAGTGGCATGGAGCACTTTGGTCATGCGGGGAAAGTCATTGACTCCAGTGTCAAGGATGGAGATGGACGAGTCCAGCAGCTGCATGCTGGATCGAAGGGACGATACACATCCCTCAAGAGAATTTGCCATGGCTTCCGACCCTGAGGTGTATGCGACGAGGTGCGTAGTAATGCGTGGTGGTTGGACTGTGGAGAGCTTTGCTGTGCTTATTTTCTGGAGGATGTTGGTGGTGTTTACATCCCGCAGTTGCGGCGGTCGTAGATCCCCGCTGCCCGTAAAAGCAGCGAGGAGCAGACCTAAAGCGGCATGGCCGTTTTCCCTCCGAGCGAGAGTTCTTGGCGCGAGAGCGCCGACTTCGACCTCATCGCCCGCCGACCCAGCAAAAGTCAAGCCCGTCCATCCGCCAACCCTCTCGTAACCACCGCGTCACCACCGCCATCCGTCAAAATGTCCCTCCTCGGCAAGAAGTGGCCCACGCCCGTCGGTACGTCAACACCGCTCCGCGCTTAGAGCGACCGCGGACCGTCAATTGCTGCGAAGCGACCAATGCTAACATGCACCCGTCAACAGCCAAGCCTATGGCTCCGTTCTACGCTGCCGGTAAGCATTGAAGCCCATCAGGACCGACCTACTCCGATTGCGACCGAAGACGATACGACGAGCGAGAGAATCTGAACGGAAGCGCGAATTGGCGGGCCAGCGGGACGACTGCTAATCTGGATAATGCAGGCCTGGTCATCCTCTACGGCATCAACTCTTTCGCCTCTACCATGCGTAACAGTGCGTATCTCCCTTCGCTTTTCTCATTGGAACCCGCACTTCGTTCTGTGCTCTGGCTTCGTCTCAGGATTCCCCTAGGCCATCTCGGCTTTCCCAGGCCCACGTGCCCTATACCCACTACTTTAATGTGAGGAACCAATCGGCTAACCCGAGCAACTCGCAGCCGACGAGTTCAAGAACGACCCCCGCAACGGTGTCAAGGCTGCCCACTAGATCGACTGAGCAACAGTATCGGAGGGTTGAGAGGGTGTACAATACCCATATTAGATGGAGAAAATGGCCCTGTGTTAAAGCCCACGGTCGCATCGCGGCTACAAACATAGTCAGAGAGCAATAGAGACTCTTCTGAACAGCTTCCAGGACTATTCGATACCTTTGGTTGCCTCGGCGGAGACCGGCGATATACGCCATCGTCATCGTTGCTCGGTAGATCCTGTGAGAATTCTCCGTTCCCCGCACCCTCGTGTGCTCCGCCTCATCGCGATCACCTTATTCTCGTTTCTCGCTTTCACCGCTGGTTCAATCCCTGATCATGCTCCTGGGTCGACACGAGGCTAGGCAACATTGTGAAACTTGAGTTGCAAACGGACGACGGGCGGCACAGCCCATAATATGCATGCGAGCTGCAAAACGTGGACCCTCTTAACACGCACCCTGAATGGAGTGTCATTGGTGCGAGGTAGGATCTCGAACTCGAAAGATCATGCACCCCGTTTCTGCAACCCCGGGCGGTACCCGATTTCTTCATTGATCCCGATCCTTAGTACTTCCAGCCTCGCAGAGCAGATATGCCGGGTAACCGACCTGTGAGGATACGCGGCGTGGCTGATGGTCAGTGGCCCGCGCTTCCCAGCCCTCGAATTGGGTGAGGGCCGTGCCATGACATGTGCGGACGGTTGCTACAGCGGCAGGATGGTTGGCAGGCGACTAGTGAAAGCTGTTCGCCGATCTTGGCGCGAGTAATTCGGGGCCGGATTGTGGAGGCGGTCGGGGATTTGGGCATGCGCAGTGATGAATGGTTCTGGGGAATGGGCACGTGTGACGTGTACAGCAGCGGCTCGAGCGGACGCCATCTAGAGCAACCGAGCGACGGTGGCTTGATCAGATCAAAGGCTGGATAGGCAGATGGACAGTGCGATAAATATACGACTGGAGTAGCGAAAGTGGGGAATGATTCGCGCGCTTGTGGCTGGCAGGCGACAGAAACGGAAAGTGACGATATGAAGTCACATAGTATTGCAATAAAACGAGGAGTTGAGGCTGTTTGATCAGACGCATTCCTTCATATTGATCTCGCACATTCATGTCCGGACGAACGCTTCAGCTTCCCCTATGTTGCCATATTAATGGAGCCGACCCCGTACCAGGTACAGACATCGGCGATGGACGATTGGAATCATGTCTCCCTGGCCGCAGGGCGCTAGCTTAGGGGTGCTCACGGCACGCATAAGTCGGCAAAATGCGTGCAGTTTGTTTTGCTTTTTTCGCCTGAGAAGCACGCCGGCGTGCCGTGATCAGGTAATCGAACCACGGCGGGCGGGCGAAGAGGTTGCTTAAAGACACTGCCGACGGCTGAGACACGCTCCGCGGCAGGCCCCGCCAAGAACGGGGCTTGTCTGTGATCGGAGCTGTGACGCACGTTAGATCCAGCGCGCCCTTTCAGTTCTGGTCGCTGCGGTCTTCATGCCGACGAGCGTCGCAGAGCGCATGATATCTGTGCAGTAATCTACATTCAAGCTCCCAGTTCTGGATACGGAGTCAGCAGGCCGTCCGGTCATTATCAGGCGCTCGTTATTTGTGCTACGCGCCGCCGGAAATCACCCTGAGGCCGTGCGGGACCCTTAGGCATGGGCTGCCTTGCTTGGGCTTCTGGAAGGCGGATTGTGGGGTGGCGCAGAAGGAGGGTTGGCCGGCGGCGGGAGAGTCGGCTTTGTGGTGCGGCCGGAAACGGGTTGACGGTAGTTTCACTCGCCCTCGGTGGCTAAGCTTCTGCGTTTAAGGGGCCAGCGTTGCTATAAAAAGGGCGGCCGAATGGGGCATGCAGCGACGGGCTGACGGGAATCTGAGCTGAGCGGCAAGGGAAGGGCGCGCGATGAGCGCGTGGGTGGAGCGGCAATCGCTGCGCGGATGACGACTATTTGCCCGCCTGCGCCCTTTTTGCATCCTGTTTTCCGGCTGTGTGAACAAGGCACACCGAGGCGCCAGCCAGACCCAGCCGGCCGGGCGCAGCGGGCGGAACAGCCAGCGCAGCCCGACGACACCGCCATGCTGTGCTGCGCTGGGCAAAGCCGTGAGAGATTACTCCCCAACAGGGGAGCAGTGGCGGGGGTGGGCATGAACTTCCCAACGCGCGCAGGGCGCAGGGCGCAAGTAGGCGTCTTATTACCATTTGCCGGCGAGCACAGGCTTGGCCGTTGTCACTTTTGCGCCCTGTTCAGTTCGCTGCCCAGCGTCCAGCCGCGCTTATTCCCTTAGGCCCTTCTAGGTTCCCACGCTGCTCTAGTGCTGCACCACCTGACGCGCCGCCGAAGCGACTGCCTATGTGAGCGGTCCGCCTCCTCGCTCTTCCTCTCTCTACCTCTACTTCCTTCTTGGGATCTCCGTGTACAGCGCTGCACCAGCGGCTTTTCTCTTCCTCGGCGCCCTCGCCTCCTCACGCCCACCCCGACACACGTGCTGCCTTCTCGCCCGGTCGGGCTGCAATCCCACTGTCCCCACCGCAAACACGCCGCAAACCGTATCAGTAAGTCACTCCCCCCGCTGAGCCTCCTACTTCGCAACCGCCCAAACCTGCACCGCCGCCGCAAAAGCACGTCGCTCGCTGGCACCTCCGACCGGCGCGCTCCCTTCCCGCCCCCTCACGTCGCTCCACCGTCACCTGCTCGGCCCTACACACACCGCCTGGCTGGCAAAGCCTTGCTGACCGGCTTTCTCGTCCGCAACAGGCTGGACTTAACCCCACGACCACCGCCAACCGCCAACCCTCCCCATCCACCACCCCATCCCACCCGACTGCTTTGTCTGACAAGTAGTCGCAACGAACAATGACGACCATGGTGAGTTTTCCCCTGTCCCTGCAATCTGTTGAGATGGCTCCGGCCGCTGCAGCGCCCTCCGCTGCCGCCGCACCCAGCCCGAGCCTCACCCTGCAGCTTGCCACCCACGCAAAACTCTGAAGTCTCTAACATCCTCGCTGCAGGATCTTCGCGTCGGTAACAAATACCGCATTGGCCGCAAGATCGGTAGCGGCTCCTTCGGTGACATCTACCTCGGTGCGTTTCCTCGACGCCGCACGCCGCCGAACTCCTGTCTGACTCCGTGCTAGGTACCAACATCATCTCGGGAGAGGAGATCGCCATCAAGCTTGAGAGCGTCAAGGCCAAGCACCCCCAGCTCGAATATGAGGCTCGCGTCTACAAGTCGCTCGCCGGCGGCGTTGGTATCCCCTTCGTCCGCTGGTTCGGCACCGAGTGCGACTACAACGCCATGGTCCTGGATCTTCTCGGCCCCAGCTTGGAGGACCTGTTCAACTTCTGCAACCGCAAGTTCTCGCTGAAGACCGTCCTGCTCCTCGCCGACCAGCTCATCTCCCGCATCGAGTACATCCACGCCAAGTCGTTCATCCACCGTGATATCAAGCCCGACAACTTCCTGATGGGCATCGGCAAGCGTGGCAACCAGGTCAACGTTATCGACTTTGGTCTGGCCAAGAAGTACCGCGACCCCAAGACCCACTTCCACATTCCGTACAGGGAGAACAAGAACCTTACCGGCACTGCCCGTTACGCTTCCATCAACACTCACTTGGGTGTTGAGCAGTCCCGCCGTGATGACATGGAGTCTCTGGGATACGTTATGCTGTACTTCTGCCGTGGCTCCCTCCCGTGGCAGGGCCTGAAGGCTGCCACCAAGAAGCAGAAGTACGACCGCATCATGGAGAAGAAGATGACCACCCCTACCGAGGTCCTTTGCCGTGGCTTCCCCAACGAGTTTGCCATCTACCTGAACTACACCAGGTCGCTCCGCTTCGATGACAAGCCGGACTACTCCTACCTGCGCAAGATCTTCCGCGACCTGTTCGTCCGCGAGGGCTTCCAGTACGACTACGTCTTCGACTGGACCGTCTACAAGTACCAGAAGAACGCCCAGGCCATTGCCCAGGCTGCCGGCAACCAGGCCGGCCCTGAGGACGACGACAAGGCCCGTGGCCGCCACGTTACCAACACCGCTGCCGCCACCGCCGGTCAGACTGCAGCTACTGGTGCCGTCACCGACAAGCGCCGTGGCCCCGTCAACCCTCGCGAAGGTGGCACCGGAATGTGAGTTTAACGATATTATCCATCCTTGTAAGGGCTCTTTCCTCTGCGGCTTTAGTGCGACGACGCCTGGCGCGGGGGGTGTACAGTTTTCTTTGCTAACACGGGCATGCTAGGCAATTGCGTTCTTCCAAGCGCGGCGGTGCTGACCAGTACCAGGCCGGCTACTGATGAATGACTGAGACAGCCCGGGCTAGGCATCATCAATCATCATCTCTTTTGTGACATCAGTCGGAAGGCGCGGTTACTCTGATGGCACTCTGGTCAACATCGGGAAACGCGGCCTCGCCGTCCTTATGTGTCACCACAATTGGACGGCGGAGACTTTTGTTCACTCTCAGCTCCTATCTCTTGTTTGTTCGGTTTGCTCTTATTAGACCGATCTCGACCTACGCTCAATCTCGGCCCGTCAGCATCCTATCTGGCAAAGGCATTCCGGTCGGTCTCGGTGCTCCACGCTTCGGGTACGCCGGCCGGGTCTTTGCATAGTACTCATGCACGCTCGCGTCAGCGGCAGTGGAAAGGTTTTGCACGGGGATCCATAAGGACGGTTCATCTGGCAGAAAGCGAGTTATGCTCTCGACAAGCTCGGAAAAGACGACTCGCACCGTCGGACGGACTACCGATTTGGCACTGGTCATATCCTGCTACGGGATCTCAGATTGCACTCCTCTTTTCTTTTTTCGTGCTTTTGTCTGCGGCTGAACTAATTTCCCTTTACACTCTTTCCTTGGACTCTTTCCTTTCGATGCTAGTCTGCTTTTTTCTACTTCGATGGTCTGCAAATTTCCGGCACAGTGTCTGCTTCTGGGGAGGTTTTGCGTTTACACAAGGGGACGATCACAACAAATTGAAAGACATTCGGGCTGCGCTTTGAGCGTAGAACGCTGGGGACGGGGAAGACGGACAACCGGGTTTGATCTATGGCCAAATGCTAGCATGACTGGTTTCGACCGGCACACCATGATGCTTGGACGGAAGAACAGTTGAGTGACGCTGAAGGAAGGACCTGCCTGTTGGAGAAGTGCCCTGAGATGGAAGTGGTTATTAGTGCTCTCTTTAGTCATTCACAGAATCGGTTTTCTTTCTAAAATAGTGCGATGTACGGTGACACGTGATGATCAAGGCCCGCTGCCACGAATGACCTACATGAAGGCTATCAAGCCGTTGCACCGTTGAAAATTAGCGCTTCCGGACAATTAAAACGTAGGAGGAAAAGGCGCGACTCATGTGCCGTGAATGTAGCTGGCAGGCGATCTGCCGGCTGACTCAAAAAGCTTAACAAAACCCGCCCGTTGATTTGCCGCCACAGCTCTGGGCTTCCAAAAAGATTCCCGCCAACCTCACCTCTGCTGAGTGCGGCGAGAAGCCCGGCCAACACACCTGGCGGAATCATTTCTCGCCAAACCCGAGCCCAATTCCCCCAGATTTTAGCGAATTCGGTGTCCAGTCACACGACAAAAGCCGCAATGCTCTCTGCGCGCCCGTTGCAGTCCATCTGCACGGCTTGCCGGTCGAAACTGCGCACCAGCACCACCGCCCTAGATGCTGGGAGCAGGACGTGGTCCGCAAGCAGCAGGGCGAGCCTACACAAGCGCATGCGATTGAGCGCTCCTCCAACACCCTCGCTATCATCATCGCATCCCCGCCACTTTTCCGCTTCGAGTCGAGACTGCAACGAACAGCCACGATCGACGAACGACGCCGAAGACCCTTCCACGCCGAATGAACAAGGGCAGGCCAGCGCAGAAGGGGAGGGTGCGGGCGAGAACGAAGGACGGCAACAGGACGGCGATGGTGGGGAGGAAGCGCACGTCAAGAAGACGTACGCCCAGCTCGAGGCCGCGGCGCGAGATGCGCGTCAGGCTTACGGCGAGGTGCTCCCCGAGGCGCTGCTTTCGCACGAGGAGTTCGTCGTGTACGAGCGGCTGTACGGCGCCCCGCTGCGGATAGCGCCCGAGGAGGAGCTGAGGGCCGAGGCCGAGGCTCAGCAGCAGCAGCAGTACGAGGAGTCCGGCGAGGGGGAGAGGATGCCAGATACGCTTTGGGTGGAGGGCAGGAGCGGGAAGCTGGAGGAGGTGGAGTACTATTACGGGGCGCCGGATAGTGGGCGGGTGGTCCAGCAGGAGGAGGTGCTGGAGGATGAAGATGCGTTGGCGGAGCGGCTGGAGGCTATGGAAATGGAGGGAGAGGAGGAAGAGGGCGAAGGATGGGAGGAGGATGGAGTGACGGCGGATAAAATCAGGACACATCCGTTAACCTTCGTGGGGAGGTTCACCACAAGGCCTACGACACTTCAGCTGCCGAAGCGGGAGTTTGTTGAGCCTGTGTCGGAGATATTGGCCGCCGCCAATAAGAAGCATTTGGCGGAGGTGTCGCAGCGGCTATACGGAGGACACAGGCTACCGCATTCGACAGCGACACCACGGACGATGGGTGGCGAGCTGGTGCAGAAGCCCATACCATTGGAACCGTCGCAGCTAAGCATGTCTCCTATGGAGGGAGATTCGTATCTGGCAGCTGTCATGCCCGGCACGTACGCCGCTGTTACGAGCATCCTCGTTGAGGTCCGCAAACGTCTGGGTACCGAGTGGATAGAAGGTCTTCTTAAGAAGGGGGGCGGCCCTCTGATCCTTGATGTCAGCTCCGGCGGTGCCGCCGTCATGGCCTGGCGTGAGATTCTCAAGGCAGAGTGGGAGCGGATGCAAGAAGCCTCCGGCTCGTCCGAGTCCACCGCAGCTCCACTTGGAAAGGCATCCGTCATCACCGGCTCCGACACCATGCGCCGTCGCGCTTCCCATTTCCTTGAGAACACGACCTTCCTCCCTCGCCTCCCGGATGCCATCCTCGCTGGCGAGAAGGTTGGCCCCAAAGCACGCAAGGTTTACGACATCATCATCGCGCCTCATGCCTTGTGGTCTCTGCATGAGGATTACATGCGCAAATCCATGGTCCAGAAACTTTGGTCCTTACTCGACCCGCGCGGCGGTGTGCTGGTCCTGATGGAAAAGGGCCTCCCGCGCGGCTTCGAAGTCATCGCCGGCGCCCGAGCCCTCCTGCTCGACAACCACATCGCTAGCCCCGGTGCCACTCACGTCGAGACCCAGCCCTTGAATCACCTTGACCAGTCTAACAAGGCCCGTGTTGCGAAAAAGGAAGAGGGCATGATCGTTGCGCCGTGCACAAATCATTCCGGATGCCCAATGTACACGATTCCGGGCATCAGCAGGAACAGAAAGGACTTTTGCTACTTCAAGCAGAGGTTCATCCGGCCGCCGTACTTGCAGAAGCTTCTGGGCGCGAAGGACAGGAATCACGAGGATGTGCAGTTCAGCTACCTCGCGGTACGCCGGGGCAACGATATGAGGAGAGGGGAGGAAGGTGTGCTTCAGGGCGAGGAGGCGGTGCTCAGAGCGTTCGAGGGCTTGGGTGACAGACATCGGAACCCGCTGGCGGAGTTGGACGATGTCGATGATGCGGATATCGAGGTCGCGGACGCTCAACCAGGCGAGGTCGCCACTGCCGTAAACGACTCCGATGCAGCAGCAACCGCGCAAGAGGTTGCAGAGGAAACAGCAACAGAACAAGAAGAGCAAGAGGAGGAAGAGGAGGATTATGGCGAGGCTACCCAGCTCATGCTGTCCCTCCCGCGCATGATCCTGCCGCCGCTCAAGCGCCGCGGCCACGTCATCCTCGACGTCTGCACGCCGGCCGGCCGCCTCGAGCGCTGGACGGTGCCGCGCAGCTTCGGGCGGCAGGCGTACCGCGACGCGCGCAAGAGCCGGTGGGGCGACCTGTGGGCGCTGGGCGCGGCGACGAGGGTGCCGCGGACGGTGCGGCTGGGCAGGAAGGATGGCGGTGTAGGCCCGGCCGCCGCGACGGGCAAGATCATGGCGAGCGTGGTGCGGGACGAGGAGAAGACGAAGCTGAACAAGCGGGATAAGGCCAAGTTGAAGAGGGAGAGGGGCAAGAATTGGAAGAAGGGGAAGGAGACGAGGCGGATGGAGAGGGAGAGGAGGGATATGGAGAGGGAGGCGGATGATGAGGATGATGATATTTGAGAGTGAATGGTGAGAAGTTGCGCACAGTTGGGGGAGGGGTGTAGAAGTATTGATATGGGATCTCGACTCTTCGGAAAAGCTTTTGATCAGCTTGGCTTGCTGGGTAAATGGCTGGAATGGCACGCCACTCTTGTAGTATATAAATCCTCGATGAAGTAACACCACTTACCATAAATAAATTCGCGGAACTATGTCCGCCCTCGCTATTCACTCTCTGTTCATATCGATCCCGGTTGGATTTAGGTCAATCTCTCTGATATATACTATCTCGTTCCATGATGGCACCGGTAGCGCTTTCGGTATGGCGTAAGAGGTATGTAGCGGTAGTTCTGTCAGAGATTTGGATATGCATGACCTAGATTATTATATGTACAGATTGTAAACATGAACATGGTTGCAGCATATTCAACCCCGGACGGATTCTCGCTGCAGCGGCCACACCTTTTTTCTCGGCCCTCCTCGCATCCACTCGCTAGTCACTACCAGGAATCCTCACTCCTTCCTCTACACTCAACCCAATCAACCCCGCCCCCTCCACTTCCCCCAAAGGCGCCACAAACGCCATCTGACTCCAGCTAAACTGCAAATTCCGCCCACCAAACACAAACACCTCGAACCTGCCCCTGAACTCGCCATCCACCCACACCCTGCTCCCGCCCAGCACGTCCGTCGCCACCGTCACGTCCACCGGCTTAATATCGCCACTCGCCAGCTGCTCGATCGCCACCGGCTCGTGCGTCGACGTCGTGTCGTTGACCCAGATGCGGCCCGGGTGGCCCGGGTCCAGGTCGAGCGCTGAGCTTTCGGAGACGCTGCGCAGCGGGTACGGCCACCCGTCGGCGGTGGTGTAGACGAGCGAGCCGTTGGCGGTCAGGCTGAGCGCCGTGTCCGGCCCGCGCAGGACGAAGGGCCCTGTGGCGGTGAGGTGGAGGGTGTGCGGTAGGCCGACGCTTCCGCCGCGCGCACCGAGGGCGGTCGGGGAGGTGGAGTTGCTGGCCGGGCGGGTCCAGGAGAAGAGCGTGGTACCGTTGGTGGTGCTGGGGGCTTGGATGCGGCGGTCGAGGTTCTGGCCCGGGATGCGCGGGGCGAGGTAGTCGACGGTGGCGGAGAGGGTCGCAGCAGTGACGTTGGGTCCGCGGACGCCGCTCCAGGCGCGGGCGGCGACGAGCGGGATGCCGGCGCGCATGGCGTAGTAGGCTTCCAGCTGCGTCGTGGCGTCGGGCCCGTTGTCGTTCCAGGCGGCTAGGATGGCGCCCTTGTTGCCGCGCGCGCCGGCGGGCAGCTGCTGCGTCGTGTTGACCGGGTTGAAGTCGGCCGGCGTCCATTGCCAGCCCGGCTCGTCGGCGAAGTTGAGGACGCGGGTCGTGTTGAAGAATTGCGGGTACGGCGCCGGGTTGATGGGCATGTGGTCGTTCTTGAGGGACATGTAGGCCCACCAGTCTTCGGAGTTGATGAGGCTATAGCCGTCGGTGTAGAGCTGGACCGGGTCGGATTGGCCGTATTGCCAGTGTTGGATTATGACGTCCTTGGAGATGGTGAGGTTCTCGGAAGGTTCGTAGGTGCCCCAGATTCTGATTGTTTTGTTGGAAGTGGACTGGATGTAGGAGGACATCTCGTTGACGAATTTGATGTAGTCGTCGGCGAGCGTCGAGTCGTACTCGTCAGCGCCGATGTGCACCTCTTTCGTGCTGAACCATGGTAGGAATTCGGACCAGATGCGCTTGACTGTCGGGATGGCTTCTGGATGGGACAGATTCAGCAGGTCCTTTTTGTCGAGGGCCATCTCTGGTTTCCATTTGGTCAGGTATAAGCAGTGGCCGGGTGCTTCGATTTCCGGAATAACCGTCACCCCATGAGCGGCACAGTGCTGCTGGAAATCGGTGAAATCCGCCCGAGAAAGTGTTTCATTGGGCCGCTCAATGATTCCGTGCAAAGACTCGTCTTCTGGAAGAAGTGAGAAGTGCGAGTATACTTCGTTCCATGTTTCGTTATGGCCACGGTTCAAGGGGTAGTTGTCGCTCAGGTGGTAGTGGAACTCGGAGAGCTTGAAGAACGACGCGTAGGTGCACAGCTCTTTCAAGAACGATGGCGCATAGTACTTCCGGCCTGCATCAAGCATGAAGCCCCGGGTGGCATATGCTGGAGTGTCGACGATGCTCGTGGCAGGGAGAGTGCCGTTGGAGAGAAGCAGCTGCTGGAGGAGAGTGCGCGTCCCCCACCACATACCCCGGGCACCTGCACCGCCGATATAGATACGGTCGCTGGATATGCTGAGCTCGTAGCCTTCTTCCGTGGGTGTCCCATTCTCATAAGTCAGCTGGGAGCTGTTGCCGGTGAAGGCGCCCAGAAAGATGCCGGTGCCATTGCTTGGGATGCCGTTGACCTGTTGCAGAGTCCAATCGGCGCCAAAAAGTTCAGATAGATCCTGTTGGAACACCTCTGAAAACTCAAAGGCCGTGGGTGGGATCAGAGTCAAGCCGTGCGAGTCTGCAATTGATGCAAAGGCGCTGTCGATATAAATGGATTTGGGAGCTGATACGAGGTTGAATGATCCGCTGCCGTTTGCGTGCCCTGGTGCTGGTGGAAGCAATTGGAGTCCGCAGGCAAGCGACGCCCCGGATAGGAGTACCGCAGGATTTCTCATGGATGCGGTTAGGCGGTGACGTGAGATGCCCTGTAGGTTTGCTTTTGTACCTGGCTCCAGGGATGCCGATCATTTCCCCCACTCCCCACACTGTGCCGCTTATCACCGCTACTACCCCCTCATGCAACCCCACGCGGCATCCCGCGTCAATGTGGCATTATTGAACCATGGTCATGATTGTGACACCGCCCTTAAGACTATTGAGCAAGACGACTCCCCAGAGTGATTCATGTTTGAGGTGCCAGATCGGCAAAACCGCTGAGTACCCGAAGCAGCATGGATGGGCTGCCAGCAGGAGGAACATGAGGATGTCGCCTATCCGCAGCGCATGACTTGTATGCAGTGTATCGGTATATCAACTGCTTGCTCGATTTTTCTTTTTCTTCTCAGGAGCTTTGCACAAGTTGCACCAAAGCACCAAAGCATTGACATATTTCCACTACATCTTGGCATGACGATCTCTTCAATTGACAACAAGCCTGCTAACGTATACACTGCCAGCTCAGCAGCAATAAATACGTGTTTCAACTTCCATAAAAATACGCCGGTCAGGCGTTGATCTGGAAGTATGGTGGCAATATAAATTTCTCTTGAACCTGTAACTTCATTCCGAAACTCAAACTGGAAAAAGGAACCCCAAACTTTCTACATCTATAACGCAGTTCAACCATATTGACCAAAACAAACATGTCTGGGCCTTGGTTTAATAAGCTACCTGATGACATAGACCCTGAACTTCTCCAGAACAGCGGTCAATACACCGGTTCGGCAAACCAGTGGCTTGTGAACGGCGAATGGCATCCACCATATGTCCCTCGAAGCTACTCATACCCAGAAGTTGCTGAAAGACAAAATGTTAAGTGGCCTATGGAAGTCAAGCCTCCTACGAATGATCAGGGTGACAAACAAACTAAGAAATAACTTCAAAGCCTGGGAAAGGCACATTCAATCATCGACATACAAATGGCTTCATAAAATGATGCAGCTATCGCGTGCTGCAGCTTCATTACATGAGCGTTAGCTGCGCCAGCCCTGGCGGTACTCTACGGCGTACAACAATTGGTTAGGAGCAAACAATCAGATTAGCCATGGACGACTGTAGTAAAGGATAGCTTATAATGTATGTCGATACCAAACGCGAATGTCTTGTTGTTTTCACGACTAGGAATCTCTAATCATGAGTTAAAAACGGGCGTAGTAAGAACTCATGAAGTGGCTAAAGTTCATTCGAATTGATTTAAGTCTTTCTCTTTAAAAATACTGATACTTGCCTCTGTGCACATATATGTAAAATGTATGCGCGCAGCAGTGGTGAGTACAGGAGATGATCTGCACAGGAGCAAGGCTGAGTCTTCAATGATGGTGAGCGAAATTGTGGCTGTGACACATCCAATCAGTTGATTGGAAGCGATAGAGAGGTGGCTGCATGATTATTGAGTCGGCAGGCCAATAGAAACCTTTGCCTTCCTTACCGGAGGCGGACCTCGATAATTATAATGCAAGTCCATGCTTTTACGAGTCTGCCTTGCAGCACGCCTTTCCTGTTACTCAGACATTCCGCGATGGAGGTGAAAGCCCCGTCGTAAGCCAGGCAGCTGCATGTAAGCAGGCACCAACTGAAATCTGCGCGTGCTTCTCATCGCCTCCCTTCTTTGCAGGTACAACACCAACAATTTGTGAGCCTTCTGCCTCATTCTGGGCTCAGCAAAGACGCTTATTGCCTAACTCTGCACCTACACACCCGACAGCTTCTTCAACAAAACCGTGTGAGAGGGCGAAAATGAAGAAACGAACAAGGCAAACTAGAAAGAGACGTCGGGGACGAGGATATAGATACAAACACCTACCGGACGAGAAAGCCAGCATACGCCTCCTCGAGCTTCTTCCTGGCCGCTGGGATGACGACATACGCTGCAAGCTCCGGGTGATGACTTCGCGCCCCTTTCCATCTTACGAGGCGATCTCATACTGCTGGTATGACGCGAATGACAAAGAGGCCATATTTTGCAATGGAAAGCGGCTGTTGATCCCATGGAATCTGAAGAATGCGCTTCGTCAGCTCAGGTCTCCGACCGAATCCAGGATCATGTGGGCAGATGCCATCTGTATTAATCAGCAAAACAAGAAAGAGCGAGGACACCAGGTCATGCAGATGGGAACTATCTTCGAGGAGGCATCAACTGTTTTGATCTGGCTTGGGCGCGGCACTGGGTTCTCTGCTCGATCTGCATTTGAACTTATCACTTTTTTGGAAACCGAGCTTTCCCTGCTGGAAAATCCCAGCGATAGCGACGAGGAGGACCTAAACAGGATCTTCAGCAAATTCCCAAGAGAATCATGGGCTGAATTTGACGAATTACTACGTTACACATGGTTCGAACGCGCATGGGTCGTTCAGGAAGTCGGCTTGGCAACTAGTGCATTGGTGGTTTGCGGGGACGCCACCATCGATTGGGATACTCTCGCCAGCGCGGCGTCAGGTTTATTAGAATATCAGAAGCCTTGGAAGAAGTCCAAGCTTTTGACACAGAACCGACCACTTTGGCGCATCTGCAATATGCTTGACCTGGAATTTCAGCATTATAGCGGAATGAACATCTTGAGAGTTCTGGACAGAGGCCGGGAAAGTTTTGCGAGCACTGATGCTCGTGACAAAGTTTATGCATTCCTCGGACACCCAGCTTTCCGAGAATTTTGTCAACAGCACCAACTGGAGAGTTTCGTCCGGATTGATTATTCAATCCCGCACGGGAACGTATATCTGGATGTTGCGTCTCAGCTCACCAAACAGCAAGATCCGTTGGAATTCCTGTCTTACGTCTGTCATGGGGAAGACCTTGACAACTCAACTGAAGGCTTCATTTCTTGGGTACCCCAGTGGGAATATCGCCGCAGAGAACCACCGGTTGCATTGCTCCGTTGGCCGGAACAGAAATGGACTGGAGGATCTCGAACTGCACAATTCGAGATAAATGAGAGGTCTCTCTGTATCCAAGGAGCAGTTCTTGATTCTCTGAGATATACGTATGACGTAAGGGTACACCGTACTAAGCCTGGCTACGAAAATTGGACCATTCCTGTCCTTGATGCACTAATCGAGCCTTACGAACTGGCCAAAGCCTGGGATGATCTTCAAGAGGCTCTTCCGGACAAAAGCAAAGAGAATATCTTGAGAGAGCTCTGCGATACAATCACCGCAGGATCCACAGACGAATTCAAGAGTGGAGAACCAGAGCAACTTGAAACCCTGTACCTCTACATGGTGACCGTTGGTATACATATTAAGAGGGATGACGTCTTACCCGAAAAGTCATGCTCTAGTGGAGATTTCTGGAAACTTCGTACCGCTACAGCAGCCATTTTCGGTCGGCATTTCTTCGTTACTGAAGGGGGGCGCATGGGCTTGGGACCTGAGTGCGTGTTACCCGGAGACATTATCTGCGCTTTTTTCGGCGCGCGTACACCTTTCATAATTCGGCCCCACCCACAACGAGGCTGTAAATATTGGTTTGTTGGTGAATGTTACATGAGAGATTTCATGAATGGAGAGGTAGAGGCCATGCTGGACAGAGGCGACACCCGGGAAGAGATGTTCCATCTTGTCTGATATTTTGTACATTTTCATCGACTGTCCTCGAGAAGCATCACTTCTACTCTGAATTCTTTCTCTCTTAATATTCTATATCTCAGCCCTCGTACCAAAGCCATGTCAGCTAATTAATTTTTTGTAGCTACCTTCACTACTACTCATCTTCATGTCCAAGATAAAATTCCACACTCTACCGCTGCTGCAATGTTAATGGTTGATTTCCGACGGATTATTTATCGTAGAAGTAAATCCTCTTTATCGATGGTGTTGAAGGCTGATAATTTGCATGTCAGAAGTGGAGGGGTACAGTAAGACGCAGCACAGACCATCTTGTCGTCATTCGCCGCCGCAGCGACCCTCCAACGCAACGCAACGCGTCAATCCTTACCCTAGTTTCTCCAACTCCCGCTTTGCCCATGTCGTCAAGGACCCTTGTGTGATACCGCTCCTGGAACCTTCCCGGCGCCATGAGGCTGGCAAGCCGCCCTGCAAAACTTCAGCCCGCCGAGGACGACAAGCAAGCTGAGCACTTGCCCGACGAGATCGTCCTCGAAATCCTGTCTCACATCCCGCACACCAAAGAATCCCAGTTTGACCTCTGGTCTTTCTGCCTTGTCAAGCGGCAGTGGTACAACGTTGCCATCTCCCGCCTGTACGAGGAACCGTGGCTTGAAGGCTCGAATTTCGACCCCTTCGTCAATACTATCTGCCCCTCCAGGAATCTTCACATCAAGAACAGCGAGCTTGCCGGGCTCGTCCGTGTCTTGGATCTTAAGCGCATCGTCCACCAGAGCACAAAGGCCACTACTGCGCGCCTGCTTGGTCGCACCAAGTCGAGTCTTGAGGTCTTCATTGCTCCTCAGTCGGCTTTTGCCATCAACAGCTTTGCCGCCCTATCAAAATGCACAAACCTTCGTGTCCTGGACTTTTCGCTCATCTGCGAGGCTGTCAGCTTCTCTAGCCTTGCGCATGTGCTTGCGAAGCTTCCGAATCTCAAGACGCTCTACTTCCCCCGCTCCTCTAGCGACATTGCTTCTTTTGATGCCTCTACCATAGCTTGGCCGCCTTTGGAGAGACTCTACTTGAGCGGCAGCATCGACAGTAACTTCATTCGGCGTCTCTTGAAGGAGGACTCGTTGTCATGCCGCCTTCCGGCTTCTCTGAAGACACTTTCCATCACCCATTGCCCGCGTCTCGCCACCCACGATCTTACCTCTCTAATCCGCGCTGTCGGCCCACAGCTGGAGCTGCTGACCGTCGAGAACATCCGCGGACTTCGCGCCAACGCCATGGATCGTGTCCTGGACTTCTGCCCCCATTTGAAACTTCTTCGAGTATCCTTGGATTACCTCACCTTCATGTTCGTTTACCGCGACCAGGAGGATGTACGCTTCCTCGATCATCCTTTGGAGAGATTAGAGCTCACCGACTCTGGGAATATGGGTTGGTCTCTCGACCCTGACGAGGTTCTCAAGGCTGGTGACCTCGCCGACGCCATCCAGGATGGCACCATACCGAATTTGCGAATCATCCGGGTATCTAAGTCTGCTCTTTGGCATGTCGACGATGCGGATGAGATGCGGCGTCTCATAGATACCATGGAGGACACCTTCAGCAAGCGAAAAGCGGAGAACCCTGACCTGGATAACAAGGTAGTTGGTGTATGGACCATGGAAGATTGATCCCTAACCATCCAGCCTAACAAAACATACTTTGTCTCTCTTGAAGAGGCTGGACGCGCACGATGAAGTGCTTTGAATCCGTTGGAGGTTGGTTCCTCATAGCTTCCCTGGCCTTTTGATTACGCCGTTGACATGAAAAGCTTTGGGAAGGTGCTATTGGAGTAAAGAAAAATGGATAAAATTAGTAATTGGACTCGAAGTTGCAGCATTGAATAACGACCAAACTGTAGAAGTTGTTTTCGGGCTTTCAAGCAGTGGCGTCTCGAGTATTTGGGTGGAGCATTACGGCGATTTGGTTTGTAGTCCATCAAGGACAAGGATTTCGGTGGATTGGGCTTTGGGAGGTTTGCGGAATATGCTTGCAACATTCGAAGCTTCAAGAAGAGGTCGCTGTCACACAAATTTGAATGACCGCTGGTTATTTCGAGACTGTCTTATTTTCCGTGTTGTGAGGAGCTTGAACAGCCGTGTCTTATCGATAAGGCTCGATAGTGACGATTGTTTCCATCGCGTCACTCGGTCTTGCGCAGGCTCCAACTCTTCTTCCACACCACCTCAATTCTTCTACCTGCGACCCAGCGTCCGTAAACATGTCTACGCCGCCCGCGAAACGCAAGAACATGGCCGTCACAACCGACGGCGCGCAGTACAACAAGCGCCAGCGCCCGGACAACTACGCCGCGATGATGGCCATGCCGCCGCCTGCGCCGCCGCCGCCGTCCCGGCGCCCGAATGTAAGCAACCCTGCGACCGCCAACAATAATGAAGAGGGCAAAGAAACAGCCGGAGAGGAGAAGAAGAAGGACATTCCGAGTCACGCGCAGAGGATGGATTGGTGGAAGTGGACCAAGGATGGCCCAGACGGCAATGCGATTACGCGCGACGACAACAATAGAGGAGTTGCTAACGGCACCAAGCCGCAGAAGGCTGTCCAGGTCGAGACAAGTGAGATTGAGGATGAAGCAGTGGTCAAGACGGATGTTCAGAACGCGAATGACGAGGGAACAGACAACGAGAAGCGCGACGACGACGCTTCCGAGTCTGAGGCTCCTGGCTCGCCGGTAGATGCACCCGAGACCCACTTCGCGGCTTTCACCCCAATGGGAGCGAGGAAGGTCATTTGGAAGAAACCGAAGGGCGGCGAACAGAACGATGACGAGCCCAAGGGCAAGAAGAATAAGAAGACCAGCCAGAGGGATCTCAGATATGGCCAGACGTCTGCCCTGAACCTGGACGACGCGGCAAGTGACGACGGCGAGGGAGCTGAAGCGATGCGCTATCTCAAGGGAGTCAGGTGCGTTCACATCCCCTTCGTTCTTGAAACCGCTCATGTTGACCTGCCTGGAGACTTGCACTCTTCTCCTGCCACGACGAACGAACATTTCTTGCTCCTTTAGATGCCCGCGCACATTTGTTGATTTATTGATGGTGAGTATACAGGCTTGAGGCCAATGGTCTGCCCATAACCTTCAGAGGCACTGAACCCGGTGACTCTCGTGCTATCTACAGCACTGCTGTCGGCGATACACGCGGCTTCTATGAAGATGGAGCTTATGTTGCACGCCCTAGCCTGATTGGGCCCGTGATGCCGCCTGCTTACGCCGCTTCTCGCGCTTTCGACGAGGAAGAAAAAGAAGTAGAAGAGGGAGAGCATGACGATGAGGATCAGTTTATGGATGATGATGAATTCTATATTAAATGGCAAGTCAGTCGCGCTGTAGCACAATGTGCTCATACTAACGTCTTTCGAATAGGGTTGATGTTCAGGAGGAATACCACAATCGCTTGCTTCTTCGCTTTGAGGGCTTCCGCAACCTCATGGCTCAGAAGCCGACTGAAGATCAACAGGAATCTCTCGACAAGTCCTGCTACTGCACCTTCCCAAGGAACAATCCGAAAGTTATGCGTCAAGCTGTCCGCCGCTGGCTAGAAGTCTTCGCTGATACTCCTCCCAATCCGGTTCAAGTCGCACAGATGGACTCGTATTGCGTGTTGAAGCTGCTTGACATTCTTAAGCGCAAGCTCGAATGCTTCAAGGACGTCGAGGAGAACATCAGCATCTGGATCTTCGCTCTGCTGGCCAGACTTTGTGAGGTCATTCCGATCCACTGCGACGACGCCAGCATCGTTCGCGAATTAGCCCTTAGGGCGCTCATGGTACGCGTCACTTTCACCGGAGAACACATTGCGGAGCTTGAGGACAAAGTGCCCCAGTATTACACCGAGGACCAAGAATTCTTTGACCATGTGAACGCAGATCCGAGACAGGGCAAGAAGCAGGAAGAGGATGACGGAATCACTGATTTGAGGAAGATGCTGGACGAGAAAAAAGAGCTCCTCGCCCGGAAGGAGGCTCTTCAGAAGCGTGTTGCGGAAATGCCTCGCATGATGAGCAAGCGTGAAGCCTTCGGCATGTCGCCGAGGGAACCCAGTGGCGATGAAGAGGAAGAAGGGGAGACTACTAAGTCCGCCGCGACGCCGGACGACGCGCTGTCGTCTCAAGAAGCTGCCTCCGCGGAGGAAGAGTCCGTCATGGATCATAAGGAAGACGGCAAGCCTAACCCCAACGCCAACACCCGCGCTACGCTCAACATGATCCTCGCCGTCGCCTGCGACGTCTTTGGGCAGAAGGACTTGTCTAAGTACTTGGAGATCTGGGGCGAGTACGATTACCTGGAGCCGTCGGCTGAGGAGGCGGAGGTTCTTGTGCAGATGGAGGAGGATGATAGTCATCCCTCGCTCCCACCTATGCTCTCGCCTATTAGTTCGCCCTTGAGGTAGAGCAATCGGGATGAACGGGGATATTCTTCTGAGTATTTTATTACGGTGAATGGGACTTCTGGTCGAGGCCACCATGCTTGTTCACCATTATTATGAACCAAAGACTACGGCTTCGATTCAGGGGTAGGTACTGCGAAAGCTAGTTTATATGAAGTGCCTGAAATGACTTCAGCCATCTCGATACGTGATTGGAGCCTTGTGCGTTTGTTTGCCGTGACGATGAAGCATCTGGCTGATCGAATGCCTTCATTACTGGCTGACTTTGTGCAGGACCCATCACACGCAGCGCAGCCTGCAGTCACAGTGCACTGCCCCGCAGGTCTAGCGGTCGCACTGGGACGAATTTCAAAATCGTGGCTACTGTGGCGTTTTCCGTTGGCTGTAGGGACTGCAGCACCCCCTCCATACAGCATGTCCAATCACCAGTGGGGGCGAAGCTGGTTGAACCCGTCAGGCGAGGCTGACATCGCATGCATAGCCCCACTGCAATGACAGCCTGAGACCTCAGCCTCGACATTTTTCCAACTTTCGTGTCTTCACGCCTCAAGACACTCCCTTTCAAACACTGCCCGCCTGACTTCTCTGTTACAATATTCTATAACATGTCTCATGGCTCCTTCCGAAGCGTTTTCCACCGCCGCCAACGTCTTTTCGGTAGTTGGATTGGCTGATATTGTCTTCAAGTACGGTCGCGAGGTGTACGAGACGCTCTCGAAAGTTCGCAATGCGCCGGAAGAGATCAAACAGCTCCTTGGTGAGGTTAAAGATGTCGAAGGCCACGCTTCTCGAGTCAAGGCTTTTTTGACCGACCTCGCTCAATCGGCCTTGCAGCAGCAAAGAAGAGACTTGGCATCCCGAATTGAGACGCTGCTTCTCCACTTTCAGGAGGAGTTGGTCATTATAAGCAAGTCAGTTACGGAGTCAACACTATCCTCCAGTGATGGGTGGTTGAAGAAACTCAGGAAGAACGCGAAGTGGGTGTGGGATGAACAGGACATCACCTTGGCGCGGCGTCGACTGGAGCGATGGAAGAGAGAGTTGGATTCAACTCTGATATTGGCCGGGAGGTGAGTATTCTGGTGCGAACGTGCAATGGGCCCATACTTACAACTCAAAGGAAAATGGATGTTTCGATCCACGCGGAGATCGCAAGCGCCCGCGTCGACATTACCCAAGGATCCTCCGACTCGACGGCAGCGCTTTCGCATATCCGCAACACGGCATCATCTATCGAGAATAAGGTTGATGGTCTGTCCACGACTGTTGGCACTTTTCTCCAGGACAACAATGCACAAGTTAGCGGCTTGAGGGGTATTGTGCTTGATACGCAAGAAGCAACAAACTCTGCGAGGATGCAAGTCTTACAGAAGCTCGACTCAGTTACAGGTGGCTCAAAAGCTCAACACTCAGCGTTGCAGAACGACGTTCGTGGCGGAGTCAATTCAGTCCGAAAAGATATCCACATCATGTCTCAGAGTATGAGGCAATCGAGGAGGCAACAAACTCGCAAGCAACGCTCAGCAACCAAAAAGATCATGAACAAGCTTGAAGAGGTCAATGCAAACATGGTGGACAACTTTGCGACCTTGAATCTGACCCGCACGGGAGACGGCGCATTCACATTTGAAGGTAGTAACCTCGAGGCGATGACCCTACCACTCGAGCTACTATACTCGGAGCTTGTCAGAACTCTTCCGGCGCTTCAGTCCAAGACAAAACTCAACGTATCGCAGTCTGAAGCTGGTTGGATTCAGCAGCAGTTTGAGATGGTTCGCGCAGCAAGTTTTGAAATCTCCGCAAGTACCGCACGTTCAAGAGCGACGCAACGTCCACCTTCAGCTATTGCGCGAAATCCATGGCGGCAACAGATTGTCATGCATTCGGCTTCCAGTTGCAGCTTCGTTGGCCAAAGATCCTCAACTCCAGCAAGCCGCCGGTCGATAATCTACCGAAGCGAATCCCTGGAAACACCGCTTGGAACTCTCAACTTATCAGTGATCCGCTCCAAAGTCATAGACAAGGACCCAGAAAATACAGAATTAGAGTCCATGGCCATCACCTTCTGCCCCTCGGATCATTTTGGGCTGCCGGGTGTGTCAGCAAACTTCACTCATCACCACCCCTTCACCCGTCAGCATATTCCGCCCATCATCCGCATATGGAACATCGTGCCGCGGGACTCGCCAGCCTTCGCCGCAGTTGCCCGTGATGATGTCAGCGAATTGATTAGGCTTTTCGAGGTCGGTGTAGCCTCACCCTTCGATCGCACGCCAGACGGGTATTCCCTTGCAATTGGGGCCATCGAATATCACAGTTGCCAGTCTTTCAAGCTCCTCATCGAACAAGGCGCCGGACTACAAGAAATTGAATCAGCAACTAAGACTTTCGCGGCTCCCGGCGTGCTGCACTCTAAAGATGACGCTCTCAAGCTCTATCAGATGATTTCATTGATCTCTGCGCATATACTCGGCCCTTCCAGCGATGACAAATTGTGCACGTGGATTGCATTATGCCCAATTTTTTCCATTTTAGAGCAAGTGCAGCTTAATTTCTGGGAATGTGAACCCTCAGACGCGGAGCTGTTCTCTTGCTTTAAATATAGCTTGCAGGTCCATCTTGAAAATTTCCTAGGAGTATTGAAGAAACCCATTGAATCCGTTCCTGTTGGTCTACTACTTGCTTTCGCTGTGGTATTAGGCAATATTCTTGTACCAATTTCACGATTTTACGAGTTATTAGATATTCACTTACCGTCTCTAGAATGTCTTGGGGACGTAATGGCCAAAACGTTTTCTTGCATACAAGAGGATCTGGATTGTAGAGCTGAAATTTTTCTTCCTTACTTAGTAGAGCTGTTGCAAATGGGCGTGTCTCCCGATTGTATGAATAAGGATGGGTTTACTCTATCGGACTATGCGTTGGACGACATGAGGACTTTGCTTGTGTGGATAGCGGCTGTGCGAAAAGCTGGATTCCAGCTGAGTGAGGTACATTGTGTAGATGGGACATCCTTAGAAGAACTTTGGACGGAGTACCTCGAGGACCTCCGAAAGATACCGAGCTGGAAAAAGATCATTGCAGCGTGCGATATGGATCAGCTCGGAGACATGGCAGAGGCATTCCTGACGCAATCTTCATGTCTGAGGGAGGCTTGGTTGCACGGTATGGAGGTGGAGGACTTCTTCCTCATGGATATAGCGTCTCTTTGGGATTAGAACATTTGCAATTTCCTAATCAGAAGTTCGAAAGTTTGCCTGGATTTCTTTCATTGGATTCACTGGCTCACAATGTTCAATAAATGTACTATCCTTGCTACTTCTAGCCTTACAAACAACAAACATGATGTCCCTGTTTCTAGAAATTTAGCTTATGACCATCTTATACTCGCCACCCGTCGCCACCACCTCCACCCTCACAATCCCATCATCACCAACTTCGACCCCCTCAACCGCCTCCCCATCGTCCTCCAGCGTCACCTCGCCCACGGACCCCAAGCTCCCCACCACCACCTCTCCCACCGTACCTTCCGGCGCGCTCCACCACACCACAGTCGTCCCATTCTCACCCCTCTCCCACCCGGCCTCAAACTTCCCCCACGGCGTCGTGAACCCAGCCCTCGCAAACTCCAGATCCCCCCACAGCGGCCGCAGCGCCCACTTCCGGCCGGCGAGGTCGCGCACGGCGAGCCCGACGATGCCCTCGGTCAGCACGCTGGTAGGGCCGGCGCTCCAGCCGTGCGCGTGGCTGACGTAGCTGGGGTCGTGGCCGTAGCCGCGCTCGGCGCGGTACCCGAAGGTGCCGTCGGTGCGGTAGCCCTCGATGACGGTCGAGCCGCCCGTGCCGTTGGCGTGGTCGGCGTACCAGCCCCACGACCTGCGCACCAGGTCGAGCGCGCGCGTGGCGGCCCCCGCCGCGATGTGGCCGTGCAGCTCGAGCGACGAGATGAAGGGTGAGATGTTGCCTGGTAGTTCTGGTGGCTCGGCGCCGATGGCTGTCCAGTGCTGCGTCAGCGCGGCGGAGATGGCGGAGGTCTGGTTGGGTGGGGCGACGGAGAAGTAGAGGGAGAGGGCGTTCGCGTCTTGGGGGTGGAGCGTGGTGAGCGTGGCGTTGTCGCGGTAGAGGGAGGCGGAGGCGTCCCAGGTGTGGGTGTTGATGGCGGCGCGGAGCGAGGAGGCGCGCGAGAGAAAGGTGCTGCTGAGCGTGCTGTTGGTGGTGTTGGTGTGCCAGTCGGCGAGCGTGGCTGCAGTGGTAAGGGTGTGATAGAGGCTGTGCAGAAGCGGACGGGTGTTAGCTGAAAGTGATATTTGGGAAGGGAGAGAGGCGTGGATGAGGGATACTGACATAATATTTGCCTGGGTGTTATTCCAGCCCTGCTGCCATCGTGCCCAGTCACGGGTGCCAGTGACGTTGAGAAGCCCGGAGCCGTCGACTTTGGCGTAGACGTAGTCCATGGCTTTGATATACCGATCCCACACTAGCCCCAGAAAACCCAAGTCGCCAGTGTACAGTACGTAATTGTACGTGCCGATCATTGTCCACATGTGGTACGTGTCGCTCCCCTTTTGTAGCAGCGGCGGGCCTGCTTCAGGGATGGCACCATCGGCCTCCTACAACTTCCAGTCAACACTTAGTCCTTACTGGGTTCATTGAAAAGACGTACCTGATAATCGTACATCACCTGCAGCGCATTTCTCACACTCTCCAGCTCACCCGTACTCACATAAGCTGCTGGTACAGCGACGCCCATGTCACCTGGCCAAACCGCCCTGTCCCTCTTCGCACCATCCACGATGACGGTGCTGCCGTTGGCAAGGGAACCGTTGTTGGCCCAACCGGCGCTCATAGCGGGCCACGCGCGGCCAGTATTCACGGGAACCGCGTTAGTCTGCAGCGTGTACGCCCCCGCGTACCACACGCGGTTAAGTAGCTCGTCGCTGCTGTGGAAATAGCCCTGGTAGGCGCGTAGGTTCGCCCACGTTGGCTGGAAGGCGAGCTCTAATTGCACATCCCCGATGTCTATCGACGTTGCGGCCGTTGAGTTGGTGAGCAGAAAGAGCGTTAGGTACCGGAAGCCTCCGCGCAGTTTCTCGTCAGGCATAACATAGCTACGGTTGCTCGCGGCGGCGGTATTGAACGGCGTGTCGTAGATGGCGCCATCGCCGGCTTCGAACAGGCCGTTGGACGAGTCTGACGTGAGGCCGATCCAGTTCTTTGCTTCACTAAAGGCCAGGCCGAGGACACCGGTACCGGTTGCGGAGTAGGAGAGGTGTACGATGCCGCCCACTTCTAGACCGAAGTCAAACACGAGAGCCGAACCGTTCCCTTGGAGTGTGTTTGCGCCTGGGTATGGCGAAATGATGGAGGCATTGGCGACAGAAAGGATAGACTTGGGGCTGACGGTGCGCGCGGATGGAGCGTAAATGCTGGAGTCCCATGGGCCTGGAAAGGCGGCCTCAGTAGGGCCGTCACAGACCGTGTCTCTCCAGCACGACTGTGCGAGCACGGTGCATGACGTCAATAGAGAAAGAAATGCCCATGTTGCTTCTACTATTCTAAGCGACATGCTCAAAAACCGAAGAACCTCGGCCAAGTGTCTGAGACCATAAGGTATTGAAAATCAAGACAAAGTGGATTGAGTGTGGGCAGTGAGAAAAGACCAAAGAGCAACGACCTTACGGTGGTCTTTCAAGTTCTTCCCATGGCCAATATATCAAGCCTTTCCCCCAATAACACCTTGCAGTACTAGTCAGGGGCACTAGTCGCGAAAGGGAAAGCCACGGGAGACGTTGTACCGAGGGCCAGGCGGGAGAATTGATGCCGTGCCGATCCCCCGCATCACAGGCGGAGATTGCGGAGAAGACGGACCATCTCACAACTTGCCAACAACTTCGGGAACGTCCTCAACGGCCGTGGATCTCGCGCGTGAAGCACGGTTTTTGGCACGGCGGTCCAGCCACTGACGGACGCGTCGCTTCTCTGATGCCGGGCTTAGGGGCCGAGAGATGGTGTCGACAACCCAAACGCCAACAAAGAACTGAACAACGCTGAGGACCGAGGAGAAAAGCGTGAGCCAGCGAGCGCCGATTGCCAGCATGCAACGCTCGCGGGTCAGCATGAGGGCCATTTCAGGTCCGTCGCGGATCCACCACGGCACGAGCTCACAGAGGTAGACCTCGATGTCGAACGTACCCAGCCACCTGGGGCCGCTAGTGTCACTGGTATCCAAGTGATCAGAGGCAGCATTGTTGACGAAGACAGCGACGCATGCTGTAGCAGCGAAGAACTACGAATAGCGGGCATCAGCGGCGTCCAGAAATGGAAAATGACGTCAGGCCTTACCAAGTTGAGCAAGAGGCAGGCGCTGATGATGACGCGAGGGTGCAGAAAAACCATCTTTGCCGGCATGTAGCGCATCGAGTGGTATTCCTTCGCCGTCTGCTGTTCGTCAATTCAATCCACGAAGCTCTTTGGCGGCAAACTCACCAGTGAGGTCGGGTTGCGGATCTTGCGGACGAGCCGGGTCCAGCCAAGGCAGCAGATGGCGATCAGCAATGCTAGGAAGACCAAGATACCGCAAACGCCAGACCAGCAAGCCAGCTCAACCGACCACAGGTCGAGGTCGAAGCCGGAGCCGTTGATTTGGCGCAGCTGGGTCAGGCGGCCTTCGACGAGCTTATCGGGACCGCCGTGGAGGCGCACGAACATCCTGGGGGGGATGTTCAGTCCGAGGATCAGCACCGAGGCGATAAACTGGATGGCGCAGAGCCAAAAGACCAGCTTGGGCTTGGTCTCTTCCTTCATGGTCGCGGGACGGTGGTTGTTGCACGAAGCGCGGGTGGCAGTGAAACTGGCGTCGGCGGCGAGCGCAGACTATGGCGCGGACAGTTGTGGTTCGGAGCGACGAAGAGGAGAAGATGATGGTGCGCAGAAGAAGCATGCGCGCGCCCCGACGCGTCAGTGTTAGGAAAGAGCAAGCTCCGTCGACACGCCGTAAACACAACGGTCAAAATATCTGGCCATTCACTCTCTAACCCGAACTACATTCACTCTCTGGCCCGACCTACCTATATTCATTCTCTGACTCGAACCACTTGCACACTCCCGCACTTTGTATCTTACATCCTCCGCAATCTTGTCCGCCTCTTTGTGCCATGCCTTCCATGCGCGAGAAGCGGGCCCTGTCCCAAACACCAGACAAACCGCCTGGTAAACGCGTCAAGACGCAAGCCGATGCTGACAACTCAAGGAGATCGCGCCGTCCGCGCGGCCTTCTGGCAACTCATCCGCGCGAGCTGCTCGATCTCCCGCCTGAAGTTTTTCAGCATATTCTCCACTTTGTCGTCCAAGACATCAAGGGTGCTCTTAAAGCCCGTCACGTCTCCCGTGAGTTGGCTCAATCTTCTACTCATCATGGGCGGTCGCTACTGAGACAAATAATAAGAGAGCTAAATTTCCCAGGCTTTTTCAAACAGGAGATAGATTCAGAGATCTTCTGGTCCAAGGCATTGGAAAAAGAAGAGCACTTACTTAAACTCACTGGACAGGCTTGGGGTCGCCGGCTGATATACGCCAAGGCATTCAGTCACCGTCACCGCGGTAGTTCACCTAGTCCTTTCTTCGAGATGGTTCGAACTGTTGTTGAGTCTATCTTGTCCTATCTTCAAGACCGCACGCCCGACACGGTCGACCTTGTTACGGAAATGGTCACGGGACTGCCGTGCTTTCACATAATGCCTCAAGAGTTCACGCGCGTCCTAATCGATCCCCTTCCACCGACGGAGATCACACGGTCCATAATCAACCAGGGATGCATCTGCGTATCCGCGTTGATGGGACATTATGGCATGTACAACTACTTCCAAGTCCAAGAAGTTACCCCGTTCTGGGGTATCCACCCTTACTTCGGCTCCCCGATATGGGCAGCTGCGATGTTAGGCCAACAGGATTTCCTCAAACGGCTGCGAATTGACGGCGTAAACTTCTATAACATTGACTACGGCTTCCACACCCCCCTACGGGTGGCATGCATCCTCGCGGATAACCGCCACAAGCAGTCAGTCCTTGTGCTCCTCGACTCTATGATCAGCGGTGGCCAAATTCACTTGAACGACCTCAGAACCAGCTTGATTTACGCCAGAGAGACACAATTCCTTCCTCTCTTCCGCCTACTGACCGAGCCTGCAGTGAGAGGCTTGATCAAAACAGAGCTTGAGAATGTTCTCCACCTTGAGAATGGAGACAATGCGCGCCAACTGACTAAGCTCCTGATCACACGCGGCGTCGATCCGAACACACGCGCGCTACTTGACCTCCTCGAGGTATCTAGCACTAAGAAGCTTACAACGCCGCTACAAGACGCTGTAAACAACCACAAGCGCGCCCGAATTGACCTCCTACTCGCGCACGGCGCAGATCCCAATATGGTGGCCTCCGCGGGCGGCCTGAGCCCCCTCGAGGTAGCCCTGCGCCAAAGGTCTCCGGACGTTGTCGACACACTCTTGCGCCACGGCGCAGCGAAGTATGCCGATCCAACCAACAACGGCGCCGGTTTCAACATCCTCACACACCCGGACGCATGGGCACACCCGCCGACCTGGCAGGTCTGCCTCTCGCACTTCGACACGAGCGAGCCGCGCACCCCCGATTCTCCGAACGGCCCCAGGCTCTACCGGACCATCAACGACTACGCTTACGCCTACGCCGCGCTCCTCGAAGCCGTCGGCCGCGGCCGCAGAGACCTGGTCCTCCGCCTCATGGACCGCGACGTCAGCATCCACGGCCGCTGGGACCCGCCGCTCCCGCCGTTCCCTTCTGCGAGGAGCTGGATGGTCACCGACCCGCGGGCGCCGTTGCCGCGCCGCCACGTGATGCTCGCGCCCCCGGCCATCCAGGCCGCTCTTCGGGCGGGCGATCAAGCCATGGTCACCTTCCTGTTCGAACACGGCGCTGTTTGGAATTACCCGTATGACTATCTGCTGCGCGAGCCGGGCGAGTCGGCCATCGACGTTGAGAAGCGTGTCGCCCGCGTCAGAGGCCGCGCAAACGTAAGGGATGAGGAGGAAGAGAGGAGGGAGAGGGAGACTTTGAGGGCGGCTAATGCCATTCCGAACTGATTGGATCTCTCTTTCTGGGTTCTTCTACGACCAGGTCCTTCGTCGCTAAGGCCTCGTCTTCCATGTGATCGTATGGGTGGGATTGGGTTCGGTTACGGGATGGTTTCTGGAACAAATTTTGGAGAGTCTAGAAAGAGTTGCAGCCAATTTTGCTTGGATGCCTCTTGGATATGTAGTGGTGGGTCTTGTTCCACCTGTAGACTCTGGAATATCGAAATCAAGACTTCTTCTCTCATGCCCCACCAAAGACACCCCAGCTTTGCAGAGGGGTGTCGTAGTCGAAAGCTAGCGTGAAGTTGTTTTTTGCTCATGTCATGGGTAGTTGAAGCTATTGTCCGGATGTAAATGTCGAATTAACAATTATACATTCACGTCCGGACGATCGCTTCAACTGCCCATATAAGTCGAATAATTTCTCATGAATGTGGTGACAATTCACGTCTGGATGATGGCTTCTACTACCAACATGTTGTTCATCGTGACGTGAATTTCCGAGGCAGAATGCCCCATGTATGCTATTCTTCGCGCCAGTCTTCGGCTGCAATATCCTTCTGTTTGGGCATTTGACGTGGTTATCCGGATGAAGATGAAGCTTTTGCATCATGCATGAGCATCCACATGAAGCCTTCGACTACGCATGCAGGTAGGTTTCTCTGACGCAACAGGTTTAAGACCGCAAATTCCTTTTGCAACCCATTGAGCTATGAAAATTTGAGGCTTGAACAACCTGGCTTGAACTTTTACACTGATGCAAATGCAATTCTCCTGTAAAACCGTTGACTCCGCTCGCCTGGACAAACCCGAATCGCTATGTCGATAAAACTGAATGTATAGTTACACTCCAAAAAGTCTGCATTGGAAAGCCCTCGGCTTCTGCTCTGCCTGTTCCGCCCTGTCGTCACGAATCCGGTATCCAGCCCAGCTTCTCCATCGGCCATCTGATCCACGGCCTGCTTCCTTCGTCCAAGGCATCATGAATACCAGCCAGAAGATGGTAGATCCAACCTTGCATCCACCAGTTGGTACCGAGTTCGTTCAGCAGGACGACGAAGTAGGCGAAGATGGTGAGGGCGACGGGCTGCCGCTGCTGGAGGCAGAGAACAAAGTCGTCAGAGACGCGATAGAGCCAGATGAAGACGGTCTGCGAGAAGGTTGATGAAGACGGCCCATTGACGGCCTCGTCAAAGACGCACGCGAAGCAGCGCGAGACGTCGTCGATGGCAGCAAGGTACGTGTGCAGGTTCGGACTGTCGCCGGCGACGTCATTGACGAGCCGGCGCAGCTCCGCGATGCGCGCGTGCTCGGCGTCCGACCCCGGAGCGTGGTCATAGAACCTTTGGACGCGCACGATGGCGGCGGCGAAGAGCGGCGAGAGCGGCCCGTGACGGATGCTGTCGTTGGTTGTCTCCATGATGGCGCGCACGCCGCGGAAGAGCATCAGCCATTCGGCCAGGCCGTTGTCGCTGAAGATGAGGAAGTCGCGTGGTTTGGGCCCCTTGGCGAGCGTGTAGAAGCAGGATATGACGGCGAAGATGTAAAGGGCAGGGGCGTTGTCGTCATTGACGGTGGGAATGAGGGCGCTGGCAGTTCGCAAGCCAATATCCCAGTGATGTTCCGCTTTGGCGATGTAGGAGGCGCGCTTGGATACTCGAAAATGGGCAAGATGCCGGGCCGAAAACGCCATGATAGCATGGAGGACAAAGGGGTAGGAGAAGCCGAGCTGGGGAACATTGACTCGGTAGAAGCTCTGCATATCAGTGACGTTTGATATTGTATAGGCAGTTGAGGTGGAATAGTTGTGTAAAAGCTCAAGATCGGCAACATTTGAGAGGCCAGTAGGTCTAGCTACAGGTGCAGGAGTAGAGCCACTTTCATAGCTAGAGAAAGGACTGGGGACGCCACCCGGGCCAGATGGAGTTCTAGCCCCCGTCCTAAGAGCATCTTGCGGGCTGAGATGGTCGGCCGGGCTGGAAGCCACGGAATTGGAGGAGTTCACGGCAGGCGTAAAGTCACATTGGATCGAATGCCGGACACAGTTGGTGCATTCGGGCCTCTTCTCATCGCACTATGGGCCAGGTATCAGAACGATGGATTCAATGCTGAGGATGACGAAGGCAGACTCACAGAGACATGTTCGTCCAATGGGGGTAGACATGTTAAAAGCACTCACCTTAATCCTGCGGCGCTTGCAGTTCTGACAACCGAGACGGGATTTCCGGTGGGATCGCCGCGACGCTGTGGGCCCTTTATTATTCTGCGCCGGCTGCTGCTCGGACATGATGACATGGCCAGCGGCGGGAGGCTGGCGGCGTAAGCAGCGCTCACTGATTGGAGCGAGTCAAGCTGGTGGTGTTGCAATAGGGCGTCGTCAAGGCAGGCAGAAACAGAGGGGCTGCTGGGTCTTGTAGCCACAGAACGAGGAGGCGCAGCCCGCCAACCCGCGACGGATAGCGCGAAACGGGCAAGCCTGGGCCCACATTTGCCGGAAAACCGCCGCCGCGGGAGCGCCGCCCCGCGGCCACGACTTTACTTCCCTTCTGCTCAACCGCCTTCCAAACAAATCCCGACCACGCCGTCAGGCAAGAGCATGCACAGCGCATGCTCAATGCACTCACAAGGGGAGCTCATGGTTGCTTCTCCGCCCCAAAAGCCCGCAAGTGGCTTGGCTGACTTGAAACACCAGGCACGCGTGAAAGAAGGCTGAGATCCTGGTTCTTGGCATGAGAGGCTACTTTTTTCTGACCATTACAAGGGGCTCTACCACGATCCACGATCTGTCTAATACGAGAATCTCAAACCATCTACTCATGAACCCCTCCGATGCTTCTGCGTCTATTTGACTGCAGTGACCCCGCTAAATACGAAAAAGGCAAGGAAATACGTAAAATCACCCAAAATCGCTAACCAAAACTGAAGTCGTTATCAGCGTCGACCAATCACAAAGCCTGCCCAATAATGCTCTATTACACCATCTCCCGAGGGCCATGGAGGTGGCCCTCTTTGCCTGCGGCAACGCTTTCCAAGGTGAAACCACTGGAGGACGGCCGCTCACCGCGGAGCAGGTGTCCAATCTCGGCAGGGTGTTGCCAGTTCATGTAAGCCATGACCAGGAACATGAGAAGAGCATCGAAGATGTAGATGAAGACTTCGTTCGTCAACAAGTATCCGTCGTGGCCCTGGATATACTCGACGGCACGGAAGACGCATCGGATCATGATGAGGACGCTGACGGCGTAGAGTGTAGTGAGATAGTGGCGCCAGCGGACCTCAGGCTGCTCCGATTTGACCGTGGGGACCGAGTTCATGCGCATGTGGAAGATGCCCGCAACAATGATGAAGAAGCCGAAGAAAACAAGCTGCAGGATAAGACCGCCAATGATGATGTTTTGAGCCATCTTGATCGAGTCCGGATCCGAGGTGCCTTTAGCCATAAGACCGCCACCTAATGTACAGTTAGCGGGCTGTATTGTGATAACCATTGGCTGCGATACTCACCAGTCGACTGCATGAGAAAGGAAAACACATCGCCGAAGACGAAAAACTTTGTGAGCCAGCGCCTTTTGATGATTGCATGGCTTTCGCCGTCGGTGAGGAGGATGATTCGTCCGAGGATCATGTAGATGGAAGCTGCGAAAAGGGCGGGCGCGACGAGGAGGAAGACGCTCTGAATAACGTATGGACCGACCGTCCACTTGCCGTTATCCTCGGTGGCCGAGGCAGCGCGACCAATGTATCCAACGACTTCGACTGTTTGGATCATCGTCAGCCTCAGGCGCCTTTCTTCTTGGAGCAGGGGTAACATACAGAAACCGCCTATCAGAAAGGCAAGCATATACCATGTCTTGTGTTTGATCAATTGAAAGGTGTGGAAGGAGGCGGTGAGAGCGAAAGCAATGACGAATATGATAGCTGCAGCCAAGTTCGGCGAGTAGTTATACAGCTTGTAGCCGTGGAGGTCGTCGGTGGCCATGTTGCAATGAGTCTGGTGTTGGTGATGGAAAATGGAAGATAGAGAGTAGAAGGTGCCGCGGCGTCTGGTTTGGAAGATGAACGGCAAGGCAGGCTGAGGCTACTTGTAGGGACTGCATCTTTGTTTATAGAAAGGCTGGTGCATCTTCTGTGAACGCATACGGCAACGCGAGTACTCACGTACGAGTACGACACGAATACGGCGCACGTGAGCTCATCGTCTTATCTACTCCAACCTCAACACCATCATCGTCCTGGGGTAATTCCGCATTGGGTAAATCAGAAACTTCGAAATAATCGGCCTCCCACTTATATGCAACCGATCTAGCGAAATGCAATACACTGGGGGTTGCTGTCGCATGTTGAATATATACAGCAGCAAACGCCCATAGTCTCAAAAACAACACTTCACCAAAGCTTAGCCCTGAAAAGATAGGTGACCAAGATGAACTTGAAAGGCTTATCATAGTGCAATACACGCCTACTGCAAAAAAGTGCTGCGTCTGGCGAGGCTGTGCCCCTCATTCCTTAGCGCATGTTGTGCACCGACCCTTCGTCTCGTATTGTTCGTGTTCGTTTTCAGCCTTACACGGGACTGGCTCGCGGCCCCTCCCTGCCAAGGCCGTGCCTTCTCCGCCGTCGTAAGCTATTTATCCAGTAGCAGCCACATCAGTCAAGAGGATCGCAATTTTAGGCTGTCATTGTGGTGGTTTTGCAGAAGAAACAGCAGTCGTCAGCTTCGTTCATTCCTCTTCGTATTCGCCACTGACGTTCGCGCGTAACGTGCAGCATCTGTACCTCCACGATCGACGCTCACACCTCGGCCGTGTGTCCCGCGCCCCTGGCCGTTGTCTTCTCTGCTGGTATCAAGACCAGGCTCGGAAAGCGTCCACAAAAGTCGGAACCTCCTGAGCTGGGCTTAGCGCGCCCAGGAAAAGGTGCTCCGCCTCAACGAGCCGCTGTCTGCCCTATCATCTCCCTTTCATCACCGCCCATTCGCAGACCCTTTTGCTGAGGGGCATGCGCGACTGAGACGATGAGTACCCCACGTCGGAGTGCCCGAGCGCCCGTCACATCCCGGAGGACGCACCGCAAATCTCGTCTGGGATGCGCTAATTGCAAGAGGCGGCGGATCAAGGTCTGATCGTCTTTCCTACTTGCACGAGCGCTTGCTGACGCATCCAGTGCGATGAGAAACGACCCTCATGTACCAACTGTGTCCGGCATTCAATCCGCTGCGACTTCGCGCCTGCTTCTCCATCAGATATTTCTAGCGCCGCAAGTCCGGGCTATGTTCTCAGCCCTGCCGCGCATTCTCCAGCCTCATTGTTGGTCGATTCGCCGCCCTCCCAGGTGGGTATAGGCGCCTCGGTTCCCGGCCTCGACCTGATCGAGCTCGAACTTCTGCAACACTACCTTACCAACACTTTTGAGACGCTCGGAGGCAATTATGTTTGGCTCTGGCAAAAGACAATTCCCCAGCTTGGCTTCTCCAATCACTACATATTGCAACTCCTGCTTGCCTTTTCAGCATACGACCTTGCCCGCTACGAACCTGAACGCTTAGACTTCCTCAGAAATTTGGCCGAGCAATATCAGCACGCCGCAATCCAAACGGTGACAAGCACCCTTCCGCACCTCAACGCAGAAAACTCAGACTCCCTATACGTGGCTTCAGTCTTGATCTGTTCGCTGTCTTTCGCAAAAGGGCCAGCCCCAGGGGACTATCTCATGATCAGTGACCACGGCGCATCCGAATGGCTGGTATTGAACCGAGGGACGCGCTCTATCCTTGAGTTACAGAAAGACGTGCTGTGGAAAGGTCGCCTGTCAACTTTGTTCCGGACCGCCGGTAACACTCTCCGTACTGCGTTTAGCCAAGGCCCTGTCCCGGAGATAAACGAGCATACGCGCGACTTTCGTCGGTACCTCGTCAACTTGGCCATCAGCGAGCCAAATACGGCAACTTATCTGCAAGCTTGGGATCGCCTTGTGCATACGCTGAAAGCCATGATTGATGATGGCGAAGAGGGCAAAACACAAAACTTCCCTACCTTCCTGTTCTCGTGGATCTATTGCTTGGAGGAGAACTTCATCCTTTGTCTCCAACAACATCAGCCACTTGCTCTTGTTGTCCTCTCCTATTTTGTCGTAGGGCTACATGTTGCAAAGGCCCAGTGGTTCTTCCAAAAGTGGCCGGAGCATATCATGACAGGAATTTGTCACCACTTGCCTGACGACTATATGCCTTGGATACGATGGCCTGCTTCGCAGATTGGCTGGACAATTTGACCACCACGTGAGCGGCGCTTTTAAACTGGCAGTTTTCATCCAAAAAGATTTTGAACTAGTACGCCGAGCACATCTGATTGTTAAAGCTGAGGCTGACGTAATGCAGATCTTGCTCCTTTATCGATACCCTTTCCTCTACCGGTGCTTATTTCCGCCTTGTACCAAGCTTTCTTCAATTTTCGTGCGATTTAACCTCTGTAACGCTAGCTATATAAGCGTTGCATGAAAAGTCCTCATTTCTGGTGTTTTAAAAGATTCGAACAATTTAACACAGGAGTGATTGAATGACTTGCCATTGGCGCTCTACTTAGACTATTCGTCCATTGTCTCATTGCCGCTTAAACGCAACACTACCTCTTGAGAAGATAACACCATATCTCAGAAATTCTTTGCAGTCTTTGTGGTCTTCCTCATTCCTCACTAAGCTCACCGCCTAACACAACGTTTGTGCTACCTTGCGAAGACTTCACTGCAAGTGAACTCTCCTGCACGGATTTTCAAGCCCAGTAGCCACGAGGAGATCAGAGCTTATACTCCCACTTCACCCCTTCCCACCCCTCTCTCCGCCTCAACCTCACCGGCACATCCTCCCTCGGCTTCCACACACCAACCGGCATAATATCATCCTGCGGCTGCGGCACGCGTATGTCGTCGACGCTCTCCCAGCCGCACAGCATCGGCACGGCGATGCCGGTGACTTCGATGAGGGCGAGGTTGCGGCCGGGACAGAAGACCTCGCCGCCGCCGAAGCCGCGGAAGGCGGCCGGGTGGACTTTGCGGCCCTTGGAATCGGTGAACTCGCCGGCCTGGCTCTCGAGGAAGCGGCGCGGGTTGAAATCGGCGGCGTCGCGGCCCCAGAGGGCGGGCTTGGTGTGCATGACGCCGGCCTCGATCATGACGAGCGAGTCCTTGCGCAGCAGGTAGCGGTCCGCGAGCAGCACGTCCTCGCGCACGGCGCGCACCGACGACGTCGGCATGGCCAGGCGGACCGTCTCGCGGAAAGCCGAGGCGAAGAGTGGGCAGCGGGCGCGTAGGGCCGCGACGTCGATGACGGCCTTGTTGTCGTCGCCGCGGACCAGGGCGCCTGAGGTGGTGAGCTCGGCGCGGATGGCGAGCAGCAGGTCGCGGTCGGCGAAGAGGCGGACGAGCAGCCAGAAGAGGGTGAAGGTCGAGTTGGGCAGGGCGCCGACGAGCAGGCCCGTGTCGGAGCGGGCGAACATGGGCTTCGTGTAGCCGTGGTCGAAGTGGGCCTGCGCGCGCTGCCGCACGAGCTCCGAGGCCTTGAGCCACGCGCCGCTTTCGTAGTACTCGGTCATGGCCTGCTGCAGGCGGGTGCGTCCAATGTTGGCCTTGCGGGCCAGCAGCGAGGGCAGAATTCCGATACCGAGCGGAATTTGGCCGGCGTCCATGTCCCAGAAGGCCGCAAGGAGCGTAGGGTCCCGCGCGAGGATGTTGTCGGGCCCCCAGAAGGCGTTCAGCGTCGGGAAGCCAATGACGTCCTTGCAGAAGTCGGCTAAGCCCATGCGGATCTCTCCGCTGCCGGAGGTGGTGCCGCCGCCGGGAGAGAGTTTATTGAAGATGGCGGCAGCCTCATCCAGCAGCACTCTGCAGATGTCGTCCAGGACCGGCCCGCTTGGCAGGTTGTTGTAGAAGACGTCATGGTTGGCCGAGATGACACCCTGGCCGTCTTCGTCGAAGAGGTTCTTCTCGTTGATGGCGTGCGTTTCGTCGTCGAAGAGCATCAGCGTGCGCCCGAAGTTGATGATGAAGGGCCGGAAGGAGATGAGCTTGGCCTGGCGGTTGACGGCAGCGGCGAGGGCCGGGCTGGTGATAACATACTGCTTCATGCCAGGGAGGGCGAGCGTGTAGATGTCGTGGCCATATTTGTCTCTGATGTCATCAGCGGCGCTGTCTCCTTCTCCGGCTGGGTCGAGGCGCACTCACTCTAATTTTTGGTAGTATTGCTTCCCAAATCTGTACAAGCCGATCACATGACCGAGTAGTGGGATCTTGGTGGGGACCAGAGGTGGTTCGCGGGGATCATGGTCGACGCGAAGGAGCCGCTGCAAGGCCACAGTAACGACGAGCAGCACCGCGAGGATGACGGGAGCAGACGCTCCCTTTATAGCCTCCATGAGAAGGATTCTGGCGAGGGCGGAATGATGTCTTCACGGTGTTGTGGTAAAGGAGAGATCGACAACAACAACAAGCGGGGGCTGCCAAGGCGGAGGATTCGATCAGGATGCCGCGCTAGTCCGAGTCATTTCACACTTCGCATACTTTGTTCTCTTCCTCATCATGGCCTCTCAGCCATCTTCTCCGCAAAGCCAGCCTCGGGGCCACTTTCTCCCGCACTCTCGGCTGCTGTGCTCGGGACTTCCAAGCCTAGGTAATAACTCCGGAGCTCGGTATGACGAAAGCCACTCTCCAGAATGCACATTCAGCTTTCAGTAGTTTGCTCGACTGCGCCTCGCTTATTAGTATTCCTAGTGGCCGAGACACAGTCGTTATACATCATCGGGGGCCTCGACTCCCCGGGGACCGGGACCGAGAATCCTCACCACCCGGGAATTGACCGTGCGAGCTGGGCCAATAGGAGCTGCTCCGATGTACCGGGAAGCGCAGATACCGATGTGCCTGAGGGCTGAGCACATGGCCACCACGCGAGCTTCTTCTCCGGTGCTTCTAGAAGACTGCACACTCAGGAATCAAGGAGGTCATGTTCCAGCACAAGAGCCGGGCTGTGTCGGCCAGAGTGGCCGTAAGACGTAGCCTCTCGTCTAGAGGTGCCTTCAGAATTGCCTTTAATTTAGGGTCCGACTTAGCCTCCCAGCCTTGTCCCGTGACATCATCCATGTGTGGCGTATCAGAATACTGCGATCTCTCCGCCTTCCCCATGGCTATTACCCTGATAGGAAACGCTTCCGCTGTCACCTATCTTTTCCACTGATGCCCGCGCGGCCCGCGAGGCATTGGCCAGAGCACGTCTTAGCGCTCCACAGCCCAGCTTACCGCAAACGGAAATCCATGTCTGCATCCGGCCATGCATACTCCCTTCCTTCCCCATTTCCAGCTTTCCCACCACCATGGCACTATTGCATGGCAGAGAGCGGTTCAACGTGGAGGAAACGGTGTGCCAATCCCAAACCGCTTCTGGGCGTGGCGAACCCTGACTGACGCAGAATTCCACTACTGTGAGTCTGGATTTTGCGAAGTTTGTATGCTCCAACACGCAGTTGCAAATTGTATAAGACGGCCGGTCAATCCTCCAGAAAATCAGCATCCAACTCACCATCCTCTCCACTCCTCTACAACACTCTACTCCACTCCACTCCACATTCAGCAATCACCATGCATTCAACCACCGCTCTCATCGCAGCCCTGGCTGCTGTTTCCCTGCCTCAATCTCAGGCAAAGCCCATTGAGGCCCGCCAGCTCGGCGGTCTCGGTGCTGCTATCGGCGGCACTGTCGACTCTGCTGCTGGCAGCGGCAATACCGGCGGCACTGTTGGCAGCATTCTCGACACTACTGTCAGCGGCACTACCGACTCGACCGTCGACACTCTCAACAACGCTGTCGGCGCGGTGCAGGGATTCACTCTCCAGCAGGAGGAGTATGGCAAGCGCCTCAAGAACGGTCCCATCGCCCTTGGCAACTTGTACAAGAAGTTCGACGTCGACATGCCCGATGATGTCTACGACGCTTTCGATGTTGCAACTCAGTCGCAGCCTCCCAATGAGCTGAACAAGAGAGCCGCCGCCGCCACCTCATCCGTGAAGACGTCGACCTTGAGCTCCTCGGTGAAGCCCACCTCGAGCTCCATCGCAACCACGTCCTCTAAAGTCTCGAGCACCACCGTCGCCATTGCCACCAAGCCCAAGCCCACTGGAGGATCTGCCACCGCTACCCCAGTCAACCAGTTCGACACTGCCTACATGATCGCCATCAAGGTCGGCGGCAACACCGTCTACGTTGACCTCGACACCGGCTCTTCGGACCTCTGGGTCTTCTCCAACCAGCAGCCCAGCGCCCAAACGCAGAAGCACAACATCTACTCTCCCTCTCCGAGCAAGCTCATGCAGGGCTACTCCTGGAACGTCACCTACCTCGACGGCAGCACCGCCGCCGGCAACGTCTACAACGACACCGTCACCCTCGGCAACATGAACTTCACCGGCCAGGCCGTCGAGGCCGCCCAGTACGCCTCCGACGCCTTCGTCGCTGCTTCCTACGACGGCATGCTCGGCCTCGCCTTCGACTCGCTCAACACCGTCAAGCCCAAGCAGCAGCGCACCCTCTTCAACAGCATCGCCAGCCAGCTCCCCAAGCCCCTTTTCACCTCCCTCCTCAAGCACAACGCTCCGGGCTCCTACGATTTTGGCTATGTGGATACGACCAAGTACACGGGCGCCATCACCTATGCCAACGTCAGCACCGCCAACGGCTGGTGGCAGTTCACTTCGCAGGGCTACAGCGTTGGCAGCGGCGCCGCCGTCTCGCAGGCTGTTAGCGCCGTCGTCGACACCGGCACTACCCTCATGGTCATGCCCTCCAACATTGTCAACGCCTACTACGCCAAGGTCGCTGGTGCCGGCTACTCTTCTGCCTACGGTGCCTGGGTCTACCCTTGCGCCTCGTCGATGCCCAACTTCAACCTGATTGTCAACGGCGCCGCCCAGACCATCCCCGGCAACCTGATGACCTACGGCCCCATCGACTACAACGGCAACTGCTACGGCGGCCTCCAGGCCAACGACAACATCGGCGTCGCCATCCTTGGCACCATCTTCATCAAGAGCCAGTATGTCATCTACGACCAGAGCACCAACCCGCCCCGCGTCGGCTTCGCCAAGCAGGCCGGCCTCAGCTATAACTAAGCGCCCTGTCGATTCTTTTCCTATTCTCTTTGTATTATGACGAACTCTACGACACTCTCTCGGAGCGCGAATGGCGCTGCCGCTAATCTTGTATACCCCCACTAGTCCTAAGGACTGACGATCTTTTTGGGATGAGCGTTGCATTCTGCATCGGAGTTAAGACCTGGCTAGATTTTCTAGAGCATTCTGTTTTCTCTAGCATACTTTCTTCTTCACCTGTATACTATTATAGCATTAAGCGTTACCTGAATCAATCTTGCATACCACAAACAATGGTTCCAATTGCTCCAGTGACTATGCATGACATCTGCAGCTCCCCCGCCATCCCTTTTGTTTGGACTGACTTTTCAACAAACTTTCTACATTTCATAGAATTACCAGTCTGACCCAGCAAAGAAAAAAAGAGCAAACTATAAACCGATCAGTCAACCATTCGGGCGTTATTTTGGGTTTAAAAAGAAAAAGAAAAAGAACTTCGAGGTCATCAAGTCTGTTAAGATGCAGGCGGGGATAGGCTACCTGTTGTAGTACAATTAAATTTCACTGTTAAGTCACGTTCAAGTCACATCATTATCAAGGGATAGTAGAGATCCACTACTATTCAATGAATCTCCCGTGACACTAAAGTCAACTGGAAGTTGTGATGCGGAGAAGCTAGCTCCTCAACAGGCACGCAACTTGCAACCCGCCCTTGAATAACGAGCTACATCGTGGGTATTGGAATCCATTGAGTTGCGTTCTTCCATAATTCAACATGAAACGACCGCCAAGTTAGTAGTGTCTTCCTGAGTACGATTGCACATGTCACGCTTCCGCAACCAAGATCTTCTTCTATATTGGGGTGTATGTACCTAGGTGTCTGGACCTTCTGCGCCTCTACTTTCTCCCGCACTATCGGAATCCGGGCGAAGCCTCATACCGACAATCGACGATTCAAAACGAGTAATTGAAACCGGCAACTTCTGTTTCCGGGTTCGACGTTCTTCCGCATTGGAAAGTACACGGCGGAAAATCTATTAAGCAGCCACAAGAGGAGGCGTTCCACGGAGATTCCTCCGTTGGCTGAAAGACGGCTGAAAAGCAATCAGGTAGCTTTCCCGGGAGAAAGGAAAGTTTTAGTGCAACCGACCCGGTCCCAAGGATCCGCTTCCAAAAAGGATGAACAGAGAGTGTGTGACACAAAACGGTAGGCGTGTGCCAGGAAACGAGCTAGCAAAGGCCCAGCAGAAGGGTCGCCACCTTGACCACGTTGCTGGCCCCCCTCCCTTTCTTCCAGCAACACGGTTTTTTCTTTTCTCAGCCAAGCTTCACCTGCACCACACTAGTCGTCATTCCAATCACTTTTTCCATTATTTAGGTAGCGTTACGAATCATTTTACCGTCCACCCCCTGCCCTTACGGCGTCGCCCTTCCCACCTGCCCCGCATTCTTCCTCACGTACGCCTCAACCTCCGCACCGTCTGCCCCAAACGCAACCGGCACCTCCTGGGCCTCGAAGCCCTCGCAGCCCGTCACGAAGCCGCCCTCGACGAACTCACCGTCATCGTCCTTTCCCCGCACGTACGCCCACGTGTTTTCAGCGTTGCGCTGCAGGTCGATCGGGGCGCCGTTGAAGGTGCTCTTGATCTTCAGGCCATCAAGAGAGGAAGAAGAGTTACCGCTGCTGATGTCGGCAGGCGAGCAGAGCGTCGCAGGTAGGTTAGGAGTGGACAGGTCGGAGAAGGAGAAGATGCGCGACGAGTCCTGCGCGCCGTACGTGCCGGACTGGACGAAGGCATTGGCGGCGGCGAGGACGGTCGAGGCGTTGTACACGCCAAGGTTGTACTGGAAGTTGGGCTTGTACGTCTCGTTGGCCGCAGCAGCAGCACCGGCAGCGGTGGTGTTCGACGACGCAGAAACGCTGTCGTCGTCGAACAGCGGCTCCTGCTCGGCGTAGTTCTCGAACAGGTTGCCGACAATGTAGAAGGTGCCGAAGCGCATCAGCGGGTTGCGGCTCATGCTGTTGCTGAAGTGGTTGCCGAAGACGGTGAAGTGCATCTTGCCCAAGTCTCGGGGCCCTTCCTTCTCGCCGCCGCCCCACAGCAGCGACTTGTGGTGGTTGGCGACGACGTTGTGCGAGAAGGTCACGTTGTCGGTGCCGTCCTCGGCGTCGAACAGGCCGTCGTAGCGGTCCACCTTCCACCCCCACAGGAAGTCGTCGGGCGCCACGGCCGTGGGCCCGTCCTCAAAGACGTTGCCGTCGAACCACACCGTGTGCGACGACACCATCGACACGGCGTCGTACCGCGCGTTCCAGCTGCTCGGGTACGTCTCGGGCGACGGGAAGCAGTCGCGCGGCGATGAGATGCGGATGTTGCGCATGATGATGTTGGACCGCGTGTTGAAGTTCAGGTTGACGCCGTGCAGGTACGCTGAGGAATCCCAGCCGATGAGCGTCAGGTTGCCTGCCGCGTCGATGGATTCATACGACTTTTGCACGTTTTGCACTTGGCTGCGCCAGCCCTGACAGAAAAGAGTAATGTTAGCAAAAACAAGTCACGCTTCTCCCATCCTCACCCGATTACTAACATTCTGACGCGTGATGAGGTCAAGCAGCTCGGTGGCATTCTGGCCGTCGAATTGTTGGCCCGCGTCGGCGGCGGCTTTGATCTGGTCGGTGTAGGTGTCGTTCATGCCCATGATGTAGAGCGTGAAGTTGAACTTGGGGTTGTTGCTGTCATCAATATAGAACTGGCAGTCGCCCGTCGTCGTCTCATTGATCTCGTTGCCATTGATTTCGCCCTTGACATAGACGGTGCGCGGCGTTTCCATTTTCAGGACGGTGCGCAGATCAGGCATGTTGTCGACCAGGTACGTGTTGTTCGGCGTGGGCGTGCCGCCACCAGTAGCGGCTGCTCCAAAGCCGAAGGGCTTGCGGTCAGGCAGCTCTGGCGCCGGGCCATTGTAGGGCTGCAAAGCGTAGGAAAGAGAGGAAAATGCCGCGAGGGCGAGGGAAAGACTGGACACCATGGTGGTGTTGAGAAAGAGCGAGAGACTGAAAAGTGGTTGCCGGCAGAAGGAACGTAGTGATATTAAGTGACGGGCCGCTCAAACATGTTTATGAGCGAGTTTGACAGGAGAAACATGGGTGGGGTTTCAGGCGGCCGGGGTAATCTACCTGCGGAGAGTTCGCAGGCGAGCAGTCGATCATCACCCGCACTCCAGAATTCATCAAAGCCCGGAGAAACTGAGCTTCTGCATCTGGCGGTCCGCAATCCCTGTGAACTGTGCTTCCATGGCCAAGCTCTTGGGCCAGATGTTGTCGCTGGGAGATGACTGTAAGCGAGGTGTGCTGCCAGAGCAAGTTGGTGGTGTTGACGATCTGCTTCGTTTGTTTCAGCCATGACCCGAACCCTTCGTTTTTCCGTCCACTGATGCCCTTTCTCCACCTTCGCTTCGCAAAACAGCTCAATCGAGCCACCCATGTCGTTCGTTTCTGGAACCCTGGCCCGGATTTTGCTGCGATTCGGGACCGATCCTCAGCTGCACAGGGCTGAATTCAGCCACAGCATCATGCAGTCTATCTGCACATCATCCATCCACACTCTTTCACTCCACTACTATTTAATTCCACATCAGCCCCTAGCCACAAGCCGACAGTTCAGCCAACCGACATCGAATTCAGATTCAGCCCCACCACTTTACGAAAGTCTCGGTAACGCAACCGTCTTCTTAAAAATCCCAGAAGGTGTTCCAGCATGGCGGATTACGTCATGTTCTCAACAAGCCTCCAAGCGGCATAGTATGATCGTTTAATACACCCATGAATGGCTATACGACCTGGCGCCTTGGGCACGACGGTCCTCAATGTTTTCGGTGTTTCGAAAGCGCATCCAGCGTAGTTGACCAAAATATCTTGACGGCAAGTAGCAATATTACTGGCATGAACTTGTGGTGCAAGCGTATCCTTGTACGGCGGTGATGCTCTTCAGCGACCTTGAAAAGTAGTGGAGAGGAGCGATTCCATCGTATAGCTGCGCGTGGAGGAGTATTTCTACTCTGAAGACAATAAGAAGATTAACACAAAACAGTGGTAAACCAAAAACCCATGTAAGACAGCCCCCGGAAATATCAATCAATCATCCCCCATGACCGAGTCTTCCCTCGTTCTCTGGTCACCGCCAACATTCTCCTCCTCATCCTCATCCTCATCCATGTCATCATCACCATCATCATTTTCTTCTTCCATAACCCCAACACCCTGTTCACGGAACCACTCAACCTCAGGATACCGTTGAAAGTGGTCCTTAAACAAGACATTTCTCCCACGCCCATCCCCCGGCACCAACGGCATCAAAAACGGCCTCGCCTGCTCCGCCATCACGCCATCATCCTTCCACCAAACCCGCGTCCCGCGCGCAGCCGCCGCCGCCGCCGCCGGCTCTCGCTGCGGCGTCTGCCTCCTCCTCGCGATGCCGGCCGTCCTGACGCGAGACTCCGCGGCCAACGACCGCCGCTGCTGCTCCCGGCTTCTCTCACTAGTACTACTCCCGGCTCCGTGACGTTTCGGCCACGGCTGCCGCTGCCAATGTTCTCCGCGGATGGCGGTGGCGGTGGCGGCGGCGAGGCTGGTGGTATGCCGCCCCATTTGCCGCTCCATCTCCCGCTCCCGCTCATACTTCCAACGTTGCCACCTCCTTTCCATGAACGTGCGCGAGACGATTCCGTACGTCGGTCGGGGTGAGAGAGGCGGCAGCGGCACCGGCACCGGCACCGGCAACAACGACTCCGGCAGCGGCGGCGGCGGTGGCGGCGAAGGGTTGATGTCGAGGCCGCCGAAGGAGCGCTCGAGGGTGGAGACGGTGCTGCTGCTGCTGCCGGAGTCCCCGGCCGGCGCCGCCGTGGTCGGGTTGAAACGGCGCGAAGAGGGGCTGTCTACCGGGAAGGTGCCTCTTTCCGAGGGAGAGGCCATTTTTTGGAATCGTCTTTCTTTTTATTATGCTTCGTTGGTTCAGAGTGCTGGCTCGATACTGATTGCTGATGCGAGCAAGTGGTATTCCCGCAAGTTATGTTGGATAAGGGGGATCGACGGCTGCCTTCAGTCGTGTTCCGAAAGTGAACTCGAGAGATTGTGGTCAAATACTTTGTCGTTGCCCTAAATGACACGAGAGGATTGTGTTGAACTTATACATACAAGCCCGTCGTGCAAAAGTGGAATATGTGGTTCGCAGTCGGAAGTGCGATGTCACGATGTGAACCACGGTGCGCCCCTTCACTTTGTTGCGGAACCAGGGTTGCACTTACTGCGCATACCTATCCAACACAAACAGCAGGCACGTACTATGAGCTTAGCTCCAGATATTTTTAGTGTTGAGTGAGCCCCACCCAAACATCATCACAGGCAGATCATAAGACTATAAGTAACATTATAATACAGTATTTTTTTTTCTACGTTTTCTGCTGCCTATATCTTATACCAGTTCCTGTGTTGCCTCTCTCTGTTTGAGAAGCGCAAATGTTTGAAATACCCTTTGCATCAATCTGAGAAGCAAAGTCTGTAAACCCCTGTTGAAAGGAAAATAACACGAATCATGAGAACAGAGGCAATTGCTCACCCGAGCTTTCAGCAAATCAGGATATCCTCCGGGAAGTGCCATCGCCAGGACTGCCATTAAGCCATATCATTAAAACCTCCGTGTGTAGAAAGGGGAATTCGCATAGCCCTGGCCAGACTGGCTGCCACGCATTCCCTGCTGAAATCGCATAGCAGACTCATCGTGCTGCTCCTCGAACACAGTGAACTTGGGTAGGCTAAAGTTGGACTGGTATCTAGGATCACGGCCGATGCGCCGGGGTGTCTCTCCGCAATCCTCTCCGAAGAAACTCTTACCTCCAGCAGGGCTTCGATCCATAGCCCACTCGGGAGGGGGCGCAAAGCGTGCGAAGTAGTCCGGAGCTTTGGTAGGCTCACCGGGGACACGCACGTATGACGCAAGGCTCTCGTACAGAGGAACCAATAGGCGATCGGTGACCTGATAGTCGTCCTTGTTGGAGCCTGAAACGGCAGGGTTGATGAGTGTCTTCATGAAATCGTCGTGACGCTGGGTACGCAGTCCGGATTTCCACCATTCATCCAGCTCATCGGCGCGTGACTTGCGAGTCGAGCGATGCGCCGTAGGATTGTTCTGAGTAGGCACATCGTCCTGGAAGAAAGGCCCCCCGAAGTTCTGCGGAGTGGGACTTCCAAAGCCAAAGGAGTTGTGGACGTTCGAATGGCGGTTTTCGTAGTAGCCAGGCTCCGGATCACTCGTGCGCAAGGCGGTACGCGAAACCTGCAATTCCGAAGATGTGGGCTTTTCGTGCAGACCCAGCTGAGAAGTGGCCTCCATATCCTTGCTCACTGAACTGGAACGCTGAAGTCCACGAAGGTCCTGGGGTGGGTGCAGTGTAGGAACATGTTCGTTACCAATGCGGTTGAGGTAGTCAAGCATACGCGCACGGCTCTCATTCGTCTGGTCCAGTTGTTGAGCTTGGTGAACATCCAGGGGGTTAGTTTGAATTTTCGCCAACGGACCCATAGACGTGGCCGGTCCGGAAGAAGTGACGCTGGCACCAGGGCCAATTCCTGGAACAGGGGGTCCACGGTCTGAAGCGACCCTGGATGCAAACTGTGTCATCTCTGACAAGGGAGTCTCGTCCGTCTTAGACTGAGAATCATCTGCACGATCAGGGCGGTCGGTAGGTGCGAAGCTCTGACGCATCTTTTCGGCACGCGTACGCTCTTGCTCGGCAAAGAAGGCCTTACGGTCACCGCCATCGACGCTTGGAATTAGCCCGCCGCGCAGCGAGCTGTTTATGTCAGACGGGAAGCGGAAGGCAAAGTCCATTTTGCCTGGGTCGCGCAGCATCGTGTGCTCCCGAATGCCGCCGGACCAGGGAGTAGAAGACAACTCGGTCTTTGGTGAGATCTGTGAATCGGTAGCGAACGGGTCATCGGCCGGAGCACCGAGGCCTTGAGGAGCAGCAGGTCCACGAGTGGCAATAGGTCGAGGCACTGCGGCAGGATGGTCTCGTAAGGTGAGTGAGGCCAGAGTCGGGAATCGATCCTCATTGAGAGAGCCAGAAACGGTTGACAAGGAGTCGTATCGAGCCGCTTCGGATGTTGTGGGCCGAGGGTTGAGTGCTGGTCGCTGCTGAAGAGCACCGGCCGGCTGCTTGGATGATAGAGGAGACACGACGGCTGCCGGATGGATTTCATGGAAGCGATGGTAGCCTTTGGCAAGCTTAGTGAAGTAAGCCAGGGATACATCGCGTCGTTTCGGTAAGCCTGAGAACTCAAGGTAATTGTCATGCGTGACAGGACCGCCGATAAGCTTGCGGGCACATGAATACAGGCCGATCTCCATCCACTCAAAGTCGGTGGCGGACCAGAGGTGAGCACTGACGTCCCGGTTGGGATGCTGAATAAACCTGAGTTCGCCGTTCTGCTTTCCCGGATTGGAGCGCAACCAGACAGGTTCGGCAAGCCTGTGGCCAAATTCTTCCAGCACCTCATCTTTTCCCTCTCTGGCATTCGAGCCCGCCATGTCAACTGGAGGTCCGAGCGGAGCGCGAATGGGTGCCAGAATGTGAGAACTTCTCGCGACTGAGCCGGTCTCTACTTCGTCTTGGGAAGTCTCCTCTTCGGCCGGAGCCGGGCTTGCGGATGCATCTGATGCTAGGCAGCGTTAGTACAAACATGCTGATAGTCAGGTGACGTTCGACGCAGGTAGAGGAGTGGAGGTGAAGAATGACGCCGACTTACTCTCGTTCTCTGCCAGATCAAGTGGCTTCCAGATAGACTTGGTCTTCGCCTTTGGCTTGAGCTTCATGAGACCAGCAGGCGAATGGGTAGGTCGGACGGCGAAAGGTTCGTTCTTCTTAGAGCCGCCGGTGCGCGCCATGTCTGCGAAGGTGTGGCCAGGCGCAACGACGGAGCTGGAAGAGGTATCTCGCGTAAGAGTGGTGCGAAGGCTGGTGATGTCACTTTCCGAGCCCGTGCGGCGGAAAGAGGGAGAGGAAAGGTCTGCGGTCGAGGCGTTGCTGAGGTAGGAATGGGTGTTGCGAGGTGGACGGCGCTCGTCCTCGCGGCGGATGACCTGGATGTGGGCGAAGGACTGTGCGGGATTCTGCCTGCGATTGCGACCACCGCGGCCTATCGGGGAACCTGGGTTAACTAAAGGCGCAGCTCCGCGAGTTGAGGTGACGCCGGCGACAAAGAAGATCTACTCACGGCGACGACGAGTGCCGCCGTTCCCTGCCTGCTGGCCTTGCGACGCCAGGTTGAAGGAGAGAAGACAGCAGCGGGAGACGACGGCAGCTGGGGTTTCTGTTTCAAACCTGAGACTTTCGGAGCGGTGGCAAGCTGCGTGTAGCCTTGATGGTGCGGGTGTCGCGGGTAGGAAAGACAAACGCGGGAGTCATGCACTGCAAGCTCGCGGTTGCCATATCCCACGCATGAGGAAGGCGCGCCTTGGTGCCACCCACCGCAGGACGGTCACAGTTGCGCGTGCCCAAGCACCGTACAAACGTCTGCGCAAGACAGCCTACTACACCGTGCATCGCTCCGCGACGTTGGTCCTACCAATGAATCTCTCAATGCACCAGCGGGTGCCTGCAGTAGTGGATCCACTGCGATATGCATGAGACGGCGGCTTGAATACACCGCCACCAAGTTCCAGATATTGTGAATCAGCATTCTCAATCGCCAGGAGAACAAAGAAGAAAGAGCACATCCAAGACTCATGACAAGTGAGCCCTACTTGATTGTCAGTCAGCAAATTGTCTGAACCTGCCTGGAAGGGGTGCTTGCCGCATTTGAACTGAACCTGTTACCATCTGATTCTGTTGCGCAAAATGCTTGGCCCGCATCGACATGGATATTTTAAGGCTAAAACACGCAAGGAAAGTGTCCGATTAAAATCCATCGCAGCAGAATAAACGCGCCGTTTGACGCTTTCTGACGGTCAAGGCGTCATACGGGCGGTGACCGTCGTGCAACCATCCGTTCATCCCCGGCAGTAGGGAACTGTGGCATCAGGCCATGGCAAGGGCATATGTATGATTTGGGGACAAACGTTGCCAGAGAGCTTGTCATGTTCGACATGTCAATGTTCGATGACGTTGAGTCAAAGTTTTCAATGGTGCAACCTTCTTTGTGCTCCGGCTAAGTACCCGGAAAGGTAATCTTCTGGAAGCTTGCCGCTCCAACGTCTTGTGTAACGAAAAATTCTGAGCAATCACTGTGGGTGGTCTAGCCAATTTTCACTATGCATTACCCAAATTGAAAACCGGGCCTCTAGCTCTATCTACCTTGATAGTTGCAAAATCTAAATGTGATGATACTTGGCCGTCACCATCCCCCGCTCGAAATCATCGCTGGGCAAGGAATAGACGCCAAGATAAGGATGATGGTACCGCGGGCATTTGGAATTTCTCCCACGCTTGCTTCCAAGACCATGACCCAGAATTGCGCCATACCCATCCTCGATTCTACTATAAGAAAACCAGGCGATGTGTAGTCTTTATCCAGAAACATGACACTGCCGTTCAGCTGCTGCCCCCGCTGGATATATTCTTTAGTCTGTGAGACCGTCAGAGGCTAATTGAAGAAGTCATGCTCACTGACAGCATCATGGTGTCATGGAGACATGCGGGAGGTGTAATAGAAGGCTACTGCATAGATTTGGAGCCGTAGGACTGGTCAGGGTTTGATTCCTGTTCCGGAGATCCGAGCTTCCTGTGCGCCTGTATGAGGGAATCCTTCGCGGTAGCTGACGAAGAGCTGAGCCATGCTGTATCGATGGGCAGTCCGTCCTGTGAGGGACTGGATCCTGCTAGTTGAAATTGATCTTCCTTTGCTTCATATATCTAGCGCTGTCTTTTCCAAACGCTTTCTTCTTCTTGTCCACCTTTGCCGGGTCGGTAAGTGTTGTGGACGGTCGGCGATTCGTTATCCTCATAAGTCCACCCGTGCTGGCTAGCGTGGACTGAAAGTGCTTCTTCAATGGCGTCTCCGGAGAGCTCAAAGGCGTGATTACCTTGGGTTTACCGTTCTTGAAATGCATACGGCATTTTGGCTTGTGTCTACACGCATGGTGAGGCCGACGGCCATTGTGACATTGCTTCCGATCCTGATTCTCACTGCCGGGTTCGATGGTATGATGGGCAGGGTTTATGCAGCGCCAGTTGCCGCAAAGATGTGATAAATGCCACCCTTCAAAAATCCAGCCGTATAGCTGTTCTGGACTCATATTTCCCTTGACAATCATCCACAATGTACCAATTTGTGCCCGTAGATGCCTACCTTGCCTTCTGAACGGGAAGCGGCGGTCTCTCCAATAGAAACACCTTGTAATCGTTTGCATCTTTTCTTCGGCCTCTGATATCTCGCATATCCAGCAAGATTCCTTGCTTCCATTTTCAGGGATCGCACGGGCAATTATTTCCTCCTGCTCGTGTCGCAGCCTTTCCTTGTCTTCGCTGGGCATATCCAACGCACTTTGCTTCATGACACAAAGTGGAATTTTCGTTGAGAAGCCATCGGTATCATAAGGCGTATCAGTAGAGTCCTGGGAAGAAGTGAGCAAAGCTGAATCCCCTGTCTCCAGGTGGAAATTTGAGTTGATGAGCCACTCTCTGGCGCTGTGGAGCAAAGCGTTCCTTCTTGGGTGCAGCTCTGTTGCCTGTTCTTCCACTGGATTAAAGCATCCTTGATATTGGCTGTTGAAACTGGATATGTCTCGCTCAGATGAGGCTGATGACTGCGAGCTAAAATTTCTCGCTGAAGAGGTCGAGTTCTGGGATTGTGATACTTGACTTATGTCTGAACTGTTCTGGCTTGACCCGTAATTAGCTGTAGCGGCCTCTGATTGGACCTCACTAAGTCGATGGAATTCCTTTTTTCTTTGATCCTTCAGCTTCTGAATTCTTTGACTTAGCGTGTGGTGGCGGATATCCAACGCAACATCGCTCTCTCCAGGTTCATGAGAAGCACCCACACAGGGACTTGTCTCGTGAAAGGCGTATTTGATGCTCAGCGAGGAGCGGGGCCTTCCTACGCTGGTATAATCGTCTTGATATTTTTCAAAAGCAGCCAACTCCTTCTCAATTTTCCTCACCTGTGCGTCAATGTCATACAGATTCATCGGCGGTGGCTTCTCCTGGAAGGAGTTGGAGAAATCTTCAGTGTTGTCCATCGTGTAGGTGAGGGAATCAGATAGAAATTTGGCTAGCGTGATGAGACTGGATCTTCCGATCTCTGTCGTGATTACTTCACGTATGTCAGACGTGAGAAGCCATACTAGCGATAGCGGATGAAAGTGAGTGCTTGTATGTTGAAGTTGTCAGGTAGATGGTTCAGCCAGTAGTGGCAAACTCATTGAGTGAGACAGGGCTGTGGCTTACAGAGTAAGAAATATGTATGTCAAGCGAATGGAGGTGTCCGTAGGTAATGTTGTTATCATGCAGCAGGGATGGCGATTGAAGAGTCCAGAAACTGTAAAGAGACAGTCAAAGCTAAGAGCCCTCAACTAAGGTTGGCGGGTTGGTGCTTCCTGTAGGCCAAGACCCTGTCAGACGCTGTCTCCAAGACCTGATTCATAGAGAGCTTAGAAGTCGAAGCTGAGAAACCGAAATGGGAAGGTACACAATCGATACAAGCATCTGCAACGGAATCATCGGTTGTTTGAACTCCGAGGGCTAGGTGTAAGGATACACTCCAGTGTGTGCGTATGCCGTAGTTAACTTACCTTTCTAGTCCACCATCTCACTAAGACTTTCTCGCATAATTTCGAACAGATATTCCAATAGCCTAGCGGTCTGTCGATCGAATCTCACATCCTCCTCTCCCACGCCACACGCCCAACGTACACGATACACTTGTTTGCTCAGCAAATGCCGGGGAAAAGACATCCAATGTCAACGCTAAGAATAAGAAACAATGCATCAATTGCCGACGCTGAAAAACGAACTACTCTACCGACAACCATACACGGGCAGCGACAATACGGGGTGGTCTGATTAGACCAAGACTCATGCGCCATTTGGCGCGAACCCGGCTTCCTGAAAGCATCTGTGCGGCTGATTGATATTTGGCCTCGAAAAGGTGGGCGCACTATCTGCTGTGCACGTCCCAGAGCAATGGCCATGTCGTCTGCTGAAATATTGCATCGGCGGGGCGCACACGAGCCATCATGGAGCGTGATCGCGGGGATGATCCAGTTCGTGGCGAGTGTACGATGGGTGACTGCACAAAAATTCCTCGCCTCGAATAGTCCGTCATCTATGCTTGGTCCGCTGCTCAATTTGTTGATGCGAACTGGCACAGGAATGAGCAGCATTCCATGGGAGACGGACTTCGTGACCGACGGAGGCACATCCCGCGTCACGCGAGGAAGGAACCATGGTCGGAAGCCGCGGGGGAAAAAAGCATTGGGCAACGGGCCAGATATACGTTTGGAGAAAAGGCGGAGACGGCGGAACCGCGGACCGAATTTTCGTCACTGACGAGAGACGTCGGATGGGAAGTCTCCAGATCCGGTTCGGTTACGGCAAACGTTAAGTGCATGGGCTCATGCCATGGCGGCATGAGCCGATGGACGGGCAAGCTGGCGAGTTTGTTGTGCACGTTGGATGATGGGCTGAGCGCTGACGCAGCTGACAAGGTCGGAGATGCAGACTGAGTGGTCGCGGCGAGGAATACATATGTATGAAGCTGCGTGGGTGGGCGGCAAACCAGGCGCTCTCGAGTGCGGGAGGCGATGGCAGTGGCGCTGGGCGAAACAGCCGGGGAAAGTTTGTGGATGAAACAGCGCGCCGCCTCTCGCACAGCCCTCCGCAATCTGCAAGCCCCCAGCCATGCCACCCCGCGCCATCACCACCCAATTGTTTCGTCTTAACGGCCTTGCCCATTGTGCCGGCAGCCAACGGCGCGCCGACGAGCCGCCTGTGTGACATGCAGGTAAGCCGCCTGGTGCCAGGCCGCGACTGGCTCAGCGCTCACCACTGCCCGGCTAAAGACGTGTCATGCGGACTCCGGTGCCCTGGCGATCCTTTCCTCAGCGCGCCAGCCAAGTAGCCAGCCTTGAATCGCGCCCAAGCCCTCCCGGTCCGCCAGGCGATGCTTCCATGATAAGTTTAAGACCGCCCCATTTGACGTCGGTCCTTGCCGTCATTTTCCCACTCCGTTGCGACGTCGGTCCCTCTTTTTGCTCCCAAATCGCGTTCTACGCCGGCCCGTGGAGACCGCTTCTTGAGCTTTCCCATCACGCGTTGCTATAAAGCCCTGGTCCCCCGTTGTCAAACTTCATTCGCATAAAAGTTTCCGTTCAACTGCCATCATGGTCAACATTCCTCTCGTCCTCTCCGCCTCTGCGGCCGGCTGCTCCGCCACGAACTTGTTCGTCACCTCCTACGGCGGCACTCTGACTACTGTCAGCCTCGACAACGCCGAGGATGGTTCTTACTCGCTCAACACGGCTTATTCGAGCACTGGCTGCGGCTCCAGTCCGTCCTGGCTGACTTTGGATTCGGAGCGCGGCATTCTCTACTGCCTGGACGAGGGTCTCACTAGCACCAATGGCACCATCAACTCCCTGCTGGTTGGCGAAGATGGTGGGCTCACCCTCGTGAGCTCCCAGCAGGCAATCTCCGGCCCCGTCAGCAGTGTTCTCTACGGCAGCGCCAGCGCGCGTCATCTCGCCGTAGCTCACTATTCTGGCAGTGCTGTCTCCACTTGGGGGGCTCCGAAGAATGCCTCCCTCATTCCTGGAGAGAGGTTCCCTTTCACTCTGGACGAGCCTGGCGCCGTTCCTGATCGCCAGGATGCGCCGCATGAGCATGAGGCTATTTTGGACCCGACTGGAAAATTCATCATTGTTCCGGACCTTGGCGCCGATTTGGTGCGCGTCTTCAGCTATGACAGTGCCGGCGCTCTGACAGAGGAGAAGTCTCTCGAGACTGAGGCCGGCCTCGGCCCGCGCCACGCTGCTTTCTGGACGGGCAACTCGTACCACGGCAACTCCACTTTCTTCTACCTGGTTGGCGAGCTCGACAACTCTTTGACCACCTACAGCGTCGCCTACCCTCCTGCAGGCGGCATCTCCTTTACGGAAGTTTCCAAGACGACCACTTTCGGTGATGCTCCGGAACCGGAGGGAGCGGCTGCCGCTGAGATCGAGGTTTCGGTACGTTTGAGAACGCTCAGATAGGAGAAAGAAATGCTAACTAACAGCAACCAGCCCGATAACAAATTCTTGGTCGTCTCGAACCGCAACGACTCGTCGTTCGAGATCTCGAGCGCTTACAATGGTACCAAGCAGTACTCGGACTCCTTGTCCACCTTCTCAATCCAGCCTAACGGCTCGCTCGTGTTTGAGCACCTTGCCCCGGCCGGTGGCTCTTTCCCCCGTCACTTCTCGCTCAACGGCGACGGAGATTTGATTGCGGTGGCGCTGCAGTATGACAGCAAGCTGGTGATCAAGAAGCGCGACCTTCAGACCGGTGTCATCGGAGACGAGATCGCCACCATCTCGATCCCTGGCAATTTGACTGCCGTGGTCTGGGATGAGTGTTAATGCTTTTGCCGCTTTTGGCAATCGGAGTTTGGGATTCCTTTTGAGTAGACGTATTGGAGGACTACGGGTGGAGCCACGGCCCAGGCGACTTCGCTCCAAAAATTTAGATGATTTTCAAGACCATTGAATGAACCCACGTGCAGGATCCAAACGTGTTGAATATTGGCGATTCTTGGTAATGGCATTGGCAAGGGTCCACAGGGTGCGGCTGTAAGCAGGGAATTCGATCAAAAATCTCGAAGGTCCCACAAACGCTTCACACGCAGACATCAGTCATCAACATTGGCCTGGATGGATTGAGGTATCTGCTTGGCGATATCGGCGGGACCAGGCACACCGTAATGGCAGAATCGCGTGCACGCGTCTTGGCGCGCATCAGTGGGGCGCGTCCGCCGACTGCGTCACTGTAGAGCCTCGGCCAACCTTCCAGCAGCCCACTTCTTCACCCCAAACGCCGTCGACGACATGCAGGCGTTCGCCCCGCCCGCGGCCGGCCTCGCAAGGTGCCTGCGCAGCTCAACGCCGCGTTGGACTCACCCGCTCGTCTTTGCTCGCCAACCTGAGTGCGTGGGACAACGCCGGCGCCTCCAGACATCCACCGCATCGTCGCGGACCCCAGACTTTGCCTTTGCATTCGAGTACGTCACAAGCACCCACAATTGGCTGGGGGAGGAGAAAATGCGGCCGAACATGCGGAAAGGTACACAAAGGAGCTATGGCTGTCAGCACGCAGTTGCGGAGTTGCCCCGCTTCCCCGACCGACACCTTGACGTCCTGCAGCCGGCTTCCTTCAACCCCGCACAATGCTGTTATTCCAGATACTAGAAGGCTCCCATGACGGCTAACAGGGTCACAGCATCGATGGCGTCCTTCTCCGCAGCTCTGACCCGATCCCAGGCGCATCCAACGCGCTCACCTACCTCCAGGCCCAACGCATCCCCTTCATCCTGCTCACCAACGGCGGCGGCAAGCATGAGTCCGAACGCGTGGCCGAGCTGAGCGAGAAGCTGTCGGTGCCTCTTTCCACTTCCAACTTCCTACAGAGCCATACCCCGTTCGCAGCCATGGACCAATACAAGGAAAAGACAGTACTCGTGTGTGGTGGAGACGGCGCCAAATGTCGGGACGTGGCTGAGAAGTATGCTACCACACATTCAACCAGATTCTAAAGGTTGCAGGGTGGCTAAGAAGGATATAGGTACGGCTACAAGAGCGTTGTCACGCCCGGTGACATTTACGCTGCGTACCCGGAGATCTGGCCATTCTCTAAGAACTTTCTCGACTACTACCGCTCCTTCGCACGCCCTCTTCCCCGTCCCATCGACGCTGCGAACCCGGACGCCTCGCTTAAGATTGATGCCGTGTTCGTGTACAACGATCCGCGCGACTGGGGCCTCGATGCTACAATAATCATGGACGTATTGCTCTCACAACAGGGAATCATGGGCACCATCTCGTCCAAGAACGGCGACAAGAGCTTGCCGAACAGGGGATACCTGCAGGATGGTCAGCCGCCGCTGTACTACAGCAACCCGGACTTGTGGTGGGCGGCGAAGTACCACTTGTCGCGCCTTGGCCAAGGTGGTTTTAGGGAAGCGCTGGAGGGAATCTGGACCGCTGTGACGGGTGGCGAGAGGCACGGCGTGGAGCTAAAGAAGACGGTCTTCGGAAAGCCGTTCCGCCCGACGTATGAGTTTGCGGAGACCTTGCTGAACAAGTACCGGGAGGAGATGTTCACGGGAACCAAGCTGGAGCCGCTAAAGCGGGTGTACATGGTCGGAGATAACCCAGGTTTGTGTTCTACAGTATAGGTCGCTTGAGAGAAATGGCTAACTTCTCCGCAGAGTCGGATATTCGCGGCGCGAACATGTACGATAGCCCTCTTGGAACAGACTGGAAGTCTGTTCTTGTCCAAACGGGCGTCTACAAAGAAGGAACGGAGCCCGCTTGGAAGCCTAGGACTATCGTTAAGGATGTGTATGAGGCGGTCAGGTATGCAGTAGAAGATTCTAAGTGGGAGAGATCCTAAATACATTACCTTCAAGAGCAGCATTCACAAGGCGCTAGATCTGGGAAGCCAATAGATTATCCAGTCTCCTCGATTACAATGGGACAAGTGAGCGTGGGAATAGGAACCTGATCACAATATCCCGACTCTTTCGTCATGCAGGATGGACCTTTGATCATCGGCTTGTGACCCCCGCAGCCGGAATGCCCCACCTACGTCTGACGATTTGACTCATTGACTTGGCAATCCTTCCTTACATCAGCATCTCTTTCTCTTCTCTTTCGACTCAATCTTCTTCTCTGATCTGTATAAATACTTTCTGGTTTCCAATTGACAGCGGTTAACAGTTGTCTCCAGCAAAAAAATGTCCAAAATCAGCCAAATAATCACGGCCCACCGGCCGGCGCTCGAGCCGTACGAGGCGCTCTACAAGCACCTCCACCAAACGCCGGAGTTGTCGTTCCAAGAGCGCGAGACGGCGGCCAAGATGCGCGAGCACCTGTCGGCGCTGTTCGCGCGCTTCCCGCAGCTGGCGACGGCCATCCACAGCGACATTGGCGGCTCGCACGGCCTGGCCGCCACCATCCGCAACAAGACGGATGGCCCCGTCGTGCTGCTGCGCGCCGACATGGACGGGCTGCCGGTGCGCGAGCAGACGGGCCTGCCGTACGCGAGCACCAAGACGATGCGCGCGCTCGACGGGTCGGGCGACAAGCCCGTCATGCACGCGTGCGGCCACGACGCGCATATGACGTCGTTGCTGGCGGCGGCGGAGCTGTTGTGCAGTGCCGCGGCCGAGTGGGAGGGCACGGTCGTGCTGTGCTTTCAGCCGGCGGAGGAGCTGGGGAAGGGCGCGCAGGCGATGGTGGAGGGCGGCTTGTACGATAGGGTGCCCGTGCCGGATGTGGTTGTGGGTGGGCATATTACGTCTCTGAAGGCTGGTAAGTTTGGGTCTTTTTTTTTTTTTTTTTGGTTGGGGTTCAGGGAATGTTGCAGGGGATGCAGAGGTAGTGGTTGCTGGTGGTGGTGTTGCTGGTGGTGGTGTTGCTGGAAGGAGAGGTTGTGGTTGAGCGGGGGAAAGCTGACCGTGCCGTTTTCGTATAGGGACAATTGGCACGCGGCGTGGAACGGTAGCTTCGGCGGCAGACTCGTACAAGTATGGCTGCTCCCATCCCCTTCCTGAATCATCTTGCTTCCCTACGGGTGAAACGTGAAAGCGAGCAATATTGATGTGATTAACTTCTCCAACAGCCTCACCATCCACGGCCGAAGCGGGCACGCCTCGCAACCGCACCGCACCTGCGACCCGATCGTGACGGCGGCACACACCATCACGCGGCTGCAGACCATCACCGCGCGCGAGATCGACCCGCAGGACGCAGCGGTGGTGTCGGTCGGCTACGTGCGCGCGGGCGACGCCGTCAACATCATCCCGGGCACGGCCGACCTGGGCCTCGACGTGCGCAGCTTCACGCCCGCCACCCGCGCTCGCGTGCTTGCCGCCATCCGCCGCATCATCGACGCCGAGAGCGCGGCCGCCGGCGCCCCGGCCCCTCCCGACCTCGTCGAGACGCGGACGTTCCCGCTCTTGGTCAACGACGAGGCGGAGACGGCGAAGGTCGAGGAGGTGTTCAAGGCGCATTTCGGTGCTGATTACGACGCCGATGCGCGGAGGTTGGGCTTCAGTGAGGACTGTGGCATTTTGGCGACGAGCGTGGGGAAGCCTGGCGTGTTCTTCTCGTACGGCGGGACGGATCCGGAGCTGTGGGATAGGTTGGAGAGGGAGGGTGGGGAGGAGAGGGTTTTGGAGGGCGTGCCGGTTAATCATTCGGCTTTTTTCGCGCCTAAATTGGAAGCGTTGAGGTATGGCATTGATGGGTATGCGGGAGGTGCTTTGGCCTTTTTGGTCAACGCGTGATTTGAGAAGTGGTTGAAGTTGTCAAAAGAGGGTTCAAGGAATGTGTGTCATGGCCCTCCCCTTCGTGGAATATGGTCGATCATACAGTCATTGTATTGAAGCTAAAGGGAAAAAAACATAGGGTCATAATACAGCGTACCCCTTTTCTCGAGCCGCGCTGTGTTTTGCGTCTCGAAGAGGTGGTATAAAAGTGCGGCTATAGAAATATAAGGTCGCCTATAATGCTGTCAACCAAGGTTCAGCTTACATGGGGATTGAATCCAAGAACAGGGACGACGAAAAGACAACGCCTACTGGAGTCTTGCTGCCGGTGCCGCGAAAAGCTCCATATGTGCCTTTCTTTTGGCGCATGTCGTTTGCTGTACATTTTGCGTCTTCACACCAGCAGCACAGACTTATCCGGCAGTGCCAGGAAATTCTGGTACAGTTCCTCCGCACTCCCCTTCCCAACCGCCGCCTTCTCAACAGCAGCAACGGCGCCCCCAACACCTCTCCACCCTCCACCAACTCCGTCCGTTATCCCCGCATACTCGCATGCAAATACGCCCACTCTCTGCCACGAGTCCTTGACCCTCGACGTATACGCCCTCTCCAACACCAGCCCCTCAACCACCCTCGCATCCCTCCTCCCCTTCACCGCCGTCGGATCCAACTTGTACGCCACCAGCGCAAGGAAAACCAACTCCCCAAACGCCCCACCGTCATCATCGTCGTCGTCACCATACCCGCCTCCACCCCCAGCCGCGTAATCGCCCCCCTCATCCACATCCATCTCTATCCGCAGCTCCGTCCGCCTCCTCCCCTCGACGTGCACGAAATCCCGCCTGCCGCCGCCCGACTCTCCGGAGGCCCTCCGCCCGCCCAGCCGCTCGATGCCGACCGCGTGCCGCCAGAACGAGCGGTCCACCTTGCCGCGAACCTGCAGCACCGCGCTCGGCTTCTTCTTCTCCGCCGCCTTGCCCGTCCACGACGTCCGCACGGGGACGGCTTGGGCCGTCATCGGCGCGATGGTGGCGCGGTAGTCGCAGATGCTGCCGCTCGAACTTGCCAGCCATGCTGCTGCGCCGGTACTGCTGCTGCTGCTGCTGTTGCTACTGCTGGTGCTGGTGGTGCTGTCGCTGCCCGGGTAGACGATCGACGTGTTGTCGAGGCTCGCCCATGACCAGGTTGGTGCGATGACGGCGTCGGTGTCGCGGAGGGGGTTGGTGCGGGCTGTGCGGGCGCGGCGCCAGAGGAGTTGGTGGTGAGTGGATAGCGGCGTGGTTGTTGTGGAGGAAGAGGGCGTGGTGGGGTTTGTTAGCAATATCCCGGTCTCGGCTAGGCAGGATGATGGTGGTGATGGCGATGATGGCGCTGGAGACTGGCTGGAGGGGGAGGGAAGAGGTGAGGGCGAAGGGGAGGAAGACGCTTCAAGCAAGGACTGGAATAGCTTTGCTAACCCGGCCAGGGCGAACAGCTTGTCCGTCCGCTTTGCCAGGGAAAGAGTAGTGTAGTGTGCGACGATGGCCGTCCACTGTGCATGGATCATGGTAAGCAAGGCATTGGGTTCGTCATCCAGCGCCGGGATCTTGTCGTCATGCGGCGCCTGCACTGCTAGCGCGGCGTGCTGCCGGCTGCGGTGAAGGAGCGAAGCGAGCGAGAGCTTCGCATCCGTGAGCGGCGTCACCCACGACGGACGGTACGAGGAGCTGGAAAGCTGACACGCGGTCCGCGGCACGCTGCATCCTTCCCAGGTGAAGCTGTGCCCGCAGTCCCAGTACAGGCGCTTCCGGGTAAAGTGCAGGGTGCGCGGCGCGAGGAGGCGTTCTTGCATTGCCCAGGCGCGCGAGTTAAGCGCCGCGGCGGCGAACTCGTCGCCGAAAGGGGCGCACGCGGAGAGCTCGATCAGCTTCGCCGCCTGCGAGTTCGCGTCCCGCAGATAGAGCCGCCACGGCGGCTGGAGACGGGGGTTCTGCTCGAGGTACAGCCCGCCGGTCGTGTTCCGCGCCCCTGCAGCCGCAATGTTGCAGTACGAGTTGGCGTAAATCTGATCCATTTGGGATACTTCAGACTCCCAGTCTTGTGGGGAGTCTTGGATGATGCATAGGCTGTCGATCCATAGGTACCGGACCTGCAAATGCCGTGCGACTTCGACGGCTTCGAGGAATGTCCTTGGGAGATTGGTTATGCCGGTACGCGCGGCGGCGTAATTTGCTTGCAGCAATCGAGCCGGTCCTTCCCTCTTGGTTGGGCCCCAGCAATGGCTCAACGTCACGTAGCGGCAAGGAGCCGAACACTCCTGGGATTCTAGCAGGCGAACGTACGGGTCCTTGAGAGAGCCTACGTCCAGTAATCTCGTAGGGATGTAGCCAGAAGAGCTTTTGAGGGAACGACATATCGAATGCTGGCCATCACATTCACCAAGCCAAGACTTGATCTGCGGGATCCTCTCCGCGAGGCCGATGGCGGAGGGGACGGAGTTGCGCTCAATGTGCGAGCGTTTGCCTGCGATTTTGTTAATCGATTCTCTGGTTGAAGGGCCTGAAGGAGCCTACAATCAGAAACCTGGAAATCGAGGTTATACGTTGGGCGGTCCGAGACAAAGGATGGTGGTGCATTCCGGTTCAGCGGGTAAGGAAGGGACCAAATCAACCCTTTGCCCGGATCATATGATTCACCTAACCACTCCAGTCGAATCTCCAGTCGGGTGCGATATACGGAATACGTTGAGAAAGGTGCGCCTGGGACGATGGCCTCCAGTATTTCGGCCGGGAAGCATTCGGCTTTCCACGGTATCTTGCCGTAAAGGTAGCTACAGATCAGGCAGGATCCATCAGCCGCTTTGAAGAAGCTCCCGGCGCTTTGGTGGTGGACGGAAGCTTTCGAGGTCGAGTCGGACGCAGCGAGGCTGAGCACCTCCTCGCACCTATCGCAGAGGTCCTTCGAACCCGCCGGAGTCTGCTCCAGATACCACGAGCTGGTGTCCTCGTCAAAGGACAGCGGGGAATCCTGCCGATACATACTCTCAGCGCGGAAAAAGCAAGGACAGGGAGAAGATGAATCCAGAGAGGAAGCTTGCGCCTGCAACGCCATCGATGTAGGTAATCGATAGTCTCGGCCTTTCTCTCGTCAGCTGAGTTCCACTTTAGTGTTGGCCGCTGTCCCCACTGCACCAGCAGCCACTCCCCACTTGCGTTGGCAGCGATCCCTGTTGCGGACGAACAGCCTCGGGTAATGACAACGCGGGAGGACGGGATCTGCCAACGATCATGCTGCACGACATCCTGCCATTTACTCTCTCGGCAAGTGATACAACCTCTGCTGCTTTAGACGCCCTTATCTGACTTCAGGCCACCCAAAAGATGGCTCCCACGTGACGAATGCTCAAACACCTCAAGGTGGGGGCGGCCATGGCGGGGTTGTCGGCGGCAAGCGCGTTATTCGCCACCTCCTCGCCTCAATATTGCGCTAATCCAGAACCTTCATCAATCTATTCTTAGCATCCGGCTTTCATGTGCTCCAGGGTCCGAGCGAGCTGGGTTATCGTATGCTTCTGCATTGCATGAGGCTCTAATAAGCAATCGGATAGAGTTGTGTAGGTTAAGATGCATGGGATTGGTCATATACGCTTAAGCTTATAACCGAGGTAACAACCATAAGCAAGCCAGGCAATAAGGCCTAATTAATCAACGAATGAGCTCACAGTCCATCAAAATCCTATCTCGCTAATCTGAGTGTACCACTTGTTATCATTAGCCATCTCCCCCGTGCACACTGCCTAGATGTGGTATTTAAATTAGGTAAAATACGCCCCGGTATGCTAGCTTTTGCTTGCGAACGTTGAAAGGTGTAAGAGGATCATATGCAAAGGTATCAGCAATCCTCTTCGTGATAAGGTGTAGGGCGAAGTGGCCTCTAAAAAAGAAAAACAGGATTGAAAGCTTCTAGGAGCTGGCAATCTCTGCAATCAATGAAAATTCTTCTAACAGCACAAGGACTGCCTTGCTTAAGAGAGAAAAGAAACACGATTAAAATGACATCCGGGTTACACGCAGAAGCAATGCCTCCTGTTTATACCAAACAATAGCCGTGGCCAACGGCTTCTCCACACCTTTTACCCAATCCAGTTTACCGGCTACCCAAACCCCAACAATTTCCAATCGGCACCTCAGTTGTTTCCTTCATTCTCCAATTGTTGCTCCAGGCTCCCAAAAATATCCAACTCACTCTCAACTGCTTGACCATCGGCTGCCCCCAGCGGCCCCGTCTCGGGTAGCGCAACCATTGCATCGATATCCATAGCCTCGGGCTCTGGTTGCTGCTCGGCGGGCCGCGGCTCTGCCGGCTGTGTAGGGGGCTCCGCTGGAGCTTCTCCCTTCTGTTCAGGTGTTTTCTCTTTCGGGGGTTCTTGAGGTTGTTCGGGCTTTTGTTCTGATGGGGCCTCTGGCGCTGAAATCGGCTGATCCACTTGTTCAGGTTCTATCTTAGTCTCCGTCGTTTGGGGTGGAGTGGCCGATTTCTTCGCCGGAGGGGTAGGCGTTTTGGTCTTGCGTTGTTCCGAGTTCTGACGGCTGTTGCTGCCGGGTGCTCCTGCGAGCGGGAGATCCGGTGAGCTTGACGCATCCCGGTCATCGGAGCTGGCGCGTCGTTTCTTGGGAATAACCTGTTCGGGCGCAGTGGGAAGGGCCTCAGTCGTAGCAATTGGCGCCTGCGCTCCTTCAGGCGGGACAGATGTAGAAGCTGACTCAGTGGGGCCTGGTGCAGGAGCCGGAGTGGCCGATTCTTCCGTCTTGGGTAGCGGCGTATTCACGCCGGGAGTCGGTGACCCTTCGCGGTTCTCATCGTCCTCCTCATCACCCTCGGAGCCCTCGGAGCCTTCCTCATCGTCGTCTCCACCCTCGGCCATCGGCGTGTCACCTGGAGCAGGGGTACCCTCGCTTTTAATATTCGGGTCCCCGCCCTGTGCGCTGCCATCGGCTCCAGTTGTTGCACCGTTGCCACCCTCGCCGGGAGTGAACATGACCTTCTTCCGACCCCTGCCAGGTCCCTTCTTAGGCTTTCTGCGAGGCGGGGGCGGCCTGCGCCTCGGGGGAGTTGGCTGATTTGCTACCACGACACCTTCAGCGTTGACGATACCAACGCCCTCAACCACAGTTCCGGGAAGAGCCTCTTCTGGAGCCGCCTCCTTCATTTCCGCATCTTCTTCAGCGACCTCTCCCTCCACTGTTTGCCCTTCAGGCACCAGAACTTTGTAAACATGAACACTCCCATCAGCGTCAGTCTTCTTGACTTTGGTTTCTCTCATCGGCCCGCTGGGCACGGAATGGCCGTTCGTGCTCTGCCTCGAAAATGCCGATGGCAGGCCTTTCCTTCTCTTAGCAAGGTACTCCGGCTCCGGTTCTTCCATGTGGCGGGGGACCTGGGACCATTTCTTGGTAGTGTAGCCGGTTTGAGGTTCCTTAGTAGTTGTTGTCTCCTCCTCTTCTTCACCCTTCTCCTTCTCCTCTTCATCTGGTGGGGTTGGCAGTTTGTAGAGCCTCCCAGCTCGTGCAGCTCGTAGTAATATCTGGCTGTGGTCTGGTAATAGCTGCGAGTCGCGTGGCATCGGAGGTTCAGGCCAGTCGTCCTTTGACAGCGGCTGCTGATTTTGATTGATTGTGGGGCCAACCGTGGTCTCTGCTTGCCGCCATTGGCGGATTGGCAGACCTTCAAAAACGTCATGGTCGACCTGACCACGGCCGGACCGGTTGCTTCGGCCACTTGGACGGAACTACCGGGAAAGTTAGAAGAGTCGGACTATTTGACTTTGAAAACGAAAGGGAGTATTGGGATAGGAAGGAGTTAATTGTCGTAAGAAAAGCGAGGACGGATGAATTGAGCAACTGTGAGTTATATCCAACACCCGTGTAATGGGAACCTCGTCGATAGAAAGCACAACACTCAAGGTAATGAGAAATAATGGGCCCAGGAGCGCAAGAGAATGCCTTCGGTCATCCAAGAAATGGCCCTCCCTGCGGCTGGGAGGCTGATGTATAGTGCCGGGAAAAAGGTAGAGTCCGTGGTATAGTGGACCATTGTAAGTGAGATCAAAGCCATAAGGAGTGTAACGTCAATGCCCTTGAGAGAGATTCCGCGGGGATGGGGGACAAATAACCCGATTCTTCGAATAGACGCTCCAGCAATCGTCGTATTGTGAAATGAAATATCGATGTCGTGCATTGGACAGCCTCTTTGAATAGAAATGTAATGGGAAAACTGCGAGAAAGACTGAACGCGATGCTGAACCTGCGCAGAGGGCACAAGGCTGCAAAGCATCTTTTGCAGGCTTGAAATACGGTGCCTATTTGCGGATTTGAGAGACGATAGACGGTGATATCACCCTGCCGTGGGACGCAGGCGATAATGGCGATACCAGGGTCCTAGCTCGGGAACATTGCAGGTCCAGGTCCAGATCGCGTCGGCCAGATCGGGGGTTACGGGGCGCGCGTGTGCATTCACAGGGGAATAGAAAGAAAAATGAGCCTGACTTACCGGCGCCATGATAAAAGGTTCGCACGTGGGCGAGAGCCAATGTAGTGCGGAGTAGTGATGGGTGAGTACCGGAAGCAGGCGCGGCGCGTGGATGGGTGAGAGAGCAACAGTTGTCGCGAGTCTTGCGCCTGCCAGCACGTGTTGTTTCTAGTCGAGTCCGTGCGCTTTGATATGACTAATCAAGTCTGGGCGCGTCACGATTTTGCCGCCCGCGGCGGGGGCGCCGTCTCAAAGCCGCAGTCGGCATACACAGGAGTGAGAAAAATTACAAGTGCTTCTGTATTATCGCTGATTTACACGCATGACGCCTGCCAGCACGATCCTATCGATACAGTTCCAGCGGAGATTGATATCGTAAATGCCCGAAGTGCCCTCCGCGCCCGTGAATTACAGAAATGCCTCTTCCATCATAATCCAACGCAGATTTAGTCCCAGCTGCATCCGCTCCGTTAGCTCTACCTTTGCTGGCTGTACGACGATGGATGGAGCTAAGAGTGTTGTTATGGAATGGAAACGTACCCTGTATCCTTCTGCCTGACAATCCCGCCCTCTCCACCAGTTTGCTTGCCGGTCTTACCACCTTCTACTACTAACCGGTCAAGCTGGTAGAACTGACTGATGACAGTTTGTCTCTGTGAATCACAAGCGTCAGCAAAGATGCGCGGTAACAATTCAAGAATTGGCCCGACGACGTAGAACTCCGCGATCTCCGAGGATGAGCAACACCGGACACATGGACGAAAGCTAAGCATTTAGTGAAGCGACCTGTACGGCTGCTCTGCTGATGCTCCTTGTCACCGTTTGGCGCACCAATGCGACAAGTGTAGTCCTTTTGTGTCTATCTGTTGCATCCAGCGCATACGACTGGAGAGCACGTCCGACTGCCGAGCGAAAAGAACGCACCTTCAGAGACTGCAACTCCTTCAAGCCGTTTGATATGGCATCTTGTATCTCCCGCGAATCGGTCAGGCGCTGGTTTTCGCGGAAAGCATCTTTCGTCCGACGTAACGCGTACTCGCGGAAGTTGTAGGCAGCAAACTGACGGGCCTGGCGCAGGAGCGAACGGTACTAGAGTGCGAGCGTTGTCAGAAAATTGTTCAGATAAGGCGGCTCCCTAGCAGCAATCGTCCGGATGCAAAAATCAACCACGCGGACAATATGCGATTTTGCGGAGGCGCGACGATTGATGACGGAGGCGATGGGCAACACTGCGACGCGGGCAGTAATTAATGACTCACCAATGAGCGCGCCTGGTATGCGGTGTCTGCTGCGACCGCGGACATACTGGCGACTGTGTGCAAAAGGTGATCCGAAGCGACGGTGGGAGAGAGGCAGGCGATGGCGGAGAGGTGTCGCTGGGCGTTTATGTCATGGATGGAAAAGAAGCTCGCTCGCTGGCCGTTCCTCGGTGCCGGGAATATCTGCGGAGATAAGAGACTACCTAGCACCTCAGCGCCTCAAAAAATCGCCACGTTCCAGTGCTTATGCAAATTCATCATCTTTTTGCTACACCCGGTGCACTAGTATTGCGCATTGCACCATTGCGCCGAACTACCAAAAATGGCTCTGTCAGCCTGATATCCATAAAAGCAAGCCTGAGAAGTCCTTAGCCCCACCAACGCCAGTGATGCTCCTGTTACATGGCCGCCCGCAAACCCATAGCTTCATGTTTTTGTACAATTCTGGATCCGTGGTTCCTCACTGCTTGAACTTCTGGTGAATCTGGCGGATCTGTTCCTGGATGTTCATGCCCTGCATCTGAGCCATCTGGGTCGCATCTGCATTCGTAGGCTGTCCATCGTATCCGTTGGCCGCCCTCTTTCTCCTGGCTTCCTCCTCGGCAGAGATGCGGGCTCCGGTCGTCGGATCGAAGATGTCGTCGCGCTGACTGGCAAGACGCTTGAGATTGTTTGCGACATCTTGCGTCGACAGGTTGCTGGTGGAAAAGCGAGCGTCCGCCTTGGCCTTCTGCTCCTTCCACTGAGGATCGAGGAGCTCGACTACAACGTAGATTAGTATTTGAGTTGACATGGAAAAATACCGGTATGAACTTACTCTTCATGTGCTGCTCGAGCTCGTCGACGTCAATCAGCTGGTTGCAGTTCGGGCAAGCGGTCTGATTAGCAACCTTGCGCTTAGCCTGGGCTCTCGGTACGTAGTCGCTCCTAATCTTCATCTGCGGCGGTCCAGCCTTGGCAGCAGCCTGAGCGTGCTGCGCCCGCTCCATCTGCTCCCTCCTCTCGCGAATGAGACGCTCCTCCTCCTCCTCTTGTGCCGTGCGTTGGGGGATCTGGCCTGTCGCATACGTTGCCTGAGGGTGAGGTTGGTAGGGCAGAACTTGGGGCTGGGGCATTTGGACGGCCGGGGGAGGTTGATTCCATTGAGAGAGATCCTCATCGGGCATTGCTTCCTCAATGCGCATGTTGTGGGGGCGAAGGGACATGGCAGCCTTCTGCTCCAGCGAGGCGCTCTGCAGGTCATTGAGTGAGGTCGGAGGTGGGAGCTCCGTCTGCTCATCACCATCGGTGAAGAGCACCGTCTCAACGACGACAAAGTCATGCCAGTCGATCTCGGCGTAGGCGACGCGCTCATCCTCGTCCTTCTGCTCCTTTTCTTGACGCTGCTTCTCTTGGTATTTGGTCCACTCGGCACGTGCCTTGGCCTTCTCAAGCATGTTGAACTTGTTCCTGACGTTTTCCTCCAGTTGTGCCTTGCGCTCCTCCTCATTCTCGCCCGACAAAAGTTCCTTGTACTGCTCGACCAGACGGTTGAAGAACTGGTTCAGGCTGTGTTGGGGGCGAAGGAAGTCAAACTGCGAGTTGCTGGCCTCGCGCTGGGCGAGCTGAGTCGTGAAGGCACGTCCGTTCTTCGCAGTGAAGCGAGCGGTTAGTTTGACGACGTCGAGATCCTGCGCGTTGATGTTTGGCATACGTGCAGAGAAGTGGAACTCGGGCGGCTCGGTCGGGCCTGACGGCCTGGCTTGCTGGATAGCGCCATCCGCACCCAGTTGTCCTGCGCCAGTCTGAGCTCCGCGGCCGCTCTTGTGTTCCTCAATGCGCCACTGGAAATAAGCAAAGAACGGGTCTTCTTCGAAGACGAAGGAGAACTTGGGGTTGGTCCGGTGGTTTGCACGAAGGCGCTCGATGAAGACCTTGCCGTTGCGGGAGACGTAGCCTGCGGTCTTCTCGATTGTTTCGTGGAGTTCCTTGGGAGGGCGAATGACGCCGGCCGGGAGCTGGCCGACTGAGTCGGGCCCGTTTGTAGGGGTGGGTGTCGCCATCGCGGCAGACTCGTCGCGCTCTCAAAACCAAAGGCGGACGCAGCGGTCGGCGTGCGGAGTCTCGGGGGAGAAGGGCGACCGGGTGCGGAGGACGTGAGGATGGTGTCGGCCGCTTCGCGGTTGCATGAGCGCGAGGACGGGAAGCTCGAGGGCAGACGCAAACACGCCGCCACCTTAATCCGTCCCGGGCGGAAGGCGGAGCGGAAAGCTTGGCACCGGGCATTTTTCGACGCCAGGGTCCAGCGCAGCGCACGCCGGCTGAGTCGCATCCGCGGTACACGGAGCATACTGATTATCATTCTTAAATTAGCTCCCAGTGCATTCTACGTGGCGCATTGTACATTCTTTTGCGCGAACCCGTCTACAATGCCTGCCAGAGTGACTTACGTTGCAGCGAGCGTCGCGCAGCTGGCCGATTAGGATTGTCAACCAGACACCTCTGCCTTCCAGAAGGTCGGACCCAACCATTAAGAGATCAATTGTCCAATGGTACGCCTAAGGCCGTTGGGCGGATGGTGTGCGGCGGGGACCTACTCAACGGCGCGCAAAACGCTAAGGGGCGGAGGCGCGACGCGTCGACACCGGTCCCAACGAGGCACGAAACAACGCGGAGAGGCATGTGGCGGATATGTCTCTAGAACTCGGGCAGCGCAGATCATCACGCAGCTCATATCCTTCACATGCCTCAGTGTGGTTCATGTTGCCCCGCTGGGCTGGAGCCTCGGCGGCATTTTCGACCTATTTCTGGAGCTTGCGCAGGGGCCAAGGCCACCTTGACAAGTACTACGCGGCAAGGGAGATCTCCATCCAATCCCCTGTTCTTCCAGAACTCCATCACCACACCCGTCCCACCGCGGCCAGGTGTCTTCTTCGCCCTTCTTGTCACTCCTTCACACCTTTCTGACACCTCCACCCCCAACTCCGCCCCGCATCCCATCAATTGCCAGACGCCGCTCCTACGCGACGCTGCGCCCATCATCCGCCGTCCTCTTCAGCGCAGGCCAAGCCGTAGCATGCCCGTCGCGAATCAGGCCCAACTCTAAGTTAACGTCTGAGCGTACTCCGGCATATCCGCCATGGGCTCGGAAAAGACGCTGCTCCAGCAGCAGCCCTCGCCGCGCGGCGGTCGAGGCAAATCTCCTGCGCGATCCAAGAATCAGAAATCTCACGCCCGCGACTACACCTCCGAGGGCGTGAAGGACAATGACATTTCCAAGCTGCCCGGCTCCGACTGGCAGCTGCTCGGACTGCTCACGCTGGTCGCTGCCGGCGTGCGTCTTTTCCGCATCTACCAGCCTGGCAGCGTTGTCTTCGACGAGGTCCAGTAAGTTCAGCCGCACCTCTGCGAAACGCTTTTCCTGTATGCTGACAGCGCGCTCTACGTAGCTTCGGTGGCTTCGCCTCCAAGTACATCAAGGGCAAGTTCTTCATGGACGTACACCCGCCGCTTGCGAAGCTTCTCATCACCTTGGCTGGATGGCTGGCCGGATTCGACGGCGACTTCGATTTCAAGGACATTGGCAAGGACTACATCGAGCCCAAGGTTCCGTACGTGGCTATGCGTCTCCTTCCAGCGATTCTGGGAGTCATGACCATCCCCACTATGTTCCTGACTCTCAAGGCTTATGGCGCTCAAACCAACATTGCCGCACTTGGTGCCGGTCTCCTCATTTTTGGTACGGATCAAGCCAATTGATTTTTCTAACACGGCGTCTAACATGAGTACAGAGAATGGCTTTGTCACCCAGTCCCGCCTTATTCTCCTGGACTCTCCCTTGGTCATCTTTACCGCTTTCACCGCACTCAACTGGACTCTCTTTATGAACCAGCACGAACAAGGACCTTCCAAGGCTTTCAAGCCTGCCTGGTGGACATACCTTGTTCTGACTGGTCTGGGTTTGGGAGCCACGGCCAGCGTGAAGTGGGTTGGCTTGTTCACAATTGCTTGGGTGGGAAGCTTGACCATCCTTCAATTGTGGGTCCTTCTCGGTGACCCGAAGAATGTTACTCCGGTAAGCTCTGGACTTTTTCTGTGAGAAATCTGTGTGCTAATTCTTCGCAGCGCCTCTGGTTCAAGCACTTCTTCGCCCGCTTCTTCTGCCTTGTGATCATTCCCGTCGGCTTCTACGTTGGAATGTTCGCGATCCACTTCCTGTGCTTGGTCAACCCCGGTGAGGGCGACGGCTTCATGTCTTCGGAATTCCAGGCTACCCTGAACAACAAGGGTATGGCTGACGTTGCTGCCGATGTCGCGTTTGGCAGCAGGATCACTCTCCGTCACCACAACACCCAGGGTGGTTACCTGCACTCTCACGCCCACATGTACCCCACCGGAAGCAACCAGCAGCAGATTACCCTGTACCCGCACAAGGATGAGAACAACATCTGGCTGCTTGAGAACCAGACACAGCCTGTGCTTCCTGACAACACCACAATTCCCGGACCCGCTGCTTGGGATGCCCTGGATCCTACCTGGGTTGAGGATGGCGCTATCATTAAGCTCTACCACATTACCACCGATCGCCGTCTCCACTCTCACGATGTCCGCCCTCCGGTCTCTGAGGCCGATTGGCAGAACGAGGTTTCCGCGTACGGTTACGAAGGTTTTGAGGGCGACGCCAACGACCTGTTCAAGGTCGAAATTGTTCCCTGGTTGTCCGAAGGAGAGAAGGCCAAGAAGCGGGTTCGCACGATTCAGACGAAATTCAAGCTTGTCCACATCATGACGGGCTGTACGCTTTTCTCGCACAAGGTCAAGCTTCCCGATTGGGGATTTGAGCAGCAGGAAGTCACTTGTGCCCGCGGTGGTACTCTTCCTAACAGCATCTGGTATATCGAGTCGAACGACCACCCCAAGCTCGGCCCTGATGCCGAGAAGGTCAACTACAGAAACCCCGGCTTCTTCGGCAAGTTCTGGGAGCTCCAGAAGGTCATGTGGAAGACGAACGCTGGCCTTACTGAATCTCATGCGTGGGACTCTCGTCCTCCGTCCTGGCCCATTCTTAAGCGTGGTATCAACTTCTGGGGTCAAAACCACCGCCAGATCTACCTCATTGGCAACCCTCTGATTTGGTGGTCTTCTACCGCCGCTGTTGTCGCTTACCTCATCGTCAAGGCGCTTGCAGTTGTTCGCTGGCAGCGTGGATTCAAGGACTACAGCAGCGTCACGTTCAAGCGCTTCGACTATGAAGTCGGCATGACGCTCCTCGGCTGGTTCTTCCACTACTTCCCCTTCTACCTCATGCAACGCCAGCTGTTCCTGCACCACTATTTCCCTGCTCTGTACTTCGCCATCATGGCTCTTTGCCAGATCTACGACTTCGTGACGAACCGCTTCTCTGGACTTGGTCTGAAGCAGCGTCCTGTTATCGGACAAACCGGCGCCGTTCTTTTCCTTGCTGCCTCCATCACTGTCTTCACCCTCTATGCTCCGCTAGCATACGGTAATGCCTGGACCCAGGACCAGTGCAAGGCTGTCAAGTTGTTCGACAAGTGGGACTGGGATTGCAACACTTTCCATACTTCGGTAAGTTCTCCTGCTGCAATACATCAGCTAGCCAACTAACGTTCGAAACAGTATGATCAATATGGACCTTTGTGGGTGCCGAAGCCTTCGAGCACCCCTGTTGCCGAGGCACCTGCGGATCAGCAGGAGCAACCTCAGGAGCAAAAGGTCACTCCCCAGGCTGACAACGCCAACGCAAACATCATCGCTCGCGAGGAGAAGGTTGAGTACCGCGACGAGCAAGGTAACATCCTCAATGAGGAGCAAGTCAAGGCGCTCGAGGGCAAGGTCAGCTTCAAGACGCGCTACGAGACGCGGACGCGCGTGGTGGACGCGGCGGGCCAGGAGATGGAGGGCGAGGGTGTTGCCCCTCCTCACCCTGACGTTCAGGGCCAGAACCCCGAGACGGTGGAGAAGGGCGAGGATGAGGCTAGCCGTCAGCCGCCGGAGGTGTCCGCCAGCGATGACGAGGCCAAGGAGTCCAGTGCTGAGGGCAAGGATAAGGGCGCACCCAAGCCTGCAAGCGAGGCGAAAGAGGCGACCAAGCAGTAACAAGCTCTAATGATACGTGGGGGAAGGGGACGATAAGCTTTTCTCTTGTTTTCCGGCGCATCGGGTCGCTCCGGCGCGCATTTCGACGACGAACACGGTCTTCCGTCTTCTTTTGCCCTTGCGGGGTTTTCTTGTGTTGTAAGATTAGTCTGGATTGGGAGCGGCAGGCAAGGCGTCTATGATTGGGTCTTCCTTGGCCAATGTTCAGTACACTCTCGTCTCAGACGAAAAGAAAAATAGCGAATAAATGCAGGGTTGAGCAAGACAGATCAGCCCAGCTTCCCCGCGCAGCCAGTGGGCCTCGCGTGCGGGAAGCCGTGAAACATCAGGCTCTAGTCGCCGTGCCTTGTAATTTTTGCATGGCCAACCACAGTCAGCGACGGCGCCTCGGGCTCTTATGGTGGCCTCTGCATCGCATGTTGATGCGGCTGCCTCTTTGGGAAAGGTCTCCTTGCGGGGCGCTAGGCGGTACCTGGCATCTCGTCCAGCCCACGGGGCCTGATTCGCTTCGTCTGATTCGCATCTCTTCCTTGCCGCCGGCATTTCTTTTACGATGCCCGGATTGCAGCTACTAATCGCTAACCCCTCCTCCAAATCCGCCGGACCTCACCGATGCTGTAGAAACCAATGCTATCTCTCTGTTGCTCCGTGCGCCACCCATATCTGCTATCATGCAAGTATATAGCAGGCCCCCGATGTCGCTGCTCTTGACGCTGCTTCCACCATCCGCTCGTGGTCAATCCTCCTCCCCAGCAAACTGTCAGTCAACTTGATCATCCACCATGACTCGGCTCCTCCGCACCACTGCCGTCGCCGCAACCCTCCCGTTGCTCCCTGCGGTCGTCAACGCTTGGGGCACGCTGGGACACGAGACGGTTGCGTTCATTGCGCAGAACTTCGTGTCGGCTGACACGGCGACCTGGGCGCAGGGCATCCTCGACAGCACCTCGTCCAGCTACCTGGCTTCCGTCGCCACGTGGGCGGACAGCTACAGGTACACGACAGAGGGCACGTTTTCGGCCGGTTATCACTACATCGATGCCAATGACAATCCGCCCGACAGCTGCGGGGTCGAATTGGAGAGGGACTGCCCGGATTCTGGTTGTATTGTTAGCGCCATTGCCAACTATGTAAGTGGTACTAATCTTCTCCTCTTGTCTGCCTTTTCCTCAGTTCCCTCTTGGTGGGGAAGCAGTCAAGTTTTAGTAAAAATTGATTGGGCATTTTGAAGCCATGGGAGTGGTTTTGAATTGGCGTATATGTGGATTTTTGCAGCAGGCTTCCTCAAGTCTTGACGGACACTGGCTAACAAACTTTTGGTTTCCAGACCTCGCGTGTCCAGTCCTCTAGCATCTCTAGCACGGAGAAGCAGAAGGCGCTGAAGTGGGTTATCCACTTCCTCGGCGACATCCACCAGCCGCTGCACGACGAGGCGCTCGAGGTCGGCGGTAATGGAATCGACGTGACGTACGATGGCGAGAGCACCAACCTGCATCACATTTGGTAAGTGAAATACCTTTTCTTCGGAGGTCTTATTGTAGATGTTGACCGTCGTTGTTACAGGGACACCAACATGCCTGAGCAGCTCGTTGGCGGCTATGCCTTGGCTGACGCCAAGTCCTGGGCCACGACGCTGACAACAGCCATCAAGTCGGGCGAGTACAAGAGCCAGGCCGCCGGCTGGCTCGATGGCATGGACGTGGACGACGCCGAGGCCAGCGCGCTGGTCTGGGCTCAGGATACGAACAAATATGTTTGCTCCGTCGTCCTGCCAGACGGTGTGAGCGCCGTCGAGAGCGGAGATCTGAGCGGCACTTACTACGATGACTCGATCGACACGATTAAACTGCAGGTTGCGAAGGGTGAGTTGTTTTTTCACCCCTCCCCCCTCCTTCCTTTTCTGATGATTTCGTATTGCCTGTTTGAATACGAAGAGGTGCTGATCTGCGGTGAATAGCTGGCTACCGCCTCGCTGCTTGGCTCGATCTGATCGCTACTGGCGAGACTGGCCTTGCGAAGTTGAAGAGGGATGTGTCGGTGAAGCGCGAGGCCTACGTGTTTCCTCCGGAGGGATGGGCGCGTAGGGACAATAGCGCTGAGCGCCAGAAGCACAAGAGGCATGCTATTGGCTGCACTTGTTAAGTGCTTCGATGTAGCATCTAATTATGAGGTTGGCGTTGGTGCATTACCGAAAGGGTTCGGAATGTATGGAAAAATAAAAGTGGTTCTAAACGATGTAGAAGTAGGTTATGAGTATCACCAACGAAATGTTGAAAGCGAGACACGATTCGATGAAGATCACAGCTAATTTTCAAAGACTTATTGACTTTATGAAGTTATTCAATTGAGCGTAAGTTGTGCTGATACTATCAATATTCAATATTAGCTATTCCGCTCGGTACTGATTTACAGCCAAAAAAAAATCCAAACATTATCACTACTCTTTGCATGTGTATCCCTCCGCCTCATAAGCCATACGAACTTATTCAAGGAAACCCATGTCGTCTAGTATCCGTAAGCAACGAAGCCGAATGCCGAAATGTGTTTGTAGAACCCTTCGTTGCACTTCCATCATCCTTTTCCTGTGAACCTCGGCGCTGCAACCCTTTCCCCACTCCTTTAGAACAGCTCCAGTAACAGTACAACGCCATACTAAAAATATTCAGTTCACAGAGATTTATTTCCCCGAAGCCAAGGTCATGCCCACATCGATGTCGTTTAAAGAATGAAAATGAAAAATTGCCACTTGTCCACTTCGATTCTATTGCAGCAAGGGAGAAGCGGTCTACCCGGCTTTTTCCATCCGTCAATCGGAGGGTCTTCGGGCGGCGTTGGCAAAGCATCCGACTTCGAAGTCTTCTGTTGGAATTCAAGCTATTTGTTGCTCGATCGTATCCGGTACGGGGCTCTCTGCTCCAAGAAAGAATGAAATTCGTGGCCCAGTGTCCCTGAGATCCCTTGGAAGAACCGGCTCCGAGTTCACACTTCAGATGTTTTTTGACGGGATTCCCTTTTTTGCCGATACATCCATGACCATGGCTTTCGTGGTTGTGACGGCCTCGGTGATGCTAGTGTTACCCGGATGGACTTGGAGGTTGACGGGTGGCACAAGGTGCGGGATTTCTATTCTCCTCCAGGTTCCTTAACTTTTAATCCTTCTCAACGTGTCCCTTCCAACGAAATCTCAGATCTCCAGCATGCGTTGTAATTTATGGCCTTCCGAAAGTTCCGACTTGAGCCGTAAAGCATCGTTCAAGATGGCCCGTCCTTCTTCCAGCGTCTGGCTGTATTGGAACGCCGTTACCGCACTGGTCTCGGCTCGTCTGAGGCTCAAGGAAAAGACCGTCATGCTCTTTTTCAACTCATGAATCCCGGCCTCGAAGTGGTTGAGGTCTTCGGTAAGCCTTTCTGTCTGCCTGCGGAGGGCCAGGCACTTTTCCTTGCTCCTTTCGGCCTCCTCCATGCCTTCCTCCAAGCGTTGCAAGAGCTGAATCTGCGTGCCTTGGGCCATTCTTGCTTCGTTGACTTTCCTTCGGAATCCGTCTTTTCGTTTGCCCCAGTCTTCCCTTTCTCCCGCAGCGCTGCTGTTCATTAGAATCAGTTGCAGAACATTACTTGACTAGTGGAGCACATACACTGCGAGGGGTATGAATATGAAAGGAAGTATCACAGAGGCCTGTTCCCGTTAGCTCCGAGGAAGTGAGATGGGGGGTTTTCATCCACCCACAATCGAATATCCAATCGTCCGGCCATTCGCTGCCTCAGCCTGCTCCTCTGCTGCTTTATGGGCCTCTTCATTCAAATCGATCTGTTTTTGCAAAGACTTAATCTGCTCCTCAGTCCGTGTCCTTCTCCTTTGCGTCTCTTTTATCTGAGCTGAAATCTTCTGCTCTGTTCTCTCCACCTCCATCGTTGCATCATGCAACTGCGTGTGCTGGAATTCTTTGACTCGCTGACTGCTTGCAGCCACTGCATCTTCGACTATCGTCCATTCCTTCATACTCTTCATGAACAGAGTATTTATGAAGATGGCTTGGTGCTGAATCGTGTGAGTTATATCCACACGTGCGTCTCTCAATGCATGCTGGGTATCCTCAATACCCTGGAAGGCGTAGGAGATGGAGGAAAATGCCGAAGACGTTCCCTCGGTGATGCTGTTCCGGATGCCTGCCTGGAGCTCTCTGGCTGAAGCCTCGCACTTGGTTACCAGGGTTTGCAGCTCCTGAGTGATGCCCTCGGAAATGGAAGGCAGGAAAACGTCAATCTCCCTGGAAGAGTCAGAAAACTGGGCGGGAGAACATGTTGCAAAGAAGCACCTGTACAGCACGTGACTGGAAGATCTTACAGGCAGAGTTCGCCATTCTGGTTGGAGATGAAGGCGTCGAGCTCAACAGATGCGTCCTGCCAGGTGCCATCCCTTTTCCTCAAACATGCCTTCAAGACGGTGCAGTCTTCGGTTTGCTCGACAACAGCGTCTTTGGCCGTCAATGAAAAATCCCGGTCTCCAAGCTGGAAGGCGCCATCCTCGTTGCCCAAGAAGTCGTTCAGCCTGATGGTGGATTCGTGCCATTCGCCGTCACAGGTCCGGCATTTTGCAGACAAAAAGGAATCAGATGACAAAGTTATGGTGTGGGATGATTTCGAGAAAGACATATTGAGCCGGAACAAAGCGGAAAGAAGACATGCGAGATCGACAATGGGGAAAAGCAGGAAAAGGACTACGGTAGCGAAGAGAGTTTCGACGGTGGCAAACACCCGGGCAGTGAGCTGTACATCAAGCTTGACAAAAACCCCTTTGTACACGTAGGTTATCATGTGGCATGATCGACGACTATTGAAACAGGGGCCCCACAGCCACAGAGACACACAACTCCGAATTGAGCCCTACAGGCTCGGCCGGAGTGGCTCAGCCGCCGTGTCAGCCATGCGATAAAGGTACAGCGCATTGCAAAATCGCGATCCTTTGGCCTGCGCCATTGGACAAACTTGGAATTTTATTTCCAATCTCTCCGCAAACCGGAGCAAACGTGTTCTCCCCGGCTCACCGCCTTTTTTGGGGGTTGTGGCTTTGCTCCCTGCAGGCAGCCGTGGCGGCGGGTTACTGCGTCCCTGGGACTTCTGGCGGTCATAGTGGAGTGAAGTTGCAGACTCGACGCCGCATGGACATTTTCAAATCGCACGTCCTTGCAATTTGTTTCGGAAGAGCTGCAGTGGCCGCATCATTGGTCGAGAGCCAAGCCAAGACATGCCGCCCCTCATCCATACTGCTGAACCTGTGACCCGCATGACGTGAAACCTTCAGAGCCGCTTGACAATCTATTTGAAGAGGCTTCGCAGCCTTTTGTCATTTGATCCGGTCTGTCCCCCGTCACGACCGTCGCACGACCAGATCAGCAAACATCCGAAACCGCACCCAAGCCATCCCTTCCCCGCCCGCCGGATCAAATCAGAATGGCTACCGACGTGGAGAAGTACGAGCAGCTGCGGAATCGGGAAGCCACGCGGACGGCCGCGCAATTTTCGCAGGAGATCTCCGACAGCCTGATTCGCAACCACCATTGGGGAACTTTACTCAGCGCTGCGCCTCTGGCTCTGAGCTTCGTAGGGGCGTGTCAGGTTGTCGCATCATCCCCTGCTGCATCAGGGCTCAAACTGAAAAAGCCGAAAAATGGATTCACTCATCTGCAGTAAGCCGAATACCACTTGCGCAATGTTCCATGGACGCTAAATTTGGCATCAGATATGAATCTTTGCAGGCCAATCTGGTGTACTTGGTTGACATTGGCCGCAAGACATTCATCGAGACTGAATCCCGCATGGACAAATTAGTAATGCATTCGAGGTACCTGTTTTCGGAAACTGGGACTGTGAGCTTCCCCTTCCAAGCCTGCGACACATGCGTTGACGCATTCTGTAACAGGTCAACAGGATTATAGATGCTCTCAACGATGAACAAGGCGCCAAAAAGACATTGCCTGCATGCATGAATACCCTGAAAAGTACTGTTGGAGAGTGTGAAAACCACTTGCAAGTTATTGAAGCCAAATTCGAAGCATGGCTTGACGTGGCTCAAGAGCTAAGCCAGGTAGCCACGGAATCCGAGCGTAAGCCGAGACACCTTTCCGTGTCGGATACTACTGACCCTGTCAGATGACACAATCGATAAGCGCCATGAGAATCAAGACCAAGTCCATTCGCAGAAGATCCGTAAGGAGTTTGCCGAGAAAGAGATGCAGAGGAAGGAGGAAGCTGTGAGAGAAGCTCAAAGGAGGATGCTTCTTGCTGAAGATGCCTTCAAGCATGCTTCTAAAAATATACCCTCTGGTGAATCATCTTCAAAGTACCGGCTCCCATTTCACAACTGACAATGAACCCAGGTTGGGATGTTGTCGGCATGAGTGTGGTTGACGTACTCAGCCAAAGTGTCTTCAGCATCGGAGGTGCTCTGGTCACGGCTCTTACGCCCCACAAATATGTGGCCCTGGGACAATCTGTTTTTGATACTTTGAAGTCAACTCTAATGAAAGATCACAACGATGATCACGAGCATTTCGAAGGTCCCGGATCGAACGTCGGCAGACACGATGATCCTGCATGCATGCACTTGGACAATCTACTCACATACTTATCTCTCTTGTCATCTGTTGTCAACGGTGGACTTCTTCCTGCACATCAACAAGATGGCGCAGTGCCTTCGAATAGTCCTGGAACCATCCGCACGTTCTTAGAAATCATGGACCACGACCTTCCAGACAATGCCGCCCCTGGATCGTACTCGTATGACGCCAAGTATATTGTCAATGAGGCTCTCGAGGTATTGAGGTTGTCACAAATTGTCAGGTTGAAAGTGGTGCTAATATCACTCAGATTATCCATGAAATCCAGGACGTTGCAAAATCCAAACGAGAGATCTCAGGATCAAGCTCTCCCATAGCCTGGGAGACATGGCAGAAAAAAGTTGCAGATCTGCAGGCCCGCGCCGCTTCTTTGAAAGCAAGAAAAGATAATCTGGAAGGGATGGCAGCTGGTGCTGTAGGTCAAAACTTCCTCCGAGAATCAGCATAGACTGACAATGAAGCAGACGCCGCCACGCCTCAAAAAGCATTCAAAGCGCTACAAAGCCAGCCAATCAATCGGTATGGATCCTCCACGCCTTTAAATTTACTGTAATAAATATCTAATGCGTGTATCAGTCCGAGCGCAGCTTGACAGAGCAGCAGCAGCTTTTGAATCCAGTACAGCAAGCCTTGAGGTCCAAAGAGAAGCATACGATGCAAGTGTCACAAGACTTAATCAAAACCTGGAGAGAATCTCAGACATCCAGCTGGCAATCGGCAAGCTGCAAGCTGAAAATGTGACGCTCGTAAGTTTCCATATCCTGTTTCCGCGGGATTTTGAGGCTGACTCGCTTTCAGGAAGAGATTGTCCGCATCCTCCGCGCTTCAATCAGCGCTCTATCGGGCCTGAAAGAGCAGATTACCTCCCTCCTCCGCTTTTTCCAGGGAATTTCTGGAATGGTCGAGTTTGCTGCCCGCGGACCGTGTAGAGATCTGCTGGAAACACTGGAGACTGGTATTGAACGAGATGAATCGGGCGCGATTGCTGGAGTTACGTTTCGAGACTTCCAAAAGCAGGTGAGCATAGTGACAGAAGATCAGGATCAGAAATAAGTGCAAACTAACTGCTACAGGTGCTTCTCAACACTACCTTGATGATACGCGGTTATTTCAGTGTTGTGTTTGAGGTATCCCGCCTTTACTGTGACGTGTCACGGGAATACATCATTCCCGGGGTAAACTTGATAGATTCACTGGGTCTTTCACAAAACAGAGATATCACGAACCAACGGAACAAAGAACTGGAACAATACAAAAGAAGTGCCGTTCAGGCAATCCGTGAACTTGCGGAAAAGGTATGATAGTCCACCACTTGCGATATTCACCCCTGCTAAACACTATCGTGTCCACAGAAACAACAAGCATTGCTTTCAAGGATGGATCAACGCATCTCTTACCTTCAGGAAACTGTTCCTTCTCTACCGGAATGCTCGGAAAAGAAAGCAATCGAGTTAACGGCAGAAGAAGAAGCGGCCAGGGCCAGATCTGAGGCAGAGCAGGAAGGCGAATTTGTTGATGTGGCGGCTCATTTGTTCGTAAGTTTTCTCCATCGACAAACAAGTATTTGGAGCACTAACGACTAATTCAATAGACCGGGCATTTCAATGAGAACCTTTGATAGCTGTAGCATCCTATCTGAGCGACGGCACAGCTTGTGGTGAAAGCCATCCAAGCATAGGGCTCGGCCTCTAATGCTATTCCAACGCAATTTGGACATTCAAAAAATTATCATTCGTCACAGGAGAGCTATGTGAGCCCTGGGTTATATCAGATATTTTGTAGAGAGCCTTTAAGGGACCTTCCACCTAAGTTCAGCTCGCAACACCCAGTTTGCGAGCCTCAGCCTCAACCGTCACAGGAATCTCATCAATGAGGTCATGTTGCACAGGCTTCCACCCAAGCAGCTCCCTCGCGCGCCTCGCCTCGCAACGAGCATTCGTGCCCAGAACAGCGCTTGCATGGCCGATCAATTTGTCCGCCTCTTCTGCCGACAGCTGCTCCACATCTGCGCTCTTGATATACCCCTTCTCGAACGCGGCCTGAGCGACGCGCTGAGAAATTTCCGCAAAGGACTATTGCGAAACAGAGCAAATTACTCGTGTCAGCAAGATGATCGTCACTGTTCCACTTTTTGGAGGGAGAAAAAGGAAATGAAACTTACAATATCACCACCTACACCCGTGAAATAGATCCCCTCCTCCCCCCACAGCCCCGCCCGCCCATCCTCTCCCGCCGCCGCCTTCTCCACCAGCCGCAAAAACAGCTGGCCCAGATCCCGTATATGCACGTAGCCCCACCTCGCCAAACCGCGGCCCACCTGCACGGCGCGCCCGCGCTCGACGGCGACCCGCGCCAGCTCCGGCACCTGGAAGGTGCGCCGGTTGACCGGGCCGGCGCCCTCGCCGTAGATGATGCCGGGCGGCACGAGCGCCGTGTTAACACCGTTGTGCGCGGCCTGGCTGCTGTCGAGGACGAAATTGTCCGTCGCGCGCTTGGGGTTGCTGCGGATGAGGGCAATGATCTCGGCGACGCCGGAGAGGTCGTCGTGGATTTTGTCGCTCGGCTCGCCGTAGGTGCCGCGCGCGATTTCGGGCGAGGCGAGGAGGGTCGCGCCGGAGACTTGGATCCAGTAGGGGCGTTTGGCGGGGGTGCGGGAGGGGGAAGGGGAGGTCAGGCCTTTGAGGATGGCTTGGGCGCTGGGGAGGTGCTCGCGCGCGGCGAGGTTGAGCACGATGTCTGCCTGGGCGGCTTCGGCTTCGAGGGTCGCGCTGTCGTCGAGGCTGCCTGGGACGATGGTCACGCTCGGGTAGGCGGCGGTGATGAGGGCGGATTTGGTGGCGTCGCGGTTTAGGGCGCGGATGGTGTATTCCGGGTGCGCGGTCGCTATGGCGTGGAGGACTTCGCCGCCGATGTAGCCGGAGGCACCGGTTCTGGTGTGAGGGCGTTGTGAGAGGTTGGTGGTAGAGGGTCTTGTTAGGTTTAACTCACAGGAAAATCTTGGCCATGGCTGACTTTGTAGATATGGTTCTCGAGCAAATCTTAAGCACGCAGTATGGAATGATACTAGTAGCTCTGCACAGAATGCGAAATGAGACATTCGACAATTGTTGCCGGCATGACGATGGGTTAAAAGGCTTTAGTGACGTCGAATTGGATTTATCAGCACGCCCTATGTGTTAACTCGATATAGAAATTTTTGACAACTGCCCAGACTTCTCTAAATGCAATTGGGAAGTCTCAGCGGTGCAATACCGGTTTTCGTGATCCAAATAGGAAGGTTTCCACGGCGACATCATCAACACTTAGTATTGCGCACATCTCGGCCCGAGAAAGCACTGCCAGTGCCGACCATTTCCCCCTCCACATATATGTACATATTTAGTTCACAAGGTGGTCTACTAAGCTATTGTCAGACTACAGTGCTTTACTTTTTACTGCCGCGTTCATTTGCCGTATATCTCGTGTTCTTTCTTCAACACCAAGGCAGATACCCTACAGGTCTCACCACAAAAGCGTGATCCAGTCAGGCTACTTCATGCCATTCCAGCAGGCAATTGGTGTATATATTCAGGTGGTTTCTGCTGCATTCTGCTCGGCAGCAGTGTATAATTCAATCACTTTGCACTGTTCAACAATTATTTAAAAATTGTTACTTGCTCTGAGGTTTGTTGGCTAATAAGGAGTTGATACTAAATTTGGGAAAATATGTATTTAATCTCTAGCCGAGAAATCCAGAGGAAGGCTTCCTTGTCGTCTATGAATTGTTTCGAGGGCTTACTTTAACCTATTGGCTGTGAATAACAAACAGCCGATAAGTATAATGGATTTGTTCTCTCTCAATCGGGAAGGACAATGGATTATCGATTATTCCGTGATATCTTGGTATTCTTTGCCCAACTAAAGCTTTTTTCCATTTAATTAATGATGCGATCATATGCTTATGATGGTTGGACTGAGCGGCTCCCACTTTACCGGTAGAAGTGCCGAAACACCAGGCGGAGTGGCAACGTAAAGCCCATCCAATGAGATCTGCAAATCTAAAAATGTACATAGTAGGAGCCGGATCTGAGCGTGGCGTGAGGCGTAAGCTCGGCCCACAGCTTGGGGGCCAAAATCCTCGCGTGGCAGTGATGTGCAACACCGGTGACTGATTGTGCGACAAGGCAGTGCAACTCTAATAAAAAAGAATTCTTTGCACATTCAGACCGAGTCCAGCGACAACCAAACCCGCCGGTACCTGGGAAAATGAACAAACAAGCGGCAACGACATCCCAGGAATCTCGATCGAACGGATGGCAAAATCAGCCCAGCATCCAGCAAGGCCGTAAGAGAAGCGGCACAATGGCTTCTTCATTTTCTGCTCTACGGTATTGGTGGATGGAGGTTGTCAGCTGTGTACTGGCACTCATTGCTTTGGCCGCCATCGTAGCCACAGTCGGCGTTTACAACGGCCGTCCTCTCCCGAACTGGCCGCATCCAATATCTATCAACTCCATGATCTCTATATTTACCGCAATTTTCAGGGCTGCTTTGGTCATGCCCATAGCCGAGGGTTAGTGAGCCTTTTAGTTGACACGAAAACCGCTCATATCCTTGCAGGCATCAGCCAGCTCAAATGGTACTGGTTCGGTGGATCCCGGCCTCTCATTGATCTCGAACGCTTCGACGCCGCAAGTAGAGGCCCTGCTGGGTCTCTGTTCCTGCTCTTTGATGCCAGAAAACAGTACGTACTATCTTTTGCCCCCTCGGAAGCTGTGCTGACAGATCGTAGCTACCTCGCCAGTCTGGGGTCTTTCATCATGGTAGCCGCTCTTGCGGTCGACCCGTTTTCTCAACAAATCATTCAGTATTTTGACTGCATGCAACCTGACTCGAGCGTCACTGCAAGCATACCAAAGACAAATAGGTATTCGACTGGCGGCATGCATACTGGTGCAGGCCAATCGACGCTTGATGGGCCAACTCAAGTGGCAGTAATGATGGGGCTCCTCAACCCGCCGGACAACTCCTCCACGAGCATATCAGTGGATTGTCCAACCGGTAATTGCACCTTCCCTGCTGATGATGGTGCAACATTCTCGACATTGGCCATGTGCTACTCTTGCACCGACATCTCTGCATCCGTTTCCGTAAACGACACGGAGGTCCCAACAAACTACACCCTTGCATCCGGGGCCTGGGCCGGTCAGCAAGTACTCGCTTCTACCAGTACCGCCCGCAGCTCAGACTATGGAGATGCAGTATATACGTTTGAGGCCTTGATGCTGAATTACGCTAGCAGCTGTAATACAGACGAGTCAGAGGCGGCCTCAACGACGGAGTGTACCTACCCAGAAACCCCCTTTGCAGTCCGCTGCTCCCTTCTTCCCTGCTTACAGACGTACGGAGCGAACGTAACCCAATCCACATACAACGAAACGCTCATTTCCTCAACCAACCTCCCTCAAAGTTTCTCCAGCACCAACGCCTACATGTGGTCCCTTGCGACCGATTCGGTCTTGCAGAATGGCACCTGGAGCAGCTGCAACGCCAGCACCTCACCCAGCTCCACCAACACAGTCGCGGTAGAGACTACAAACAAAACATCATTAGAGGGAAAAGCAACCGACGTCTCGTACTACCCGGATACCTGCATCTGGGCCTACAACCACTCCGCCGCGAACCCACTGCGCATCTTCCTCGCCAACATGTTCATGGACAACATGCTGCAGTTCTACGCCACGCCCGCCGCCACCGAGGGCGACCTGTGGCTGGAAAACCTGTACCGCAACGGCACGGCCGACATGGACAGCGTGAACAAGTACATGGACGGCCTGGCTACCTCCCTATCAGCGAACATCCGCACGCGGGGCGATGACACGCTCGGCTCAGGCTACGCAACCGGCACGCCGATGGTGTCGAAAACGTGCGTGCGCGTGCGATGGGGATGGATCGCGTTGCCGGCGTCGCTGTTGGCGTTGGCGCTGGGGTTTCTGGTGGCGTTGATGGTGGTGGTGCGGAAGTGGGAGGCGGAGCAGGGCCACCGGGTCGGGGCTTGGAAGTCTTCGGCGCTCGTGCCCCTCTTCCACGGGCTGGATGACGAGACGATCGAGAAGCATCGCCAGAGCGCGAGGGGAGATGCTGCTGTTGCTGATGATGGCTTCTCGTCGGCGATCTCTCGGCATGAGATGCAGGATGTTGCACGGCGGATGCGGGTGCAGCTGCGCTATGAGGGGGATGGGTTGAAGTTTGTGGATGCATTTTCGGATTCTGAGGTTAAAGGCAAGCCGGCTGAGGAGCCGATTGAATACGTGAGTCCTGGCGAGGAGCAAAGATACTCGCAGTTGGTGTCGGATTCCGGTGGGCCAGTAGGGGATCATCGTTCTCGGCCACTATCTTGGATCTCACACAGGTCTGTCTCACCCATGAGCAATCGCGGACGAGGTAGCACATCTGAGGATTAGTCCTGCAATTACCGCGAGCCAAGTAGACTAGACATAACTTATTACTGTATGTTCATGAGCTTTGATACGATTCCTCGTAATGGCCACTGGGAAACTTGGAAAGTTCCTCTCTTGCTTGCTCTCTTCCAAGACTTGTGAGGCTTGGCCTTTTGTCCCGAATACAGTCACTACGGTTGACCCCGTAGATCGTCAATCTAAAACCCCGAGAAGAGATTAGCAGATACGTTCAATTATTTCCCGAAATGCTAAGAAGCCATACGCATGTCCCTCTACAGTCATTATTCACCGAACAGTCGAGAGTCTTGGCCTTGTCCAACTCCATACCCCGCATCTTGGCCGCCGAATTAGCTTTCGTCACATGACTACGTAAGCACCTCGCGCGACCAAGCCTGATTCATTGCAGGGTGGCACTTTGTGAATTCGACGAGTTTCCATAGCCAAGTGCCTGTTCGATCTGCAAATGCCGTGCCGTCACTGCAGGATTCGGGATCAAGTTTCCTTACTGACATATAATGCAGCCAAACGGTCTGTGACATACGAGCTGTTACACAGACAAAAATCCTCGTTCTTAGTCTTAAAGTTGAAAGCCTGAAAGTATCCTCTAACGTTGGCAGCCGAGATGTCGACGAACCAACCTCCCAGCCATGGGGCGGATCCTGTGGAGAAGGAAGCCGGTGTCTACTCGGATCCGAAGAACACGAGAGAGCATACGGAAGATACCATGGTGGAACTGCGAGAAGCCTACGTCAAAAGCGGTCAGTAACATGTTGATGTTCATTCTATCTCGTACAAGTGAAACCCGGACTGAAATGCAACTCCAGGGTTCATGGGCATGTTCCAGTCCAAATATGTCGTTCTTTGCGCATTCGTCGTTCGTCTCGGAGGATTCCTCTTTGGATACGGTAATGGCTTGCCCCTCCTCCAACTCACTGGAGAACTCGCTCTAATGTGAACATTCGCAAAGACCAAGGAGTAATCTCCATCATCCTCGTCATGGACCAGTTTCTTGACCGCTTCCCACGAGTTTCTGACACTGCGAGTGGAGGCGGTTTCTGGAAAGGCTTCATGACTGCAATGATCCAGCTCGGAGCTTTGATTGGTGCAATCAACCAGGGTTGGCTCGCCGAAAGGATTTCCCGCAAATACTCCATTGTCGTTGCCGTTGTCATCTTTGTTATTGGCTCCTCCATTCAAACCGGCGCCGTCGACTATGCGATGCTCGTAGTCGGCAGACTGATTGGCGGCATTGGTGTCGGAATGCTCAGCATGGTCGTCCCTCTCTATATCTCCGAGGTCTCTCCCCCAGAGATCCGAGGTGCGTAAAGGTCTTTCCCCGACTTTGTTCTCAAAAATAGACTCATTGCGTTCAACAGGCTCCCTTCTCGTCCTTGAAGAGTTTTCCATTGTCTTCGGTATCATCGTCGCTTACTGGATCACCTTCGGTACACGCTACATCGACAACGAGTGGTCCTACCGCCTCCCCTTTCTGCTTCAAATCTTTCCGGCTCTCCTCCTGGGGGTATCGGTCCTCTGGATTCCTTTCTCGCCGCGGTGGCTTGCATCCAAGGGTCGCAATGAAGAGTGCCTTGCCGCGCTCTGCAAACTGCGTAACCTGCCTGCTGACGATCCACGCGTGCAGGCCGAGTGGTTAGACATTCGCGCTGAAGTGGCGTTTCACCGCGAGGTGGCAGAGAAGAAGCATCCGCACCTGTTTACGCAAACGGCGCGGAGCGCGTGGGCGAAAGTGAAGCTGGAACTGACGTCGTACCTGGACTGCTTCAGGCAGGGCTATTGGCGCAGGACGATGCTAGGCATCATGATAATGTTCTTCCAACAATTCGTAGGTATCAACGCCCTCATCTACTACGCGCCGTCGCTTTTTGAAACGATGGGGATCGGATATGATATGCGGTTGGTCCTTGCGGGTGTGTTGAACATTACTCAGTTGGTGGGAGTGTCGACGAGTCTATACACGATGGACGCGTATGGTCGTCGGCCGTTACTGCTGTTCGGGAGCGCGTGCATGACGGTATGCCACCTCATTATTGCAGTGCTGGTCGGATTGTACTTCAACTCGTGGGAGAACAATAAGGACAAAGGCTGGGTGGCAGTTGCGTTCCTTTTCGCATACATGCTGGTATTTGGCATGACTTGGGGCCCGGTGCCATGGGGTAAGTTGGACCCTCGTCGTTTCTCAAACTGAGCAAACTAACGGGCTTTCTCACAGCAATGCCGAGCGAGATCTTCCCGAGCTCGATTCGAGCAAAGGGTGTAGCATGGAGCACATGCTCTAATGTAAGTGATACTCGGAATTGCTAGGCTGTGTTAACATGCTGATCCTTTTCAGTGGTTGAACAACTTCATAATTGGGTTGATTACGCCACCACTGATCCAGAACACGAATGGTTTTGGGGCCTATACTTTTTTTGCAGTGTTCTGTTTGATCAGTTTGATTTGGTCATACCTGTGTGTCCCGGAGACGAAAGGTCGAAGCCTGGAGGATATGGACCATGTATTCAAGGACAGAACGGGCACAGAAGATAGAGTGCGCAGGAGGGAAATTGCTGCGGAGTTGAAGGAGAGGGATACGCTGGGTGCTGGGGTTGCGTGAGCAAGCCACTTGCGTCAGGCACGTGTGTAACATAGTGGTTACTCACGACTTGATAGATCTGGTCTAGAATTTTAAGAATTGGAGTTGTTGCGAAGTTGTGATGGAGCCGTGCTGGGGATAGTGTTAGGTAGCCCGGCGATGGTCCGTGTCGTGGCGGGTCCGTGCGCATGGCTTTCGGAGAAAGCTTGATCCGCCTCCCGGCGCGCGCCGCTCCCGTCAACCTTGGAGCCGGCGCCCAGCCTCCTTCACTCCAACCATCGCCAACCACCACCACCATCATCCCGACATCTCGACAACTCCGTCGCTCCCATCGAAATCGCCCCGGTCCGGCTATCGACACGTCACGGCACGCTTGAGGGTTCCCGTGCGCCGCCTGCCCCGACTGCGTGACAGCGCCTCGTTTTGTGTGGTAGTGCACGCGAGCTATTCTGGGCGCGTAACAGCACCCCGTGTCTTCGCGACGCGCTCGCTGTTCCGTCTGTGTGGTAGTGTACCGTGTCGCTATCCGACGCCAGTTGTCCCGGTCGTGTGGCAGCACTTGCCTCGATCCCCTCAAGCCACGGGTGCGGACGTCCGTCGTGGCCAGTATCATCATCGAGCCAGGGCTGCTCCAGCGCATCGACGCTCGAAAAGCCCGGGTGGGCGGGTATCCCCACATATGAGTGGGGGGCTCGTTGTTTTTGAAGAAGATAGCATCTTCAACTACTGACTGACATCTAGTTGCCGCTCCTTACGCTCACGAGCACACGATGGAATCTCGAGAGGCCAACATCAATAAGTCGCTGGGGGTAGATCTGAAGTGGCTAGTTGCTGACCGAGTTGTTGCGGCATGGGAGGATGAGAGTCAGGATATTCATTTTCTGGGTCGCTTGTCATCTCACAATAAAAAGGCTGAATTTTCCCTTCTGCTTGGACACTCCCTAGAGGATAAGAATGCTTGCGTATTGCTATTTCATCTGCCGCTTCGTGTCCGCGCTGGGAGTGCCTCGAAGCCGACCGACCTATTCTTTATTCTTCCCCCCGAAGCTTTCAGCTCTACGACTCCCCTTGGCGTCACCACAACCAACACATCGGAAATAACGAAATCGCATTCTGATGTTCTCAAATCCAGTGGCCTCGGCGATTCTGCGAATGTCATCCGACTTGAATTCAACCTCAAAGAACGAGGTTACGTGTTGATGCCCAGGATCAAGATGAAGCACGAGCTGCTCGGTACCCCTCGAGAACTCCTTCTCAGTCTGCGCTCCTTATCTCAGACTACGAACTTCGATGTCTATCTCAAGCGAAACACCTACTCACAGGTGGCCCTCAGCGACTTTTCCACAGCTGCGCTTGAGGGTTCCGTTCGCACCCCGCAACTTCGTCCCAAGTCCATGTACCAAGGCCGAGGCGCAAAACAGGATGCATGGGAGCTTTTCGACCTACACGCCAAGGATGCAGAGCCCGATGTCAAAAATTGCTTGGAAGCGAGAGCGGACGACAGCGACCGAGAAGGAAGCGCACCGCCTGCGTATAAAGAAGCTGTCAGGGATTCGACAAAAGCAATAGAGAAGCCGACTCAGGATTCCGTTGCGCAGGACCTCGCGAAAAAGGCATCGGAAGCACCGCAGACGCCAGATGATTTTGCTCGAAGAAGTGTATCTGTTGTAGAAGAAACACCACCTGCAACGGAACTTCTCCCAGAACCCGTCATCGAGCATGCGTCACGGAAACGAGCATTCGCGGAGGCGGAGAGCCCCACTGCATCAGACAACGAGGCTGAAGCAGAGCTGAGGAAGAAAGGCTCGAAGAGTCTAGTGCAGCTTCCGTTGTTTGCCGATGGCTCGTCCCCATTCCCAGGATCGCCTCCGTTGATAGAGAGGCCGCATAGCTCACCGCCAACGTCCGACAGACTGGGGACTCCCCAAAGCGTTGGTTATGTGCGATCGATCGGGCCTTCCCAGGAAGATTTGAGCACCGAGGATCTGCTCCGTGAAATCGCCACCTGGATGCAAGATGGATGGACGGTCGACCAGAACGTGCACCAGAAACTCCTCCTTCCGCTTCTCGCTTTAGGATACTACGCGCACCAACGCAATATACGAGACTTCGATCTTGCGAAAGGCCGGTGCACGTCCCTGCTTTACATCCGCGTTGCTACTCAAGGCGTTCGAGATGCTGTTTGCCTGCCGCACCATCCGGCTGAAGCGGACATCGATGTAGAGGAGGACATGGCTCACTTGGTAGCCTGGGCAAATGGTTCCGTATTTCGTGGTACCGAGAGCGTGCTGCGAGAGGAGACGGCTCTGCTTGGAGCAGCAGCAGCTCGCGTCTGTGATGGCGGTCTCGCGGCTAGGGAGGAGTACGTACGTCAAAAGGCCCTATGGGTCGCGAGAGTTTTCGTATGTTTCGGTACTTTGAAGGATGTTGAAGCACTTACCGAGGGAAGCTTCAGCGTAGTTTGAGAACTGTATACCCCTTTTGCTCACCTGTCTCAATGGATTTTCTTCAACACGAGGTTTTCTGTTTTGCTACCATGTAGATCTGCACGCTGATGCCAGTCTAATATGTAAAGTAGCATAACTGTCCCATTTTCGGATTCAGTAGGTTGTCCGAACACGAGCCCGGACTCCCGCGCGGATGCCAAGCCTGAACCGAAATACGAAACCTGACCGGATTGAGCACCAGCTGTAAGCACCTAGGTTAGCTTAAAGTAGTGTTGCCCTACTGGATTACCTAGTGCCCAAGGACGAAAATCGAAGCCCAGGATGTCCGCGACGCTGTATTAGAGGATATCGCTCCGACGTTCTATCTCATCAACACCCTCCACATACAGTTACAATGACTGACGCTCGCATCTCTCTCCTGGAGTTGTTTTTGGACTTCGTAACCGGTACACCGCAGCCTTGTATTCTCGGTGAATGTGATCCTGCCAAGTGTATCACAACGCACCGTGCGGGAGCTTAAGTCGCATGCCAAGCTCTCCTGGGCTAACTGCTCAGCCATAGGGCCCATGCTTATTGAGTTGGCTATGCATGATAAAACAGCACCAGCCCAATGGTCCATTGCCCATTAGACCTGCCCTCACCTTTTGCTGTCGCACCCCATTTCTCTCCCCCTTTACCTCCATCGCACGAGCTCAGCACAGAAGCGATGTATGAGTTTGCGTTTGTGGATACAGATCGTGGGCGCGATTACGAATCGTAAGAGCTTTCTCTCTCTTTGAAACCACTTTTCATATCCTAACAGTATAGCGTCTGACCCAGGAGTAGAATCTCGTCTCACGTACAAGAGGACAAAGCAGCACTGTTACCAATTATCGAATCGCCCTTGAAATACGCCCAAGGAGATGACCCACGGTTCGGCTTACGTGGGGAATCGAACAACATCGAGCTCTTCTTCGACCTCTTTCTTATTGCCAACCTCGCGACGTTTACCTCGACACACTCGATTACGGATACTAGCACGCTCGTAGCATATATTGGTCTCTTTGGCATAATTTGGTTCACGTGGCTGCAAATCACCTTGCACGATGTGAGATTCGCGGTGGACTGCGGTTATGAGCGGGCTTGCAAGGTGATACAATTCGTCATTTTTGTGGGATTTGCTCTTGTGGGGTCGTCATTTCATCCAGGCGGAAAGGAACATAACAACAAGGTAGACACAACGCTCAGCTTCCTGAATGTCAAAGCTAATGACTTTCTAGAACTTCCGCATTTTATGCATCATGCTCTTTATGAGCCGCCTACTGCTGGGGTTCCAGTACTCGGTTGCTCTCTTCTTCATCCGACGGAAAGTAAAGGGGCTTAGCTTCCCGCTCGGCCTCATGATTACCACATTTATCCTATGCGGCGGCGCTTATTACTCTATGGTACCCGCCTTCTCAGAAGAATCTGGCAACGGCCTGGGCATCTACTACGTATGGTATATAATCATCGGGATCGAGGTGGCCATCGTCATTGGCACTGCGTGCGTGTGGCGAAAGATCAGCTTCAAGAAAACCCACCTGATGGAGCGCATGGGGTTGCTGACGCTCATCATCATCGGTGAGGGAGCTATCGGTGTGACCAAAACAGTCGCCAAGCTCATGAGCAAGTCCGGCCTGACATTCGACGGCTGCTTCCTGGTCATCTGCATCGTCCTGATCCTGGTATGTTACCCCAGCCTACTGCCTGCCCCCCCCTCCTCTTTCCCCGACACTAACACAACGACCCTACCCACAGTTCTTCCTCTTCCTGATCTACTTCGACAACACCCCAGCCACGCACATCGGCTCCATCCGCCAACTCGCGTGGGTGGCGCTGCACTTCCCGCTGCACCTCTCGCTCGTCGGCACCGTCGAAGGCTCGCAGCAGATCGCGCTGGCGCGCTCCGTCTTCGCGCACTTCTCCTCCTTCCAGGACGCCGCCGTGACGGCGTGCCTCACACAGCACCTCTCCGGCTCGGCGCTCGCGGACGCGCTGACGGCCGCCTTCAAGCCGTTCAAGCTCGACCAGAAGCTCGAGAGTGCGGCGCAGGTGCCCGTCATCATGGAGAGCATCGCGGCGGCCGGCAACGCGACGGGCGTCTGCTCCGTCGCGAATACGACGAACGTCGATATGCCCGAGCTCGTGCGCGACGTCGTGGGAGACGTGCTGGGCGGCTTGTTCGAAAGCACGGGCGTGACGCCGCCGGCCGGCGAGGATGCGTACAGCAGCGCGCGCTCGGCGTACTCGACGCTCTACATCTACTACTGGGGTAGCGTGTTCATTGCTATGGTGTCTTTTGCGGCCATCTTCTGGATCATGGCGTCGTCGAGATGGCATGGGGGTGATGGTGGCAAGAAGAGGTTGGATTTGTTTGAGAAGATGGCCTTGGGATCGAGGGCGCTGATTGCGGTTGTGGCTGCGGGGCTTGGAGCGGGAGCCGCGAACCACATGTTTATCTATAATTTTCTGAAGAGTCCTGCTATCCTGCCCGTTGTGGCGGGGCTGTTGGCAGCTGTGGTACTTCTTGATAGATTGGGCAGGTGGATTGTTTTTCGGCAAAGATACTGAGCCGCCAAAAGGTATGCTGGATAGTCAAATTATGGTGTAGCCTCATTTTAGCGTTTATTGTTCAAAAGGACTCCAAAAAGCAACCATGCTCAGTGACCTTACAGAATGATGTGCTATCAATCCTCGGAAAGTACCTACAATACGTATCCTGAAGGTTGCTGACTGTCAATAGTCTGAGTGAATGATGTCTGGCGCCTTTTAGCGCACTTTATACCTAGCCATCGAATGATGACTGCACCGAAACAGAGATATCTCTTATACCTCGTTCATCGCCGCAACCAGGGCCCTCACCTCTTCCACAACCTGCTTGTCCTTCAGTTCTTCCCTACCGATCATCCCTTCCCAGGCCTCCAGGCCCTCAACAACAACCTTGAACCTCGCATCTCGGTGCTCCATCATGACTGCCTCCCTCAACTGCCTGATCATCTCCAAGATCTTTTTATCCCTCTTCTCTCCCTCCATGTCCCCGCCCCCTATCACAATCTTGTACTCCACCACAATACCCGGAAAGATCCTGCCCACGCCGTCCGGTTTCAACGCGCCGAGCATCAAGCCGATATCGAAGCTCCACACACGGTACCACGACTCCCGCACCGCGAGAGTCCACCGCTCCCCCGCGCGCATGCTCGCCGCCACATTTTCCGTCCAAAGCTTCCGCTCGACCGTTGGCAGCGAGAGTCGAGCCAGCATCTCGATCAACTGCTCACGGCCGCTTGGTCTTGGTTGTACGAAGTAGCTGGCGGGACGTGAAAGCGAAGCAGCGAGGCGCGGCAGCAAGGCCGAAGATGTTCGAGGGAGCGGCGGGGCGCAGGCGTCGATGGTGAGGACGGTGCCAGGAAGGACGTAGCCGAGAGAACGTGCGACGGACCAGATGCGGTGGAAGTCGATGTTTGGGGGGTCGAGGCGGAAGATGTGTCGGTCGGGGAGCCAGGAGAACTGCGTGGTCGATGTGAGAGCGAGGGCGAAGATACGCAAGCGAACGTCTGGTGGAAAGCTGAAGAGACTTAACCGCTCTTTCGGCCTGAGCAAGACTGTCAGTTTCGGGAATGGTTCGCTAGAATGGCAGTACAAATTGCGTACCTGGTTAGTTGAAGTGTGCTGCGGAAATGGTGCTTTCTGGGCCACTGTTCGAATGTGGTGTGGTCGTAGACATAGCTCCCCGGGAGGGTCCTCCGAAGAACCATCTCAAGCTGCATGAGTTGAAGCTGGCTCAATGGTGAAGCGAAATCCTGGGACGCTATAATCATGAGCCAGGAAAGTTCCTGGCAACAGCAATAAAGCTTGCGGATGCTACGTCGAGAGTAGATGAGCATGGCACCCATGCAGAAGACTTGCATCCAGAAGAGGTAGCGAGGATCTACAGCTGTCCAAAGGTGCCAAAAAGCCGCGCAATACTCTGTGAAGCGACCGTAAAGAAACAAGCTATTGTCTCGAAGTGCCTCAAACTTGGCAACAAGCCAAATCCATACGTTGGTTCTGAAGAGGCGTTGCGTGATGAAGGCTTTGATGACCAACGCCTTGACCGCTTCTGCGTAGATTGTTGCGACGCTTCCAAGGCGACCGAAAGCTCTGACGATTCCCCTCTGGCACGAGCTCAAGTGTGACGAAATTGATGTCCAGAGGCACCAGAGGTTGTGTGCCGCCCATCTCATGCTGTTCACCAAGCTTGTATCCATTGCTTGTGCAGTGTTCCACGCTTTGACTGAGATCCTCACAGACATGATCCTCGTTTTGGCCAGGCAAACTTCCGAGAAGGCCTTGAATGCCATGTGCGCATGGTTGAGGTGATGGGACATATCTCGTGCAGATGATGTCGCTACAACAGTGTAGTTTTTGAAGTTCAGATGCGCTTGTGCAGCATACCAATGTCGGAAGTGGTCGGCCAGGGATTCAGAAGCCGTTCGGACATTGTACAGGACCACATTGGATGCCAGAAAGGCAAAGGCGATGCAGCGCTTCAGAATATCGAGTGTCTATCGTAGACGATCAGCGGCAATGACAGGCATGAAGGCGAATCGCGCGCTCGCGCAGAGGAAGAGAAGATCTGGGTGGGTTTCCTCGACATAGCTACGTGAGATCATGCAGTGCGCCCGTCTGAGCAGTCACCGGTGTAGCAAATGCCGAGCATCCGGATCTGATTCAGGCAGGTGTTGATGGTTGAACTTACCGCTGTCGCGAAGCGTGTAGCGAGGCTGATGATATCAGTCATGGCGCCTGCCATTCAAGACGGACGGTGAGTTGGGAACAAAGTAGACAAAGAATGGTCAGGTAAGGCTGAAAGGTGGCGTGGTTCAAAGGACGAAGAAAGAAGATACCGCGCCAAGCCGGAGGTGGCAAAGCAACACTACCTGAAAGTGATTGTAAAAGTGAGCCCCCGAGAGAGGCGAAGGTGATATTGCCGTCGCAAGTCTGGAGAGGCAGGTGGTTGCCGCGGGAGCACGGCCACACCTTTCTGGAAGGCGCAACCCGACAGCTGGACATGCAGACCCTGACGCCGGCTCAGCCACAACCACAGCTTTTACATCTGTCAAAGCATTGTCAAGTTGTATGGCGGCGCATCTGAACCGAGTTCTAAAAATACGACATGCCCACGTCTTTGTTCTCCCAAACTATTGTATACTCGTCCACTTCGCTCCTCTTCTGCTGATATCAAAAATTCCCCCTCCGGTATCTTACTCCAATTCGCACTGTATTCATGTTCCATATCTAGCCATTATGGAATACCTCTTAACTTCAATCGTCGCTACAATACTTTTGTTCCTATTCATTAAGCTCTTGCAGGTTCAAGCAGCTGAAGCTAATCCCCACGGAGTACAGAACTCGGCCCCGAATCCGGCTGGAAATCTAACCCTCATGACCGATGCATTGAGGCAACGTGCAACTCAGTTCTTCGTTGCTGCTCGCCTTCTTTCAGAGCTACAATTCTATTACTGGATCCTGTCGACCCTTTTGAGAGTGGTAAAGTCTGTCTCCATATTTCTTAATTATCTAACATCACTCATCTTGCGTTCTGACCGGGCAGGTTTGGGGAGGGGTTACAAACCAATGAGTCCGACCGTGGAGAGTGACGACAGCGACAACAATGATACAGACGTTGGCCCTGAAAGCCCGAGTAGCCCTACAGTCTCCAACAACTCATATGACACAGAACCCACGTCTACGGAATACTCGGCACCACTACCTCGCGATGTACCTTATCCGTCCCTCCCAAATAGCCCAGATACAGCGTTTCACACAACAGAGCCGCCGCTGCTTTTCCAGCTCCAACCGGCCCCAATATTCCCCCGAAGGCCACTTCCCGTAGACCAGCTCCTTCAAGCCATGGCTAATGTCGGCCAGCTAGAAATAGAACCGGCCGGGAAGCTCACGGCAGACAATCCGACTCCATCCGTGTTGGAGCAGCGGCGATCTTTTAGAAGCCACGCAGCAGCAAAGCGGGCCGCCAGGGAGCGAGCGGCGAGAGATCAGGCAACCGAGCACTTGCAGAGAATCTTCCCAAGAAACTTCAGTGGGCCCAATACCAGTAACGCAGCCACCCAATTTAACGGCAGAAACACTACCTATAGCTCAGCTACCCAAACCGATGACAGAATGCAGTCGCCGCGGCGATCATCATCGCCATGCCGTGCACCCGCTTCGGATGGCCGTGGGCGAACCTTGACGTCGCTGGAAATTGATGTCCGAAGAAAAGCTCTGCCCATCGAGGAAGCTCTTCGTCGTGATGGCTTGCAGAGCGTCATGCGCAAACTCAAGTCTATAAATCTCCGGGGGTGGCAACTACTGATGACGGAGCTGAAGACAAAAGAAAAGATACCGTCTCGCCCACCGGAGTGCCATGTAAATGAGGCTGTCGTCTATTGGGAGGAGACGGTCGCGTTTAAGCTTGCATTGGCATATTCTGAGAAGTACAATCTTGTTTTACCGATTTCCGGGAAGGAGCCGTGGACCAGGGATGACTATGCATGTGAGGAGGAGGCGTTGATGGAACAAGGTGAAGACGAGGAATATAAGGAGCAGGCCGCGGCGGACATCAAGGAAGAGGGTGAGAAAACAGACGAGAGTGTTAAAGACCCTCTTGCTCTTCTTCATCACCTTGGCTCTGTTTGTGAAGAATCCCTTTCTCTTCTTAATCAGCTTAATTCTCTTCATAAAGGAAAGAAACAAGGTAGCGAAGAAGAGGAGAGGGTTAAAGAGGAGCAGCAGGAGGAGCAGGGGCAGGAGCAGGAGCAGCAGCAGCAGAAGAAGAAAGAGCAGAAGGAAGAGAAGGAGAAGGAGAAAGAAGAGGAGGAAGAGGACGAGGTTTTATAACAGATCAAGTCACGGAGGAGCACTACAGGCACGATATGATAAATTAAGTTACAATTTTTATAATGTAACCAGGTCTTACTCTATTTTCACGCTAGCCTTTAATCTACCTCGCCCGCGGATTGGATTTAAGCCCTATGGTTATTTGATTTAATTTCTGTTAGTCACTAAAATATCGTACGCCCAACAGCCAACTCTGTAAAGACCGGTAGATAATGAAAATACAACTACCTGACGATCTTTTTAACTAATTTTCGGTAACACACGCTTTATTTTATATTTATATCCCAAGTATAATCAATGGCACGTACCAATAGAAGCTCTTCTCGATTTCTTTTTTACTTGGTAAACTTAACTCAAGATTATATGAAATACAGACGCAGAATAGGTATGAACAGATGACGAAAGATAGCTAAAAAAACACCCCATACATATTTGAATACCTATTACATAATAGGATTGCAGCATGGCACCATTCGTGAATAGTGTTTCTAATGTATATCTCGGGTATCTTATCTAAACATCATCATGCCAATGAAATATTTTGAAGCTCTGATGCTTGATCCAGCGCATCTCCGTCCATAATGCCATGCACATATGCCTCACCCACAACTACCCAACATCCTTGCCCAGCATTGCGCAAGACGAATGGCACATGCGCGCCAGGGAAGATCCAAACAGAGTCATCTTCAAGGAGGCTTTCCGGCCCAATGCCAAGAAAGCCTTTGCTGGTCCGAAAAGGGCGCCTTCCATGGAGCTTGTCTTGCACGATATCCACGTATTGGACCCCCGAGGAAACTGTGCCAGAAAAGAGAGCCAGATATGAATGCTTTGTTCGCCTAGATGCTCTGGAAGTCTCATAATTATGCACGAAGGCACGATCCGCAATGGGAGTCCTCCAAAGAGCTTCGTAAACTGCCTCTTCCGTGTGATAAGCTTCACCGCCATCGTCCAAAAGTTCTTGAAGATCTTCTAGCCAAGGGGTAATGAAAGAATCATCCAAGAGAGGATCTCCTGGCTTAGAAATCTTGTCGAAGTGTACGGCAGAAAGTTGAAGATGGTTATGAAGATCAAAAGATTCCTCATACACAAATTGACTTAGAGAACTGCATGCATTGTATGCACTGCCCTTTCCACCTCCTCTTGTTACAAATCTGGGGCTAACGCTAAGAGGCTGTAGAAGCGTTTCGTTTGCCCAGTCCGGCGCCCAAGAGGGTGCAGACAAGCGGTCTGGCGTTTCCGGAGTAGAATTAATGCCGCAGAACGATAGTAAATCCAGCCCGTAATGGATCAGGCAGGCCTTCGCCACTTCAATCCGGACAGTGGCCCAGTCTTTCGAGTAATCAGCTCGAACATATGGACTCCTGCTTGCGTCGACCAGCCCCAATACCGAAAAGACGTAATCGCGCTCGTCTGAAGCTTCAAGTCGAGGTTTGTTAGAGTTTCCGTACAGGACTGTCAATAGACTAAGTAAGGGCTGATTGGGTGCCGTGTATGCAACAGGGGTCACATTCATCAGCTTCGAGGTAAGAAAGTATGGTAACGGTGAACGTTGTGGCCCAGTACGGACCATGTGGAGGTAGTCCCGTAAGCCGCAGAGCACCCAAAAGCCGGCATAGAACTGGCTCCAAGTGAGCAGATGCTCACCGCAGCAAACAACGGGCACAGAAGACAGAGCCCGCTCCTGGATGACCCAAACTCGCCGAAACCACGGCCTTGCGAATAGCGAACCAAGAGCATTTAGCTTTCGGGAGTTCGCGTCACAAAGATCTTCGAGGATGGAATCGAGTTCTGTTTGAACGAAGTATTCTCGAGACCCCGGTAGCGGATCGGCCTGGAACTGGAAAAGCGACCAGGACTTGATCAGACCCCAAAACTTTGATTCGGCAGTCTTGCTCATCGTCTTCAAGCTGTCCAATGCAAGATCGCTGTCTTCGGTGGAAGGCCCTAGCCAAATAATGGTCCAAGATGCTTCCTTGTAGATCATGTCCATTTGAGAGACTTGATGCGTTCTTTCGGAGACGTTGGATTGGTCAATGCAAATGGCATCTACCCATAGAGCCACACTTTCGTTGTCGTGGGTTTTGCGATTCATGATGAAATGTCGGAGAGCCGACTCCAGATTTTCTGTGACGTGGAATTCGTGGTCGCCTAGCAAAATAGCTTTTGTGGTGTTTTTATCTCCCCAGACGTACGACAATGCTGCATATTCCGGGAGATCGTCCAGAAAAGCATGTCGAAGCACGCAGCAGATACGGTCATCTGATAGCAGTGCTTGCACATAGATGAGACGGATCTCCCGCCTATCGCTCCGGAGAGGTCGATATCGGAAACCATGTGTTTCTGCTACGGCGTTGTCCGCAACATCACCTTTCGCGTAAGAGTTGTCCATCCTGCGTGCACGTATCGATAGTGATGGCCTCAGGTTTTGCCTTTGATGAATCCCTTCCGAAAGCTGCCGAATCGGCTAACTGACGTTAGAGATGCGGAAGATGTTCTTCCAAAGGAGCGGTGTAAGCGGGGCAGCTGACAAGCGGGATTCTCCTCGGGTAGTACTTGATGCGAAGCGACCAATCATCAATATGGTCTCTTGATGGATTGGGACGGTTGGGTCTGTTAGAGTTTACCCCTCACGAAGCTGAGTAGCTAGGCTTTATTGGCATAACAGGTGAGAGGCAACAAAGCGCCTCCACGGGTTTCGCTGCTGCTGGCCGTTTCGTTGCTCGTGGTTCCGTGGTTGCTCGTAATTCTATTCGATAGTAGTAGTAGTAACCGCTAGGGCGGTAGGTGGGTAGCACAGAGGTAGGAACGAAGCTGTTACCGGAGAGCGCGTCCCCGCGGCGCGTAAAGATATGATCCTGCCTATGAACTAGCCAATAGAATACGTGATTTTTCACGCTAAGCTCGATGCGGCCCCTAAAAATAGTGCAATCCTGAACGTAATACCATAGCCACGCGTCGGTAAGCATGCGCTACGCAGGATCTTCGGTCGTTCGCTTACTCTTTTGGTAGATGCTAACTATCCTTTACTACGCTTTACGACTATGGTTTCTAAAATCTCATACCTGTTTCTCCAAACCATGGGCTCGAACTTGCTAACGGGTTTTCCTCTGGCCCACATTCAGGCTATGCACTTTCACTGGTATAACTGTATGCTGATCGAGATTGAGACCTCCAAAGAAAACGGCAATGACGGACTCAAACACGCTCTCATACGACCATTCATTACCGGCACCGGAGCTGCTGCCAATTCATGAAATGGTGCTCTTAGAGTTGAAGGTTTCGTAATCTGGCAAAGGGAAATCCTCTTCATTGTTGTCACGGTCGAATTTGTTCACCAACCAGGGTGTTGCCACGGCTTTCGAGAGTGCCCCCACAAAAGCTTGGAGTAGCCACCTCTTCCATGTCGTTTCGGGGTGCGCGATGGCGGGAACGAAGAAGGGAATGTTCTGAGTCTCCTCGACGAATGGGCGAAAAGTGCTTTCGTAGGCGCTGAGCGCACTTGACGGATGCTGACCATCGTTGAGCTTGCTCAGTTCACCTGCGAGAACGTAAGCCCCGGTGATGGCCAATGAAGCGCCTGCGCCTGTCAGCGGCGTTGGAGCGTAGGCGGCGTCTCCGATGCTGACGGCCCGATTGTTTGACCATTTGGACAGCTTGATTTGTTGGATCGCCTGAAAGTAGAAGTCAGGTGCTTGGCTCATGGAGTCCAGAAGCCGTTGCGCCTGCCATCCAGCATCTGCGAAGTCCATTCTCACGAGCTCTTCCTGAGTCTTCCTGTCACTCCTCGTTGCCTCCTGCCATGCCTTCTTCTGAGCGTCGCTGCATGGCATCCGAGTGATACACGCCCTCATGGTTCCATGTGGATCAGGCCTCAGGCTAAGGATCCTTGACCCGAGAGCCTGGTAGATATTCCACCAGTCATTGTCACCGGGTAAGCGGGAAATGGTCCAGTAGACGGCGTACATGCCTTTGTCGATGACATTGACGGACTCAGGAGGGAAGCACTCTTTTCGCACCTTGGACCACTGGCCATCCGCTGCGGCCAAAAGAGCGTAGTCTTGCACTTCTCCATTGCTTAGTTCGACTTTGACGGCGGCATTGTCGTTCGAAATAACTCTGCTGATGGTAGTGCCGAACATGTAGTCAATGTTGGGATGGTTTTTAGTAGCCTCATGTAGTACAGCTGCTAGATCGCCACGCAGTATTTCAAATTCCGACGTGGGGCTTGCAGAAGATCCGGACTTGACGGGAAAGGGCGCAAATGGCCGGCCTTTTGGGTCAATGAATTGGGTACCCTTTTCCGTTGTATTGAATCGTCGGATCTGATCTATGAGCCCCATCTTCTTGATTACTGTAAGTGCACTGCCGTTGATATCGATGTTCTGCCCATGGGGAAGGAGAGCGTGGCTTTTCTCGACGATGGTGATGCGCGCGCCGGCCTTCGCCAGGTACCAGGCCAGCGTGGGCCCGGCGATGCCCGCTCCGCTGATAAGGACGCGCATGACAACGATTTCGAATTTGGTGCAAGGATAAGGATAGAGAGATATATGGTACCGCAGTGGGAAGAGGAGAATTATGAATTATATGGGTAAAAGGTAGGAGTAAGGAAGAGTGAACCGTCCCTAAGCGATCAATGTACGTGTCGGTGGCGTTCTGCGTGACTGGATCAGGTAAGTGTACAAGTCCGCTCCATATCATCAGGCAGCAGCACCATGTATGTAGTATTTCTCAGGCGACCTAGGTAAGTGCATCGACGAAAGAACATTCTATCCGGCCCGACCCGAGACCCAAGTTTTGCTGGCGCACCACGCAAGGGCGGAGAGATTGGCATGTGCGTTTGATGAGCCTGAGCGATGACGCAAATACGAGGCGCTCATGGCCGTGCGCTGGACGGAAAGAAATCTTGTCGGCTTAAAGTCTCCACTGCATGCTTGCTTAGTGCTTACAGTAGGAAAACTCCGGCCTTTGGCCCATTATCGCCGTCCGTATCACGGTCCTGCTCACTCGGATAGCTAGGTTTGCGGCAGATTTGGCTGATTGAAGACCTGCGACATTGAGCCAAGGTGTTCTCCGAATGAGTGCAGTGGTGTGACATTGGACAGGGAGGCGCCTGCCGTAAAAAATGGTAGGCATACTCGGAAGTCTGCTTGGCCATGTTGGCTGTTCTGGAGGATGTCAAAAAGAAGAGCACGCGGAAAAGCTGAAGGAGAGATTCGAAGTTTCAGTGACTAGCGGGTAAAATGTCTAGCGACTTCCCTCCTTACCTCATCGCGCAGCGGACAGCTAAATAAATACGACTCCTACACATTCCTAGAAGATTAGCCGGTTATACAAATGCACGAATCAGACTCACTTACTAGGAAAGCAAGCTTATTCCAGGTCCCCGATTTCCGTTGAAAGTGAGTGGACATGGCTGATGATCAAATAAGGAACTGATTCTGAGAGGATGCAAATTTGGGGGCCGAAGTGTGGAGAGAAGGTCGGACCTACTAATACATCATTTGCAGAAGTGCAAGCACAGCCTGTCGACTACGTAGTAATAATGGTGTGAGTCAAGCTAAAGCAAGCGCCACGATATGTAGGGTTCTCAGCATCAATCATCATTTCCATGCCACCCCTGTGGTGTCTCACCGGCGATAGAGTTCTAATCACCGATTACCTCCGCAGTTACACACGACTAGAAATTTAAACCCGCTTCACTTCATCAGCGAATATTTTTCCAAACCACAATTCATCATCATCATCCACAACCAGAAGCACTTTGTTATGGCGGCTGCAAATCTGCTTGATTTCCAGAGCATTTTCTCGTTGGAGGGCAAAGTTGCCGTCATCACCGGCAGCTCCAAAGGCCTTGGGCTTGCTGCAGCATCTGGTATGCTTCAAGCAGGGGCATCAAAGGTTTACATCACATCCCGCACACCCAGTGCTTGCAAAGAAGCATGTGCAGTTCTCAATCAGCTCCCAACAAGACGGCCGGGCGCTAGTGCAATCTCGGTACCAGCAGACACATCGACAGTCGAGGGAATACAACATCTCGTCGAATCCGTCAGCAAGACAACGGATCATGTGGATATCCTTGTGGTCAACGCTGGAGGCACACAGAGTGCCCCAATCGAGAAGACAGAGGAGAAGGAATTCTCGGAGGTCCTGGACCTGAATTTAAAAAGCGTGTTTTACTGTGTCCAGAAGTACGTAAGCCCAATCTGCGTAAAACACAATAAGCTAAGTACGTTGTCTAGGTTCTTACCTCTCCTCACTGCGCGCGCCTCTATACAGGACGCCTCACGCATCATTGTCACGGCATCTGTTGGCGGCATCGGCCTCGCCAATATAGGAGAGCAAGGAACTTTCGCGTACGCCGCCGCAAAAGCGGGTGCAATTCATCTTGTCAAGCAGCTTGCTGTGGATCTGGGACCTCGACATATTCTTTCCAACTGCATTGCGCCGGGATTTTTCGCCACAGAAGGTTCCATGCCGTTTATTGAGAAATATGGAGGCGAAGAGGCATTGGCAAAGACTTATCCAAACGGCAGGCTAGGAAAGAGCGAAGACTTCGCCGCGACGGCGGTATTTCTTGCGAGCCGAGGGGGTGCTCATATAAATGGCCATTGCCTCGTTGTCGATGGGGGTGGAATCATTGGGAGAATCTCCGAGTAGTTTGGAACAAGAACTTGAGATCCCATATAACAGGAAAATTCCAGCTCAAATGAAATACATCTATACAGCCATCCGACATTGTCCATTGCGAGCCGATAGATGCTGCATCTCATAAACACCACCGTAGCGAATGCAAGCAACTAAATGAGTTCGAAACACATCCGGTATTCCCAACACGGCGTGCTTGATAAGTCTTGTACAAAGGCAATGTGATTTCTTCCATTGAAAATCAACCTGAAGATCCGAGGTATATATGCAGGGTAGTGTCATTGTGGAATTACGGATCGATGTAGGGAAACGGCTACGTGTCAACAGATTCGTCCTAAAATTAGGAAGGATCCATTGTACATACATACATACTGGGAGCATAAGCTGCCAGTGGGGCAGCTGAAGCATTCGCCGCAGGGCGCTGGAGGATCTGCAGCCGCTGTGTTCCGCTCATCATTTGGGTCAGTGCGCCGGCCCCCTCCAATGTTGGACCCAACACTGTACGACGTGTCGCTCGGCGACCACTACGTCACAGTCCCCAGCGTGGACAGTCTTGTTGAAATATCACGGATAAGTGAGCGTTGTTGCCTGAACATACCACAGGGTCGTAATCCCCAACTCTGATCCACGCAATATCCACCTCCTATCTACCTGGAGATCACCGAATCCTCTACCCGCGACATGCCTTTGAATCTGGTCATTGACTTTCCTGAGGATGAAGATGAGCCATGGGTCATCGAGCACAGAATTTTCGATGTCCTCAGTGAGTATTTGCAGCCGACTTCTCAGGCGTCTCCTCCGGAAGTTGCTCTCAAGTTCAACGAGCTATTCCAGCTCAACCAGCGCGAGAACGAGAAGGCGAACCCCGAAGGATTTCTGTGGCAGCTATGGGACATTGTATTCAATGTCGCAGAGCAGGTCCCATATAGCCACACCTCCCAAGATCGGCTCGTTGAGTTGATTGCGGCACTGCGCGACGCGCATTTTCAGCCGAACCCTTTCGCCGAGCTGAAATGCATGGGCCCAGCGTTGACCGAGAGATTTAACCGTAAGTCTTCCAGAATAAAAATAACTTGGCTATCAGCTGGCTGATTTGATTCACAACAGAAATTTCCACAGAGCCGCCTACTTCTGACGATGGAGAAGGAAGCAACCCCTGGAAGAACCTCAACGCGCTCGCTGCTCGCCTCACACGTGCTGGTTTCGGCGTGCGCAGCCGCGACGCCGTCATCGCCTTCTCGCTGGCGTTGGAAAACCGTCCGCATCCGCGGTCGCGCGCGTATCAGGAGAGGGGTCGCGCCCTCAATTTCCACGTCCCGATCGCTGCGGACTGGATGCAGAAGTGTGCTCGCGAGCTGTACCTGCAGATGAAGTCTGGAGAGTCCGTTGAGGGCCCTCCATGGAAAGGGAAGAGGGGTATTTTTGACGAGCGCTGGAACTTCTGGAAGGAGCAATTTGGTGATATCGCCGAGCGTGAGGATGCGTGCAAGGATGCTGTGAGAGAGGGGGCGAGACTGGCCGCTCAGAAGATGATTGAGGCTGAGAGCAGCGATGATGTTTGAATGCATAGTACCTTCTTAGTTACTCTGCAATCAATTTAGCTTATACTTACACACATATACGCTACATACAGAGGGGTGCTGCAGTCGATGGCTAGCGTGAAGAGTAACAGGGCATTAGAACATACTAGCATAATTATGCCCTAGCTGTGCTTTAGGAAAATTAACACATGTGGGTAGTTGAAGCTATCGTCCGGATGACAATGTCGAATTAAAAACTCTACAGACACGTCCAGACGATAGCTTTAACTACCTATGACACGAGCAAAAAAATAAATACACGGCGTTCAATTAGAGTATCTCAAAAAAAAAAAGATGAAGAGGCGAGGCATGAAACTATGCAGTTGTAGGTCACGGACAGCATATTATCTGACCACGCCACAATGAACGGTAACAACCGGCGTGGCGTAGTGAGTGAGGCAAATCTTTACACTGTAAGCAAATAGAGTGTACGGGACTGTGAAAAAATATAAAGTGCGAAATACGGGAATAGTATGCGAAGCGTGCAATAAAATGCAACTCATTTGTTACCCCGTCTTGTGTTACCCCGTCTTAAAATCATCACATATGTCCAAAGAAAGTTTCTGAGGCGCCATGACTTTGTATATTCTAGCTATTTGTAAAAGAGAGAAAAGAATCCAATAACCAACTCCAACCTTATGTCAATGCAACCAGTGCAGATTTTTGACAAACACTCCAACACATCAGACCGTTGACGGCCGGGGAATCCAGGGTAGGCTTAAACTGCGAAAGACGAACAGTTCCTTTAGCTGCACAGAGCGAAGCCACCCGCATTGCCATCCGTGTGCGCCATGACACCGCAGAAGTCCTTGCTTGGGTAGGTGTAGATGGCGCGGGCCGGGCCGGGGTCGAGGTCGGACTTCTTTTCGTTGTAGGGGAAAAGGTGGCCATCAGGGTAGACGGGGAATTCCAGGAGCTTGGCGTTCTTGTCGTTGCACTTCTTGTTGGGCCAGGTGATGCCGTCTCGGTTGCCGTAGCCGTGCGGGTAGCCCGACTTGGTCTTGGGCTCCTTCTTGTCCGGGTCACCCACTGGCGCAGCGTGGATGTTGCCCTCGGCCTTGTTCTGGCTGATGGTGAAGTCACCCTTGGTGTTCTTGCACCTCAGACTCTGGGAAAGGATTAGTTGAGAAGAGATACCGTCCCCTCTTGCAGCCGATAGCTAGCCATCGGCTGCGAGAGGGGGGTGTAATTGGGCTGTTCAACCGGATTTCTTACCACGTCGCGAGCTTCAAGTCCAAGAGTCTGGTTGAAAGGGACAGCCGCGACGTTGACGGCAAAGAGGAAGTAGCAGACGCTCTTGACAACGTGCATTCTTGGTTTCTAGTAATTGAAAGTTTGGTCGGAAGCAGGCGTGTGGCTTGAGTGGAAGAGGCAAGTGTGCTCGGTCGAGTGGTTTGATGGTTTGTTGCTGATGGAATTTCAGAATTCTCTCAATTCTTAAATATCCATGAAATCATTCTTTCTTTGGAATCTTTTTCGCAGAGTGCGGCTGTAGTGTTGTCTGCGTTGATCATTGTGCATTTTCCGCCGTGCACCAACACTGTTCCTCGAGGCAAGTATGGGAGTGGTCCAATTCAGCTGATGCTGTTATTGCCCAATTGGTAAATTTCCACTCAGCAAAGGAATACAACATGTTTATCCATGGGCAAAAGAATGACCCGACGTTCCGATTGTTGATGTGGGGCTCCGTCTGCTTCCTGGAGCTGACCGTGCAGCTCAAGTGCCCCACAAGAGCTGTGCCACGGCCCCCAAATTGATTGACCCACCTAACAAGAGTTCATCCTGTAGTAAATTCCGTCATAGACGCAGACTTACACCAACGACGTTGTTTCATGTACGAGTTTCAGGCCTCTTCGTTGCGTCGCTGCTTTGGTGAGGAAATTGGAGGAGGGGATGCGTTGTTGCGAAATAAAATAGAAACCGAAATAACAGAAATTCCGACCGACACACCCGTCAGGCCAAATTTCAGTGATATTAGAGACAAGTTAATGATTTGGTTGCTGGAAAGAATTGCTTTGGCCCCCAGTCAGTGCAGAGTCTCTTCCGCAACTCCGAATGTAAGCAGGTAGGTATATCGCTGATCAACGAGTGGCGCAGCGAATCATCAATGCGCTTCGGTGACCGAACAACTATAGAACATTACATCATAGTAGCCTACACTACTCTCAGCTGGAAGTTGGCATCTACGTCTCAGCTGAAAAAGCAACTGCAGTGCCTTCCTTCAGAAGCCCAGACACTGCAAAGAGATATAAAAAGTTGTGATAAGATCGAGAATTCTCTTTTAGATTACCGCTTGGAGACAACATCGCTTAAGAAACAATTTCAACTACTGTACAAGAATCAAGGTATCATGCCGCTCCAACAATGACGCCACCCGACAACTGAAGTCCGAATGGCAACCCTTTTGCCCACTGCTCTGTGAAAGGCGAGCCTCTCCGCCTTGAAATTGTCTCGTCGATGTCCTTGTACATGTCGTAACTAGTAGTAGAGTTAGCTGAGCCCTCAACTGGGTGTGTCTTCCATTACGTACGCATTCATCTCCTCGATGGTCAACTTGGCCTTCTCATCTTCAACCTTGTAAGTGCCGATACTGGTATTGCTGGAGAAACCTGATGGCGTTGTTAGTTTTAGGTGAAGCAGCCTACAGGCGTCTTGTATCCACATACCAATACGTTCGTTGATATTGTAAGCGGCCTTGGCTGCGGCGGATTGTACCCGTGTTGCGCGAGGCAGGCGAACCTCGTCATATATGGAGAGCATTTCAGCAACATCGCCGGAGAAGTACTTCGGGCTGAAAAGGATGCCCAGTGCAGCCGCATCTTCAATTGCCATGCAGGCACCCTGGCTTTGGTGGGGCATCATCTGCGAGGTTGTAGTTAGCTACCGAAACGTGGAGATTTGAGCAAGTTGAGGAGCAGCTTACCGGGTGTCCTGCATCTCCCAAAAGGCACACAGTGCCTTTGGCGATGTACGGATACGGATCACTGGGAGTATTAGTGACAATGCATGCTAGACGCTGAAATGGGAATGCTTACTGCATCCAGAGACGCCACGGTTGGATGTCTTTTCCAATGGCCAGGTGAGCCTTGACCTGATCGTCAAGCTGGGGGTAAGGAGCAAGCAGCTCCTCAACGGGGCGGTCTTCGACGCCCCAGGCTTGGTTGGTGTAGTCTCCCTTGTCACGAGGGAAGAAGCAGTAGTACGACAGAAGCTTGCCACCGTTGCAAGGGGAAAGAACGATCTTGTCCCACTTTCCCTCTTGTCCTCCCCAATACTCCAAGGCAGCGTCCTTGGAGTAGTCGACGAGGCCGAGCCTGACAGCATCTTCGGTTGCGACGTTGGCATGAAGACAGCTGGAGTCGGCGGGGCGCTTCTCGGGGCGGATGCCGATGAGGCCGCGAACGGCAGAGCCGATGCCGTCTGCACCGATGATGAGGTCATGTTGGACCGTCTTGCCATTCTCAAACTCAATGCGACCTGCTTTCAAGTCGATGTTCTTGCACTGTTCCCTGTCAGAAGCTGCTCTGCCTGTGAGATGCGTACACGTACCTTGTGATGGACAAACAGTTTCGCCGGTTCGCCCTTGCCCTCGTCACCCATAGCCGAGTCTTTCAACATGGCGTGCATGTATTGGCGGTGGAACATGTTGTAGACATAGCCCCATCTCTCCTCATAGTCGTCAAGGTCGTACACGCTGACGGGCTCGCCAGTCTTCCAGTCGCGGTTGATGAGCTTTTTCAGGACGACGGGGTCTCCCTTCTCGACATCAACTTCCCACTCATGCAGCCACCGCGTGCCATTGGCAGCGCAAGAGACAGATGCGCCGACTTCGCCGGCGAAGTCGTTGCGTTCGTAGATGGTGACCTTGTGTCCGGCTCGTCTCAGTGCGATTGCAACCGACATGCCACCAATGCCGCCTCCGACAACTCCGACGTCAAGCTTCCTCCATCCTCCCGCGGCAAGTGAACCCATATCTGTGGATGACGTAATGTTTCCGGAACCGGTGTGGAGTATATAAGAGCGGTTGCCGTCCGTGCTGTGCCCGTTCTTGCTCTGTGTTTCTTTTTGTATGTTCAACTGGTCCAAAATCAGCAGGGCACCAGCACAATAAGAAGGGCTTATATCTCCACGCTATCTGTTATCATTGCGTATGTTAATCCGTAGACTTTCGCTATCATTCCCCGTGCTGACCCGGTCCGAGCCGCACCCGCCGGAACTCCGTCCTCTTCCGCCTCAACACGGTTCCGCCTCCGTGTGTAACCCCCGAGCGTTTATCGATAGAACATATCCATTACCGGCGTCACCTTTGGCCGACTCCACTTCGCGCCGGTCACCAGGTATCTGGGCACTTGAACTATGCGATGCTCTCCGTGAATGAATCCACTGATAGGCATTCCATCTGTTCCGTGTCACAGCCGGCGGATTCACCCGGTCCCAAAGTTGCTTTCCCTGTCACCCACCGTCTCTTACGGTTGCTACTAAGCGGCAACCTAGTCTTCCGCAGCACGTATACAGATTGAATGGGGGTGCAATCAACCGACATTCGACCACGTTACATCTCTCCGTTTCTGCATACCATCTACTGATCGTCCATGGCCAAGCGGCCACGCAAAGATGCCAGCACTGTGGATTTGATGTTCTTCTCCCCTCACCCACCCTCATCCGAAGGGACTTCGGCCCGTGGTGAAGTGCGGGGAAGGGTTTCTGTTGAAAGCTTATTTCTGATCGCAGCCTCTTGGCATACGTATATTCTATTCATACTCCTCTCCAGTAGTGCTTACCCAAGGCACTGCAGGCACTACTGATTGCCTCCCTCGACTAATTCGACTACATGCACTACTTCTCTGACTATGAACGACAGTTTCCGCTCTAGCTCGTCTTCGTTAGCTTCAACAGACCTTCAACTACACACCTGAAACGACACCACAAAGATGATTTGGAATGTAGTTCTTCCACTGTGGCGGCGTTCACTGTGGTCGGAGTGTCATTTCCTCGTAGTCCCGCATCGGAAAGTATGAGTTATGTTGTGCGAGGAAATTTGCAAATGGAATTTTGTGAGTGGTCTGAATCTGGACGCGAGCGTCTGAATCGAACTCATGCTAATCACATACACACGTACGATCACAGCAGTATCGACATCGCGCTCTATAGATACCTATCTACAGTACGTACTGCTGGCGGCGAAACCCGCCCGCTCCAAGAAATGATCCTCCTATTCGGTGGAGCCCGTGCTCCCCATTTGGAGGGGCCCCTGCTTTTGGCTTGTCAGGCTTAAACTGCATTTCCTTTAATATTTCGACCTCCGCCGAGTATCTCGGTGCTGTATGTGTTTCCATGTCTCAGAACTCGGAAGACTTATATTGCTACCGTTATATCTATGGTTTGCTTCACAAATTCAGGCAAGACGGTCGGGATCATGACTCAGTTGACACGAAATCGGCGCACACCGCGCACGCCTGAAAGTGCTGCGCTACGCCCAACCTCCACAGAGGCGGTGTCACAGCTCAGAGACTTAACTACAATCGCCTTAGCACATACAGACCATCGCTGCAGCGGACGCGGCAACCTCTTTCTCCTCCACATCTGATTGGCCCCAGAAGAACGACCGTATTTTGCCTGTCGGTGCGCCTACTATCCTCAGAATTACCGCCGAATAATGTCCCCGAGAAGTCGGTTAAAGAATTGGCGTTGCATGCAGACTCGTGGTGGCTCCACCGGCCCGTCTCCACGGGTCGCAACTTAAATCGTCCCTGCATTCTTCAGCACTCCGCTTTCCACTCTCATTTTCCCCCGGAAACCCCATCCCGCACCATGGCTCCCCAGGATTTTCGTGTTGCCATCGTTGGTGGCAGCATTGCGGGGCTCACATTGGCACTCGCTCTGGAGAAGAGCGGCATTGACTTCGTAGTGCTTGAGGCGTACCCGGAAATAGCACCACAGGTGGGCGCGAGTATCGCTGTCCTGCCCAATGGCTTCCGCATTCTGGATCAACTTGGCTGCTACGAGGACATGCTCGAGAAAGTGAACTGCACCATTGACAACTTCATCATCCGGAACTCCGATGGGAGCGTTTTGACCCATGTGAAGCACTTGGATCACCATTTGATTCAACGGTTGGTCTTATCTGATAAGAAGTTGTCGTCAAGTTTGGTCTTTAACGTTCTCTAGCCATGGATACCCGATGATCTTTTTTGAGCGGCGCATGGTAATTGAAGTGCTTTATAAGCATATCACCCAGAAAGAGAAGGTTCTTACGTCCAGGAGAGTGACTGAAGTCGAGGAACGCGCTGATGGCGTCACCATCACCACACAAAATGGTGAAAAGTTCACCGCGGATGTGGTGATTGGTGCGGATGGCATCCACAGCACCGTGGGGAAGGAGATATGGAAGACGAACCTCGAAAAGAATCCCAATGCCAAGAAAGGTACGCTGGCTTCTGATAAGTGAAGTATATACCTGACCATTCCCAGATGATCTGCCGGTGCAGTATATGTGTCTTTTCGGTATCTCGGAGAAGGTCCCCGGAATTGCTGAAGATGTCCTGCATCATATCACAAACGAAGGATCATCATCATTTGCCGCATCAGGCCCGAATGACCGCACGTACTGGTGTTTGTTTGTCAACACCGGGACCACGTACCACGGAGAAGACTTGCCTCCGTACGACGACGATTATATTGCTAAGACTGCGGAGAAGCACAACGATGATGCCATCACTGAAACGGTCAACTTTGGTGATCTCTGGAAGCGGAGGATCATGTCAGTCTGTACGCCAGTGCATGAGTATGTGCTTGGGACATGGCATACAAAGCGTTGTATGGTTGTTGGCGACGCAGTCCACAAGGTAATTCCCAACGCGACCAGCAATTTCTTATTCTTTGTGGCCAACTGATCTTTCGCAGTTCAATCCCATCATCGGTCTTGGCGGTATGTCGGGCATGGAGACGTGTGCAGCTCTCACCAACAACTTGACCACTTTGCTTGAATCCTACAAAACATCTTCCGAGATCCCCGCCTCGGCCATCGAAGCCGCATTTGCAGCCACCCAGGAGCTCCGCAAACCACGCGCCAGCGTCCTCGTCGACGTCTCGCAACAGACGCAGTACAGATTCGCCATGGAAACCCCGATGCTCAAGTTCCTCAACCGCTACGTCTACCCCAGCATGGGCTCCGGCGCTACTCTACGGCTGCTTTCGGAGGCCTATCCAGGAGCCACGAGCTTTGAGAAACTGCCACTGCCCAAGAAGCCTCGCGCCCTTCCCTACCACGATGAGCTTCTGCAGCAGCCTAGATTCAGGAACTTCTGGCTGAACAAACTTACCCTCGTCTTCCTTTTTGGACTGGCTTTGGTGGGTCGCCACGTTTTGTTCACCATCGGGAAGGCCAACGGAGCGTTTCCGCTGGTTCGGGAGACTGTGGTGCGAGGAACCTTTGCAGAAGTGGGTGACTTGCCCTTGAGATCTGTCTTTGGGATGAACAAGTTCCCGGGGATCGACCGGCTTCTTCGGGTGCTTACCACGGTTTTCCTGCCTATCGTGGCAGGTGCAGGCGGTATGGAGGGCAGGCTACTGGCGGGATACTTCTTGGTCTCCGTCATCCTCCCGCTCCTTGCACTGATGCTCGTTGAGGGGTATCGGAAAAGGAATACTTGGTCCCTGGTCTGGAGGTCAGTTGTGCCCTTTGATGCTGAGTAATGTGCCGTTTGCTGACTCGCTGACCCGTAGCCCCGCTATTTGGGCTACATTGGGCCAATTGTTTGGCCTTGGCATCGTCTTGCCGTTATATGTTCTGGTCTTCTTCTACAGCTCCGAGGGCATTGCTTACTGGATGCCGGCTGAGAGGTGCATCCCACAATCGGCGAGCAAAGCGATTCTGCCATCCTTGATCCTCGGATTCCTCGTTCCCTCTGTCCTTATGGTATTGCTCGGCCCAGAGAGTGGCTACCTCCAGGAAGCTATTGCCTTTTGGCAAATCACGCCCATACTCGTCAGTCCGTTGAGCGCGCTTTTTTCGAAACTGCAGGCTCCTGGATCTTTGAAGAATGGAGAGGTGCCGGTGGAGGACTACCAAGGACTTGACCTCCCGCACCTGAGAAGGCTGTACGACGTCCTCTTCTTCATTGCAGCTGCAGTGCACGTTGCTGTACTTGGGTTCCTCGGCCTGTCGTCCGGAACCACGATCATCGGGGCTTTCGTGCCTATGAACCCGGGATCTCCCGTTTCGTCGCTTGCTGCCGGGATGAAGATCTTCTTCCAATTCGACCTCCTTTTGGTCGTATTCACGATATTCGTCTGGGTTGTGCTGAACATTGGGGAAATGAAGCGCGTGGGCATCATAAAGTCACCATTGTTGAAGGCCATCGTTGGGCTACTTCTTGGTTTCTTGCTGGTCGGCCCCGGTGCGACCATCCTGGCATTTTGGGAGTGGCGAGAAGATGTGATGGCGAGGCCTGGCCTGAAAAATCCTTGATAGGTCCAGGAAGATACCTCGGGTATGTTCCCAACACCGATAAACTTTAGCACATTTTCGGGCTGGTTGCTCACTCTTCTCCCCTCAGCTCTGCGCAGGTCAAATCCGGAAGAGTCCGACGTAGCAGTCTCGAATTCACCACACACCAATACCTTTGGAATGTGTAATAGGGATTATCTGGAGGAGGCTTGGCTTATCGGTGTTCGCAAGTTCTGTTGCGCAAGTCCGGGCGTGATGACGTGCTGCAGCTAAGGAATTTCGCGACCCCGCCCCCGGCTCGTTGAGTTGCACTTGAGATAACGCGCCGGCAGCTCTTCCTCATGGGTGTGTAGTCCGACGGCATTGTATGGTCAATGAAATCGGATTTTTCCTGAACTAGCTGTTTCTGGGAGTGAAATACAAGCATCTGCTCTCTTAACTGCCAAGCCGTACTTGCTGCGAGACATTGCATGACTCTACAGGCACTTCCACTCGTGCGAAGAGCGTTTCTGCGGAGCCCCACGTGGCACTAGCTCACAGATCTTCTCGTCTGACACCATAGTGGGCTGCGACACCGTGATTGAGCTAGGAAATGTTGTTGAAGATAAAACGGCGGCCGTGGATCCGCATGTCCAGTTGACAGCCCGGAAGCCGCCCCCTCTGTTCCTGCCATCGCCACTCCAGAACTCTTCAGGATTGTCTCACGATGGTGAAAGACGCGTCTGTTGCCCTCTCTCAAAGAGAGCGCCATCCTGGTAAGCAGTTTGACAAACACTTTGACAACGGGCGCTGACGCATTGCCGCGCAGTGAGATGGCATCGCTCGACCTTCTTCAACATGACAATCCTCGGCCTCTGCAATCTCTCAGCACCGGGTATCTGGACTGCCATGAACTCCCTGGGCGCTGGAGGTGCGGCCTCGCCGGGGCTGGTGAATGCCGCCAACGCACTGACATTCTGTCTGATGGTTGTCTCTTGTTACTTTTCCAGCGTCATTGTTCATTACATCGGAATCAAAGGATCGCTCATATTTGGAACGTACGTTAGCCTCATACACACTGCAGATGTATCGAGCTGACTCCCAGCAGTATCGGCTACGCTCCATACGCCGCCGGCTTGTACACCAACAATCGTTATGGCACCGAGTGGCTGATGCTCTTCGGCGCGGCTCTCTGTGGTATCTCGGCCGGTGTTTTCTGGATGGCCGAGGCAGCCATTGCCATTGCATACCCGGAACCATGGAACCGCGGCAAAGCGCTGGGGTATTGGCTCACTTACCGCCTGTCCGGTCAGATTTTGGGCGGCGCAATCAACCTTGGCATCAACGCAGAGAACAACAAGGCGGGCAAGGTGTCCTACACGGTGTTCATCGTCTTCATCGCCCTGCAGGCCGCCGGTCCCTTCGTCGCCCTTTTTCTGAACAAGCCCGACCAGGTTGAGCGCGAAGACGGGGAGAAGGTCAGCTTGGCGATCCTCGAGAATCCGTGGTATGAGATCAAGGCAACGACGAAGACTTTCTTCAAGCCCAAATTCCTCCTCATCGTGTGCTTTATCGGATCGGTTGTCTTCTCCGAAGCGGTGTTCTTCACCTATCTTGCCAGTAAGTTCCAGTTGCATGTCCCGCGGTTTCAAGACTGACACTGGCCAGCTTGGTTCTCCGTTCGGTCCAGAGCACTGGGTTCTTTCCTGTCTGGCATCGTCGCCGTCATCTGCGGCAATGGCCTTGGGGTAAGCGAGACAGTCCTAAATGAAAAGCAGATTTACTGACATCCTTTAGGCGTGGCTCGATCGATCTAAAGTAGCCCTGAAGACGCGCTCGCGGTCAACCTTTTGGGTTCTCATCGTTCTTCAAGGCGCATGGTGGACCTGGGCAACTATTCTTGTGTCGCGATTCAAGCACACAAAGCCAACATACGATTGGGTGGACTCTGGATTTGGCGCAGCCTTTGCTGTTTACATCTTCCTCACCGTCGGCTTCCAGCTGAATTACCTGTTCTTGTAAGTGCCCCGCCCCTACAAAGATTCAGTGATGCTGACGGATTTCAAGGTACTTCATCGTCACAAATCTCGCAGAAGGCGAAGAGGAGGTCATCAGATATGCAGCTTTGCTTAGAGGTGTTGAGTCGGCTTGGCAGGCCGTCAGCTACGGGCTTACTTCTCTGACCCTGTTCGCCGAGGTGGGAGGCGTCTACTTCAACTTTGTGCTGTGGGCTATCTCGATCTGGCCAGCATGGCTCGTCCTGAAGGAGTTTGGGGCTGGGAAAGTAGGGTACGAGAGCGAGTCTGGCAGCTCTGAGGGTGTTGCAGTTGGTGAGGTGGTCAGCACCGTCGAATCGAAGGGTGCGTCAACTTGACTGGTTTGACGCTAGCTCGTCTCACCTTCACTGGAGTGTCCAAGGCCTTCAGTTCCAGAAAAACGTATGCGATTAGATTAATAGATATAGAGATGCTACGCCACTGAAAATACAGGCGACTGTACTGAAAAGCGAAAACGTGACCCATCTAAGCACTGTCTGAGCTATATGTACAGGGAGAGGATCTATCGAAGTGCCAACTACTCAGTGTTTGGGGTGACCAGAGTATAATTTCTCCAGCCGCCATTCTTCTCCGCATGTGCAATGGCCTCTTCATGTTCATCCAAACTGAAGGTCGCAACCTTTGCGCCACTTTCGACTCCAATCTTCAGCAAGCCAGAGGTCACCATGCTAATGACTCGATCCAGCGTGTGGCGATTAGACATCCACTGCCCCATAATCTTGAGTCCCTTATGCACCGCCAGCGTATAAGGAACGGCAGCACTCCCACTGGACCCACCACTCAACACAACCCTCCCACCCGACTTCAACGCCCGCACCGCCGCGTCGAAATACGGCGGGCGCTCCATCGCCGCAGGCGTCCAGTCATTGAACACATCCGCCCCAGCGCCCCGCTCCGTCTTCGCCAGAATCGCAGCCACATCGGCGTCCACATCCCCCGTCATGACGACATAGCTGAAACGATCTCCGGCGCCGAGCCTCCGCTGCATCTCAGCGAGCTTCTCCTCACTCCTCCCCAGCGCAACGACATTCGCGCCCACCGCCAGCGCGATCTCGACCGCCGCGCCGCCAAACGAGCCGCCAGCAGGCCCGACGACGATCGTCTCGGCCGCACGCAGCCGCGCCGCCTCGAGGACCGCCCCTCCCGCAACATGATACAGCGGGATGGCCGCGAGCTCGGCCGGCGTGTACCCCAGCCGCCCATGGCACAACCGCGCCTCGTCGAGCGGCGCGCAGTTCTCGAGCGGCACGCGCTGGAACTGCTGCAGAGCGCCGTCGCGCCACTCGCCCTGGGTCAGCTTGATCGAGCGGTCGTGATATTCGCCGGCGTGGTGGCCCTGCATGATCTTCACGCTGGGGTCGTCGCGCGCGGTGATGGTCGCGTCGACGTAGACGAGGTCGCCGGGCTGGAGTGCGACGGCGTCGGGCCCGACGGCGTGGATGCGCGCGATGGAGGTGGGGTTGGGGACCAGGGGGGGCGTGATGCCGAGGGCGGCGATCTGGCCTGAGTGGACGGCGTGGGCGTAGGGGACGATGAAGGTGGCGAGGATGCGGACGACGGCTGAGCCGGAGGTGGCTGTTGGGATTGGGAGGGAGATGATGGATGGCGGGGAGGAGAAGGACTCCAGCCAGAGAGCTCGGTTTGACGTCATGGTCTGTTTGTTTGGTGGCTTTATGGAATAAACTTTAGTAGAGATAAGGTATATCCTTGCGGCGAATAGTATACAATAGTACTAGCTACAGCACAATATAAAGGCTGTAGTTTTCGGCGTATTCGGTCTTTTCGGATTATTCATGGTGGTCGGCCGTAGTGCATCTATGAGCATCACCCTATATCAGCAGATCCAAAGGCTTGGGGTTGTATCCTACGGACAGCCAAGATAACAGCGGTGAAGGCGGAAAATGTGCTGATGCTAGGTGGTTGTCGTAGTGGGGATGAGACAAAGTTGGGTTGTGACGATCGTCAGGCACTGGTCCGTATCCACACCTTCGGACACGCTAACACCAAACACCTTGTGTCGCACGAGGATCCATATTTGTATGCAACGTATGACATTTCAAATGCGGATGAACCTACCACCGGCGTCTGACATGCCAATACGAGACGTTCAGTGACGTTACCTACTCTGCGGTGTACCTCGGCCTGGAAAATGAAATCAATAAGCACCAAATAAGAGAGAGTTTGAATGGTGTACAAGACCAAAGTCACTTGTACGCCAGCAGTTCAATTCTCAAGGATGCCACCGTTCATTTCGAAAGACAGAGAAATTAGAAACGGCCAGTTGGCCGCGAACTGAACGCAACCTACATTTACTCTCTCCATCATTACAGAATTCGAAGAGATTTCTTCCATTCGGTCCCCATCGTTGACATCCGCGATGCATTTTTAAACCCTGCTAACAATTCTCAATTTTTTATTGCATGAAGATAAAATATTTACGGAATGTTGTGTTTTGAAAATATGGTAAGATCTTGAGTCCATAACCTGCTTGTGGGATTGTCTCAACAATGGACCGAGGTTGATCTGGTGGTTGCTCAGATCTACAGCTCTACGCAGTTTCACGATCTACGATCTGCAACCCGACTGTCGACACTTTCTGTTCCAGCATAGCATCTGGCATTCAAGCCTCGGCTTTTGTCCGTGGGCAATGAGCGCCTACCGTCACTCAATGCAGCAACTTGGCTAAGCCTGCACTGCCACAAAAAGCAATGCCTCGCAGTGCTTGCCTCTTTGAGCTGTCCGCTTTGGCTTCTATTGGGTTTCAGTTTGCTTGAGTTTGGTAATACACACCCTTAGCTTTCTTCGTAGACGATCATTGCGCCTCTAGACCTTCTCGAGGACAGCACATATAACAACAAAGGTCTGCTCTCCACCCAATCCATACTTCCCCTCCTGTTCCCGTCACTGGGTTTTCAAAGCACTTTTCTCGCAATCATGCTGTTCTCTGGCTCTATCTTTTTCTTTAGCTTGCTGATGCTGGCATCAGCTGTACCTTTCAAGCACAATGTTATCAACCGCCAGGCCGGCGCCGACTGCAAGCAGATGATGGTCGTCTTCGCCCGCGGAACTACCGAGCCAGCTCCTATTGGTTTAATTGTAGGACCACCGCTGAAGTCTGCCTTGCAGAGCAAACTCGGTGCCGGCAACGTCGACTTCCAGGGCGTCGACTACCCGGCCGATGTTGCAGGATTCCTGGCCGGCGGAGATGCCGGCGGAAGCAAGGCGATGGCGCAGTTGGTCACCCAAGCGGTTGCTGATTGCCCAGACTCCGACGTTGTCATGGCCGGCTACAGGTATGCGCAATGTCCACCTACTGCAGAATTGATGCTAACTACTTAAATAGCCAAGGAGGTCAGCTCGTGCACAACGCCGCTCAACAGCTGGATGCCGATACCGCTGCAAAGGTCTCCTCCGCTGTCATCTTCGGTGATCCCGATAACCCGAAGCCCGTTGCTCAGATTGGAAATCAGAAGGTCATTTGTGCGAATGGGGACTTGATTTGTGCTGGCCAAGCTATTGTCCTGGCCCCACACTTGAGCTATGGTGGCGATGCAGGAGAGGCAGCTGACTTCATTGCGTCAAATGTCAAGGCTGCGGCCGCTGCAAAGCCTTGAGCAGCATTTAGAATTTGCCTACAGCAGTCCATTTGGTACCCCATGTGTACTTCAGAAGCAACATTATTCCGTGCTGTAATTGAATTGGAAATAGGTGGAGCTTGAAAGCTTTGCATTTAAATCTATTGCATGTGATGCAGTGTGGTCGTGTTTATTTAGCCATTTACATCAGCACCGTCGAATGCACTTGTAGGTCCTTTGTCTGATATCTCGTAATAAGTCGGAATATACCATTGTTGGCAAGCTGAAAGTCGCCCGCATGCTGGTTTAAGTGTAGAGTGCGCCAGAATAGAAATTAAAGTCCAGCCCTTCAAGCGCCCTTTACGTGATCGACGTTGGGTTGCTTGATCTGCAAATTTCGAGCGTGCAGTTCAGCTCACATTTGATACTCCATCACTTTCAGACGTCTATTTTTTTTTTTCCAATGCGTAACTTGATTAGTTTGTTGTGTAGAGTAAACTCTAAATATGCTCTCTCTTCATCCTCTGAAAACGATCGAAAATATGCGTAGTAGTCAAGTGTATGAAATTAACTGTTGATCGGTACCCACCTCCGCATCCAACAACAACAGAATGTTGTTCCGCTCATCAGCATCGCCGGCCCGACAAAACGCCTATCCTATGTTCAGACAAACAATTAACTCAGTCGATCCCGTATATTTGATCAAAGCATCACTCAAACTTCAACGGGCAACCGATTCGTTCAAATATAGATACTGCACGTTCCTCTTTCTCGGCGACAAGCTTGTATACAAGCTTATGCACTCAGCATTCACACTATGAACGGACCACACGAGGCTCAACCGTGTCGTACAGTCACAATCCTGATTGGAATAGAAGAGTCAAACACATTTCTGTTTCAAGTCATTCCCGTCGTTCGTTTTCATCTCGCTTACTTGCCGCCTGTCGATCAAAATCCATTATTTTGTATGAGATCAGACCAATCCCGCTGCCGGCCTGACCATTACTGATTCGCTGTATCCCCGCAAAATTACCAAGAACCGTTAAGCATTGCCCAGCAGTCGGGCCATGCCGCCTATCTGTCTGAATCACAGTACAACGGGATTCTCCACCAGTGGGAGGCCCCGCTTGTACCATTCGTTGACATCCCCTGATACTGAGATCAGATACGTATATAAGAGCTGTCCGGCGGTATTTAAACATCTCTCCGATCAAGAATGGCCTGTCGCTCCCTACGCTCGTTTGCAGTACTCAATAGCCAAAATGCGCTCCACACTTTCTCTGCCTCTTCTTGCTCTCGCTCTCCGGGCCAGAGCTGGTGAGTTTGATGCATGGAAGTTCGGTAACATGTTTGCCCTCGGACCCACGAGCGGTGATGCCTACATCACCAAGGCCACCTGGTCCGTCGTTCCTCCGAGCGTTCCCTGTGGCGCCAAGATGGAGAACCCGAACGATCCTCCATTCATGTCCATCTGGATCGGTGTTACCCAAACGTTTACGGAACCGGGCATGGATCTCTTCCAGCCACTTCTGAACTGGTCTCCCGACCAGGAGTCTCAGTACGCCGCACTGTAAAATCAAAATACATAGGCTGACGGTATACTGTCACAGGGTTTGTGCGGGATCAGAGACCGAATGGTGCGTCGCGGCAAGCACCTTCACTCCGAGTACGTTCCACAACATACTTAAATTTTGTTGCAACTTTACTTATTTAGTATACAGACGGCCAAGTGCAACAGGCGTATGAAGTCGTGCCTGATCAGGCTCAGCTGGACTTTGAAAGTAAAAACCCATTCCATTCATAGTTTTCAACTGTACAAGTTGCTGACAAAATTGCAGTTGACGTTGATGATTCCCACACGGTTTCACAGAAAGTTTTCACCAATGGAAAGCTGGTCTCTCAACAGTCTGACAGTATGTATCTCCATATTTAAATGTTTTTCACAACATTCTGACTGGTTGCAGGGGACGCAAACGGCAAGCCTCCTGTCATCCTATACTCTGCCAACGAGTGTTACCTGGGTACCTGTGGAACCCTGGACGGCTACAGTAAGAAACACTGCAATTGGGATTTATGGAATTTTGCTAATTACCTTTTCACTCAAGCATGGGACAACGTGACCATTGTTTTGAGTACAGCCGACAAGAGCTTTGGTGACACCTTGTCCCTTACGGGCGCCAGTGGCAGCTTCACCTCGGATGATGGCAAGACCTGGCACACTGACTCTATCAAGATCGACAAGGACTATTTCTATGCTGACGGCTCCAAGACGGAGTGTTCGGCGTAAGAATATCATCAAAACTGATAGGCACGCCGACTACTTTAAGTAAAATCCATAGCTTACTTGAACACAAATAGTCTATCCAAGTACAGCAATAGAGCTTCATGATAAGACTGACGTTCTTAAAACCCTTTAGTCCTCCTTGTAAGTACTTCAGAGATAAAGTGGTTCGTGGGGGCCAGAACGCCATTGGACAAATGACGTGGCAATCTATTATTAGAGCACTTAAGCGCCTAGGTCACGGATGCAAGTCAGCTTGATCCCGTGGACTTTCGGCCATTATATATCTCGTCTATACACACCGCACTCCATGGCTTCGAGAAAGAGAATGCTAGAGTCTTTACAGGTCAAGGAACGAGAGAACGCAGATGAGGATGGGGAACTCTGCGGTAAGTGTAGGAATATTAATTTGGAGACAGCTTTTGGCGAGTATGCTCGTACTTTGGAAGGGATCCACGTAGGAGACATCGGAGAAATCGGCCCTAAGACACGCGACTCGAGCTGCATACTCTGCTCTCTAGTTGCAGAGATTTTATTTTCCAAGCCACGCCGGAATCTTCCTTCTTCCAATGCGCAAGTCTACTTGCAGGCTGTATCCGCAGCCCGGTCGGTCAGTGGTTTTGATGCGAATCCTCGGCAGAGCAAATTCCAACAACTCAGGCGAAATTCTGTCTTACAGATCTGCTGGAGAGAAAAAGGTGCACCTCTGGATTCCCGGGAATGGATAGACACAGGAGAAAATTCCAAAGCCATATACGACGAGTATCTCGCTCCTTCAGAGCCATACGTCGGACAAGGAAAGCCATCCATTGTGTGTCGACGCTTGGACCCGTACAACATCGATTTCAATATCCTACGCCGATGGTTGAGCTACTGCTCCTCCTCTCATCGGACATGGTGCAAAGCAGGCAAACGCCGACCGTTCAGTACCTTCCGAGTCATTGACTGCAGCAGTAGACGGATTGTCCAGGCGCCAGAAGATTGTTCGTACTGCGCTCTGAGCTACGTCTGGGGTACGGCAGAACGAACAGAAGAGTCAGAGCCACCGAAACCTGGAGACCTCCCGAAAACCCTTCCAAGAGTCATTCGAGATGCATTGGTAGTCACTGAGAAGCTGAATTACCAGTATCTGTGGGTGGACAAATATTGCATAAACCAAGAGGACCTTGAAGACAAGATTTTTCAGATCAGCAACATGGACCTCGTCTACAACAACGCGCAGGTGACAATCATAGCATCTGCTGGAGAAGATTCAAGTTACGGTCTTCCTGGAGTAGGAGACAGACCTCGAACTCGTCAACCTTCGGCTCCCATCAATGGGCACTGGATCGTCTCATCCCTGCCGGAGCCGCAGACACAAATCCGGAAGGCCCGATGGTCGACTCGAGGCTGGACTTACCAAGAGGCAGCATTGTCTCCGCGCCGCCTGTTCTTCACCGAGCAGCAAGCATATTTTGAGTGCGACTCAATGTATTGCATGGAGGCGATTGACCTGCCACTGGAAAGCTACCATACGAAGGACGGCGACTACTTCCGCACCGAGGCCAATTGGGGTGACATATCCATGTTCAACCTTCGCTACTCCCAATTCATTGACCGCAACATCATCGAGTACTCGTCACGGTCCCTGTCTTACCAGTCGGACGCGCTGAATGGCATTCTCGGTACGTTGAAGTTCCACGAGAGGCAACGAAAGACGAATGCGCCGTCGCATCTCTGGGGGGTTCCGCTGCAGGTGCACTGGCCTGCCGGCGCCTCGTTCGAGCATCCGCAATTCCAAGGCGATGCCTTCCTGCCCGAGGATAATTCCCGCACAGCCTCCATGGACTTCATGCGGGGGCTATGTTGGTACATGGAACAACCTGGTGCACGGAGAACAGAGTTCCCCAGCTGGTCGTGGACAGGTTGGGAAGGCAAGTTATCTAATCAGAGCTGGAGTCGATCACGTTCTCACTGGGTTGACGATGACCTGAGGATCCGGGCTGGCATTGAAATTGCACCATCCGAGAAAGTAAGGCACCAGGGATCAGTGGAAGTCAGGGTAGACAATGATCAGAGTCTGCCATCAGGCGTAGTAGGAGTGGATCAGCTTCGTCGGGAGTCGGTTACCACAACAAGTACTCGTGTGGAAGTGTCGCCGTATCTCAGAGTCACTGCAAGCTTCGTTCAGCTTCAGATTATCCATGCCGATTATCCCGGAGCATTTCGAGGCCGGTTCCAATCACCACGAGAGCAAAAAGCCAAGTACTTTGCCGTTCTGAACGCCCCAAATGGCGTCTCGTACTATTCTCCCTTCTTCCTCTGCGGCCGGAAAACCAGTGAAGAGGAAAGAGACTTTGGCCGACGCGTCTCCACTCAAAGCACCTGGAGAGGCATGATTGCTGCATACACCCCTGAGGTCCACCTTAGACCACTGTCGGACCCTGATTCGTCTAGTCGAGTGGTTTCCAATATTCCGGCTGCATTCGTAATCGTATCAGAAGAACGCGACGGATTCTCACAGCGAATCGGCGACGTGGACCTTTGCTGGCTATATACCCCCCGTCCATTGTCATCGGAACCGGCGGAACATGTTGAAAGAGCTGTCTCTGGACTGGCGAAGACTTTTGAAAGTATACGGATTGGGTAGAACTCACATGTGCGCATTGGAGGGAATGTCAACACAGTAGGGATGAGTGATTGGTAGAAAGCAATGTCTCCTTGGTTCTGAGAAGTAGCCAAAAAGAGGCTCAACGTTCGAGTGGCTTGACGGCACATTGCCGAACACGAGTGATGTGCGGAGTATGTGCTGGAAATCAACGCCACGTATAACGCTACATGCCCAATACGGTCTAGGTCCTTGCAAAACAATCGACCGAGGCGAGATTCCCGCACGGGACGAAGCGCCAAGCGAGGTGGGTAATCCGGAGTTGACCTAAAAATTTCATGCGTTGGCCATCCGCTCAGGTCGAGACGGGCCATCCCGCATGTCCGTCAGGCACAGTCAGGTACTACCTTGCTCTATTTGGGAACAAGAGCCGGTGTCAACGGTTCTGGGATGCTCGCGTTGCCACATTGCGGGCAAAGCTGTTTGCAGCTAGCGGCCACTACATTCCAGGGTTCACAGCCAAGCATTGGGGTCCAAGCATGGCGTGACCATCCCCCGCAGTGGCTTCGATCCAGCGTTGCCTCTCACCTCAAGGTTTGGGCTCACCCTGAGGCTCAAATCAGCAGGAAATCTCCGGAAGCTTGGCCTACTATGCCGCCTGGCATGAAAACACACACGGCTATTTTTAAACTATCGTTCGGTCCCTGGGCGGCTGCTGGTTTCACTAGCTGCCCGATCCACTCTAGCCGGTTTTGATGCGCGCACAGGCTCCGTATATGCGCGCGGAATATCGTGAAACTCAACCAGGAGAAATGCCTGCTAGCGCCGGCGATTCGACATCGGTTATACGAATGTAACCGTCGAGAAACAATATTTAATAGGGGACTACACCGATGAAGAACATGATCCTCATCGCCGTCATTCGTTAGCGTAAAACCTTTGTAATTCTCAACACTCGCTGCAGACAATATGCACTCGTCGACTACATTCGCCACCGCTGCCTTTGCGGCCATTGGAGCTGCTGCCGCCGCTACTGTCCCGGACCTCACCGATTTCAGTGGTGATGTCGGCACTTTTGACGTCACTGCTACCAGCGGCCCGGCCGACGGCATCAGCTGGGCCAATTTCACCATTGAAAACGCCAAGCTCGGTGCCAGCGCCAACTGCAACTGGCAGTACAACTTTAACGGACCGAACCCGAACATCACGCTCGGAACCAAGACAAAAGTTGTCTTGTTCGTGACTGAGTGCGACACGCCTGATTTTGCCGTGTACTGGGGCAACTCGAGCGAGTGTGAGTACCTTTCTTTCCTCTGATCTTTTTCCTTGAAGCTCACGCTCTACCAGCTATCAAGATCGACTACAACACGACTCTGACCGGCCGCCCTGTCACCATCGATGCCTCTGGAGGCCTGCTGCTCAACGCGCAGGAAAGCGTCTCCGCCGCTGTCGATATCGACGAAGTTGATCTCCTCGACAACACTGGCTCTGACGAGGAGCCGAGCCAGTACGGCTACTGGGACATCACGTACCGGAACTTCACCAGCAGTGTGCAGGAGGGCTACAAGTCCGAGGACTTCACGTTCCAGTACAGCGGTGGCGGCTACACCAGCTGCTTCAAGACGACGACCGAGGCGGGTGCTTCGCCGAACAGGTTCTGCACTGGCGACCTGAACGCCCAGTTTGACACCGCCGTGGTGCCTGAGAGATGTAAGAAGACCAGCTTGAACCCACGTCCGTGATTCGTCAGTTTTGCTAATTTCTTTGACAGCTGTCTCTGTCAATTCGACCGTTGAGCTTGATGGTACCAACACTACCCTCATTGGTACTGCACCCATCAGGGGCGTTTGCTATATCCAGCCGGGTGGACTTGTGTGCGAGGATCGGCTCCGCGTGCAGGTTTCTCAGGCTACCGCTTGAGAACTCTACTGAGCCTGTTGTTGAAGTTCACTCTCTAAAAGGAAATTCTTACTTCTCTATGCTAAGAAAAACAGTAATGAAAGGAGAGTTGGAGTTGCTGGGGGGAAAAGCGCCCATTACTAGGCTTAAAATATTTCGTAATGCTGTTCCGTCTTTACGACCGGAACAATGCGACTAATGTTCAATGTTATTCAAACACAACCAAATGATCTTTGTCAATGCACATGTGACCGGCTACCGATTCATCGTGAAGCAACTAGTGGAATGGCTCTTTACCTTCATGTTGTCACCTGGGACAAACAAACATTTTATTCTGTTGCTTCCGAATGTTCTCCCACGTAGCCATTTTTGTTCTTTATTTCCATTCCTGGACGAAGAAGCAAGTCAATCCATCCTGTTATCAGTGGTGTCGTTCGCGTGATTGGCTTTTGAGTAGTACATGCCCTCGGCGTTAAGCATCAGTAAGTGCTCGGATATAACAACCGCGAGCCAACTGCGCAATATAGCCCCGACCAAACAAGGTTCGGCATTTTCTGTCCCTTGCATATCTCGTTTTTCTCTAACTCTTGAGGCTCGGTAGTACAAGTGTGTTACTTGGCACACCCTGCTTAGGAAGTCCATCAACGCTTGGCATGATTATCTGAATCATGCTAAAGACAAAGCTATGGTGGTTCAGGAGTATAAAGCGTCCACACACCTTAGAGTAAATTGAACCTTATCCCCAATCCCCTCGTGTTCCCGAAGAATGAGAAGCAAAATGTTCCGAACTCCCTTGCTTCTTACGGCAGCTATCGGTTTCTGTTGCGCGGAGACCCTCCTCGCCACCCGCGAAAGCTCTCTCACCCAGGTCCATCAATTTGCCAACGGAACCTCGGTCGAAAACCTCGCTGTTCGGACCAATGGCAATATCCTCATCACCCTTTTGTACGAAGCGGAAATCCACGAAGTCAACCCGACACAGCCAGGCTCTGGCAATACAACCAAGCTCGTCCACTCCTTCGATGGCAGCACTCGCGTCAACGGCATTTCGGAACTGTCTCCAGACGTCTTTGCGATCAGCGCCAACCATGACACCATCTGGACCATGGACCTCAACGGTGGCGGAGATGCCCAGGTGTCAAAGGTGGTGACGATACCCGATGCAAGCTTCCTCAACGGCGTCGCGACACTTGACGGTGCTGCGGGTACCATCCTCGTGGCTGATTCGACTGCCGGCGTGATCTGGCTTGTCGACACTACAACAGGCGAGTTCAGCGCTGCTCTTCAGGATACGACCATTGCTCCCCCGACCAACTCCTCCTCCGGCGGTCTCTCGCTCGGTGCGAACGGGGTGAAGTATCGCGACGGGTACGTGTATTACACGAACACGGGAAAGAAACTCTTCTGTCGAGTGGAGATAGATCCCACTACAGGAATGGCGACAGGTCCATATGAAACGCTCGTTGGGGGGTATGCGGGTGATGACTTTGCGCTTATCGACGACGCAGCTTTTGTGGCGAGCGGAGGCAGTAACGCGATTGAAAAGATCTTCTTCAATGGTACCCAGGAACTCGTTGCTGGTGGATCGGGCTCCACTGATGTTGTGGGAGCTACTTCTGCAATGTTTGGGGCGACAGAAAATGATGCTGATGTTTTGTACGTAACGACTTCGGGTGGAGGCGTTGGTGGCGGCAAGGTCGTGGCCATCAGAATTTCGTAGTCTTGAGTCTCGTTGGGTATGACTGGCGCGAGGCCGTACAGGAGGCACAGCACACACCAGGGATGAACAGCTTTGACGCAACTCAATTGTACGCCTGCATCTCCGCATTTGCATCTTTCAGCACTCCTTCCTGTATAGCATGGCTCTAGCTTATTAGGGGAATCGACGTCCAAAACTACCGGTGTCTCCAGCCTCCAGCAAGCCACCTCCACAGCTCGCGCCGCCCTACCCGAGCGCGGGGTTTCTCAACAAGGATTATCCGGCAGGATCCCGCAGCACGCCAGTCCACGAGCTGCGGGGTAGGACATGGCTATTAGCAATACGGGACGGAAAAGCAGGCGGCGTCGAGCGCCGGAATAGACGGTCTGCAAGTCGGAATGCCGACGTTCACTGCCGATGACGATCCGAGTCCGATGTCGCAACTTTGGGAAAGATTTCCGGATAACATTCTTCCGGTCCCAGACAATGAAAAGACTGTCGACACATGGAGATGAGACCTGGAGTGCGGTCCGCCCCATCCTTTCCGTATCTTGCCTGAGGCAACCCGCCGCGGGACCCAGCTACGAAGCTTGTGTTTAGAGCTTATTCCGACAACGACCAATCAATATGTCCTCTGCCGTAGACGGCTCTGGCAAGGAGAGCAGTGCAGCCGCTATTGAAACGCCTGCGGAAGTTGAGCCCCAAATTCCTTCGCCTCCTGCCGACCCGCCAGACGGGGGCTTACTGGCATGGCTGCAAGTGGCTGGATGTTTTGCCCTCTACTTCAACCACTTGTAAGTGAGATTAGCTTCATGACGTCAGGTGAATCACTAATGATTGCAGGGGGTTGCTTAATAGTTTCGGCGTCTTCCAAACATATTATGAGAATCATCTCCAGGGTTCGTCGCCTTCTGCAATTTCCTGGATCGGATCGGTTCAAGTATTCTGCCTCATGTCTATCAGTGTTTTTGTCGGGCCACTGTATGATGCAGGGCATTGCAAAGCACTGCTTATCGCGGGTACTTTTCTCGTGACCTTCGGGTTCATGATGACGAGTGTTTGCAAGACTTACTGGCAAATACTCCTCGCCCAGGGCATCTGCATGGGTCTCGGTACATGCTGTCTGCAAATACCATCCATTGCAGTTGTTCCGAAATACTTCGTGAAGCGAAGGGCCCGGGCAATGGCCTTGGCCACTGTTGGTAGCAGCCTCGGCGCAACCATTTATCCTCTTATGTTCCAGAACCTCCAACCACGGATCGGCTTTGGATGGACTGTACGCATCATGGGATTTATTTGTTTTGCTATGTGCTCTTTCGCTATATTCGTCATCCGACCGCGTCAAGCAGCCCGAATCTCCCCGAAAAAGACCTTCTCCCCCGGACGGTTCATCGATCGGACTGCACTCAAGGAACGCACTTATATCATATACACGATTGCGATCTTCTTCAGCAATGTCGCATATTTCGAGCCCATCTTCTACCTGCAGAGCTACGCTTTGGAACACGGTATGCGAACGAACAACCTCGCCAACTACCTGCTTTCGATTTTAAATGCCTCTTCGATCCCGGGCCGCATTGTTCCCTCGTTTGTGGCCGACAAGATTGGTTCCTTAAGATGTTACATTATGATTTCAGCTCTCAGTGGCGCCAGTATACTCTACTGGATCAGTGTGACTAATACTGCTGGGAATGTTGCATTTTCTGTTCTCTACGGGTTCTTCTCAGGTGGTGTTGTCTCGCTTGCCCCAGTGGTTCTAACACAAATCACCTCGGATTTGAACCTTCTTGGTACACGGCTTGGTATGGTTTCCGTATTGAAGGGAATTGGTTCTCTTATTGGCCCACCTATCTCTGGTGCACTTCTTAAATCCACCGGGAACTATTTGGGTCTGCAACTTTTCGCTGGATTATCTCTGATGGTCACGGCTCTATTTTCGTTGCTGTTAGATTTCACTATTCATAAGTAGAGAGTAACATACGATAGCCAAAGAGAAGTGGGAGGTAATAAGCATATATACGTAACACTCAAAACTCGGACCCATCAACGTGGTCTTCAAACTCACCCATGTTGCCCCTTGCTCACATCGTCTGCTCTCCTATGCTCCTTCAATCAGTCTTCATTCACACCACTGTTAGCTAATTTGAACGGAGCAGCATCGTATGTTTTACATATCCGAGGCCATCCCGAGAAATTCGGCATCGAACATCGAGATGGTGCTGTTTGTTTGGCCTCGAAACAATATGCAAGGAACGGTTTCTCGGCAGGAATCAAACTGAACAGACTAATCCAATTCTAGATTGGACCTACTTGTTAAAGCATCAAGATTCGTCAGTTGTCGTCGTCACCCCCCGTTTGAGGAAAGGGATATGCATATCGGTGGTCGGCTCCGAGTTGGGTTCGGACATAAGGTTAATAAGTATACAGTTAGTCAGTAGCTACTTGTCTGTCATATAAGTATAGTTAGGAACCACCTATCTATCTATCCCACAGTCATTCGTTCACAGCCTTTCGTACCTACACAAAAGGATGAAAGGAACATTCGTTACAACCATAAGTGTGGGCCTGGCACATGGTGTGCAGGCCGCCCTCTACGATCAAGTCATCGAAACCAAATACGGCCCAGTCCAAGGCATCCCGGCCTTTTCCAGCCAGCCGATCACCAATATTTCCAACTGGGCGGATATCACGGTCTGGAAAGGCATCCCCTTCGCCGCTGACACGTCGGGTGCCAACCGTTGGCGTCCGCCGCAGAAGCATGCGGCATGGAACAACACTCTGCAAACCAACGCATTCGGAGATGTCTGTCCGCAAGGAACCTCCTTTGGCGGTCCCACCAAGCGTCAGACGACGTCAGACACCACTACAACCACCAGCGAGAACTGTCTCAACCTGAACATCTGGACCTCAGCCAATTCCACTGACGAGAAACGTCCTGTGATGCTTTGGTCTTACCCAGCAGGAGGCTCAGCCGCCGCATCAATGTTCGACGGCGGCGGCATGGCAGCCAAGGGCATCGTCTTCGTGAACTACAACCGCCGAGACGGGCCCATGGGCTGGCTCGCGCACCCGCAGCTCAACGAAGAAATGTCGCGGGAAGTGGGCCGCAACGTCTCCGGGAACTGGGGCATGCTGGACGAGTTCGCAGCGCTTCAGTGGGTCTACGACAATATCGCGTCCTTTGGCGGCGATCCCGAGCGCATCACCGTCGCGGGACAATCGGCCGGGTCTGCGGCAACTTACCACATGGTAAACAGCCCGCTAACCGCGGGCCTCATCAAGGGCGCCATCGTCGAGAGCGGCATCCGCTACCCGCGCGACCCGCTCTGCTCGTCGCTCGCAGAGAACTACCGGAACATGTCGACGGCGCTGGCTGCCGGCGTCAGCTTCATGGAAAGCTTCAACGCCACTTCCGTCGACCAGCTGCGCCAGCTCCCGCTCGACACGCTCAACAGCGCGTCCGGCAGCTGGGGCGCCGTGCTGGACTATTGGGCCATCCCGGACACGTACTGGAACACGATGCACAACGGGCCTGCCAACGACGTCCCGCTCATCACGGGCAACACCAAGGACGAGAGCGGCGCCGAGCTGCCCATCAACATTACCGTCGCCGAGTACGTTGCTGACCTTCAAGAGCAGTATGGCGACGACGAGCTGGCGCAGCGCTTCCTCGCGCTCTACCCGGCCGCGAACGCTACGCAGGCCGGCATGTCGTTCAACGCGCACTACCGCGACACCTCGCTCGTGTCCTCCTGGCTGTACGCCAACGGCTGGGACGCGAGCCCCACCACCAAGAGCCCTATCTGGACTTACTACTGGGACCACGCCCCGCCCGGCCAGGACCGCGGCGCTTTCCACATGTCCGAGATCCCCTACGCGCTCGACAACTTGTACGGCACCGACTTCCCCTGGGAGGACGAGGACTTCGAGATTGCGCGGAAGATGTCGGCGTACTGGGTCAACTTTGTCAAGACGCAGGATCCTAACGGTCATGGGGGTGCGGGAGAGGATGGGTTGGTGAGGTGGGAGGCGAATTCGCGGGGGAAGAATGTGACTATGCGCTTGGGCGATGGATGGGGGGAATGGCCCTTGGCTAGCCCGGCGCAGATTGAACTGTTGGAGGAGTTCTTTGCAACCCAGCATGCCTATTAGGGGAATGTTTTGATTGCCTGCATTTGATCTACGACAAGGGTCTCGAATAGGGCAGCGATGCGGTTTGTTGTTGAAATGGTTGTAAATATTCTGGTCCATTCATGTAGAATATAGCACTTCGCGCTCTCAGATTACCCGGCTCTCGCTTAGCCCTTTTTCAACAATAATACTCAAGAAATATCACATAAAAATGTTGATGCGCATCCGGAGCGCTGCGCTGTAGGTGCAGAGAGACCTACCCGGCGATCACCACGTTGCAAAAAGGGTCAGTAGCGTTGCGGGAAAGAATGAGCCGCGTTAGCTCGAATTCTGCGTATGTACACGAAGACCAATCAACATCCCTCTGCCTATCAATACGGAAGTTCTCGGAGGGCACTGATGCACCAGTGCAACGGTCAAGCCTCCGCATGAAAATGAGAGAATGCTCCGAAAAGCAGCCAACATCCACCTCACCACATACAGCGGAAGACCAGAAACCAACCGTCCTCGACCGCCTTCGCTTACTGCACGGTGATCGTGGCCGATCCGCTGCTCTGGTAGCCCTCGGTAGCGACGATCTGGTAGTCGAAAGTGCCCAGGTTAAGGCCAACGGCGGCCCAGGCATCGAAGTGGTTCTTGGTCGTCACGGTGCCGCCGACGCGCTTGGACTGGCGCACGGACCAGTACTGCTGGAAGGTCTGGGTGCCGTCGATGCTGGGCGCGTTGGTGCGGGTGCTGACGTAGATGTCGTAGGTGCCGCCGTCCGACGTGACCGTGCCCTTCTTGGTGCCGCCGGACCCCGGGTTGTACGTGCCGTACGACTCGACGATGTAGTACTCCACCAGCGGGTTGCGCGACCAGCCGTACACGGCGAGGTACGAGTTGCCGTTGGGGTTGTAGGTGCCCGAGTAGTTGATCGTCCTGCGTTTGATTGCGTCAGAATTTCGTTTTTTGAGAAATTGATTTGTTTTGGGGGGGTTTTTTTTTTCTTACCTAGCGCTGCCCGTCTGCCATCCCTTGCCGCCAACCCAGTTGCCGGCGTTGCCGGACCACGTCACGCTGTACGAACCGCCAGCGCCGTTGGTGTAAGTCACCTGGCCAGCACCGTCGGTCCAGAAGGAATAAAAGTAGCCGTTGTGCGTGCCGGTGCCGCTTGGCGTGTTCTGCCTCGCGATCAGCTCGCCCGCCTCAGGGGTCGGGGCGGAGAAGACGCTGGCAGCGGCGGTGAGGGTGAGAAGAATCGACTTGAAGGAGACCATGATGATTGCGATTGTTTGACTTGAGTTTTGGTGGTTATTGTTTTCCGGAGCTGGATTCCCATTCCCTTATATATCCAGACATATTCGCCATCACGACAGTGGAAGGTGATGTTTCGCCGGTCAGGTGTGTTTCAAACAGCCAAGAAACTTCCAAGTACACGCCTACCGTTTTCTGACACAGGGAGAGTGACACGTTGATTCTACCGTCGGCTAAATGAAGCTTGGCGCCCTTAAATAAGAAATATTGCTGTAGCCTCCTCATGCAGTTGCTGGGGCCCAGACCTGTTTAAGCGACTTGGCTGCCCGCCGTCGCCAGATGTGGTGTTTGTTTTAGCTGCACAGTGTTCTCATACATGCACTTAATTTTCTCCACTCGGGCCGTCCTTCCCACCCGTACCCCGTATAGCCTTATGCCCCGCAATCGGTCTGCAGGAACACTGACGTGCATCTTAGCCTAAAGGCAATCCCCAGCGCGCACCTAATAAATATATAGAAAGATGTCATAGGATCGTAAGCCAACAATTTGTCTGAACACAACTTCAAACAGCCTGTCGTACAGTCAACCCATCGGCTAAAGCTATATTGTTGCGGGGTCGTACGAGCTTCGAACTCTGGCTCAATGGGTATTGCAATGCAAAGAGGCTTTGTAGTAGAGGATGAATAGAGTATTATGGCAACAACAACAACAAGGCTAATTACACATTGATCCATCTTCCCATCCACCGCTGGTTCAGCTCCTTAGCCTCCTCAATCAAACCGAGCTCGAGCAGCAGCTGGACAGACCCTCGCACTGACGAGTACAACGATGAACTAATCCATGCATGAGTCGGCGCTGTGTGCTCGCCAATGAAAATCGTGTTGTGCTCAGTCTGATGATACGCCGGGATGTACAGCTTGTGCTGCTCAACGTCCGGCCTGCACCATGCCGTTGCTGTGTGCTCATCCTGCAACCAACACAGTCTCTCATAGTCTCCCGTGTACAGTTCTCTTGCTTGCTCTCCATGAAGATCCACGACCGCGTCCAAAACCGTCTGCACGTGCTCCTCGTCCGAGAAACTGGTGAATCGGTCACTCCAATCTCCACCACGATAGTGCATAATCAACCCAGGCCGGGTTTCATTGATCCCATACACAGGGTAGTACAATGCTCCGACAGAAGCGCTGGGCGGGGTTGAATAGCCGCCGAAAATAGGACGTTCTCCCTTCTCCCAGAAACGCTCCGAGAAGAGCAGGGCAACCTTGCAAGCTGACTTGAACCGAAGGCCGGCTTCACTGATGGCTCGGCCAAGAACAGAAGAGAATTTTGGCAGGTCCATGAAGCGGGTCATGGTAAATGGAACAGCCATGATCGTGTAGTCGTAGTCCTTGGATTCGAAAGTCCTATTGGTGACACTCGGGTACCACGAGAGACGCGTGCGAGTCCGGCCATCGGAGCCTTGCACTGTCTCAAGCTTCCTGACCTTCCGGTTCAAAGTGAGCCTGTCGCGAACGTGCGGCAAGAAGGCATCGGAGAGCCGGCTGAATCCGCCGTCAATGCACTTCCACTCAGTTTCTCCCAGAGCGCTCTCGCCTCCATCCTGAGCCAGATTGGAGTTGTGATGCAGCTCGTCCCAGAAAACGTCGTAGTCGGTTGCTGTCCAGATGGCATCCGTGACGTTTTCGCTGGCTTTGAAGACGTTCCGCATCATGGACTGCTCGCTCCAATCGTCCAGTCCATCTTCCATGGCTTGCTTGTGAGCACGCCAGACGTTCCGCTGAATAGACTTGAGCGTCTCCTTCCGCTTGAGGATGGCGTCCATTTGCTGCTTCGTGCTTTTGTACTCTTCGGATGTCAACGGCGCTGGCTTACCGAGACTGGAGTTGGCAGCGATCTCCGCACGAGTCGGGATGCTTCCATCCGGATGTCTTCCAGTGCCCAGCGCGAGCAGCTCATTCGGATGATGCTGGATCCAGGGAATAAAGTCGATCTTCCACTCCGAGTTGTTCCCGTTCATGTTGTTGAGTATGTCGGCCAGCTGCCACACCATGCGATGGTCGGTGTATTCGAGTGTTTCGCCGTCTTTGTACGTGATACTGTAAGGCAGTCTCATGGGCCCCATTTCGGCCCATTCGTCGGTCCCGCCCACATAGCGAGTCCTGAATCGGCCCCCGACACGGTCGCTGGCCTCGATGATCTCCCAGTTGTGAAGACCGACGCTCTCAAGCATGAGCGCCGTGGCCAGGCCGGAGATGCCTCCGCCGACAATCGCAATGGAAGTGTCTTTTCCTGGTGTAGAGGACGTGCCGTTTATCTGGTTTCCATGAGAAGGGATCGCTGCAACACCTTCATACCAAGTTCCGAGGGCGTCGAAGTCCTGCAGCAGGGGCGTCCCGGTGTTGACTTGCACGGGCTTCGCGAAGGCTGTCAAAGAACAAGCAGCCACAAGCACGATAGAAGCCATGACGTGTGTGCCCGGCGCGGAAGCCATTTTCCCTGAAAGGTCTCGAGAGGGCTTAGGAATTTGTTGCTGGTGTGGTCACTGTACTTGATTCTCATACTTATGTCTACGAAAATTTATACCTTGATGAGCCTCACCGTAGGATGTAGAAAGGGACTATGATGTCCGGCTGTTGATCTCTCCATTTGGGAGCCCATCAGGCCCTCTATTGGATGGATTTCTTGCATCTCGCCGAGCATAGCACTTAGATGGCTAGGCGGGATTTCCACAAAATATTCCGTTAGGGAAGGTGTATATGCGATACCCCACCAGCAATCTGGAGCCACCGGAGTTCTTAAAATTTGCTCTCCCCACATCTTGAAAGAGTGGTGTTAGAGTTTTACGTAGCGCGGTGAGCTTTCACTTACCTTGATGTCCTGGCGTTCATTATCCGGTAATGATCGTCGCCAGACAGAGGAAACTGCCTCACTGTTTGGATTTAACATCAACATACCCAGGCTCAGGATACTTTGTCTTGCAAGAGCATACCCTTATTCAGAGTGCATGCGTGACTCGCAGTGATTTCTTCTGCCGGTCCAATCCTTGATTGCGCGTAATCGTCTGTGCGTTGCTCTCTGTTGCTATACATACATCCGCTCAGTATCTACCCGGAAGATACATCGCAGTGTATAACTGTGCATGGGTTCTTCGATGAGAAAAGCTTAGAAGAACCAGTGAATGGGCATATTCGTACAAAGATAGCTTGATTAGCGTCTTGGATGTACATATATGGCCGTCAAGTCCCGCAAGCCACGAGGAGCTATGAACAGAGCATTTGACCCTACTGGGCAAATAAGCGGAATTACCGACTACTCTCATCAAAGACAGCCCTTGCATCTTATTTGAGGCCTTCCTGTATCCTGGTGACTTAAAAGTTGTTCAGATACAACGCATTCATGTACTCAATACTTGCCTTAACAAGATTGGCTGGATGAAGGAAGTCCGTAGAGCGGCAAGTGTCACGGTGAATTGTTTGCTGTAGGAATATCGCACACTCAATGGCTTCGGTTGAGTATTGGGGGCTCACAAGAGTTTGTGCCAAGTTACATTTCCACCAGTCGCGAGTTACACATGAACTGTGGATTCTGTAGTATGGAAGCGCTTAGAAATTCCACCAAAACCCCGCTCATTCACCAGACATCTCTCCAGCTGTCCCAGCCTACTCTTCCAGCCAGCACAGATTGTTCAAGTTCTTCTGAGTTCAAGAGCTTTCCTCACCCTCCAAACCACCCTTCCCCAACCGAGAAGCACACACAGAACTGGTACCACGAATATCCCGGCTCCCGTACATTGTCGTAGCGATGGAGGGAATTGAGAAGAAGAAACGCAAAGGGAAGACCAAGAGCAGGCTTCATCGATCTCTATGTGAATGGCTGCGAGATAAACGAGGGGAAACCCCTACTTCAGCCAGGCCCGAAAATTCTGTCCAGGCAGCCACAGGCTCGTCCTGCGATGCCTTGTCAACTATGATGCCGAACGGAAATGGAAATGAGTTGGCGAATACCACATCAGCTCCTACCACGGCAAGCTATGGTGCTCAACAGCTTCAGTCGACAGGCCTGCAGGGTGTTATTGAGCCCACTCTAGTTTCAAACAGGATATCTTTGTGGGATCGCGCATATGATGCCCTCGCAGCTGAAGATCCGAATCTCGTTGAGGAGTATAATGCCGTGCTCTGTCTTCCCTCAGGTAAGAACTATGTACCCACTGCATGATGGAGGGATTGACAATTTTGAACCATTTCAGGTTCACATTCTTCCAAAGCCTCGCGACGGGATGCCCTCACATCAGCAATCCAAGACGGTATGCAGATGATTGACGACAAAAAGATCAAATACCGATTCCGAGGCGAGACTTTCGTTCTGGAAGATCAGGTCACCACGGCGATAGACATAGTACTTGCGGCGAAGAACGTCGTTTCCGCTGCTGTCAGTTCATCAGCGGAAGCGTCGCTTGCATGGGCCGGTGTCTGCCTCATCCTACCTCTCCTTACGAACCCCAGCACAGCGAAGGAGGCGAATGAAATCGGACTCGCCTACGTCACTGGCCGCATCAGGTACTATACTGCACTCGAACCGAAATTATTCCCTAGGTCAATATCCGACAGCCAGATGGTGACTGGCACCCCCCTTTACGAACTGGAGGTGCAAGTGATCGCGTTGTATCAAAATGTGCTACGCTTCCAAATCAAAAGTGTGCTGCGGTTTCATCGGAATGGCTTGAAAAACTGGTCGCGAGACGTCATCCAGTACGATGACTGGAAAGGCATGTTGGATCAGGTTAAGGATTCAGAAAACACAGTGTACAGGGGACTAACCGCAATTTCTACACTCGCACAATCCGAGGAGCTGGTCCAGCTGAACGAAGTGACCAAGAAAGTGGAGGGTCGCATCCTGCAGTTGCTTTCTGTTCAAAAAGAAAACATCAAGGTCGCAGAGGAAAATCGCAAAATCAATGCGGAAATCCTCAGGCGCCAAATCGAGGCGGACAAAGCTCGTCTCTCGAAGGACGAGCTTAATCGTCTGCAACTGTTCCATATTACCGACTACCAGCGATATAAGGATCGAGTCGAGGACCGCTTAGAAGGGACCTGCGAATGGTTCTTAGGTCATGAGAACTACGAAGAGTGGCTAAAGCACGACTCCAATCTGTTACTAGTATCAGCTGATCCAGGGTGCGGCAAATCAGTACTGTCGAAATTCCTCATTGACCACCAGTTACCGAGATCTGCCACTATTTGTTATTTTTTCTTCAAGGATCAAGACCAGAACACATTCAAACAAGCTCTCTGCTCGCTCATTCATCAGCTCTTGTGCAACAGCCCAGCACAGCTCCGTACTTTGGATAGAGTCACCAGCAATACCATCGAGATGCCGTCTGATCTCGAGAGTATATTCAAACAACTTCTGATTGAAAAAACGGAATACAAAGAGATGTTCTTTGTCCTCGATGCCTTGGATGAATGTTCTGAGGATGGCGTCGAAGAGCTAGTCGATCTTCTAAAAGCACATCGCTTGCATCAAATCAACAATGTCAAATTCCTGTTGACTGCCCGGCCTTACTATTGCATCACATCCAAATTTCGGGAGCTACAGGAAGAATTCCCGAAAATCAGAATTCCCGGCGAACATGAAGATCAGTCTCAAAAGATTAGCAAGGAGATCAACCTTGTCATCAACTATCGTGTCGCCAAGTTAGACTTGAAGAACCCCTTCAAAGACTACCTGAAACAACGGCTTCTGGAGATCCAACATCGAACGTACCTTTGGGTTCATCTGATATTCGAATACTTCAAGAAGCGTCTCATCAAGAGGACGGAAACTGCAATCGAAAACGCAATTCGTACTCTGCCTGAATCTCTTGATGATGCCTACGAAGCCATTCTCAGGCAAGGAAATGACCACAAGTTTGCGCAAAGAGCATTATCCATCATGCTTGCCGCATATCGCCCACTTTCAGTACGAGAACTCAACACCGCTGTCAATGTCACGAAAGAATCAAATTGCCTTGGAGATCTTGATCTCGAGGACGACGATGACTTTGAGAAACGACTCCGTGATGCATGTGGACTCTTTGTATCTGTCTACGGTGGGAAGGTTGATTTCCTACATCAAACTGCACGCCAGTTTCTGCTTGATACAAAAATGACGGCAGACCAAAGACGAGAGAATCATCAGGCCTGGAAAGGATCCGTGAAAGTTGAGCTTGTCCATGCTAGAATGACAGAGATATGCGTACGCTTTATCAACTTTCTGGACTACGCCAATATCTTTGGTTATGGAGCGATTGATGTGCGCCATGATCTCCCATCAGAGGGTAGGATACGAAGCTTCGGGAAAATTATGGATGACATCAACAGTTGGCTTTCAAAGCAAAATCCATTCATTTCATATGCGAGCCAATTCTGGATTTCTCATGCACGAGACGCAGAGAACCTCCCAGAGGCGGCAAGATGCGATTATGAGAAGCTGTGCAAAGATACCGGAAGCTTTGCTACTCGCACATGGGTGGTTCTATACCATTGGACTAATAATCATGGGTTGGTTTTCTGGTTGCGACACCCTCTACCAAGATGCTCCCCAGCGGGTTTGCAAGCCCGTTTTGGACATCTCAGTGCGCTGAAGCAAACAATTGAAGCCGGTAGTCTAACGGAAGAGGACAAGGACAACCACTTTTTCTCTCTCTTGGAGGGGGCATGCCAGGATGCAAGATGGTGTGAAGAAAGACACCGGCAGTCAACTGTAGACTTCCTTCTAAACCAAAGACCAAGGTACCCTACTGGAAATATTCAGATGGCACAACTAGCTTTGTCCGCCATGAAGGTACGAATGGAATCTAGCACCATAGTCGCAAGGCTTCTTCACAGAGGCGCTCTATTCTCAGGAGATGTCGATTGGCACAATAACTGCCAACTTCTACTCCATGCGACCTCCAAATCTTCCATGGAAAATCTCGGACTTCTACTTTCTCATTCCTTTGATACTACCCGAGAAGAGTGGATCTGCGGTCCTTTGCGGTTTCGAGACCAAACGATTCCATCGGACCCATTTGCCTGTTCTTCACCTGATGCTGTGCAGGCGGAACCGAAATCCCAAGAAGGCTCACTTCGTCGCTTTGACCCAAGTTGTCGGTGTCATCCGGGTGGTAGAACTCTTCTCCATTACGCCCGCGCAGGTGAAGTAGCGAGCCTGCTGATCCGGTGTGGTGCCGATGTCAACGCAAGAGACGATAAAGGACAAACTCCTATCTTTTTCGCTCAATCGTCCAAAACGAGATTACTTCTTGAAAACGGCGCCGATATTGAGGCCTCGAACAACGAAGGACGCACCTGTCTGTTTGAAGCCATGGAAGAGGAGCAGGTCCATATACTCGCTGAATATGGAGCTAATTTCAATCAAGTCGATCTGAAAGGCGAAGGCCCACTCGATGCTGCCAAGAGCCTCTGGAAGTGGAGAGCACTTATTGTCCATGGTGCCTACCCACGCAGTACAAGTGCACCATCTATTCTATCTCCGCTTCTAGCTGCAACTGGAACTAGCAACCCTGTTGAGCTCGCAGATACGCTGTACAGGAAGGAAGCTCTGGAAGCACGCGATAGTCAAGGAGCCACAGCCCTTCACCGCCTTGTTCTATTTGGTCCAGAAGGCGAGAACTACTGGTATATGGAGCTTGAGGAATGCCTGCACATACTCCTTTTCCACGGTGCAGATCCTGATCAAGGCGATAACCGGGGTATGACGGTACTTCACCACTTGTGTATGCACAAGGTTGGTTGGGGTGCGGTGGTAGTTTTGATTCAAGCTCGAGCAGATATCAACGTGCGAGATGCACTCGGTAGGACCCCGCTCATTGTGGCTGCAATTGAGGGTAATTGTATGGTTCTTGAGTATTTGATTAGGGCAAGGGCAGACATTGAGGCTCGCGATGACCAGGGCAGAACAGCGCTGATCGCAGCATGCAACGCGCAAAGGCTTGGAACATCGAAAATGCTAATCGAGGAGGATGCAGATATCGAGGCTAGAGACAGCGCTGGAAACCATCCAAAAGCGTTAGGTGGGGCCGGGTTTCATTCGCGCCTGTGGCATGTTGATTTCGAAGTTAGAAATATGCACCTATGTGACTGTGGTGTCGGTCGACACTGGTAGGGGGGGATTTTATACATAGGTTTGAATGCAATACAGCACGTACTTATCAACCACTGCAGCTTGGTCACTACCTCAAAAGACCTTGATTTGACCACTACTCTACAGCTTTCCATCAGGCGACTGCTTCGACCACAGCTCTTGATACTTGCCCCCCTTCTTCAATAGCTCCGCATGCGACCCCCTCTCCACAATCCGACCATTATCCACCACAAGAATAAGATCAGCATGCATGATAGTCGACAAGCGATGCGCAATAACGAACGTCGTCCTCCCAGCACTCAACCTCCGGAACGCCTCCTGAATCCGCGCCTCGGTCCCCGAATCAATCGCACTCGTCGCCTCATCCAACAACACGATCCGCGGATCCTTCAAAAACACCCGCGCAATAGCCAACCGCTGCAGCTCACCCCCCGAAAGCTTAACCCCGCGCTCCCCCACGCGCGCCGCGTACCCGTCGGGAAACGACTCAATCTTATCATGCACGACAGCGGCGCGGCACGCCTCGCGCACCTCCTCATCCGTCGCGTCGAGCCGCGCGTACCGCACGTTCTCCATGATGCTCTGGTTGAACAGCGCCGGGTCCTGCGGGACCACGCCGAGCGCGCCGCGCAGCGAGTCGAGCGACACGTCGCGCACGTCCTGGCCGTCGATGGTGATGCTGCCGCCCGTCACGTCGTAGAAGCGCAGCAGCAGCTTGAGGATGGTCGACTTGCCGCCGCCCGTCTCGCCGACCAGCGCCACCGTCTGGCCCGGCTCGGCGGCGAACGACACGTCGCGGAGGGTCGGCTTGCGCGGGTCGTAGGCGAACGCCGCGTTCGCGAAGACGACGCGGCTGCCGCCCCCGTTGTTGGCGGCGCGCAGGGGCGGGGCGCCGCCGGGCTTCTCGGCGACGGAGGGTTTGGTCTGCAGGAGTTGGAGGAGGCGCTCGGCGCCGATGAGCTGCGAGGCGGTGGTGCGGAGGGTCCAGGTCAGGTGGCTGAGCGGCTCCTGGATGGAGCCCCAGTAGGTGATGAGCAGGACGAGGTGGCCGACGGGCGCCTGGCCGGCGGCGATGCGGGATGCCGCGAGGAAGGCGCTGGTGAGCAGGCCCAGCGCCATGATCAGGCTCTGCGCCGAGTCGATGTAGTTCATGACGTCGTAGTAGCGCACTTCCTTCGCTTTGAAGCTGTCGACGGCCTCGAGGTAGCGGTCCTGCTCGAAGCGCCGCCGGTTGTGGTACGTCACCGTCTGCCAGTTGCTGACCGAGTCGTACAGGATCTCGTTGCCCTTGCGCTCGCCTTCGGTGTAGTCGCGCCGCTTGGCCGCGAGCGAGCTGTTGCCCCGGATGCCGGCGTAGATGTAGGCGCTGGAGGTCGCGATGATGATGAGCGCCATGTACGCGTCGAACACGGATGACAGGTACACGGCTGCCACCACGAGGTCGATCAGCACCGGCCCGGCGTCGAACAGCACCGTGTCGATGACGTTGTGGATGTCGGACCCTTGCTCGATGGCTTTCAGCACCTCGCCGCAGCTTTTGGCGCTGTGGTAGTCCATCGACAATCCCATGACGTGATTGAAGGCTGCCGACGACAGTTGCCGGTATGCGTATGCTGAAACCCGGGTGGTGGCCATTGTTCGGAGCAGGTCGAAGCCAGCGGACACGCTGACAAGTTTGAGGGCCGCCCAAACGAGAAGCTCTTTCCAAGGGAAATATCTGGTTTCGCCGGCATTGGACAGCGCGTCTGTAATAATGCCTAGTTGACGAGGAATGAGGACCGTCAGGAACCGCTCCGCCGTAAGCGTCAGAACGAGAACCCCCAGCCAGAACTGCATTCGCCGGTTGTTGTACGGCCAGATCAGAGGCAGGAAGATCACGAAGCCTTTCAGGTAGCCCCACCAACCACCCTCTTCCTCCAGTCGCTTCTGCTGCAGTTCTTTCATCTCCTCATCGTCGTCGTCCGAGTCATCGTCTTTGTCACTATCTCGGTCATTCACCGACGAGGGAAGGCTGCCATAAGATGGGGATCCGTCTGACTCGATGTTTTCGCTCACCAGCAGAGATCGGCTTTCTTCATCGAGTCGTATTCCCTTTTCGCGGGATCCGTAGCCCAGGAAGAGGATGGACAGGAAAAGGGCCACCAGAATCATTGCTCGGGCAGAGCCGAGCGAGTTCCCAACAGCGAAGTCTTGGGGTGCCGACAACGTGACCAGCAGGCCCAGGATGGTCAACTCGAAAACAGCACCAAATGCCCAGCATCCCAAGAACGTGTACCAAACTGGAGCTTTTGTTTCCATGAGAGAGATTGTGATGGAGCCCCACACCATTATTGACGCCAGCACATAGATCTTGAACGAGTTAAAGAGGCCAGCCCGTATGTCATAGAAAAGAGCTCACCATATCATGCTTGACGGGCCATTTGTCTTGATTGGCTGCCCTGATGAAGTAGAAGATGGCTTGTCCCAGCTAAACCGTCTGTTAGAACTGCTTATTCAAATCGTGGCCGAAAGCCAACTTACAAAACTGAGTGGCACCAAAGGTAGGAGCCATATGGCGACTGCGCGCCTCTTTCGGTTGGTTGAATCATCGACCGTCTTCTGCAGCGTACAAGCAGTGATTAACGATGCGCTGATGAAATACACGGCAATTACAACTGGTGAAATATAATGGAAAACTTCCAGTAACCGGGAGGTCGCTGAAGTAGGGTGCGGATGCATCATCGGAGTGCGTTGAGAAGTGAGCATTGCCTTGGTCAGGCCAAAAAGGCCGACGAAGGCATGCTTTTTAAACCGGGGAAAAATGGTGGTTAGTGTCGAGTCACGGCGCTTATTTGCATCTGCGTCATTTCTAGCCCTAAGGCTGACAGCTATCGGTGTGGCACGACGATATTGCGTTTGAGTTGAAAAGCTGGGCAAAATACGAAATAGGTCGGATTATGCGGTCTTGTGGCGAATCAGAATCACGCTGACTGCATGGAGATACCGCCACGGTAAATGTCGGCAGACACCGCACAGCCGACTGCTGCCTAGATACGTAAATTCTTTGAAAGTTTCACCGAAGGTGCTGCGCACGGAGTGATAATAGTATCCACTCACCTACTTAGATTAAAAGCTCAGGCTTAGGATCTGCAGCCGCACTATACCGGAATAAGTAATAATTTTGGCCAAGAAACCTGGGAGCCCTGCACACGATTAAGATGGTATGCGAACTTGAAAGAGTCAAACCGTTTGTCCGAATGATTTTACTCAGGCTAGATGCATCGATAGAGAGTCATCCCACTAGCTGAATGAGTGTTGAGTCACCATTGTTCGCCAATCGTCGCAATAAGCTTGATGGTTCCACAGGGCGCAGTCGACTGCGCCACCGGGTCAAGCAAGAACTGCCGCTAAACCTTAACATTGTAGGCGTCTATCCATCAGAAATCCAATCCCATAGAGGTATTATCATCATATGCTTCCTATAGCGGCGAGGAAGGCATGAGTTCTCTTGGCGGCCATGCATGGTTGCTGTTCCATGGAGGCCTGGCTAAAGTTGCACAGATGTCCTGCGGTGAGGGTGGCGTCTGACGGTGCTGCAATAATGCCCATCGATAGAACCAGCTCGGGTTCGGTTGACGGCAGTATGCCGCCCGGTCACCAAATTGCGTCGCACCTGAACGCTTTGCCTACGAAACTTGGGGCGCTGAGAGATGAGCTTCAGCAACCGACGAATGCCAGGGTATGGCCGGGGAGAACGAAGCACATGTGGATGGGCATGGAGGATGGGATTATGGATAGACGTTGGTCGGACATGGAGCAGTACAACGTACTACGAGACGAGCGGCAGGATTGCGGCGGCTGACTGTATGGAAGAGCTGTCAGCTCAATACTGCTTGTGAGATCGGTTCTCCAATTGAGAACTCCGCAGCACTGGGTGGCTTTCCACGCCAATTCAAAGTGGCCGGGGAGAAATTGAGTGATGGCAGCCGGGCGACGAAGAAGAGGCTTTAGCGTGTGTTGCAGGTCAGAGTGCGCTTGTAGTGCTACACATATAACCTGCCATAGGCCTCGCGATTGACCCTGTCAAAGACAAACTTAGTAATTTCACCAGAGCATTTCCTCACCAGTATTTGACTGTGAGCACTGAGCTCTTCAGCGCTTCTCAACGCTTTTTCAATGGCACACTCATCATCGAGTCATGGCAGGCCTCGTACTCCAGGATGTGGGAAACCCCAAAAGAATGTCTTGAAATGTCGCAACAGCTCTGCGAAAGTTGGAGCTGACGAATTGACCGCGCGGCAAAGCGATCATCATAAGGCTCTTGTATGGCGAGCCCGTGGTGTTCCGGTTGAGGTCCGGTGGGATGTGTGGGGAAGATAGTGTTTCTAGAAATCGCGCCGCGATAATCCGCCTATTAAAATACCCCGCCTCTCGTGATACGTGACGTATCGAAGCGTTACCCCGCAACAAATTCCCAGCGGTAAGTACTTGGTGGGAAATGATCGACAGGTCCACCGGCATCACAGCCAGGAACTGGAGGCTCGCTTCGGCGGCTCCGGAGCGATATCACAGCGGCCGGATAAAAGAGGCTCTATAAAAGTGTGCATTGCCTAGATGAATTTCCGTTTGTACGTACCTGCTCTCGAGTTTTTCCGACATCTGCTACCATGCGCTCAAATTATTTCTCGACCAGCCTCGTTCTCGCGTGCGCATCGGCTGCTTTGGCCGTGCCATTCGCAAGCGACAGCGGAATCCTGAGCAAGAAGGCTGACTCGACTAAGGTCGGCTATTTGGCGGCCTATTGGAAGACGGACGAGACTGGTATCTTCTTTGCATTGAGCACCAACGACAACCCGCTGCAATTCAATCCGGTCAATGGCGGAGAGCCCCTCTTCGTTCCCACCCTCGGTCAGAAAACCGTTCGGGACCTCTCACTCGTTCCCGGCTCTGGAGAGGAAGAAGGCACAAAATGGTATCTTCTCGCAACGGATCTGAACATTGAAGATGTACGAAGTTTCCTGTACAATTGGCCGAGCTGCTTGTGGCTAACATTCAGTAGTACGCGTCGTGGGATGCCGCAGCTGCCAATGGCTCGAAAGCGTTGTTGATCTGGGATAGCTCAGACCTGATTAACTGGACGGACGAGAGGCTCATAACCGTCGAGGATGACACCGCCGGAATGGCGTGGGCGCCCGATGCCATCTGGGATCCGGAAGCGGGTCAATACTTGGTGCACTGGGCATCTCAATTTGTGAAACCTCCGCAGGCACCCAACGTGTTGTACTCGACATTTGCTAACCGCTGAGCAGTTCGCCGAAAACGACACGACTCACAGCAACGGCCCAATCGACGAAGCCGTCATGCGCTACGCGCACACGAGCGACTTCCAGACGTTCACGACCCCGCAGACGTACCTCGACAGGAACCCCGAGAGCACCATCGACCTCAGCTTCCTCAAGATCAACGACACGGCCTACGTGCGCTTCTGGGCGCACGACGGCTTCCACACCGAAGTCGGCTACGACGGCTTGTTTGGCGCCTTCGAGGAGGTTGGGGAAGTCGTCACCGGCTACGAGGGCCCTTATGCGTTTTGGGACAACACGGCCGACGGCGTGGCGTACGTGATTGCCGACAAGCTGGGTTCTGATGCGGGGATCAGAGGATATGGACCGGCGGACCCGACGACGGGCGCGTGGGTGCAGGACACGTCGGTGGATGATGCGTATATGAGACATGGCTCTGTTCTCGCTGTTACTCAGGAACAGTATGATGCGCTGGCTGCTCTCTGAGGGGGAAAGGCCTCGTCGAATCCTGAAGTCAACAGTGAAGCGTTTTCAGAAACCATCCAAATGGATTAGTTTTGTTCATACGTGTCTGATGAGCTTTGTCCAATTCATCTCGAGTCAATCATTTGTGAGAAGTTCGGTATTGTTGTTACCGTCCAACAAGGATTATCTCACATAGTCCGCAAAGCTCAGCTTTGACCATGATTGACGCTTCGTTTGAATGCGGAATTGCTTGTAGCCAAGTTCATTCCAAAGTCGCCCTGCCTTCCGAACGAGAGGAAGCTTCCTGCTGACGCAACCATGCTTCAGGCGTCCACAGACCCGACCGGAAGGTCCTCCACAGGCAAATCCAGAAAATTAGGGTAAACACCGGGAGAAGAAATGGGGCGACCAATCCGAGAATGATGACAGTCATTTGCAACTGGATAGTGTGGTATGCCAGCGCAAACATCTCGGAAGCCAACTCAAGCATGATGTCGACTAGCCATGAGCCCACTGCTCGCCCCAAGTCCTGCACAAGCTCAATCGCTATACAGAGTACTTGGAACGCAACGGAAAATGCAGAACCTCTCCTGAAAGATGTACCGCGACTGCGCAGCCATGAGGATTGTTGAGTTGTTGACCGTTCGTCGTTGTGTGGCGGAGGACCGGTAGCTCTCAATCTGGAATAATCCATGGATAGAATATCGAGCAATCTTGAAGGTAGAACTCGAGTAGTAAAGAATTGGAGAAACTTATTAAAGGCTAGGAGTTGAGGGCAATTGTTGGGCTTTTTAGAGAAGCTGAAATGCTGTAAGCAGCCTAGGCGTATCCGTTATCACATGCGTTGCGGGCACCAATCACAGAACAGGAGGATAATTAGTGAGAGCCAATATGCCACTGAGTTTGGCCTGACGTAATCGATCAATGAGAGGAATGCAATTGTTGAAAACGCATGATCATTACTCATCCTGGAATGAAAACATCAGAATAGTCCGAGAACTTGGACATGACGCACTTCCAACGTACACGTATGATGCTACCTTCGCCTACACCCTACTCATGACCCTACTTCAATCTATTCCTCCGGCTTTTGGCCATACGCAACGTAGCTGTTTCCTTGTCAGAAACCCAATAAGTGTGGCCAATTCAGTGGAAGATACTTACTAAAGAATATAGGGGTGGATGGACTTCCCCTTCAACTCCTGTCTGACCTTCGCGCAGAAAACATTGACTTCTTCGGCCGTCCAACCCAGAACGCCAGTGAAGAGGCGGAGAGAGAAGCCCTCCATGCCATCAAGAGCTTGCAAGAGGTTGATGGTGCCAATCTCCCTCATCAATTTATCCTTGGGCCAAGGACCGGATGGGACCTTGTACAGGTCCACGTGGACATTCTTGAAGCCTGCATTCTTCAACCAATCACCGAGCTTTGGTCCGGTGTAGAATTCCTTGCCTATCTTTGCACATCCCTGTTCGATAGTCTCCACGAACTTGGTGATGTACGCATCGGGCTTGACGGAGCCATCGTCGGTCCTGTAGTGCAGGTCAAAGCCTTGTAGCCTACAATTCTCAGCGATTGGAAACGGCAAGTCTATTGGGGCGCACGTACTCAACCCATCCACCGGGCCGGACGTTGTTGTACATGTTTGAGACAAGCGTCGGCCAATCCGAGATAGCTCCATCAAGGTAGCGTGCAAATATCAAATCAAAAGGCTTGGAGTACGTCCAAGGAGCCTCAACGTCGTCGACTTCGAATTTCAAATTCGGGGGCTGCGTTGTTAAAATCGATTCGAGTCCGTGCCGGAAATGTGAATACTCACCAACCATTGCGGCTGCACAGGGCTCAAATCATTTCCGAGAACCTACGCAAGATAAGCATCGGTCTGGGGTAGCCGTAGCAAAGATTTACCTCCGCATCGGGATATTTGTCCGCTGATCAGGCACATTAACTTTGTGATTATGCGATGGCTGACTCTATTTCACATACCAACTTCAATGGCCCAAATGCCAGTCCCAGTTCCCACGTCCAGGACGCGCTTCAACTGATCTTTCTTGATGGGGGCGTGGAAGTGCTGCTTGTTGGTGGTGAGCATCAACATGTGATGGACAAAGTCGAGTCGATCTTGCTCGGTCTAGATTACACGGTCAGAGGGTGAGAGCTCGAGTCTTTTCTAATACACACATCATCATTAGGCATGTAGTAGTCTCCTCCTTTGTAGGCATGATACCGACGGCCGTTTTCGACGGGATAAGCGGTAACGCTAGATGTCAGGGACTGGGAATAGGCGGAGCTGAAGAGGGAGTCAGTAGCCGTGGCATATTAGAGCAGATAAGGCAGTTACAGCTGATCGTCGATACTTCCGCGGGTCGAATCCGTCTCGAACTGTGACAAGATTTAGTAAAATTGGCTTACCAAATCGCTTATGTTGCAATAGGAATTTCCAAACAGGGGCCAGTAAAGGATCTTACCGTTTCATCGACCTCGATATTCTGCATATTTGCAAGGGCAGGTGTGACGTTCTGGGGAGCAGCCATGTTGTACAGGATTCGGATATGCGCGGATTAAGGAGAAACGAAAAAGCTGGAACATGACAAGTGGCGGGGCAGACTTTTGTTTATAGCGCAGACATGCGTCAGGAGAGACGCACTGGTCCACGATTCCGGGAAGAAAACCGATGTCAGAACATGACTTTTACGTGTGGCACAGCAGTCCATGATCGAGATTACCAACGTATTGACAGCAAGCCAGCACATCATTTTCCTGACGAGGCCCCACCCGCCACGCGGCTAAGTCGCTTGGGTTTCTGGAGCCGGCTAGCGCTTGGGATTAGGAGTCGTGCGTTAGGAAGCTCGCACTATAAGCAAGCCGAGCGCCGAAGTTAAGGTTTTTCTCAATAGTGGGGAGCCGCGGGATTTCAAACACAGAGACGTTGACAGATCACAATACGGCTCTGTATACAAATTCATGAGATTTGATTCGGAAGCATCGGATACATACATCACTCATCCTCCTCGATCGAATAAACCTCCAACTCGGCAATCATGGTCCTCGCCGGGATCGTCACGCAGATAGGGAAGCCACCGTAGTCAGGGTCCTCGTTGGGCATCATAGCGAAGATGCCACTCCTCGTCTCATCGCCGTTCAGGTTCCGCAGGGTGCGCAGCTCGCCCGTCTCCTTGTTGACGACGTACTTCTCCTGGAAGCGCAGGAAGCCGGTGAAGGTGCTGCGGGGGTTGAGCGACTTGGCCAGGACCTGGAAGCCCCAGCCGATCAGCAGGAAGCGGGCGCCGCCCAGGTGAATGACCATGCCGGCGCCGGGGCCAGGCTTGCCGAAGACGAAGCAGCGCTGGATGGTGAGCTGCCACTCGCCGAAGACGACGGTCTGCGGGGGCGAGGGGTCGGGGCCAGCGTCGGGCAATTCGTCGAAGAAGAAGCCGTAGGAAGAATTAGGCCGGCGCTGAGCCTCGAGCACGATGTGCGAGACGCGGTCCAGCAGGCCGTAGTGGCGGGTGAAGGGGCTTGTGGGCGGGTCGAGGGTGTCGATGCCGAAGGGCGAGGTGCCCAGGCACTGGTGGCTGCCAAAGGCCTTCCACACGCGGCGCGCGCCGTACTCGTCGCGGCGCTGCTCCGGGATGAACAGCGGCTGGTTGCGGTGGCGGTACTTGGCGCACGAGCTGCCGTATTCGTTGAGGTAGACGTCGGGCGCGATCAGGTCCAGGCTCGGCGCGAAGTGCTGCCAGATGTCTAACACGTCGACGACGCCGCCCCCTGACGGGTAGTTGCCCGGCTCCTCGCCGCCACCAACGATGGTCGGGAAGTTGTTGTCGGCGTCTTCGCCCGCGTAGTTCTGCCACACGTTGGTGTACAGCGGGATCGGGTACTTGGCTTTGCCGGCTGATGCGACCTGGTTGAGGTAGAGGGCGTAGTGGTATGCCATGAACAGCTCGTCTGTCTTCTTGCTCTTGCCGAACACCTCCTCCCACGTTCCCTGCTTCTTGCTTGCCGTCTTGAACGACTTGAAGTTAGCACGGAAGTTCTCGGTCAACGTGTCCCAGTTGCTATCGATGAAGTCGATGAGATCCTTAGGGACGGGCTGGCCGAACCGCTCGTTGGCATACTTGCTGCCGTCGCGCGAATCACCCAGAAGGCCCGTCTCGTTCTCGACTTGCACCATGACGACGGTTGAGTGTGCCTCGTCAATCTCCTTGATATGCTCCAGCAGCGTCGCAAAGGCCTTGGCATCCGCCTTGGGGGCCTCGTCATGGAAGATTGACACAACATCTCCTGTTGCCAGCTCGCCACCAGCCTTGCGCAGCTTTGCGCGCGGGAATCTCTTGGGGTTTGTCTTGACCCATCCGGGCGCGTATGTCGAGATGCCTATCATTCCTCGTCAGTCTTCTGATCCCTCCCCGACCTCCTACCCGACGACTTTGCTTACCGTTCTTGAACGAGCCGAACCACAGTAGCACGAGGTGAATGCCGTGCTCCCGCGCACCCAGGACGATCTGGTCCAAGTTTGCAAAGTCGAACTTGCCCTCCTCGGGCTCGATGTCCTCCCACGTCACGCACCCAAGGACCGTGTTGACGTGTGTCGCGACCATCTTTGGCCACACCTCTTTCATGTACTCTGCCGATGTGAGAGACGAGTTCTGCAGCTCGCCAGCGAGCATGAGCAACGGCTTGCCGTTGACGATGAGCTGGTGTGAGACGTCATTTTTCTGGAGGTGAGGGATTGAAGACATGGTGAATTAGATGGCAGCGTGAGATTAAGGGAGGAGAGGAGAAAGAGAAAGTACGGATTGGAGAGGGTGGCACCAGGCTCCGCAGAAGCAAGGCTTTATACGACGGCGAGCAGTGAGCACAAATTCTGGTGCCCTTCCTGCGTCATGCAGCGGAAATAAACGGCGATATCAGAGAGGTGCCCACGGCCCCGCCGCGCTTCGGGCTTGAAGCCATCTGATTGGGAATGCTCTCTGTCCTCTGCCGATGACCGGCCCTACTTCCAATGCCCATCCCAGACCCCGGAGGATTGGCGTCGTCAACGATGCACGCAATTACCTCAGGCGCCGCATGATCGTGGAGTCGGCAATTGGACATGTGGGCCTCTGTTGCAGTAGTAGTATTGCTATTGGATGAGAGCTAACCGTCCCGTGATGGGCTGCTGAGGTGCGCTGGAGATGGAGTGACCCAAGGAGGCAGGGCGGGGACCGTATTCGGCAAACCCCGCACCTTAAGAGCACCCGCTCTGGGGTTGCGGCATGGCAGCCAATGGGAGCCCGTCAATCCCGCAACTCCCACCCGGCCAGGCACGAACCACCACGCCTAAACCACCAAATAGCGCCGCTCCGACGGTGGATTTTCGTGGTATGCGTAGGCTCCGGTGGATAGGACGTTTGAAGTTGTATGCCTGATGGCTCCTGATCGGTGTCCATGTGGCAGAGCCTCCTCGGTCAAACGTGGGCGACTTGGTGCCCGGCGGGAATGAGCGCCGCCTATTGGCCGAGCCTCCGCCCACGATGTGCGGGATGATCTGGGGAAGTACAGGGTAGATCTGCAGCCCAGCCCATGGGGCAGCAAGGTTGTGCTTGTAGTAGCCGGCTGTTAGCCGCGTCGAACCACTCCGTACGGCTATTTGACAGGAAACAGGCTGCGTTTGCGTCTTCGTATGCACTCCCATGCCTAAGCCGCGTCTATATAATACGCCGGTCTCCGGCCGAGCGGTAAAGCGCACCCGACCGTGATCAAACCACCTTTTCTGTTCCTACTACACCAATGGAAGACCCGAAGCGCATAACAGTTGACGAGGAGAAGCTGCCAGATGATGAAAGAAAGCCCAAGATCGAAGTCCCGCAGGTAACATGGTGGAAGGACCCGGGTCTTCGAAAGCTCTACTGCATGATGCCCATCCTGTTCCTCGGGTCGACCATCAACGGCTACGATGGCAGTCTCCTGAACGGCTTGCAGACTATGGACCCATGGCAAGAATGTGAGTTCTACCATCAGCTCAGTCTTCTTTCGTTGCACTGATGAACCATCGAAACACAGACTTTGATCATCCGACATCGGCAAGACTGGGTCTATTCACCGCCATCCAAAACATTGGTTCATTTGTCGCCATTTTCTTCTGTCAGTGAGAGATTATTCCGCATAGCACGGCACTGAAGAACCGAAGACTCATATCATGATTAGCATCGTACGCAGCAGACATGTTGGGCCGCCGGATCGGCGTGGTCATCGGTTTGATTGTTCTCCTGGTCGGCACCATCATCCAAGGCGAGTACATCTCCTCGTTCAACGAAGCCAGTGTGAAAGTGCTGACGAGCGTGAACAGTCGTACCGTCCGTGAACTCTGGAATGTTCATTGGTGGCCGTTTTCTGGTCGGCTTCGGGTTTGTCCATCACCCCCTTTTCCACTTGCGACATCTACTAACAAGAATGGAAACCGATAGCTCGAACCTCTCCCAAGGCTCTGCACCTCTGCTTGTCATGGAGCTCGCTTACCCCACCCACCGCGGAAAGCTCACGACAATGTACAATACGCTCTGGTATGTCGGTTCGATTGTGGCAGCATGGACTGTGTACGGCACCGTGAATTACACATCCGATGCTGCGTGGAGGATTCCCGTCGGAGTGCAAGCTGCCATGCCCGCCATCCAACTTGTCGGTATTTGGTTTTTGCCTGAAAGTCCGCGTTGGCTTTGCGCCAAAGATAGAGCCAGCGAGGCCTTTGAAGTGCTCGCAAAGGTAAGCTTCATCCACACCAACGCAATCATCGCTCGATCTGACCGAAACAAACAGTACCACGCCAACGGCGACACGCACTCCGCCTTCATCGAGCAAGAGCTCTTCGAAATCCAAGAGACGATCCGGCTCGAGCAACAGAACTCGCACGGCAGCTGGGCCGACCTCGTCCGCACGCCGGGCAACCGCAAGCGGCTCCTCCTCATCATCCTGACGGCCTTCTTCTCGCAGTGCTCCGGCAACGGCCTCGTGTCGTACTACATCCACGACATCCTCACCAGCGTCGGCGTGCACGACGCCAGCGACCAGTCCATCATCAACGGCGGTCTGCAGATCTGGTCTTTCCTCGTCGCTGTGCTCTTCTCCGTGCTGCTGGTCGACCGCTTGGGCCGCCGCACGCTGTTCCTGACCGCTGGTGTCGGCATGTTGATCGCCTTTTCCATCTGGACTGCGTGAGTGGCCCCTTCCACCCTTCCCCCACCGCACATTGCCACCGACATCTGCTTCCTTTACTGACACTCGTTTCCCCCGCATACAGCTGCTCCGCCGTCTACGCCGACACCGGCAACAAAGCCGCCGGCGGCGCCGTCATCGCCATGATCGTAAGCCCCACCCCCTCCCCCTCCCCCATCCTCCTTCCCACCATTAACCTCTCCCACAGTTCGCCTTCTACGGCGTCGCCGGCTTCGCCTGGCCCGGTCTAACCGTCTCCTACTGCGCCGAGATCCTGCCCTTCCACATCCGCGCCAAAGGGCTGGCCGTGACCATGGCCGGCACGGCCGCCTCGTCCGTCTTCAACCAGTACGTCAACCCCATCGGCCTGGCCGCCCTGCACTGGAAGTTCTACTTCGTCTACATCGCCATCCTCGTGCTCGAGTGCGGCGCCATTTACTTCTTGTACGTCGAGACGCGCGGCCCGACGCTCGAGGAGATTGCGAGGTTGTTTGATGGGGAGGATGCGGATGTCGCGGGGAAGGAGGAGGTGGTTGATGTGGCGAGGGGGAAGATTGCGAAGGGGAATAGCGCGGTGGGGGCGGAGCATGTGGAGGAGGCGTGAGGGAGGTGGTGCCCGAGGGAGAGGGGAAGTGGACGGAGGATTGGGGAGACTTTTCCGATACTGAGAGTTGATTGAACGAGAATTGAGCTGTTAATCGTTGATGTGCATTTGGATGCTCTTACTTGAGAGCCTGCGTCACTGCCGAAGCATGGACAGCGCGTTCGTGGCGTATTGGCCACGCTCCGAGATGATCTCGGAAACGGCGGGCAGGACAGCAGACGATGACGGCAGCGGGGTTCCAGACTGGTCAACCTTGTCCTCGATGGGAAGGGCGTGCTGCAGTAAGAACTTCAGCATCCACTTGTCGATCTTGTGCGTGTTCGGGTCCGCGGTCCACATGCAGGCCTTTTGGAAAGTGAAGAGACGGTCCATCTACCACCATTCAGTACACGACATCAACGCCGGATTAGGTGGCTTACCATTCCGTGCACGCTAGGCCAGTAGCCTCGAAGCTTTATCAGAATCTGAAAATTCTGCTCGAGCCGCTGCCGAGTCATGGGCAGCTCTTCTTCTTCGCCGAAGAACAGGATGTGGAGAAGCACGCTGGATGAAACCACCGTCATGTGGCCGACAATATTGTAGACAGCGTCACAACCAGGAATCTCGGTTGAGAGTTTCAAGAGATCGCTATACGTATTGGCATGGTGCTTGCAGCGGCTTGCGAAGAGCCTCTGCTTTGGGGTGCGGGGAAGCTGTATATCGAGGTACTGAAAGTGGATGAGCGTCGAGTAATGGTGGAAGCCGAGATGCAGGGCCACAAAGGTACGGCCGATTCCCTGGTCAGCGTGCCAGCGGAGATTGTCAACATTCAGGTGCAACTCAATGGGAAGCTCCTCGGCAAACTGTTCCAGGCGCGCAGCCAGTTTTTGAGCTTGCTCTTCGAAATGAGCGTCTTCAACTTCACCGCCGACGTGGCGGAGGTGCAGGTCTTGTATCTCGCCGAAGATACTGGCCAAGCTGATGAAATACGCCCATAACCCGTTTCTGAGCTCCGGGCGATATCTGAAGTCCGGTTGGTGGAAATGCAGCTCATGCACCGGCATGGGATACTTCAGGGCATCCGGCAACTGTCTGGTTAGACCAAGACCGGCAGAGTTCCAGCGGTCTACCATGTAAAGCGTCCAGTAGACGCGGCATTTGACTTCCTTGTCTATGTCCGTATCGGTAGGACTGGCTTGGGGAAGAGACAAGATCTGCGCCATGCGAATGGCGATGCCTGGACAGATGTCAATTGCTGGATTTTCAGGGAATGTATTGAGTGGTTATGCAAACCGAAAAACAACGCCTCAGACGTGGCTTCATTGTTAGCGCCGCAGGTATTTGCCACGAGGATGCATGCTTGGATATTTTCGATGCAGATATTCTCGACGTCTTCTTTCAACAATCGCTTGGCTTCCTGAGCAAACGATGTTCCTTGTGCTTGGACTGCGGGATCCTGATGAAATCTTTGCGGCACATTGTAAATCAGCAAATCATAAATGAGAAAATAGAAGAATGTACACACCTGGCAGATAACGCCAGGATGCCGCAGAGGACCTGATTGCGAATTAATCCCGAGGCGGCAGCATCTCGGATCGAGGGCTGATGAAAAAGCGAGTGGGGTTTGTCATGAACGAGCTTGATGTATATCTCTACAAGCTCACAGATCACATGGCGAGGTGGGGGAGAAATGCCTTGAGGCTGACAGAGCGTAGTATCGTCAGTCGAGAATCGGGTTGCTGGCGACGTGGGTTGCGGTAAGATAGGAACATGCTGGCGACTGTGGCTTGTTGCGAAGCTACAGGATAGCTGCTTATGGTCGCATGGAGCGCAGGAATCCGCCGTCGGAGATTTGGTGCATTTGCGCTTGCTCTCGCGACATTGTCTGCAAGCCTTTGCGACCTTCATGGCAGAGCATTGCGATGGAATGGCTGGTGAAGAACTTGCCACACCAGCCGAGGCCCATTGCAGCACGGGCCACCTCAGCACTTGTACTTTGTTGCCTCTGAAGTCTACTCTCAACACTCGAGAGAGACAAGTAGAAGGTATAGATTTTGTGCTGGCTTATCACTCTCAGTCTCAGTAATCTAATCTAAAATAAGTATAGCGTTCTTCACGAAGATATGATACGATCACGAATGCCTGTTTTCCATCCAACAAACACATATCCCGGCCCATCCCGAACCAGAACCGCAATGTGGGAACCGTCCCACGTCCCTTATCTACCGTTTTGGGTCTTTTGATGAAATTGACAAAAGTTTTCTTGCTCCTGACTAACTTCTACCAATACTCTTATAGAATTTAATGTTTTTTTTTAGAGGTTGGGATTTATTGAGCGTCTGCTTAACAATGTTATCTCTTCTGCGTGGGAAGATTCTCGCTCTACCTTGGTTTTTGGACGTGGAGTAACGCTCCGGTGTAATTTGAGGTGCAGCGGAGAATAAGACCGAGCTGGCGGACCTGCTACCACTTGGATTGTGGCTTTATTGGCTCAGTTTGTGGCTAGGATCTGCAATTGGTTGTCACATGCAGTAAGCTGACCGGAAAGTCACTGGTACATCCCCGCGCAACTGCCCCACCAACGCAAATCTAAACAATCCTCTGGCGAGATGTTACATTCTGGTAGTAGCAATATAGCTCATTTATGAATCAAAGTGATTTCTTGGCGGTCCTCCTTCTATTCTTTTTCAACCCTGCGGTTAACAATCTCCATGACCCAATGTCCCCTTGATCTATCATGTCACTGGAGTGCCTCAAATAAGACGGATTTAGAATGATGCTGCAAACGTCGTGCCAGAAGCCAAAGAATCCTCTGATAATCCGGGCATCGTCTCACTACCCCGCACACCAATCCCTCACGTCAGCAGTACGGCGCTGGCACTAGCACCTCCCTATTGTGGAGCGATATGATGTTAGCCCCAGAAAGAGCTATAAAGTTGAGTTCAAAAAGAGATTTCCCGTTTTTCTCACCCCCAAAATTCTCCGGTGCTCTATCACAACATGCATACTCTTTCGGAAAAGGCCAGAGCCGCAATCGCGGACATACTTCCTCCAGAGGAGATCCTGGAACCATCTTCAGAACTCTACACCAAAGAGTCGACAACATGGGCGGCCCAGAAGCAACAACACCCTGCTCTCGTCGTTCGCCCCGGAAGCGCTGAAAGGCTCCAGAAATTGGTCCCTTACCTGTACGAATCAGGCCTCGATTTCGCTATTCGCTGCGGAGGTATCGGATCCAGCTCGGCAAAAGATGTCGTCGTGAGCATGAAGCAGTTCGACTCGTTCAAGTACAATCCGGATGACCATACCATCGTTGTTGGAGCCGGCCAGTTGTGGGGCGACATCGAACAGAAGCTGGAGGAAGTGGCTCCGGGGCGCATTGGTACCTCCACTTGCTACAATTTCCAGGAGAAATGCTAATGTGAGTGTGCAGCCGTCTCAGCCCGCGTTCCGTGGGTCGGAGTTGCCGGATCCACTCTCAGCGGCTGCCTTTCCTGGGTTGGCACCGAGTTCGGCTTGGGTGCAGACCCCCAGAACATGCTCGACGTTGAGATTGTCCTCCGAGATGGGCGAAAGATATGGGCATCGACCGAGCCTGACCTGCTGTGGGCGCTGCGGGGCGGAGGAGGTAACTTTGGAGGTACGTTTCACTATTTGTGGCGGAGTGCACGTCAGACTGACGAAGCCTTTCCAGTTGTCACTGCTTTCCATTTCCGCACCTATCCGTACTCGACTTCTATCCATTGTGGGTACATCTCGTATCCGCCCAGCGCTCTTGAAGCCGTGTCTCGTGGAATCGCAGAACATGCGGCTCGACCGATTGACCCGCGCGTTTCGTTCCACTGCTTGATTGGAGCGGCGGACGAGAAGTTCCCGGGCCAAAGCTCTTGGACGGAGTCGACGGATCGAAAAGATCGAACAGTTCAATTCGCCAAGTTCCACCTCGGAGTATTCGTCTTCGATGCCTACGGTGAGGAGCACGGGCGCAGCGACAAGGGCTTCAAGTGGGCGTTCGATATCCCGGGCGCAGTAGACAAGACAGTAGTGACCACCATTAGGGGTGCAAATGAGCTGCAGAGTATGCGGACCTAATACTTATTGAAACATGGCTAATTAGATGTAGGCGCCAATAAGAATCTCGTTGGGGCCACGAACAGCTACCTCAACGCTTGCTTGGCTGACGAAATCGACCCCGAGTTCGTCATCCGTGGGAAGAATTGGGTCGAGGGTATCTCTTCCCTGGACTCTAGGCTTGGTCCTGGAACTTTATTCCTCCTTGAGGTGATGCCTGGAAAAACATTCAATGCCACTTCTTCCCCCGAGGAAACCGCCTGGCCGCACTCATCGAATAAGCACGTCCTTCAGCTGCTCACTGGCAGCCACCCAGACTCGAACTGTCCGGAGGAGCTGGCGCTGCATGCGCTGGCCATGGCGCCGTACATCATCAAGAAGACGCACTCCAAGGAGGAGTTTTTCCCAAACTTCCTTGAGTCCATCAACGACCGCAGCGCAGTACGTACATCAATTTCCACCCGCTGTGTTCCAATTCTGATGCATCTAGATTTTTGGTGTGAATTACGGGAAAATTCTAGAGGTCAAGAAGAAGTATGATCCTCAGCAGAGGTTCAACAAGGGCTCGTTCATTCCCATCCCCAGCGACAGAAAAGATTCTGTGCAATCGTCTATTTGAGAGGTGGTATCTCAGGGTGTTGGTCAATCGTAGGACGAGCCCTGCCGCATATGGTCTCAAGTTGTTGGAGCAATTGTCTGAAGCAGTTGCAATTCCGCACTCTTTTGTACGAATCGACATGTTACGAACAGCCAAATCAAGTCAGTGCCCACATCACGAATTCTAGCACCATCAAAGTGGCTACTCCGGTTGTCTGACAAGTCATCACATGGATGTCCGCTATAGCTTAGAGTTGGTATAATCTGTTGAGTAGCGACTATAGGGCGGCCTCGTTCAAGTGTGCCGTCAGCGAAGGCTTCAGTCTTGGACATGGGATTTGCGAAATGCTTCCTCCTGAGCAAGGTATATAGATTCAGCTTATATTTTACGTTTCATCCACAACAATAAGTCCTCGGTAAATTGGGGTGAAATATTGATACTTCTGAAAGCTCATTCTCCACATGCCATCAATCAATCCGCGGAGATATCCAAGACGAAAATGTGCGCTAAAGCGATTGTAGCTTAGATATCCGAGAGTCTGCTCCATACCTTCCGGTTTCCAAACATCATCGGGCCCCCACGATATCTCTAACGCCCGTAAGCAAAGTACGATAGTCTTCGCTTACGCGAAGACCATGGAATCATTCCGCAATGTCGAGTCAGGTATCTAAGGTAAAATTAGAAAGCCGGAAGCCGGCACGGATGAAGATCAAGCCTTTTAGCAAAAGCTTGTCACCACTTGACTGTTTTGGCCCAATCTCGGCATCTTGTTCCGGTAGAGTGCCGAATTCCGGACAGTGGGATATACGGATCGAGTATAAAAATCAAAACTTAATTTCATCTTATCTGATGAGACCAGATTAACTTTTTCTCATCGCATAGGCATCTCAAGATGGGGGCCGATAAGGATCAGGGTGTGGTCAATGTTGCTCCCGATGCCGAGGATAGCAACAAGCGACAGGATGGTAAGATCACCAGCCACTTCAAAAGTCTATGAGCTGCGGATAACTGACCTCCACACGAAAAAGCCACAGAGCACAGTGAGGTCCTCTCTGCCGCTGGGGTCAGTCTTGGATCCGACGATTCTGATCTGCCATGCCTGACTCTCCGCATGTGGGTAATCGGAATCGCCTTTTGTATATTCGGAAGCGGCCTGAACACGCTTTATACCTTTCGGTACCCCTCTATTACATTATCGCAGTCTGCAGTGCAGTTTCTCGCTTTTCCAATCGGTAGAGCATGGGAGCGCATAGTGCCAGATTGGACGGTGCCGGTGTTTGGATGGAAGCTCCGTCTTAACCCGGGACGTTTTAATCACAAGGTGAGTGGAGTATCTCCATCGATTCTCATTGCGGTTCTTGACATTCTATAGGAAAATATCTTGATTTTCATCATGGCGAACCTAAGCTTTTTCACTCGCCTCAGTGCCGATGTCTTGACCGAGCAACGATACTTTTACGGTGTTAAGGCGGGGTGGGGTTTCGAAATAATCATTACGCTAGTAACGATTCTCTTTGGTTTCTCTTTGGCAGGGCTTTGTCGCTCTATCATCGTTGAGCCACCGGAGATTCTCTGGCCCGGAGTGTTTGGAGATACTGCTCTCAATCATGCGTTACATTTCGCAGGGAAAGCGGAGGAAAACAAGTAAGAATCCAGAGTTGTGTTTAGAAATACCACCAAGACTGATAATAAATACCACAGGTCCAATAAGTCAAGCTGGAGAGCTTCACGCTATACATTTTTCATGATTGCGTTTAGCATCTCTTTTGCTTGGTACTGGTTCCCGGATTTCATTTTCCCTGCGCTCGGATATTTTACCTTCATCTGCTGGATCGTGCCGAAAAATGCCGTTGTCAATCAGGTCTTCGGCATGAAGAGTGGTATCGGCCTGCTTCCTCTGACCTTCGATTGGAGCCAGATTGCATACATCAGTTCACCACTCGTAGCTCCTCCGTGGGCTATCATGAACATTCTGGCTTCGCTTGTGTTCTGGATATATATCATTTCGCCGGCTCTGTACTACTCCAACACCTGGTTCTCCGGCTACCTTCCGATCCAGAGCAACTCTGTCTTCGACAACACCGGGTCGACGTACAATGTATCGAAGGTCATCAACAAGCATGATGGATTCACCTTCAGCCCCGAAAAATACGAAGCCTACTCTCCGGTAAGCAGTTTCCAAGCATGAACCTTCCCGCTCTTGCTAACAAGCCCTAAAGCTCTATATGCCTGTCACCTACGCGCTCAACATGTTTGGCTTATCATTTGCAACAATTCCGGCCCTGCTCATATGGATATTCTTGGAGAAGAAGAAGGAAATGACACAAGCCTTGAGAGGTGTTCTGAACGTAAAGCAGCACATACGTGCGAGTCAAGCCCAACCAGGTTCAGTTCCTTCGTGGTGGTACTTACTTACCGGTCTCATATCCCTCGGACTGGCAATGTTCGCGTGTGAGTACTACCCAGTGCAACTGCGCTGGTACGGCGCGCTCTTCGCTTTCTTCGTCTCTTGTGTCTTTTTTGTCCCGGTAGGCAATGGACACCACGTCCCCTTGAATCGCGCTCCAGCACTGACACAAACCCAAAGCTCGCCATGGTCTACGCAACCACGAACCTCAAAATCAATATCGACGTCTTCTGCCGCATCGTCGCCGGCTACGCCTTCCCGGGCAAAGTCCTCGCCAACCTCTGGTTCTTCGACCTCGGCTACATCAGCGGCATAAAAGGCCTGCAATTCGCCCAAGACCTGAAGCTCGGCATCTACTGCAACGTACGCCTAAATCCCCCACGCATTCTCCCTTACCATTTCCATCTCCACTAACGCCCTCCACCCCCCTCCCAGATCCCCCCACGCGCCCTCTTCCTCGTCCAACTCACCAGCCTCGCCATCTCAACCCTCAGCCAAGTCTCCGTCGTCAACTGGGCCCTCACGCACATCCCCTCCATCTGCACCGCCGACGCCCCCAACGGCTTCACCTGCCCCTTCTCGCGCACGCACTTCAACACGAGCATCATCTGGGGCGCCATCGGCCCGCGCCGCTTCTTTTCCTCCTCCTCCGGCGGCTCCCCCTACCACGGGCTGCTCTACTTCTTCCTGCTGGGCGGCATCCTCCCGGTGCTCGCGTGGCTGCTGAAGCGAAGGTACCCGACGAACAGGATCTGGGCGAAGGCGCACGTGCCGCTGTTCCTCGGCGGGCTTAACTACATCCCGCCGGCATCGGGGACGAACTATGGCAGCTGGGCCATCGTGGGGTTGGTGTTCGGCGTGCTCGTGAAGCGCAAGGCCGCGCGCTGGTGGAAGAAGTACAATTTCGTGCTGAGCGCGGCGCTGGATTGCTCGGTGGCGATTGCGGGCGTGATTATCTTCTTTGCTGTGTTTTACTCTGGTGCGTCGAAGCATCTGAGCTGGTGGGGGACGCAGGTGTATAAGGTAAGCGTGAAGCCCTCCATCATCTGGTATCCCTTTGGCGCTCCTGACTAATCGGTGCTTTAGAATACTTGCGATTGGAAAGCGTGTCCGTATCGTGAGCTTGGGAAAGGGGAGACGTTTGGCCCGTGATGACAGCAAGACTTGGAAAATATGGTAAAAAGGCTATATCAATTGACCCGCAGTTAGCCACTAACAATTTGTTCTCTACTTCCTTCGACAGAAAAACCTTCTGTCCAAGGCCAAGGTAGTTAGAAAAGAATACGAAACCCCAAATATTGCCAATGGACCTAATCAGTCCCGACTGGTCAAGCCAGCCCCAAAACAGCTCGCGCATTTTGTCTACCCCAAACTCCACGCTCCCTAAAACATGTTTGAAAGTCCTGCTTCAAACTCCAGGATACAGCAATCACATCAATCCGGCGGCCTCTTATCCACCCAGCTCGCCACAATCCCCTTACACACCTCCTGATAATCTTTCCACACTTGCTCGTCCTTCTCCATATCCTCCGTCGTCCAGAACATAGTCCACTTACTCCCATCCCACGCATCCAACTTCAAAGTCCCTGTACTACGTTCAAAGTACCACTTGTTCACCGGGTTATCGCGCCTACTCCTCCACACGACACCATCCGGAAAGCACGTCCGAACCATCGCCTTGAACACGACATCCGCCACACCACCAGAACCCTGGGCACGCTTCAGAACCGCGAACTTGTCTAGGTACGGCACGGGCGGGCGCGGGATACGCTCGCCGTTGGGTCCTATAGCGTCGGGCGGGTATTCCCAGGTCAGGATGGCGCCACCCTCGTACTCGCCGGCGATGATGACGCCAGCCAGCTTGTTCTTGATGCGGTCGAGGTAGTGCTGGACGTCGAGCTTGCGACCGAACGAGTCCTCGATCAGGTGGACGAGGCGCGGGAAATCGATGCGCGGATCCGTGAGATCGAGGCTGGGCTCGCCGGGTTGCGGCGGCCGCCATGGCTCGATGTTGGGGTCGGGGATCATGGTAACGGGCATGCCGCGTTTGACGAATGTTGCGGGCATAATGGAGGGGATTTGAGCGAGAGGGGAATCTGGGTGGGAGGAAGATACCATGGGCTTGTCGGTGAGGAGATTGTGGATGAGAGGGTTCTTCTGGCGTCGAGTGCGCACACCCGGAGTTGAGGGGTCAGAAGAAATGGCAGAGATAGCAGCTTCTGCAGGGGTAAGAATCAACGCCGACGAGACGGGCGGGAGAAGTCTCAATGTCCTTTCGACCAAATCCAGGTTCTTGAGGTGACGTAGAGGCTTGTCTGGAGACCCCAAGACGCGGGGATTTACGGGAGGAAGAGATGCCAGTTCTCGTTTCGTAAACTTGGCGAAAGGGTTCGGGAGCCAGCCCTTCTTCTTGGCCTGTTCCGCCATGGCTATCTGAGCCTCCTGAAGGTCCTTTCTGATAGCTTCGTATTCCTGTTCCAAGTTGATGAAAACGTGGGCGCGATCATCGCGGTTAGGGAATGGAATTCCACCCAGGGGATCCAGCACAATTACCCTCTCCAGCGTAATTTCCTCTGACGGTCTCGCGGTGACTTTCCTGTCGGCGATGTGTCGAATACCCGAGAACTCACGGGTCAGAGCAAGCATAGCGTCGTCGGGTTGGATCCTGGTGACCTTGAAGTCACCTCTGGTGAATGCTATGGGCGGAATAACGGGAATCTTTCCACCTTGTAGGAGTGGAATTAGGAGGTTCGGGTATTCAACATTAACGCCGCCCCGCACTTCAACCTTGCTCGAGAAGAACTCGTTCTCAGGATTGGAGATGCTGAGGGCATCGTTGATGCGCACTCCGCCCTGGGGAGTGGTGCGGCAGAGCGATTCGACGACGCGGTCTGCTTGCTCGTTTGCCTTTTCCCGCCATTCTTTTGTGATCTTCTCCGGCGCATCCGGAGAGCCCTCCTCGTCGCAGTCGACTACGACCGCTATGCTCAGACCGAGGCGAACGAGCTGACCAAGAGTCAAGCCCACGCCGTATAGGGTTCCTTCATCCCACAGATCGACAGCTCTGACCTTGACCAGAGCAACGTGCAAGGGCTGAACGACCTCTTCTTCTGGAATAGTCTCCTCGGGCAGCTCCTGGTGAGTGAAGACAGGGCTCTCCTGCATGGCTTTGGTTGGAGCATACAGGTTGCCCAAATTGACGCCTGTCTGCTTCAAGCGCCAGCCATTGTTCTTCTCGACTGCGGCGGCAGTTTGGCGCTCCAGCTGCTGCCCATATTTCTGGGCGGTGCGCTGGGCCTGCTTCTTTCGCGTTTGAGGCTGATAGCGAGCGAGGTAGTTGCGGGCATCGCGCTTTGTCGCGGTGGTACTGAGTACAGATAGGATAAATTCGCGCTCGTGATCGACGTGGTCCGGGTTGACAGTTGTCGGCGCAGTCACAATGTCGTCTTCTCGGGGATCGGGGCGCACGCTGTTTCCGAAGCTTGCGGTAGGTTGACGGAGGCGCTGGAGAGACACGGAGGAATCAATGGCAGCTGTAGACTGGTGAAGGCAACCTGTTAGCCAGGGGAATGTGGCAGAGCGAAGTCGGAGTTAAGATTTGACGGGTCAAGACGCACGCGAGGGCGCAGACGAGCAGTGGAAGAAGCTCGCGCCGTGAGGGCGCTGCGGAGGACGCTCATGTCTCAGAGGACGAAGAAGGCGCTGCCTCGAGCGAAGAGCGAGAGCAGCAGCTTGGGCATATCTTTTGGTGGTGAGGAGTGAGTCAAAGAAGAGCTTGATCAAATTGCGCGAGCCGCGGGCGCCGCGCTGCAGCAAAAATGACGCCCTATCGATAACATGCCGCACGAGCTTCCCCGCGCCAAGCGCGCTGCCTTGCATCCGAGGCATCTATGCCCCGAGCAGGGCTTGCATAGCATCGCGATGAGCAAGATGAGACTTTTCTTTTGTCTGGGCGGAATCCCATTCTGCAATTGCATTCTCATTGATGCTTCATGTATCTGCCCACGTACAACTGTCGGGGAAAGGCGGAATTAACTTCATGCGAATTAATCAGCCCCGCACATCCATCACTCGCATGTGCCGATAGTGCGATATATAAATACCCCTCATGTTGCGTGGAGACTCTGATTCCATAAATCGCTCGCTGAGCAAATTTGAACACTGAGACATTAACAATTCTCTCCGACAAACCACGCAAAATGGCGCCCCAGCTGGCTTGGATTGGCCTCGGCAACATGGGCAGAGTAAGCGTGCAATCGGATCTCCACGCTTTGTAACTGACCCATGGGCTGCAGGGCATGTGCTCCAATTTGGTAGAAAAGGGAAATCTGGAGAAGCCGCTCATTCTCTTTAACCGTACTCAGAAGCGCGCCGACGACCTCTCGGCCAAGCTTCCCTCGGGCAAGTCTACCGTCGTCTCGTCGGTCCAGGATGCCGTGAAGCAGGCTGACATCATCTTTACTTGTGTTGGCGACGATAAGGCCATCAATGAGACCATCGATTCTGCTCTCACAGTAGACGTCACCGGCAAGTTGTTTGTCGACTGCTCCACTGTCCATCCTGAAACCAGCGATGCTCTCGCGAAGAGGATCTCGGCAAAGGGTGCCGGCTTTGTGGCCAGTCCAGGTAAGTTTTCCAGCTCATCAGTCTTTAATGCGTATTTGTGTCTGTATGAATGCTTCAATTGCCCATCGTAGACTGCTACACTCAGCAAGCCCAGTGGCACCAAGATGTAACTGACCATCATTAGTCTTCGGCGCTCCGGCCATGGCGGATGCTGGCCAGCTCATCTTCGTGCTGGCGGGCGAGGCGTCCTGGATCGAGAAGGTTAAGCCATACACAACCGGTGTCATGGGCAGGGCCATCATCGACTTCAGCGGACAATCACACGGCAAGGCCACGCTGCTGAAGGTCATCGGCAACACGTTCATCTTCAGCATGATCGAATCCATATCAGTCGGCCACACACTGGCCGAGACATCTGGGCTGGGCACCGACAACCTGCACCAGTTCATCGAGACCATGTTCCCCGGCCCCTACGCCGCCTACTCCAACAGAATGCGGTCCGGCGACTACTACAAGCGCGAAGAGGTGAGTCATCCTATACCATAACTAGGCAGCGCTGACTTTCCTCGTGTCTGCTGCAGCCGCTCTTCCAGGTCGATTTGGCAAGGAAAGATGCGCGCCACGCGCTGAGCCTGGCCGAGGCATCAGGCGCGAAGCTGAGGTCGGTCGAGGTGATCGACTCGCACCTTGAGGGCGTGCAGAAGGCGTGTGGTGCAAAGGGCGACGTTGCTGGCATCTATGGCGCTGTGAGGGAGGAGAGCGGTCTGCCTTTCAAGAACGGGCCCTGAGAGGAAGCTGTTGGAATGCGACCATTCCATAGGAAACAGCCCTGTTCCCACTTAGTCCATTGACTCAGACTGTACCACACCTTTCCAGACACGAAATTGAAGACAACTTCCATCCGAAGAGATCCTGCTTTCACGGTACCATGTGCAGCAAGGCAACGAATCACCGACGTGGCTGGTGGTTGACGATCGGGCAAGATGTGGATCCTCGCTGGCGATGACTCCAACAAGATGACTCGCCTGGAGCACGTTTTGCGGGGAGAATCGCGGTGGTGTCGGCGGAGGTGCGGGTGCGGCTCCGATGGATGACAGCTTGACTCTGTGTCATCTTGGCGCCGTCCTTATCTCGAATGCGCGACTCCCTCCATCCACCTACCCGTACATCTGTCAACCCCAGTCCATCGCTCGCACTGCTACAGGTCCGCTACCCGCACCCTAGCCTGTTGTCGATCCCGTCGACATCGCCCTGAGTCCGCGCCCGCGCTTGCTCAGCACCACTCAGTCTCCCCCGCAATCGTCGCGCCACTGCCTTATCGCCGCCGACCCCTCCAACCATGGCCATTCCAACAACTCCGGCCGCGCCTCGCGTCTCGCAACCTCCGGTGCCTGAGGCGCCCATCGACATTGAGGCCTGGACCGAGGAGGCTTCGGAAGCCCTTGGCGCCATTCACATCACCCCTCCCGCCGCGCGCATTGCGCCGCCTACCGCCATCCGCGGCACGACCGTGACGCTGGACATCCCGCTAGACGACCATGTGCAGCCGCATGCGCAAAGCGGCGAGAATGGCCAGGCCACGGCTGCTCAGGCCGTCCGGACTGGATACACGCGCCGGCAGGAGCCGCTCCGGCGCGACAGCTTGAAGCGGCGTGAGGCCCTCCTGAAGGGCAAGGAGGGCAGCCGCCAGCGGCGCCGCTGGGAGAACGGTGCGTGACGATTGTTCCCTGTGCTTCGTGGCCTCGTATTGCCATCCCTGAGAGCGCCCCGATTGTTGATTGTCTGCCTCGTAACAGACCGCCTCCTAAACAACCCTCACGCCCAGCCGCCGCTCCCTAGCGATTGGGAGGTCCGCCCGCAGTACCAGTTCCACTATGTGCCGTACGCCGTCGCGTCGTATTGGGACAAGGAGCTGGCCGCGCGCAACGCGGCGCGCAACACGAAGGGTGCCAAGCCGGCAGTGAGCAAAGAGGAGGAAGCGGCGGCGGAGGCGCTGAAACAAGTGCGCGAGCGGCTGAAGAAGAAGCGCGCCGCGCGCAGCATGCTGGAGGACATCGAGCGCGAGGTGCGCAAGTTCGTCGAGAAGTGGGAGGACCGGGCGCGCAAGGACGAGCAGGACGATCTGATCGACCCTGATTCTGAGGACGAACAGATCGTCTTCGTCGGCCGCAACGGCCAGATGAGTGACATGCGTGCGGCCGAGGAAGAGCTGCGGAAGGACTTGATGGTCTTCGACAGCTTGGTGGGCGACCGTAGCGCCGCGTTTGGGTGAGTATTGCGGTGCTGCCGTCCCCCGTCTCACGCGCGCTGACCCCGTCACAGCCGCTGGCTCGTTCACTCCATCGCCGCCTACTATGGGCTCGAGACCTGGTCCATCACAACAGGCACACCCGCCAAGCGGGAGGCGTACATCGGCATCAAAGAGAACAGGCGAAAGACCGGCCACAGAAACGCCATGCGCAGGCCATTGCCGCAGCCCTTGTGGAGCATGGTTTGAGTCGGCTGTAGATCTGCTTGTTGATGATGCATTTGCATGTTCTTCGCTGTGCTTTAGTAGAACTTTTTAGAAGACGCCGCGCTCCGTCGACATTCGCGGCGCCTGTAGAAACGACAAACACCCAGTAACCTCGCAATCATAAGTTAAAAGGTAGCGCTACCTTGGGGAGTTTAAACATTCTATGGACAGGATGTCCGTACGATTGCTTCAGCTCCCCATGTTGCAGTTGCCACAAATTACCCTCAACCACGTAAAAGTGATCAACCGCCTGCTGCTAACAGTTCTTCAACGCACCTTAACTTTGCCAACGTGAACTGTGCCCTTGTCTTTCCCTTGAGCCGTAGCTCTACGGTCACCTCACTTTCTAAACCTGATCATTCCTTTCTGGCGGGCTACCACCTACATTAGTGACACCCGCAAAGTTCGCACAGCAGCATCTGCAAAACATCTTTATTCAAATTTACCAACATGTGCCAGCTCTGTCAGCTCACCACCATATCAAAGCGCGATCGCTGGGTACGACTCGTTCCCAGCTACCTCCCTTGCACCTCACATACCCAAAACTCCTCCTTCGTCTTCCTAAAGACAACAAAAAGTGAGCAAGGAAACTAACACGCAATTTCACCACAGCCCAAGCCCCTCGAGCCCGCGCTCTCCTCCCTGCGCGACACCATCAAGCACGCCCACCCAGAAGCCGAGGCGTACAGGAACACCACCACCACCACCACCGAGGCCACAAAGAATGACCTCCGCACCAAGCTCAAAAAGACCACCGTTCTCATTCGCACCAACCTCGACCTACTCGACAAGGAGCGCGACGAGTGGTGGAAGGCAAGAGCGCAGCTGCGCCGCCAGTCGACCGAGGCCGGCGACGAGGAGAAGCTGAAGACACTGCAGCTGATCAACAACAGGGTCACCGACATGATGAGGGACATGCGGGCTAGGCTGGGCGTGTGGGTGCGGTGGGGCCTAGAGGTCAAGGGGGAAGAGTTGGAGGTGGAGCCGTAGCGTGTTTGCCCGGGGGGTGGGTGCGAGCGGAGCTGGACTGGACGTCGTGCGTGTGGATTTGGAAATATGGCGAGAGGTGCTCCGCTTTGCATGAAAGACGCAGTACATATAGTCGCACTTTTTTTTCTCCCTCCGTTGCTCAAGTCACGGCGATGGTATGAGTCCTTCGAACTATCGTGTGGAGTGTGCGCACGAGCAAAGACTACCGCAACCTTGCGAATATTATACAGAACACAACATGAGGTTGGAGAAGTTAGAGATTGATCAAAATCAATATTTAAAGGTAAAATTATAATTATTGAATGTATTTAGATTTTTTTACTTGTATTTCATTCAGCGTGATTTTATTTTAGATGTGAAAGGGGATTTATGATTGAAAAATGATAAGCAAAAACAACGACTTGACGAGAACACAATGTCCGCACTAAACGCCACAGCTTAATGCTCGCAGTTTCTTGTAACTTTTCTACTCAACCTTTTTCTTTGTAATTAAAAAATATTTTATTTCAAAGAACAGCGTATAGGTTAGATAATCTTTGCTTATTCTTCAACAAAAGACTCACGTTACGCGAGATTGATCATAGCAGAACTGCTCCTCGTCTACTGAGTCTAAAATAATCCAAACAACTGTTTCTATTATTTCCTAGTACCTGTAATTGCCATTGTGTACGATAGTAAGAATTAGGAGATGCATCGGACACTGACAATGTTACACTGCACGAAGCGCAGATACTTCTTATGGCAAGTAGATTTTCTAGCCCCGAGATACCCCATCTTCTGCTCTTTGCGGAATGCAGGGGGCTAAATATCACGCCAATTACACCCCCAAGAGCGGCATAGCAGATAGAAGTTTTCATGAGACTATTGCGATGCTTAGAGTTGCTACGGTAGAAAGAATTTTACTATACTAAGGCTGAATTTCGTTCTTACTACAGGGCTATAGTCGGTGCTGGAGTAATTTCTTGAATTCATTCACAGGGGATCCACTTTCAGAGCGGTGTCGTCTAACCCTTTGCCACTGCGACGGGGGTTATGGCCCTGGGTCAGATCACCTTGCATGAAGCGTTTCCAACCTAACAGGTGCCTCCCAAGCTTATCGCGCTATCAAACTTCGCTAGTAGAAGCTACCAGACCTTTAATCGCTGGCTTGTAGACTCGAAGAAGTGTTAAAGAGGCCGCTTACAGACCATCTCATTTTCTTTGAAGGGGGTTGTGTGTCGCAGGAAGTGACCAGGCATGTGCGTAATTTGTGCAAAAAAGATCGTTGGCAAGGGGCGGCAGTCTCCTTTAAAAAAGAAGAGCAGCACCACACTTCGAGAATGTGCACGTCCTTTTCCTAGCATGGTACTTGACAACAATTGAAAAAATTTGCATACATGGTATAAAACAGCGGAGCCGAACGTGACCTGCACAAGTGTTGGCGCCACACAGACCTCGAATTTCTGGTTGGGGTTTGTCAAGCAATTGTAAATGGACTGCTGTGCTGTTTCTATGTGACCATACAATTCATTCCGCCATGTCAATGGCTTCAGCAAGAATCCCAAAAAAGTCTACCTGATAAGTGGCCGGAAAAGTCGGCAAGTCTTGAGCGGCAAGGCATGGTAGGACCCTCTCTGCGTAGTGGCCAAATTCCTGGCCGAAGAAGCATTCTCGGACAGCTCGGACCTTTCCACGAGCTATCAAATGTCAACAACGGGCGTTGCCAAGGAGTTAGTCGGGCAGTATGCCGTGGCAAACGCCAGAGCCTTATCGGAAGGCGCTGTTCTCTCGGGCAACAGGGCATGTTCGTATATAAATTCTCTTAAGCAAGCAGACCCACACAGGCGGGTGCGTCAGAGTGAATACCCGGGAATCGCAGATCTACGTAGACCGGAGCCTCGTCTCTACTTGGAGTGTGGGGGTGTGAAAACCACGACTGTGGTTGAATGCGCGGCAAAAGCATTTCGCAGACAAGGCGACCTTCAACAAAAGGAGTACAGCACGGGTGCGTTTCAAAGGAGTTATGCAAATCCTCTGATGTTCCATACGCAGAGTGCTATGGCACTGCGATGGATTTTGTTACGCTCAAATCGCCTTGGGCTGAACACCAGCGATGAGAGGGCGCTAGTCCCGAAAGGGAAAGAGGAGCGAGGTGGGGAACAAGCCTCGCCAAGAGAGACGCGTCTTGTCCGCACACAACATCAACGCCACTTCTGCAACACCGGCCTCAACGCAGCGCGTCGACTGATCATTAACGATGGTGCAAGGCGAGGATCGAAAGGATCCACCCCTGCGGGGCGTGGCTGCGGCATGCACAACCCGCGTTCCTGGTCCCTTCAAGGAAACATCATGAGCAGATCACAGGCGATAGTCGAATTGCAACATGGCAATCTCTGGAGAGCGCCCATTGTCGTCCACGTTCTGCTTTAGCAAAATCTCCCTTACCTTGCGGCGACCGAAGCGCGGGAAGCCAGGCCCCTGTTTTGCCCCATTCTTGCGCTTCTTCATTTCGCCCATTCTCAGGACTACATATTATCTAGAGCTCTGAACCAGCTTCACTTTCCCTCACAAGCTACTCTCGCTGCTACGTTCAGTCAGTCGTTCTGTGCGTTAATTCGTTCATTTCGAATTGTTTTGGAGACTTCGGTCTCGAGACGGTCGTGACGATAATACAGCGCCCAATTTCGCCCGATTTTGACCATATCACGAAAATAGTAAGTAATACTGTCTGTGGATAGATTGACATGTTTTTGCGCAGCTTCGGCCTGGTGGCCGGCCTCTTGCTGCCACCGGCTTCCGGTGGCATCTTGGGTCGCCGCCAGGTTGTCGTCCACAATCCGGACTGCATTGTCGAATACGACGTCGTGCCCACCATCTACCAACAACCGGTCGCCGTGAGGACCCGTGTCTCACGCCCCACGACTATTTCCATCGGACCCGATGTGGCCATCACAGTCTATTCTGATGATGTCCCCACGAATATTGATACGGTCGTTACTGTCTACTCTACCCACCTGGGAACAAGAACACACACACTCACGATCAATCCTTCCGGTTCTGGATTTACAACAACAACCACTCGTGTCGCTGCGCCTGGAAGTTCTGTATCTTCTAGCCTTTCCATGACCCTAACGAGCACTTCATTTGGTGGTGGTGGACTTGCCCCACCAGTAAATACGAATTTGGCTCCTCCATCACGCAGCAGCTCTACGAGTGTGGTAAGTCTCTGTCTAGCGCATCTGATTCTGGCAGCAGTGTGCCGTTTATTGGGACTCAAGCGTTCACGTTTCGGTGCACTTTGAGAAAGAAGACTAACATACTCGCCAGTCCTCCTTTCGGTCATCACAATCCTCCTCCCGGAGGTCATCATCCTCCCGGCGGTCATCACGATCCTCCAGCTCTGAGGTATTTAGTTTGAGTTTCAATTCAGCCCCGGCTGGTCCCAGTTCCTCGAGATCGTCGCGGCAGTCACTCATCAGTGGTAATCCGCCTACCAATTTGAACCCAGCGTCCTCATCATCCACCAGCTCCAGCTCCTCGACTGCCACAGCTGAGAGCTCCTCAACTGCCACCCCGGCTGAGGGTACCTTAGGCACTGGCTCAATTATTGCTTCATCATCGCAATCTTCAGCTGTTGGCTCCTCAGCCGCTACTTCAGAAGCTGTCGCTCCACAATCTTCAGCCTCAACTAGTACTTCTGTGTCAGGCGGCGCGCAAGTCTCCAGTAGTACCTCGACATCCTCGCAAACTCTTGTCCCTGGCAATCCGAACACTAACCTAGGCCAACTGGGTTCATCATCCACCAGCTCGCAAGCTCCAGCTCAGAGCAGTAGCATTTCAACTGGTATTTCCAGTCTGGGATCTTCAGTGTCCGGCGGCGCCCAGCCTCCAGCCGAGAGTGTTTCAAGTAGTGCTGCTGGTCAAGTCCCCCCAGTGTCTTCCTCGCAGCAATCTCTTGTCCCTGGCAATCCGAACACCAACCTGGGCCAAGGGACTTCAGTACCCAGCGGCGCAGAGTCTTCAGCTGGGGGTATCTCGGCGGTATCTTCCCAGCAGACGCTCTCGGCTCCCTCCCAGCAGTCCGTCATCCCTAGCAACCCCCTCACTAATTTGGGCCCGGCGGTTTCGTCCTTTGTCACTTTGCCGTATCTCGGTGCAGTGCCAACGACTCTGACCGTCACATCTGGCTCAATAACGGAGGGTGTGGTGCTCACTCCCGCTACCATTACCGCATTTACTGGCCCGACAGCCACCAGCACGTACACCGCGGGCTACGCTGGATTTACCACCACCACGTTAACGATTGTTCCAACCCCAGGTGGCGCCAATGAGGCAACTCTGATCATAGAAACACCGACAGCTACCTTGCCGCCACCTAGTACCATCACAGCAGGACCAACTAACAGCATCTCACCCTCTGGTGTGTTCACTTTGACATACTTTGGGTCGACTGCTGCCTTTGTTACCGTGACAATTGGTGGCATACCGCGTATTTTGTACATGGTCCCCGCAACTCGGTCCGTCTCATACTATGCCACTGCGACAACTACCATTTATGCGGTCGCCACTGGTACTGTTGCAACTACGTTGACAGTCGTCCCGACAAGTGGTGTCGGAACCGTTATCATTGAAGTCCCTAACACGGCTTTGCCACCTCCCCTGAGCAACTTGAACCCTGGAGGCGTCACAGGTCGTCCGGTTGTTGGTCTGCCTGGGCCAGTGACGCTGGTGGCGACCGTTGGCACACAAGAGCAAACTGTGGGCCTTGTTCCGGCGTCCATCACCACATACACTGGTCCTGTAGGCACGGTTACCTTGACTGTTCCCTATACCGGCTCGATCAGGGTCACTGCAACGATACTTCCCACCGGCACTGAGACTTTGGGAACAGCAGTGGTGTTCGAACCAATCGGCACTCCCCCCACTGGTCCAATTTCTTCGGCGTCAGCTGGACAAAGTGGACCTGGCACAGCTGGGCCCCCAGGAGGCCTCCCAACCTGGCCGTTCCTGACAGGAACCGCTCCCTCTATCGCGACTCTCCCGTTTGGACCGTCAAGTTCTCCAATTGGCATTGTTCTGAGCCCGTCTGCCGGTCTTGTGTTCCCTGGAGGCTTATTCCCAACGATTATTACTGTCCCATACCCCGGCACGACACCCACCCTCATCACCGTGATACCGCCGGGTTCTCAACTCGGTACTGTCGTGCTGCAGACCCCAGCCAGCCTTGGAGGTTCACCCATTGCTTCCGTAGGTCTTTCTTCAGGTGGTCCTGCAGTCACGCCTTCAGGTGGTCCTGTAGTCACATCTTCTGGTGGTCCTGCAGTCACATCTTCTGGTGGTCCTGCAGTCACGTCTTCTGGTGGTCCTGCAGTCACGCCTTCTGGTGTCCCTGCAGCCGTCAGCACCTTGCCTTACATCGGTGATTCGACTATCTCAATAGTGACAGCCACGAGTAACGGCACGCCGATAACGTTTGTTATTACTCCTGTACCTACGCCTTCTAGCATCCCCGCCATCGATCCGAACAACCAGATCACGGTGGGTTGGCCTGGATCTAGCACTCGGACTCTGACCCTCGTGCCGACTGAGGTTTCCGCGCTGGGAACACTCCTGGTTCAGACACCAACTGGTCTCACCCCCTCGAGCACGTCTCCTCAGCTGCCTCTAGTCACATACTACATCTCAGGATCGACGACCATCAATGGTATCGCTACGTATGGAGGCAGCACGACTAGCCTGTCTCTGCTCCCAGTCACCACGAGCACAGTCTTCACTGGCTTCCTCGATGTCTTCTTTACGTTGACCATGCCCTACGATGGGACGGAGACACAGACCCTGACGATTCTGCCAACTGGCACGAATGTCGTAGGCATTGTGCTCATCGAGACGCCAGCAGGAGCTGCACCTACGGGCCCGCTAATTGATATTTCGGCATCTCTCGGTCTTGGCCAATCTCCCGGTGTTGGCCTATCTATCGGTGTTGGGCAGCCGACTATCACAGCCCCGCCGGTCTCATCTCCTGCCATTCCAACAGACGCCATCGTTCAATTCTGTGTCGGCTGCTCAACCACGAGAACGGTGGTTGCGACCCTCAATGGCTCCGTTAGGACGATGTTCGTTGTTCCGCTGACTTCGTCGCTCCCCTCGCGGATCACGATTCCTGTTGCCTCTTCAACCTTGACCGCCGCTTACAGCGGTAGCACTGCGAATACGATCACATTGGCTCCTACGTCGCCAGGTGGTCTGGCTACTGTCATGGTTATGACTCCGTTTCAGTCTACATCATCTTCCACTCCGTCTCCTGCGGCTGTCCTCTCATCTTCTGCGGTTGTCGTTCCGTCTTCCGCGCTCGTTTCGTCTTCCGCGGTTGCTATTCCGTCTTCTTCGGTCAGGACCCTATCTTCTGCGGTTGTCGTCTCGTCTTCTGCAGCCAGTATCCCATCTTCTGCAGTGATTCTGTCTTCCGCGGCCATTTCGTCTTCTGCAGTTGCCATCCCGTCTTCTGGAGTCAATACTCTATCTTCTGCGGCTGGACTCACGCGGCCCTATGTCGGAATTGGAATCAGCGCCACCTTGGCTATTCCCTCGCTTGGTGGTGTCGCGGGTAGCCTGGGTGTGGTTTTAACACCTGCTCCCACCCCATTCACCGGCGCCGTTGATCCTTCAAGAACTCTGACGGTGCCCTGGACGGGAGCCTCTGCTGTGACTATCACACTTCTTCCTACAGGCACAGAATCACTTGGCCAGATTGCCATCCTTACGCCAGTTCTTGGGTCCGCATCTCAGACTGCTGGTTCTCCGATTGGCGGAATAAGCATTGGGGTCGCTTTGCCATACGTCGGAGGCGTTAGTACCCTGATCATTTCACCAACGATTAGTGGGCTGCCGCTGAATGCTGCGGTGACTTTGACGCCCGTCGTCAATACTTATCTGAGCATTCCCGTGGGCCCGGTCACTTGGACGGTACCTGCACAGATTACCGCTGCCCAGACCATCACTATCCTGCCCGCTGGAACGAACTTGATCGGGACGGTCGTCGTGCAGACGCCCGCTAGCGCTCTGGTTCCAATCGGCGTTAGCAACCTGTTCCCAACTGGTGCGGGTAGCACCATTGGACAGCCTTCAGGCGCCAGCGGATTGCCTTCTGCCTCCAGCGGACAGCTTTCTGGTGCTAGCGGATTGCTTTCAGGTCTTACAGGGTCTGCCACTATTTCACTTCCAAATGTTGGCATCCTGACGCTGCCTTACATTGGCGGTGGCGAGACTCAGACCATCACACCACTCATTTCTGGTGCCCTTGCGACGCTGGCTCTCACTCCTACGCTAACTACCTACACCGGAGCGGTGCAAAGCGGCATCCTGACACTTCCTTATAGTGGCTCGACATCTCGCCTTATCACAATCTTGCCTGCGAACGTGGCTACTGGACTCGGCATAGTAGTGCTCCAGACCCCTACTATTGCGGCTTCGGCTTCGGCTTCGCTGAGCCCTTCGGCGCTACCGACTGGCCCGATCACCAAGCCATACCTTGGCGGTCTCTCTCCCACAGTGATTACGCCTATCATTAACGGCATACTGTCCACGGTGGCTCTTAGCCCGACCACTGGCACTTTCACAGGCCCATTAGCCGCTTTGACGCTCACTATTGTTGGCTCGCAACCTACGCCCGCTACGTTGACTCTTCTCCCAGTCGGAACCGATAGCCTCGGAACGATTGTGGTGGTTGTTCCTTCCACTGCCGTCGTGTCTCTGCCCTCAGCCGCTACCAACCTTGGTTTGCCGACTGGCCTGAGGACTCAGGGTTATATTGGTGGAAATGCTCTCGTGACCATCACACCCACCGTCAACGGTGTTCCGACACCAGTCTGGATCACGCCGGTTCAGGTAGGCTTCACTGGACCCTTCGTGCCCTACACTCCGACAATCGGCTATGATGGCTCAATCATCGCCACCTTGACCCTGCTTCCTGCACCGGGAGAGACCCAAGGCACAATCGTAGTGGAGACTCCGACAGCACTGCTCTCCTCCTCCGTTACGATAGGGATCCCCTCGCGTCCCCCCATCGTTGGCCCCGGCGGTCTGCCTCCAACGAACAACAACGTGCCCTACGTCACTGGAACTGCGACCACCTTCGTCTCAGCTACGATGGGTGCTGCCACGTACACCTTCACTATGGTCCCAACAACCACGCCTTATACTGGTCCGATTGACCCTGTGAACACGTACACGATCGCTGGTCTGTTCCCGACGACGTACACTATGGTCCCTACTGGCACCCAAACACGAGGCACTATCATAATCCAGACAGTACCCGCGTCTCTCTCGGGTCTCAGCACGGTAGGTGCTTCGGCATCTTTGAGTGCTGGCACGGCTGGCGCTTCTGCATCCTCCGGCCTTTCTGTGGCTGGTCCTTCAGGCTCCATCAGCGTTCCCGCGGCTGGTGCTTCAGGCTCCTCTAGCCTTCCCCTGTCTGCTCCTTCGGGCTTGTTCAGCGCTTCCGCGTCTGGTCCCTCAGGACCACCTTCTGGTCCTCCCACCGCTAGTGCTTCAGGGCCCTCCGGCATTCCCGCGGCCAGCGTTTCCATCTCTGCTGGTCTCTCTGCTGGTCTGTCTGTATCCGCTCCTCCTGTGCCTGGTGTAGGCTTGAACCTTCCATACATCGGCGGCACATCCACTGTTCTCGTTCCTGCGAGGATTGGCGGTGTGTCCGGCATTCTTACACTGACGCCAGCAACTGTGGCCAGCTGGAATGGTGTGATCAACACGGCCACGCCTTTGACTGTCGGATATGCCGGCCTGACGCCTGTCACGTTGACCGTCCTCCCGAGTAATCTGGCTGATCTAACGGCCACTGGCTTCCTCGTTGTCCAGACACCCACCGGCTTTGTCGCCTCGTCCGCAAGCCCGTCGTCTATCCCGACGTCGACCCGGCCATCCATCCCGGCGTCCACCCTGACGTCTATACCGACTGGCGGTCTCTACCCGTATGTCCTTGGATCCAACCCCATGACCATCACGCCGATCTTTGCTGGTTTCCCGGTGACCTTCACTTTGACGCCAGCACCACCCGGGACTTTTGCGGGCGCGATCGACCCGGCTACTACTTTCACGATCCCGTGGACTGGAACTGCCACGACCACATGGACGATTCTGCCTAATAATCCGACGAACACGGTGGCCACTCGGGTCGTTGCCACTCCTGGTGTGGTCCCGAGTCAGTCTTCAGTTGCATTCAGCTACACCACAAGCACGCTCGGCTACTCTGGGTCTGTCATCTCGACGTACACGATTACACCCACCGGAGTAATTACGCCTGGGCAGGTTATCACTGTTGTTGTGCAGACTCCTTTCGCACTTATTTCGCAGCCGGGTCTCACAAATCTGCTTCCGGGCTCGCCCACAGCGTCCATCATTCCTAGTGGGACTTCCATTTCCGCTGGCATCCTCGACCGTCCGTACATTGGCGGCACCTCGTCTGGCCCGATCACCGTTTCAGGAGGCGGCCTCGTCGTTCCGTCCGTGATTAACCTTGTGCCAGCGACTGGCACAGTCTTCGCAGGCCCGGTCAACCCCTCGGTCACTCTGACTGCCGGGTACCCAGGAGCCGTACCTATAACGGTTACTCTGCTGCCCCTTCCCGGCCAGACAGAGGGAACAGTTTTGGTCCAGCTTCCTACGGGTACTGGATCCACGGGCTTGACTGTGCCGACCGGTGCCGGAAGGCCGTATATCGGTGATATTACGAGTGGCGTTGTTGCCGCAGCTACTGTTCTCGGCGGACTTCTCACTCAGATTACCTTGACGCCGGCGACGACAACGTTCACAGGACCATACAACCCGCTCGTGACTTTCACAGCGATCTGGACAGGCTCAACTACAAAGACCTTGATCCTCTTGCCGACGGGTGGGCAGCTATCTGGCACAACTCTACTGCAAATTCCGCAACCAACCGGTCTTTCCGCCAGCGTTCCCATTGGCTTGCCCTCGGTAACTGCTGCGCCAACGCTCTCGGCACCGGCTCGCCCGTACATGGGTGATTCGGTAACTGACTTGGTCACTGCTTCATTTAACCTTGGTCTTGGTGGTGTGTCTCTGACGCTTCTTCCGCTTACTCCGTACAGTGGCCCTATTTTCACCGGGCGTCTCAACACATTGGTCACGTTCACGGCATCTTGGACTGGCTCAACTACGAGAACATTGACATTGCTGCCTACTGGCACTGACACTGATGCAACTCTTTTAGTTGAGGTCCCACGGACGGCGGCTCCCTCGGTGATTTCATCGCTGCCGGCCGCTTCTGGTCGCCCGTACGTTGGCGATGTGACAGCCGGTGTTATTACTGCCTCTCTAGGTATCGGTGCGCTACCCACACTATTCCCCCTGACGCCCGCCCCATTCGCTACCTTCACTGGGCCTATCAATCCTTCTGTCACGTTCACGGCGCCATGGACCGGCACAACTACAAAGACGTTGATTTTGCTGCCGACTGGCACTGATACCGCCGGGACTTACCTACTGCAAGTTCCATTGACGGCTGCTCCTTCGCCCACGGGTTCGTTGATTCCGCCAGGCTTGTCGCTTTTGGTACCTTCTGCTACTTTGGCCAGGCCATATGCTGGTGACAGCACCGCCATCGCCGTAACTGCATTGCTCGGCATTGGTGGTCTTCCAACGGGACTCTTCCTTACGCCTGCAACTGCCTCATTGACTTATCCAGTTGATCCGGCCAACACATTCTTTGCACCGTACCCTGGACTTTCAGTTAGAACCTTGACTCTGTATCCCACGGGCACACAGACGCTTGCGACGTATCTAATTCAGACTCCGGCGTCTGTTGCCTTTTCTGGTCCATCTGCGAGCTTGCCTGGTATTCAAACTGGCGTTCGGCCGTACTTTGGCGACACGACACCAGCAGTCATTACCGCTGCCTCAATCGGTATCTCGGCCGGGCTCACGACCTTTTACCTCAGCCCAACGGCCGTGCCATTCACTGGCCCGCTGGCGACTGTTACCTTCACTGCGCCTTGGGCTGGATCGACGACGAAGGTCTACACGCTCTTCCCCACTGGCACTGATGTGGCGGGTACTGTCCTTGTGCAGACACCTGGAGTCCTCAGCTTGCCTAGCGGCTTGACCGGCCTCGCTTCTCCTACCATCACCTCCTCGCCTGTCAACACGATAGGATTCCCTCGTAAGATGTACGTGGGTGACTCAACATCTGGCCTTATCACGGTTTTCCCGTACGGCTCAACCGGTCTTCCCGTTACGTACTCGCTCGTGCCGTACACGGGCACTGTTAGCTTCACTGGTCCTTTCGATCTCATTACGTTGATGGCGCCTTACGATGGAACGGCCGTCAAGACGATCACGTTTCTTCCTGACGGTTTTGGTGAGCCTGGCACCTTGGTCGTAGAGATTCCTCGCCCTGCTTTCGCCAGCGCGACCGCTGCACTGCCCGTTCCGTCTTCGGTTTCGCCTCTGGCGTCGACCGGCAGGCAGTACTTCGGCGACTCCACCATTGCGACCTTCACGGCAGTTCCCTGGAATGGCATTTCGGCCATCGCGTCGCCAACCGTTTTCACGCTTACGCCTGCCACGCTGCCGTACACTGGTGCGCTTCAGCCATTCGCCGAATTTACCACTCGGTGGACGGGTCTCACGACTAGGACTTTAACGATCCTACCTTACGGTACTAACACTGCAGGATCGCTGTTGATTGAGATCCCTGGCGTTACTCCTGCTGCTAGTCTGTCCAGATCTCTCGGTGCATCTGTATCGCTACCTTCTCCAGCTCTTCCATCCATAGCGCTGTACGATGGAGACACAATAAGCGGCGTTGTAACCGTCACCCCGATCTTGGGCGGCGTCCCCGGACCTGCGCCAATTGTCCTTACTTTGATACCTGCTCCTACGCCCTGGTCAGGCCCGACTGATACCGCTGCGGCCGTGACGGTTCCATGGACCGGCACTGCTTCTCGCACGCTGGTTATCCACCCCACTGGCACCGACACAGCCGCCACACAGCTCATCGAGATTCCTGCGGGCGCCTTCACTCCATCGGCTGCGCCTTCGCTCTCCGCTCCGGCCTCTCCCAGGCCTTACGATGGGGGCAGCACGACAGCACTCATCACCGCGACGCCTTTCAGCTTAACCACCCTATCCAACGGCTTGGTGGTTCCCGCGGTCGGCCTGCCCACGACGTTGGTTCTCACTCCGGCCACGGCTCGTTACTCTGGCCTTGTGGATCCTGTCACGACGCTGTCGATGATATACGGCGGGTCGACGACGAGCACGCTGATTCTACACCCAACCGGCGCACAAACCCTGGGTACGGTTGTTCTCGAGATTCCAGCCACCCCTGCGGCTTCCGCCTCGCCACCGTTTGCTACCACCGCCTCCGGTCTGCCATCCTCAATTGGCGCCGTGGGCCGGCCTTACGTTGGAGACTCCGTGATTGCCACTGTGACAGTGACACCCGGTGTATTCCAGCAAGTTTCAGGTGTTCCCGGCTCGAGCTTGTTGGTTAACTTCCCGCCTACGGCCCTCATCATCACGCCTGCGACGACGCCGTACACTGGTCCCGTCGAGGCGGCCACGAGACTCACGGCACCCTGGACCGGCCTGACCACGAGGACGTTGACGCTGCTCCCTCTTTCTGGCCAGACTGCGGGTACATTGCTTGTGCAGACCCCATTGGCGGGTTCTCCTGCAACAGGCTCAGCGTCTCCCACTGGGCCGGCCAGCCTTCCCTCTGCATCTGCCCTTTCGATTGGCCTTCCAGTTCTGTCGTACAATGGTGGTGATGGATCTGTTCAGACTATCACGGCTCTCCCAGGTGGAATCCTGGGCCCCTTGCCCGGCGGCATCCCGCTGACCTTTGTCCTCACACCTGCTACAACGTTGTACACCGGCTTAATTGACCCGCTTACGAGACTTACCGCTCCTTACTTCGGCTCAACTACGCAAGTACTCACACTGCATCCCGGAGCAGGTCAGTCGATTGGAACTATTCTGATCGAGACGCCGTTCACTGGTCCTACTGCTTCTGCTACGCCTTCTCTCCTTGGGCCGATCTCTCGCCCGTACTACGGCGGTGACGGTATTGTTGCGACTATCACGGCTATTCCTGGTGGAAGCTCTGGCCCAATCGCCGGCGCCGCTCCGCTCACCTATGTTCTCACCCCTGCTCCTACACCTTACTCGGGATTCGTGGATCCGCTCGTAACGCTCTTGGCACCATGGACTGGCCAAACGACGCGCACACTCACTCTCTACCCGCTCAGCGGACAGAGCGCCGGCACGTACTTGGTACAAACACCCAGTCCTTTAGCCTCACTGCCTGTGTCGCTTCTGGCCCCTGGCTCTGCTTCTGCAACCGGCCTGCTTTCGGCGTCTGCTCAAGCTAGCTTGCTGGCTCGCCCATACGTTGGCGGAGACGGCAGCATTGCCACCGTCACGGCTGCACCTGGCAATAGCCTCGGCCCGCTGGCCAGCGCCGCCCTGCAAACCTTCCTGATCACTCCCGCCCCCACGCCGTACAGTGGTCCCATTGACCCCGCTACCACGCTGACGGCGCCGTATGGCGGCTCGACGATCCGCACCGTGACCCTCGTTCCGCTCAGCGGTCAAACGGCCGGCACGCTTCTTGTCCAGACGCCACTCAATGCTGCATCCGGCCCAGCCACCGCATCAGCTACTGTGCCAGCCATCTTGAGCGGTCGTCCCTACCAGGGCGGCACCACCACAGGAATAGTGACGGCCACACCCTTTGCTGGCGGTTCGCTCATCGGTGTTCCTGGCGCCATCAGCTTGACCCCGGCGACTTCACTCTTCACTGGACCGATAGACCCCGTCACCACCTTATCGGCCTTCTATCCAGGTTTCATCACCCTGTCCCTGACGCTGCTGCCAACCAGCGGCGGCACGTTAGGCACGATCTTGGTTGAGATTCCGTTGACAGCGTCTGGCGCCTCCGCTCCGGGCTTCCCCTCTGCCACAGTCAGCGGTAGTCCTGGCGTGACTGCTGCAGTCCTCGGCGGAAGACCGTATCAGGGCGATTCCACCACTGGTACCGTCACGGCCACGCCATTCGTGGGCGTCTCGCCTATTGGCTTGCCTGGTGCGATTGGCCTTATCCCAGCAACTTCACCGTTTACTGGTCCAGTGGACCCGTCTACCACGATGACCGCTTTCTACGGCGGCAGTACGGTGAAGACCCTTACCCTGCTGCCCTTGAGCGGCGGCACACTTGGAACGATCTTGGTGGAGATTCCGGCCACGGCCTCTGGGCTTCTCTCTCCTACAGGGAGTGTTGGTCCTTCGGCGTCGGCTCCGGCCTTCATCAGCAGGCCGTATCAGGGTGCTACTACCACGGGAATCATCACAGCCACACCCTTCGCTGGCGGCTTGCCCGCTGGACTTGCCACCGCCGTCGGTTTGTACCCAGCTACATCGCCGTTTACGGGTCCACTGGATCCAGTTACTACGATGTCGGGCTTCTACGGCGGCAGCACGACACAATATCTCACCCTACTACCCACGAGCGGCGGCACGGTTGGAACCCTCCTGGTGGAAGTCCCGTTGACGGCCCTCGCCTCCGGCTCGGCGAGTCTACCTTTGCCAACTACAGCAGGGCCAGCGCTCGGCGGCCGTCCATACCAGGGTGGCAGTTCACCTGCAACCATTACTGCGGTACCTTTTGTTGGTATCTCTCCTATTGGCAGTCCTACCGCCCTCAGCCTGGATCCAGCAACGTCGTCTTTCACGGGTCCCATTGATCCGTCTACGACACTCACTGCCTTCTATCCTGGAAGCACGACGGCCTTCCTCACCCTGCACCCTACTCCTGGCGGCACTTTGGGTACCATTCTCATCGAGCTTCCCGCAACGGCTGCGGCTTCTGGCCTGCCGTCGCTCACTGCCTCTCCGTCGCTACCGCCGGCACAAATTGGTCGCCCGTACCAAGGCGACACCATCACGGCAACCCTGACGGGTACGCTGTTCGTCAGTGGCGTAGCAGCCTTGCCTACCGCGCTCAACCTGATCCCGGCAGCGTCGCTGTTCACCGGTCCTCTGGATCCTGCGACGACGGTGACCGTCTTCTACACTGGCAGCATCACCAAGTCCCTGACGCTCCACCCGACCTCTGGCGGCACGCTCGGTACCCTCCTTGTCGAGGTCCCCTTGACCGGAGTTCTGGGCTCGGCATTATCCGCCGGCTCTCTCAGCGCTCCGTTCCCCACGGGCTCTACGGCAGCACCGGCGTTGACTGGTAGGCCTGCTGCGGGAGTTATTGCCCCCGAAACCGTCACTGCGACACCGATAATCAGTGGCGTGGCATTTCCGGCCCCGACGGTGATGAGCCTGGATCCCGCGCCGCCGTTCTCGGGCGCCGTGGACCCGGCGACGAGCCTCACGGCGGTTTACACTGGAAGCACGACGAGGACGCTGACGCTGTACCCGACATCCGGCGGCACGCTCGGCACGATTCTTGTTGAGGTGCCTGCGACGGCTGTAGGCTCTGCGACGCCTTCCCTGGGACTAAGTGCCTCGGTGCCAGCGTTGGTGACTGGCAGGCCGTATGCGGGTGACAGCACAATCGGCACTGTGACGGCCACTCCGGTCTTCACGCTCTCTGATGGCAGTGTTTCAACTGGCCCGATCACGGCCATTGTTGTGGAACCTGCAACATCGCCGTTCACCGGTGTATTCGACCCTGCAACGACTCTTACTGCGCAGTATCCTGGCAGCACTACGAAGGTCTTGACACTCTACCCGACGAGCGGTGGCACTCTCGCAACGATTCTTATCGAAGTGCCTGCCACTGCTCTGGGATCTGCGGCTTCGGCATCAGTCCCAACGGCCCCCGTCTCGCCCTCAGGTCCGGCCACGGCCTCGGTCTCGGGGCCAGCGCTACTGAGCGGCAGGCCGTATTTTGGTGACACTACGTCGGGTATTCTGACGGCTACGCCTGTCATCTTCCAATTTACCCCTCCCAACCAGATTAACTTGGTCACTGCTTCACCCGTACCGATTAATTTGGTCCCCGCTGCATCGCCGTTCGCTGGTCCATTGGATGTGTACACAACGTTGACTGTGTTGTACCCCGGAAGCACCACTAGGTCCTTGACCCTCTATCCGACGCCCGGTGGCACGGCTGGCACTCTGCTCGTGGAGGTGCCGTCAAGTGGCCTCTTAACTGCCTCGCCTTCAGGTCCGGTTACTGCCTCGGTGTCAGCGCCATTAACTGGCAGGTCGTATTTCGGCGACAGTACTGCGACCATTATAACGGCTACGCCCATCTTCACCAGCCTTGGTGGCCCCGCGCTGCCAGGCCCGCTCGAAACGATCACCTTGATCCCCGCTTCAGCACCATTCACCGGTGAATTGTCTGCGTTCATGACGTTGGTTTTGCCGTACACTGGCAGCACTACAAAGTCATTGACGATCTATCCGACGCCCGGTGACCTGTACGGCACTCTCCTCGTGGAGATTCCGCTGAGTGGTTCCTTGGCTCCGCTTCCAGGGTCGGCTTTGGTTTTCCCCTCAGCTTCGACCGCGTCGGCACCGACTGGCAGGCTGTATCAGGGAGATAGCACTACTGGTGTCATTACCGTAACTGGGCTCGACAATCTGCCGACTGTTCTACCCCTGATCCCGGTGACTTCGCCGTTCACTGGCCCGGTAGATCCGTCCTCGACTCTTACAGTGCAGTACCCAGGTACCACTCCTCGGATTATCACGCTCCTTCCGACTAGTGGCGGACTGTACGGCACTGCAGTCCTTGAGGTGCCCTCTGGTGCCCTTTCGGGTCTTCCATCAGCTTCCACCGGCACGCCCCTAGTCCCGACGGCTCCGACAGCTCTAGCACTCCCTGGCCGACCCTACCAGGGAGGAACCACTACTGGGGTTCTTACTGCTAGCGACGCCTTTGGATCAGCAATCGTCTTGAACTTGCAGCCAGCAACAGCGGCATTTACAGGTCCCGTCGATCCGGTGATCACATTAACGGCTCCCTACCCTGGAAGCATCATCCAAACTGTCACGCTTCTCCCCATTAGTGGCGGGCTCTTCGGCACTGTACTTGTGGAAATTCCTGCTGCTGCTACCACCGCCTCGCCGATCCTTTCGTCTCCTGCTTCAATTTCGGGCCCAGCATTCACTGGCAGCCAGGGCGGTGCTTTGACTGGTTTCATTACTGCCACGCCGGTCGTTACTCTTCCTGGTTTTGGAACAATAACACTACCGCCCACCGCTATCCCGTTGAGTCGGGTAATTTCGTCATTTACTGGAGGCGTCGTTACAACGGCCACTCTGACCGCAGGCTACCCGGGCAGTGTTACGCAGACCGTCACTCTTATTCCCACTTCAGGTGATTCCTTGGGTACTTTGCTTGTGGAAACTCCCACAGTTCCTAGCAGCTCGGCGGCTCCAGCAGCCACTGGCCGGCCATATGTAGGAGACACAACGAGTGGTCTCGTCACAGCCACGCCCGTTACTAACCTCGGCAATTTCCAAATCTCAACGCTGGCACCCACTGCCATCGACCTAACTCCAGCGACCACGCCCTTCACTGGAGGCGTTGTTCCATCGCTCATCTTGACCGTCACTTACCCCGGAAGCACCACCCGGACAGTCACACTTCTCCCCACTGCTGGCGAGTCCCTGGGCACGCTTCTCGTAGAATTCCCAGGAGCGCCTACCGGCCCAGCTGCCTCCTCGGCACCTGGCTCGGCATCAGGTCCCATCTCTGCCGCGCCTTCCGGAACTGCTGCCCCGTCGGGATCCGCTCCAGCGCTCCCCGGCCGCCCATACGTGGGTGGAACGACACCTGATGTCGTCACAATCACGCCCACGACCACCGGCACCGACGGTCTCCCAACGGCTGGCCTGCCCACGACGTTCAACATCGATCCTGCGACAGCCTTGAGCCGTTCATTCCCTATTGCGGTGACCCTGACTGCTCCATACACCGGCGCCACCCCCCGAACGCTCTTCCTCCTCCCCACCGGTAGCGAAACTGCAGGCACGGTGCTCGTTCAAGTGCCGGCTTCGGCGTTGGCTCTGCCTTCGGGCTCGCTGCTGTTCTCAGGATCGGCTTTGCCTTCGGGCTCGCTCCTGTTTTCAGGATCGCCTGTGCCTTCAGCATCTGGCCCAGGCTCAGCATCAGCTCTACTATCAGGATCAGCCCTACCTTCGGCAACGGCTCCTGTCCTTGGCCCTCGACCATATCAGGGTGGCACTGCGCCTAGCATCTTGACGGTTACGCCAGCCATAATCGGCACTGATGGCTTACGCACGCCTGGCCTCCCCACGGCGCTTAGCCTCGAACTCGCTACTTTGAGCTTTTCTGGAGCTGTCGATCCGCTCATTACATTGACAGCTGTTTACCCAGGCACTATAGTCCAGACGCTGACCCTGTTCCCCACGCCTGGTGGAACTCTGGGAACCGTGCTGCTTGAAATTCCCTTGACGGCGGCCTTCGGGTCGCTTTCAGCAGCGCCGTCAGCATCGCCTTCAGCTGGAATAACTTCAGGCCTCGGCGGTCGTCCGTACCAAGGCGGCTCTGCCCCGAGTGTTCTGACGATCGCGCCGGTCACTCTTGGTTCCAACGGTCTACCGACAACTGGAGCTCCTACGGTGCTCAGCCTTGATCCGGCAACGTCACTCTTTACCGGCCCAGTTGACCCAGCAATCACGTACACGGCACCCTACTCGGGCACTGTTGTGCAGACCCTGACACTGTTGCCCACACCTGGAGGTACTGTAGGCACCGTACTAGTTGAAGTGCCCTTCACCGCCTTGGGTCTGCCAACGGCTTCAGCAGGAACGGCTTCAGCAGCAACGACCCCAGGCCTTGGTGGTCGCCCGTACCAAGGCGGCTCCGCCCCGAGCGTCCTAACAGTCGCACCAGTTACCATTGGCTCCAATGGCCTGCCAACGACCGGCGCTCCCACGGCCATCAGCCTCGACCCAGCGACATCGCTCTTCGCCGGCCCAGTCGACACAGTGACGTACACGGCCGCCTACCCGGGCAGCACCACGCAGACCATCACCCTGCACCCCACGCCCGGCGGCACCCTCGGCACCGTGGTCGTCGAAGTGCCTTCCACCGGCCTAGCACCGCCTGTACAGACGGCTCTGGCTACGGGAACAGCACTACCCCTTACCGGCCGCCCGTATCAGGGCGGCACCGCGCCGAGCATCTTGACCGCCACGCCAGTTACCCTCGGCCCTAGCGGTCAGCTCATCCCCGGCGTTCCTACAACTATCAGCCTTGATCCGGCGACGTCGAGCTTTGCCGGCGCTGTCGACCCTGTCACGACGCTCACGGCGGCGTATCCTGGGAGCGTCACGCAGACCTTGACGCTTTTCCCGACGCCTGGTGGGACACTCGGAACGGTTCTGATTGAGGTGCCGGCGGCGACGAGCGGCCTTCCAGGTGGCCCGTTGGCTGGTATCTCGGGTTCTCTCTCGGCTGGCCTGTCTATTGGTTTGTCAGCTGGCATTCCAAGTGGTTCGTCCGCTGGCATTCTGAGTGGTTCGTCAGCCGGCATCCCAAGCGGTTCGTCCATCGTGCCAGCAATAAGCGCTGGCCGGCCGTACCAGGGAGGTTCAGCGCCGAGCGTGCTGACGATTACGCCGATTTCTGTGGGTACGGATGGACTCCCGACCATCGGCCTGCCAACTGCCTTGAGTCTCGATCCGGCAACATCCCTCTTCACGGGCGGCTTGGATCCAGGAACTACATTCACGGCTACCTACACAGGCAGTACCACACAATACCTGACCCTCCTTCCCACGCCTGGTGGTACCTTGGGCACTTTGCTCGTCGAAGTCCCCGCGTCCGCGACTCCAGGTGTCTCAGCCACCGCTGCCTCATCCCCGGTCTTGTCGTCTCCCACGGCGGCTCCAGCCTTCCTCAGTCGCCCGTACGTAGGCGACACGACGACGGGTATCTTGACAGCTACACCGGTCCTTACTCCGGGCACAAACCCACTGCCACCCGGCTTCTCTGGTATCGTACCGCTGGGACCGGCCACTGCCTTCGGTCTTGTGCCGGCGACGACGTCCTTCACGGGCCCGGTGGACCCGGTGACCACCTTCACGGCCGTGTATGGGGGTAGTACGATCAAGATCATAACCCTCCTTCCTACCTCCGGTGCCACTCTGGGCACTGTTTTGATGGAGGTTCCTGTCGACACTGCGGCAGCATCGCTACCCGCGCAGCCTACGATCTCGGCACAGCCTACACTCTCCGCTCCAGTACTGAACGGCCGCCCGTATCTGGGAGACACCACGACTGGCACTCTGATCGGGACGCCCTTCGATGCCGGCATTCCATTAGGAAGCGTACTGGAAACGTTCAACCTCATTCCGGCAACCTTCAGCACCACCTTCCCGATCGATCAAACCATCACGTACACGGGCTTCTACCCAGGAACCACGACCAAGACTCTCACCCTCTTCCCTACCCCTGGCAGTATTTTTGGAACACTCGTGATAGAGGTGCCTGCAGCCAACACTACACCATTGATCTCGCCTCCCGGGACGGCGTTGGTGCAGCCTTCGTCATCGGCTCCAGCGGCCGCTCGCCAACGTGCCTACCAGGGCGATACGACAACCGGTTCTCTGTTAGCCACGCCAGTCAGCATTCTGGGCATACTGCCTGCTCAGATCAGCGCGGCGTTGTCAATTGGCCTACCCATTGCCGTCGACCTCACCCCGGCCACCTCACTCTTTACTGGACCGTTGGATCCGTCCACCACTTACACGGCTACCTACCCTGGCAGCACCATCAAGTTCCTCACGCTCTTGCCTACTCCCGGTGGAATATTCGGAACGCTCATCATCGAGGTCCCGGCGGCGGCGGCGGCGACTGCAACAGGGTCAGGACAGCCTTTGTTGTCCTCGTCACCCGTAGCGACGCCCGCTACGGCGCGGGCTTATCAGGGCGACACGACGACTGGCTTGTTGACTGCTACGCCAGGTGGCTCTCTGCTGCCGACTGGTGGTCCGCTCACGCTCATTAACATCATTCCGGCGACTTCATCGTTCACTGGACCGCTGGACCCGGTCACGACTCTTACGGTCACTTACCCAGGCAGCACTACTAAGTTCTTGACGCTCCTGCCTACTCCTGGTGGAACGGTTGGAACGCTTCTTGTGGAGGTTCCCGCGGCAACCGCTGGTGGAACAGTTTCCCTACCGCCTTCATCATCTTCTCCAGCAGCGGAGAATGCACGTGTCTACCAGGGTGATACTACGACGGGCGCTCTGACGATCACGCCGGGTGGCACTCTGTTGCCACCCGGTCTACCGGCGACAGTCATCAACGTCACCCCGGCCACTTCATCGTTTAGTGGACCACTGGACCCGGTCATCACCTTCACCGCCGTCTACCCGGGCAGTACGACCAAGTACCTGACGCTCTTGCCTACTCCTGGTGGCACAGCTGGAACGCTTCTTGTTGAAGTACCGGCAGCAACGACTGTTGGAACGGCTCAGCCTTCATCCTCGCCAGCAGCTCAGACCGCCCAGGCGTATCAGGGTGACACTACCACCGGTGTAATTACTGTAACCCCGGCCAATGGGATTCCGACTGCTATTAGCCTAACTCCAGCAACCTTCAGCTTCCTTGGACCTGTAGATTTAGGTAACATCCTTACTATATTTTACCCGGGCAGTTCTACTAAGATCTTGACGCTCTTGCCCACGCCGGGTGGCACGCTTGGAACGATCGTCGTTGAGGTGCCAGCGACAGGCATTGCAACGGTTTCTGCGCAAGCTTCATCATCGTCGCCAGCAGAGGCCAACGCACGTGCTTACCAGGGTGATACTACCACAGGCGCAGTTACTGTGACGCCGACCAATGGAGTTCCCACTGTCATTGGCCTGAGTCCAGCGACCTCGATCTTCACGGGTCCCGTCGATCCAGCCAACACGCTCACTGCATTCTACCCGGGTAGCACCATCAAAACGCTCACCATCCTCCCCACGCCCGGCGGCACATTGGGCACAGTCTTGATCGAACTCCCCACGCCCGTCTCGGGCAGCGTGCCCTTCGCCACGACCACTGGCGCAGTTGTTCCGTCATCAGCAAGTCCAGCTGCTGCGCAGACGCGGACGTACCGCGGCGACACGACCACGGGCGTCCTCACTGCCGTGCCATTCATCAACACCGACGGCATAGTCGATTTCGCCACCATACCGCCGATTGGCCCGCCCACGGCGATGAGCATGGTGCCCGCGACTGCCGCCCTCCCCCGCCCGCCGCTAGATCCGGACACGACCTTCACGGCCTTGTACCCCGGCAGCACGACCAGATACCTCACCCTCCTGCCTACCCCCGGGGGCAACAACTTGGGCACGCTTCTGATAGAGGTGCCTTCGCCCGCCGCAGCTACCACCAGCAGCGCCGCCGCTGTTCCCTCGTCAACAGGCCAATCCGCCGCACCACCACAGCAACAGCAGCAACAACGGGCCTACCAGGGCGACTCGACCACCGGCGTCCTCACCGCCACGCCCTTCTACAACCCCGGAGGCTCCCTCATCAATCTGAGCATCGCGTCGGCCATCGGCGCGCCCACCACGCTCGGCCTCACGCCCGTGCCGTCGACATTCATCCCGATCGACCCGGCGACCACTTACACGGCCTTCTACGCCGGCAGCACGACTAGGTTCATCACGCTGCTGCCCACCGCGCCTGGCGTCACTCAGGGCACGCTCCTCATGGAGGTGCCCGCGCCGACTTCCGTGTCCGGCATTCTCCCAGGTGCTTCGTCTCTCAGCTCGGGTCTCGAGCCGGCGACCAGCTCGTCCGCGACGGGCTTCTTCGGCAGCTTGAGCAGCTTGTTCTTCGGCACGTCAGCTACTGCCTCCCTGCAGCCCTCTGCCAGCGGCCAACCGCCGCTGCTCTCCGGCTCTCTCGGTCTCAGCGCCTTCGCACCCAGCCCTGGCGAGAGTGGCGCGTCTGGTCTTCTTCCCGGCGGCTCCTTCTCTGGACTCGTACCCTCCGGCGGGTCGGCTTTGGCACCTGGCGCCTCTTCGCTCTCTGCCGGCGGCGAGCAGCCGCTGCTGTCCGCGTCCGCATCTCTCGGCCTCGGCTTGTCTGTCTCCGGTTCGCCGGTTCCCAGCGGTAGTGGTGGCAGTGGCTCGTTGCCTCCGCTCATTCCACCCGGCGGAACGGCCTTGGTGGTTGGCGCCTCTTCGAGCGTGGGTGCTGGCCTCCCGACGATTACTTCAACTGTTGGTGATATTGCTTCGCCTTATACGTCGACGGGCGTGTTTGCTGCTGCTACCACAGGTTCGACGGTTGGCCCGCCGTTCACCGGCGTCGTTGTCTTCGTGCCCTCTTCTGGAGTGGCCTTGCCACTGACTACGACCATCTTCGGCAACTACGCGACGGCTTACACCACGACGGGTGCGTTTACGCCTAGCAGTGGTGCGCCGTTTAGCGGAGTGATTGTTTTCGCGCCGTTGACGGCCTCTGGTGGCCCCGGCTTCCCGCCGACCACGTCCATTTTCGGTGATTTTACTGCACCCTCGACATCGACGGGTGTGATCACGCCGGCAAGCGGATCGCCATTTAGTGGGGTTATCGTCTTTGTGCCATCGACGGCGGCGACTGGCAGCGGTGCGTCTGCGCCCAGCCTGCCAACTATCACGTCCATCGCTGCCAGTGTTGTTTCACCTTTCACCTCGACGGGCATCATCACCCCGCCTACTGGCACGCCATTCAGCGGAGTTATCGTCTTTGAGCCACAGACACCTGGCGGTCCCTCTGGTCTCATCCCCAGCGGCATTCCTACCGCTCTGATCTCTGGCGGCTTGCCTACAATCACCTCTATCGCCAGCAATGCCGTTTCGCCTTTCACCTCAACAGGCCTCATCACACCTCCCACCGGCACACCGTTTAGCGGAGTCATTGTCTTTGAGCCACCGACGGCTGCTGGCACATCTGTGCCCGGCTTGCCTACCATCACCTCCGTCGCCAGCAATGTTGTGTCACCGTTCACTTCCACCGGCATCATCACGCCTCCGACCGGAGCGCCGTTCAGCGGCGTCATCGTCTTCGTTCCTCCCACGGGTCTTCCCGGCGGCGGTGCATCTGGAGCAAGCTTCCCGCTTGTCACCTCGACCGTCGGCAGCATCACGTCGCCCTTCACGTCGGCAGGCCTCATCACGCCTACCGACTCGGCTGGCAGTACGCTTGGCACACCGTTTAGTGGCGTTATCGTCTTCGTGCCGCCGACAGGTGGCCTCGTCCCTAGCGGTGCATCTGCCCTGGCTCCCAGCAGTGGATCCGCATTGGGTCTTCCTACGATCACTTCGGTTGTCGCTAGTGTTGCTTCACCCTTCACGTCGACGGGCCTGATTACGCCTACCGATCCAGCTGGTATTGCTACTGGCTCGCCGTTTGCTGGAGTCATCGTCTTTGTGCCGCCTACAGCGGCTACGGTTCCTGGCGGTCCTTCTGCATCGGGTCTACCTACGATTACCTCGATCGCCGCTAGTGTTGCGTCGCCGTTCACCTCTACGGGACTCATTACTCCGACAAACTCAGCTGGTAGTGCAGGTGCTCCATTCAGTGGAGTTATCGTCTTCGTGCCGCCGACAGGTGGTCTCGTTCCTAGCGGCGGATCTGCCTTGGGCCTTCCCACGATAACCTCGATTGCCGCCAGCATTGCCTCGCCCTTCACGTCCACGGGTCTCATCACCCCGACCAATTCAGATGGCAGTACAGGTACCCCGTTCAACGGCGTCATCGTGTTCGTGCCGCCAACAGCCGCTCCTGGTGTGTCCGCATCGGGCCTGCCCACCATCACCTCCACCATCGCCAGCCTGTCCGGTATTCCATTCAATGGCCCTCCGTTCACTAGCACTGGTGTCGTCAACCCGACCAACTCGGTAGGCATTGCCACGGGCACGCCATACAGCGCCGCTGTCGTCTTCGTGCCACCATTACTCGGTGCCACTTCGAGCGGTGCAGGTCTGCCAACGCTCACCTCGTTTGTTCCGGGCCTGCCCATTCCTTTCACGTACACTGGTATTATCACTCTGCCGAACGGCACGCCATTTAGCGGCGTCATCGTCATGGATCCAGCCGCATCAACAGCCGCTGCTGTTTCTCCTGGTCCAGCTCTTCCGACAATCACCTCGTTCGCTCCGTCGCTGACCGCCCCTGTCACGTCGACTGGCCTGATAACTCCGCCGTCCGGCACGCCGTTTAGCGGTGTTCTCGTCTTGGATCCATCCACAGGCGCTGCTGTTTCCAGCGGTACAGGTCTTCCAACGATAACCTCAATCGCCGGCAGTGTCGTCTCTCCGTTCACTAGCACCGGTCTGATTACTCCGCCGACTGGCACTCCATTCAGCGGAGTTGTGGTCTTTGAGCCACCGACAGCCATCCCAGGAGGTCTTCCCACGATCACCTCCGTCGCCGGCAATCTTGTCTCTCCAATCACGAGTACTGGTCTGATCACCCCGACCAACGCAGCAGGTAGCCCAACTGGCACGCCGTACAGTGGCGTCATCGTCCTTATACCATCAATTGGCGCTGGTGTGGGTCTCCCCACGATCACGACCGTAGGCAGTGCGGCTTTCACTTCCACCGGAATCATCACTCCCACCGACGCTTCGGGCCGTCCCACTGGCTCGCCGTTCAGCGGAGTCATCGTCTTCGTTCCGTCAACCGCCGGCGGTGCATCTGGCGCAAGCCTCCCCACCATCACGTCGACCGTCGGATCTGCTGATTTCACCTCCACCGGTCTGATCACGCCCACAAACTCGGCAGGCATCGCAACAGGCACGCCGTACCCCGGCGTCATCGTCTTCGTGCCTTCGACAGGGGGCACTGGTGGTGGCTCGATCCCCGCTGGCACCCTTTCCGCGCCCAGCGGCTCTGGACTCTTCCTTGGAAGCATCAGCGCGAGCGGCGCTGCTTCGCTGAACCTGCCAACCGTGACGTCCGCTGTTGGTACCCTGGCCTCGCCGTTCACTACCGTCGGCCTGATCACGCCTACGAACGCAGCGGGAAGCCCCACTGGTACGCCGTTCAGCGGGGTGATTGTGTTCGTGCCGTCGACGGCTCTTGGTGGTGGCCCCTCGGGCCTGCTGCCATCTGGAAGCGGCGGCTTGCCCACCATCACCTTGACGAACACGAACTTGGAGATCCCATACACTTCCACCGGGCTGATCACGCCCACCAACGCGCTCGGCAGCGCTACGGGCACGCCGTTCCCCGGCGTCATCGTTTACGTACCTCCGATTCTTGGTTCCAGCGGCGGCGCACCGACGGCTGGAGGCCTCTTGCCGACGATCACCTCGTTCATTCCCGGCTTCCCCTTGACTATCACGACAACTACCCTCATCACGCCCACGAATGCGGCTGGTGTTGCCACGGGCACGCCGTACAGCGGTGTTGTTGTTTTCGCGCCTCCGCCGTCCGGTGGTGTCAGTTCGAGCCCTGGTGGTGCACCGAGTGGTGGTAGTGCCGCCGCCCCAGCGCCAACTGGTGGTGTGGTGCCGACGGTTACCTCATTTGTCAGCAATGTCGTCTCGCCTGTTACTACGTTTGGCCTTGTCACGCCGACCGACACGGCGGGTAATCCGTTCGGCTCACCGGTTAGCGGAGTCATCGTCCTGGCGCCTCTGACGGGCTTGAACCTTGGCTCTAGCGGCGCTTCTCCGAGCGGAAGCCTGCCGACAATCACGTCTTTTGTTGGCAGCGTGGTCTCACCCATCACTACGTTTGGCCTTATCACGCCTACCAACTCCGCTGGTATTGCCACCGGGTCACCGTTCAGTGGCGTGATTGTTCTGGCGCCATTATCGTCGGTGTTGAACGCTGGCTCCAGCGGCGCCCCTGGTGAAGGCTTGCCAACCGTTACGTCTTTTGTTGGCAGTGTAGTCTCTCCTATCACCACGTTCGGCCTTATCACGCCTACCAACTCGGCCGGCATTCCTACTGGTTCGCCGTTTAGTGGTGTTATTGTTCTTGAGCCCTTGTCGTCGGCATTGAACGCTGGTTCCAGCGGCACTCCCGGCGCAGGTTTGCCAACAGTTACGTCCTTTGTTGGCACTGTGGCCTCCCCTATTACTACGACCGGCCTCATTACGCCAACGAACTCAGCTGGTATTGCTACCGGGTCGCCTTTTAGTGGTGTCATCGTTTTGCTGCCCTCTTCAGCATTGAACGTTGGTCCCAGCGGCGCTCCCAGTGGAGTCCTGCCAACAGTCACCTCGTTTGCTAGTAACCTGGCATCGCCCATTACTACAACCGGCCTCATTACGCCTACCAACTCAGCAGGCATTCCTACTGGATCGCCCTACAGCGCGGTCATCGTGTACGATCCTGCTACGGCAGTCAGCGCTGCCATCCCCGGCTCCAGCAGCGGCGCCCCTGGCGGCGGGTTGCTCACGATTACCTCGTTCATCCCCGGCCTGCCGTTCCCTCTCACGACGACTGGCCTCGTTACGCCTACCAACTCAGCGGGTATTGCTACTGGCACGCCGGTCAACGGTGTCATCGTTCTCCTGCCCCCAGCGCTCAACACTGGCTCAGCTCCCGCCGCATCCACCACTCCCGGTGTTCCAGGCCAGAGCCTCAGCGGCCCAGCTAGCGGCTCTTCTACACCTGCGGCAGCGGCGAACTTGCCCACCATCACCTCGATTGTTAGCGGCGTGGTTTCGCCCTTCACCACGACGGGTCTGATCCCAGCCACGGATTTCGCCGGTGTTACAATTGGTGCGTCGCTCAGTGGCGTCATCGTCTTCCTGCCGCCGTCAGGCCTTCCCAGCGGTGGTGGCATCGCTCCCATTCCCGGGACGGCTTTGGTTTCTCCCGGCCCCGGTGCCTCGAGTGTGAGCGGTATTCTGGGTGCTTCTGGACTCAGCGGCTCAGGGCTTCCAAGCGCCAGCGGGCCCCCGGCAGCTGGTCTTCCTACCATCACTGTCACCTCTGGGAACACCGCTTTCACGTCGACAGGCCTCATTACGCCTACCGACTCGGCTGGAAGCGCTACTGCCTCGCCGTTCAGCGGTGTGCTTGTCGTTGTGCCTACAACGGGTCTTCCTACGATCACATTGGTTTCCGGAACCACTCCTTTCACTTCCACCGGCCTCATCACACCCACCAACTCTGCTGGAAGCGCTACTGGCGCGCCGTTTAGCGGTGTGGTTGTTGTCATACCGACAACAGGCCTTCCTACGATTACTTCCACTGCCGGGAACAGTGCCTTCACTTCAACCGGTCTTATCACGCTGACCAACTCCGCTGGAATCGCTACTGGTTCACCGTTCAGTGGTGTGGTTGTCTTCGTGCCTACACCGAGCGGTTCCCCAGCAACCGGCCTTCCTACGATCACCTCTACTGCCGGCAGTAGTGCTTTCACTTCGACTGGACTCATCACGCCCACCAACTCAGCTGGATTCGCTACTGGCTCCCCGTTCAGCGGTGTCGTCGTTTTCGTACCTACATCGGGTGCTAGCGGCCTTCCTGGAAGTGCTTCAGCACCTGGTGCCCAGTCTTTCTCTGGCAGCGCTCCCGTTGCACCGAGCGGTTCGGGATCTGGTCTCTCAGGCCTCCCAGGTCAGAGCCTTGGCGTGAGCGGTTCCTTGCCCGGCAGCCTTCCCACGATCACCTCGGTTGGCGGCAGCAGTTTGTTCACCAGCACAGGCCTCATTACTCCCACCGATTCGGCTGGCAGTGTTGGCACGCCTTTCTCCGGCGTCATTGTGTTTGTGCCGTCGACAGTTCCTGGTGCCTCTGGAATTCTCCCCAGCGGCGCTCCTACTGCCTCTGCCCCTGGCTTGAGTGCATCTAATCTGCCTACGGTCACCTCGATTTCTGGCATTAGTGCTTTCACTACGACTGGCCTCATTACCCCGACAGACTCAGCCGGCAGGACTCTTGGTACGCCGTTCACTGGTGTTATTGTTTTCGTGCCATCGACAGCCGGTGGACCATCTGGTCTTATTCCCAGTGGTGCTCTTACCGCTCTGCTCCCTGGCCAAAGCATCAGCCCGAGCGGCACTCCGTCGAATCTGCCTACGGTCACTTCGGTTTCTGGCAGCAGTATCTTTACGACCACTGGCGTCATTACGCCCACAAACCCCTTTGGCATCGCTACTGGCTTGCCCTACACCGGGGTCATCGTCTTCGTGCCCTCATCAGCCGCCACTGGTGCCCCGAGTCTCCCCACCGGCGGCGCTCCCAGCGCTCCTGGTTCTGCCGCCACGGACTTCATCCTCACCCCAAGCGGCTCCGCGCCCAGCCTACCAACGGTCACCTCGGTCGTTGGAAGCATCAGCGCCGTCTTCACCACCACCGGCCTCATTACGCCTACGAATGACTTTGGCATCCCTACGGCTTCGCCATTCCCCGGCGTAATCGTCTTTGTTCCCTCGGTATCAATTGGTGCTTCTCTAAGTCTCGGCATCAGCGGTCTCGGCCTGCCGACGGTCACCGTGTTTGGTAGCAGTGCGTTTACGACTACTGGCCTCTATCAACCTACGAATGCCCTGGGCAGTGCGATCGCGTCGCAGATCAGCGCGGTGATCGTCTATGTGCCTTCAACGGCCGCTGGCGCCAGCCCCGGAAGCACTGCTCTCCCCACGATCACCTCGATCGGCGAACGCGCCTTCACTACCACCAGCGTCATTACGCCTACCAATTCAGCCGGTGTTGCAACTGGGTCGCCGTTTAGCGCTGTGGTTGTCTTTGTGCCGTCGACGGCTGCCGGTCTCCCCACCGTTACCTCGATTGGCAGCAGCGCCTTCACCACCACTGGACTCATTACTCCAACCGACGCTTCCGGTGCTCCAACTGGCACGCCGTATAGTGGAGTGATTGTCTTTGTGCCCTCGACGGCTGCTAGTGGTACTGGTCTACCCACGATCACTTCGATTGCGGGCAACCTCGCCTACACCACCACTGGCCTCATTACGCCTACCGATGCCGCCGGGACTCCGACCGGAACACCGTATAGCGGCGTGATCGTTTTTGTGCCCTCATCAGCTGCTAGTGGCGCGAGCCTTAGCCCCAGCGGCCCTGCTCTGCCAACGGTTACTTCGATTTCAGGCACCATTGCTTTCACGACTACCGGTCTCATTCCAGCCACCAACGCTGCCGGCTTCACAACTGGGACGCCGTTCATTGGGGTCATCGTTTTCGTTCCTTCAACAGCGGCTGGTGGTGCCTCGATACCCGGCGTCGGTCTGCCAACCGTTACCTCTTTCGCACCTAGCCTGGTGTCCGCTCTCACAACCACTGGCCTCGTCACTCCTACCAACGCTGCCGGTATCCCAACCGGATCGCCGTATAGCGCAGTCATCGTTTTCGATCCCGCGACTGCGATTGGTGCCTCGACGCCCGGTGCTGTTCTGCCGACAGTTACCTCTTTCGCGCCGAGCCTGGCTTCTCGCCTCACAAGCACCGGCCTCATTACTCCTACGAATATTGCAGGCATCCCGACTGCATCACCGTACAGTGCCGTGATCATCTTCGACCCTGCAACGGCGATCGGTGCCTCAACACCAGGCGCTGGCCTGCCAACCGTCACCTCTCTGGCATCCAATCTGGTCTCCCGTGTGACGAGCACTGGTCTCATCACCCCCACCAACGCGGCCGGTATTCCCACCGGTTCGCCCTACAGCGCCGTCATCATCTTCGATCCCGCAACAGCCATCGGCGCCTCTACGCCTGGCGCCAGCAGTGGTGTTGTTCCGGGCAGCGGCGCCGCCCTGCCAACGGTGACCTCGTTCGCCAGTGGTCTGTCCGCGCCGACCACTATCACCGGTCTTGTCACGCCCACCAACGCGGCAGGCATTCCCACCGGATCACCCTACAGCGCAGTGATCGTGTTCGACCCCGCAACAGCCATCGGTGCCTCGACGCCTGGTGTTCCGGGCAGCGGCGCCGCCCTGCCAACAGTCACTTCGTTCGCCAGTGGTCTGGCCGCCCCGACCACCATCACCGGTCTCGTTACCCCCACGAACGCGGCAGGCATTCCCACTGGAACGCCGTACAGCGCGGTTATCGTGTACGATCCTGCTACGGCTGTCAGTGGTGTCTCGGGTAGCGCGTCTCTTCCTGGCCAGAGTGGTGGCCCTGTCCTGCCAACCGTCACCTCGCTCGCCAGCAATATCGCCTCCCCGACGACCGTCACCGGTCTTATCACCCCGACCAATTCGGTTGGCATTGCGACTGGAACGCCGTACAGCGGTGTGATCGTTTACGTGCCCTCCACCGCGCTCGGCGCTCCAGGCAGCGCTTCTCTCCCCGGCCAGAGCGGCCCCGTCCTACCAACACTCACTTCGCTCGCCAGCAACATCGCCGCCCCAACGACCGTTACTGGCCTCATTACCCCAACCAACTCAGCCGGCATCGCAACAGGCACTCCGTACAGCGGCGTAATCGTTTACGTGCCGTCTACGGCTCTTGGTGCCCCAAGCCTCAGCGCTCCCGGCCAGAGCGGCTCCCCCGTTCTCCTTCCCACCGTCACCTCGCTCGCCAGCAACTTGGCTTCCCCGACGACCATCACCGGTCTCATCACTCCGACCAACTCCGCCGGCATCGCAACCGGGACGCCGTACAGCGGTGTCATCGTGTTCGTGCCTTCATCGGCGCTTTCTGGTGGTGTTTCATCTCCCAGCGGAAGCCTGCCTGTCATCAGCGGAAGCGGATCGCTGCTGCTGTCCGGAGGAGGTCTCATTCCCTCCGGCGGCCCGGCGACGAACTTGGCCACTGGTCCTGCTCCCAGCGGCGGTGCTTCTGGCCTTCCGAGCGGATCGTTGCCGCTACCGTCTGGCAGTGCGCTCTTCCCGTCTGGAGGTCTCATACCGTCTGGTGGACCGGCGACCAATTTGGCCACCGGTCCCGGCGGTGCTTCCGGCCTTCCAAGCGGATCTCTGCCGCCATCAGGCAGCGCTCTCTTCCAGTCCAGCGGAGGAGGTCTCATCCCATCTGGCGGACCGGCCACCAATTTGGCTACGGCGCCTTCGGGAGGCCTGCCAAGTGGTTCAGGTTTGCCCGGCGGCTCAGGTCTGCCAAGTGCTTCTGGTCCAGGTTTCTTGAGCGGCTCGGTGTTGCTAAGTGCCTCTGGCCCAGGTTTGCTCAGCGGCTCAGGCTTGCTCAGCGGCTCAGGCCTTCCAAGTGGTCCTGGCCTTCCAACCGGCTCGGGTCTTCCAAGTGGCCCAGGTTTGCCCAGCGGCTCAGGTCTGCCCGGCGGCGCATCAAGCGGTGCCCCGGCAAGCGGCCTGCCTACTATCACGTCGACATCTGGCAGCCTTGCTTTCACTAGCACTGGTCTCATTACGCCGACCAACTCTGCTGGTTTTGCGACTGGTACGCCATTCTCTGGAGTTGTTGTTTTCGTACCTACATCAGGTGTCCTCAGTCAGCCTCCTTCGGGCAGCGCTGGCCTGCCAACAATCACCTCTATTGCTGGAAACTCGGCGTTTACTAGCACTGGTCTCATTACGCCAACCAATTCCGTGGGCAGTGCTGGTGTGCCGTTCTCTGGAGTCATTGTTTTCGTGCCCACATCGGGTGGCCTCAGCCAACCTCCGACAGGCTTGCCAACCATCACGTCCACTTCTGGTAACTCCGCGTTCACGACAACTGGCTTCCTCACGCCCACAAACTCTGCGGGTATTCCGACTGGCCTGCCGTACATTGGTGTGGTGATTTTTGTACCTACATTGGGTGCCCCTAGCCAGCCACTGTCAGGCTTGCCAACCATTACCTCGACAGCCGGCAACTCCGCATTCACTACAACTGGCATTCTCACGCCCACGAATGCTGCGGGTCTTCCGACCGGTTCTCCGTACACTGGTGTGGTTGTCTTCGTACCTACTTCTGGTGCCGCGGGCGCCCCCAGCCTACCCACAATTACGTCGACATCTGGTACCTCTGCATTCACCACAACTGGGGTTATCGCGCCCACAGATTCTGCAGGAAGCCCAACCGGTTCTCCTTACAGTGCCGTGGTAATTTTCGTGCCCACCACCCCTGCCCCAGGCGGCGCCAGCTTACCTACCGTCACGTCAACATCTGGTAGCTCTGCATTCACTACAACTGGGGTCATCACTCCCACTGATGCCACTGGAGGCGTTAATGGTGTTCCCTACACCGGTGTGATCGTTTTCGTGCCCACGAACGCTGCTAGCGGAAGCAGCACTCCGCCTGCCGGCGTGCTTGTTCCCCCACCAGGAACGGCGTTGGTTTCTCCCGCTTCGGGCACCGGCTTACCCACCGTCACTTCCACTACCGGTAGCTCCGCGTTCACGACTACAGGGCTAATCACACCTACCGATTCTGCGGGCAATGTGATTGGTACTCCGTACAGTGGCGTCATCGTTATCGTGCCCACGACCGGTCCCAGCGGAAGCGGTGCTCCAGCTCCTGGTGCAAGCAGCTCTCCCGGCGCGATTATACCCCCGCCAGGAACAGCCTTGGTTTCTCCCGCGTCTTCGCCGTCAGGCACTGCGCCTCCGTTGAGTGGCACTGGCTTGCCGACTGTCACCTATACCTCCGGTAATTCTGCGTTCACGACCTTCGGAATAATTACGCCTACAAATGCTGCCGGCATCACAACTGCTGCTCCATTTAGCGGCGTGATTGTGGTCGTACCTACATCCGGTGGCGTCAGCCAGCCTCCGCAAGGCAGTGTGAGCCAGCCTCCGCTCGGTAGTGGTAGCCAACCTCCGTTCGGTAGCATTAGCCAGCCTTCATCAGGCGCCGCCGGTCTACCTACTGTCACTTCATTTGCTGGCAGCGTGGTTTCGCCCTTCACGACCACCGGCCTGATCACTCCTACCGATTCACTCGGAAACCCAGGTACCCCCTTCCCTGGAGTAATTGTTTTCGCCCCTTCGTCTGGCACCGTCGGCTTCCCTACAGTCACCTCGTTCGCCAGCAACTTGGCGTCGCCTTTCACAACCACCGGAGTGATTACGCCCACCAACGCAGCCGGAATCCCAACCGGTCCTCCTTATACTGGAGTCATCGTCTTTGCACCTTCATCTGGCGTCGCCGGCTTGCCTACCGTCACTTCGTTTGCTAGTAACTTGGCTTCACCTTTCACGACCACTGGGCTGATCACACCTACAAACTCAGCTGGAATCCCAACTGGTTCACCGATTATTGGTGTTATCATTGTTGCACCCTTGTCTGGCGCCGCCAGCATCCCGACTGTAACTTCTACATCTGGTAGTGCCTTCTTTACGACTACCGGTCTGGTTACTCCTACGAACTCGGCTGGTATTGCTACTGGCACGCCAATCCCCGGAGTTATCGTTGTTGTGCCGATCAGTGCTGTTCCGGGCTTGCCAACTATTACTTCAACAGCTGGTAACTCTTTCTTCACCACTACTGGTCTTGTTCCGGCAACAAATGCCGCTGGTTTCACTACAGGCTTGCCATTCAGCGCTGTCATCGTATTCGTGCCGACGGCTGGAGCTTCTAACCTGCCTACAGTTACCAGGACTTCTGGTACCATCGGATTCACTGTTACAACCCTGATCACCCCCACAGATGGCGCAGGCAACCCAACTGGTACACCATTCTCTGGTGTTCTCGTCATCGACCCTGCGACTGGTCTTTCAGGCCCGCCTGTATCTGGTGCCTCCGGTCTGCCCACAGTTACGAGAACTTCTGGTACCGTCAGATTCACTGCTACAACCCTGATCACCCCGACAGACGCCGCAGGCAACCCTACCGGCACGCCGTTCTCTGGTGTCCTCGTCGTCGATCCGGCAACTGGAATTTCTGGCCCACCTGCATCGGGTGCTACCGGTCTCCCGACACCGGGTGTCTCTGGTTTCCCGACTATTACAGTGCTATCCGGTAGCATTGGATTCACTATAACGACGCTAATCAACCCCACGGATGCTTCCGGTCGCCCAACTGGCACACCATTCTCCGGTGTTCTCGTTGTTATACCGACATCTGGCGCTTCAGGTCTCCCGGCCTTCAGTGCTTCAGGTCTCCCTGTACCCAGCGCTTCGGGCCTGTCTGCACCCGGTATTTCCGGCCTGCCGACTTCTGGCGGATCACCTGGCCCCTCTGTCCTGCCAAGTGGTTCCGGTGCCCCCAGCGGTTCCATCCCGGGCATTCTAATTCCAAGCGGTGTCTCAGCACTCGGCCTGCCAACCATCACAACGACCTTCGGTAGTGTGAGCCAGCTGATCACTACTCTGTACACTCCCACAGACGCTTTCGGCAATCCTACCGCTACACCGTTCCCCGCAGTTCTCTATGTCGTGCCGACTTCTGGTGTCGCCTCTGGCATTCCTACGTTCGGCGCCTCTCTGAGCGCTGCTATTTCGATCGGTGGTGCTTCATCGTCACTCCCCATGCCAACGATCACCTCGACATTTGGCAGCGTCAGCCAGACTTTGACAACTCTTATCACGATTTCCAATGGCTTCGGGGCCCCTGTTACAGCTGTCACCGGGGTTCTCGTAGTAGTGCCAACGCCTGGCGCCTCTGGTGTTCCAAGCGGCGCCAACCCGAGCAGTGCTCCGCCAGCAAGCCTACCCACAACCACGTACACTCTCGGCAGCATTGCCCTGACTACCACTGGCCCCATTACGCCTACGGACTCTGCTGGAATTCCCACTGGGTTGCCTTTCACTGGAGTCATCGTCTTCGTTCCAACATCCGGTGCCTCGGCACCTGCGAGCGGTGCTTCGCCGGCAGGTCCTTCGACAATCACGTTGACTTCGGGAAGCGTGGTATCCACAACCACCGCTGTGGTCACTCCCACAGGTCCCGGTGGAGTTATTGTCGGCCCGCCCAATACCCAGATTGTCGTCTACGTTCCGTCCTCGGGCTTGTCGACAGTCACTTCAACGTCGGGCAGTACTCCGTTTACGACAACCGGGGTCGTTACACCCACAGGACCGGATGGAAGTCCCGCCGGATCGCCGTCCAGCGCAGTCATTGTCTTCGTTCCAACCTCTGGTCCAGCTGCGGGCCTGGGCACAGTCACCGTGACATCCGGAAGCGTTCCTTACACCACAACTGGCGTCGTGACACCTACAGGCGCTGGTGGAATCCCTGCTGGGTCGCCCTCTAGCGCAGTGATCATCTTTGTCCCAACTTCAGGCGCTCCTGCACCTGGCATGGCAACAATAACTTCGACGGCTGGCAACCTGGCCTACACCACGACAGGTGTGGTCACACCTACGGATGCGGCTGGCAACCCCACCGGCACTCCATCGAATGCGGTCATCGTCTTCGTGCCGACATCAGGCGCATCTACTCCTGGCGCCTTGCCTACCGTCACCTCTACTGCCGGAAACCTTGCCTACACTACCATTGGTCTGGTTACCCCGACAAACGCTGCCGGCATCCCCACTGCTTCGCCGATCACAGGTGTCATTGTTTTCGTCCCGACCCCTGGCGCGTCTGGCAGCGCGACAGCGCCTGCAGCGGGCGTGCCCACAGTTACATCGACCTCCGGCAGCGTTGCCTTCACTACTGTTGGTTTGGTCACTCCAACCAACGCCGCCGGCATACCTACTGCCTCGCCCATCACAGGCGTGATTGTATTCGTCCCAACACCCGGAGCTCCTGGCAGCCCGACCGCGGCCCCAACGGTCTTGCCAACGGTCACATCGACCACCGGCAACCGCGCCTACACTACCACCGGTCTGATCATTCCGACAAACGCCGCTGGCATTGCTACTGCTGCGCCATATACGGCTGTTATTGTGTATGTTCCGACCTCCGGCGCTGAATCGCCTACACCAAGCGGTGCGAGCCCAGCTGGACCATCAGCCGTACTCCCCACGATCACATCCGTATCTGGCACCTCCGCCTTCACGACCACAGGCTTAGTCACCCCGACCAACGCCGCAGGCATTCCAATCGGTCTACCCGTCACCGGCGTTATCGTCTTCGTCCCGACCTCCGCCGTCCCTGGCGGTGCCACCAGCCCAACAGCTCCGGGCGTGGGCCTACCAACAGTCACATCTGTATCCGGCAACTCCGCCTTCACAACCACTGGTCTGATCACTCCCACCAACGCCGCCGGCGCTGTGACCGCTACACCCTACCCGGGCGTCATCGTCTTCGTCCCGACCTCGGCGGCGGCCCTGCCCCTGCCCACGATCACTTCGCTATCCGGCAGCGGCGTGCCTTTCACCACGACAGCCCTAGTCACGCCGACCGACTCGACCGGCGGTGTCGCCGGCCCGCCGGTCACGGCAATCGTCGTCGTTCTCCCGACATCTTCTGGTCTCCCTGGTGCCGGTCCATCGCCGAGCTCAGCCTCGCCTGGTGGCGGATTGTTCCCCAGCGGCAGCGGCGGCCCGGCGCCAAGTGGCACTCCTGGCTTCTCCGCTCCCGCAACCGATCTCCTCGTCTCCGCGAGCGTTTCTGTCAGCGCTGGCGTCTCAGTTCCCGGTAACCTACCCAGCGGTGGCATCTCAGGCCTGCCAAGCGGCGGAGCGCCGAGCAACTTGGGCCCTGGCGGCGCGTCGCTGTCTGGTGGCCTTCCGTCAGGCGCTTCCGTTCCTGGTGTGCCTTCTGGTTCTTCTGGTCTTAGTGTACCTTCAGGCCCTGGCGGTCCTGGTGCTTCCGGCTCTGTTCTCCCCGGCAGTCCAAGTGTGCCTGGTGGCTCGGGTCTACCAGGCGGCGGTTCTGCCAGCGGCGCTCCTGGTGCTTCAAGCGGCTCTCAACTGCCATCTGGCGGACCTCTTATACCATCTGGTGGACCGCTGTCCAACTTGGCAGGTTTGTCAAGCGGCGCCGGTCTCCCCAGCGGCTCCGTTCTCCCCAGCGGTTCAATCGTTCCAAGCGGCTCCGGTTTGTTCGTGTCATCTGCAGGCTTGCCCAGCTCTCCAGGTTTGCCTGGCGGCAGCTCTGTCAGCGGCGCCCCGAGTGCCCCAAGCGGATCAATCCTGCCGTCTGGTGGTGCTCCTACGAACTTGGGCCCTGGCGCCTCAAGCCTGCCCAGTGGCAGCGCTCCCAGCGGTTCTGCTTCTGGCTCCCCAAGCGGCGCTCTCCTGCCTTCCGGCGGACCCCCCACCAATTTGGCTCCTGGTCCTTCAGGCTTGCCAGGTGGCTCTGGTCTGCCGAGCAGCGGTTCCTCTGCCAGCGGTGTTCTTCCCGGTGCTTCAAGCGGTTCTGTCAGCGGTGCTCCTGGCCCTTCAAGTGGAGGAGCTATCCTACCTTCCGGCGGAATCCCGAGCAACTTGGTGGTTCCTCCCGCTTCTGCGTCCGGTCCCTCAGCTGGCATCCCAGCAGTCAGTGGCTCTGCGTCATTGTCGGCTCCTGGCGTGCCTTCTGCTGGTTCTTCCGGGCCATCTGGGCCATCTGGACCAGGTGTTCTCCCGAGCGGATCTGTCGGTCCTTCTGGGTCTGCTGCTCTCCCTTCGGGCTCCGCCCCTGGCGCGCCTTCAGCCTCTGTTCCTGGTGCACCTTCAGGCTCTCTTCCTGGTGCTCCTTCAGGCTCCCTTGGCCCATCTGGACCTGGTCTGCCTTCTGGCAGTGGCGGCCCGTCAGCTTCCCTCCCGGGCGCGAGCGGCGCTTCTCTTCCAGGTGCTTCTGTTCCATCAGCGTCCGATCCTGGAGCTCCTGGAGCTTCCGGCTCGGTTCCGCCTGGTCCTGGAGTCAGCGGCCCTTCGGCTGCAGGCCCATCCGGCAGTGGTCCAGCGTCCGGCGCCCCGCAGTCATTGCCAACTGGCGGTATCGACATCGGCCTGTCAGCTTCTCTTGGTGCCAGCCTGTCTGGTGGTATTGTCCCAATCGGACCTACCAATCTGGCACCTGCTCCTTCTGGATCTGCCCCATCAGGACCTGGTGCTCCATCGGGATCCGGCCTTCCGTCTGCTGGCGTCACGCCCGGCATCCTTTCTACGATTACTCAGACCTCGGGCAGCGTGCCGTTCACATCCACAGTCGTCACCACGCCACCCGGCGCGTCTACCCCCACCACACAGGTCATCGTCAATATCCCGCAGACGGCGCTGGCCTCCCCGCTGTCCACGTTCACGCTCACTTCCGGAAGCGTACTGTTCACATCCACCCGCGTGACGTCGATCGGCTCAGTTCCGTATACTGATGTTGTTGTGGTCCAGCCTGTGACTAACCTCGCCGGCCCGCCCTCTCCGTCTGTGTCATCTCCCGGTCCCGCTGGCCCTAGTGCCTCTCAAGGCCCTGGCGTGCCCGGTTCTGGAGTTCCGAGTGCGTCCGCTCCTGGAGCTCCTAGCCCGTCTGCCCCCGGCCTGTCCACTCCAGCGACCCTTCCCGGTGGGGACCTGCTAACCATCACCTCGTACTACACCGGCTCTACTCGTTCCACCGCCACGGTTCCCACATATATCGCGTCAAATGGTCTTCCCTTGTCCACCTCCGTAGTAGTTATCTTCGATCCTGCAACTGCGGTTTCCGGCGGTGCGTCTTTGCCCACTATTACCGCCAATTACCCCGGCTCGGTTCCGTACACAACGACAGCTGTTACCAGCTTCACTGGCCCCGACGGTCTTCCAACTACCGGCCCAGCTGTTGTTGTTTACAACCCTGCATCCGCCTTGGCATTGCCTACAATCAGGACCACCTACTTCGGCTCTGTTCCGTCAACGACCACAGCGATTACGACCTTCGTTGGCAGCAACGGCCTCCCGTACTCTGGTTCTGCAGTGCTTGTGTTTGACCCTGCTACCTCTGGTGCCGTGTCAACTCCTGCAAGCCTGCCTACAATCACTACGCCTTATACTGGAACCGTCACGTTTACAACTACAGCGGTCACTACCTTCATTGGTAGCAACGGTCTGCCATACTCTGGCTCCGCCGTGATTGTATTCGACCCCGCTACTTCTGCCGCAGCGTCTCTTCCCGCGGTCCTTCCTACAATTACTACTCCCTACGCTGGATCCGTCACATCGACAACCACGGCCGTCACCAACTTTGTTGGAAGCAATGGCGCTCCATACTCTGGCTCTGCTGTGATCGTGTTCGTGCCTGCTACTTCACCAGCAGCCCTTCCCACGATCACTACTCCTTACGCTGGATCTGCCACGTTCACAACTACCGGTGTCACCAACTTTGTCGGCAGCAATGGGGTTCCTTCCACCGGTTCCGCTGTGATTGTGTTCATTCCTGCTACCTCCCCCGCAAGCCTTCCTACAATCACTACGCCATACGGCGGATCTGTTCCCTTCACAACCACGGCCGTCACAACCTTTACTGGCAGTGACGGACTTCCCTCTTCCGGTTCCGCTGTGGTCGTGTTCATCCCTGCGACAAGCACTCCCGCAGTTCTGCCCACAATCACCACCACTTATGCCGGATCCGCAACCTCTTTGGCTACAGCCGTCACGAACTTTGTCGGCACCAACGGACTTCCGTCATCCGGTTCTGCCGTGATTGTTTTCGTCCCTGGCACAAGTGCCGTCTCTGGACCCGCAATCCTGCCCACAATAACCACAACGTACAGTGGATCCGTGCCCTTCACAACAACGGCAGTCACTCAGTTCGTCCCCAGCGGCGGCCCACCGTTCTCTGGTCCTGCAGTAATCGTATTCAACCCGGCGACCAACTTGGCACCTCAAATTCTTCCAACGATCACTACGACATACCCAGGCGCTGTTCCATTCACCACGACAGCGGTGACTCAATTCATTGGCTCCAATGGACCGTACTCTGGGTCAGCGGTGATTATTTTCAACCCTGTCACCGCTCTTTCGTCCCCTGCAGTCCTACCTACGATAACGACAACGTACCCAGGAACTGTTCCATTCACTACAACGGCTGTAACTCAATTCAGCGGTGCTACCGGCCTGTACTCTGGTTCCGCGGTCATTATCTTCAACCCTGCCACACCAGCCTCGTCTCCTGCAAGTGGTTCAGCCAGTGCGCCAACAAGTGGAGGTTTGGTCATTCCATCGGGCTTGAACAGCAACTTGGCTTCTCTGCAGCCGCAGTCTACGCCTGGAAACATTCTCACGATTACCTCGACCTCGGGTAGCATTGCTTTTACTACCACCGCGCCCTTCACTCCCACTGATTCTCTTGGAAACGCGGGTGTGGTCTCCATCGTGGTTGTCATCTTTGTACCCACTTCAGCCGGAGCTTCTACTGGTGGTGCGATCATCCCGTCGGGCCTGAACAGCAACTTGGCTACTATACAGCCACAGTCTTCACCAGGGAGCCTTCTCACGATCACATCAACATTTGGCAGTGTTCCTTACACTACTACCGCGCCCTTCACTCCTACCGATCCTCTTGGAAATCCGGGAGTTCCCTCTAGCGCGGTCATCGTTGTTGTCCCTACTTCGGCCGGCGCAATCATTCCGTCGGGAATTAACAGCAACTTGGCTTCTGGACCACAATCTCAGCCGACGCCTGGAAGCCTTCTGACAATTACCTCAACATTTGGCAGTGTTCCCTACACCACTACCGGAGCCTTCACCCCTACCGATTCGCTTGGAAACGCGGGTACGCCATCTAGCGCGGTCATCGTTTTCGTTCCTACTTCAGGTGGTGTCATCATTCCATCGGGTCTAAACAGCAACTTGGCCTCGATTCCACAACCGCAGTCCACTCCAGGAAGCCTTCTTACAATCACGTCGACTTCTGGTAGCGTTCCTTACACGACTACTGCGCTTGTCACTCCTACCAATTCGCTTGGTAGCGCAGGTGTACCATCCAGTGCTGTTATTGTCTATATCCCGACGAGCCCAGTCAGCCTCCCAACCGTCACCTCCACGGCAGGCAGTGTTTCTACTACTACAACGGCCGTTGCAACTTCTGTGGGTCCTAATGGTATCCCTACACCTTTCACTCAGGTTGTTGTGTTCCAGCCGACGAGCTCATCCGTCGTGCTTGCAACAATTACCCAAGTGAGTGGCAGCGTGCCATACACCAGCACGATCCCCACAGTTTCTGCAGGGCAAGTAACCGCCATTGTGGTGGTGAACGTGCCGACGCCCAGCCTCCCGACAGTCACTGTTCCGGGCTCGGGTTCCATCGCTTTAACTTCGACTGGTTTGTTCACACCTCCTGGTGCTCCGGGATCTTTGCCTTCTCCGTACAGCGCCGTTGTCATCTTCCAACCTGTCACTTCGCCAGCCAGCCTTCCGACAATCACAATTACCTCTGGCTCGGTCCCCACTACCTCAATCGGCCTCTTTACTCCACCGGCTCTGCCAGGCTTCCCGGTACCTTCGCCGTACAGCGCAGTCGTCGTGGTTCAGCCGACCAGTGCCTTCGGTCCTTTTACGACTACCGTCACTACGGGCAATCTCCCGGTTTTCACCACGACTGTGGCCACGTCGAACCCTACCATCAACAATGGCCTGCCGTTCACGCAGGTAATCGTCCAGGTTCCTACGCCGTTTGGCCCCGTCACGAGCACCCAGACCTCTGGAGCCTTGGCCTTCACGACCACGTTCCTGACCTCGAATCCGACCATCAATGGTGGGCAGCCGTTCACTGGGGTCCTGGTTAATGTTCCTACTCCGTATGGCTTTACAACCACGCAGACGTCCGGTGTCCTACCGTTTACCACTACTTTCCTTACCTCCAACCCGACCATCAACGGTGGGCAACCATACACGGCGGTTTTGGTCAATGTGCCGACTCCTTATGCGCTTACCACCACTCAGACGTCTGGTCTGCTGCCGTTCACTACTACTTTCGTTACTTCGAACCCCGCCATCAACAGCGGACTGCCGTTTACGGAAGTCTTAGTCAATGTGCCAACGCCGTATGCGTTTACAACCACCCAGACCTCAGGCAACACGCCATTTACAACTACGTTTTTGACAGCCAACCCTACTGTGAATACTGGACTGCCTTATACCGTGGTTCTCGTAAATGTTCCAACGCCCTTCGGATTCACCACGACACAAACGTCAGGCACAGTAGCCTTTACCACGTCATTTGTCACTACGAACCCTGCGGTTAATGGAGGACTCCCCTTTACTGAAGTTCTCATCAACGTGCCAATTTCCTTTGGATTCACAGCAACGCAAACGTCAGGCTCCGTTCCAACCCCATTCGGCCCTGTGACTACGACTCAAACATCAGGACTCGCCCCATTCACCACGACATTCATCACCTCCAACCCCGCGGTAAATGGTGGCCAGCCTTTCACTGAAGTCCTCGTTAATGTGCCCATCCCATTCGGTCCGTTCACTACCACACAGACTTCCGGTTTCCTTCCGTTTACGACTACATTCGTCACCTCGGATCCGTTTGGTAGTATCAACGGCGGGCGGCCGTACACCGAAGTCCTGGTCAATGTGCCAACACCCTTTGGTCCAGTTACTACAACTCAAACCTCGGGCCCTACCGCTTTCACATCCACGGTGCTGACGTCGAATTCCGCCATCAATGGAGGTCAGCCGTTTACCCAGGTCATCGTCAATGTCCCGACCCCCACGCCATTCGGCGTCATCACCACAACGATCACTTCAGGTTCAACAAGCTCCACAACCACAGTCCTGACATCCAACCCAACGATCAACAGCGGCCTTCCATTCACGGAAGTCATTGTCTACGTCCCGACCTCGCAGGGCCCACTCATTCCTGGTGGAGGAGGAGGGAATACGGCTCTTATCAGCATGCAGCCTCAACCTACTACGACTACTCGATACTCTGGGTCTATTCCGTTTACAACGACGGTTGCAACTCTCATCAATGGCAGCCCCGTTACTCAGGTTATCATCAACTCTCCGACCACAGCACCCAGCCCCGGTGCAATTTTCACGACTACGCAGACCGCCGGTTCCTTGCCGTTCACAACTACCACGGTCGCAATCATCAATGGAAGCCCCGTCACTGAGGTCATCGTCAATGTACCTACTACTCCATCTCCGGCTGGTTCCATCTTCACTACTACGCAGACCGCCGGTTCTATTCCATTCACGACTACAATTGCCACAGTCATTAACGGGATCCCGGTTACTGAAGTTGTTGTCAACGTTCCTACCTCCCGGACTGGTGCCGTGTACTCCACATTCACACAAACTGCCGGTACTGTTGCTTTTACCAGCACGGTCTACACGGACCCTGCAGGCATTGCTCCTCCTGGCACGTATGTGGTGGTCAACGTACCCATCACCTATCCAACTATCACCCAGACCGCCGGCTCAATTGCTTTTACCCGCACGACCTACATAGATCCCTCAGGCACTGCTCCTCCCGGCACGTATGTGGTGGTCAATGAGCCAACCCATCCTTATCCAGTCATCACACGAACCTCCGGATCGGTCGCCTTTACCAGCACGCTGCTCACAGACCCAGACGGCACTGCGCCTCTTGGAACCTACGTAGTAGTCAACGTCCCAACCCATTCAACGATTACCCAAACTGCCGGCTCAGTCGCCTATACCAGTACGGTCTACACGGACCCATTGGGCACTGCTCCTCCTGGCACATACGTGGTAGTTAACGTTCCGACGCACTCCTACCCAGTTATCACGAGAACCTCCGGGTCAATCGGTTTCACCACCACGCTGTTTACGGACCCAGACGGAACTGCTCCTCCTGGAACCTACGTAGTAGTCAACGTCCCGACCCATTCCTATCCAGTCATCACGAGAACATCTGGATCAGTCGCCTTTACCAGCACGCTGTTGACAGACCCAGATGGCACTGCACCTCTTGGAACTTATGTGGTAGTTAATGAGCCAACGCATGCCTATCCAGTCATCACCCAGACGGCTGGGTCAGTCGCTTATACGAGCACGGTCTACACGGACCCGTCAGGCACTGCTCCTCCTGGTACTTATGTGGTGGTCAACGTCCCAACTCATCCCTATCCAGTCATCACCCAGACCGCTGGGTCGGTCGCTTATACAAGCACGGTCTACACAGACCCGTTGGGCACTGCTCCTCCTGGCACATATGTTGTGGTCAATGTACCGACCCATCCAACTATCACGAGAACCTCTGGGTCAATCGCTTTTACCAGTACGCTGTTCACGGATCCAGATGGCACTGCTCCTCCCGGCACCTATGTGGTGGTTAACGTACCGACGCACCCAACTATCACCCGTACCGCTGGATCGGTCGCGTATACTAGTACAGTGTTTACCGACCCAGACGGCACCGCTCCTCCCGGTACCTATGTAGTGGTCAACGAGCCAACGCATCCTTATCCAGTTATCACCCAGACCGGCGGTTCCGTTGCTTTTACCAGCACCCTTTTCACCGATCCACTAGGAACCCTCCCTGCCGGCACGTACGTGGTGGTGAATGTGCCAACTTACCTCACCATTACCCAGACCACAGGATCCGTCGCTTTCACCACTACCCGTTACACCGATCCACCAGGTACCTACGGTCCCGGTACTTACGTGGTGGTGAATGTACCAACTCCAACGTATTCGACCTACACCCAGACTTCTGGCCAAGTTGGTTATACCTCCACAGTTTACACCGATCCCGCTGGTATAGCACCGCCTGGTACTTACGTGGTCGTCAATGTTCCTACGCACACCGGCACCACCTACACGATCACGCAGAATTCAGGATCGGTGTCATTCACCACAACCGTTACTACACTAGTCAATGGAAGTCCGGCTACTGCGATTGTCATCAACCATCCTACCAGCCCGGCCCCTTCGCCGAGCTCTGGTCTTCTCTTTACCAGAACTCAATACTCTGGAACGTCGGCATTCACCACCACCTTCGGTACTACGTTCGGCAATGGAGTCCAGGCTACCGAGGTCTTGGTGAACCTTCCCAGTAGTGCGGCTCCTTTATCAACCTCCGAGCTTCTTTTCACCAGGACGCGCACCTCTGGATCGTTGGCATTTACCACCACTTTCGGGACCACATGGAGCAATGGAGTCCAGGCTACCGAAGTCTTGGTGAATGTCCCTACTATGACTCCTTTGTCGAGCTCCGGTCTTCTCTTCACCAGGACTCAATACTCTGGAACGTCAGCATTCACCACCACCTTCGCTACTACGTTCGCCAATGGAGGCCACGCTACCGAAATCTTGGTGAACCTCCCTAGCAGTGCGGCTCCTTTGTCGAGCGCCGGTATAATCTTTACCAGGACGCGTACCTCTGGATCACTGGCATTCACCACTACCTTTGGTACCACTTGGTCGGATGGAAACCAGGCTACTGAAGTCTTGGTGAACCTTCCTACTTCCTCCGGTCTGACCACCCTCCGTGCATCAACCTCGTCGGCTGCCGTCTGCTTGCCCACCGGGGCTGTAAGTGACACGCCTAATTGTTTCGCCTCTCTTCCGGCAGCCTGTCTGGGCAGCAGCAGTAGCAGCAGCGGTGGCGGTCTCTTCAGCCCCCTCACAAACATTGTGGGCACCATCAACCACTCTGCTTGCCAGGCTGCTCTCGGGACTTTTGGTACAGTCAATGCCGCCGTATGCTTTGCCGAAAACCTGCTGTCATCAGTTCTGGGCAACAACAACGACTTCGTCACGTGTTTGTACAACAACTTGCCCACTTGCCAAAACTGCTCTCCTCAGTACCCATCGGCTTGCTCGGCCCTCGCAAGCCTTTCGGGTAGCAGTCTGTTGGGAAGTAGTGCGAGTGCGTTGGCTGCCTGCAAGGCCGCAGTAGGCTTGTTCAGCGGTGGCACTTCAGTACAGTGCTTCGTGAACAGTGTCATCAACCAGGGCGGTTCCGCAGTCCACAGCTGTTTGCAAAACCAACTCGCAATCTGCAACGACAGCGGCTCGGTCCCGAGTACGATGGTCTCGGCCACCACAACAACTGCTTGCGGCACTGCAACCGCCACAACTTGCGTCACGGCTCTGCCGACTGAGTGCAACTTCGGTACCGGTGACTCTGGCTTGCTGGCCGACATCGTCGGACAAGCCAGCATCGCCGTGTGCCAGTCTGCTATGGGAGTGTTGGGAACGACCATTTCACCAACTTGCTTCTTGAGCAGCGTGTTGAGCAGCTTCACTCCCCAGGACTTCAGATCCTGTCTTTGGGGCAACCTTGGAACTTGCCGTGGCTGCACGAATGCTCTTCCAGTCGCCTGCACTAGTCTCAGCAGCCACACCGGTCTTCTTGACGTTGTTTCTATAGCGGCTTGCCAGGCAGCACTCGGAACTAACGGCGTGCTGAACGCGGCGCATTGTTTCGTAACCAACTTGTTCAGCAGTGGTGGAGACATATTGGACTGTATCCACGACAGCGGCCTTGTGTGCTCTGGGAACAACACAGCGATTCTTCCCACACACTACCAAAACAGCGGCACGTCCGCGTACACACGCCTCACGACCTCTTACGCAACTTACGGCGGCGGACTTTTGGGCATCGGCGCAACCACCGTGGCCTCGACCTACGTCATCGTCAACTATCCCACTAGCGGCGGTCTTGTTATCCCCGGCCTGAGCAACCTTGCTGGTATAAAGCCCACGTATACGCAAACCTCGGGCAGCGTCGCGTACACGAGCACCGTATACACCGATCCTCCAGGCGCTCTCGGTCTCGCCACGTATGTTGTCGTCAATGTGCCAACGCATGCTTACCCGACTTATACGCAAACTTCTGGTACCGTCGCCTTCACTAGCACCCTCTCCACCGATCCTCCGGGTCTCCTTGGTCCCGGCACGTATGTGGTCATCAATGTTCCAACTGGCTACAGCACAATCACTCAGACTTCTGGCGATGTCGCGTTTACACGTACTACCTACACGGATCCGACAGGCATTGCTCCCCCCGGTACTTACGTCGTGGTCAACGTGCCGACACATGCGTACCCCACAATCGTTCAGACGGCAGGAAACGTTGCATTCACCAGCACATTTTACACCGATCCTGTGGGTATTCAAGGCCCCGGTACCTACGTCGTCATCAACGTGCCTACCCACACCTACCCCACAATCACTGTACACGAGGGTAATTCTGCTTACACTACGACTCAATTCCTGGATCCGAGTGGCGAGCTTCCTGCAGCCACTTACGTCGTTGTCCACCAGCCAGCCTATCCGACAATCACTGTGAGCGATGCCAGTGTTGCTTACACGACGACTCAATACACCGATCCATCTGGGACGCTTCCTCCGGGAACTTACGTCGTGGTGCACAACCCACGTTATCCGACTGTTACAGTGACGACCGGAAGTCTTCTTTTCACCACAACTCTCGCATTCGATCCATCTGGCACGCTTCCCAGCGGAACATATGCCGTTGTAGTTGTTCCCACGGCAGCACCCCACCCAACTATTACCGTCACGAGCGGTAATCATGCCCCGTACACTACAATCATTGCGACCGACCCATCCGGCACACTTCCTAGTGGAACGTATGCCGTTGTTGTGCTTCCCACGGCCTACCCAACAATAACGGTAACGACTGGTGATCACGCCCCATACACCACAACCGTCGCCTTCGACCCATCCGGTACCCTTCCCAGCGGCACGTATGCGGTCGTCGTGGTTCCCACGGCAGCAGTCCACCCAACTATCACCGTCACGAGCGGTAATCACGCTCCATACACCACGATTGTCGCAACGGACCCGTTGGGCACACTCCCCAGTGGAACGTATGCCGTTGTTGTGCTCCCCACGGAATCAGCTCACCCAACAATTACCATTACAAGCGGCAACCACGCCCCGTACACGACGATTGTTGCAACCGACCCCTCTGGAACGCTTCCTAGTGGAACGTATGCCGTTGTCGTGCTTCCCACAGCTTTGGCCTATCCAACCATTACCGTCACAAGCGGCAACCACGTCCCGTACACGACAACTGTTGCAACTGACCCGTTGGGCACACTCCCCAGTGGTACTTACGCCGTCGTCGTGCTTCCCACCGCAACGGCCTACCCAACTATTACAGTGACGAATGGCAATCTTCATTACACGACAACCGTTGCAACCGACCCATTGGGCACGCTTCCCAGCGGAACTTATGCCGTCGTCGTCGTTCCCACAGCATACCCGACCATCACAGTTACAAGTGGCAATCACTCCCCATACACGACGACTCTCGCATTCGACCCATCGGGCACGCTTCCCAGCGGAATATACGCCGTCGTCGTGATGCCGACAGCCTATCCGACCATCACAGTCATGAGTGGCGACCACTCCCCGTACACGACGACAATGGCAACCGATCCTTCGGGCACACTTCCTAGCGGGATATACGCCGTCGTTGTACTCCCTACGGCCCATCCAACAGTAACAATCACTAGCGGTGACCATTCCCCGTACACAACAACAATGGCATTCGATCCGTCAGGCACACTCCCCAGCGGGACGTACGCTGTAGTCGTGGTTCCCACGGCCCATCCAACGGTTACCATTACCAGCGGCGACCGTGCGCCGTATACAACAACCATGGCATTCGATCCTACAGGCACGCTCCCCAGTGGAACGTACCCCGTGGTTGTGGTTCCTACGCCCCATCTGACGACAATAACCATCACCAGTGGTGATCGTTCCCCGTATACGACAACGACGGCATTCGATCCAAGTGGTACACTTCCCAGCGGGACATACGCCGTCGTCGTGGTTCCTACAGCCCACCTAACGACAATAACTATTACCAGCGGCAACCACGCCCTGTACACTACGACAACGGCATTCGATCCTACAGGTACTCTACCTAGTGGAACGTACGCTGTAGTAGTGGTCCCTAGCGCCTATCCGACAATTACCGTAACGAGCGGCAGCGTCCATTACACAACGACCATAGCAACCGATCCTACGGGTACTCTGCCCAGCGGCATATACGCTGTAGAGGTGGTCCCGACCGGCTATCCGACCATTACAGTGACGAGCGGCCTTTCTCGTTACACCACCACCGTGGCGACTGATCCGACAGGTACTCTACCCCGTGGCACATACGCTGTGGTCGTGGTCCCTACGGGCTACCCGACCATTACAGTGACGGCCGGCAGTGTCGGCTATACCACCACCGTCGCAACCGACCCAGCGGGCACTCTGCCCAGTGGAACCTACGCCGTCGTAGTCAAGCCTTCTCCCCCACCGTCGTTCAGGATCTCAGTGACGGATTTCGTCGGCAATTTCTTTGGTTATCTAGACGTACTGAACAACCAATTAACCGGAACGGCACACGGCTGCGGTCTGACGCAGTCCTACAACGATGCCTCGACATTCAGGATCAACTCGACTAACCAGAGACTCACCTGCACGAGCGGCGCCGGCACAACCACCGAGCTCGGCTCCTGTCAACGTTCTGGAACTCGCAACGGGCCCTTCCTATTCGATCTGCCAGGCGCTAGCGGCAACGTTGACATCGACACGACCTACTGGGATGATCATACGCTGCACGTTACCAATGCCGGCACCGGCGACTTCCTGGCTGCGCTTTGCCAGAATAATCTCTTCCTCGTGGGCGCCATTCCGAACGGCTGCCGTCAGGTCGTCCTGACGCCTTGCACCAACGCCGTTTCCTTCTCAACCAGAACCGTCACGAGCGGCACCGCACCGGCATCCACACACACAGTGGCCCCTCTCGGCACCGCCATCTCGAACCCCGGCACCGTGGAAGTCATCGTACCATCAGTCACCATAGCATCGGGCCCCTTACCATCCTGCTCTGCCTTAGGATTGCAGTACCTCAACCGTCCAAACCCCGTCAGAGGCGGCTCGACTCCGGACGACCCGAACTACGTAGCCTTCGACCCTGGCGTCTACAACAACCCGCAAGCGTCGCCGTACACCACCATCAACTACCAGGGCATAACGAACGAAATCAATCTGGGTATACCAGCCGTCTCGGCGACATCGGCCACTGTGTACGGCGTCGCCGGCCGCAGCGTCGCCTACTCAGCCATGATCTTCCGCGGCTACTTCATGCCCAACGCAACAGGCACCTACACGTTCACGCTGCCCGTCCCCGACGACATTGGGTACATCTGGGTTGGGCAAAAGGCCATCTCTACCTGGACCGAGCTCAACGCCGATCTCGCGTCTAGCCTGGAAAGGGGATCGAACAGCATCTCGGTCGACATGACGGCGGGCGTCATGGTGCCGTTCCGCATGGTCTTCGGCAACGGGCCCGGCGCCATGAGCTTCCAGCTCAACACGAAAGAGCCCAATGGCGTGACGTACTACGACACATGGGGCATGTTCCGACCGCCTTCGTGTGGTCTGGACACCTGGTTGAACGTATCGTCATGAGATATGACAGAGCGATAGAGCGCGCGAGAGAGAGAGAGAGTTGGCTAGAGAGCTAGCTGTACACACACGCACACAACGGCGTTTCCCCTTTTCTGCTGCTGCCGGTTTTCTACTACCTTCATTCAACTTTATGAAGAGGACCACTTTGATGTGGCCTCTCATTGGTTCTGTACTATTTTCCTTTGTCTTGCTTTTTTCTGGCTTTTGTGTTCGCATAATACACATCATGTCGTCCACTCATGTTCACCCTTCGTAATAATAGCGGCAGAACGCCGATTACGCTTGATGTATCTCCTTGGTGTAATATCTCACAGAAATGACGACAAAAAGTATCATGTTTTTAGAAAAATCACTTTATCAGTGCATGCTGCCGTTCTTTATCCCTTTTGTGATTAATATGAATGTGGTGATAATTGACAAGACACGCGCACGACAGAATATAGTTACTTTTTTTTCCTTTTCTTCTTTTGGGATCAAATTGCATAGATATTAACCACACAAATGTTATCCAACGACTGTCTGTCTCGACAAACCACACATTTTCATGAAGTATTTTAAAATGATACGACCTCCATGTCTGTACCAAATTGCAATGTGACTTCGCCTACTCTACATCCTTGAAAATTCATTTGTTACGCAACATTCCTTCGCTTGGCACGACTCCCGCCCGTACATATCATTGCTTTCGCCGCGGCATATGCTCTATTCATACGATTTCTCAAAAATTACACCCCTGCCGCCCAGCCGCATCGTCCATCTATCTCATCACAGCTTAACTCGTCCCGTATTTGGCTCCCGCACGGACGCTTTGGATTAGGCAGCAGCGCTGCTCATGCCACACGAAAGTGTAGAAAATGTCAAAATTAATTACAAAGTCTTGCCTCTACTCTAAAGATATACAGACGGCTCAAAGCAAAATAGTCCAAAAGAGCTGCCATCGACATACTAAGGCGCGCATTTCCGGCCTGGCGACTTTTAACTTCTCCAACCCCACTTTCAAACTACATGCCTTAAGCTCGCTCGTCAAATTAGACTCACCATCGCAACAATCAATCCATCAGCGCAACATGTCGTCCCACAAAGCAACAGATGCAGAAACATCATCGCCGTCCGCATCCACCGCAAAAGAGCTGGTCCAGGGGCTGATGCACCTAATCATGGAAACCTCACGAGAAATGGCGACGGCTCCGGTACGGTGTGACGATGACGAAACGGATAATGAAAAGCATGCAGACCGGATTCAGGACCTGGACAACAGACTCGTCTCCCAAGCGCTCGAGGTCTGGCTCGCGCACAACGGCAACATTGATCTGCGGACCTTTTTCCCGGCACAATACAAAGAAAGTGATTCCGCAACTGAACACCATCTGGACGCAAACACCCAGCCCACAAAAGGCCACCCCAAAGCCCCAGCCGAACAACCCACGGACACCACCGCCTCCTCCATCATCGGCAACCCGTCGCTCTTCCCGCGCACTAACCAGCTCGTCTACGAAACTACCTCCCTCTACACTTTCTACGGCTGGCTCTCCAAAACCCTGCCCCGCCTCCCGCCCGAGCTCGTCCTCCTCGTCGCGCACGCCTCCCTCCTCGACGGCACCACCTCTTCAAGCAGCAGCAGCGCCTCCATCCCCGCCATCCCGTCCCTCTTCTCCTACTACCTGCCCCACCTCTACCCCTACCCGGGCCCCTGCACCGCGCACATCCCGAACTGCCGCGACTGCTGCACGCTCGTCATCGACGACGAAGATCCAGACCCTCGCCATCCTCCTCCTCCACCAAACGCAAACCAACCGAGCGCCAGACAAGCCGCCAGAAGGCCGCCGCCGCCATGCAGCACCAGCGACCCATCCTCCCCACCGCTCCCCCACCGCAGCCCCTACGCCCCCGTCTCCGCCCCCGCCCTCCGCGGCATCTGGTCCTACGCCCAAACCGCCAGCACACCCATCCGCGCCACCAACGCCTTCGCCCCCTGCAGCGCCGCCGCGAGCGAGCCGGAATGGTTCGCCCCGCCGCCCGCCGCAGGGGCGGTGGGCACCGTCTACGACGACGAGGCGGGCGTGTGGCGGTGCGGGTGCCGGGTCGTGCTGATGGGGTACGGGATGGGGCCGCCGCTCCCCGGCGGCGGCGGCGGGGGCCAGCAGTGGTGGACGGACGGCAAGGAGCGGCCGGGGAAGCTGTTGTGGAATGCGTGGAAGCGCGGGTGGGAGTGCGGGGAGGTGGAGAGGTTTGATCCGGGGTGTTGTGAGGACCAGTATGATAGTGGAGAGGAGAGGGAGTGGGATGAGAGGCAGGAGAAGGGGAGGGAGGGGAAGAAGAGGGCGGGGATGAGGTGGGCGGGGAGTTGTGAGAGGTGTCGGAGGCGGAGGGTGGAGGAGGGGGAGGAGGACTGATGATATGGGGTTTTAAAGGGCTGGGGGGCGGGAGGTTAATGCGCGATCTTTTCATGTGTGTGTGTGTGTGTTTCCTCGAGACCAAGGGGCTGCGCTCTCACGCGAGTGGGAATGTGTAGCGTGTCGTTGTGTGCTTTTATTAGACCGATGTCTATGTGTCGTAACTCTATCGTGTCCGCATTTCATCTATGGTTTCGTGAACTCTTTATGGCTTCGGCACGGGCGTCACCTTCTTCACAACCCTTGCAGGGCTCCCCATCGCGACGCTCCAGGCCGGGATATCCTTCGTCACCGTTGCTCCCGCAGCAATGGTGCAGCCCTCCCCAATCGTCACGCCCGGCAGAATGATGACACTCCCTCCAATCCAGCAGTCATCCCCAATCACAACCGGCTTGGCGTACTCGATGTTGTCCCTGCGGCTCTGCACCTCGGTCTCGTGCGTGGCGGCGAAGATGGATACGTTGGGGCCGAACATGACGCGGTCGCCGATGGTGACGAGCCCGCAGTCGAGGATGGTGAGGTTAAAGTTTGCGTAGAAGCGGTCTCCGAGGCTGATGTTGCAGCCGTAGTCGATGAAGAAGGGCGGCTCGATGAAGGCCTCGTCGCCCTCGACGTGCCCGATGATGTTGCGCAGCAGGCCCAGCCGGTGCTTCTGCAGCGACTCGAAGTCCGTCGATGTCTCGACGGGAAAGTGGTTGTTGTAGTTGTGGCACCAGACGCGGGCTTTGAAGCGGGCGGACGAGAGTGAAGGCTCGAAGGAGTCGTAGCTGCGGAAGGAGCGAGGCAGGGGGGGAGGATCTCAGCACGCGGGCGAACTCTTGAGGGGGTTGGAAGGTCTCGTCGAGCTGCGAGCTGGTAGGCTGTAATTGCTACTTACAGCATTCCGGATATCATGCGTTCATACTGCTCAGACCAAGGGACGTGGTTGAGTTTGCGGGCGAGCGCTAGTTGCTCCTGGTTCTTCTCCGTGGCTGCCATGATGTCGATTGCACAGTTTTAAGGCTGTAGTTTCGATGGTATTTTAAGAGTCCTCTTGGAACCTTATAAAAGTACGGAGCTCCTCCGCCGGTAGTTTAACTCGTATGTCCGAGACTGGTGTCTCGGGGAATTCTTGAATCCGGGCTAAACCAAAAGAGGAAATACTTCCAATCGGGCTCCTTGCGTGGGGCCACCGAGAATGACGCACCCCACCTGCCTTAGCGCTGACCCGGTCCCGACATACGACCAATGGCTTTGTTGCGTGGCCTTTCAGCTGCCACTTTCGAGTTACACACATGATACCGTCAGGCCATAACCCGCCGAGTGAGAGTCTTGAACAGCAGCGAGGCCGTCTAAAAGAACAAGAAAGCATGCTGAACTTTCAGCGAAGCAGAACAGGTCTGTGGTGAAGAAGTTAGAATACGCATTGCTCGAGAATATAGATAAATCTTACCCATTCCGTCCACGAGACGTTCCTCTGTCCTTCCGGATTCTCAGACCTAACGTCCCACACCTTTTTCAAAAGGTCTGTCATGGCTTGGTGCTGGAAACCCGTTGATCTTTTGATTTCGTTGATGCACAAGTGTACGTAGTGATATTGGTGCGGTGAACTGGTATCCGCACCCGCCAGGAAGAGCGGAAAGAGGAGACGTTTGTAAAACGGCGAGTCCATGGGTATCTTTGCAGCCGCGTCTAATATCGCCGCGACCGACTCCTGGATGATCGGCTCTTCTGGCGGGTACGAATCTAGTGGCTGGGGAAAGCGGAGGATTCTAAGGATGCTTGCATGCCGATAGGCATCCGCAAGCAGCTTCCACTCAGCGTCTGCTGTAGGAAAAACCACTTGGTCTGCACTCCAGCTTCTGAGGTAAGCTTCAGAAGCGTCCAGAATCGGCCGAAAGTCTTCCATCGTGCGGGTCCCGTTGTAATGTTCTTTGCCAGCATTGAGGACTTTGCCAATTTCGAAGAAGATGTCACTTGGACAGCCAACCAAAGTCTCCAGGCTCCAGTCGCCGGCGTCGAGGACGCAGCGGCGGACTTCATCGGAATATGCAATCTTCTCGGCCCCGCTGAAACCTCGCAGGGCATCCAACCAGGCAAGGCAAGAGATGGAGAACATCTTGAATGGAGATCGGGATCCAGCGGGCCGTTGGACGATCCTTCTGCAGAGAAAGGTAACGCCGGTAATGTGAGCTCCATGCGTGGATATCCCCGATTCGCAAACGTCCTGAAGGACTAGCAGCAGAACCATGACCAGCGCGATCTCCTCTTCTCTTTCCGACAAGCCTGATATCTCTTCTTTAAGCAGCAGTCCGCTGAGTGATTGAATCGCAGAGAGCTTGTGCTGAAGGGCGGCCGTGTTGGTTGTTTTGCTTGTGTCTACACCCGACGAGTTGAGGTGATAGGCAGCCAAGCCAAGAAGGGCATGCAGGACGCCTGTGTGCTGATAAGAGAGGGGCAGCACATGTGCGCGAAATGGATTGACAGTTCCCGGGGTCGAGATAGCTAACGTGTCGCACAAGACTGTATCAACTGCATGACATTAGCTGGGCCTGGAATGCTGGGGGAACCATGAAGTACAGTGAACAAGCAGCCGTTGGGCATGGTTGGTACCCAAGACTTCATCAACGAGGCTTGAGCGCTCGAACGCGGTCTCACTCTCTGGCGACAGGGATTGTTCCGGTGTGATAAGCTGGGCTTGCGACGACTGCTCCCGTGGAAGGTCGGGTAGATCACCCAGTGTTACGGAGCTCAAGCGGTCTTGTATGTTGGAGTCCGGTGCGTTCTCTTTCCTGTTTTGGCTTGAGACCTGCTGGAACGACAGCTCAGTTTGGCCATCAAGCGCACTAACCGTCCTTGGCGACGTTCCTGATCCGTACTCTAGGAACTGAAATCGGGGTGGATAACCTTCGCAATGCAGACCCTTAAGAGTGCACCGCTTGCACACTGGTCTCGTCCGATCACATTTGCGGCACTTCTTTCGACACGTTCCACAAGCAGGATCTACCGAGCTTCAGAAATTGAACACTTGGTTCGTACGGACTTCACTGACCGAGACGAGTAGCGGTCAATCTTTTGGACATGTTGAGACCAAGCCACGGCTGATTGATGCAAAGATGGTACAAGAGATAGGCGAGGGGATCAAGTTCCCACTTTTGTCGATGTGTACAATGCGGGGCTTGACTTGGCGGAAGGGCCTGAAGATGAGCGACGAAGGTGAAGTAGGAACGTGGGTTTAGCGCGGTAAGAGATGCGGGGGCTTATTTTGGAACAAGCTGTGGATGGATTACGCCAACGATCGGCGAAACTGCAGCGTGTCCTCGGCGAAATCGAGGCGCAATGTCGGCTTCCAATAGGCGCGTGCACACGTCATGAGACAAGAAGCAATGCTCGGTACTTTACAATATTGATAATCCGGTTTTCCAAGTCGAGCTCTTTTGATCGCAACGAAAGAATTGTGAACTATCTAATAGTCTGTTGGCCGCACGCCTTCCTTCAGCTCTGGCCTAAGCGCGTATATGGGGTCCATCTGTTCAACCCATCCACCGGCAGGTTCACTCATAGAGTAGCCCATGAAATCCTGGACCGACCGGTCATATTTCCTCGCAACTTCCTTGGGGACGGCTAGGAACTGATTCTCTTCTTGACGAAGGTAGCCTCGCACTGAAAATGTTGAAAAGACTAGCCGCTTCTCGTCTTTTGTAGTGTTGTTTCCGCCGCCATGGAAAGCTGAAGCAAGCATGATGAAAGCATCGCCTTTTTCCATCTCTGCGAAGATGCATTGATCAACCCGTGGGGGTGTTTTGCGATCATTGCCCCTAGAAAAGCATCAGTCGAAGCTTCCGGACGCAATGGTGCAAGCGCTTACCATAAATGGCTGCGTGGAATGAAAGCCGTCCCTCCGTTTTCTTTTGTGACTCGGGAGCCAGCAACGAACATGCCGATTGCCGACTCGCGATTCTTGTCTCGTTCATCATCCCACTGGTCAATCTCTTCATGGATGTTGTGACTGATGTAATCATCTCTATGCAATGGCTGCGCCTTTCCTCCCGGCCCAATGCGCATGGCAACGCAGGAGTGCACCTGCGGCTTCGACACTGACTCCTTCCTTTCGTCGCCCCACCAGAACCAGCTTCTAGTGGTGAGAAAATGATCGATTACCTGCTGATACAGTGGATTCATCAACTGTGTCTTCACGTACGTCGGGCTTCTCATGATGAGCGCCGAGGCCCGCTGCGTCTCCTCTGTGTAATGTGTGAGGGATATTCTTATTACAGCATGCTGGCAAGCTTACTCGGGAAGAAGTTGCCCTCCCATTCGACGTCATTGTCGAGTGTCTCGCGGACTTCATCATATGCTTTGTCGACGTCTTCTGTCGGAACCAAGCCTTTGATGAATACACCTCCATCGCGTTTCAACAGGTATAGGATATCCTCCAGCGGAGTCGTTGCAGGGACTTTCTGGACTTCTGGGCCATATTCTTTGGTGGCAGTAGGCATTGTTGATGTGACTCACTCTCCGGAAATTCAACTAAACACGTTGCAAGTATACCTTCGTGGAGTGGCGGAGCGTCATTATTATTTGGAGCAAGCGTTGTTGGCGAGGGGCCCTCAAACTGCTCTAAGCCCAAAATAGCATAAGAGCCAGCAGGGCCGGCTAGGACGGAAAAGGCACAAGCGCCAACCGAGGCAGTGCAAGCCTTGCCGGAGACCCGCAGCCCGCATCGTATTCAGCAGGCCCTGCCGCCATATTCCGAATTTTAGCCCTCGAATAGGCAACGCTCCCAGCCAGAGATTGACGCAGGGAATCCTTTGGAGGCTCAAGCTGCGGCTGATTAAAACAGGAAACGCCGTCTTACATTGTTGATCTTACATATGCATATACCAAAGCTGTTCGTAAGTATGCCCTAGGCCCCATAACCGCAGCTCTCAATTCCTACGCCAAGATTCCCTAGCTTGGTAGCAGTGTGCACTCACTCCCATTAGTTCTAAACTACCAGGCAGATACGCAAGCCAGAGAATCCACAATGAGGGCTAGAAGATGAGTATAAAGGTGCATTGCCTCACTGCCCTGTAAAGATATCCAAAACAATTTGAAATACCCTGCTCTGTACCATACCACTGGTAATCCCGTATCAGAGATCGACGACCCTGCACACCATCATCGGACCCTCGTCCAGACTTCTCCGTCACACTCGCAGCATTGCCTTTCCGCGCTAGCCGACCCAGTAAAAGCAAGATCCGACAAGGCAAATCCCTGAGCTTGCCCACCGAGTTTAAATACCCTCCAACATGTCATCCACCAACGCCCCTCCTCCTCCTGAAACTTTCACCATCACCGCCCCGCCCAACTCCGACATCTGGGCCTCTCCGCCATCCACCCACCGCTTCAATGCGCCGCTCGCGCACGTCTCACGCGCCCCGCTCCAAGCCTTCACCCGCGCCGGCCTGACGCTCTCTCTTCCCCCGCAGGAGAGCCTTATCCAATACGACCAGGGCGGCATCCTCCTCGCCATAACACGCCCAGGCGAGCAGCAACCGAGTGATGCCAAGCGCTGGCTGAAGACGGGCATCGAGATGTGCGATGGCGAGCCGTGGTTGACGGCCGTGGGGTGCGATCGGTGGAGCGACTTGAGCATGGTGCCGCTGGCCTGGGGCGGTAGCGTAGACGAAGGAAAGGGGAGGGGACCGACGGCGAGGGTGGAGGTGGAGAGGGTGAAGGACGCGTTGTGGGTGTATTGGGTTACCGAGGGGAAGGACGGAGAGAACGGGAGGAGGGTGCCGATCAGGGAACTCAGCTGGTTTTTCTCACACGAGGAGATAGCGGGAGAGGCATGGGAGGTCAGTGTGTCGGCGTACGCGGTTAGGCCGTTGAAGAATGAGAAGGATGAGGATGAGGCTTTGAATGTGGAGTTTAGGCGGTTTGAGGTGGAATGGTCGTGAAAAGCCAACTACGGACCTTAACAGGAACACGGACATAGACGAAGTCCATTTAACGAAAACAATGAAACAACAGCTCTTGGACGAAGGAAAAAAAAGTCTGTATGTTTGATAGTCCGTCCGGCGACTTCTTCGAGAATTTTGATTTATTTTAAAATTATTGCTACCAGTTGAAACAAAAGTTTAGCCGATTTGTAGAACGTTTATAAAACCGCCCCCTCCTATCACCATGAAATAGTCCGCTCAAGAGCTCTCTTACATATAGCCACGATGATACTGTTTTTTTAAAGTTTCGTCAAAGTGCCTTCAGCTCGTCGCACATTCTTAGCATTTACTGCTCCGCACTCATCACTACCGCCTCGACGCCATCCCCAGTCACGACACTTCAAAATCAAACTTCAAGTCTTTCTCAGTGGGCACAAACACTCTTTCCTCGCACCGTCCAGATTGGTCTTCCGCTCTCAGCCTTGCGGCTGAACACCCCTTCAGCGTCGCCTCGCAACGATGCAGCGGTGGCCTATCGAATGTCCTCATCTTTTTTATATCCTCAATCACAGCTACTTTCTCTTTTCTTTTAGTACAACCGACAAAGAACGTTTCTTTTCCGCAGTCATTTTGGCCCGCATTATCTAAAATGGAAATCCAAAAGGAAATACGATAGCCACGAGGCCTGCTGGGCTGTGGGTTTGGTTGGGCTCCCAGCAGTAAAATCAAGGCGTGGCTGTTGTTTTCTTTCTTTTTCCCTTCACCTGATTTCTTTTTGTCGTGCATCGTATCATGTTATAGATGAAGTGTAAGAGGGTCTTGGCGTAAGAGCATGAGTGATGGGTGCTTCCTGAGCCACAGGGCTGGAAGTCATCGTCGGGTCTTTCACGTGCGATGGGGATCCGAAGACTCTCGGCCGATATCACTGAGCTTTCTTTTCACACATCCTTGCATTGTCTTGAAAGAGTAGCTCATAGGTGAGCGCACCTCTCCTGATCACTGAAGCCCTTGGAGTGGAGAGCGCTTCCCCTTGGGCTGAGCGGGCGTGAGAGGGCGCCCGGAGGCCGCTCCAGCCTGCGACTGTCGCTGCGGTGCTTTCCGTACCATTTCTTTTTCTCCGAAAATTAAATGTGCGAGAACAACGTGGAAAAGAATGCTGTGCGACGCCAAAAGCTGCAGCTATCAGGCGATTGATCGCGTGGTAACAGGGATTTTGCGGCAGTGCGGGGCTTGCACCGCAGATATAGGAGCCGCCCCAGGTCACGGTTCGTGAAACCTACTCGCGTGGCATCCTGTTGACCGGCAATTCCGAGCTGCGCGCCATTCTCTGTCTCAGAAGCCACAGGAAACAAAACTCCGACACAAACTCATCGTCCTTGCTCCCCGTCGTGCCAGTTCTCCAGGTCCAGAACCCGTTGTGGACCCGTTCCCCAACCACAGCCCGTAAGCACCGAGCTCCGAACCATCCAATCATCCGTCGCTTGCAGCCCGCTCTTTCCGCTGCTTGTTCAGACGTCGTGCCAAAACCGTCGACTGCACCAGGAACCCACGAGGCCCGGCCCAATTTATATCCCAACGTCCCCCCGTCATGAAGGTCTTTCGCCACAAGATACGTCACATGTTCTCGGCGTCCAAGATGACGACCAAGCCCGACATTCGCTGCGCCTACAAGGTCGTTGATGACTGCATCATCTACGCCGACGTCTACCTCCCTCGCACGCCATCCGCCGTTGTAGAAAAGAGACAACATCCCGTCGGTACGTCCAGGGATCCCCCACACCCAACCTTTCCTAATGCGGAAGACCCGCCAACCCGGATTTAACTAATCAACTCCAGTCCTCGCGATCCATGGCGGAGCCTTCATCCTCGGCCACTCGGACATGGTCAACAAAGACCAGATCCAAGACTGTCTCGAGCGCGGCTGGATCGTCGTGTCGCTCGAGCACCGCCTCTGCCCGCAAGTCAACATCCTCGAGGGTCCCATCACCGACTGCCGTGACGCCCTTGCCTGGGTCTATGACGGTGGTCTGGATGGGGAGCTCGCAAAGAGCCCCTCGACAGCCACCTTTGCCGTCGACAAGGACCGCGTCGTCGTATTCGGCACGTCGTCTGGAGGCGCAATAGCGCTTGCGATGGTGAGATGAATTCCTTAATTTCTCATTCGTCCTTGCTTCTCTCAAACTTCCATTATTCTCCCCTCCCCTGTTCAGTTTGCTACTCATCCTTCGCATTAAATTCATCCCCATTATCACGCATTATCGCCCAACGCCCACTCCACAAGAACCATGACAACCAAATCACCTCAAACCAGTCTCACCTAACACACCCGGCTTTCTCACAGGGTTACTCCGTCCCCCGACCACCCCTCGCCATCCTCGACTTTTACGGCGCAACGCACTTCACGCACCCCTTCTGGTCAACACCACTGCGCACAGCCAAGCTGCCCCCGAACACGGACCCAGACTACATCAACCAAGTCTACGACGAGACCCCCGTGCCGATCCGCGGCGGCCTATCACTAGAAGGCCAACCACCACCACCATCCTCATCATCTTCATCAACACCATCCACCAGCAACGCCACCTCCACCGCATCCTCCACCGCCTCCTCCTCGCCCTCCTCCTCCATCATAACCGACAGCAGCACCAGCACCAGCACCAGCACCACCAACAACAGTAGCAGCAACAAAAACCAACCACCCCCCGTCCCACCCCGCCCCTCCTTCGCCCTGACGCACATCGCGCGCGGCACGCTGCTGCGCGTGTGCTACCCGTTCGGCGACCTGCGCGCCATCGACGCGACGCAAAACATCACCGCCAGCTTCCCGCCCACGTGCGTCGTGCACGGCACCGCCGACGCGACGGTGCCGCTGCACCTGTCGCGCGAGCTGTTCCGGCGGCTCGAGGCGGCCGGCGTCGAGCGCGAGTGGATCGAGGTGCCCGGCGAGGAGCACACCTTCGTCGGCAAGATGGAGAAGGGCGGCGAGGCGTGGGCGCGGCAGCGGCGCGGGTTCGATTGGTTGGAGGGCATAGTTTCGAGGTGAATGATTGGGGATTATGATCGTGAATGATTATGATTATGATGTGAAAGGGGGAAGGAATGTTTTTTTTTTCCGGCGGCCCGCAGCCGGAGCGAGGGGAAATGATGGGATGGATGGGTGCGACGCTGATTGAAAAGCGAAGGGTGACGGGATTGGGGGGCGAAAGAACATCGCTGTTCTTTCCTCTGTGCCCCCTTAATGATTTTCCTTTTGTCTTCATCCTCTTTTACGTTGCAAAGAAAATAAAAGCATTTTAACTCAGACCATGAAACCCGCCGCCATGGCTTTCCCATACATCTCTGAAATCGAAACTCCAGTCCCAGAGGCACCCGTCGAGTGACTCCAAGCCTAGATGCGGGACCTCCAAGCCCGCACCGACTACGCCCTGGCCTGCCTGCCCCTGCTCGGGCGCCGGCTGCTTCGGTCCGGTAAAAGATACGCTGCTTTCTGCTACCGTAGGCGAGCGGCCGGAGCGTTGCCGTAGGATGGCAAGCATCTGGCGGAGAACCTTGGCTGTCTTGCAGGCGACGACGGACTCGCGCATGAGGTCGAGCATGCTAAGAGTCTGCTCGATGAGGCGGATGTAGTCGTGCTGTGGGTTGGGCTGCTGGATACTTTGCACGGCGCGGTAGAGGATGATTGAAGCTGCAAAAGTGAGGTACGTGATGTTGTACCACCTGTGGGCGTCAGCAAGCGGAACCGAGAAAGGCTACTGCACTTACCAAGTGTGGAAGAATGTGTGAACTCGATAAGTCTCGTACATGAGATCGATCGTCCTTGCAGCAGCATCTGTACATTTGTTGACCGCATCGTCCAAACTCGATTCTCGCTCGTCAGAGTATTTCGATGCATGTACGATGAACGGCCTCAAAAGAAGCATCTTGACGTTATAATACCCTGTATCAATGTTAGACTTTGTCAAAAAGGCTTGAAAGCTCGCTACTCACTAATCTGTAGGACGAGCCTCTGATAATACGCCCAAGGCGGATCACCCAGCCGACTATGCCTGCCAACATCACTGGTAAATTGCGGTCTTATCGCCTCTGGTAACCGGGCTACCCATGCGTCCATCTCCATCTCGATGTTTAGTGCACCCTGCAGCTTCTGAGCCAAGGACAAGCGGTGAAGGTAGACTTTGACCGAGATGGCGCGCATGATCCGCGCCAGGCCTATCATACCAGGAATAATGTCGACATCAGAGCCATCCATTGGAGGCAGGGGGCGGTTGTGGTAGTCATCCATCCCCAGACTGTCAGGCCGTCCAAGGGCGAAACTGAGTTCGATTTCCAGGGTGTAGAAACCCCACCACGTCTTCGAAGCCTCCAAGGCTTGTGGCTGCCTTGCTGAGCCACCGCTGTCAATGGAAGCATTGCGGTTTGCGCCTATTGACAGAAGCGTGCGCGAAGCCATGCCAAGATATGTGTATGCGAGATTGGGATTCAGCTCATTTTGGCAGACTTTGGCCATAAAGATATATGCTTGAGCGGCCTCAAGATCATTTGCAGAGCCCGGAAATCCTAGGGCCAGCTGTGCCTTCTCAAAGAGCATGCGACTCCACTCGAATCTGCCCATCCCGTTAAGCTTCTCCTCCGTCCACGTGCGAATGAGAGCACCGAGCGAGACCAAGCTGAAATACAATGCGATGAAACTGCGGGACTGGTTCTGAAAGCGACCTTGCCACAAATCATCGCATCTGGAATAAAAGTTCTCCTTGTCCAAGAAGGGGTGGATGTAGTGGAGATTATTGAAATAGGTTTCCAAGAAGACATAAGATTGTGGGAAGAAGAACTGGTTCTCGAGCACGTCGTTCCATCCGCTGGCATCTCCGTTGCGCTGGGTGCCAAAGGCGTGGTTGTAGAAAGTGCTGACCAACGACGGTTTCTGGGAGGTCGTCTGCTGGTCGCCCTGCGAGTCCCCCTCGCTGTAGCCGTACTCCTGCCGCACGCGGCCCAAGAAGGCGACAGATGAGGTGTGGCCATGGAACTCGATGTCCCTGGTGTGGGGGTTGACCTCAACGATTTCGGTGCCCTCTTCGGGACTACCTACCTCCTCGTTCACCACTCGGCCCAGCGCCGCCGAGCGCCCAGGATGCTCCGACTGTGGCGAGATAGCAGCGGCGTCCGACTGCGAGGCCGCGGACGGGGGCACGGCGGTGGAGCTTGCAGGCTGGTGGTCGGCAAGCGTTGTGGACGATGCGTGTTCCGGGCCAGCAGCGCTCTGGGTGGTGGCGCACGACGCGAGGGCGTTGTACGACGAGCGAAGCTTTGCGTTCTCGGCCTCTGCGAGCTCCAGGCGCTTTTCCAGGTCGCGCACGAGGCTAGAGACGATGCATGCATGGTCAGCTCGGCGGCAGCTCCGGGGGGCGAGGCGGCGGCAAACCACCTTTGCGATCCCGCGTCCCTCTCATTCATCAGCGGGGCCACGCGGTACACGCAGTGCAAGCCGCGTCCTTTGAGACGGCGCCAGAGAGTCAGCATGGGCGATGCACGGAGCTGGAACATTGGATCGGGCGTACTGCGACAGTGCGAGCATGGGCAGACGCCATCGCACTTGTACTTTTTGGAGCGGCACAGGTTGCAGGCCTGAATGGCCCGGGGCCGGCGCGGCGGCTTGGGGCTGCTGCTGCTGGCGGTCGTCGTATCTTGTGGCGAGGGCAGCATGTCATGGACAGCCTGGCGGCAGAGGTAACGAGCAATTGAACGGGACGCGCGGATGGAGAATAGAGCACGGTGCTGAGCGAAGCTGGTTGCACTGAAGGCCGCTGGGGTGCGCCTTCTCGGCTCAGCCCGGCAGCCCGGGCAGGGGGCCGCTCACACGCGAGCACCGAAGCTCCAGCACAGCCCGGCGACTCGCATGGTTCCTCCCCCGCACGGCAAGGATCCACCCCTTTGTGGGGTTGTGGGGGACGCTGCTCTTCTTACTGCTCTCGCTGTAGCATCTGCTCGGAAAATCCGCCCGCAAACGTCCATGCCTATACTAGCCAGCAACATCTCGGCCGACGGGATGCCGCCTCGCTCTCGGCAGTTACCCCTCGGCAAATCCGGTGCAGAAGTGGAAATAGATCCATCAGCCTGATGACTTCTCGTTGGTGGCTTTGCTTTCGTCACCTCGAGTTGCGCTTACCTCCGACGGCCCCTCAGCCAGCTGTCGGCTTTGCCGAACTCCGTTTACAGCTGGCCAGAAAATACAAGAAGATGATGCCACAGCCGCCTCCCGTCGCTATTAGTGCCTATCAAGCCAGCCATATGAAATCATGGGCCAACACCTCTCCCTCCCAACCCTCCCAAACCCTTTTCGGCCGATGGCGATGCAGAACTATGCGGACAGATTAGACATCATCATCGTGGGTGCGGGGTTGGGTGGCTTAGCAGCCTCCATCGAATGCGCGCGTTCCGGCCATAATGTTACTGTCTTGGAGGGCGCCTCTGAGCTTGCTGAGGTTTGCAGAAGTTCCCCGGCACCATTGGTCGAAAACGCTTCTGACAAATTTATATAGGTTGGGGCTGGGCTGCAGATAACCCCCAACTCATCCAAACTGCTGAAGAGATGGGGCGTCTATGAAAAGCTCCAGAGCCAAGCGTGCGAGCCCAAGTCCCTGGTTGTCCACAGGTACACCGGCAAAATTCTGGCCAAAGAGGACAATTTCGACGAGCACATGAACGAAAGATACGGCTCCCCGTTTTCCGATGTGCACCGCGTCGACCTGCAGCAGGCCCTCGTCGCAACTGCAAGAGAGTTGGGCGTTACCATAAGACTCGGTCAGCGTGTCGATGCCCTAGACCTCGACGCAGTCCGAGCTCGAATCAGAACCACCAGCGGTGATGAGTACCACTGCGACCTTGTAGTTGGAGCTGACGGCCTGTGGTCCAAGTGCCGGGAATGTCTGCTTGGCCGCAAAGCCCAGCCGCTTCCGACCGGCGATCTTGCCTATCGCATCGTGCTGAGGTTGGATCAAATTGAGGACCCTGAGCTGAGAGACATGATCGCCAACCCCCAACTGCATTTCTGGATCGGACCGGACGCACATGTTGTTGCATACTCCTTGAGAGGTGGTACGATGTACAATCTTGTGTTGCTAGCTCCGGATGATCTACCAGAGGCAATAGCCAGACAGCCAGGGTCAGTGGAAGAAATGAAAAAACGATTTCAAGGCTGGGACCCAATATTGACCAAATTTTTGGACTGTGTGGACACCGTAGACAAGTGGAAACTGATGCACCGTGAGTGGCGGCATTGCGATCAAGACGGAGCGCTACTAATGAAATATTGCAGGTGAGGAGATGGATTCATGGATAAGTGAGCGAGGGAATCTGGTGATGATGTGAGTACGAAAGTCATATACCTGGTGTACATCCGAGCTAAATATATTTAGCGGCGACGCTTGCCATCCGATGCTCCCTTACCTCGCGCAGGGTGCAAACTCAGCACTGGAGGACGGGGCAGTACTGGGAAGGGTGCTTGCTGGAGTTCGGGGAGGATCATCCCTACCACGCGCGCTCAGGCTATTCCAGCGCTTGCGGAAGGCGCGAGGAGAAGCCATCGTCCGAGAGACATTCAAGCAGGTAAATGATACTTGGTTGAGGACAAGCTGCAAGGAAAATGCTGACCCAACGAAGCGAGCATCATTCCACATGCCGGATGGCCCAGAGCAAGTAGCACGCGATGAGCTCTTTTTGTCGAAGCTGGGTAAGGAAATCGACTGTGCTTTTCCAAGTAGATGGTAAGTTTTGAAGAGCAATAAGACAGTGACCGTGGCTGATGTAAGTTGCAGGACGTGTCCCGAGGTGCAGCCGTGGCTGTATGGATATGATGCTTGGAGGGAAGTAGATAACGCGTTATGGAACGCCAGCGGTGTGGAGAACGCGACGAGGCTGTAACGATACCAGTTTCTAGCGACTGCTTTTCTGTACAATACCTACGGCATGGTTAATGAATTGAATACACTATGAATCGTCAAAAGCGGCTCGATGGAACTCGTGTCAATGTGAGCAAGAATGTGTGGACGAAGTAGGTAGAGGCAATCCAAATGTTGTTGGGAGTCAGGGCCGCTGCTGCGCCCAAGCGCGCGCGCGCCAAGGCCGGGCCCCAGCCACATGCATCGTCATCTCGTCACAAGGACATCCGCCTGTCTGAGCTCGCCGCCCTCTCCACAAATCGCCTCCGTTATCGTCGCCGACCACAACAGAGCTCTCCCCACAAACAACCGCCATCGCCATCCCCTCCCCACACTCACCCGCTTGCGCAACAACGTCGCCATGAAGCTCTCGACGCTGCTGCTCGCCGTCGCAAGCCCGCTGGTCGTCTCGGCCTCGTCCAACGTTCTTGGCAGCTTCCTGGGCCAGCAGGAGGTCATCAGCCAGGATCTCAAGGTCCCCGGCGAGAACCCGCTGTACTTCTGCGAGGACCCGGCCTCCAACATCCTCACCATCGATACCGCCGACTTGGACCCCAACCCGCCCGAGGCGTGAGTAACCCCAAGCTCTCAGCTCGTTATCAATGTCGCATCCCCAACTGGACGACGCCTCCAAAACCATCAAAGCAGAACATGTAAAGCTAATGCATGGCACCACTCAGTGGCAACACCCTCAGCATCAAGGCGAGCGGCACGCTCTCTGAGAAGATCGAGGATGGTGCCAAGGTCCGCTTGCAGGTCAAGTACGGTCTGATCACCCTCATCAAGCAGGAGGCTTCGCTGTGCGACTACGTCAAGGAGGTCAACCTCGAGTGCCCGCTCGAGAAGGGTGATCTCGAGCTGACCAAGGACGTCGACCTTCCCAAGGAGATCCCTCCGGTAAGCTTAATCCCACTTTGTACCAAGCTTTGTGAATTGTCGATGCTAATGGCGTGATTGTGCAGGGCAAGTACACCGTGCTCGCCGACGTCTTCACCAAGGACAGCAAGAAGATCACCTGCCTCACCGCTACCGTTCAGTTCCACAGATAAGCGTCTTTTGCTTTTTTTCGGTCTTGATATGGGCTGATGGCAGGTTGTCATCAAAAGTGGAACTAGCGGCGTAAGGGAAGGCCGTGTGATGCCTGGCGCGAAGGTTGTATAGTACACAGGACTTTACGGCTCGTGGAAGACGGTGGGGAGGACTTTCATATGAATTTGCGTATTCGTTGGACCGAATGCCGTACGTGCATGGTCGACTCGGTCGAAGATACCTTTGTCGACGAGGCGTTTAGACCGTTTCAGTTGGATTAATGATATATCATGAGTGGGGTATCGAGCTCGTGCACTTCCTTCGGCTTGTCGATCCTGTGTTGCCAAGGCCAAATCTCGATGTAAAGTTGCTGGTGCCGATACCAGCCATCGCTCTTAAAGAAACGGCGCATTGCATATCAATTTTGTAGGAAGGATTCCGAGCCCATCTTGAATTTGGGTATAAATTGATGTATAGCTGTACAAGCAGAACGCCTCCGATAGAATGCTCGTGGTATGCACAGGTTCGGCCGCCTGCCGTTTACTCTCCGAACAGCCTCCGCACACGCTTCAACACGCTGTCCTTGTCCGGGTCGTAGGGGTGGTCTTTCGAAGGAATCTCGAGCAGAGACGGGAAAGCGGCGGTATAGGCGTCCACACGGTGGCGTATACGCTCGGCAATCTGCAGAATCAGTTGCTGTTCGATTGAGGCAGGTGCACGAGAAGGCGTCAAGGATAGAGCTGGGGCGTAGTGTCCGTACATGCTGGTTGATAAGTAGGATAGCGATGTCCTTACGCTCCTCGGTGAACCTGTCGAAGGCGGCCTCGATGGCAGACGTCTCGGTCTTGCTGTCGACGACGAGGAAGTTCTTCTGGTTGTCCGGCGGCTGCGTGACGTGCTACGCGCGAGATACATCAGCGGGGCTAGGTCTAAGGATTTCTGCAGGCTGTAGTAGCCATGATGTAGTTCTGAAAGGACTTACGCCGACACCCGCGAGGAGGAGACCGGTCACCGAGTCCTACAGAAGTAGCGGTTAGCAGAGCTCGAGCACAGCTAGGGTGTGACGTGTGCGCGCACCTCATCTCCGATAACAGCAAGGAACTGGCGGTCCTTGTAGGCAGAAGCTGGGGCAGCCATGGTTGTAGTCGACCGCCTGCGAGTGCTCTCGTGGACGGCGATGCAGGCTGGGGTGGAAGGAAGCTGGAGCTTGGTCGTCGGGCTGTGACGCCGCGGGGACCACGCGGACGATCATCGGCAAGGATTCTCGGCGGCCGGCGCTCCTTCATCCGGCCTCTGTTTACAGTGGAAAGAGCGACGCAGACAAAGACAATGGTCTCGGCCCATAGCTCGACCTGACATGTTGACCACCTAACATCGCTGCGAAACGACCTTCGATCTCGCGCTGCAGCTTCGCGACCCTGCGCGCATTTCTCGCGCCCTCTCTGCCACCCAGCAATGCCCCCGCTTATCCGCCGCCGCCCGCTCTCAGAGCGCATCCAAGCTTACCTGGATCCGTACGACTGGCTATTGTGGTTATCCGAGGAACTCAATAGCAATGACCTGGACGAGGCGCTGAAAGACTGGGCATGGCCCATCGGCATCGCCGTCAATGTGGTCTTCATGATTGCAAGAGCAAACAGTGGCGCAGGAGCCTCGACAGGCAGCGAAGACGTATTTGGAGACTTTGACTCTGGAGCAGGGACAGGCTGGCTTCGTTGGCTGGTAAATTATTTCGTTTCTAGGTTGTTGTAAAGCCTTGGCTAACAAATGAGCAGTGCTCCTTTGTCGTACATTTACTATCGCTCCTCTCGATCGTGAACGCCGTCTACACTTTCCGTCGCAAGCGTCACTACCGGCTGTTCGAGAACCCCGTTGAGAGAACCCCGACAACACCCTCAGCCCGCCGTGTTCGCGTCGATTCGTCACCTATCGCTTCATCGCCTCTCCGCTTCCTTTCGAACATTATCACATCGACAAGCGCAGAGGCGCGCGCGCATCCTGACGCAGCTCGCGACGTGTGGGAGATATCCGTATGGGACCCCACGCCGACATGTCTACGGCTCTTCTGCTTGTTTAGCCCCGGTCATGTTCTGGTGTACTGGCTCTTCCTTCCTCTCGCATCTCTGGACCCGCGGCCCAGTGTCACAGTAGTCACCACTATGGTTCTCGGGGTCCTGATGACGACGCAGCTCCACCTGTTCCAATCTTTCTTCTCGCAACAGACGAAGGATGCTGCACTGATCCATCGCGAGGTTCTGCATGAGTACGACACCAAGTTCGTGCACCCGAACTTGAATAAGCCTGTCCGTAATGTGGGGACGCAGACGCCAGACGAAGAATCCAAGGCCAAGGTCACCAGGGAGGTTGATACATATACACCGACTACTGTCATCAATAGGGGATTCCGTACCAATCCTAACCCTGCATATTCCGCGCAATATGATCCAGACAACAATCTCCACTCCGAGCAGCGCGCCTCTCGATCTACCATGCCAAATCCTTTCATTACTCCACGTGTGGCGAGTGCACAAGGACCCACCGGATCGATCAGAGGCTCTCCAGGAGGCCACAGAGCCTCTACCATGAGGCAACCTGTGTTCCGTGCCACATCGGACGCGAGCACTGGTGACGGCGGCAGCCTGGGTGTGTACTCCCACGCCGCCTCACCTCTGCGCAAGCCGCAGTCTGTCAATTTCATGAGACCGGACGAGTCGGATCGGAGAGTCTCTAGCCCGGAGAGGAGGAAAGGTAGCCCGCTGAAGCGGATGAGCACGCCGGGAGACTGGGGCAAGGTGCCAGAGTTGGAGAGACCGGGTACTGAGAGGCAGCGGAGGCCGTACTACGCGGGTCACGATTCGCGGAGAGAAACAGGGCGGTATTAGAATGTGTGTACTTTTCTTTTCTCTGGCTGTGTGTGTCGAGATACCATAAGGGCCGGAATGATCTAGTCGGTCACTTATCTGCATGGGCAACCAGCGTTATGGCGTTTATTGGGACTTATGGGCATTCAAGCATGGTTTAAGCGTCTGGGTTCTCCTTTCTACTAACGTCTCTTTGACGGCGACTTTTACATATCGCGCAAAAGTGTATACAAATCACGAACGAAGAAAATTGAAAGCCGGCCGTTGACATCATGAAGCATCCATACCAACCCACCATCTCCTCTTCCAGCGAATTACTCTCTCCATCCAGCAATCTTATCCTTCAGGCTCTGCCTGAATCCAGCCTTCTCCTTCTCACTAGCATCGTCCCCTTCTTGCTCCTTCTTGTGATGGCTCTTTTTCATCTCCTTCTCCTCCTTCTCCCGCTCTCTCCTCTCCTTCGCCTCGGCCACCTCCCGATCGAATTGCTCAAGCCTAGCCTTGCGGTATGCCGCCGCCTTCTCTGATACCTCCTCGTTGCCTGGACGCGGCTCGCCGTTAGGAAGGTAGGGCGAAAGACGGTTCTGTTGCGATGTGGAGAGGAAGGCAGTGTTGTGGGCTGCGATGCCGGCGGAGAGGGAAGGCATTTTGGTTGAGTATGAGTTTGATTGGTTGAAAGGTTGAGAGTGAGGTGTTATGAGAGCTGCGTGTTCGGTTGGTTTACTGCAGCTCAGACGGGTACTGAGGTGGAAAGGCGACTCTGGACCGATAGTTTGGGAATCAGATCTCGGTTAAGAGGGTGGTGGTCTTTGATTGGTGTATTGGTTGGTTGACTGTTTGCTTGCGGTGTTTCTTTTAGGGTGTAGCAAACAAAGTGGGTTGCTAGCTATGTGATGAAAATAATACAAAGCTCGTTGCACAGGTGGTTTTCAGCGTATATTCACGATTTAAGAAAATGGGTTCTACATGTTGTTATACAGAACACGTTAGACTCCGCCCCCATCTCTACCAATGTACAACATGTACATCTTTTCCGCAAGCAAGTGCACGCCTTAAATGCCAGCACACGTGATGGGCTTTTTGACGTCATGGCCCGCTCAGCAGGTGGCTGTGTGATTCCTTCTCGGAACACCCCTTCCGACCTGCGGTGCTGCGCCAGATGAGCGGCAACAGTATTTCTCTTCGTGCATCGCGCGTTCAACAGCCCTACTGCCAGCATATGGCAAGGGTGTTGTTTAAACGTGGCTGAGATGAGATGCGAATCATGCAAGACCGGATAAATTACCGACGGATCTAAGACTCGCATCTCGGCTTGCGACTGGTCAATGCATGAGATTGTTTTATCGTAACGGCGCTGGGCACGCTACTACACTGTAACTGCCAGAAGACGAACGATTATTGGCGATCCGAGTCGTTAATGCCTCAGAGAAGGTCAGTCTTCCAAATTTTTCTCTTGGCCTTCAGTAAGCGTAGCATCGTGCGACTCGCAAACAACACGAGAAAGGTTCGTTTATTTTTGGCGTGGGCTGGGTTCCACTGCTTGGCACGGCGGTGGGATCACGCAAATACCTATTGCCGGTTCGGGCAAGGTGGCTGAGCTAATTGCCAGTCAAGCCGGCGTAAGACGCAATTGGTGATGCCCAAGTCGACATCACGACAAGCCACGGCGGTAGTTGCGAGGGGAAATGAGGACGGGGCGCGAGCCATGCTAAGGTGGCAATAGGTGGGGGAATTAGGTATTAAGGTTTGGATAGGCACACTGGAGAGTGCCGGTGCCACGGCGACGAAACTGTCCGCCCTTCGGTGTAAAGTTAGACAGAAGGGTGGTGCTGGAACCTTGCAGCGCGGAACGCAAGGCCGAAACGGAAGCAGACATGAGTTTCAGAGTCAGGAATGCGCATTGGTGTTGAGGGTGAGCGGGGCTCAGGGGCAGGCTCAATGCTCGGGCGGCAGGCTGTAGGGCGCGAAGGAAGCGAAGAGCTGGCAAAAGGGGTGGACTGTAAGAAGCGGATGAGGCTCGTGTCAATAGTGCAGTAGGGCAGAGCGGGCCCACGGTTACGGATCTGGTTGCGGCGGCGGACGCGGGCCGTTTGCCTCGAAGCAGCTCATGTCGGCTTCGCTTCCTTGCCGCCGCCTACGCCGCACCGAACGCTCTTCTCCGCGCCTGTGAAACCCACACAGCCCTCGGTGTACCGCCCAACAACAAAGAACTGGGGGTCGTGTGTGTTGGCTGCTGACCCGTGCTGCGATAGCACAGCCGCCGTGCCGGGCGAGGGCGGAAAAGTTGCGGTCACTCTGCGGATGTCCGTTATTTTGCGCGCACCACGGATCCGCTTGCGGCCATGCAACCTCGCGTTTTGTGAGGTCAAGCTTTTTCATTTCCCACCGGCTGGGCGAGCGCTGCGCTGGCCCACAAAGCTTGGCACCGAGATGCCGACGTTCTCGGCCCCTGGCGCACTGCAGTCAGCCGCCGGCGATATTGTTCTGCGAGGGCGCGGTGTCCGCGGGCCCGCTCCTCCTCGCCTGCGCTGCCTCGCATTGGACCGCCGTCCGTCCTCGCATGGAGCGTCGTATCAAACGAAACCGCGTGCGACAGTGTCTTGACCGTCAGAGCGCCGTCACTGCGCTCAGATATGCATCGCGCCGATTGGGCTGATCGATGTCGCGCACACGCCATGGCCAGGCAGCGACAAAAGGTTCTTCTTCAAGCCTGCGCCTTGCCAGCGCCAAGTGGTAATACAGTGCTGAGGTGGGATTGGCGCATGCGCGGGCGGCTGGGCATGCTGATAACGGCCCTGCAACTGCCTCGCTGGGCGGAGTCAGTCCATGGCTGGCGGTAGATCCGCCGCTGCTGCATCCTCCGCCGGAGATGGCCGTGCACCCATATGTATCCGGCGCCACAGCCCTAGCAGCATCCAGAGGCCCTTTTTTGGCTCGTATTGTTAGCTTTGCGTCTGTGCCACGCCGCCGAGCGACAAGGTATATCTCAGAATCCCGCCCAGACTCTCTTCTCCACGCTCTTCCTGTGCAACCGCCAGCTCCCTCCCACCTGCGCCGCTCGCTCGACACTGCCCACCATGAGCTGGAAGAGTCTCCTCTCACCCTCGTCGCCGCGGTACACCCCGCTGGGCTTCCCGGACGCGGCCACAAAGAGAGTCCCGCCGCGCAGGATACTGTATGCCGGCGCTGCCGCAGTCGCCACCGTTTTCGTCATTGCTACTGCCTCCTGGCACGTCAATCACCGCTCCATCTTCCACGACCCGGCCTACTTCGAGACTGTCAGGCTGTCCGAGGGCTACAAGTGGCAGTTCGACCCCAAGCGCGACGCTCTGAACTATGGTCTCACCGACGAGCAGTGCAATGTGAGTTTTTCAGCCACCTTCCGCTCCTTCCGCGTTTCGTGATGTCATTGCCGCTAACGCACCGCCATAGGCCGCTTTTCCCGATCTCTTCATGGAACTGGACCGTGCCCAGGATTTCTTCTCCGAGAACAAGATCCAGTACAAGGATATCCACCTTTCCACCGAGGCCGAACTCAACGACCACTGGAATGGCAAGACGCGTGCAGAGTTCCACATCATGATCTACAATGGCGAGGTAAGTAACGCAAAAAATAGCTTAGAAACGACCCAGCTAACACTGTTTCCAGTTGATCGTCATCGATGAAGCTAAGGGCGAGCCGGACCGATCCCGTGGTCTGTCAGCAATGGCCTCCATGTACCGTGCAATTACCGCCCATCCCGACCCCCGTTCGATTCCCAACGTTGAGTTCATTCTGGATCTGCACGACAACAGCCAGCCCGGCCCTGAGGGCAAGATTCGCTTCACCTGGGCCCGCCACAAGGACAACCCGTACATGTGGGTTATTCCTGTAAGTACTCCCTCAAAATTTCGAGCCTTTTCAGGTGAGCGTCAAGTCTGACAATCTGTATCAGGACTTCGATGGCTGGACTTACCCCGATGACGCGGTTGGATCTTACGTTCAATTCCGTAACGAAGTGGCTGAGATCGAGAAGCCCTTCGAGGAGAAGATCCCGCAACTCTCGTGGCGCGGCAGTCTGGGTGTCAACCACGGCCTGCGCCAGGCTCTTATGGATGCTTCTGATGGCAAGAGCTGGTCCGACGTTAAGGCCATTGACTGGAGGACGCGGAGCAACGTGTTGGCTATGAAGGACTTCTGCAACTACCAGTACGTCGCCCACACCGAGGGCAACACCTGGAGCGGCCGCCTGCGCTACCTGCACAACTGCAACTCGGTGCCCGTCATCCACGACCTGGACTGGGTCGCGCACTACTACCCGCTGCTGCAAGATTCGGGCCCGTACCAGAACTACATCAAGGTCAAGCGCGATTTCTCGGACCTGGACGAGAAGATGGAGCACCTGATCGCGCACCCGGACGAGGCCAAGCGCATCGCCGCGCAGTCGGCCCAGACGTTCCGCGACCGGTACCTGACGCCTGCAGCCGAGGCGTGCTACTGGCGCCGCATGTTCGCCAAGTACGCCAGCGTGCAGGACTTCCAGCCGCGCCTGTACGACGAGGAGATCGGCCCCGACGGCGACGTTGTGCGCCGCCTCCGCCGCGGCCAGACGTTCGAGCGCTTCGCCTTCCGCGGCAAGGACGGCTACGAGCACGGTATTTTCGAGGAGCCCAAGGACAAGGCCGAGTGCAAGAACGAGTCTAACCCCGCCCCGGCCACGCCCGTCATGACCCCGACCCCCTTGACGCCCGTCACCCCCGCCGTCACCCCCATCGAGATCGTCCCCACTCCCGTCGAGACGCTCATCGACACTCCCGTCGACGCTCCGGTGCCGACGCCTCCTGAGGCTGTGGAAGACGGTGCGGAACCTCGGACTCCCACCCCCGATAATCAGGACGACTTCTGGGGACAGTAGAGGGCCTTTTCTCCTTTCGACATCGAAATACATTGAGACGGACTGAACAACACGAATAAGATTTTAATGGCTTTTTCCGAGCATGAAAAGAAAATGGAGCACATTGGCGTTTTCTAAAGAATATGGATGGGTTGGGTTCTTTTGTCTTTTGTTATTTTTTCAGCCTTTTTGTTGATACCCTTTCTGTCGGGTGGCTGCATCAGAAACTTCCTCTCTGAAGGATTCTTCTTTCAATCTTCTATGGCCGAATTTAGCTAGAAGCGAGTATGAGTGTCTACACTCTAACCGCTACTTCGCAAGCCGGGTCTCTTCATTTCATCGACACATGTGTCAAGCTGTTTTAGCACTCAAAGCTGGAGAAGAGTTTAGCAGTAGGGATAAGACCGGGGAGAAGTTGCAGAGATAGACACGGACGACGGTGAAAGTCGATTCCAAGATATTATTATCCTCAAAACACACATCTTCTACATGACTTGAATTTGGTGATCGCGATTCGAACAGAGGCCTTGAGAGCAGTGGTATCTGAAGGGTTCAAATAAGCTTAAGGTTTGACGGGACCCTAAAGCCGGGGTTGAAAAGCATTGACGCTAGGCTCTATGCACGTAGTAGGCATACCGATGACGCGCGTCCCACCCTCCATACTGTGTAAGGCCTCCGACTGTGGAGTCCCCCCACGACGTATCCTTTCCTTTTTCCTTCCCGTGCAGGTTGCAATCGAGAAGCAACAACCGAGCGCCTTTACTGTAAATGGGAGGAGAGAGGAGAGAGACCTGTTGCGAATGGAAAAAAACGGAACTAAGAAATCGTTGACGACATTACGCTTGGGAGAGGAGAGTTTAAATGACATGCATGCTACCCATCTTTGCTTTTCCGGTTCCTGCGATTAAATGGAAGGACGAAGGGAATCAAGAAAGAGAAAGAAAAATAACATATCTCAAATCATATCCGGCTAAGTTCCCTGGCTTCGTATCGCGTGGCGAGTAAATTTTCAGACCCTTTTTTTGGGGGCCGCCTTTTTCTTTTCGTTCTCCCTTCAATCCCGCCTCTCTCCTCCCGACGGCGTTGTCGTCCTCGACGACGACGGCAGCGGCGACGACGACGGCGGCACCCTCATCATCCCCTTCATCCACTCGCGCCACCTTCCCGCTCCTCCCGCCGCCGCTATCGAGCTATCGACAGCGAGTTTATGCTGCTGCTGTTGGTTTTGCTGCGGCTGGTGCTGGCCCATGACCTCGCCGCCTTTCTTCAGCATCGTCGCCATGGGTGGGCTTCGGGGCGGGCTGATCGTCCTGCTGCTGGTGCCAGTCGCCGTCGGCTCGGGGCTCCTGCTTCCACCCGGCGTCGGGCTGGACCGGTGACTCCGGCTGGGCGAGCGGGACGATTCTTCCGGCGGAGGGGACGGCGGGGCGAGGTGCTGGTGGTGTTCTCGGCTGCGGTTGTGGCGGGATTGGAGGAGTTCTTGTAGGCGCAGCTGTTCGTCTGGGTGGAGCGTTATGGCGTCGGGGAGGGTGGTCGTCATTTTTGGCGGCTTGGTGGGGTGGTTCTTCCGGGTGGGAAAAGTTGGAGGCAAAAGTGGGAGAGAGAAGAGGAGGGTTGGTGGTTGGTTGTTTGGGGGCCTTTTCGTGAGGTGTGAGGTGGTTGGGGTGGGGTCGGCGGTGGAGTTGGCGGTTGAGTCGGCGGATTGAGTGGCGGTGATAGGGCTCTCGTCGAGGTGTTGAAAGGGTTGTTGTATGAGTTCGTCTACTCGTTGCGTGTTTATTCTTGTTCGTGGTCGGCGGTAAGTGCGATTTTCGACGGTCGATGTCTTTTTCTTCTTTTCCTTGGGCGATGCGGTAGATGATGGGTTTTACATGATTTTGGGACGTTCGCGGTTTCGCAGGGTTCGCAATTTCCGGCTTTCCGACGTAGAGTGTTGTGGTGGTGAGTTGTAGCTCCTGTCGATCCTCTAAAAAAATTCGAAGTATGATCGGAAGCGATCCCAGGGTCCGGGGCGAAAGGCAGCAGGGCTGGCTCAGTAAAAATGTGTAATAACAATGCGGCTGCGGGGGTGGCCAGCTCGACGCATGCAGGCGGCGGCCGCCCACCGGTAGAAGACAAAAACAAGATCACTCCGCTCGTCTTCTCCGACCGTCTCCGATAAGAAAAAGCCAGTGACGTTGGAAGCCAGGGCTCACTCTCCCCACGCCACGCGAGACCGGCGGTCGATCACATCTGCATGTGGTGGAGCCACCTGCTCCCCTCCCGCGTCTGACAAAACGCCCCGGCCGACCGGCAGACCGGTTCCGCATTCGCCAAGCGTTGTACTTTGAGACAGCGAGCTGGCGCGTGGTTCTGTTGGTCGGAGCCGGACGGCCGAAGGGCTCAAACAATTATTAACACGCTGGCTAGGCAGCAGCCACCGAGTATTCCCCTGCAAGCGGAAGCGGGCGCGAGCGGAACGTAGGCAGTGGCGTGGGCGGGTTGAGGCAGGGAGGGGATCCGGAAAGCTTGCTCAATCTGTGTTTGTGTGAGGACCCCGTGACGTCAGAACGGGAATGGCGTGGGATGGAGCGAGCTGCTTTGCGATTAAAAATGGGGGTTGAGAGCGAAACGGCCAATGGGCCAGCAGTGTGTGATTGTTGTCGGTCAGTGCAGAGAAGAAGCAAAGAGTTGTTGTGGTATCTTGTACGAGCGGAGATGCGTCTGAGGCGCCTGCCATCGCTCGATGATGGTTCCGCGTGCGGGGGTGGAGCGTTACTGGGGGACCTCACGCCCAGCCACACTACTACCCATCAACCAGTTAACCGCCGGGTCGGGCTTTTGACAGGCGCCCTCCGCGCGCCAATGTGCGGAGGCGCGGAGACGCGGAGCGCGGCGCAGGCTCGGCTGCGCTTGAGAGTCTCCTTGCTTGCACTAGATCACTATCAGAGACCAGTACATCGGCCGCATACTCTATTCGTTAGGAGTTTATGCTTTCACGACTGCTACAGCGCGTGACCGTATTTAACCTTCTTGCTAGGAATAGAGCATCTTACCTATGTGGATAACCAAATATCCGGATATATTTAAACAAGCTTAAAACTTAATTATGTCCAGACATTTGCTTCAACTTCGCACATGCAAAGACTGAAGCATTCTGCGGGAATTACGAAAAGCTCGAACCTGCAATTCTGTAAATATGCAGGCGTTCTCATCAGTCGCAACAACCTGGCATCCAGTGTTCACAAAAAGGAAAGCAAGTCCAATCGGCCGTAATTTCATCAATCAGGTCTCCCTTTCGGGCCATCATATCTCATCGCATCATCATATTCGTTCAATAACCCGCTCTCGCGAGATCACCGAACGCGCGTCTGTGCACATAGCAGTTAGCATTGAGGTACACTCAAAGTGCACACTGGTCGAGGCACCAAGAAAATGTAGAGAAAAAGAGAGGAAAAGAAGGGGAAGAAGGAGAAGACGAGCGAGATGCGCCCACACAACACAACGCATATTATAACCGATTAATTCAATATAGAAATTAGAGCATACGTGAAGCCCTGGCCGATCGCTTCTATCAGGGCGGCGGCGCCGTGCGGGTTGTCGAGCCTCTGCCTCCGCCACCAATCCTTGAACCCGCCCTTCTTCTCGTACTCGTACTGGATCGGGTTGTACCCGTCGTCGGCCTCCCTCCTGCGTCTCGCGCTGTCGGTGGATGTTGTGGATGGACACGGAGAGGAGGCGCGTTTGGATGAAGTGGACGGGTATTTCGACGCTGCGCGGGCCTCGGCAATGATGCGTTCCAGCTCGTCCGAAGAGGTGGAGGTATGATCTGATCCTTGGTGGTTTTTTGAATTCATGTTGCTGCTGAGGGCAGAGTTTGGGTGGAGATGGCTGCTCATGATGGCTGGAGCTGGAGCGTCGGCGTCGGGCGCTTATGATGAGATTTGTTGGTCAGGCCGAAATTACAAGAGTTGTGTGGTTGGTGATGTATCGAGCGCCAAAGGATGCTGTCGTTGCGAAGTGTTCTTGCGTAGAGTGCAGTCCAGTAAGTACATATACGCCTGAAATATCAGTGCACAAGCAGCCAGCTCATTATAAGTGATGCGACAACGCACGATGTCACCTCCGAGCTCTACAATCCAACATGACGGATTACTGTGCCCCCCGATGCCGCCCAGAGGCTGTGTTGAATCCTTCGACCACGCTCCACCGCTACGGGCGAACCGAGCGGGCGACATGATGCTTGGCGAACAGCATCGCCCTCAACACTTGCTCCACTACGTCGAAAGAAATGATGAAGGCGAAGGTGGGATACGAGCGCTGGCAGATGATCGTTTTTGGTGGCAAAGTTTTTCTAGAAGCGCGGGAGAAGGCGCTTTGAGAGATGGCGGCCAAGCGCTATGACGGCGGTGGGCTGGTCTGTTCGCGCGCTTAGCCGCAGCCACGGCCACGAAGGATGCGAGCTGGGCGTAGGGCCATCGCTTCCAAAAATAGGTACATACGAAAATCATAGCGGCGGTGTTAACGGCGTAGGTAGTAGCGGTCTGTTTATTCGCTCATCAGTGAACAGCAAGTCGCAGGTGACGGTTCAGATCACATGGTGACGGGAGCAGGGCGGGAATAGCGCGGGAGTTTCGGCAGGCCAAGGTCACGGAAGAAAGAAAGCTTCAGACCCCACAAGCAACGCAGGAACGCAGGGGAGCGTCGGCGCTTTGTAGGCGGTCATTCCAAGACATCGATCCCACGGTACCTGATAGCGTGATGCGGGTAATGCGGGTATAAATCAGCAGGTGTGGTAAACTCCTTGCCGGTCTTCCAGCCTGTCCACGCAATCACCCCCAGCTGACAGGCTTTCGGCACCGTCCATCCGCAGCCCCCCAGCCAATGTCCACCGCCGCCATGCCGGCTTTCCGGCCACATGCCTGGCCGAAGACGGATATCGGCATGGGGCTCGTCGAAAAGCGCGTCATGATGGCAGCGCGGAGTCGGCCCGGACGCTGTCAGTCGCTATCAAAACACCAGTGGTACGCCTGTCTAAAATACCAGTGGTATAGCGCAGTGACTCCGGTGTCCGCGGGCGACGATGCGCGTGAGCAGGGGCCCGAGCGTCGCGGGGCAGCGCCAAGTGACAATCATCGCGCGGCTCTGCTGTGCCGTGGTGTTTGGAGAGTTATATATGCATGCCGCGATCCCTCGTCTTGGACCCTCTTAAGCCGCATACCTTGACTCCAGGCCAAGCTTCGCAACATCTTGACTGCCTCCACTGCACCTGTACGTGAGCTGCTCCCCCGTTTGTTTCATGCGGAGCATACCTGTTAATAGCGCAGAAGCTCGGCCCACTACTGTAGACCACCAACAGCCCCCGTCATGCCTTCCGCCCTCACCAACGTCGCCCGCGACTCCTCGCCCTCGTCGCGGGACAGCTCGCCAGTACCGCCGCCAAGGTACACGCCTCCGCCGTCGTACGGAGCCACTGACGTCGACCTCGAGGCCAACGTCGCCGCTGCCAAGCCGGTGAAGCTGTCGTCGTCCAAGAACATCGATGTCGCAGCGACCGAGGTGCGCATGGAGCCGGCGTGGATGGCGTGGCGGCGCGAACGCATGCAGATTCTGGGGCCGGTGCAGCAGGACAAGCGCGTGCTGCTGTGGGCGTGGTCGCTGCTATGTATCTTCGCCATCGTGCTCGGCGTCGGGCTCGGGCTGGCCTACGGCAACAAGACGCCCGCCGACGACTCAGACTGATGCATGAACGAGTTGCCTTGTTGGGTGGCGGTGTCCAAACCGAGATTGCGATGGACGACTGCTGGACCCGTTTCTAGAAAGGTTTGGGCGAGCGAAACGAATGCGGAGTCGCCAGACAGGGCGTGACTAGCGGGCGAGAAACACGCGGCGCGCGTCGACTGCCGGAAGCAAGAACGCACGGCGGCTCTGGCGTTTGGCTGCGACATGGCGGATGAAACAAGCAACTAAGCGAAGCGGCTTTGTGGGGAGCTCAGGAGAATTGGCCCAGCGATTCCACCAGCCAGGCGCGCCCTTCCCGACACTCCGACCGATCCGGCCCGGGATCAGGCCTCTGCTCCGCACGTAACCACGACACACCTCCCGCTCCGCTGCCTCCAAACGGAAAGGTCCTCCATCTACTTGCCGCACCAGTCTCGGGAGATGGCCTTCTACACGCCAGACCGTGGCCCGCCTTGCGCTATCCACTTACGTCAACCCCGCCGCTGTTTCCCCTTCACCCTCGCCTACTCGTGTACTCCTCTTCCAGAACCTCCCTACTTCGAAGTTTAAATACGATGTGCCGCGCCCAGCTATCTTTTCTCCAGCAAGCATTCTTCCTTCCCTGATCCACGCATTCCTTCCTTGACACTTGCCTTCTTTTGCTACTTCTTCCAACACCATGAAGTTCACCACTGCCACTCTCTGCGCTGGCGCAGCTGCCCTTGCCGCCGCTGCCCCCAGCAAGACCATCAACCGCCGTGCCGACTTCTGCGACCAGTGGGGCAGCGTTGAGACCGGCTCCTACATCGTCTACAACAACCTTTGGGGCCAGGCCAACGCCGACAGCGGCTCCCAGTGCACCGGCGTCGACTCCCTGAGCGGCGACACCCTTGCCTGGCACACCAGCTGGACCTGGACCGGCGGTGCCGGCCAGGTCAAGTCCTACGCCAACGTCGTCCTCAACAACATCGAGCAGAAGCAGCTGTCTGCCATCTCGTCCATCCCCTCGACCTGGAAGTGGACGTACGCCGGCTCCGACCTGGTCGCCGACGTCGCCTACGACCTCTTCACCTCCTCGACCGCCGGCGGCGACGAGGAGTACGAGATCATGATCTGGCTGGCCGCCCTCGGCGGCGCCGGCCCCATCTCGTCGACCGGCTCCAAGATCGCCACCACCACCCTCGGTGGCGTCAGCTTCGACCTGTACAAGGGCCCCAACGGCCAGATGACCGTCTTCTCCTTCGTCGCCTCCTCCGAGGCCCAGAGCTTCAGCGCCGACCTCATGGACTTCGTCGACTACCTGACCACCAACCAGGGCCTGCCCACCAGCCAGTACATCAAGAGCATCGGCGCCGGCACCGAGCCCTTCTCCGGCAACGACGCCGTCCTCACCACCTCTGCTTTCTCCGTCTCCATGTCGTAAATGTGGGAAATGAGCGGGAGGAGGGATGCGTGGGGCGCTTTTCGCCTCCAGTTTTAGCACTTCGTTGTACAGAATACTTTACCTAAAAATATATGGTTACGGACGATGCTTACTGTGTATGATGTGTTGATTGAGTGTGGCTTATTGCTGTGATGTGCAGTTAATCTATCCCGTCGCGGGGAGATTGGCAATATATTATGCTTGTTATTGGCTTAAGCATCGGGGCGCGCTTGGCCGAGTCTTGGTCGATTTCTGGGCGATGGAACCAGAAGGTTTGGTGATAATTACTGCCTGTATTTGGCACGATTCAACGTGGCCGTGCCATGTGAATGATGCATGGCGATCTTGAGCCGATCAGGACTAACTAGAGCTCCATTTTAAGGTAGGACTTATTCCAGCTCCTAGCGGCTAGCGCCTGCTCCAAAGCCCTATCAAACCGGCCATTATCGCAACATAACTGCCATGATATTGTTAGCGATTAGCCCACAAGAGTGTGTGCAGAACTCAAAGAAAATGGAAGATGAGATCAAAGGAGAAGAGGAATGCACTTACACAAGCAATGTACCTATGCCAGCTTTAGGACCGTGCCATTCACCCTTCCTAACAACCCACAAGGCAAATAAGGTACCATGTAGGGAAACGATCTCCCACACACCGAGATGGAATACGAATGAACCGCCTGTCGTCCAAGAAATGAACCCCAATAATGGTACAACGTTGAAAAGTGTCCAAAATACGAAGAAACCTCCATTCAACACAAACTCATCGTCCGTATTTTCTCTCAAAACTCTGCACATCATTCGTCAATGAGGCGTGCATACGTTTGTTGTTCACTCACAACACCCAGACTGATACCCTCTACTAGAGCTAGCTGGAGCACATATTCGACATCCTCGAGTGCATGAGAGCCGTCTGCAGTGACTATCCCAGAATTGCCGCCGAAGAAGATAAGTATTACAGGCAATACTCACCCTACATGAACGAGGCCATGCCCGGTACGATGGTGCTCGAGCTCGACATCGACGAACCCCTGCCGACCTCTCAGAAACCGAAGATATTCTCGAAGGCATCTTGGAAGTGGCTTGGTATCTGGAACAGCCGAATTCTGGAAGGTGTGGATTCGTGGCAATGAGCTCTCGTCGAAAAGAGAAAATTTGAAGACATTCTCCGGAAAATTCCAGGAACAAAATGAAAGGCTTAAGGAGATACTGCCTTTATACTTGGCTTTCCAAATACAATCTTCCAGAGGCACTCCAGGTTCGAGTCGGTTGATGAACCCACAGGATGAGCAGGCCCAGCGCTTGGGGATTGCAAGACACCCTCGCCCCCAAAAGCTTTTGAGCGGCTCTCAAGCTGAACCTGCTAACATATTTTTGAAAAATGCTCACCTCGATGCCGCAGAGGGTGGGGAAGCTCCCGTACCCGGCCGATTGTCAAATCCAGGAGCGAGATCACACGAAAAAAATTCTTGTGGAGTACAAAAGCTATCTGCCATGTGCTTCGGATGTGGCTCCAGAGCCTGAAGAGGTAGAACTACAGTACCAGGCTGTCCAACGGCTTGCAAATCTACTGATATCGGCAGGCAGCAACGACATGCTCACATTACCTCTGCGCAGAGTCATCTCACAGGAGGAGCAATATCGATACGCTTTCCTATTTGACTTTCCGCATGGAATAGACAAAGAGAGCAGTCCCGTGTCTCTATTTTCCCTAATTGAAGGAGAGAGCCTAAGAAACAGGCTCGATCTCCCCCGAAGGTTTTTAGTGGCAGAGCAAGTGGCCAAAAGCATGGGAGCCTTCCACGCAGATGGGTGGGTCCACAAAAGCATGCGCAGAAGCTCTGTACCTTTCTTTCAGGGTAGGGACGCGCAAAATAATCTTCTCGTCAAGTCTCCCTATCTCGTCAATTTTGAGTATTCCCGCCCCGAAACGGCAATGACCAAATACGACTTCGACAACGACCTGGAGCGCAACTTGTACCGGCATCCAGATCGGCAGGGCCGCCCGAAGACCAGCTTCTCAAAGCTTCACGACATCTACGCACTTGGTGTCGTGCTGCTGGAGATTGGTCTCTGGGAAATGGCCCTGAGCCTCTACCAACGCGCTGCGAGAAGGTTACCACCTGGCCAGACATTGTCTCCAGCAGCCATTTGACTTGGCTTCATTGAGGCCGCGAAGCAGCGCCTCGGGCATCATATGGGGCCTGGATACGTGAGCGCGGTGTTGGCGTGTTTGACCGGGAAGTTCAGCAATCTCACGTCACGCGCGGACTTTCCGATGATATTCCACGAGGACGTGATCGAGAAGTTAGGTACCAGTGGCATATCTGCATGAGCCAGACCTTGAAATTCTTTCTAAGTACATTGTTTGCTATTTGTAAGGCTATCGTAATCCATCCTTTTCGTAGAATAAGGCCTTGTTTGACCTTTGTTGTCATGATAGTAATTTTCTTTGTGACTCAACAGCAATCCGCTAATAATTGTGCGCAAGATCGCCCTTCAAGTAGCAGCTCCTTCAACCGTGTGTACTCACTTGCGTGCTACGCCACCATTCGCCGCCGCAAACGCCTCATTAGCCATCCCAACGATCTTGCCCCACATCTCCATCTTCAGCACCGAGCAGAACATGGCCGCCGTCTGCAGATATTGGTACACCGACACAACCTGGTCGTCTCCGCCCACCGCTGCCGACGTCAAGTAAGCACGATGGCGTTCACAGGCCATGTCCAACCTTCTGATTATGCAATTCAGTCGCTCGCCGTCCGCGTCGTATGGGCAGTGGATGATGCCCATCTCCGCAATATCATGCACGAATCCTGCTTTGAACGGCTGCTCGCTGGTCCATATCCACACGCCCTTGTCGGGACGCGGCGGGGACTGCAGCTTCAGGCTTACGTCGGGGCGGGCATAAGGAACGGCATAGTCCTGAAAGATGAAGACCGGGAGGGTAGGCTCAGCCGGGTGATGGTTGTGAAGAGATGCGGTCATCTGAAACAGGCGTGCGGCGGGCTTGAGGCGGAGGAAGTTGTCGCGAGCCTCCTGCATTATTAATCGCATCAACCGCGCGTCGGTTTAAAGGGTGTGTTGCGGGGCTTGGAGGAGGCTTCTCACTTCAGTCCATTTGTACGACCCGACGAAAAGAAGGTCGGGGATCGAGTGGGGAGAGTTGAGCATCTGCTGCTTCCTCGGACCGCAATTGACAAGATAGAGCTTCCCCAGGCCGAGGGTGGTGGCGGCGAGCTCGTTGACGGCGAAGGCCAGTCGCACACGGTCTTGGAGAGGACTGTAACCGCCGCGGTTATTGTCGATGCAGTAGTTACCGAGCTGAGTCTGTAGATTTCCCTCGGTTTTGGGGTTGTAGACGCGATGGAATGGTGGGAGGGCATTGAAGTCCAGAGATGGTGTCTCTGAATCGGATGCTACCACCATCGCGGCTTCGGTTTGCGTAATTTGTTGACTTGAACTGTGCTGAGTTTCGGTTTCAGAGAAACCTTCTCAGCGGTGGGAGAAAGGTTTGAGCGGTGGCTGATTTGGGAAGGCGCATGCTTTCCCGCGGGTCGCGCCTTCCTTCTCGATTACAGTCACAGCGCGTCGTTTGCCTCACCAGTACATAAGCCGGGCCATTCCACCTTATTCCTTCCTACTCTGCCACCTTCAACTCTGCACGCGCATCCGGTCAAGCCGCAACCTCAAAGCCCCTCATTAATCACGCCATCATGGCCCTCTTCGCAAACACTCAGCTGTACCGCCACAAAAAGGCGGGCTACAGCCGCTTCTGCAAAGACACGCAGACTCTTTACAACCAGATCCAGGCCGAGACCGCGTCTGACGCCGACATTACCAACTTCATTAACCTCGTCGAAGCCGAGGAGCGCCTCTTCCGCCTCATTAAGTTCATCATGCTCGACTTCGGCAAGCCCGTAACGATGCCTCCTCACCCACGCGCCGGCATGGAGCGCATCCGCAGCTACTTTCGTCATCGTCTTGTCATGCTTGATGATAGGTACAGGAACCTGTGCCCGGCCTCGTTCCGCCGCCGCGACAAGCTCCTGGTACGTAACGCGATGCTCGAGCACTGGAAGCGCCTTCGTGTGGACAATGGCCAACCTGCCATGACGCCAGCAGAGGAGCGCATGCGCATTCTGAGCCTCAACATGCTCACCGGTGAGTCATGCCTAATAGAACTGAAAGAGCAAGATGCTGCTTAAATGGTGACACTAGAACTTCCGCCGTCGACAGACACTGAGGTTAATTTCGGTGCCACTGGCTCTGAGCTCTGGCAGTCGATGCTCGACCATATCCATGCCGATCCCTACCTTCACGTTGGCGTAATTCAGGCCGACGGCACCATCAGGGAGATCTAGAACGTTGCCACACGTCTTCTCGCCGCATCAGAGAAGCTTACTCACTAAGATTCTTTCAGCGTTGAGTTTGGGCATATGCTGTTGAATAGCAACAAAAGGAACAAGAACCTTGGGTCAAAAGTATTCTGTGGGTACTGGCAAGCTGTACAAGGGGTGCTGCTTCCCCGGGGAGTTCTTTTCGATACGGTGGCCAAAGCGTTGTTGGTGCCCACAGAATGGGCACCCAGAGATGGAAAAGGCCCCGAACGATGATAGATAGCTGGCCAATGGAGTGTACTTTTGTTGGCAATTTGAAATGCTTGCGAAGCCATTTGTTGGCTGTAGCTTGGTGCGGGGACGTGTACTACTTACGTACTCGGCTGTCGCTCCGGAGGCTGCACGGCAAAGCTCCCTAAGCGAGCGCCATCTCCAGAAAGCGTGATAAGAAGGGCAATTCCAGCCAATAGGAGATTAACGGGGATGAACGGAAGGCACCCACCAGGCGGGGACGATGCATGCTGCTAAAGCTAATCGTGCTTTTTGCATTCAAAAACGCCCCATGCCCACGGAGCCGGTTCCGTCTTTTCGAACTCCGACGCTCGACGCCAGCTCAAACCCATCGCGAAAGAATGGCGGCCGCAATGGCGACTTCGTGCGCCCTGGGCGTCATCACGCACCTCGCCGTCAGCCGGCATAATGGTGTAGAGTTCGACGCACACCCTTGGAAGCTCCTCGTCTTCACGTACCTCGGATACCTGGGATCTTTGCTTTACTATAACCTCTCCATCCTCAAACTTGCACTGCTGAGTGCGTTGAGTCAAGTGGCCATCTCTGCAACGCTTTTCAGCACTGGCTTCTTCACCAGCCTGGTCGTTTACCGCCTCTTCTTCCATCGACTGCGCAAGTTCCCCGGTCCAAAGCTCGCCGCTGTCTCGCAGTTCTATGCTATGAGCTTGGCGGCCAAGGACATGAAGCTGTGCATTGAGATCCAAAAGTTACATCAGAAATATGGCGATATCATCCGCATCGGTAAGTGCATGCTCATCAAACGGTGTACACAAAGCTCACAGCCCATACATAGGTCCTCGCTATCTTTCCATCGCTCGGCCCGAGGCCATTCCTCTTGTTTATGGTACGCTCAGGACTTAATATGGGATGTGGATTGATTGCTAACGAATCAGGTCCGCCGATGCGCTGCGTGAAGGGTGCCTGGTATGCGCAAACAGGCGGCGACCCTCAGGTCTGCTCGCTCAACCAGACACGGGACATGGAACTGCACCGCTCGCGCCGCAGGGCTTGGGATCGCGCATTCAGCATGAAAGGTACGCAAGCATAATAGCTTCCTCGAAAGCTTGTGAGACTTACATTTGTTGCAGCGCTGGATAGCTACGTCCCCCGGGTGGCTGCCAAGTGCGAGAAACTCGTCGAGCAGCTCCGCTCGAGGAAAGACCAGGCCATAGACATCCAGAAATGGGCGTCTTTCTTTGCTTTCGACGTCATGGGTGATGTGGGTCTGGGCAAGCAGTTTGGCACGCTGGACACAGGAAAGGACCATCCCGCCATCGCCGCTGTGCATGATTCCATGTACGCTGTTGGATTGATGACACCGGTCCCCTGGCTGATCAGCCTACTCACGGCCATCCCGGGTGCTGCTTCTGCTATCCAAGACTTCCAGGCATACTGTGCTTCTGCCGTTGATGAGAAGGCGAAGGTGGGTGCTCCTCCAGCTTCAAAATTAATGAAGAAGTAGTCTGACGCACCTTCACTAGACACTGAACAAGGACACGGAGCCAGGAGACATCATGGCATGGCTGTTCAAAGCGAAATACGAGAACGATCGCTCCGCTCCCCCCGGCGTCCAGGCTTTGCATGAAGATTCCAGACTCATCATCGCGGCGGGAAGGTACGCACAATCATCAACCCCACCACCCCCCCGCCTACTACATCTTCACCCGTACTGACGATATCTCACAGCGACACCACCCTCGCCGCCCTCACGACCCTGACTTACTACCTCTGCACGCACCCCGCCGCCCAGCGCAAACTGCAAGCCGCCCTCGACGCCGCCGACGACTCCACCAACTTCGCCGCCGGCGGCGCGATCCCGTACCTCGACGCCGTCATCAACGAAACCATGCGGCTCTGGCCACCCGCGACGGCCGCGATGCCGCGCCTCACTCCCGCGGAAGGCCTGCACGTGCGCGACGGCGCCGGCAACGAAGTTTTTATTCCGGGCGGCGTGACGGTGGCGGTGCCGCCGTACACGCTGCACCGCGACGCGCGCAACTACGCCGACCCGGACGCGTTCGTGCCCGAGCGGTGGACGGCCGAGGGCGGCTTCGAGGCGCGCCCTGAGGAGGGCGCGTTCATGCCCTTCTCGCGTGGGCCCGCCAACTGCGCGGGGAAGAACTTCGCGAAGATGGAGTTGAGGATGGTGGTGGCGAGGTTGTATGGGGAGTTTTGGTTCGAGTTGGCGGAGGAGGAGAAGGAGGGGGCGGAGGACTGGGAGCGGAAGATGATGGATACGGTCAGCTTGACTGTGCCGGGGTTGAAGGTTAGGATTAGCTCGAGGCGCGGGGAGTAGAGAGGGTCTGGGGTGCACAGGGAAGGTCTGAAAGAGTGCTTCGTGCGGGCTGAGGATCATTCGGGAGAGTTTACTGGTCAAAGAGTGGGATTTAAGATACTTCCGAGGCTCGTTAAGAGTTGCTCAACGACGATTGTGCATGGTGCCGAGAGTAGAGTGCATAGCCTCGGAAGGCTGGTTCTGCCATCGGTAAAGTGACCTGTTCTCTGAGAAGTTCTCCGTTAACACATGTAGCCCAGCTTACGAGCTGTTGTTCCCGCATTCTAAATGAATACAATAATGACTTATTCAAAGGTATTCAAAATATCTTGGGCGGCCTCTTTGAATCTCACTGTTTTGTATTTACATTACTGTGATTCATAATGGCATGTATCAAGCCAAGAGGCGATGTTTGAAAGGGGAAGGATCGCGATAGGCGTCGGTCTGGTGACTGCGTCCTCCAACCAGAAGCCGCAGCACTACTATTAACATGCATGATCTCTAGGCATACGTGATTTTTCTGCACAAGTTACGTCATATCTCACTTCCTGAAACTGAGACGCTTGACAGAGTGCCCGGTGGCTTATTAGTTTCCTTGGGGGCCATACACAAGTGTATAAATCCTTGCCCACCGCAAGGCTACATTCCCCCGCATCGTCTCGCATGACTGAACGCGCATACTTAGCTCAGCTTTACTCGCGCAAATACCTTGTGTAGTCGAACCATGAGACATAATGGGACTTTGCGAGCACAAGACTCGGACGAGACAGGTACCTTTCGCATCCGGTCTTGAACGTGGTCAAATCATGGCGTGTACTGGAAATCCCTACTGATTGGTCAATCTGCAGTCTGCTCCAAGGATGAGACATTATACCTAGATCTGATCGAGCAAGCAAAGAGGGAGCTCGGCCTACCCGATGAGGACAGTCCCTGGCATGATCCCGCAGTTGCTCGCCATCAGACCGGAAGGGGTGCTGCCTCCGTCTTTGAGTTCGGGAACAACGAAAAAGCCAGAATTTTCACCATGTCAAACGCGAACGAGCTTCAGACTTATTTTTCAGAGTCTTCAGAATCCCGCATTAATAGCAACGACGCCCCGCTTCGGAGACTAGTGCTGATGGAAGGCAAAGATCCAAAGATGATGGAGGTCTTGGGGAAGAATGTGGGAATGCCGCCCTCAATTTTCTTGCTCCACTGCTTGGACACAGACAAATTGAAGGGCAAGTATGATCTACCATCTGTCAATTATCTCCGCCGGGTTGAATTCCTAGCCAACCAGGCCAGTGGTGATCACGGGTGGCAGAAGTATACTCGAGTCTGCGTTCCTCGACGAACTAGCGGATTCGACATTGGTGAAATTCCCGAACTGCACGAAATGTTCCGCGAACGGCACTTCCTCTCCTTTTGGAGCAAGGAAGAAGGTACTGAAGGCTCATGGACTAGTCAGGTTGCTCGATCAAAAAGTTGTAGTACGTTGACTGACATTTTTGTAGCTGTACTTCTCAGCGATACTGGCGACGGGATTCCCTCAGCCCCAGGAGAGATGTTGATAAGCCGGAGACTTAACACCGACGTGGTCTTGATGAATCAGGATAGTCCTACAGTCTTTGTAAGCGAGACTGTGGACACTTTCTATTCACTCTTGCAACGCTCTTACAAATGGTTTCCACACTGTGCCACAGCAGATCCAAGATCAGCAATGAGATACTGCATTCCAATAATCTTGTCAATGTTCGAAACCGAGCTCAAGCGAAGTAGATACCGCATCGGCCGCCGCTCACGACACCACTTCAAGCGACTTCAAGAACTCAGAGGTGATGCTTGGGAAACCGACGAGGCCGCCAAGATAGCACAACTCCAGCTGGCTGTCGTCAGGAGCATCAACATGTACTCAGACTGTGTGACGCGCCTCGACATTCTCTGCGGAAATCCATACGTCTCCGAGACCGGCGTGAAGAGCTGGAGATGGCTACGGGAACAGTTGCGGGATCAGTCGGAGCAGGTACAGCTGCTTCTGGACTTTTACGGCATCCGCGCTTCGGTCGAAGAGAGCATCTTTTCCAACAGGCAGGCAAAGCATATCGGCCAGCTGACGGCTCTGGCAACTTTCTTGGTTCCATTTTCTGTTGTCGCGGGGATCTTCTCCATGTCTGGCGATTTTGCGGCAGGGGAGTCATTGTTCTGGATTTTCTGGGTGGTCGCAGTCCCATTGTCTTGCATCATTTTCTTTATTCGTATGTTCCCGTTCAAAGCCTGGCTTTCACGGGGAAGACCACCTGTTGCATGGCCAAAGTTTGAGCTGCGGGGGTTTGCCGACGTGGAAACAGGCAAACATATGATGTGAAAGCTCAGTGGCCAAGTCGGGGATAATAGAAATCAACACTCTGCACTTCCTAAGCATAACGGGTAAAGGTACGCTGATGGAGCGGCGAAGGCGGAAGACTAACAGAAATGGCTCCATTCAAGTCTCCAGAACAGTACCCTCCCACACACTTTGGCTACAAGAGGTTCTACGAAGACGTCAGCGTACTGTACAGGTCTCTCACGGAAGCTAGTACGCTCAACCTCCGGGGTCTCGAGAACTTTATCAACCTCATCGAATACGACAAACGGCTATATCGCCTCGCAATTGTGGAATGCCCAGTCCTTCGCATACCGCAAAACCATGGCTGGCCGCATCCCAACCAGTACAAAGCGCGGTTGATGCGGAAGTTCTTTGACCGGCGCCCGCTGCCAGAGCGGGTCATTCCTCCATTTCCGTATTCTGATGCCAGCGAGGCAGAAAGAACCGAGACCCGGCAGCAGATCTTGAGAGAATATTTGCGTGTTCGGTCGCACGAAAACAGGGCATTCGAACCGGGCGAGAAAGCAAACATCATTTGCTACGCCAACTACCTCGTCGGTGAGTGATACTCATAAGAATGTAGAGAGCGTGACTTAACATATGTGTACAGGGCTTCCGGATCACGGGCATGGTTCGCATCAAATTTTTTATTTTGGTGAATCCGGAAAAGCCAGCATCAAGTACGTCGATAGGAATGGTGTGAGTCTTCGGGACCCTGACTTTCAGTTCCATGAGCGTGATTGAGTGAGCGCTTTGGCCGCCTTGTGGACATCATTTTTCAGGCTGCTATGAATAGGAAGTAATTGTCGAGTGGAGGGAGATGATTTTGAACATAAAGAACAAAGACGGGTTCTTACTGGCAGTGACTGTTTGCCCGGGCCGTGCATAATCGCCGTCTGAAGAGAAATGAAGCTACTGGAACCATGGTGCAGATGCTTGTAATGGTCTTTAGTCTGCACATGCCACAGATCATACTTCCTGGCGGGAACATATATCGTCGTCCCGACACCGGTCCACCGCCTTCCACAACCAACACCACGATAGCACCGGTCTCTCGACGCACCTCACCTCAAACAACCCACCAGCTCAGAAATCCTCACAAACCCACAGCCGCACCTGCACCCGAACAACTTCACCGCAACCACCACCAAGCAATCCATCCGACCAACCATGCCCACCTCACCCGCCTCCGCCTCCGCCGCCGCCCCGAGCGGCCCCCCGCCTTTCACCACCAGCACGCAATACGCAGCGACGCTCGCGGGCACGAAGAAATACCTGCAAGACGTGAACGCGCTGATAGTGCTACTCACGCCGCCAGTCTCACCGGCGTCGGGCGCGACGATCGCGCGCTTCGTGCGACTGGCAACATCATCAAACCGCTTCTACGTGCTCGCGCTGGGCCACTTCCCGACGCTGCGCAAGACGCTGATCCAGGCCGTCATCGGGGGTGCGAATGCTGGCGGCGGCGGTCCCAGTACCGACGACGACGACGACTCGGCGGCGGCGCTCACGCTGCCGTACCCGACGAAGATGCAGGAGCATCTGCTGTGCTGCTTCCAGACGTACAGGTTGGAGGCCGGAGTGCCGCATACGCCGAGGAGGGAGGAGGGGCAGGAGGGGAGGGAGGTAGTGAGGGATGCGTTGCTGGTGGCGTTGGAGGTGGTGAGGCGGTACATGGGGAAGGAGAGGGACCAGCAGGGCGGCGCTGGGACGGGGCCTGGGTCGTGGGGCGAGGTGTGTGAGGCGGCGGATGTGATGGCTGGTGAGTGCTTCTTTTTCTCTCTTTGCGATCCGGAAAGCAGTGGCTGACGGAGGGGTTGTGGGGCTGACAGGTCTGAAAAATCATCCGCAGGGACTGATTTGGGCACTTGGTGTTCATAGGGCATTCTTGACCGTTGACAGTTGGGATACCGGCGAGCAGCATGCGGGACGCCAGAACCAGGCTGCGGTTGGTAGCTTAGAGAGCGACCTTGCGGATGTGATGCGGGATCCCGTGGGAAATGGCAAGTCCCCCACCAAGGGAGCCTAAGTTACCATGCCTCCTCCGATGTTCAGTGAGAGACGCTGAACAGGGTTAGAAGAAATTGCAAGGACGGATGGCATACAATTACTCTTCCAAAAGGCAGCATTAGAAGAAGCGGAAAGCAATAAGCCATCAGGGAAGGGGGTCTTCTTGATCAATGATTCAGTTGCGGCAAGACCTAAAAGTATACAATGCGGAGCTTGAAGGCGGAGATGCCTGAGACAGTGCGGAGGGTCAAAGGCGGACCGGCATCTAGCATTGAAGGCGATAAGAGCTTGTAAGGCGTCCAAATAAATGCGAAACTGGTTTCAGGCCTGAATTGAGTCGTGGTTGATATAGTTGGAGGCGATCACGTGGAGACAGCACTGACGTGTCCAAACTGACTCGAGAATCGTGGCGCACGTCGTTCAGACGCGATTCCGCCCGCACGCGTTTTCCATCTCCAATCCATCGAGAAAAACCAGGGCTTCGGGCAGCCGCATCCTTCAGAGCCGTCTCTTTGGGCCTGCATCATCCTGCGTCGCCATTGAACCAATTGACTTGTGTCGTCGCGTTTGCCCCTGCCGTTCTCGGCACCAATTACCCGGTCTCCGCTGCTGCCTGCTGTGTAGCTACGTGACGAGATTGCAGCGATGAGGGCCGCGGCAGGGATCCGTCGCTCAGCCAGATACGGTAATCAGCCCACGAGAGCATCCACCTGAGCGACACGACCACTAAACGCGTGACCCTCGACCTCAACACAGGCTATCTTCGCTCCCCGCGCCATATTCCGCGGTACCGCCTTTACCCAGGCCATCCGCTGTACAGGCCAGACTTCGACGAAGCGCACCATGACGGCAAGAGCAAGGGTTCGAGCAGCGGCGACGAAGGCGACTGGAAATCCAAGCTGCTGGAGACGACCATCACGACGCTGGGGTCGGTCGTGATCCTGGGCGGCGTGGGCTTCGCGTACCAGCGGTACTACAAGTCGCAAGTGCTGTCCAAGATCGAGAACGCCTTCAACGCGGGCTTCTCGTCGCTGGAGCTGGCGGCGCTGGTGCGGCACTCGGACGGCAAGTCGCCCATCAACGTGACCGGCGAGCTGCCCGAGGCGGCGTGGTGGATCCAGCGCGACGAGCAGCGCATTCTGGACGACATCCTGGCCGGGCGCGCCCAGGGCCACTACTACCTGCTGACGGGCGAGAAGGGCACGGGCAAGACGAGCATGCTGCTCGAGGGCATGCGCAAGGCCAACGGCGAGGGCGTCGCCCTGCTCGAGGCCCACGGCGACCCGGAGATCTTCCGCGTGCGCCTCGGCAAGGCCCTCGACTTTGAGTTCCACGAGGACTACATCGGCAGCCTGTTCAGCTTCAAGGGCCCCCGCGACACCACCGCCCTGCTGGACATCGAGCGCGCCTTCAACAAGCTGGAGAAGGTCGCCCTGAGGCGCCACGAGCAGCAGAAGAGGCCGCTGGTGCTCGTTATCAACGGCATTCACTTGCTGCGTGACGACGACGATGGGAAAGACTTGCTGGAGCTTATTCAGCAGCGTGCCGAGCTGTGGAGCGCGAGCGGCTTGATCACGTTGGTGCTGAGCAGCGACGATTACTGGATCTCCGAGAGGCTGATCCAGCAGGCGACCAGGATGCAGGTGCTGAATATCCCGGACGTGCCGCGCGATGTGGCAGTGGATGCCCTCAAGCGGTTCAGATTCAAGTTCAAGGACGAGGAGATCCCCAACTCTGTCTTGCATGAGGTGTACAGCATGGTCGGCGGGAGACTGCGGTTCCTGAATCAGGTGGCAAGGGCGGAGAACATGCTTGAGATGTGCGAAGCCATCAACCGGAAGGAGAAGATTTGGCTGTTGAACCAATGCTGGATCCTCGGGTAAGAGTCTTGCCGAGAAGAATTCGGGCGCTAAAACTAACAAGCGTTACAGAGAGGAGATGGACGACGATGTCATGGATCAGCAAAAGTTTTGTGTATGTCTGATCATTCCTCTTTGGCGACAGTGAAGGTTGCTAACTGTGCTACAGGCCGCTGCCATGGTTCTCGCTTCAGCTCTGGTGGACCTGGAAGAAAACGATGCTGACCCGACAAGACTACCTCAAGTCGAGGTGCACAAGGCGCGTGAGATCATGACGCGTGCAGACTTCCTGCAGCAAATGGATCACATCAATATTGTTGCCATCGACTCCAATGCCATGGTGCGCGCAGACTCGGTGCCCATGCAAAATGCCTTCCGCGAAATCTGCAAGGAACCCGGATTCAAGGAGCACTTGGAAGCTACTGTTGACCGCATCAGCGCTATCGAAAGCCTGGGAAGAACGAGGGAACTAGTGCTCAAAGACTTGGTGGGTGACGGGGAGTACCAACTGGCCGTCAAGAATCCCAAGGGATACGACTTGGAGACAATCACGATGAAGGTGAAGCCTGCACCTGAGGAATCATAGTACGATAGAAACGAAAACCAAAACCTGACAAGCCAGGATTGGCGTACATCGCGGCTGTCCTTTCTCCCTATAAATGGCACAGGATCGAGGTGATTCCTATTGCGATGTTTTCTGTGCCTCCTTCTAGAACACTGCCACCCTTCCTGCGCTAACTTAAAGCTACGAGGTGGTGGATTACCCTATTGGGAAAGTCTACTCTGCTTTAGGTCAGCTACAACAGCCTTTACAGCTCCTTCGAAGCTGCTGCTATCGATTTTTGAGCAGAATGCCCCTGAGGCTTGACTCAACAGCCAGGGAGACAGTGTTTAAAAGAGCAGCTCATGCGGAGTCAATCCAGTAACTTTCCTCACAGCTCTCAAACGTCGGAAATGGTCAACACTGCGAAGCCCTCTGGTGCATGGCCTGTCTCGAAAGGCATGCCTCGTCCTGGATAAAGCTCGCTCTCACGCTACCACCATCACCAACATGATCGCCTCATCGTCCTTCCACCCACGCCTCGCCTTCGCTACCGTGCTCTCGCTCTCCTGCACTCTCAACTTCGCCCATCGCCTCCAGACATCACCAACGATGAGGTTAACGACAGCTATGGTCAAAGAATGTTTACTACTGAAGACGGCCGTGGTGTCTTCGGTATAGTCTCGGGTATATATGCGGAAGACGGGTGGCGGTTTGAGAAGAGAGAGATGAGTGTGGAGCTATAGTGGGAAAAAGGAAAAGGCATATTCACGTTTACGTCATGGGTACTTGTGGAAGGACAGCCGCGCGCTCCGCGTCTACCTCGCCAAAGTGCTTGGTAAGCGCGGTGGTCGAGGAGCTCGTGAGAGAGATCTGCAACAGCTTAGCCTCCATTTGAGGGACGGAGTAAAGCGAGGTGGCGGCGGCGATGTTGATCCTCGATATGTTGGCGTGGAACTGTGGGATATCAGTCTCTTTTCGCCTTCGGCTGAAGACCGAGTTGATTGGCTGGATATCAACGAGCCTGGCTTCGGTCCGGTCTGAGTGGCACAGCAGCGGTGAGAGGGATCCAGGGACTTGAGGCGTCACGGCAGAGGCGCAATCCTTTCCGGCATCCCCCTCGATTCCTTCCCAACGCCATGGCGCTGTACTACATCCCTCACCACCACGAAGGAGCTCATCCTGGGATTATTTCAAGGGGCCGGATCCTCATGCCAACGATGATCTGGATTTCGCGATCCTGAATATGCAGGGACGGGTCATTCCTGCGCATGATGGTCGAACGACAGGCAGGGCGGAGGATGAAGGATCGATTGCGGCAGACTAGTTTCTTCAGCTCCCGCTCCCACCTTCTCCACTGGGAGGCGGGTGCCGTGGCGGTCGAGCGGCACAGCAGCGCGGCTGGCGGAATCATGTCCGGCAACCATTTACTGCATTGCTCAAGTCGAAAGAGAGTCGTCGCAAACCTGTCTCACACTGCAAGGTACAGCTTTCCATCACAGCCCGAGCTCGCCCACAATCCGTCTCGCCTCGCCCTTGGTGTGCAGCTTCGTACCCTGAAAGCCAATTTTACGAGGGCTCCGCGCGGGATAATTGGCCCGGGCCGGCCTGAGTCGCCCGTAAGCCCGACGAGCCGGGTCGGCGCGAAAGGCGGCCCACGGCGAGGCGCAGGGATCAGGAGCAGGGAACTACGGCCGAGGCACCGCATGACTCGCCCCCCGGTCCCGATCACCCTGAGCATCAGCCAACGCACGGACGACCGTTTGGGGATCAGCCCGACCTTATGTCTACCGTTTTGTGCATGCTGCCGTCTCATAATTCTTGGCCGCTCTGTTATGCCAATCCCCGGGGTTCGTGCCTGACCGGAGGGCCACGCGGCGGGGCGGTAGGGGGAAGGTTGACACGTGCGGCGGGCCAGGGTGAACCCCACCATAGCTCTGCTTGCTTGCTTAAGGTGGGGAGCTCCCAGCTTGATTCTCATGCAAACAATTGATTCCTGGAGAACACAACAACACACCATGGGCAAGAAGGAAGTCTTCAACATCTACCCTCGCGGCTGGGAGAACGATCCTGAGGTCGAGAACTTCGAGCTCAGTGATCTTGACCATGCTTTGCCCAAAATTTACACCTTGTTGACGGTGGGCTTTACCCCTTCCTTTGACGTCCCGAATGACTGCTGATAGTGACGGCAGCTCACCTACGAGCTCGACCCTGCAGCAGACAAGAACAAGATGGTCCAGAACCTCAGAGAAGGTCTCGAAATCACCCTCGGCCAGTACCGCTCGCTCGCCGGAGAGCTGGACACAGACCCCAACAATGGCAAGGTCTGGATCAAGAGGAAGAAGGGGAAGACGGTCGAGTACATCGTCAACGACATGTCGGACACCGACGAGTTCCCTTCGTTCGAGGCGCTCGACAGGGAGGACTTCCCCGCTGGCAAGATGGATGGAGACCTGCTCCTGCCCATCGCCGTCACCCAGAAGCAGCCCTTGACCCCGCTCGGCGAGGACAAGGACGACGAGACGCCCATCCTCGTTGCCCAGGTCAACTTCATCCGCGGCGGTATCATCGTGGCCGCTGCTATCCACCACTGCTGCTCTGACGGTAACAACACCTGCATACCTTCTCTGCTTTTCCCTCCGCAGCTGCTAACATGGTGATCTCTCTCAGGACCTGGTACCGACGGCTTCCTCGCACAGTGGGCCGCCAACTCGCACGCCATCGCCACGTCGTCGGCGCTGCCTCCCTTCGACAGCAGCTGCATGGACCGCACGCCTCTCATCTCGCACGCGAAGCCGTCGGACGAGTGGATGGCGGCGACGCAGCGCAAGATCCGCTCGCTCGACCACCAGAAGACGCCGCCGCCGCCGCCCCCGGCCGACTTCAAGATGCCGCCGCTGTCGCAGGTCATGATGCACTTCTCGTCGAGCGGGCTGGCCAAGCTCAAGGAGGCCACCAAGCAGCCCGGCGACGGCAGCGAGTGGGTCAGCACATACGACTCCATCATGGCCGTGCTGTGGCGCTCCTTCACCCGCTCGAGGCTCGAGATGTTCAAGCCGGATTTGGAGTCTGAGAGCCACCTGCTGCATGCTGTACGTCACCCACACTCTACTCTTACCCGACATTAGCATACTTACCAAAAATTTAAAACAGGTCGGCATCCGCAAAGCCGTCACCCCGCCCCTGCCACCGCACTTCCTGGGCAACGCGCTGCTCCTCCCCAAGCCCGGCGTGCCCATCTCGCGCCTCATCGCCGACGAGACGCTCCCCCAAATCGCGGGCACCGTCCGCCAATCCATCAAGGACTACACCGACCCGCAGATGATCCAGGACACGCTCGACTGGATCGCGGGCACGCAGGACAAGACGTGGATCACGATCCGCGTCAACGGCTTTTTGGGGATGGACGTGTGCGGCACCAGCTGGGGCACCATGACGGCGTACGAGCGCGCCGACTTCGGCTTCGGCCTGCCCCGCGCCCTGCGCCGCCCGCGCCCCACGGTCGATGGGTACATTTTCATGTATCCGCGTCGTCCGAAGAAGGTCAATGCCGAGGAGGAGGGGATTGAGGTTTGTGTGTGCTTGGAGAGCTCGTGTATGGAGAGGTTGTTGAAGGATGAGGAGTTGTTGAGGTTTGCGCATCCGAGGGGTTTGTAGGTGATGATGTTTTGTGGCATGTGTGTGTATGACGGATGTGGATGGAATGTGTGTGTGTGTGTGTGGAGACGCGCGCTCTGTAGAATATGCAGTCGTAGAATTTGTGTATAAAGTCGTGTTTGATACCATCACAATTTTTTTGCCATATGCTTTGTTCTTATTGCTTGTTTCATTTTCCGAAGGTTAATTTCGCCCATTCAACGTTTTCAGTATGTCTCCGAAGAAGTTTGAAAATAAGAGCAGGTGTGGGGAGTAAAGCGGAGAACAGACGCCGCTCGCGGACCGCCTGTGCGAGGAAAAACATGAAGGCTACCCGACGACTTAGCCTGCACAGTAAAGTCGGTGCGAACATCACTACTCAAAAAAGCCAATGTTTGAAATATCGCTAACGAGTGTTCATTTAGACATTAAAGTTCGTTGTATGTACTATTTTCGCTTCATCGAATGGTATCAATTCCAGAGCCTGTTTTCTCTAATCTCTGATCTCTCCCCAGCAGGCTCTTCTTCTTCTTCAAATGTGGGACGAGGGGCAACATCATCAGCCCTCAGCAATAAAAGAATGAATGATTATCCAGCTCATTCCGCTAGAAATTAAGAGTCCTTCTCGTCGGCATGCACCGACACGGACTGCGTGGTCGACGAGTCGCCGAGATCAGCGTGCAGCGCGTCCTCGAACTTGACCTGCACGTCGTCGCCGAAGAGCGGGCCGATCTCCTCAAGAGTAAGGCCAGTGGTCTGCATATGTCGTTAGTGAATGTGTTTCCACTACTTTAATAATTAATAGCAGGCGAAGACTTACCTCAGGCAACAGGAAGTAAATGGCAACACAGCACGGCACGGTGATGGCGACAAACACCATGTAGTACTTCCAGCCAATAGTCGTGAAAGCGGTGGTGGCCGGGTAGGTGTAGGCGAGGGCGGGGCCGAAGAAGCCGATGTAATTGAGTGTGGCGCCCTTGCTGCGGAGGTGGGTGGGCCAGATCTCGGCGCCGTAGACGTAGCCCGTGCACTCGATGGTGCTCGTGAACCACACGCCGAAGATGAAGTACATGGCGACGGCCGCGTTGAGGCCGGCCGTGTAGGTGGTGTCCAGGTAGTACTTCTGGAGGACGCCCTCGATGATCAGGAGCACGACGCTGCCCAGGCCGCCGATGACGAGCAGGTTGACGCGGCCCAGCCGGTCCATCAGAACCACGTTGATGAAGCAGCCGACCAGGACGCACGCGTCCCACGCAACGCCGAGACCGAGCTGCATCACGGTGTCGAAGCCGAGGTTGCCCATGAGGGTGCTGTCATCTGTTAGCATTGCATATACTTAAGATAGGGGTCGGGGTTACTCACGCAATCAGGTTGGCGATGACAGTAATACCGGTACTCTGGCCCATGGTCCACACGAGCAGCGTGCACACGGCACGCTTCAGCATGCTCGGGGTCGTCAGGATGTACCAGTAGCTGCTGGGCAGGCTGCGCTCGGCCGAGATCTGCGCGCGGATCTGCACGAACTCGCCCTTGGCCAGCGAGTTGTCGGACGGGTCGGCCGGGTTGCGGTGCAGCTTCTCGAGGATGGCGCGCGCCTCGTCCTCGCGTCCGCGCTCGATCAGCCAGCGCGGCGACTCGGGCAGCGCGAAGAGCGAGCCCAGGAAAATGCACGAGAGGCCGGTGAGGACGATGTAGTTGAGCCGCCAGGCGTAGTCCTGGAATGCGTCAGTGATTGATGCCGAGATGGGAGAGAGAGGGGGGGGGGGGGGGGGGGTACGTACGTTCGGTTGAAGGCATCGTAGAGCTCTTGCACCTCCGACGTGA